AAGTTAGAATATGAAGTGCAGTTTTTTTTTTAGTATTACTGTTATTAGTGTGTAAAAATATAAAAAAAAAGTATTATTTGAGCTATCAGGCTAATATAATATAGAATAAAAGGTTTATTAATTGAAGCTAAATAGGCTCTGATATATATATATATATATATTAGAAACAGGGGGGGAAGGGGGCGTGTCTTTACAAGCCAAAATAGTCCAACTACTTTGAACACATCTTATAGTGTTACTGTCTTTTTTTTTCAGGGCCCAATATTTGTAAAACAAACAAACAAGTAAACAAACAAACAAACAAAAAATAATTACCATTTGATTTAAAGAACTTTTCATTTGTTTTTAGAAAAGCGTTAGTTGGTTTCTTATGTATTTTTTTAAAGCAAAAAACAAAAAAAAAACGAAACATAAAAGCGAACCAAATTGTAGAACAATTTAGGTTGGAATGTTTGAAACAACAGGACTTTATGAAGTTTCAAAAGAAAACTAGAAGAAGAAGAAGAACAAGAAGAATAAAGCTCAAGAGATGAATTGGAACTGGAATTGAAGCCGTGGTGTGCTGTTGTATTTGTACTTTTGAATATACTATATCTGCCTCGGTTCAAGAAAAAGTATTTACTTTTTAACTTATAGATTTATAAATCTAAAAAAGAAAGACAGCAAAAAAAAAGATAAAAACCTACATAAAATAAAAGACAGGCATAATGACAACCTTGTCTTAAAATATTCTGTTAAAAATATTGTAAGAACCGCAATAGATGGATATTTAAAGCATATATGTTTAACAATTTCATATTGATCAAGGTATATATAAATAAATAATCAAGATACTTGATATCCACTACTCACACACACATATATATACACACAAAGAGATATAGAATATTAAAGAAAATCAAAAGTCCTGGTAAATATATACATAGTAGATATGACTGATGTAAATCTTTTCTATTCTACCTTGAGCGTATATCACACACATTTTAAACGGAGTAATTCTACTGTCCCACTCGACATCTTTTCTTTTTGACTAATAATATTTTAGAATAGAAATGTGTGGCAAATAAAGAAAGTGAAAGAAAAAGCCTCTTGTTTTGTAGACAATTCTCGAGCTGTTTTGTTTGTGACTGATATATCTGCCAATTTACATCTTATTAGTCATCTTCAATATGCAGAAAAGCTACTGCGTTAAAAGCCAAACAAAAAAAAGTAAAGCATTTTGAAAATTCATTCATTTGAGGGTAGAAAACAAAAACAATTTCAAAGCCATTGTTTAACAGAATTTAAACTCATTGCTTCTTTTCGCTAAAATGAAATAAAGTAAAACAAAGCTATTATCGTCTTGAGCTATTGCTATGGAACAAATGGGTAGGTAGAAATGAGGGGTACGGACAGGGGCAAACCATGGGGTACTTTGAGAAACATTCTCAATAGTAGCTCTGTGAGTCGTTTCAGATAAAGCATAGGACAACCAACATCAATACAACAGATGGCCTTGTCAATAGTTCAACTAGGATATGGAAGAGGATTGAATATATGTAATATGATGTACTAACCAATACCGAGAGCGAGACATACAATCCCTCCTATTTTAAAAAAGCCAATTAAGATTGCGGGTGAAATTTGATAATAGGAGAAATGAGAGGCAGTTGAGAAGACAGCAAGAAAGATCTCAACACCTTATCAAAACCTCAAACAGTCTGAAAATGATAGAGTTTTGCTGTACTATAATTCACAGGATTCTTAAAGAATTAGATTTGCTTAACCTGCACACGATTCCCAACGGCTCCAATAGAAGAATATACTGTTCACAAGTTTCAAGTAAACATATACATATACATAATCAGTTGTTGTCTTTGACCACAAATCCCACAGAATGTTATGATTTTTATTGTATATTTCATAATCCAGAGCCACTTTTGAAGAATGACCAAAAGTTGATATCCACAGGTAAAGCATTTGTTTCATCCAAATCTGTGACAGAATATTGAAACAATCCGTTACAAATTGAGATTAGTAGACATCACTTGCTCAATTTTCTTATTTGAACTCAAATCGTCTTTTGTACTGTAAATCTAATTACGCATATGTGTATGAAATAATGAATTTATGGTACCAAACATTCATTGATATTCAAAGTACAAAAAGGTTTGGGGATAATTATGCTTGTTTCATAAATCTATCCAAATTGAACTTTTTTGTGCACAATCTGTGTAAATACAACAAGGACCTTACTTGTATATTCAATTCACATTGCGCCTTTTCTGTCTTTCTTTCAAACACACATTTCTTTATTACTTCTCATTTTTCATTTTTTTTTTCGCCTGTCGCCTGTCGCCTGTCGCTTTCTTGCATTCTTCTCTTTCTCTTTCTCTCTCTCTCTCTCATTACAATGTATCCTCTTTAAAATGTCAATCCGGATTAGCCAAATTCAGTTATACATTTTGCGCCATTTGCATTCTCAAAAAGTATTTTGAGTTTTCTTATAAACTTTAGAAACAAAAACACCCTATACAATCAAACGCAGTATTCAACACAATAATAAAAGCATACGTATTATATTATATTAATCTTCAAATTTATTTGACTAAATTCCCTTTTCTTATAGATGAGTCCTCCTAATTACAACATCAACCTCTTCAATCAAGTAAAAAGAAAAAACTTTGAACACAATTTTTTTATTAGAGTCAATAACAGCTTAATAATAATTTTATTTGATATTAAAAAAAAATAAGAATTACACCAAGTTCTTTGTCCCCGCATTACACGACTCAATATCCTTCAGGACGTAAACCTGACTTGGTAGCGAAGGAGGGGTAGGAATGGTGTTAATTCGGGGCATAAGACAGCACCGTGTTCATCTCAACCACCCTATCTCATCATTGAGTAGGGCCAGCGAACGTACCAGAGAAACTCACCACTAAGTAACAAGCTCCAGTTTGTTCGACTACTAAGTAATACCGTCAGTTCCAGAGAGCTTCGAACAGAGATTTTATGAAGAGTCGGTAGTAAACTTCACTTCCTCCCCGTCCTCCACTCAAAATAACTTTCATGATACTAATCCAGGCGGCTTTTTTTTTAAAACATGATTATTGTCATTGCTTCAGAAACAAACCAATTTATTCCACAATTCAAACCGTGTTGATCTGCACCTCTCAGAATTAACTAAGAAGCTAGAGATGACGCACTTCCGCTTTTTTCTGTACAAAGTGAAAAAAGAATACCCCCCGATCGACCCATAGGTAGCATGTCCTTCTCAATTACAGGTAATTAGGAAACACCCATCTCCAGAGTATAAAAAAGCTAAAGGAAAAAAAAACTGCGTGGGTTGAATGGGGTTTTTTTTTATATACCCGCTACCTGAGACTAACTATATGCATATTTAGTTAAGACTAAATTCTTACATAGAAACTTTTTATCTTTCATATGCCCAATAGTTTTTATATTGAAGAATTATTTATATTACAATCCCACAATCTATATCACTAACAGACATTTTGTATAATATAATTCATTAAATATTAGCTATTGACTCTGCTGCTTATGAGTATTGAAAAGTGTTATATTTCTAAACATATTCACTGTAATAATTATATTTCAATATTATTTAAAGCCAAAAGATTAGACCTAAAATTCTTATATTTTATAGACATCATTTGTATTTATTTTATTCTTATATGAGATATTTAATTTATATTGCATAGTCTGGAATAGCTGGCTTGTTGGTGTCACTTCCACTTTCTAGTAAAAGGATAAAATCAGATCTCTTTAGTAGTATTTGTTTGTTTATTGCTTTTATTTTTATTTCTATAGGATTAATAGTAGTATCTGGAGCTCTCGCGAGACTCGGGTTGAGAATACCTGGTATGCTCTATACTATCATCCTCTCGGGAAACCATCTTGACACTTTCAGCTATCAATATACACACTTTCAATAAAACTCAACTCTGTAATTCAAAGTTCCGCTGTCTACTGAGATGAGATCCTAATATCCATGCGTGCTTTTTGCTTCATTTTCTGCCTTTTACTTATTATTAAATATCGCTTTGAAATATATATATAAATTTACTTTTTATTGCCTGTTAATATCTTTGTGTTTATTTGTACAAGCAAAATAAATAAATAAAAAACTTTTTCTTGTGTTCTTGAACAAAAAGTGCACAGACCACTTTAGAGTAACCTACGAATCGCCGTTATAGAAACCTGTACTCCACTTTAAGAGGCATTGCTACACCGATCAAAACTAAACCCTTTCTTACTCTTTTTACTTCTTTACTTCTTTACTTTACTTTACTTCACTTTGCAAAGTTGTTTTCCATAGTTTTTGATGAAATTTTATAGGCTGCTACTTCTTTTATGATGCAGTTACACAAGCCTACTAAAATAATATACAGCTATGTCACGCTTGCTCTGACGTGGGAGTTAACAAACACCCTGGCAAAAAAACGGAGTCCTAAACTGGTCTCGTATTGTTTTGTTAGGACTATTGACACTATTTATATAGGGGCAGAGGGAGGGAGAAAAAGATAAATATGTACTGAGGAGCTCACCGCCTAGTTTTTCTTCTTCTTCCTCTATGCACCATTGCTAGGAACAACCAAGTAAGTACCACTTCCCCATACACATATTTACGTGTAAAACGCGGTTTTTTTGTTATAAAAAAACCCCAATTTACATAAGTAGCGCCATTACTCATTAAGAATTACTTAATGCTTTACCAAAACATCGACTTGACATTAACTCTTTTTTATTTTTTGTTCTTTTTTATTTTTACAAGGTCTATACTAAAAAAAACCCCTGATATTTATCTTGAGATGTTTTTTTTTCTGCTATTATTTATAATAGTAATGTATGGATGCCTGGTTTGTGAAGTAATTCACACAAGCTTTGTGGGATTAATCATGGTAAGCACATTAATGTTAAATGCCTTCTCATGCTTTATGTCATTTACTTATTTTCTTTTTTTTTTTATTTTTTTGTCATGTATATTTCAAGAGCGCATGTACCTGCACTTGGTATACCATTACCATATTCAGTCTTTTCTGTTAGATTCCGGTCTAATGGGGGAGATTGATGTAAGCCTCTTGGAGACAGAAGCGGAGGTGTTTACACCAAAGCTGGTCTCAACCAAACCAACTAGAGGGTATGGGCCTCTCAGCGTTCAGTAAAGAAAAACCAAACTTGTCCGATTCGGCTCCAGTCTCCACATATCAAAGTCAAACATAGACGCGGCCAAGTGGGGTGTAGTCACAGACGGGAGCCTTCGGGCGCGTCTTTAGGTGGGAGCTTCTTTTTAGAGGCGCCAATGAAATACCACCACCCATTTGGCCAACCCCCTGCATGGGCAGCGGGTGGACATGACTTGGGAGTAATGCTATCACCGCAGGCATGATAGCCCGAAACCTTTCATCGAAGCCTTCTCATCCCTTGCGTGTGAGGCCGTGGAGTGCTCTTCCGCAACTTTGGCATCTATTCTAGATCTGAGGTTAGGCGAAGAAAGAAGAACAGACAAGTTTGGTGCGCGCAGCAGTAAAGCTATGGAGTATGCTGTTGTGACATTCTTTTTCAAGCCACTCAGCCCGTGCGAGAGACTTATGTCTGGGGTGGACCAAACCTTACCATAAAGGTTGGACCAGAGTTCGGCAGTAGACCGTCGTGATGTCAGGTCATTTTCTTTTTACTGATGGTAGCAGTATTGTACGAACCAAGAAGTAAAGTACGCAAGTATTTTTCTTATCTTCAAGCCTCTGCAACGTTGTAGTCGGTTGATTCGGCCAGTGCTACAAAGTCACGCTTGTCAGGATGTGACCGAACGTCTTTAAGTCGCATCTCTGGGTTTTAGACAATGCTAAAATATACTTCCCGCGTACAAATTGTACACCCTGGCTCTCGGGCCTAGCACTATACTAGCTGACCTTGTTCTTGATTGATCGGGTTACATGTAATGTCAATACTGGGAAGGCAAAAATCGCATACAGACTATATGAAATCGACGGGGTGTCGAAAGTGTGAAATGATCCTGTCATCGTTGAGCACCGAAGATTAAGCCCTTGTCTTTGAATTTGTTCTTCGGAACACCTTCAATACTTTTTGTATCTTTATATATACATATATTTAGGTCCTTGTCTAGTTGACCTTGGTTGACATGACTGGTGCCTTTTTTCTAATCTTGATTGGAAAAGAGGGTGAGTTCGATTCTCACAAGGACTTTATAAAATATTTTATAATAATTTACTTTTATTCTTAAATTCCAAAAACCATTGCATATAATAATTTAGATAAAAAAACAAGTATATGTATGTATATATACATGTTAAAAGACTTACATAAAACCAAAAATGATTAGATAGAGGCAATTTATAGTAGCTAGATATTACAAAAGAATCAGAAATAATAATTGTGATATACACACCACAATTGAGTGAAGAACAGACCCCACAACCAAACACTGGTTCCTTCTTGCTAATGAACCTGGCAAGTTAACAATCTCCGGAACTGTTACACACCAGGCACACGTACACTACACACCCATACAGTGTAAACCAACCATTGCATAACAGGGATTTTAATTACAGGGATTTTAATAGTAACGGATATAAACAATATTATTTTGTCTCTTTAATAAATAACACTCTCACAGTATCTACTTTTCCCATTATTGAGATACTAACCCATAAACAATCCCGAATACCTCAATAATAATAAAAGAAAAATATATTATAGAGAAAAGTATCTGTGAAAAAAAAAACATATAAAAAAGGGTAGTCAATATATACAGCCGGCAAAAATATAACAAAAATAAGATGTGAGCAGATAAGAATAAGTAGTGGGGTCCAAACGGGTAGTATAATCATAAATGAATCTTTACATATATCAGAGCTCCAATAGGTAATATATTATTAAATATGTTCTTTAACATACTTGACAAAGCCAATGTTTTTTAGACAGCTCTTTTTTATTTTTGCTATAAATCTACTATATTTAAGAGTTTACCAAAAAAGATTGAAAGGGTAATTTTTTTAACAAGTATACTTAAGAGAACCTTAAAGACGAGCATTAAAAACCGCGGAAGCCTTTCTATTGGATATGTACTGTATACCTCTTTGATAGTTATTACAAGTGGTAGTTATATCAAATTAACTACTAGTAGGCAATTGTATATTAAAGAATTTATTTTATATAGATAACACTAATAAAAAGTCCTTTAACAAAATACGTTTATTATATATATATATGTGTGTGTGTGTCTTTTGCATTTACAACTGGTATTTATATAGATGATAATATTCATATAGAAGAATCCAAATAGACCCTAGTGTCGTTTGTGGAATTTGATAGACAGTGTTTTTGGTGCGAAGGAAAAGATACTATTATAAACAATTCCATTTTTGTGGATCGAGTTTTCTGATAGATCCCATTCATAATGTTTCACTATACAAACTTAAAATAAATATCAAAAAGCCTCTTTGTTTATCTGTTTGTCTTTTTTTTTGGGGGTAGTAATTTTTGAGAAGATTAACTTACACAACATAAGCAAAAGAACTTGCTGCTCTGCCATACTAAAGTTGACACCAAGACATTTCCGGTTTCCATCACTGAAAGGAGCCCATGTAATACCCCTGTGCTGCTCATGTTCGCCTCCTTTACTGAATCTCTCGGGATCAAAAACAGTTGGGTTCTTCCAAATGGTTGGGTTCTTGTGTAAAGCCTCGATGTCCACACTAATATATGTGCCTTTTGGAATAAACTCCCCAGCAAGCGTGACATCTTCGGTGGCTACTCGGTCCATAAGCGCACCGGAAGTAACACTTAAACGTAAAGCCTAAAAATATAATGATATAATGAGTTTCAAGTATATATAGGTGTGTGTGTGTGTGTGTGTGTATACCTCTTTTACAATCATATTAATATAATTGATGCGCTTGCAGTCATCGAAAGTGGGAGGAGCAGTAGAACTATCATCTCCAAGAATATCCAATGCTTCCCTACGTGCTTTATTTTGTACGTTCTGTTGTAATTCGCTTTTAGTATATGTTTGTACTATATATAACATTAACCTACCTTGTTCATAGCCATATAATATATACAATGTGAAACAGAGCTGGCTGTGGTTTCGTGTCCTTTTTTTTTGAAAGACAAAAAAGATGGAATTAAAATCAGGTTTATGTTTTGCAAACACGCACATATATATATATGTATATACTGGTAGTATTTGACTCGAATTTTCTCACCTGCCATAATAAAAGTAGCCATGTTTGCCTACAAATAATAATTTACCAAATAATGTGTTAATTGTAAGAAAGATAGCAATTGTTATAATAGATAATCAAGTGGATACTAGTTTTGCTTACTCTTAAATCGTCGGATTCACTTGACTTATTTTCCTTCATTTCGGCTTCAAGGATAAGTGTCAAGAGATCCTTTTCTTGGCCGCCATCAGGTTGGTCTTTTGATTCCTCAAGCTTTTTCTTTTTTTTATTAACCATATCAAGGATCAGTGCGTTGAGTTTGTCTACACCCTTGCTGGCCTTGTTATAATCAGGATAGAAATAGCGGAGAATATACTCAAGGGAAGGAATGATATTAAGAATAGGGGCAGTTACTCCTGCCATTGTATCAATGTAAGCTGCCCTCCATGCAGAGTCCTCTTCTACCGTAGCCCTGAAGTCAAAGCCTATGTAAAGTAAAGGGATCAATGAAATCAATCAATAAGTACTTATAAACATGGCTTATATCAAGTATTGATCATCGATTATTAAAGCAAAGAGGCTTACGTACCAAATAAAGCTTTACCCAAGGCATCAAATGTTACCCTTTGTAATAAATCGAATATGAAGATGTTTCCATCTGTCTTGTCAATCAATCTAAACATGTCTGGGACAATCCGCCCGAATAAATCAACAGGAGCTGTCCGGCGGAAGGCTGGGTTCATAGTCTGGTCAAATGATAATGATAAAATAAAGATTATTTATTTTTATTAAAAATCCAAATCCAAATCCAAATCAAACAATATAATACAGTGATAGAGTATATTACCTTTCGCTGATGTTTCCAAGGCTCACCACTGATGAATGCAACATTTGAACTTCCAAAAAAACGAATTGTAAGACTATCCCTGCTTAGAACGTTCATGAAATTGGTGTCCTTTGGGAATATTTCTAGGTGAAATAGCAAATACTTTAGTTCTGGCTTTTGTTGTATTAAGCAATCCTCTTAGGCTTTTTGAGCTACCTCCTTTCATCAGTATGTACTGTACTGCCTCAGGATTGGCTGTATAAACGGTCCAGTACAAAGGAAACCTTGACTACGGAACATTTGAGGATATAATTTTTTTTTAAAAAAAATAATAGAAATAAAGAAATAAATATGTTGGCTTGATGGAATGCACCTCATGTCTTTAAACAGCACCCGTATATATATATATACGTGTGTGTGTGTGTGTGTTTAAGGTATACTTACAACATAAAACCCATTCTTCTTGTGAAGAAGTGGGAAGACTAGTCGCTTTGTACGGTCCTCTTGTGACTCGACAGACAAGACAGATTTGATAAAAGAAAAGAAGGGGATACTTGGAAAGTGTTTTAGCTCATAAGGAACTGTGGTATAATCATAAACCTTCTTGCAGAGAAACAGAGCTACTACTACAGCCACGTAAGATCCTTTGGGTAAGTAATCCACAAGACTTTTGACAAAAGGTTTGAATGAAAGAGAGATATTGTTAATGATGTCCATTAAAGAAGAACAAAGAGTGGTCGAGTGATTGATAAAAACAAATTCAATGCACACATATTTATATTTATATGTATAGAAAAAAAAATAAAGCTTTTTATAATTTCAGCCTAATTTTGATTCTTATCCAGGTTAAGAACATGATTAGTATATTATATGTATAGACGCCAAATAGGACAGGCGAACTCAAATATTAATATTGTCAGGATTGAACTTTGTTTCATCAATGAACCCCTTGAATATTGGGTTATTTACCATCAAAAAACCAAAGCCAAAATCAAAAACAACAGTGCATATCAGACTTTCCCAGGACACTTTAAAGAATAATAAGATGAAGAAAAATCCCAATTGATAGATATTGTTTTAAGTAGCACAACGATTTAACAAAGAAAGCGCATATTTTGGCACACTGTAGATTATTTTGAGATCCTGTGAAGTTTATCAGGGATCTAGAATATATCAACCAGTCTATATCCATTAATATGCTCAATCCAAACGGGTACAAGTCACCTCAAAGACATTGGTATTTTGAATGTTAGTGGCAGCTACAAGACTTTTAGTTCAATAAACTTATTAGCAACAAGATATCTTATATTGTATGTTTTCTTTGTTTTACAATTCTTCTCGGATGTAAAGATCAGTACCATCCTCTCGGACGTGTAAAGCCAATTTCCCGCTGTTTTTCACTAATTTGATCAAGAAAGTAAATAAATAAGTAAAAAAAAAAAAAGGTACAAAAATGAGGGGTGGAAAAATGAAATAATGGGTCAGAGTAATGCGATTGGATTCCCTACACTTTTATGTATGCTTGTGTTTGAATTATCATGATTAATATTATTAATAAGAAATATATATAAAAAAAATAAAACAAGGCCATGTCAGTCAAGGCATTTAACAAATACTGTCAATAGATGGTGACGTATAATTAACTTTGGTGAAAATAGATAAATATCTCTTTCTTGTACTTCTTTGGACATCCGTACTTTTATCAATATCTGCCTATTAGAAATCATGGGAAAGCTTTCTTTACAAGTCACTTTCCCAACACACACGCATTTATATATATATATACATAAAAGAAGTAGTACTTTTATTATATAAATAAATATAAATAATCATAATCTTATTAGTCAAAAAAAAAGAGAGAGAGAAGAACAAGTCAGAGTGAACCAAAGACCGTCTTTGAAACTAACAATGCATGTGAAAATGAGATGTGGTGAATAAGTCGGTGACGTTGACAGATGCGGGGAGAGCGGTGTTTTATTCACCTCTTTTGTGTGTGTGAGAGTGAGTGTGTGGGTGTGTGCAAGTTGTATTGGAGAGAGCGGGCAAACAACAGAGCTTCGTCCATAATTTTACTAGCCCCTTCCCCTGGCCCCGTCTAAGATTGTTGTTGTTCTCCTTCTTTCCTCCGTTTACTACCACTTCCTTTTTTTTTTCTTATTCTTACTTCTTTTTTTTTTTGGATATCTAAATAACATCATGCTCGCCACCACCGCACGTATTGCTATCCAGGTACAGAGTTATAAAGACACACCATCGAAATATCAAAACAAACAAAACAAAACAAAACAAAACAAAATACACGTCTACCTACCATACATACGTCTACAGTTTTACATAATATAATATACCCAAGAAAAAGAAAAAATAAATAAAAGAAGTGGCGTTATTTCCGCATGCCGACAAATTCAAGGCAAAATGAACGTGTTTTATACTCATTGACATGGTTAAATCTAGGCACGTCCTTTCATTTCCCAGCGTTTCTACGCAACTGGCGCTGGTGCCTCGACCCTCTTGTTGGTAGAGCACAAGGACGGTCTGATTGGCGGTGCTACTCTCAATGCCTTGTCGGCTGCTTCCAAGCTCGGTGGATCCATCACTGCCTTGGTTGCCGGTGATGCCCCCGAGGCCGTTGCCAAGCAGGTTGCCAAGTACGATGGTGTCTCCAAAGTTCTCACTGCCACCGGTGCTGCCTATGCAAACGGTCTCCCCGAGTCCTTTGCTCCTCTGTTGGTTGAGATCCAAAAGGCCAACGGCTACACCCACTTGGTTACCGGTCACACTGCCTTTGGCAAGAACATCTTCCCCCGTGCTGCTGCTCTTCTTGACGTAGCTCCTATTTCCGATATCACTGGTGTCAGCAGTGAGGATACCTTTGTTCGTCCTATCTATGCGGGTAAATAATCAGGGCAATATTCCCACTTTTCCTTCCTCGCCTTTATATATATATATATATTTAAAAAAAAAAGTGGATGAAAGTTCAATGAAATGAACCCCTTTAAAAAAGAAATTCTCTCACGGTCTAATATTTATATATTTTTATAAAAAAATATTTAGGTAATGCTATTGCCACTGTCCAGTCCAAGGATGCTATCAAGTTCATCACTGTTCGTGGTACTGCCTTTGCTGCTGCTGAGGCCAACAATGCCACCGAGGCTACTGTTGAGGCTGCCCCCACTGCCGAGACCTCGGATGCCACCCAGTGGCTCGGTGAGTCTATCCAGAAGAGTGACCGTCCCGATCTTGGATCTGCCAGCCGTGTCATCAGTGGTGGTCGTGGAATGAAGAATGGTGAGAACTTCCAGCTTCTCTACGCTCTTGCTGACAAGATGGGTGCTGCCGGTAAAGTATTCCAAAATATGTATATTGGTAGAAAAAGAAAGGAGTAGGAAGATAGAGTAAGAGAGAGAGAGAGAGAGAGAGATATGGAACAAAAGGGAGTTGTGCAAGGTTTTTTCTTACATACTCGTTACTTGTTTCTTTTAGTTGGTGCTTCCCGTGCTGCTGTCGATGCTGGTTTCGTTGATAACTCCCTCCAGGTTGGTCAGACCGGAAAGATCGTTGCTCCTGGTAAGTAAAGAGATAATATATATATATGTGTGTGTGTGTAGTGCCTGTTACAGTTCAGCACAATATAAGTGGATCTCGGATTGACAAATATACTTAATGCAATTCTTCTGTATGTGGCACTTTCTTCTCCTTCTAGAGTTGTACATTGCTGTCGGTAAGTAATTATTATTATTATTTTGCGTGGGAATAAGTTTATGATTTCGGCTTCTTATTCTTCTCCCATCTCCCCAACCAATCAATCAACCAACCAACCAACTATATCTATTAATTTATTTAATTATTTATACTAATATAATTATAATAATTATAATAACAATAGGTATCTCTGGTGCCATTCAGCATTTGGCCGGTATGAAAGATTCCAAGACCATCGTTGCTATCAACAAGGATGCCGATGCACCCATCTTCCAGGTGGCTGATTATGGATTGGTTGAGGATCTTTTCAAGGCCGTTCCTGAGATGACTGAGAAGCTCTAAGCTAATATTTATACACAAACATTATACGTATATACAGGTGCGCGCGCGTACATGCACACGCACCGATACGTATATATTTATATTAAGTAAAATCTCATTTAGACAGAACTCCAAAAGAGAAATACATACATATATATATAGAGAGAGAGAGAGAAAAGCTTTATTGACCTTATTCTTCTCTTCTTTTCTCTTCTCTTTTTTCTTCTTTCTTTCTCTTTCTCTTCTTCTTCCTTTTTGTTTCAATAATCACCATCAACTCCCCCACACTCTTCAAACAAACCAAACCAAACCAAACCAAAACAATGACAACAATCAACCATGATATCAATCTAGGAAATTAACCAAATAATACTAGTTTATGGGTGGGTGTTTTTGGAAGAAATTTGGGAGCATAAGACTTACAAATGGGTTAAATAAAATAAGGAGTGAATTTCTTTAAAGAAGTTCCCTCTTATCTAAAAGTCTATTTTTCTTAAAAAAAAAACAAAGATGCAAATTTATTCTAGACTTGAGATTTTCTTTTTTTTTTCTTGTAAAAAAAAGGTTGTCTATGTACAAGAGATGAAGAGAGTGAAGATATAAGTGAAAAATAATAAAGAAATAGATAGATAGATAGATAGATAGATAGAGAAATAGGTAAGTTAAGAACTTTGAAAGAACATGATTTCTTTACACTGCTTTTTTTTTGGAAGGGAGTTAGTAGATGAGGGAACGCGCCCACTCATCTGCAACAGAAATAAGTTCGAAGGTGTAGTCTGCAGGCTCGATTTCTTTGTTGGACATTCCACTGGTAGTAACTGGTGCTCCTACAGCCCCCACCGCGGCAGCGGCAGCAGCAGCGGCAGCAGCAGCTCCTGCTGAGGTAGGATGGCCGACGTTAGAAGGCAGACAAGGATTGTACGCAAATGTGGGCGCGACCAGTGCATGCCCTTGAGTATGTGGATGATTATGATTATGATTATGATTATGATTATGATTATGATTATGAGAGTAAGGAGGACTAGTCTGTCGTGATGACCCTATTGAGACCGGTGGGCAGTACACACCCGACGACGACGGTGAGAATGCGGTAGAGGTATCAAGGACAGCTGCGACTGCCGCGGCCTGTTGCTCGTGATCGAATAGATTGAGATCGATGCCTTGGTTTTCTTCGTGTTTCTGACACAGATCGTGGATGGCAGAGAATGCGGCACTGTAGGAAGGCGAAAGGGTGGCCAGGCGTGGTAAGGGATGCAGTGGGGCCAATGTCGATGTCGATGTTGAGGTCGGTGTTGAGGTCGTAAGATGGGGTTGCAGCGTGAGATCGACCAGGCGGGCAAATCCGCGGACGTCCCTCAGAGGCGCACGCTCGACAATGTCCCGCAAATCGCCTAGACTTGCCCTGAACTGGTCCTTGGCTTCTTCTGCCACACCTAGCATCGGATGGTTGAAGTCTGTTGCGTGGGTGAGGGCCGCAAAGACGGCAGAGAATGTGGAGAGAGCGCATGTGTACATGAGGTGTGGGTGCTGGACAGTGTAGGATACCAGCTGGGTTATGGAATTGGCAAGCGCTCTGCGGCGTTCTCGGTGGATCTGTTCTTCTTGGAAACGACAGCAGACCAACAAGGACAGCTCGAGGTCCAGGCACACAAGGTGGAGATTGGCAGTCACAAGAGAAGGGATTCCGTCGGGTGCACTCCAGGACAATTCTGGTGGGAGCGAGTCTCGCCAGTGCTGTAGAGCGTCAAGGAATTGAAGGGTCTGGTTTTCTTGGTGGACGGTCCAGATGGTCTGGTTGTTTTTTGCATCGTAGGTAAAGTAGTACAGGATCTTTTCGAGAAGCATGGTCAGGCGGCATAGCTGCCCGAATCCTTCCATCACCGTACGCTCGCGAGAATCGTCTTCGGGCAGAGGCGTGGGGAGATCGACGGCGATGTCGACGGCCTTGAGCATCCACGGCCTTTCCATAGTGCAGCTCTCAAACTTGTCCATAACATAACAGGTCCACAACACTCGTTTGCGCAGTTCGATATCAAACTGAGACATCTGGCTGCTGTAATTTGCTGTGTGGAGTCCCAATTCGAGACACATTCGTACGGCCATTCCACAGTACATCCAGCTGCGACTTGATCGTGCTCTAGTTTGGGGTCGGTGTTGGGTAGAATCATAGTCGAACCAGGCCATGTAGAGTAAGGCGATTACTGTACTGAGCCGAGGTACGTCCAGGAAATCGTCTACCAGCCGCCGTGCTCTGTGGTAGAACATTTCTGCCTGGACGATTGTGTCGACATGTTTTGCTGCATGTGCGTACATTATGTTGAGCAAGAGAGGGGTTATGAGAGGGCCTTTGATGGAGAGCTGGTCATAGAACATGCGGCGAGAGAGGGTTGGCAGTAGATGATGGCAATTGGAAAAGAAGACTGAGATGAGATGTTCCTGGGTGTGTCGTGGAGGCATGTCTATAGAGGCCAGATATTGGCCTGGAAGGGTTGGGTCTGGTGACCAATGGACGAATTGACCGTAGGTGCGCCAAGGAGTTATTTCGTTCTGGAAGTTGGAAGTGTCTCGATGAAGAGTCAGTCGGACCAGTCCGTCTGTCAATTGTTCCATCATTTTGTCTGGTCTACTACTTGCAGGTTTGTTGTCTCCGTTGGGGTTTGTATTTGATAGTGGACTTTGGCTGCCTGGACTGGCAAACAAAGTGTCGGCTGTGTTGTCCTGCTGTTGGGGCGGTGGGGATACTGCTGCGTGGGATTCTTCTGTTGCTTCTGGTGACTGGCGACTGTCGAGAGTAGAGTCTGTCATTGGGTCTAATTTAATGTACGTTTCGTCTGTGTTCTTGAGATAGATACACTTTCGTCGTCTAGCTGTTTGAGTTGAATGAGCATTAGGGATAATGATGTATAAATGAATCGAGGGATCTTTTGTAAAATATATTTTCTTTTCTTTTTTTTACCTTTACACTAAAGAAAAATAATAATAATAATAATATTATTATTATTATTATTTTAAAAAAAAAAGGTATATACATATACACATGTTAGATTATCTATGTGTTTCTATTATTTACTGCTATTTCATATTTCATTTTACTTGGTTATTTATTACCTGCATACATGGTTGTCGGCCATCGCACTAATGTCAAATAGATATATATATATATATAGTTGTGTGGATTGTGTGGATTGTGTAGTGTATGTAAAGGTGAGTGTCGTTGGTTTAGATGAGTTTATTATTTTATTATTTTATTATTACTTTGATCTTCTTCATTCGACATGGATGACAGGCTCGACCGACCTTGAGACGTTTGTGCCTGTTTTCATCTTTATTGGTTGATGAGCTGATCTGTATTTGTTAATGGTTGCTTGAAGAAAAATAGAAGAAAATGGTTACCTCTCAAGGGTAATTCCAGAGTGGCAAACATGACTCTGGAAGAAATATTTATTTATTTATTTATAATTATATATAATTATACAATTATGTATGTATATGCGTATGTACGTATATTTGTATATATATTTGTATGTATCTATGTATATAATATAAAGAACAAAAGAGAGAAGGGGGGGAGAGAGAGAGAAAGAGAGAGAACAAGGCACGGATAGGCTGTGATCTACAGAATTCTCTATTTTATTTTTATTCCTAGTGATGATAAAGAAGAGCGTTCTTTTTGCCTATATATTTTTTTGGGGGGGAGAAGAATTGAGGGTATATTATATATATTTATATATATAATAGATAAAGATGGGGAGAAATTAACGAGAGAGAGAGAGAGAGAGAGAAAGGAAGGAAGGAAGGTAGGAAAAAAAAGGCTATTTATCTTACCTTACTTTACCTTACTCTACTTTATAACTTTACTCTACTTTATAACTTTAGTCTTTTTTATATATAATTATTGTGTACAAAATATTATAAAAGCAAAAATTAGACACAGACAGACACAGACCCACACATATGATGTACAAAATGGTATTAAAATCAACATTCATTCATTCAAATTATATCTATTTATTTAATGACAAAGAGGAGTAAAGAAAATTATTATAATTATATCAAATTAATTACGCTTTCTTTGTGCTTAAAGCTCCAATGGGATCCATTTTTGTATATAACATGTGTACAAATAAAGTCTTGAAGAAAAGAATTTTTTTTTTATATAAATATTTATATATATATATTTTATAAAGAAGTATTGGTAGAAGAAGAAGAGGTGGGAGGGGAAATATTGTTATTTACAGTTATACATATCATTATAATTATTATGCTTTTATTGTTTTAATTAATTATTTTTTAAAGGTGATTTTTGATTATAAATATTTATAATATATATTTTGGGTTATCTATTATTTACATATCAACAATACGCTGAACTTTGTTGCACTCTACCAAATGGTCACCTCTATACTTGATCATATACTCTCCTCTGTCCTTCCATGTAACTGTCTTGTTAACAGGACATCCCTTATTAAGCCAATCAAATAAACATAAATTAGCCCATTTTGTACTCCAAAAACAAGCTTTTTTTTTATATATTTTATTTATGTATATTTTCTTACCTTGCTACTGTTCGAACATTTGTAATACACACTCTTGTTGCCTGTCTTTTTTTGAATGGTGTTTCCATTGTTTTTCCAGAAATAGCCATCCACATAGGGGTGTTCGCGTGTCTCTACAATCTTTGTGATCGCCTGCATCTCCCGCCTCCGCCGTGGTCGCTGGGCTGTTGATTCTCCACATGGACTTTGGGTTGGAGATGAGGATTGTGGTGGCGGTGGCGGTAGTTGATTTTGGTGTGAATGTGAATTTTGGTGTTGGTGTGTATGTGGATGTGTATGTGAGTTTGTGTGTGAATGTGGGTGTGGGTGTGGAGATAATAATTGCTGTGGGTCAACATCATCTAGTTGGAAAGGCTCATCTAAACCTAAATGTGGATATGATGGCGGAGACAGCGGATGTGTAATAGTGTGTTTGGGGTGCCCAAGGCCTGCCATTGGCTGTGTGTAGCTAAACGTCATCATAACAATAGAATTAGAATCACACGCTTTGATCTCATCCAAACTACAATTAACACAACAAAGCACAGTACTGTACAGTACAGTACAGTACAGCACAGCACAATACACATTTGTTTATGTGCAAATTAATGAGTGAGGATTTGTGTTATACGGCACTGTACTGTACTGTATTGTATTGTATTATGTTGTGTTGTGTTGCGTTATGTTGTTGAATATATTACTTTGTGGTCATGCTGAGGAGAGAGGGCATGGCTGTGGCGGGAATAGGAGAAAATGAAGAAGATGATTCGAGTTCGTCAGAATTGGCACTTCCGTCAAAGGATGATCCAATAGTAGAGTCTCGGCGACTATCATCAAGATCCATACTACTGTTATTGGTGGCGGTGGCGGTGGTATTGTGAATATTATGATCCGAACTGTGTCGTCGGTTGTGGTGAGAGCCGACGCCTTGGAGTTGAGAGAGCATCGATCGCTGGTCGGGGGAGAGGTGTAGCATGGCGTCGAGTGAAAAGGCATTGGCGGAGAGCGAATGGAAGGAGTGTTGGAGTAAGAGAAGGTCAAGTTCTTTGGCTCGTAGCTTGGCTTCTTCTGCTCGTCGCTTGTCCTCCTCGACCTTGCTGAGAAGAATGAGCTTGAGGAGATCTGGTTGTGACTGGTAACAGATGATTACATCCTGGAGGTCGCAGCTCACCGGATCTGGAGCAGTAGACTCGGCCCATGGATCAGGTGATAAAGGGGATTGTTCGGACTGGAAGGTTCTGTCGGCTTGATAACCATCGTGGTAGAGGGGCATTGTTTTGTTGAGTTCTTTGGTGGCTGGGTAGCTAAAGTCGTTCATTTTTATACAGATATATATATATATATATATAGCTTATTCTTTATTCCACTTTGTGTATGTATGCGAGTATGTATGCGAGTATGTATGAGTGAGCGTATGCGTGAACGTATGTGCAGAGTGCAGAGTGTAGAGTGCAGAGTGCAGAGTCCTTAGTACAGAGTACGAGTGCTAGTGCGTTTGTATATGATGTGTAGTTGTTCTTGTAGTTGTTCTTGTAGGCGTAGGTGAAGTGAGTGTATTAAGAGAAATATCCTTATTTGGATCCAAATAAGATGGCTGTGTAGGAGAAGATATATGTATGTAATATATATTATTATATATTAAAAAATAAATAAAAAGACCAGCGCCCAGAGTAATATATATATATATATATATATAAAAGAATAACAAGTGAAATATTATTAATAAAGCTGCTATAATGATCAGCCAAAACAGAGAGCAACAAAAATATTAAATAAATAAATAAATAAATAAATAAATAGAGTGATAGAAGAAGAAAGGGAAAACAAGAAAAAGTATTATATATGAAAGAGTGAATGGTAATAATAATAATAATGATAATAATAATAATAAATGAACCCCTTTTTTTTATTTATTTTTTTTATTTATTTTTTTATTCAATTCTGCAACTTCCCGTCCTTTTTTTTATTTTATTTTATTTTATTTATTGCCGTTCAAGTGCCTCTCCAATCAATAGGCCCAACCACGTTGAGTGTCCGGTTTAGTCTAATCTCCCGCGGCACAAAGCTACTCGGCCATCCAATCAAAAACTAATGCGCCCCGTCAGCAAAAATATAAATTTTATATATATATTTATATATGTGTGTTGCCATGGACACGAGCTCCCCCACACTTCTATCGAATCCCATTGCCGATCCAAACGTCCGCTATTCTCTCATTCGCTCTGGTCTGAAGCAGATATTATATATATTTTTATATAAATGTTACATGTTACATGTACAAGTCGATTTTTTGCGTAGATTTTATTTATTTATATGTATTTGTTAAACTAACATAAAGTAAAGTAAAGTAAAGTAAATAAAATAGTATTGTAATAAGAAAGAGAGAGAGAGAATCAGATATGTTATAAATCTCTGTATGAGATGATAAAATTATAGAGAGAACATCTTGAATCAACTCAGCAATAATGATTACAAAAGAATGATGAATTATATATATATAGAAACATATCTTTTTTTGCTTCATTTCATAATCTACACTTTAAAAACCTACAAAGAAATACCACCTTGCTATTGTAGTGAGCTGTAATGAGCTGTAATGTACTGTAATGTACTGTAATGTATTGTAATGTACTGTATAGCGTAAAATATAACCAAAAGAAGATGTAGGTGTGGGGCAACATTCATGGTTAAACAACTACTACAAAAAAAAAGCCAAAAAAGATAATAATAATAATAATAATAAAAATTAAGGCTTCCCCAGCTTTTTACATCAAAAGCCCTCGTTGACCCGCCCAAGCATTTACCCCGCCATGTTTGGACGCAAGATAATCAAATAGATCTACTTCTTCGACATCTTCTTTTACTTCTTTTTATCTTTCCATGTCCTTTCTTTATATGTACATTGCCTATTCTTTCATTATTACTTTTACAGATAAATTAAGGCAAATCAGTTCAAACCAAATCAAGTCAATTCAATTCAATTCATTCATTCAATTTCAAGAATCATGCAGACCCAAAGACTCTTGAACTGCTTTTCCCCCCTTTTAAACCACTTAATAAACCGAATGCTCGGAGAGAAATAATTTATACAAGATTCACCCCCATATTTTTTCTTTCTTTCTTTCTTTTCCTTATCTGTGTTACTTTTGCGTAGAATTATCACCTAATTTCACACAAAGTAGAATTATGAGGCGGTAAATTTTATTTTATATTTATATACTTGAAAGCTTCTCACAATCCCACACAAACCATTAAATCGCCGTAGCTTCTCATTTACAACAGATATTTTAGACACAGTTCAAAAGGTGTGAGAAAGTTAAAGAAATATTATTGTTTGTTTGTTATTTAAAAGAAAAGGGAATATTAACCCAAGCAATAAAATAAGAATAGAAGTTAGGGAATATGTATAGAATTCAACTTAAATATATAATATAACTCCAAGATACATAAAAGACATTGACAAGAAAATGGAAAAGGAAAAGGACCCTTGAGAATTACAAATCAAACGGGTATAAAATCACCCCCTTTTACTTTTTTTTTTAAAAAAAAAACTATATATATATATTGTACACCTTTTATGTTTCAGGAACCAAAAGTATACAAATACAAAAATAAAGAGATGTCGTACAGTTGCATGATCAGTGTGGTCAATTCACAGCTACAAGAAAGAAAAGGAAACAAAACAAAGAGCACCTTTGGACTATCGAATAATTTTCCTTCCCTTCTATCTATCTTTATCTTGTCCTTAAAGAAATGATCATATTTTAGCTCAAAATAAATAAAGAACACTATAAGAAGAAGAAGAAAAAAAACCTCAACTCATGAGTACTCTGTACTCTGTGTAATTTTTTTTCTCTCTTTTCCTTTTTGTACTTTGTGTACTCTGCGTACTTTATTTTCTTTTTTGGCTTTGTACATGTAATCAGTGTGTACAGACAGATCAAAATCGTCGTAGTCCGGATCATTCTGATTACCGAATCGGGAGTTCATTTTCCCTTTTATATATATATATATATGTATGTATGTATATACAGTGAGAACAGTAAATTTTTGTCACTTCAAAAAATTAATGGCATCAAGCCAAATATGCTTGTTCCTTTGAAATAAGTTAAATGTTCACAAGTTAAATCAAAGAGATATTTTTTTTGTCAATACTGAGCCATAAGATTATTTTGACCATTAATGCAAATGTCACTTTTCCAATCGAGATCTTATAAATTAGGAATAAGCAACCATCAGTAATTCCCGTATGTTCTGACCGTAGTATTTTATCAACTTTGCTTTTGCTACAACACCAACCTGTAAATAAGCTATCAATTCAAAAACTTTGCATAAAGTCAAATATTTCAGCGAAACAAATCAGTAAATTCGCGCTTCTCTTTTCTTTAGCCCTTTTAAGAAAGAAAAAAAGGTGCTTAATAGCTTTTTCTTTTATGTATTCAACATTCTACACTAATTCTTACCATTCAAAATGAACTGTGTCAATATTCGCTAATTCTAGGGAGACGAAATTTCCTGGTGGGAGATACCATTTTGATTCTAATGGACCACAAATCTTGACCTTTTTGCCAGCATGGAATAACTCTATCTGGTCCCTAAGGATACATTATTATTATAATAATTAGTACAAGTCAGGATCCAAAATATTCATAAATATTTTCTTTTGTGCTTTGTAAAAAAAATATTGGATCAGGATTACTAACCAGCTAGTATTGTCAGACTCTGGAAATATAAGTAAGTAAAAGAGAGAGAAAGTCATAATACGCGTAAGAAGGCCAATAAATAGTAAAATATTCAACAAGATTGCGTCAAGCTCTAATGACAGCAACTAATACTCATCTGTATAACTGGCTATTGATATAGTGTATTTATGATTATATTTCATTGAAGACACGCCATTTTGCCCTGAAGGATTAGAGAAAGACACCGGGCCCCGGGCATGTAGCTACAATTGATTGGTCCGATTAGATAGAAAAATGTCGTGCCCCTAATATTAGCAAAAAAAAAAGAAAGCCTTGTCCATATCAGTGTCATGAAGCTCAGCCGAGTAGGTTATTAAATATGGGTGGTGTTTTGGCAAATGAATACTGCTGTAAGCAAAAAGAGAATAAGTCTATATTTTATTTAAAACTAATAAAAAAAAGGTTAATGGTTTCTTAGCAACTAATATACAAATATATATTAGTTGCCATTGGATACCAACTCTATATGTATATAATAAAAAAAATATGTCATATGTCCTGAATTGCTTTAAAAATGATGAGTTTTATTGTTGTGACCGGCTTTATCGGTGTAAAGAAATTCAGGGTCACAAGAGAAAAAAAAAGAACAAGCGGATTATGTTGAATACAATGGAAACAAGTATATATATATATATATATATGTATGTATGTTGTACTTGAACCATTCAAAGATGTCTTGATACAAGAAGATCGAGTATTACTGCCAAGACATACTTAATGACAAGAAATAAAAGATAAATATTGGCTTTCTATTGTAAGTTTGCGGATTTAATTTTTATTTTTGCAAGTCAAGCTTTATTTTTTGCGGACTCAAGATTATATCGATTGGGCACCAACTGCCTTTATCAATTGTCTTCACAAGAGTTTTTCTTTTGCGAAATAAGTGCTTTAGTTGGAGAGAGTTCTGGTATTTGGAAACGGAATTTGCTCAATGAATTAAAGAAAGAAAAATTGGCACCCATGTTGAGTTGTTGCTCTACAGTTTTGTATTTTTCAAAAAAAAAATTAAACAGCCCCAAGCGATGCACAAAAGATACTTTGTTTTGCTATGAAATAATCAGTAACTGATATCTGTCATCTTACTTAAGTATATTGCAATAAAAAAAAAGAGAGAAACCTCCTCTTTTGTCTTTTGCATATTTTACATTTCAAGATTAGCATTTTCTATTCATTTATTTTTTAGCTTCTCGAAAAAATTACTTGTCACTGGCTATGTATATAAAAAAGATCCAAATAAATGAATTAAATATATACAAATAAATGAACCTGATATTAGTTTATTAGTTTACTACCCTGAGATTCTTGTATACTATTATTATACTATCATCATTATTAATCCTACTATCACTCATAAAAGCGGAGCCACTTTTATTGCAGTTTTTATAGACTTATGAAGACCTATATATACATATATAATCCAAAGAAACAGTAAATTTGAGTTGGTTTTGAAGATTTGATCTGATTTTATCTGATTCTTTCTTTCTTTTTTCCAATGGAAGAAAAGAATAAAATAAGGTACATTCTGTTTTCTTTATTGCTTTAAAAAGCTTATTATCGTAATACATTGTACCTTTTTGATGGCTTTAATAAATCATTATAAACCAAAATATTTTATATATATATATATATATAAAAGGAGAATTTTCTATTTTCATCATAAGTAAGTTAATAAATAAAGGTACAAGAGTACTTTAATTATTATTATTTTAAAAAACAAAAGCTTTTTTTGGGGGGTGACAGATCTCAGGGACCAAATTCAGTCCAGTCCAATTCAATTCAATTCAATTCAATTCAATCCAGTTAAGCTCAGCCCGGCCGAACACATGCCAGTCAGAATATAAAAAGAAGAAGAAGAAGAAGAAGAAAAAAAGGTAACAGATTATCGGATGAGACGGAGAGAAAATTATATATATATATATATATACAAAAGACTTGTAATTGATTCTTATTAAAGGTTCAATAAGAACCAAAACAGAAAGTAGAATATAGAGATACTTGACTTGCTTGGTAGTATATAGACCTCTTCCTTGTTTTTCTTTCTTTCTTTCTTTCTACCATTAGTACACAGTATTATATTTAGTAAGAATAAAGATTGGTCCAAGGCGAACAACTTGAAAGCGGCATAGATGTTATCACAATACCAACTATTATATACAGACAAATATATAATAGGCTGTGTACAAATTAATCAAAAACGATCAGAAAACACAGACAACCAAGCTTATCTGATCTAAAAAGAAGAATAGGAAAGAAACAATAGGGAGAGTAAACCGGCAATAGGCAAGAAAAGTTAGGGTTACTAAGAGAACGCTTCCGCAGTTTCTGCATCACATCTCAAAAAAAAAACTACCGTCATATCATATTGTATTCTATCGCAGTAGTTATAGCAGACTGACAGATAACAATATCTTTAGATCATATATATATATATATATATATTATTAATTTTTTTTTTAAAATTTTAAATCAATTCAAATAAATATTAAATATTAGCTATATTGATAATATGTGTATACAAGTCTACATACTGTTATCTATTAGTGTCAACCAATATTGACACTTGTAATAGTATCATGGCCTGGCTTACAATCCAAATCTCCACTTGTTTCTAGCTCCCTATTTCTCTCTCTTCCTCTCTCTCTCTCTCTGCCTGCCTATCTGTGTCTGTGTAGGTAAAAGTCTACAGCCGTCACGAATTTGGATGGCTGAGAGGATACCGGGCCGGGGAAGCCGGAGTCCAAAGAAGTGCGGAACGGACAATAGCCTGATGAGCGGGTTTTTACACTCCTTGGAGCCCACACCCTGACAAGTCTTTCTCTTTCCCCCTCACTGGTCAATACGTACGTAACATGTGCTGTACAGCTTAGAGGAACAATCATAGAAGAAAAATGATAGACAGACATACACCCAACCATCATCCATCCACATCTTGAAGCAAACACCCACCTTAACCTTGGATGGAAGATAAAAAATAAATAAAGACTGGATGGATGAAGGATAATAATATACATATTACTATATTATGTCTCGAGAAAAATTTAAAGAAAAAAAATATACTCATTATAATTTTTTTTTATATAATTCAAATCAAATTGAATCAAATAAATATATATATACATATATTTCCCTCTTTCCCTTGGACGATTCCTCTCCTCTCCTTTCTTTTCTTTTTCAAATATAATCATACTTTAGACCATGGTTTTGAAGCACAACAACCAGTTGCCCAACCAGCATTTCCGCAAGCAATGGCAGCGCCGCGTTAAGACCTGGTTCGACCAGGCCGGTCGCAAGAAGTCCAGAAGAGTTGCACGTGTCCAGAAGGCCACTCGCATCGCTCCCCGTCCCGTTGACGGTCTCCTCCGCCCTGCTGTCCGTTGCCCCACTCTCCGTTACAACATGAAGTTGAGATCCGGTCGTGGTTTCACCCTCGAGGAGCTCAAGGTAAATAACAAACAACAACAACAACAACAACAAATAAGCCATCTTTTTTTTGGTTTTTTGTTATTGTTGCTGGAAGATGAGTTGAAGAACAATTGCTGACTTTTTTTTTATGTGTTTGTGCTTGTGCTTTGTCTTCTTTTTCTTTTTCTTCTTCGTTTGGGCTATTTTAGGAGGCTGGTGTCCGCGCCAAGGAGGCCCGTACCATCGGTATTGCTGTTGACCACCGTCGTCGCAACAAGTCCCAGGAGTCCCTTGAGTTGAACGTTCAGCGTCTCAAGGCCTTCAAGGCTAAGCTCATTGTCTTCCCCCGCAAGTCTGGTTCCCCCAAGAAGGGTGACTCTGAGGTAACAAATCGAATACTTTTCTATATATATATATGCGATGAGAGTTTCTTAATTTGGTTACTGACATTTTTTTAAAAAAAATAGGCTGCTGAGATCGCTTCCGCTGTCCAGTTCCGTGGTGCTATCCTCCCTGTCCAGCAGGTCGCTGCTGCCCCCGAGGCCCGTGCTATCACTGCCGACGAGAAGAAGCAGGATGCCTACATGAAGCTCCGTTACGCTCGTTCCGCTGCCCGTACCCTCGGTGCCCGCGAGAAGCGTGCCAAGGACAAGGCTGAGGAGGAGGCCAACAAGGTGCGTTTTAGTTTAGGGTTAAAGAATCACTCGGGGCTGTGTTTGTATCTGATGACTAACATGATCTCTTGCTTTGTTTGGTTTTATAGAAGAAATAAATTCTTTAGTCAACTTCAACTCTCTACAAACATGCAGCATGCGGAAATAAAAATTGATGAATTTGCCCTCTTCACAATCCATATCTATTCTTTTATTTTTTGAGTGTGTTTTATATGTTGTGATCTGCTGTCAATATTTGAAGATCAAGTTTTGTTTTCTTAGCCTTTGTCTCTCTCATACTAGTGTAATGTACATATGTATTTATTGAAAGCATAAAGCCTCTTTATTTTGCTCTCAATATTGCATATCATAAAGTTACATGTCATAATGATACGATGGTGTTTTGTATCCATTTGGGTTCAGTTTATTAAATAATTATATATGTATTTATTATTTTAATAACTTGTATTAAGCCCATGTTCTGCTCTGGTTTTTATTTTCACCACCCGATAGCATGTCCATCTCCACGAGGATCACTTCCGGCTGCCAAGACTCGCTTTCCTGTACGCTCATCTTGCTTGACACGAATGATCTGGCCTCGGCCAAACATGGAACGCGCATGAGCCTTTAGACGATAGCACAGATGTCCCTTTGCTTCTAGTCCCTTGATGGCTTCTTCTGAAACACCATCCTCGACATAGACAGCAGAATACGTAAGGTCAGTAAACGGATCATCTTTTCCGAGCGGGTTGTCGGATTGTTTTGGAGGACTGACACAAATCCGAGGCAGATCAAGTGCGTGCTGAGGGTTGTGCTTCTGGTGCATCATATTAAGAATCACTTGAAGTTGTCCCTGAGGTTGCATAAAAGCACCCATTACTATATACATGTGTTATTTTTGTTTTTTTTTGTTTCATTCAATTACATTTCTCTTACCTCCAAAACAAGCTTCCAACTCATGTGTTCCTTTGGTTGTCTTGCGAGTAATCATAGAAGGTATGATGGTATGATAAGGACGTTTAGAAGGTCCAATAGCATTCGGATGACCTTCTACCAGAACAAAGTTGCAGCCTCTGTTGTGGAGTACGACACCTGTATTCTCTGCAATAATGTGGGACTAAAGATTACTCAACATCAGTAAATCACAAACATATACTCTATTTCTTCTTCAAGTTATATGGTACTTACACCAAAATGCATATAAGTCGAGTTCTAAAAAAAAATTAAAATAAATAAATAAATTAAAAAGGGGGTTCGAGGCAATCAAGTAAAATATTATATTTGAATTTATACTTGCAATAAAACTGCATGCGTTTCCTTCCTCATCTACTACTGACAAATAGACTGTGTTTCCGGCTTCTTCTGGGAATCCCTTTTGGATCGTATTGTTTCTCTTTTCACGGTCCACACATTTGGCACGCTTAGAAAGATACGCCTTTCAAATAAAACAATATATATATATATATATATATATATGTATTGAGTTATACAATTATTAGTATTAATTCCTTTTAGATAGATAGATAGATAGATATATTACCTTGCTCAAGAGTTCTTTGGTTGGAACCCTTGTGACTTGGGGATCAGTAACATAGTTTCGAGTATCGGCAAAGGCAAGTCGAAGAGCCTCGACAATGATATGCAAATACTCGGCAGAGTTATGATCCATTGAAGCAAGATCAATACCAGGATTTTCGTCGTCGCCGGTTTCCAAGGCTTGGATGATTCCAAGAGCAATAAGGGCTGTGATGCCCTGCCCGTTTGGAGGAATTTCCCAGACAGTCCAGTCGTGGTATTCGAGCGAGATTGGTTCAATAAGCTCAGAATGATGGGCCTTGAGATCCTCAAGAGTCATCAAGCCACCGCGGGATTGGATAGCGGCAACAATGGATTCTGCAATTCTGCCCTTGTAGAATCCATCGTGACCATGGCTTGCTAGTTCCTTGAAAGTTCTTTATTTGAAATAAGTTGATATATATATATATATATATACGTTTATGTGTTTATTTGTATATTACCTTGCTAATTCTGGAAGTGCAATCACTTGGCCTTCAGTAGGCGCTTTACCATCAATCAAGTATTCTATCGATGAATTGGGATTGAGCTCCTTGAGTTGATCTTGCTCTGCTTTCCACTACACAAATCGTAAAAGAAATCAATAAAAAAAATTTATAGAATTCTTTACAACAAACAAATGTGTATATGATTCAACTTACTCCATAGGCAGAGATTTCTGAAACTGGGTACCTAGGAAGCACACACATACACAAAAGGATATATATTATTTAATAATAGCTGATTATAGTATATACTATGGATCTACTCTATTAAAGAAACAAAAAAAAAAGAATTGATTACCCGTTCTCAGCTAAATCAATAGCTGGAGTCAATACGTCTTTGAGATCGACATTTCCGGACCCAAAGGTTTTGACAGTATCTACCCAAGCAGCAGCCGCACCAGGAACAGTTACAGCATGAGCAGAGTTACTAGGAAGTACTCTTTGTTTGATCTTATCGATATTGCGAAGATGTTCGAGTGTCAATGCAGCAGGAGTTCTTTATAAAGATATATTGAATATGTATATAAGTGTGTGTGTATATATATATATATATATTTTCTTACCTGCCAGAGCCATTCAAACCCCGGACAGTTTTTGATTTTGCATCATAGTAAAGGCAAAAGGCATCACCACCAATACCAGTAGATCCAGGCTCTGTATATATACATATATATGAATGTTTACTTATATTTTAAAGGTTACAAAAAAAATTGTAAAATGGATTATTACCAGTAACATTTAGAGCAGCAGCTGTGTCACCGGTGACAAAGAAAGAGTGAGAGAAAGTAAGTCATCAAGAGTAATTCCGAGAGCGAATGAAATTGTCTAGGAGATATATAAGGACCTTACCGACAGCTACTGCAGCATCCTTTATTTATAATTTCCCACAATATATAAGAATGTGAGATTATTATTAATATCATTGATGTAAATTATAATCCTTACCGCTGCATTTCCACCACGCTTGAGGATATCAATACCGGCCTGAGTGGCCAGAGGTTGACTTTTTTTTTATATACATTTATCGAGAAAGTCAAGTACAAAATATTGATGAATACACCACCCAACAATATAATAGAATCTAATCTTATCAACTCAATTAAGCAATTAATTGCTCAAGTGAATGAATGAATGAATTATAATTGGTATGCTTTACGTGCTGGCTACCATGGCGTGAGTGCCATATACAGTTGAACGTCGAGAGATAAACGGCAAGGGCTGTGCCATGATGAATAAATATCAAGAGAAAGAGGAAGAGAGAAAGAAAAGCAAAGTTATCCGAGAACCGGAAATAATTTGGTTTTTGAAGTAAAATATAAATCGAGGGAGAAAAAAAAATCAAAAAGAAAGTATACCGTACCTTTTCATTAAACATCATTATTATTATTAAAAGCCAGTTAGTTATAAGACAAAAGACAAGTCAAATTTTGTATTTATTTATTATTTATTATTATACATATATAATAGATATATATATATATGATGGGTGGTTTTTTATTTATTAATAATTTTTGTAAGGAAAAAAAACAAAAGTACTTTTTTGGTTTATTTTTTCTATAGTGGTTAAAGGGGATGGGGGTTGTAGCCAAAGGCAGAAAAAAGGCATAGGCAAAGGGATAGTGAATATGGTTTTGTGTCTGTTTGTAAAAAAAAAAAAAATAAAGGGGGAGGAGTGAAGGCATTGTACAAGATGTGTATGTGAAGAATGATAGAATGTGTGGTTCTTGGAAAGGTGTGAAAAAAGAAATTGTTCTACAGTAATAAAGAAGATATATAAAGAAGTTAAAAGCAAATGAATGACTAATTTTTTTTGAAGGTTTTTTTTTTGAAATGCAAAATGTATAAAAGAATTTTTTTTTGTTTAGATCATGATATCAATCTCTTCGTCCATTTCATCGTCAAGATCCTCTTCTTCTTCACGATTATGATGATGCTGCTGATGTTGATGATGGTACTTTACCGCCGGTACTACTACTTCTGGTGAGGATGCTGGGGGACTTGGATTAGACTGATGGGCAATTGTCTGGTTTGCAGTCACACCAAGATCCATCTGCTCGTCTCTGTAGATGACAGGCTCACTCTCGTCTTCACTTAGACTGTCATCGTTATCCGACGGCGCCAACATCTCTTCAAGCATACGACGCTTGTGAAGTGCTGCCCTCCGCTTGGGCCGGGTGACCGCGATACTATCTTCATCCACAACTGCAGCAACTGCCAGAGACATCATCATTGCATCCTCATCCTGAGCCCGCTTGGACCGTTTGTTGGACTTGTTTGATTTGCTGTTTGATGGCGGCTTGCGAGCTCCACTGTGTTTATGCTGTTTTGATGATAATGACTGTTGTTGTTGTTGTTGTTGTTGTTGTTGTTGTTGTTGTGAGTGAAGATGTGAATGTTTATGTTGTGATTGTAATGAGTGTAATGATTTTGATTTTGTCTTTTGTTTTTGTTTTGATTGTGTTGCTGTTGATAATAATGATGATGATGCTGATGATGATGTTGGTGATGTTGGTGATACTGGGCTGGCTAAACTGGCCATTGACATTGGACCACCAGTGTTAACTCTCTGCTTTTGTCTGGGTTTGCGAGGCTTACGCTGTCGCTGAGCAGGTCGTGTCATATTCTTGGCTGATTTGGTTTTACCATCAAGATCATCATCATCGTCGTCGTCGTCTTCGTCTTCGTCTTCATCAGAGCTCTTGCATACAGCAGGTCTGGTACGAGGACCTTTGCGGGGTGAAGTACTGTTGGTAGTTGATCCGAGTGCTGACTTTTGGAGCGATTTGCTGACCGGCTTTTCCTTGACGATAAAGGCCTCTACATTCACAACCGGTCCACCGTTTTGCTCAACAATACATGCGTCCACATAGGACAGCAGTCTGACAAGTTGGTCGCGGGCCAGACAGGAAAGATCGATCTCGACCTCGTTGTTCTGACAGCCGACATTCTCGGATGAAATGATGGTGAGGATACCCGGCAGCTTGTCGGGATGGAGCTGGTGGGTGATCTTGTCAAGCACAGACTCTTCCATCTGGCGTTTGTGCATGTAAGCATAAGCGACAGGAATAGTTGAGGCAGGTGTATGACCGACAGGTTGATCCGACTCTGATTCAGATTCGTCTGATGAATAGCTAGCCCGGCGGCGGCTATTGAGGTTTGCAACAGTTGTGGGGATAACGACATTGTTTTCTTCGTCTGATGAATCGTCGTCGCCTGAGGAGTCAGAGCCTGAGCCGGATGAACCTGATGATGATCCGGATGAGCTGCTGGAGTCTCTTCTTCTCTTGACTGGCTCTACCATGGTTGGCTCAAGGATTGTTTCGAGAGGCTCAACCATTGTTGGCAAAAGCTCGGGTGAAAGACCGGTTTGCTCCAATACATCCAAGCTATAGTCTGAAGACTCTAATGAATCAATCTCGAGGGGGGACTGAGGAAGAGATGATCCAGAGATCGGAGGGCTGATGAGATCAAAAGAGATATCGGTGGGTGCTATAGAAAAAAGAGAAAGAAGAGGACAGGAATAAGTACAAGTTACTTTTATGTATACGTCACTTGTGGCTTACCAAATGTCAATTCATCATAGAATCCAGCGTTTGTGGGATCATTAAAGTTGAAATTGTCCTGACCAAAGAGGTCTTGGAGCTGGATTGATTGAGCATACAATTGCGAGTCAAATCCATCGAGACAAGCCATTGAATCTGTTTGCCAAGGCTGCTGTAACCAAGATGCTACAGATTCACTATTGAAAATCATAAATTAAGATTAAAAGTTTAATTAATTAATTAGTAAATATATATATTTATTTTGTAAAGTGTTACAACTTAGCCAGCCAGCCAACCTCTATTTCTATTGTATATATACAGTTTAAAGAATCTTTATCACTAACCCACTTTTCTATTTTAATTTTAATTTTAATTTTAATTATTTTGTAAGGGGCTAAAGAAAAAAGAAAAAAAAAAGAAAAAACTTACTTCATCATTAATTCTTGAACTTCGCCTGTCAAATCTTCAACTGGTCCGTCCACTGGCCAGAGTGGGTTGGAAAGAAGATTGGCAAGTGAATCTTGGTCATTGATCACATTCTGATCATCGTTCTGGTCCTTGTTGAAAGACATTGAAAACTCTTCATTCTGACCGAGATCATTATTTGACGCGAGTTGGTGGTGTGCAATGGTGACTCTATATTTTCAAGAAAATAAATAAAGATTTTTTTTTGAATATCAAAATTAATATATGTATTTCTCGGTTGCATGTATTTTTTTTGTGCCTGTATTATTGTTGTTGTTTTTTGGTTGTTACTGCTTACCCTCCAGAAGTCATTGTGGTGATTTATATATATATGAAAATAAATAAATAATATTGTGGGTATGATGTTGGGATCAATCCAATTCCAACTTTCTGATCAAGCTCTTCAAAAGTATTTGCGATTGTGGGTAGGTTCTGGTATGGTTGTATATGTAGATACACACTTCTTTATATGTTTTGTGTGTATGTATATATGTCTCTGTTTGACTTTCTCTTTTATATACAAGAAATAGAGAGAGAAAGTAAACAGCAAGTAATAATAATAATAATAAAAACGACGACAACAAAAAAGGGTTTCTTTCTTTGTTTGTTTCTGTTTCTGTTTATTATTATTTTTTCCACAAATCGAGTATTATTTTTTTTGTGTGTGTGTGTCTTCTTCTTCTTCTTTAAAGGGGTTAAGGTACACGGCCACAAGAAGTGTTGTAAAGAGCTTGTCAATAGATAAGACAGTAAGAAGAAGTAGTAGTAATAGTAGTAGTAGAAGAAGTAGAAGAAAGTAATAAGAAATATTCAAATATTCAAATATTCAAATATCCAAATATCCAAAAAAAAAAAAAATCTGAATAAAATTTTAAGCCTATAAAAAATCCTATTTTTTTTTTTCTTTCTCCTACCTCTTTCTTTCTCTTGCCTTTTTTTTTTCTTGCTTGGCTTTGACAGTCTCATAATTTTTTATATTGTAAAAAAAACTTTTTTTTTATTTTCTTATAATTGGATCTCCGGCAATATTTTTTTTATATATATATATATTTTTTACATATAAACAATAGACATCTCACAAAGAAGTAGTCATACTATTTTCTTGTAGTTAGAAAAAAAAATTATAGCAATTGTTGCTTTGATGCGTTTTTTTTTATACTAAATATTCTCTATCAAGAGCTGTTAAATATAATTAGCATATAGTTTTATATATATATATATATATAAAGATATAAGAATATAACTAAATAATATAATGGGAGAGAATTTAAAGATGATCTTGGGGACGTGTAAAGATCAATGCATATTGACTGGGTCTAAACAATTTTTTTTTTCTTTCGGTCTCTCTTTCTTATTCGGTGTTAAAATAATAATAATAAAGTGACTTGCATTTTTATATATATAATATATTTCTAAAATAAAATAAAAAATAAGAAATAAATTTTGTTGTAACTTGTAGATCCAATCATATTTGTTTGTGTGATCCCTCAATCCAAGCATTGGGAAGCCAACAAACAAGGGGGGTGGACAAGGACAGTCCAATAAACCAAATGTTTCAAAATTCAAAATTATTATTATTATTATTATTATTATTATTATTATTAAATCTGGTCCCCTAATTGGATTGATATTGATATTAGGGTGTTTCAAAATAATAAAATGAGATATATATTTTTATTTTGAATTATTATTAAAAAAGAATTATTCAAGCCAAACAAACAAAATATATATATATATATAATATATATATATATATAAAAGAAACTATCAAAGTTTTCATTGGTTTTGATATCCATAGCTAAAATATATATAGATAGAAAGAATGATAAAAACAATTTTTTTTTTAAAAAAAAGAAAAAAAAAATTTAAAGAAAATATAATATATAATAATCTAAAGAGCCTTTAGTTCATCATCTTGCTCCATAGCATTCATTCGAATAACTCCACGTAGAATCTTGCCAGCTGCAGTTCGAGGAAACTTCTCAAGAAACTTGACTCCACCTCGCAAACGCTTGATGTCACTAACCCGACTATTGGCATATTCACAAATCTCATCTGCAAGACTGGCTGTTCTTTTGGTTCCTGGAACAAGCACAACAAACGCCGTAACCATCTCAGTAGCCAGATCTCTTGAATACATTCCGATTACTGAACTCTCGGATATCAAAGGGTGGGTCATCTAAATATACCAGATCTTCATAAGCCATAGTTTCTTGTCTCTTGCTTTACGTTTCAACAGCAAGAAGAAGCCGTCTTAATACATACCAGAATATCCTCAATTTCTCCAGGGTAGATCTAAATACATAAATAAAAACAAAATACATCAAGATCAACACATTCTCTTTTCTTTTCTTTTCTTTATATAACATACGTGGTGCAAGTGGTACTTGATCAAATCTTTTGCTCGATCGACGTAGAAAAAGTGCCCATTCTCATCTCCACGAATAAGATCGCCTGTGTGGAAGAAGCCTTCTTTATCAAATGCCTCGACTGTCTTTTCTGGATTCAGGTAGTAACCCTAAATCAATATCCAAAACAAACAAACCCAAAGAATCAATATCGCTTGTTTGTCTTTTTCTTTTTTCAAAGCTTTGCGATAGTTAAACCAATCTATCATTACCTGTGCTACAGTAGGTCCCTTGACACAAAGCTCACCCATTTCCCCAGGTCCTACCTCTATACAAAAGTTTTTAAGTAAATACTATAGATTGACACACACACACACACACACATTAAAATAAAATAAATTTACCTTGGCCATCATCACCAACAATCTTCAAAATGTTTCCATCCTGTACTACTCCTAGACTTCCTGCCTGGACTGTCTCGAGTATGGTCTTGAAGAAACATGTGTTTTCGGTCATCGCATACTTGTTGATCACAGGGATCCCGAAACGGTCATAGAACGCTCTGGCCGAACTGTTGTCCAAGAACGCGCCGGTGCAGATGAACACATTGAGCGACGAAAGGTCATAGCTTCTGTAGACCGGGTCCTTGACGAGATATGTCACTGTCCATGGCGGACTGGCACACAGTCCGACCTTGTATTTTTGAATCGTGCTGCAGAGATCCCGAATGTTATATCGGTGCAAAAGAAAGGTCTCGACACCATGCATAATGCAATAGTGAAGGTTGATAATCAGTGCGCTGGCGTGGTGGAACTCTACATGCGAAACAGCTCTAGCCTCAACTTTTGACCAGGCGTCTTTGGCCATCAAACAGGCATTTATATTAAATTGACTACATAATATATACCATTAGATATAAGCAAATCGATGAGATCAATAGTTGATATACTTTTTTTTTCTACCTCATCATCACTGCCTTTTTGACTCCAGATGTTCCTGAAGTAAAATAAAGAAAGGCGGGCTTGGTAAGGATCTCTTCCCTGGTGAGCTGTACTGGAGGTCTGGTAACTCCATAGCTGTAAAGGATGTGCTTGTATGGCATGACACCTCTGAGTTTACGGGGTCCAAACAAGAGAATATGGCTTTTTGGCAAACCAATGATCTCTGCTGCTTCCAAGCATCTTCCTAAGGTGTGCTTGTGGGCAATTATGAGTTTTGGGCGAACGGTCATAAAGTCCTTAACCAGAAGGTCTGTAGTGAGCGTATGCTCTACGGGGCAAGCAATTCCACCTAAACATATGTAAAATCATAAAAATAAAAAAAAAATCAATCAATCAATCAATCAATCAATCAATCAAGTGTGTTATCTCTATATATTTATATGTGCGCGGGTGTGCAAAGTGTGAATGCGCATTTTACCTGCTGCAACTGTTCCGTGAAGCGCTACTGGATAGTTGATCTAATCACACAATGTAAGTATATGTTTCAAAAAAAAGTTTAATTTTGTTTTACTTGATTGGGAGAGCAAATTGCTACCACATCGCCACGTTGGAAGTTAAAGATCTGTTGGAGGCCAGACGAGAACTTTGTGACCTGTGTGACAAGACCACCATAGGTAATGTAATTGTCGACATTGTCATTGTCAATAAAGACCTTTCGATCCAATGGCAAGTTTCGTGCATTTGTGAATAGCAAGTCGTAGCCACTGATGACTGGAATAGGTTCGGGAAGAGGAGCTCCAACAAAGACCATGATTAGAAATAGTAATAGATAGATAGATAGATAGATAGATAGATATGTAAAAGGTGTATTTGTGTTTGTAGAATTAATTTCTTTTTCTTGTTCTTTCTTTCTTGAAAAGACAATTCCTTTGGAACTACAGGTATGAAAGAAAGAGAGAGAGAGAGAAATACTAAAGCTAAACAGAGAAGTAATTAAGAGAAGACTGTTCAGTAGAGTATTTATATGAACTCATAAGGAATCATATTAAAGCCATGTCTTAATACCGAATCACAGCCACCCGTACTCTCACACTCGCAGACTTAATCTCTACAATCGAACTATATTGTCCTGATAAAGAGAATCATCTCGCGGCTATATGCATATTTATATTTCTTTTTATGTAGTGTGCTGTTGTGTGCTGTTCAATTATCCATAAATTTAGTTAAACATATATATATATATATTTAAATTATACATAATTCATAAGCTTCTTTTCTTAAAGATGTTAAATATAGTATTTGTTCAATTATTTGCTTTAAATTATATTATTCTTTTTCAATGTTTCTTATGTCAACAGAAGGCCATTTTGCTTATTGCTTATTGCTTATTGATTTCTCTTTTCTCTATTCTGCCCCATTAAAGATAGAGTGGCATTCGAGCGGTAAAAAAAAACAAACAAATGATGGGGTTTGACATCTCGATCTATGAATCCCGGCCATCAATGTTTTAAGAAAATACATATACATATACAGATCTTATATTTATAAAGCAGATCTGTTCCAGCTATTTAAAGAAGTTTCTGATTAAACAAAACAGTAACAGCAAATAAATTGAACAAGTGGAGATGGTCTATTTTGTACATAGCTTACTCTCCAGATGTTTCAATGATAAAATAGTTTAACAAACAAAGTATGTATGTATTGATATATATACATAGATATAGACATATAATTAACAGTCTGAATATATTTATATATTGTATCTACTTCCCTGAAATATAGATCTACAAATATGCCTCCTTTTTTTCTTAAAAAAAAAAAAGAAGGTTATCGCACAGTACATATAGTAAGGGACCCTGAAATAGTAAATCTAACCAAGGCAAATCAAGCAATTATTGGAGTGGTTTTCAAAATATTTGGTAGCACTAATAATAATAATAATAAATAATAAATAATAAAGGGAATGTGCTCTTGCAGTACAGCTTAGTGCATTACTGTTTAGTGCATTACTGTTTAGTGCAGCACAGCACAGCACAGCACAGCACATTGCATTTATTTCTTTAATATTAATTATTAAATAAAAAAAAAATATTAAATAAAACCTAATATTATCGTATTTTTAGATCCTTATTTGCCTTGTTTTTCTTTGACCAATTTTTATTTTTATTTTTGCAAATTTCGATATAAAAGATATTGGATATTGTTACCTGTTTTTTTTTGTAAAGCAAGATTTTTACATGAATTTACAATATTAATACATGGTTTGCATACACAGATATACGGGCAATTCAAATTCCAATGATAATGATTACGATTACGATTACGATTTTGATAATTATTATGATAATAGCAGCAACAACAATAGGGCTATAATTTTCTTTTTCTTTTTTTGAAAATCAAGATATTGGATTTATTAATAAACTGCAGAATATTGGATTACATGCATTGACATAGTATCTGCGTATATTTATATATGTTTATTCTTTTAAAATGTATCCGGTGTAAACCCGGTTTACGGCTGTGATTGTCTAAATAGATACTTAATTTAAATCCAATAATATCAATAATACATATGTAAGGAAATAATAAATAAATTGAAACATTTTTTTAAGAAAGAAAAAGAGAAAGAGAAAAAAAACTTGATTATTGAAACATATTCAAATGTGTTTCAAAATAAAATAGTATGAATATATATATATATATATATGTGTGCTGAAGAAGAAAAGAGAGAACATGACAGAGCAGGACAGGACAGGGCAGGACAGGGCAGAACGGGCAAGGTAGGGTAGGGAGGGGGGAGGGGAGTTTCTGAAAGGTAGTAGTGAGCGGGCGTAAATTATAATATCATTGTTTTTTTTTGTAGAAACTTCATTTCTGGAATACCTAGAAATCTTGGATAAATCATCAATGCAACTCATTCATAATTGGCGGATTTATTATACTCCGTTAAGAAAGCGGGCTCGGCGCGACACCAAGCTTTTCTTGCTGTTTTTGAAGACACCTACACATGTATTAGCAATAGTGTGGCTGGTGATATTAAACAATCATACATTAAATACAAATGGAACTGTGCACATGTATATTGTCAATTTTGAGTAAGTCATCCTAAACTCATAGATAAAATAAATACAAGTAGAAGAAGAAGAAGAACGACCAAAACCAAATCCAGAACGAGATTACGGATTAAGGTGAATAATAAGCAGAACAGGGAGAAGAATTATTTTTGGTAAAAATAAAAATAAAATATAAAGAGAAAAAGAAGTTCAAATAGACTATGTAAAGCAAGAAAAGGTGGCAAGACAATTGGTAAAGCAAATGGTAATTATCAGCTTCCTATAAATCTAATCGAATTAAACACACCATAAATTCCCAATAAAAATAATAGTAAGAATATAAGCAAAATAGTCAAATAACCAGATAGACAGATCGATAGACAGGTAAATAGGAATAAGATTAAACATGAGTTTGGCTTGGGTTGGATGTGGCTATTTTCATCAAGCCAATCAGTCTTAATCTTGGCTCAGTCACTTGTTCGGGAACCAAAAAAAAACAAAAAAAAGAAAGTATAATGTAGAGCTTTCAAACATATTTCTGCTACTTATTTATTTTTATATTCCCTTTCCTTATTTTGTAACATTCAAGCAGACTTCACTATTCATCACCGAGCCACCTTTTCGAAATTCTGCACATTACGCCCATTCATTCGTAAAGCACCCCAGAAAGAAGGCTAATAATGTCTCAGCCTAAAGCAGAAGAGGTACGGGTTCAGGGCAACGGTCAAATAAAGAAAGAAACAAGCTTAGACCCTAGTTACGTACTTTGTCTTTGCGTGTGTACATGTGTGAAAGAGTTGCAAGTCCACTCAAAGATACTCACAAATTATATTGATGTATTATACAGCCCCTCAACATCGAACAGCATACTGAATATATCAAGAAAGTAATCAAATGGAGTATCACAGATCTTGAAAGATTACAGACTCTCTTGAAAGCACGGTATGATTTGATTTGATTATATATATATGATCATAGTACAATTTATAAACTGAAAAGAGAGAGAGAGAGACTTTTTGTATGTATATTATACATTTAACTAAAAAGACAAAGCTGTGGATACCAATTATAGAATTGCTGCAGAAGAAGCCTACATAGCTTCGTTACAAAAAATCAATAAAAACGTAACCGTTCCTGTGCGTGAACCGATACCATTCTTTGGCAACGACCCAGACTTTCAACGTACATCACTACAAAGGGCAACCTTCAAGTATGAAGCATTTGTTGGAAAGACAATCGAATCACGCAACGGGTTAATCGCACATATGAAATATGAATTGGAAACCCTGGCAAAAGTAAAGGAAAGTACAGAAAAAAAGCAATGTTAATTCTAGGTGAAGAGAAGAAAAAAAATGTTCAAATAACTAATGATTTGTTCATTCATTTAGATTGACCAAGAAGCTCGTAAAAAAAGAATAAAGCTTCTAGATATTGCCAACAAGAGTTATCTTGACTACAGAAAAGAGGTGCCCAAGGTGAGATAATTTTTAGATAATTCTGATGGGTCTCCTAAAACGCTATATCTAAGCTTCAAAGAACCTATGCAGCCCGGTGCGACGACCTTATTACTGCAAAAAACCAGCTTGAACAACAAGTCAAGATTCAACAACAGCAATTACAATTAAATTCGTCGGCGTCATCGTCTCCAGTGGATCAAAATTATGACCTCCTGGATACCGATTCTTCGTCTTTAGTCTCGCGCCCCTCGATGGAAGAAAATCCAAAGGTATCTAGTGAGACTTCGCGGGATGCGGACTTGGCCAGTACAACCGTTATAGCTATCAGTCCACCTGATGGCAGTGGTCATCACAGAAGGAGAATGGGTGGCTTTATGGCTCAAATGAGAAGCCAGCTCGCAAACGTGGCAGCAGCCGCATCAGCCACGAATGCCTTTATAGACACATCCAAGCACAATGTGAAATTTGCAAAGCTCAAAAAGGAAATTCATGATGCTGGTAAGTTTTGTTGTTGTTGTTGTTGTTCTTGGTGGTGGTGGTGGTGGTTTTTTCTTTAAGAAAAGAGAAGACGCCAAATCAGGAGTAAGATATTAAATTTCACGATCATCATATATTCAGATGAAGAATATAGAGCAGGTATATTTGAGCTTGAGAGACGCAGAAAAACCCAATTGGCCCACATGGATGCTGCAAGAAGAGTAGGTTTATAGGAACTATTCTTATTCTTCTTAAAGAAATAAGAAGAAGAAATTACGGACACTAAGTAAAGTGTTTAATCAAAAGGAAATGGAGATTGAGCTCAAGAGAAAATCAGAGATTACCAGAGAAGTACTTCAGAGTGTACTGGGCAAAGAAAAGTTTGTCCTGGATTCAGAAACAGAGGTATGTATAGTGTAGTGTAGTGTAGCGTAGTGGGATATTATATGGTGTGATGTGGATTCGGTGTAGACGTTGATTTGTACGGGATTGGTAAAATGAACAAGATATTAAATATATATATATATATATATATATACATTTGTTTGTTTAGTTTACCAATACGTCTTTTATGGTAACAAAAGAGATCAATCAAGATGAAGACATGAAACTTTTCCTATCGGAATACGAGAACCATAACTTTGTCCCACCTGCTCCGGTACACTATTGGAACCATGCTTTTGGTGAATGTGAAGGTAAGCTTTTTTGTTTGTTTGTTTCCTTTTCTTCTTTTAATATTATTACCATTATTATAGTAGTAATAGTAATAGGAATAGTAGATTAACTAACCAATTAATTATAAATTTCCCTTTCTACAGAATTACTATTCGGATCATGTCTCCAAGACTACTATGAAAAGCACCAAAAGACAATCCCGGTTGTTGTTTCTAAATGTATCAGTGCAGTCGAAGATTTAGGTGGCCTTCAGAAAGAGGGCATTTACCGTGTATCCGGACGCCAGACTAACCTTGAGATACTCAAAAACAAATTCGAGCAGAATGAAAATGTCGAACTGATGGACAATTCATTTGATGTATTTACGATCGCTTCTGTACTCAAGATCTATCTTCGCGAGTTATCCGCACCTTTGTTCGACTTTGGATTGTCAATGAGAATAGAGTATTCAAGTAAGTAATACGAGTGCGGTGGGTCTGTTTATTTTAATATTTTATTATTTTACAAATCCTCACACAAAAACAACAACAAAAAAACTTGGCTCAATAGAACAGCCAGACGTTGAAAAACGAATTCATGAATTACGACGAAGAATATCCTTATTATCAGATCCTCACCGAGATACTCTATATATTCTTACTACTCACTTGGCAAAGTAAGCTTTAATTTACTCTATATAATCAATTTACAATAATACTAATGTATGTGTTTGTATTTTTGTGTGTATTTAGAGTGAATGAAAACAGTAGGGTGAACAAGATGCACATCCAAAACCTATCAGTCATATTCACCCCAGCAATCTTTAAAGACTTTAACCAAGCAGAAGTTCCGGGAGAATGGGCTAATGATGTTGTTTTTGAAGATCTTGTGCATTATTATAAAGAAGTCTTTGGATTTGCTCCTATCGAGGCACCTGACAATCCGGTGGCTGTTGTGCAACAAAAGCCTGGTGGTCGCCCGATGAGCAGCTATTCCCACAATCAGAATGGTCCCAAGGTTACAATCAACGACCAAGCTAGCCAGGACTATACCAAGGGTATGCTTCTGACATCACCAATGTCTGATCCTCTCACTGCTCATCAACATGCAGACCTAACCGGTCACTCACCCACACATCCTCCTACGCACCCGCACCCACATTCACAAGCACCCACATTACCTCCCAGACAACATGCTACAAATTTTGGAAAGGTTTTGACTGATACTAGTAATAGCAATAGCAATAGTAACGTGCCATCGATTGAAAAGGCATTGCCAGAATTGGCGGTTCAGCAGAATATTCTGATCAACCCACCTTTTCAGAAAGCACTTCCTGAAGTGCGCGGTCACAAGTCATCATTGTCAGAGGCTTATTCACAGAAGGCTCTTCCGGATACATTTGGACTTGCTCCTACTAAACAGAAAGAGAGACCGAAATCATTTGAAGGCGATTATCCAATTCCTCCCGGATATGAGTTTCCCGCCCAGCCGCCACCGGCTATTGATTCCCCGGCAGGGTTGCCACCACCAAAACCAAAGAGACCATCACTTGGAAACATAAGAAGCTTTTATTCAAGAAAAAACTCAGTTCACCACAAGCAAGCGTTAAATAATGAGATTCAAAAGTTAGTGAAACAGCCGGATGTGCAGAGTACACCCCCAATACCGATACAAACACCAACACCAACACCAACGCCAACACCAACAACAACATCAACATCAACAACTCCACCACCACCACAGATAACAGCACAAGCGCAAGCACCAGCACCAGCACCAGCACCAACACCAGTACAAAAACCAACGCTGGAGGTAGTGGTGGCACCCATGGAAACTGCCCCACTCCCCACACCAAGCACAGCTCCAAATGCAGCAGTGGCAAATGACTCTATTCAATAAGTACCCATGATACCAGCAAACCATAAATGTTTATTACAAAGAAGAAATTCAGACTATTCTTATTATATAGTATTATATTGTGTGTATCAAAGATTGTATAATTTGTAGTACTTCTTTATTACTGTGTAATTGAGATGATATCAGAGCAATACAAAGTTTTCTTAAAAAAGAGATTTATAGGTTTCGAAAATTAAAGCCGCTATTTCAACAACAACAACAATAATAATGGTATGTGTATGTGTAGCCTGCATTTGAGATTAAGTGTCGCACACACACACAAAATAATATGTATTGTGTGCTATCCTAGCTCATCACAGAATACTTGTATATTGCTTGTCTTGAAAGCATATACATATATACAGATATACAGATATATATATATATATGTGTGTGTGCGTGTGTGTGTGTGTGTATTCTCTGCTATCAATTAATGGTCTTGACATTAATTAGGCCTAAAAGAACCACATATTACTTTGTCCTTGTTAGGTTATTTATCAAAACAAATACTGAGTATAGAAACTGTTTGTCCCTAGAGTAACATTTTAGTCCAAAGGTTTCAAGCCTAATCATCACTATCACCACTATCACCATTATCACCACTAATGGTCATAATAATAAATTAGTATTTTTCCATCTTTGTAAATCAATTAGGTATTCATGTTTTTTTTTTCTAGACGATGAGGAGTAATTAAGGTCAACATCGAATAGACGGCGTCATTAGTATATTTATAAAAATAATAATAATTGCCTAGATTTTGCTGCTAGATCCGACACCCAGGGTTTATTTTGTTACAAGAAGAATCTAAACAAAAATAAAATAAACAAACTAAACAGAGAAAATAAAACATCAGATTTTCTGAATGGTTAATTAGTCTCATATTGAGTAAATAGCAAGTCTTATTTGAAACGATAAAGAAATACTTGCGATAGCTCGATTCCTTATCCATATACAAACAAGCGCGGTAAATCGTGCAGGATTATTAAGCAATCGGTAAAGAGATTAAAACCCAAAATTCTGAATAATGTAATGATTGCCAGTCGCCCAAGATCAATTAATATATATATACTGTTTCATATTATAAATTCTCATTTTAATAAGAAATCATAAAGGCATTGGTGTAAAGAGTGTATCAGACACAACAATTTTGTATACTCCTTATTATTACTAAGCACGAATTTTATTCTGTGTGAAATCATTCAAACGTAACGCTATTTATTCCTCAGCCTCTTTATTTGAAAAGCGTAGTGTATTGCCCAAGTCTATTTGCCCAACATAAATGAGAACTAATATGGCCAAGTATTCCTAAACTAATCAATCGATCAATCGATCAATCGATTTCTCGATTTACCGATCTATCGAGCAGTCAACCAATTAATCAATTAAGGCAATAAGCTAAAGATGACAAATGCCTGGATAAATATAATCAATTTAGTCAGGGTACATGGGTTTAATAAAGCTCAAATAATAATAACAATAATAATGTTAATAATTGGTTTGGTAATTGAATCCAATTTCATCTTTATTAACAACGATAGTCAAGAATTCAATATCTAAGCTGTGTCGGATAAAAAAATAAATAAACATTGTTGGCTAGCAGTCAATCAATCAAATAATAATATTTGGCTACGTTTCAAAAGAAATCAAGGAACATTCCACCTTGTGAACTCAAGCATATGTTGGCTGGCCGAATTTCTGGACATTTTTTTTTTATTGTTTATATTATTACTTTTCTGTTTTGAATAGGTTGGTTCTAGTAGACTTTGAGGAATGAAAATCACTTTTATGCCAAGACAATATCGTATCTCTTGTTTTATTAGGTCTAGACTGGATACATATAAAAAAAAAGAGAGTAGAATTTTATGTAGTGTCTCCAAATAAATGGCGCCCATTCGGTGAGGTTTCTTTACCTTCAATATGCGCAGCAAGGTAAATCCCACGGAATATTTTGTGTTTTGTATAGGGCGACCAATTAATTAATGCTTCGCATCGGCTAAGTCTAACCGAACGCCACTTCTGGTGCTGTCATCAATGATGAAGCCCCAAAGATATATATATATATATATATATATATATATATGTGTGTGTCTGTATGTGATATAAAGAAAGGCATAAACGTACAGTTAAAGGCTTGAATAATACATATTCTTTGAATAAAACTTGGTTCTGTTTTGAAAAATAAATAAATAAAAATAAAGTACGTGTATTACCTCTACGGTTTACATGGGTGCGGTTTGTTGTGCATAATACAGTTTTAATGATACACGTACATGTCCTGCGTGAGGGAATACTAAGTGTGAGATTTCCCAACGTACAAGATACATCTTGTCCTATTCATCATTCATTCCAAACGGAGCAAAATCTTCAATAGATTTGACCAACAATAGATCATATGGAAAATAAAAAAATAAATAAAAAAATAATAGTACAAAACTACACAGGTACAAAATAGGACATTTAATGTCTGGCTGACTGGGTTTTGTTGGTGTTTGTACACGACCAACTCTTCTGTAGTCGTGTTACCTTGACATGTCCGAGTTTAAGATTGCTTTGAATTTATAGTTTTTTTTTCCGATTATTTAGAATATATGCGCGCGCACACCCACTCACTCACTCACTCACTCACTCGCTCACTCACTCACCCACTTACACACTTACACAAATCCAGCTAAAAAGAGTCTATTGTTCTTTCTTTACCTTTATTCTTAATAGATACATAGATACATAGATACATAAATAAATACCTAAATAATTATTTTTATCTATATATATATATTTTTGTGAGTAGTAATAAAGCTCATAATAATTAGAGCGCATGTGATGATTTTAGGCTACTCATATACATTTTGTTCAGACTACACACACATTCTCTCTCTCTCTCTCTCTCTCTCTATCTTACACACGCTTCTACACATTTATATCCAAGTATACGTACTTACTTATATATATATATATATCTCAATGTCTTTCTTTACCTCGTACAAATGATGCTTAGCCTATAGTTAATTATTTGTATAAGAAATTGATAAAAATAAAAATAACATAGGGCGCACCGGCCTGCGTTTTAAAATAGAAATAAATATTTGTGATGAGAAAGTTGTTGTACTTTTATTAGGATTTGTTAACCGTGTGCCTGTAACATATATTACATAAAATGTATATATATATATATATATATAATGTGTGTTGCTATTGTTGTTGTTGTTCGTGTTGTTGTTATTTTTAGTAGTATTCTATTGGATTTGGCCATTTATACCTGTTTGTCTATACAAATATGCTGAATAAAATAAGAGAGCCAAAATAAAAAATAAATAAATCAAAAACAAATTTAGGGTTTGTTAAGATATATTTTTCCCCTTTTGGGGCACGTGTCCAATTCTCCAATTTTACCAACAAATTTTTATTTTATTATGCTTTATTATATTTTCTTTTTGAACACTTGAAAACTAACGCCAAGTAACACCTTCATCGGCTCAACCGTCAACTATCTATTTATCTATATATTGCACTACTATTAAGTTTTTTTTTTATTTTATTTACTTAGTTTACGGACCTTGTAAAATATATATATCCGGACTTTGATTACCCTTTTCTTAGTGTTGTTCCGCTTTAATATCAGTCATTGTCAGCTTTAATGTCAGCTATTTTCTTTCTCTTTTTGGAGAATTTTATTTATCTATTTATCTATTTCAAGTTGTTTTTAAATTCTTATTCTTATTTTCAAGAGGTGTATCTTATTTTGAATCAATCTCATTAGAAAAGCATATATTATTTTGAGATACCTGACAGGGAAGTTTATCCGCTTGATAAAGAAGATTTTTTCCTTGAAAGTTTCTTGATTTTTTTTGCCAGCACTTTTTGATGGATTTTTTTTTTAAGAATAAATAACTTGAAATAAGATAACATAAACAAAGAATTATGGCCGCGTTTGTTAATAAATCTGCCTACACAGCGAGAGTGCTATATTCTATAATCCTCTGAATCAATGAACTAGCAATACTCATGTACATATAGATGCCTTTCTGGGTATGTACTTTCACAACTGCTAAATCTCCACTGCTTTCTTTTTAGACCTTTCAAAGTCTACTTGGCATGAAACGTTAATATACTGAAAAGTCGCAAAAAAAAACAAATTCTCAAGACATATTTCAGAATCATAAATCGATCATTAATAAATTAATTGAGAGATATAATTTGGGCTTTGGAAAAGGAACAAATAAGAAGACCATAGTTGCTCAGATCTGTAGTATGAAAAGAAATGTATTAATAGTAATTATAATGAATGGGTGAGAAAGAGGTTATGAGCACCGAAGATCATCGAGATCAAAGTTTAATATAAAAATCATAATAAAAACTATTAATTACATTCACATAGGCAATATAAAGAATATAAAAAGAATCCTAAAAAAAATCAAGAAAATTTCAAAGAAAAAATCTTCTTTATCAAGCGGATAAACTTCCCTGTCAGGTATCTCAAAATAATATATGCTTTTCTAATGAGATTGATTCAAAATAAGATACACCTCTTGAAAATAAGAATAAGAATTTAAAAACAACTTGAAATAGATAAATAGATAAATAAAATTCTCCAAAAAGAGAAAGAAAATAGCTGACATTAAAGATGACAATGACTGATATTAAAGCGGAACAACACTAAGAAAAGGGTAATCAAAGTCCGTTTTTTTCTTTTCTTGAAAATGTTGGAAAACCAAGTCAAAATATTGTATTACAATATAGATCGGCGCTGATGACATGAATATTAGGGTCTAAACACATTCACACTTTCACCGAACACTTTTACCAACTTTTTTTTTGTTTTTGTTTTTTAAAAAAATAATATAATAACCTAATAAATAAATAAATAACAAAAAGAAATAATTATTTGGTTCATTAGTATTAAAGTTCTCTTTTCTTCTTTTTTTTTCTTTGAAAAAATCAAACTAACAATATTATATTATATACTAAGATGAAGGGTGCTATACTTCTTTTTAGGTGTATTTTATCATACTTACTGGGTCTTTTATTTTTTGATTCTTATTAGTATTCTGTTTTATATTCATACTTGTATCATTGGGCTTATAACATGTGCAACAGGGGAGGAACATGAGCGGCCAGGGAAACTATCTCCATAGAAAATAGAAATGGTAATAAATAAAATGTTAAAGATTGTGTTGTACACACCATGTATGCAGATATACATATATGTACATCGTTAATACTGTCAAGTTCACCATAACCGGCACTTTGTGTAAGAAGACATAACAAGTCGGAATCTGTGTGTATCTTCTATCGAGTACATAGGAAACCAGGAAAGAAACCTCCACCTTTCTAATCAGCAGTAGGGTTTCGAAAGGAAGAAACCCCAGACATATAAAATTATCATAACTACATAATATTCTGATGGTAAAGAGTACGAGAGCAGGGGATTCAATAAATACTTTCACAAAAAACCAAAGCTATATTTATATTTATATTTATATTTATATTTTTATATATAAGACATATAGGTTGGTTCGTCCTACAGATATAAACACACATATATATATAAATATATACATACATACATACATACATACATATTGCTAATCATCAATTATTGTTTTATTCTGTATTTATAATAAATTGATGACATATAAGGTAGATCGGAAGAAGGCATGGCCACAACTCATCTCTCTTTTCGAAGAAGCAGAATACGGTCGATCACCAATAGTATTATTATTATTTTAAAAATAATGTGTAAAGAAGATGGTGCTTATCCCGATATGTAGACACAAATATATATATATGTAAATGTACGTATGTACGTATATAAATATATATATATATAAGCACTAGTTAAAAAGGTGGCGTATCACTAGAGTATATAAACAGGTGTCTGCGGGGAAGCAATCGCCTAAATGGCTCAGAAAGAAAAATCTTGTAGCACGATCAACTATTTTATTGAGAAAACCAACAAGCTCTTGTCTCAAGTTAAGAAAAAAAGAAAGAAAGAACGAAATAACAAAAGAAAGATATCTCAATTATACCAACCGATTATTCCAACCCATCATATATTTAACAGTGTAACCAAAACAAATAAACAAAAGTATGATGATCTGTCAAAAGGTTTCGTTACTTGTGATTGTGATAGTTCAAGTACTATTTTCCCCCCAAAATAAAGTACATTTATTGACCATAGTAACAGTGGTAGTATTGATAACAAAAAAAAAACTACAAAAGAAGCTTATCTGCTCTTTTAAATAAATAAATAAATACATTTTTTTATACTACTTGTAATTACACACGCATACACACGCATATTTATATATAGATGTACAGAATAGTGCTTATTAGCAACCCAGTTTCTGGATTAAGGTCAACTCTATTTCAGGTTTCTATAGTTACTTTGTCACAATCTCAACTTAAAGTAAAAGGAAAATATATTGGGGAGGGGCTGAGAATGACACCAATCAGAGGTGAGATAAAATGACAAATAAAGAGAAAAAAAAACAAAAACAAAAAAAAAAAACAAAAAAAACCCGGTCATGATAGATCCCAAGTCAAGTCAGCTTATAAGATAGGATATATTATTTGTTCTACTGAAGATTCCTTAGAAGGGCAACCTAACCAAGCCTTCAAGACAGGGCACCTGCGAGTAAACATGAGATTGTAGTCTAGTACTTCGGGTGTCAAGGGCCTGTAAGTCCAAATAACACCCTTTGCTCACGTCAACCACCCTCTTTTAGGTCCTCAAAGGTTGAAGTCTCAAACTCACCCTAGTCTCTATACCATGTATAGTAGTGTCACCTCGCTTTTAGGTTTATTATAGTGTAACGTACTAGGATCGTTATTTTGGAAGGGGGGGGGAGAAAGTTGTGTCCCTTTCCAGAAAGAAAAAAAATAAAAAATAAAAAATAAAAAAATCTCGGCTATATAAACGGAGCTTCTGTCCCTGGACATTCCCTCTTTTCTCTTAGCGTTCTACACACTCACACACACTCAAAAACACACAAACACACACTCACACACCAACTTATCTACTGAATGCCAACACGACCAAAAGTAGTCTCCAACTTCTTCCCTAATGCCCAGCTACAAGGATGGCTTATGAAACAAAGACACGGAATCACAAAGGCATGGCTACGGCGTTATTTCGTACTCGAAGACCGCACACTAAGATTCTACAAGGCAGAGGTAAATATTATAAAGATATTTGTACTTACCAAAAAAAAGGGTGCTAATTTCTAAACTTGCTTAATTAGAGTGATACCATACCGCAAGGATCACTAGACCTTGATCACTACACTGTCCACACAAACATAATCCCACTAAACATCCTGCGAAAGGAAAATCCACGACGATCAACCTTTTGCCTTGTTTCGGACAGCACCAACAAAACCACCATGCCAAACTTCTTTCTTCAGGCTGATTGTGACGAAAGCAGGGATATATGGATTATGTTGATTAACCCACAAGTCATCAAACACACCAGTGTTCTCGACAAATGGCTCGAACGCCTTGACATACAGAATACCTCTCCCGCACCTTCCTCGCCTGTCACTACTGCCTCTACTGCCACTCCTATAACTCCCGAAACTCCCACAACTCCTGCCACCCCTCCTTCCCAAACGGCTCTTTTGTCACCTATTAATCCCGGAAGCTTACGGACACACCGATCGGTTGAATCGATCGCAAGTCTCGGCAGCGCCAGCAGCTCCATCGGATCCGGGTCTACTGCCACCAGCCACAAGTCATCCTTTTTTAACGATCTCTCTAGTCCCCGAAGATCATCAAACCACAGTTCCACTAGTCTAAATAGCACAACTGGTAACAGCAATATCAGCAGTTCTAGCAACAAATTCTCCCCATCCAAGCTCTTTGTCCGCTGGTCCCGTTCCAGTACAAAATCCGCCTCACCGCCCCGTCCTCAATATCAAGCCAGCACTCCTTTGCCTTCTCCTCCTCTCTCCAAAGAAACACAATCTCCTAGCCCATTCGGATCCCGGATCATCCACCCAAGCGAGTATGAGCATGAAAATGACTCCCACAAAGAGTTTCTCCAGACCCAAAAGGATCTTGCCCTCAGAAAGACCGAGAGCAACTCAATTGCCAACCGGCGTCAGATCCAGGTCGTATCAATCCCAACCCATGTCCGGTCTCATTCTGCCTCTCAAGTGCCCATCGTTTCCGACCTCTCTATGATCTAAAGACCAATCTTATATTCCTTTACACACTCTTTACTACGTTTCTATTCGCAGAAACAAACAAAAAACAAAATTCACTGTGGAGTATTCTTGTGCGTGTGTGCGCCGCTCTCAAAAAAAATATTCATATATTCTTCCCTCTCCCTCTCCCAAATCCATTCAATGTTTGATATGATCTTCTTTGATCTCTCATAATTATGATTAAGTGTTGATTACTTATCATATATATTTTCTCCATATCTTTTTTTATTACTACTATTATTTAGACTTTTTTTTATATATCTTTCTTATTTGCCAATTTACTCTCCTTACTATGAACATGTTGACCTTCCCCTCTCTCCAATACCTCTTCTCTTTTATATTCATTTCTGTATATCTACAAATCATATTTTCATATGTACTCTCAATTGTTCTTCCATGCCAATCAACTCAGTTCTTTTTTTTTAGTCTTTTTTTTTATATATATACAAATCATCAATAATAATGATAATAATAATAAAAAAAATGAAATGTTTTTTTTTCTCTGTTACATTTATTTTGTCTTTTCTATTTTATTCAAGAGTTTTGTGGTTGGAGGTTCTTGGCGTACCTTGCGTCAAAGAATGTATAGCCCAAGGTAATTGTATTGACGTCTTTCATGTAAGGGTCCTCGAGGAAATCAGGATCAATAAAAAAGAAGACTGGCATGTCGACGTCCTCTCCTGGGGATAGCTTCTGCTCTTCAAAGCAGAAACATTGAATCTTGTTAAAGTAAGAGCCTGCTCTGTGGGGTGTGACATTGTATGTTGCTATGCCAACCACATCCTCCTTTGCGTAACTCTTGGCTCGGTAAAAGGTCAGGGCAGTCTCTCCAGGAACCACATAGACCTCTCTAAGCTCAGGCTTGAAAGACCAGGCCAGAGTGTCAGACATGTTACTCTCAAAGGTAATCCTGATTCGCTTTCTCTCGTCCAAGGGAACCAGACGATCGGGCGAAAAGCGAGTGACGTCTGTTACTGGAGTTCCACTGAATCCAGTGTTGGCACAAAAGAGACGGTAGAGAGGTACAGCGGCGTAACTAGCACCGAGCATGAATATGAATGCAGCGACAGAGTACATTGCACCCGATGCATTGTCAATCGATGCTCTCTTGCTGTTGTTGTTGTTACTGCTTCCATTGCTACTGCTACTTTTGGTGTTGTTGCCGATGTTACTATTTTTGTTCGTAAAAGTAAATGATCGTCTAGTGAAGGATGTTGGTTGACATTTCGAAGGGGTGGGACGTACTAGCCGGGTAATAAGTGGAGTACGAGCAAACAACGATTGTCGAACAAGTCCAAGTTTATTCATTGGATTTGTGTGTGTATGTGTATAGTTCTATATAGTATAATATAATATATATATATGTGTGTGTGCGTGTAAAAAATAAAGTATTGAAAAAGGGGGAGGGGTCTTTTTATTAAGTAAATCGAGACTTTAAGGACTGCTGATGTGACATCATTCCAGGATTATTTTCCCCTCTGCCTACCTGTCTACCTGTGTATTCATTTATGTTTCAAAATAATTAAGAGTCGCTGTAATCAATAGCTTAATAGACTATACACTCGCCCAGATATCATCACATATACGGATTCATATGAGCATACATATAGACCTACATGTACACTTGAATGCACATGCGCATGCGCATACATAGATAATATGTATGTTATCTATCTATTGTTTCTTGTTTCTTGTTTCTTGTTTCAAATTTCAAATTTCAATTTATATATATAATAAAAGAAAATAGATAGACTGATAAGAGTGAAAAAAAAGAAGAAGAAAAAAGAAAACAAAAAAGAGAGAAAGAAATTATAATATTACTAACACTCAAACTTTTTCTATTTTGTTTTTGATTTTGATTTTGATTTTTACACTTAAGATTTGGGGGCTTCCTTGTCTACAAAATACAAAAAAGTTTAATTTCAGTTTCTTTTTTGTCATAATCATAATCATAATCATAAACACACACACACACACATACAAATACTCGCTCACTACATTACACCATACTACATTATACTACACTACACTACACCACACCACACTACACCCGGTTGTTTTTTGGTAACTTACAAGACAAGGCTTGCTCTTCACCCATAGCGGACACAACTGAGACCAACAAATCCTTGCCCTCCTCAAAGTCAGCTTCCAAAGCGGCACCGATATCACCAGAGGGGACCTTGACATCATCCTTGGAGGTACCATCGGCAGTCATCAAGTTCAAGAAGCCATCATCGACGTTGATGAGCTGGTATTCCATACGGGTAACGTTGGGAACATCCATGTTGTGGGTAGAGGGAGAGAGATCTTCAAGCTTCCTATAGAAAGTCAAAGCAAAAAACGCAAAGAAATGTAAAGAAAAGAAATAAAAGAGTAGATTGATATATTGATAAATTATTCTTGTACTAATACTATTATTACTGTTATTTATTCCAAGAACTTACTTTTGGGTGAAGATATCAATGGCAACCAAGTGAACCTTGGCGTGTCCGTGCTTACCAGTCTTTGATGTAGACATGTCGACAATCTTGCAGGGACGACCCTTGATAACAACGTGTCCACCCTTTCTCAAGGCAGAACACTGGAGGGGGTAGGTCAAGGAGGCACCGGCACCGGCACTCTCGAAGGTGTGATCATGATCGTCGGACATCTTTTTATTTTGAAGGACGGTCAATGGATATCCAAATAGATTTCCTTTAGGTTAATACTGATTTACATATACTTCTTTCTATCTATCTTTCTCTTATGTTTCCAGGCTTCTTACAATATCAAGATGTTGAGTCAAAGAAAAGGGGGAGAGGAGGAGCAGTAAAGGCGCACAAAAAGCGAACCAAACATATTTATAACCTTTTTTTTTATTTTTATTTTTCTTTTTTTTATTTTTTTTTCAATCGTGGTGACATCAAGCAAAAAGAGGGTTTAAACTCCATTTTGATCACTAAAATATATATTTGTGTATAGAGGAAAAGTATTTTATTTTGATTTTATATACGTGTGCGTGTGTACTCCCCACATATATACAATGTGTCTAAAATCTACATAAGCCGTCAATATATCTTACGAATATGAACTATCATATAGTAATACCAATAGAACTGCTTCTACTAATAATAAGTACAGAAATAGTCGGTTGATTTGGACTAGCGTCTAAAGTAGTAAAACGTTTGTTGAGAATAAAAGGAACTGTGTGAAAGTAATGTCATGTATACTTTTTTTCTTAAAAAAAAAAGACACTATACAGGTCTATAGATATATGTATAAATGGTAAGATGGAAATATCCTGGTTTATTACATATTCTAGGTGAAATTCCATAGCTCAAGTGAATAGATTAAAGCTTGGGGAAGAAAGTAAAAAGAGATTCTATCTCGGTGGGGTTCCGACACAAGCCTTAAATGACACAAGAGGTACAAGAAAAGAAAGGGCCCCCATAATTAAGGCCAAACGATACGTGCCTACAAACACACACACACACACACACCATATATATTTGATTTTTCAGTCTTATTATTGTCAAATAGAGCAATACAGAGTATTATTGGTTGCTTTGAATTATAATTAAGAAAATAAAATCATGATACAAGATACACAAAAAGACAACAGCTACTGAAATCTACTTTGGTTTCCTTGATTTCCTTTTATAGAGAAAATGAGGCTTACGACTCTTTAGAGACAGATAGTACAAAAGGAAAATAGATTGATACTAGAGTAAACGAGGTTAACAAAAGAAAGGCAAAATAAAGGCAAAGAGAAATAATGGCATTTGTGATTCTCTTGGAATTATATACAGTAAATTAAGGTCAAGACAATTATGCGCGTATATAATGCATGTATGCTATTGTCTAAATTCATTATATAAATATCCAGAATTTGAATATTTATCAGGGCTAAATTATTGATTTATTGATTGATCTATATTGATTCCTTTGATTAAAATTAATGGTATCTGTCAAGTATTTATAAAACAAAATGAAAGAGTGAGACTGATGCATAATTAACAATGCCAATAGTAATGCCCGATTTAACAACAGCATTTCAGGAACAGAAAACAATCAATAATTATTATAGTTGTAAATAATGATAAATAGCCATATCATTTTAGTTTTTTTTTGTGATATTTGTGTTCTCCCTCTCTATTTTTTTTTATGCAATTTGTCTTATTGTACATTATTTAATAAAGGGAATATATATATATATATATATATATATTAGGTTCTGTCAATTTGAAACTTGAATTGAATGGAATTGAGTGGAATTCAACCCTGTAAATATTTGTGTGGTGTGACAATGAGATCATCAATTTTGTTTACAATTGAACCCTTTAAGATTATGTTTTTGCTAGGGGTACAGAATCATGCAAGAAGTATACAAAAAGAAAAAAGAAAAATGACAGAAAATATTATATATACATTTATGCACAAAAAGTTGTTAAATTCAAATTACCCTATTTGTAGTATACATACATAATTATAGACATCTTGAATTTAACATATTAAGATAACAGCAGCAAGAGCAACAACAACAGCAACAACAGAATAATGATTGTAATTCTTAATTATTTTCATCTCTTTACAGAAAATAGATATATAGATATACGTCTATAGATATAAAACAATTCTAACCTGTTTATAGATAAATAATTCTTTCCGAAAAAAATAAAAAGATGTTTATAATTAATTAAAGAAAACTGCTTTCTACTCTTCTTTTTCTTCAGAGGTCACTGCAGGTCTTCGTTCTTTAATAACGACAGGGATATTACTGGTAGTCGCTTTGAGTTTACGCTTTGCTTCGAGTCTCGCGGCCTTGTCGTTCAATTCAAAAGCAGGGCAGGGAAAGAGTGTAGGTGCTGCTACGGTCAATACAGCGCCTAATGCAACAACCACAAACAAGTTGGAGGTAATCCGCTGTCGTTGAAGGTGGTTTAAAGGTCTGATTTTGGCGGATGGGAACATGCCGGAAAGAAACAGAATATAAAGAGAGTAAGGAGGGGTTGCAGAGTGGGGAGGTTATTTTTTTTTCTTTCAAAGAAAAAAAAGAAAGGGAGACAGTGGATGCGACAGCTTTTGAACGAGGATTAAGCACGGTCTCTTGTCATCAACAGTATCGAATGCGTGAGTCTCGGCGATGAAGAAAGCGAGTGCAATCTAGCTAAGCCGCCAATAAACTGGCCTGATACTAATTATTAGCAGTCACTGTTGTGCAACTGAGAAAGAATCACTGCGAAAAAGCATGATGAATGCTTTATTTAATCTTACTCACATTCTACAGGCAATAAAACACAGACCCAGAAAAACACAGACCCAGAAAAACACACACACATGAATAGATAGAAAAGAAAGAAAGAAAAGAGAAAGATAACAGACATAATGTAGTTTTTGGATATTTATTGTAAAGAGAAAAAATCTCAAGATTAAAACAGTTCTGGACAAAATAAAATTTACTCCTGGGAACGCTTCTTCTCGAAGGCATCCTTCTTGGCCTGGACCTTGGAATCGCGCTGCTTCTTGTTGAGACGCTGGGGGATAGGGTAGGGCTTGGCGGGGATGTTCTTCTTGGTGAGCTTGTAGACGGGATCGGCACGGATAGCCTCGTGGGCCTCAGTGTACATATCCTCAACCTTGTCAGAGGTGATACCCTGCTTCAAGAAGGTAGAGAACTGCTTCTTGTAACGCTCCTCATCTTCCTCCTCGAGGTACTCCATGTACTCAGCAACATGGACACCATAGATGTAGTTACGCAACAACTCGTCGTCGTTGGTCTTGGACTCGATATCGAAACCGGGGAAACGGTTGCCGGAGTGGGGAACAAAGATACCACCATCGGAAGCACCCTTCATGGCACCGAAGACACGGGCACCAGTGGAGGTACGGGCAAGACCAACATCAAGGAAGGCCTTGAAGGGACGGGGACCATCCTCGATAGCCTCAACCATGGAGACGGTACCATCAGACTCGGTGACACCCTCGTACTTATCGGCCAAACCGAGCTTGGTCAAGGTACGACGAGCAAGGAGGAGACCAGTGGCGTAGGCAGCAGCCCAGTTGGTCAAACCACCCTTGATACCGTAGCGGGGAAGCTCGTGAGAGTAAGCGGCAGCGAGAACAAAGTCACCCTGGAGCTTAGCGTAGACGATCTGACAGATGATGTCCTTGTTGGTGAAACGGACAACGAGTCTGTACTTGGGAGAGTTGTACTTGTTCTTGGCCTGAACGACAAGTCTCTTACGAGCATAGTAGTCGGTCTTACCCTCTAAATTTACAAATGAAGATTAACATTCCAATGTCTCTTTAATCGTATTTGTCTTTTTCTCTTCCTCTCTCTTTATTTCTTTCTTTATTTCTGGTGCGTAATCAGATAGGGGCGAAAGAATAAAAATTATCTCAACATTAATGGGTAGTAAGTCCATTATCAGTTGAACTATGCCATAGTTGAATATCATCCTATTTACGCGCCAGGAAAGAGAAAGAGAATTCGTATAATTGATGTTTTGTGTTTACCTCTTCTTCTACGGTACTTGACCTGGAATCGCTTGAAGTAAGCCTTGTTCTTCTGCTGCTTAATGAAAGGCTGTGGAATTATACATGATTAGATTTATTGTGTAATTTACACATTGAAATGTCTGCTTTTGTCTTGTGCATTCTACAGTGTGGGCGAGGGTGTGTACTATGATTCATCCATCCAATCGATTGACGAATATATCCATCCATTCATTGATCTTTTCGATGTGTACTCGTGTACACACATACGCGCACACGTCTATGTTATATGGTAGTTTATACATACCATGGCGACTCACGAGGGATGAAAAGGAAGGAACTTTTACTTTTGGTAATCAAGGCTTCGATTTCACTCGGCACACATCGGACATTTAAAATTCAATTCAATTTTCCTAAACTGTCATGGACAGAGAATATCCAAATGTCCAAATGTCCAAATATTTAAATGTCTATGTGTATGTGTGTATGTGTGCATATTTATTTATTGGATTTATTCAGCTATTGAATTTTACAACACACTACTAGTCAACATGTCTTTCTTGAGTTGATCAGCAGCCTAATGAAAAGAAAATATAACTTAGTTTTTTTTTTAAAAAAAAATTGACAACTTTAACAACTTACTTCTTTGCCTACGAGATTCTCCACGATTGTTAGAGCAAACAGAAAAGATGTGCCTGGAGCACGACTGGTAATGACATTCTTATCTACAACCACTCGCTCCTGGGAATATTCATAGGCTATTAAGCAAAGAAAAAAAAGTATGTATGAGTTAATTAAAGAATACTTTTGATATATATATATTTAAATATCCTTACTATCAGTCAATTGGTCCATCACAGCAGGATAGGATGTAACAGTATGACCCTTAGGAATACCAGAGGCCTTTGCCACAAGTGTACCTAATTATTGAAAATAGTAATAGTAAGCGTTATATCCCTGTGATACACACAGCGCACGATAGCCAGACAAGAATAATGCTTACCGGCGCAGATAAATGCAACAATCTTTTTTTGATCATAAAGATTCTTTATAATGGCTTGTACTTTCTTATTATCTCTGCATGTATGAGAGCCTTTCAATCCTCCTGGGACAACCCCGGCATCATACGACTACATAATAATAATAATAATGATTACCAAGTAATTGTGATATTGATTCGAATGAAAAAATGCTTTACCAAGTTGCCCTCGAGTTCTTTATCTGTGAGTAGAATATCGGGAAGAATTTTTGTGCCATTTGCACAGATCGCAGGCTTATCTTTTTCCAATTCTACACCAACTACTGTCACGTCAACCTTTGCTCGACGAAGAATATCAGCTAAAAACGTATACACAAACACACACATATATATAAAGACATAATTGTTAGAATACAAAGCGTTTTTCTGTTTAAATACGTGCCTTTGGTTTCTTTCTTTACTCACCAGAGATGGTAAACTCCATTTCCTCTGTGCCATTGGCCAAGAATACGATTGCTTTTTTTGTCATTGCGAAAGAAGTGAAGAAGGTAATATTCTCCAATGGAACAATATAATCATTATTATACGTCATCTCTTTCTCTTTCTTTTTTTGGAATACATTGAATATTCTGTATATTATTTTATTTAATAAGATACACACATGTATATATTGACAGACTATACTATATATACAAGGTTAAGATTATTATAGTTCGTGTATATATGTAGGTGTGTGAGATGTTCTGACTGTTTTGATTACATACACTATATAGTATAATGTATGCTCCCAGACCATTGAATCTGGTACAACCATCTCCGCATCTTTTAAACATCATTATTTGGTTGTGCAGGAATCTTTTTATTTATAGCGCGCGTTTGTGTATATGTGTAATATACAGATACTGTGGTTATTATAATGGGATTCTATAGATTTAAAAGTGGTAAAGAAAAAAGAGGAGGATTGTAGACTCAACAGTTTCCAACAGTGGTTAGGACGTCAAGCTTGGTTACATGTGTTATGACAGCAGCTTGGTGTACACATACAATTTTCTTTTTTTTTAAAACAAAATAAATAAAGTATATTTTGAACTCATAACTTATTGCTATTTTGTACAAGGTGTAAAAATATAGTTTAAACATTATTATTATTATTATTATTATTATTATTGTTCTAGAAAAGAAAGACTTGGGTTTAATTTATAGTAATTATGAAAGATAAGCCTATTTGTGAAATCCAAAATGAGGAGTAAACAGTTTAGATAAGCAAGACCTGTGTGAAATACTAATGTCAATGGGTTGCTTCAATCGTTTCAATCGTTTCAATTAATGCGAGTATAAAGTAGTACTATACACGTGTATTGTAAAAATAAACAAAGGAAAAAAAAAAGGCTTCCGTTGCACGATTTTTCTAAAATGATAAATCCAACTATTGGATAACCGCCAACAACCCCCGGAATGGTATTTTATCTGTGGCTGAATTTCTGCATTTTGCACTTCTTTTCTCCCTTTGCCACCAGTGGAATCTATGTTGCAAACAAAATGGACGAAGACGTGACTTACGAACAAAATGGAACCGGCAAGAAGAGAGTCCGAGCCACACAAGCATGCGTCCTCTGCAGAAAGAAAAAGGTTTAATTAAACACCCAAATCACCACTCACCAATCACCATTCTCGTTTCTCTCTTATGTGTATAAATCTACTTCACTTTCTTGTTATTAATATTTGGCGTTTTGTTAAAGATCAAGTGCGATGGCACCAAACCTGAATGTCTTCATTGTCAGGCTGCAAACATGAATTGTGAATACACTGAGAGTAAAAAGAGAGGCCCAAGAAAAGGATATGTCCAAGTCCTAGAAGAACGTCTACTACAGATGGAAAGTCGATTGATGAGCGAGAACGGCGAAGGTTCTAGGGATCCAACCTTGTCACCTATTACTTCGGGTCAATCTTCAAGCGACATTTACGAAAAAGGTGGAGGAAACCGTCTTCCATTGCTCTCCTTCCGAGCCTAACTCCGAATTTGTCTTTTTTTTTTTATGTATCAAAAAAAATATTACTATTGTTGCTATCTGTAAGATACTAGGCAAACCAAGTATAAACTATCTTATGCCGATCAAACGATTCAGTTACCATCTCTCGACATTGTCCTTCATTTGGTTGACTTGTTTTTCAAATACATAAACTCGGTTTTTCCTCTCATCCACAGAGGAACTCTCAGACAAGCAATTATGAATGGAACCGTATCGAAACCTCTTTTATGGAGTGTCCTAGCCATTGGTGCACGGTAAATGACACAAATAACTCATTCAGCACCAATTGTCTTATCTGAAACAACAATTAGGTTTTCAGAGCACCCCAATGTCAAGACGGATCCTCCATACCTAGCTGGCGAGAAATTTGCAGTCAAGGCAGCATCATTAATAAATTCTGATCTTTTTGAGCCCACTCTAGAAAACCTTCAATTCTGGGGAATCATGGCCTGTCTTGAATACGGAAGAGCATCTGGTTCAAGGTGAGTTTTGCATGTTGGATCTTTAATTTATTCTCAACCTTTTCTTTTTTCTTAAAAAAAAAAGATCATGGATTTACGGAAGTCTTGCAATGAGGTAAGTCAATTGATACAAAAAAAAAGACAGATAGTAAAGAATAAAGAAAAAAAATATTAATATAGCTACCTTTGTTTAAAAAAATCAGATTCTGCCAAGAACTTGGACTACACAAAGAAGACACTTTAAATGAGCCGATTTTGGCATCGGATGGCTCCGTTGATGCGGTAGCCATGGCATTGCGAAGACGTGTATTTTGGAGCTGTCTTTGTATTGACAAGTAAGTATATATATATAAAAAAAAGAGAAACATACAGATTCATAAGTTTAATGTTTTATCCCTAAAGGTTTTCTAGTGCCGGAACCAACAATCCCCAATGTTTTGAGAGAATGGACTGTGATGCAAAGGCACCCAATGCTGCCGAATGTATGATACTTCGCGATCCGTGCTTTTATGCCTCTGTAGACAACAAACCAGTGACAAACGACTCATTGATGGATATTGCAAACCACCACATGCGTATGCAGCAGATATTCGGCGATGTTAATAAATATATGAATCGCGCAAAGTCAGAGTCCGCATCTATTGTCTGGCCGCCGATTGCAGAGTTTTCTATTCTTGATCGTAAATTGCGCGCTTGGAAAGAAAACCTACCTGATCGATTCCAATACACACCAAACACACTAAAATTCCACAAGAAGAATGCAAGTGTAAATTATATCAGTCTCTGGCTGTCATCACATGCAGTATGGTGTTCTAGTATGATGGTCCTTCACCGTGGAAGCCTTGCGCACGCAGACATGAAACCCAATGAAGTACCCGAAGAGATATATGCTGGGATCCAGGCAAGCATTAGTGCGTGCAAGACCAGTGTTGATCAAGCTACAGGAATTTTCAGGGCAATGAAAGACTTGTGTGGCTACAATATTCTTCCTTACATGGGATATTCTGCTTATGTGTTTGCAACGGTCCTCATGACATCTGCTTTTTCAAAAGGGCCTGAAGCGTATAAAAAAAGTGGAGATGCACTCCAGATTTTGTATGAACTTATCGAGGCAAGTCTCTTTTTTACACCTATACACATATATGTATAATATGTCGTGTTCTTGTGAAACTGACAAATAGTATAGGGTTTGAAGCCTTATTGGCTTATGTGCGAGCGTCTGGCAAATATGACCAAAGATCTACTGGCGGCACACAGTCGGTTGTACAAAACAGAGAGCAGACAATCATTTCCATATGGCATCAAGGCAGAAGATGTCGTACCAATGAACTACCGGGGGTCTGTCCAAAACCAGTCAATGAACTCTCAATCACACACACCTGGAATAAACATTTCCTTGGCACCATCAGACATATCTCTATCTTCTCTCTTGACGTCCAATGGCCCTGTCACATCCACCACTCAAGCATATTACAATAAGAATAATGGCTATTTTTCAACCCCGGATTCTTCGTCTTCCGGTGGGTCGATCACAATATCTCAACAGCATCAAAACCAAAACCAAAACCAACAAAATCAACAGAATCAACAACAGACCCAGTCTTTCCCGGTCCTTTCTGAACCATATCAAAACTCAAATCCAAGCTGGGGTGGTGAAGTTGACTTTAACAGCCTAGAATTCTTATACGACAGTGCATTGTTTGGTCAAATTATGTTTGATGCGTCTAAGCCATCAACGATCCCCGTATCTGGCTCCTATGGCTACATGCCACCCATTAATTCTGAATTTTCCACATCTGAAAGTAGTCCTCAGTCTAGTACCCCAACAACTTTCGGAGATACACAAGGACAAAACACACGCACCTCTCTTCAACCATATTTAAATTCAGAAAGGCCTTTGTGGAACTCATCTTAGAACTTCCAAAAAAAAAAAAAAACTTCTTCTGCTTCTGCCTTTTCTAACACTTCTTCTATCATTTCTTTTACCATTTCTTCTTATTGAACCATTCTTTCATCCTCTCATTATTATTACTATTATTACTATTATTACTTCCTCTTATTCTTGTAATAATTTCTATTCAATTGTAACAAAAGCAGCATTCCCACTCCAAAAAAAAAGAAAAAAAGAAAGATAAAGAACGAAAATAAAATTGATATATATATATTACAAGATTATGCTCGAGATAAAACCGATTGTGCTATACTATGATTCTCTGCTGTTGTAGCTGTTGTTTCGAGATATATAATTATTTACAGAAGTATTATAATTACAGTCCTTTGAGAGGATCTGTATTTATAATCTCTGGATCAATCCAATTCCTATCTAGTAATATTTTGTCTTATAAAAAGAATATAAGGAAGGAGTTATAGGAAATGAATGTCATCATTTAATATATTGCGGGTGAAAACGAAACTGAACTTTACCCGTGCCACCATGTGCTTAATACTCAGTTACTTTGAAAATAGAAAACCAGTCGTCATAGCATCCGTTCCTTTACATCGTATTGTTTACCCGGATATACATTGACATTCAACAGATGGAATTCATTTATGGGTATTCAATAAGTTGATCCAATTCTTGATTTATTTTGGTGGGTAAAATGTTGTATAAAAATAGTAAATCCATATTGATATTTTACAAGTAAGCTTTATCTTGCTTGTTTTAATGTATTCTTCAAACAGCCTAATCTTTAATATTTTTCTTAATTCATCGCACCTTGGGTATATGTATATAGGTGTTAAGAAAAGAATTATATTTATTCAAGGTTTTCAATATCAAATCTAAGACTTAGAGTACGATGAAAACATTCTCCTCAAAAGTAAACCCCTGTATATAGCTTGCCTTTTAGATATTTGGTTTTTTAAATTGGTTTTGAAAACGACAAATATAAGCATAAGCCCACAATTTTACTTCAACTTACACTAACTCACTCAGAATTAGAAAGTTTACAAATTAAATTTGTATGAGAATTGCCATGGAAACATTATGCCGATCGATTCATTTGCCTTTTATAGATTTGATTTCCAAATTTTTAGTTTCATTTATTTATGGTCCTCACTATGTCAAGGCTAATATTTGTAAAAGTCGTTGATAAATATAAAATAACGCTAATGACAAAAAAAAAGCTTTTATCAAAATAAGTGTATTTCTTTTACTTTTAATATGTTTAAGCATATAGCTAAATAAAGTTTGACAGTAATTATGGTCTAGATGCGATACATCGCAAGATTTTATAAAGTAAGTGAAATTAATCGATGGCACGTATATAGAACAGCATCTTTAAAAAGTAAATGGGTGTTAGGTTGAATTTTGCTTTCAATCCGAACTTCACTCATATTATCACTAAACCAAAATACTTAAATGAAAATATTTATAGTACCAGCTACGTCTTGAACATATCCGTTTAGAGTGTGTCACTCACCTACGGGACAGCCGCTTAAAACATAATACTGAGTGGATATGTCACTTTCTGGTTGTGAATGTAACCATAATCCCTTCAGTGTTACACTTTCTTTAGAGATCCAGACTTTAATGTTTGTTAAATGTCTCAAAAATAAAATAAAATTGATTATAAAAATAAGTATCAAAAGTTAATTTTTTTTGAAGACGATTTTATTTTGAAAGCGATATATTTATATTTAATACATAATTAAATATGTCGGGCCATATATTTGAGCTATACCCTTATAGAGATGATTGGTTTCGGGCCTAGCAAAGTTTCTTGGTGGCTTACGCTTTGCAAAAAGAAAGTAACCAATATCTACAGTAAGATCAATTGCGCTCAGTCTATTTTGAGTAGTAGGAGATGGATCGAAAATATAGCTGCATATTGCCATTGTTGTACCCAAATGTATAGCACTTTATTTGGTAAAAGTATTTGCTACAAGTGAAGAAGAATAAAATGTGCCAAAGCAGTGCTGAAAAAAATAGTAAGGGGGAGGCTCCTATCTTTAAAACTTATGATTAAAGGTCTATTTGATGCTAGTCCATTGCCATACTATATTATTCCCTGGTAATGTATTTGCAATTTCTGTAAATATGCTTCAAGTATTTACTTTTCTACATTTTTTTTACTGTCCCTTACTACTATATATATATACCCACTTCAATTTTTAATAACCAAAATTGTCACCCGAAGATGTGGCAAAAGGGCAGAATAATTGCTCTCGATATTGATGGAAATACGGCTGCCAGAACTGTGTCTTAACTAAATGCACCAAAATCGAAAGTTAGGTTTTTCTTAAAATATATATATGAAAGCAGGCTGTGCTGCAAACAACATATCTTATCAAAGAATGCTACTTCTCCCACCCATATATAGCTTTCATATAAACTTGAGTATTAAAAGTACTAGTAACAAACTTTTAATAGCATATTGAATAAAGTCAGTTCTAGCCTAGAAAATACTGTCAGAAAAGTCACCATGAACAAAGTTCTATATTTTTGTATAGTTTTGACAAAACTTAGGCTTACAAATCGCAAATCTTTGACCGTTTCACTTGGTATAAAACTAAGAAAAACTTGAATAAACGGTGGTAAATTGTCATTTAGAGCAATGAGCCACATTTTGAATCTTACAAGATGAATAAAAATAGTCAGGTCTGGTGTTAAGTTGAAGAGAAGTGGAGCATAAGCTCTCTTGTCCCAAAGAGGCAAAGAAATGAAAGAATGGCGATTGATAAGTGTTGAGTTGGTGTAGTGCAACGTTGTCAGAAAAAGAAGAATAAACGAAAGTTTCCAACGAGTTCAGAAGGTAATATATATATAAAGACCGAATTACTGTGATAACGCTCAGGTCTATCCGACAGTAAAGAAAGGCAGTGGAATATATAAATATATAGAAGAGACAGATATATCAAGAAGTATGCTTATACATATCGCTAAGAGCGGATCTAAGCCGGTGACAATGAAAATAGATGTATAAACAAAGATAATAGAGGGTTTGATCAATCAAATAAGGGTAGATGAGGACACATTTTATTATTGCTTCATCTGAAGACTTTTATACCAGAATAATCTATACTATTTTGTTGTAAAGCTCTTATAAATTAGTGCCAATGATAAAATACAATGTACAAGGATATGCTTTGTGCAAGGGATTGGGGGAAATCCTGCAAAGAGTGTCATACTTCTTTGCAGAATTTTTGTGGTCTGGGGTGTGCCTGGTCGGGAGGACTTGGACCACTTGTTTTTGTAGATGAAAGCCTTGGTAAACCAACTTATATGAAGGTTATTCGAAGCCGTCTACCCAATTTTACATAACATTTCTGGTGCTAAGAGCTGTAGTTATAGATTTCAGAAAATAATATCAAAGCTTATAATGTAAAGGTTGGAGAAATATTCCAGAAAGAGCAAGGACTGGATGTTTTGAATTGATTCCCAAATAACCCAAACCTGAGGCTTATGGAAAATACGCGAAGAACTTTTGAAAGAAATCTTAAGAAAAGATATTCCCAGTCAAGAAGCTTGGATGAGCCCAAGGTAAATTTATTTGAGTATTGCGATATCCAAATATATCTTTATAAATTTCTGCTTGAGTATGTCCAACTATTTGACATTACTTTAGCAAAAAAGAACCTTAAGCAAATTTGGTATGAGAGTTACTTTTTATGATTATGGTATTAATATTTATTCTTTCAAGTATCATACTTCAATAAGCATTGTATATCTTTAGACATGGATTTGAAGGTGAGATATCCTCTTTACCATTAACGGATATTAAAAGGTGCGAAACATTTCTTTCGGACCCCATACATATGAAGTTAAAATATTATTTATATAAAATATAATATCAAATACTCTTTTTGGACGTTTGCTTTTTTGTTATAAACCTTGTCTGAGCAATGCAGACGTTTTGTATCAAGCCCACGTTATTTTTGGCTGGAATAATAGGAGTGAAATAGGCCGGATAGTTGATATATAAAATAGGACACGGGCTACAGTTTTATTTCTACACTTTCCGTCTCCAGATAATTTTGCTCTATATGGTGACAAGTACCACTATTCTTCTTGAATTAACCCCCTACTTATTCTATATATATATATATACATATTTATACATGCTGTGCATCTTTACTTGATTTGGTATTATGTGCTAGTATGAAGTCACCACCCTTCTTCTTCTATTTTCTTCATTTCTCTATTCCTCTTTCTATAGATCAAAATTTGTGACAATTTATCCAATCATTTCTTTCTTTCTTTTGCGTTTTTTTTACCAAAGCAATTATACGATAGCAAGATTGCCATATGCGTATATAAGAGTAATTAAGTGAGTAAATAGGTAGATAGGTAAATAAGTAATTAATTACATGATGATTATAGAATGTATATCTTTAAATGATTTACAATGAATAATAATAGGTAGAAACAAAAATAAAGAATGATGCTATAAAATATATTGACTACAGGCGAGAATTGGCCACTGTATTTTCATGAAGAGTAGAAGGTGAATCAGAGTCACCTTCTTCTTCTTCATTTTCATCGCCCTCAGACCCTTCACTGCTCGTGTCGGAATCTCTGATGTCTCTGATTCGGTCTAGTGCATCTAGCACAACAGACCCTTGGCGCGCAATCCTGTGAGGGTGGCTTCCCTCCTCAACTTCAATATTCTCGCGTCTGTTCTCAAAATCACGACGGGCATAGAAAGTACCAGCAGGTCCATCCATTGGTGACTGGAGAGGATGAAGCAAAGATTGGTGTCGAACAAGGGGTTGAGGAGCCATTGTGGGAGCGTGTGGAACACCATCAGTTTCAGGAGGTGGTGCCTGAATAGAACCTTCTTCTTCTGCATACAGTGCCTTTGCAGCATCTGTAATGGCAAACGGAAGAGGAATTTCTTTGATAGCACAATAGGCACCGCAGTTATTTAGGTGCTAGAAATACAAAGTTTTGTTTGTTTGTTTTTTTGGTTGGTTGGTTGGTTGGTTGGTTGGTTTGTTTGTTTGTTGTTTTAAAAATAAAAAATAAAAATCAGGGATAAGTAAATCATGTTCTGTACTGCAAAATAAAATCTGCGTACCTCATTCTCAAGACGAAAAAAGTTCCACTGCAGGCGTCGAAGTGCTTCAACTACTGCAAGAATAAATCCAAGTAATTGAGGATGAATCGCAAAGTTTGCCAGGTTTAAAGTCCATGCAAATCTAAGCAAAACATTAATAGGCACAGCCACATAGTAAGCCTTTTAAACATAAAATAATTATACAAAACTGTTAGTCCTTTGTGAATAGGCAAACAAAAAATAAATTGTATACATGTATACAACTCTTAGTTACCCATTTGTAAAACACTAGTTCATTGCGCAACAAATAATGTCTACTGTTTGGTCTCAAAAGTCCCCAATCCATCTTAATGTCCCAGATAGATGTGTACGCTGAATTGATCGAACAGGCCACAATCCACAGGATCTTTAACCAAAGAAATGCTATCAAACAGAATAGATAAGTAATCAAGAAATAATATAGTACACAAGTTGTAGACTTACGATATATACGTCTGGTTCCCGTTGTCATTGCTGCTGCAATACTGGTAATATATTTGCACCCGTTTTGGAGATGTACAAATTCACTAGAGTCTTTGTAACGTCGTATGCACTGCAACAGACGCCACCAAGCGGGAACTGAGGCAAGGACTGGTGTTGACCACATCTGCATAACAGAGCAGTGTGCACCTAATAAACAGGTATTGTAAATAAACACCCCCCTTGCGTTTTGTAATATTCTTTTTTTTTTAAAAAAAAAGAAAAGAAAAAGAATTGAGGCTTACCCAAATCTTCCCAATGCCAGCTGTAGGCACAAAAAAAGTAGGCCAACGTCCAGAATGAATAAGCCAAACTATTGAGCTCATCTGCGATAAAGAAGTCTCGGAATTCAACGGAGTAACAGTAACTCATAAAAATGCGTGCCTGTTATTATAATTATGATTAGGTTTACGATGAGCAGATAGCTATATTAAAGCCAAAGGCTTATTATGCTGTTTATTTACCAAGGTGGCACCCAGCCACTTTCTTGCAGAGTAGTATAGAATTTTGAACGGGCACAAACAGATAGCCATTAAGATAATAAATAGTATCATTGGGCACAAATTAGACGGAATGGTCGGCGCAAGACTCTCTGAAAAGTCGATGTACATTATGACTGACATGAGAAATATCATCAGGGAAGGTAACTAAAATAGGGTGTTGAATGTTTAATAGCTTTACACAAAAAGTGCATACACACACACGTATATATTGTATTCTTACTTCTGCAAATTGATCATGGCTAAGGTTAGTTCGAGGATTCAGCTCAAAGATAAACTTGTAGTTGATACGAGACTTGTTCCAGACAAATGTATTGACAGCAAATCCGAGGCAAAACAGAATTGGTAGAGAAAAACAGGCATATATTTGGAGATTGAATATGATACTTGGCTCTACTTGATACTTGAGTTTTTCAGATGCTAGGTACAATAAAATAAAGTTAATGTCATTCTATAATCAATTGAGTGTAAAGTACCTAATGAGAACACCTGATAGAACATTGCAATGGCTGCACCAAGAAATAAACCGATTCTGAGGGTAGTTCCCGTGTAACTCTACAAATATATATATATATAAATAAGAATTAGAATTAAAGTAAAGAAACAAATTTGCCTTATTATTGTGGTGAAATTGGGTTGTAAATTTCTTGCTTACCTCTTGCTTCTCAGGTACACGAAGCTTGGCCATTGCACGCCTTCGATGTCCATTAGCAAACTCCTTTACGAACAGATCCTAAAGTATTTAATGTTGTTGTTTTGTTGTTGTTTTTTTTTTAAAATAAAAAAGTAAAAAAATAAAAAAATAAAAGACTTGTCTGGTTAGATCGTATGCTCTCAAGTGATAAATCTTGTATGTGTATTACCTCTGTGGTTCGTATGGCTTCATCTAATTCGTTAGATGTCACCCAGTAAGAGCGCCTTACTTTTCTCATGTAAGGAGTGCTGGCTACCCAACCAGCAGTCTATTATTAAAGTTAATATCAGTTCACGGCTATTTTTTTTTAAAGAAGAAAAAAAAAGCCCAAAAAGCCCAAGAAAATGTATTGTATACTGACTCACCTTGTCAAACTTCTTCAAGATCTTTCGGAAGCCAGTTTGATTGAGGCTCTGAAAGATGTGCAATTACGAAGGTTTTTTTTTGTTGTTCAGTCAGTTTGTGTGCTACAATTGAACAGCCTTGAACGACATCATAACTCACCTTGTAAGACCGTAAGAGCTCCATACTCCGATAGAATTCAGTAAAGGCCTTTTTCAATCTACTTCTGGCAACCTGGTGATTTGTTTTTTTTGTATCAGCCCAAAAGCTTTAGTATAGCAAGCACGATTGCTTTTTTTGGAGTGAAAGGATCTAAGTTTGCTTACATTGTAACTCATATGGTTATCATACTTGACTGACAAGTGAAAGCCATCAGGGCTGGCGACTCCTGGTCTGTGTCCCGTTATCCAATGTAATGGATTAAATGACCCGTTCTCATGGTAACGGGCATCAGCTAGCTGTTATTAAATAAAAAAAAACCAATTTTTGAGTTATTGATAAACTTGCATATACAAAGTAGAATAAGTGTATATATAAAGTCTGTTGCTGTACCTCCATTTCGGAAAGTTGTACCCCGAATTCTGATATCAGTCGTATCTGTATCTTCAAGGCTTTCAATTTTGCTACGGCCTCTGACTCTTTTTCTGTAAAAATAGAATGAATGGCTGAGAACAGAACAATCTTGTATACTTTTTTTTCTGAAAGATTTCTCCAAGCCAAACATAATACAAAAGCTTATTGTTTGTTACCTTTGTAGAATCGAGAGATTTTCTCGAATTCTTGATCCAAAGCATTAAAGAAGGCGCGCTCGGCATCGTTTGCTCGAAGGTGTACTTCCTCAACAGTGGTAGGTGCTCCTGGGTGTGAAGATCCTGTAAACGTCAAAAGAGAAAAAAAAAGGCCGTGAGATCCGACATGCAATAAAAGGAAGGACACGTGTGGTCGAGTGGTCAGTTACCTGGATAAGATGTGGTCCGGGTCAAATCTGCGTCCTCCCGCATAAATCGGGTGGATAATCTGCGAAACAGTGAACCCGAAACGGTTGACTGGCGTCGATGGAGGCTTGATCCAATATCAGGAGGCAGTGTTGCTGAGTGCAATCTTGAATGTCCATAAGGTCCTGGAAGACCTGGCTTTGCGGGCTTTTGGAGATCAGGATCCACAGTGTGTATTTGATTGTCGATTTCGGTTTCTGGATCTCGAGGGGCGTAGTTTTCGTCAAAGAAAGTTGATTGAGACTGACTAGCGACTTTTTTAGCCTATAAAGAAGGAAGATATCAGTCCAAGAACTACATATTTCTCTAAAAATTTATAAGAAAGGATTACCTTTGCTATATTCTTTAGCCTTTTCTTTAGACCGCTGTAGTCAATGTAGGCTCTTTTCCACTCTGGAACACTCTCAGCCTCGAGTTCCTTTGCAAACTTCATGAGACTTGGATTTGGTTAATGTAAGTTAAGGTATGTAGATATTTATAAATATATATATTTATATGTGTGTGGGTATGATATACATATGTATATGTATGTATATATGTGTATATATTGCTGTACGGTATTCTTTTCGGGAAAGATAATTGTGAAAGAGATAACCGGTTAAAAAGAGAAAACGGCTTATTTTATAGGTGAGAAATGTTGAAATCTCGACGTGTTTCTGTCACGTATATTCCCTTTACACTTGTACCGCCAGCACCACTTCGATACCCTTATTTTCTCAAATGAGATCAGTGTCCCACACACGTCATTACTTACACCTCATGCTACTGGTTACTATCCCTTCTTTTAAAATAAATAAATAAATAAATAGGTAAATAAAATAACAATAAAAGACAAATACATATATACATATATACATATATACACAAAGATCTTGTTTAAATAGGATATATTTAAATATATATATATATATATATATATACTTTTTTAAGAAGAAAAATTGTGCGAATCCATGGCAATCTTTATTTATTAATTTATTAATTTATTAATTTTGCTGTCATGGAAACATATTAATATGATTACTACTATTAATATTACTGTGCAGTAAGTAATATATATATATATATATATAGATTATGTATATAAAGAGTCTTTTTTATTATAATTATTATAATATACTTACTCTCATTGATCGACCTGCCCACTCGCTAACTCACTAACTCACACTCTCACTAACTAGTTCACCCATTCTCTCATTTACTCACTTACTACTTCGTATGCACGCACATGTATATTTCATACACTTTTATTAATGTTAAAATTATTGGGGGTGATGATCCTAGCCAATAGAATATGACTTATTTTGCTGGTTGAGAGAAAATTAATTAAAATAGATCAAATAGGTATTGCAAAAAGGCCTATTGAAAAACAACGTGCCTTGTTGTCTTGCTTTGCTGTCACACAGTAACAAAACAAAAAAAACCCTGTGTCGATCACTTTTAAGTTCCTGTTTTCTATTTTATATATATATAAAGAGATGACGTGAGGCGATAATACAATATAGTACAATAGAGAATATAAATTAAATTAAATTAAATAATGAGGAATCTTGTTTGATTTATTGTATATCTCTCTTCTTCTATTTTTCTTTCCCTTGGATATTAATTGCCTAATATCATAATGTAAAGATGCTTATTATTATTCTTATTATTATTATTTTCATGGTGCATATAACATGATATAATATAATATAATATGATATGATAAAGTATCAATATTACTATTATTTATTATTTATTATTAAGAATATAATATAATAATGATTTATTTAAATTGACTAGCCAACTATTAAAGAATGCTATACAGGGTATTATTATTGTGGATTATATAGTTCGAAAATATAAACAGGAGAAAATAAAGCTAATAATAATAATACAGAAAGAAAGAAAGGATAACGGAAATTTAACAAAACAAGGAAGGTGAGGGAAGAATAAGAGAAATGTCAAAGTTGAGATTTCGTAAAAAGGTAGCCATCTCATCAGGATGAATGTGAAGATCCCAATGGAGGAAGCAAAGAAAGCCAATCTCCATACGGGTGATCTCCTTAATAGACCAGACATCGCCTGCAGCACGAACCACCTGACGTGTGGACAGACAGTTATCGTCACTATATTTGCTGGCTACCAACAAGCTGGCCACAAATATACGGTGAGCAGCTTCAGGTTCTGCCTTGTAACCTTTTTTTTGAAAATCAAATGAAAATAATAATGTTAGCAATAGCAGAGATTAATTAATTAAAAGAAAACAATCGAATGACTAAACACACACACACACATACACACATACAAGTGTGTATATATAGATATAGATGTATTACCTGCAGGTAGACCATTACGAAACCGCTGGACGTACATAAGGGCCATTACAAGGTGAACCGGTAAGATATTGCATTTTTCGGTTATAAGTTGGATAAATGGTACGAGGTCCGGAAGATGGCTAGATCTTCGTTGGACGCTTTGATTATCTGATATTGGTGTAGTTGGAGGAATAGCAGCTGGATAGAGAATTGCATCAAACGAAGAAGAAGCAAAATCTGAAAACAAAATAAAAATTTAGCAAGATTAGTACCAGTTTATTTATTTAAATCTTCCTCAATTAAAGGTTGAATATTTTACCTATGAACCCGGGTGGAATGGGTAATCTTGCTGGTGGAACTGGTGCATGAAGCATCGATAGCTTTGGGTGCTGGGAAAAGGTGGATTGAGGGAAAAAGAAAAAGAAGAGAAGAAAAAGGGTGGTGAGGTTGGGCCACCTGGGCTTTTATAGGCACAAATAATTATAGAACAATAATAATAATAATCCAGGTCAGCCAGATCGTTTAGCCTTGTTGCAGTGATTGTTTGCTATATTTTATTTTTATTTTTACAATGACTCCACCCCCCAAAGCTCGTTTTCCAATTGATCATAGTTTCTTTTGACTCCGGCTGAAATTCACTCTTGTATCACTCAAAATCCATTTATAATGTTATCATTGAAGTTCATTTATGTTATCATTAAAGATTATGTTATCATTGAAGTTCGTAATTTTATTGAAAATCCAAATTAACCAAATGCCCACCAAACTTTCGACTTGACAGCGCCCTTTTATATTCTTAAATAACCAACCTGTACACTGAACACCAGTCTTTTCCCATTCCTCTTCCAAGACCCTTCTCAAATCATTCAATGAATCAACTTCTGGTCGTATTGTTTCTTCTAGCCGTTCTAGAGTATGCCGGATATACTCAATGGGATTCAATTCAAAGTTTTGAGCGAATTAGTACTCAAAACATCCGATCATGTGGCATTCTTTCCACCATCGAGCATATCTATTTGTATGGCAAGTGGCGCCGTTTTCTTGTAATAAAAAGGACCCGTTCTCTTTCTCTCTCTCTCTTTGTGATTTCTGTGAACCAAGGATGGAATTATTTCACCAAAATATCATCATAAACGCTCTGGTTCATAGTACAATTTAATAATGGCCAAAGGTACAAACCCCCTTTCCATAAAAGCGGCCCCCCACTTCTTCCCCATCTTACTGTGGGAATACCATTTTCCAACTTGTACTGCTCTCCAAACATTCTAATCACTATCCTGGAGTTTCTCTTACCTTTTGAAGAGTAACGAAACTCATCGGGCCAAATGATAGGGACCCATTGATCACGCGTCCAATTACAGTGATCCTGCGCCCAAACCAATCTAAATTTCATGTGCTCTTTAATAAGCGTAGGTATTCTTACTGCAATAAAAGATCTAAAACCAAGATCCTTCACACAATTTATCAATGTTGGTCTACTAACAATTATCGCAGTGTTTCGCAATTCCAATCTCAATTGATCAAAAGTAAAAGGTTTCTTTCTTATAATTTTTCTCAAGTGATAACAAGCCCTTTTTGTCAATATTTCTTTTGGGACACTAGAATGCCACTTAGGCTAAGGGCTACCACTCTGGGTACTGTACGAAAATACGATTTGCAGAATCAAAACAAAGACATTTCAGCTGCTTGTGAAAATCTAGCTTACAGTTTGTCTGATCTTATTAAGGTAAAATAAACTCCAATATATTATATATATATATATCGATTTTTCTTGACATAAGCTTCTTAGCGTTGTTTTCTGTTATGATTTGCTTCGATTTGATAAGTTGATTAAAGTAATGTGTGATGAATGAACAAAGTCCAATTTGAAGTATGCGGATATTTTTCTTTGTTTTAAAGGAGTGCCCAGAATGAATTCAGCAGGACTGTAGTTTATTTGTTAGATTTGCTGCTGTATGTAACAAGCTAAACATCTTTATGCCAAACACGCTTAAATACCAACCACTTTGATCACTGAGAATGCCCTTTCTGTAACATTTCAGAGACATGCTTAGAGTTGCCCATTTAATACTAGAAAGTGAATGCTGGCCCAAATACGAGTGGCATTGTGGGGGGCAATAGCAAGTAGTAGACTAGAATTACACAAGTTGTGTCAAAAACATATGTCCACAAAAAAACTTTATTAATTCACACGTTTATACAAGTAGCCTCAGGATTTGCTATTTAGCCACCAGTATGATGACGTTAATTTTTTGACGACATACTTGTATGCGTCAGAACAAGCAAATTAATTACGATTTGTTGGTCAGCTAATATTTACATGAGCATCTTGACTGATGGCATCATTCTTGTAAAGTAGAGCTGGTTGCACCCTGAGCATGGTCCATTTCAGATAGAGGGACCCATTACCGCAAGATTGTCTGATTAACTGAAACAATTAGTTGAGGAGCTTGTCGGCCAAACAATAGATTGCAAATCAATCAAGAACATGCTTAGAATGAGTGAAGACAGCGGCCTGCTAATATCACCTCAACAACTGAGCTTCCATTAAGATAATACTGCTAATCACTTGATATCTTTACCGACCATCCAAAATCGTTACGGATATCAAATTATAATATCAGAAAGAATGAGCCAGAAAAGCATGAAAAGGACAACTTGCAACAGGCACATATTCAGCCAAATGCTACCGTTTCGGTGATGGGTCTAAAAAGCGCTTGATAGAGGGGAATTAAGATATGAAGGTAGGCAATTCATGCATCATTTTAGTTTTCTTTAATGATGAAAGCAGTAGAAAGAAAACTTCCGTTCTCCTCTTAGAGTTCTGGTGTAGAAGAAGAATACACATAGATGTTATAAGCGAAGTAAGCGAGAGATACGAATAGTCCTTATATGATGCAAAAGATCCGTTTAATCCTAGTATCATTGTGGCAAAGTTATTATCAATGATGTATATGTAGCTTCCTAATATAAGAAAGATACTTATGATAGTTTTATAGAGCCAATATTCTTTTGTAAAAAAATGGGAGGCGATTTAATTACTATACTCCTTCAAAGAACCTCATATCACCCAAAAAGCCTGCTCGCAGTTAAGGCGATCATGGTTGTCTTAGGGACTTATTTGAAATACGATTGTCTTTAGATTTAAGAACAAGTCGCAGTTCTGCGAATCAAACGATATTTAAAGCCTACCGAGACGAGCAAGATGCAAATTCTTACATTAAATCTCAAAGGGTGCAACTTCTTTTTGAAATGGTGCACTAGACTCTGACAGTTTCATGGATACTCGAAAGATTTGGACATTGTCAGGCGAAGGCAATGTTATTGGTATGATTCTGCATATCCTAACAGACTATTATCAAACCTGTCGAAGATCAACTCCAATTAATCCAAGTCATGAAAGGACGTTTTTTTTTCTGAAGTTATTATCCCTATATTTAAGAACTTTGGTGTTATGGCTGGGAGCTTAAGCGGTTCATGGCGAGTAACTCTCTTTATTAGATATATAGAAATAATAAGAGGATTAATTTTTTTCTATACTTAAAGGTGTGAGAAACAACTAGCTGGATCGAGACGTGTATGGCTTACCCATGGATGATTTCAGAGTGCCTGGAATTAATAGAAAGCTCCTTGATGGTATTTTAACAAACGAAGCAAAAACTTTAGCAATAATGTTGGAATCTTCGAGGTAAGCTAAAGACTCTTTTTTCTGTAAAAGATTTATCAGTTCTGTAATAAGACTAAAATAATGTTTTACTAGATCCGAGGACATCGCTTCCCATAACATAGATGACACTTACAAACAGCTAAAAAGTACATAATTGCATAGTACAAAATGGGCTCATTAAAGACCTTATAAAATTACAAATCCCCTGCGTTTCTGTTATTGAAAGCTTCTTTACGCTTTGTTTTACTACTGTTTACGACAACAACAAATGGGAGTTTGTGGATCAAGGATAAATATTTACCTCTCATGTGCACACGAGCAATTATACGCACGTTTACATTTGACAGCCTAAATAAGCCTAGGCTTCTTTATTATTATTTTTATTAACAAGTTGTGTTACACAAATTAATGATATTCTATCCTATTCAATGTCAATTTTTTTTGTTGAATAGTAAAAAGAAATGAAGGAAGCAAAATATTACTCCATCGTATAATTTTAATGACTCATGATGTCGATTGTGGGTAGTATTGTATAAGACAGAAATTATGTCAATTCGTCTTTTTGTTTTTAATAAACTTTTTACTCTTACCAAAGTATATATATGAAATTTGTTTAGTCTTTGAAGAATAGTTGACAGAGTAACAAAGGTGGTCCTTGTAAATGTAGTCAAAAAACATATGTATATTTGGGGGGGTATTGTTGTTTAGCCGATTCCAAAATTTTACTGTACTGAATAAATTAATTTATTTTACCTACCAAAAAAAAATTGGTATCTGTGTGTGCGTGTACGGAAACTTGGAAACTATATTTGACGGTGCTTCAAAGCTTACTTGGTAGGACAGAAAAAGAAAAAGAAACTTTTGGTACTAAAACCACTTTTTCTTAAAAATCAAGAGCGAATCAAAGCATGGAACTTAATAAAGTTTGTTACACCAATTAGTAAGTATAGTATAGTAGTCAATTTATTACCATAACAATTATATAGATAAAGAGATTACATAGTGTTCACACAGATTGGATTCATCAGCGTCTTGGACTCCAAGAACAATCCACATTAGCCATTTAACACGGCAAGAATAAGAACCAAATAAACAAGTTAAAATTATGTAAGTTATACTCCAATGCATTTTCTTTTTCTTTTTTGGTTGGTACCACAGACCAACTTCTTTAAGTTTCAATATATATATATGTACACCATTATATCACTTTAATTACATCAAGTATAATCCAGGTTTATTTTGCACAACACACCAATCAATGATTTTATCTTCTTTCGATTGTTGACCCCAAATATTATAATGGGTGCCCTTACCCCGAGAGCCGAGAGGTCCTGTCCCCTCTTTTTTGTTTTGGAATTGGAATTGGATGATAAGGTCATATAGTCCCATTCGTGAAACATCTGTAGTATCAGAGTTGCGCAAAATCCTTAAATTTTACAATAAATATATGTATATATATTTAATATTTACTTGCCCTGAAGTATTATAGAATATTCAAAATAAATGAATATGTTAATTACATTTACTCTATTTGGCATTCAACCTTTGGAAAGCTACTCGTTTAGATGAATTTCTTGTTTAATAAAGGACAGCCAACCTTGAAACCAAATTAGGGTCCGTGAGAAGAAGAAGAAGAGAAAGAGAGAAAGAGAGAGAGAGAGAAAAGGTGGTTTCATCAGGAGATATGTTCGAGGAATAAACATGGAGGTTACTCTGTTTCATAGAAACAGCATTTATGATCTATAGATATTTTGACAATCATAATTACTAAAAGAAAAAAAATATATAGCACTTTGAAGCATTCCACAAATCACAGTAAATGATGTGCTACTTGGGTGAAGCAAAGCTAGAGATTTATCTAGTAAATGAAACCGTCAATAAAATAAAATAAAGTGGGTATATATATATATATTTTGAAAAAAAATAAGCTGTTTAGACTCAAGAATCCTTAAATTTCTGGAACCACATTGGTCCAAATAATTTTTCTTTTTTTCGCTTCTTTTGTTTCAATATAGGCTCAGCCAATCGCCATTGTTTCATTCCAAGCCAGAAAATAATAATAATAAAAAAAAAGAAAAAAAAAACTGACTGCTAATCAAAATCAAAGGCAAAGAAAAATCTATCCTTTTCTGACAACAATGGGACAAGTTTTCTCGACAACGAAGCCAGAAAGTACTCCTCTGACCACCAGTGGAAAGAGAAAGGCCAGTTTTGATAGCTCTCAGACACTCAAGAAGGCCTGCAAGGATGCTACTTTCGAATCAGCCACTCCAGAAGTGATCATTACTGAACAAGATGTCGGAATTCTTGCTTTTGTCAACCCTAATCTCAAAGGATTCTCTAGCATTATGAAATACAGGTATAGAAACATTTATTCTGAAGAGATATTGTTTATTTCAACAATTTTACACGCATAATTTCAACAACAACAACAACAACAAAAGGGTCTTTTCTATATGTACTTAACTTTTTTAAACACTTTTTTTATATGAATATGAACTTATGAAAAATTTAGAGCCGAGGACTTTTTGGTTAATGAAGTCAACCTCGATGGCAAGATCATTAGACTCACCTCTCTTGACCCACCTGTTATTCCTGAAAGAGTACGTTAAAAAAACAAAATACACGGTAACAACTGTACAAACAAAGAGAAGAATAAGAAGAAAAAGAAAAAAAAGGAACAAATAAATGTATACAGGAAACATATGGAATAATGGCTAATACTTTCTTCCTTTCTTTCTTATCAAATACTATTATTTTATATCTTATCCAGCAAAAGTTCTTTTTATCTGATGCCGAGTTTGATGCAAAGATCGCTGGTATCATTAGCCCTGAGTTCGCCAAGGAATTGAGAAATGTGCTCAATAATCCCAACGATATCACTGTCTCAGCACGTGCAAAGGTATAATATATATATATCGGTGATAGATATGTATTTGGATCAATTGAATTAGAAGGCTGATTATTCCAATTTCAATCATAAGAATGTCGAAAAGGCAAGCCGTATCGATTTCTACAATGCAATCGAATGCAATCTTGATGCTCCCTTGATGACTGAATGCCTTGAAGGTGTTCTTATTGCAAGATGGAAGAACCCTGATGACACTGGTAAGCAAGAATCAAACAATCTTCTATACAGCTCATACTAAAGTTGGTGTCGTTAAAGAAAAACCCAGAAAGATCAACTTTGACATAACCGGTGGAGAATATGTTAGCTTTTATGTCCAGAAGTCTGGTGTAGACACTATGGGCGCAGTGAACATTATGGCAAACATTGGAGGGTAAGAGAGCATTGGATTTGGATGTTTTTATATATATATAAATAAAGAAATTAAGGAAGAAAAGGAGAGAGGTTAATATTTTGTGTGTTAATTATATAGTCCTCGTTTCCTTCCCAAGCAATTCTCATACGCAGGAACAAAGGATGCTCGCGCTGTCACTGTCCAGGAAATGACTCTTTTCAAGTGCGATCCTAGATACCTTTATGATGTCCGTAATGAACTTGCAGAACGTCAGATCTATATTGGAAACTTCTCGTGAGTAATACAATACTGTACATATTTATATTCTTGAATTATAAGATACTTATATCTGGGTACATCTGCAGTTTTGCCAACAAGGGTTTGACACTTGGTGATTTGAGTGGAAACCATTTTACTATTGTTTTGAGGTAAGATAAAATACAATATAGTGCAGCACAATGCGTTTTAAAAGGTACTATGAGCTTGATACTAAAAAAAAAGGATAATGTTTGGCTTTATATTCTCAGAGATGTCAATGGTGCTAGTGAAGAAGACATTCACGAGTCATTGCAGTCACTCGAAAGCAGAGGTTTTATTAACTACTTTGGAATGCAGCGTTTTGGAACCAGCAGCATTTGCACTCATGAAATTGGACGTGCTTTGATTTCCCTAAAGTTTGCCGAGGCCGCTGATTTGGTACTTATGCCCCGCGATGGAGGTATATATATATATATATATGTATAAACGAGTGTATGAGGACATGTAAACTAATCGAGTTATCCAAACTATAATTATACTTCTTTTTTTAGATCGTGCTGATTTTGCTGCTGCTAGAAACCACTGGGCAGAAACAAAGGATATCAAGAGTACTCTCGATAAACTCCCTAGACAAGCACACACTGAGAGAAAGCTCCTTTCAAGCTACCTAAGATTCGATAATCAACACGAAAAGGCCTTTAACTCGGTAAGTAATCCGTAAACGGTTTCAGATTTCATATTTTGTATGTATTAAAATTAAAATTAATTATGTTTTCTTTTTCTTTTTGAAAAACAAATAAACAACAGTTGCCTCAACATATGTTGTCCTTGTACTATCATGCCTACCAGTCTTACATCTGGAACTGTGCAGTATCTGAGCGTGCAAAGATTTACGGTTGTGATAAGCCAGTTGTAGGTGATCTTGTATTGGTTGATGGTCCTGAAAAATCAAACAACAACAGCAACAACAACAACAAAAAGTACGGAAATGCCGGAAGAAGAGATCACTCATCTGTATGTATATTTAAAGCATGTCTATAATTCATCGTATTACTTTATTTTCTGGTTATGAAGAAGAAAAAAGGGGGTGTAGGCATATTGTTGAATATTAGTACTGACTTTACTTTTAGCGCAAGGTTCCAAAGGTCTTGACTGAGGAGGATTTGGACAATTACACAATTTGGGATGTAGTTTATCCTATGCCTGGTAGTAGATCAAAATATCCCGCAAATGCCATTGGTGATTTTTACAAGCAGTTGTTGGGTAAGCAAGCATAGGTTAATATTTTGCTTATTTTATCGAGTTTAAGCATACATGTGTGTGTGTGTGTGTGCGTAATTTGTTCGTTTGTATTCACTATTTTGTTTAGAGAAAGACAATATTAACATCAAGAATGCTCAGCAGCACTTCAAGTATGTACACTTTACTTGGGAACCCAAGATCTCATCAATTCAAATAATAATAAGAATTATAATTCGGGTGCTAACAATTACTTTTGGTATTTAGAAAGCTGATGGGTGATTACAGACCTATGATGGTCAAACCTAAAAATGTTGGATGGTATGTTATACTTGATCACAAAAACTTTCATCCACTAATACTCTTTGCAGGAAATTCATTCGTTATGATAACCCCGAGACCAAGTTGTTCAACACAGACTACGATAGAATTACCTCTGTTCCTGAACCCGTCAGTGTTCCTAGTAAGTCCAAATAAAACAGATTGATTTAGTGTAGATGCTATTGATAATAATACTTATACTTACAATTAATTTTCATTAGATGGAAAGTACTTGGGTTTGGCTGTAGAATTGACTCTTGGTACAAGCCAATATGCAACCATGGCCTTGAGAGAGGTTATGAGAAGCGACACTTCTGCAAAAGCCCAGGCCAGAAATGTACACACATAAAAAAGAAAAGAAAAGAAGAGAAGAGAAAAACATACTCGCACATACATACATACATGCATGCACGCACGCACACATTTAAGAAGCAGAAGCAGAAGCAGAAGAAGGCATTAATAGTACATAAATTTATTGTAATGAAACTTGACATTGTTCACATATTTTCAAGAGCAATCTATACTGGACATCATTTCCCCCTTTTTTTAATCAATCTCAAATCACATACATACATACATACATTATTTCATTGATATACATTGAAACATAAATACTATATTCTTGTTTGTTGAAAAATAAAATAAAATAAAAGAGCTTTAAACATATAATATTATCCTTTTATCGCTCATTCTTTATGGAACCGAAAAAAAAAAGTATTTAAAACAAGCACACCTTTTTCTTCGGTGCTTGGAGATATCGTTGTACCTCCCAAATTTTTGGAACCTGTGGTGAGAATCAAAGGCAAACTGTAATTGACCTGGTCTTAGCGTTCATATATTTAATGTATCTATATACAGAGTTGGCGAAAAAGAAAGAAAGTAATTTGGATTTACTTGTTTAAACCATCTAAAATCTCTATATTTTCAATCGCAATGTATGAAAAGCATAAAAGCCTTTATAATAATCTAAGCTAGAACTATTGGGTGAATAGATGAAGAATAAGAAAAAGTATTTATTTGATTTGATTTACATGTGTCAAAGGTTACAAACCCAAAATACCTTTTCGCCCATTCTGTATATTTCAGAAACTATTGGTACAAAATCTAATGTGTATAGTATTTTTGTAACGATACGATAGTTTGTACACAGTCTTTACAAATCTATTCACTCTATTAGATATACCAATATTGTTTGTTTGTGTGTGTGAGTATGTAAATTACTTCCAAATGTGCATATATATATATGTGTATGTGTGTGTGAAAGTGTGTGAAAGTGTGGGAGAAAGTATATGTGTTCCGTACCAATTGAAAGGCCTGGTATTGATCATGTTTGCTTTCAATGATTATTTCGCTCGAATCGCACGTAAAATGTGTCTAAAAAGGTTATTTTTGGCTATAACTTACTTGTATTATCTTTTTGTACTAGATAACCAACATAAATAAAAATGCACCAGTCTCTCGGTAAAGTGTTATCAATTGGCTTTTATCTTGGTGTGATAGAGTGCATAATTGTCATACATAAATGTTACAATTTCACAAAGACGTGTTACAATCCCATTTTTTTAAAAATAATAATAATAATAATAATCAAGGAAGCCTCTTTTTATCATGTAAATTTATTAAGCCGTAAATATGTATTAATACCTGTATTGTTCCCAATGAAAGGTATCTTACCTACAGACAAGCAATTCATTATCAACTTTTACGATTGAGTATATACATACATGTAAAAGAAGAAAAAAGAAAAACAGTCGAGTCGAATTAATTGTACTCAGCTAATCATTTATTTATTTTTACCTTTTTTTTCTTTAAAAAAATGACTACTCCTTCTAAGGAAAATTTACCTTGATAGATAATAGCAAAGTAAATGTTCGTTGAGAATTAAAGAAACTTACTTTTCTTTAGACTTTACGGTTCAAGTTCAGGAAGTGCCTAGTCAAAAAGGCTTGCACAGACACACACACACATAAAACAAGAGGTATACATGTTTTTTTTTTTTACATTTTCTTTTTGACTCAAAAAAAGAAGAAAACCCCCCTGTCCGATCGAAATGGGGTTTAAAGATAGACAATGTCCTGAATATACCTAGGGTATCATTGGTTTCTAAGACATTTGCAACCGGACAGTGCATAAAATATCACGCCACTAAGCCTAGTGCCACATGAGTGGATAAGTTGCAGGAATAAATTACCCTATCTGCGCAAATAAATCTCAAATATACCCCAAAAAACAGCATCTCTGGGTTTGAAAATACTCAAATATACCCAAATAGTGTACTTTCTTTTTTTTCTGGTTTTATATTTTAAACACAGTTTTATCCCTTATAATTTATTTTTTTTAGGAAACCGTTCAAATGAATAAAAGCAAACGTAAATAAAGATTGCTCCGGTTTTGTTCTTTTCTTGTACAATCTTCACTCCAACTCAAATATGTCCAACACTTCTGACGTTTACCTCAAGGCTGCCCGCTATGGCAAGGACCTTGTTCGCATCATGAGAGTCTACAGAGAGGCCGATAAGCAGACCTGTACCGAACTTACCGTAAGTAACTCCCTCTTCTTCCATTGAATGAAACAATTGTCAGGATGACCAGCTTCCTAATATCGTTCACACAACCAATAGGTCAGATTGTTGTTGGAAGGTGCTATTGAGACCTCCTACACCAAGGCCGATAACTCTGTTGTTGTTGCTACTGGTAAGATATTTTTTATTATTATATTAAAGGAGTATGAGTTACTTACTGAATACGCAAAACAGATACCTGCAAGAACACCATCAACATTCTTGCCAAGCGTAGCTCCAACGTCGACAATATCGAGGTCTTTGGACAGGAAATCACTGCCCATATGTTAAAGCAGTATACCCACATCAGCTCTGCTCACGTTGACATCATCAAGCACAAGTGGTCTCGTATGATTGTCGATGGCAAGCCCCACCCCCACTCCTTTGTCCGTGACGGCGAGGAGCTCCATACCGCAAAGATCACACACTTGCGTGCCGGTAACAGCGTCACCATCACCTCTGGCTTGAAGAACCTCTTGGTCCTCAAGACCACCGGCTCTGCCTTCCACGGTTTCTACAAAGACGAGTACACCACCCTTGTCGAGACCTGGGATCGTATCTTCTCTACCTCTGTCGATGCCACATGGACCTATACTGTCAGACCCGCCGAAAAGTACTCTGCTGTCGATTACCCTGCTATCTACGCTTCGGTTAAGCAGATCACCATGGACACCTTTGCCAAGGACGAGTCTGCATCTGTCCAGGCCACCCTTTACTTGATGCAGCAGCAGATCTTGGCCAAGTACAGCGACGTTGCCGAAGTTAGCTATGCTCTCCCCAACAAGCACTATGTCGGTATCGATTTGAGCAAGTTCAACATCGACAACACCGGAGCTAAGATGGAAGTCTATCATCCCCAGGCCGATCCTTCTGGTAAGTAGTACAAGAGTTTAAAGAATAGAATAAAATAAACACAATAAGAGTTTCAAAAGGAATAGAGGGAATAAATGTATATTAAAAGGGAAAGAGAGATAGGGAAGTTATGGTCAAGGACTGAATATATCTAATGCTCTTTTTTTTCTATTTTATAAACTTTTACCAGGCCTCATCACTGCTACTGCTGCCCGTAAGCATACATCCAAGCTTTAAATACGTCATCAAAGTAAATTGTAAGGCTGCAGAAAGAAAAGGGAAAAAAAGGGAAAAAAGAAGAAGATTTATCTTTATCTTGCTTCCTTTATTCTTTTGTTCTTTAAATTCTGTTAGTCATGTACATAGTTTCATTTCACACAAATATTCACAAGTCAATTCAAACTCTGTCGCAACAAACAAGCGATCCAAACTCAATAAATACAAAACCATTTTACCCATTCATCTAGTATTTATTTTGGGTTTTTGAAATATTATTTCAATTTATGGGTGATAATTGGGCAAGTAAAATGCATAGGCAGGCACACCTACTTTTCTTTCTTTTCTTTTTTTTTATCTGACCGCAAGCACAAGGGGAGGTGCATATTAAACAACTACACTCACGACCTATTCATTTCTCTTTCTCTTTTATATATGCAGATCTAGAGAGAAATAGAGAGAGATAAAGAATATAATATAGAAAAGCTGAAACCAAAATCTGTAATGGTTTAATATCTTTAGAGTTTAGAGCATAATGTGAATGAAGAATCATGTCCTTAGATAATAATGATAATATTAATAAGACTAATATCTAGATTCTACAATTGGTGCCAATTAAGTCAAAGTAAAATTAATAAAAGAGAAATATTCATTATTGTTATTGTTATTATTATTAATTCTTATTGGCACACAGCAGGAGATTGCAACATGTGGAGCAAGAAAAATGAATAAATTTAGCCTGCTATTTTAGACTATAACCAAATATACTGTCACTTGGATAGAAAGTGAAAAGAAAAGAAAAGAAAAAGAAAAAGGATCTTCAGGAGAAATAACATGGGAGAAAGTGGTTGGCCCGTGTGTATTCATATTTAGTCAAAATGAATAAATAAATCAATCAATTGAATAAAAGGAGGATTACAAACATACAGGGATCTTAGATATTTTGAACCTTTCTTAAAAAGAAATACGATTAAAATATCACTTGCAGGCTTTTCAAGCCAAATTAAATTAAATCAAACCAAGTCAAATCAAGCCAATTTGGCAAGGAATTTGGACCATAAAAATATAACCATATTAATAAACACATAGAAAAATTAAAAAAAAAAAAAAGGTTTAAGCTCTGACTACCTACAAGAAAAATATTATTCAAAATAAATTATCCAACATTTCCATTTCACTGGCACAACTCAAAACAAACTACACAATTAAGCGTAATTAAGGACATCATAGTACAGCACAAGCACAGAAACTAATATAAAATATAGTCACACTATAGAAGTCACAAAGCCATCTTTTTTTCTTTATTCTTTTTGGGAACTTGCAGGAACCACACACACACACACACACAGTGGTAACTCCAAGAAGAGCAGTCTTTTCACAGCCAAGTGATTTGTGCTCGGTTTTTTCTCGTCCTCTCAATCCAGTCATTAGATTCCAATCACTATATAGATGTCTGCAAAGTACACCGTAGCTGATCTTGTGCCCAAGATCCAGCAGAACATTGATGCTATGGACTATCCAATGGCCTATGCTTTCTGCAAAAAAGCCATGGAAATGGAGCCTAGCAATGTCGACCTTCTCGAAGTTACTGGTCAGGTAGAAATGGAACTTTCTCTTTTTGCTGAGGCTAGAGAGGTAAGAAAATCAAATTTTGAAATAACAACAAAGAAAGAATATATATATATATAAAGAATAGCAAGGAAATAGAGTTTCTCAACTATGGCTCTTTATTTTACATGTAGCATATCCTTGCAGCTATTAGACAGAACCCTAATTCTGGCTACAGCAAGTATATGTACCTTGGACAACTTTCAGTAGAGATGGAAGCTATTGGTGCATTCCAAAAGGGTGTTGAATTGATGGCTACTGAGAGAAACAGTGTACCCGAGGGATCAGAAGAGGCACGCATACTGGCATCCAAGATGGCTGGTGCACTTTGCTCAATGACAGAAATTTATTTGACAGATTGTTGGTAAGGAGAAAACAAATTATTTTACTTTTTTAAAAAAAAGAGGGGCTACAAGATAGACGAATGGAAAAAAATATGTGCTTCTTTGTGCTATTGTTCGTATTCATGTTCGTATTCTCATTCTTACTCTTACTCTTAATCTTATTATTATTCCTGTTACTATTAGCTTTGAACCCGAAGCAGAACAAAAGTGCGAAGAATTCCTTCAACAGGCTCAGCAAGTCGATCCCGAAAATCCTGAAGTCTATCAGTTGTTGGCTTCAGTTCGTTTGAGTCAGTCACGAAACGAAGAGGCAGCAGCAGCACTGGAAAAGAGTATGCAACTGTGGATTGACAAGGAATTCGGAGATCCAGCGATACCTAGTTACGATGCCCGACTTGCGTTGGTGAAACTGCAGCTCGAGATGGGAATGTTCCCAGCAGCATTTACTGTACTTGAGGGCTTACAAAAGGAGAATGATCAAGTGGTTGATTTGTGGTATCTTTACGGCTGGTCTTACTATTGCTTGGGTGAGGATGAAAGTATGCCAAATGAAGATAGACAGGCCAACTGGGAAGATGCCCGTGATTGCTTAGAATTGGCAGTAAAGGTAAGCTGATACACAGAGATATATAAGTGTTATTTTTAAGAGACACAAAAAAATCGAAAAATAACAATAACAATAACAATATTAATGCTTATTTTCTTTTTCTTTTTTGCTATAGTTGTACAAAACAGTGGGTACAGATGATGAGGCCATGGTTGAGCACGCAAATGAGCTGATACAGTCTATTAATGCGGTTGTACCCCCATCTGCGCCAGAAGATGAGACTTTTGCCGATGATGCCGAGGCCGAGTACGAAGATGAAGATGAAGATGCTATGGAGATGTGATTTTGTTCTATTTTCCTTTCTTTCTTTTTGGTTCTTTTTCCTTCTTTTTTTTTGAAAAAATTACTTCCTTCAAACCTATCATGTATTATTAACGTGTTCTATACTCCCCCTTTCTTATTCTTCTTCTTCTTCTCTTCATCATCATCATTTCTTCTTCTTCTTCTTCTTTTTCTTTAGTTCTTCTTTGTAATGTCTACATAATATATTCCACCTGCACTTACTGCTGTATCTCGGTTGGTTTGGAAAGAAAGAAAAAAAACAAGGTTTACAGATGTAAAGGGAAAAAATGTACACAAATCCAAATTATGATAAATAATTTTAATACCACTTGTATTTTGCTGCTTTGTTTTGGTTTATTTATTTTTTCGCTGATTTTATGGTTTAGCTTCATTCTAGTGCGTTGCATGCATTCCTTACTGTTTGCAAGGAAATATTATTAAGATCATTAATACGAGCTAAAACATCAAATAAAATAAAATAGAATAAAGTACAGGATATGGTGTGTATATATGGTTCTTTTTTCGTGATACTTGTCAAAGAGAATATATCATATGCTTTGTATATGTGTATATATAAAAATAAAAGTTGAGACAAAGAGGGAGTATATTTGCTTGGGTGTAGATCAAAATAAGATGGCGAATAAAAGACAAGCAAAAAAATAAAAAATAAAATAAAAAAAAAGAATCAAAAAGTGGCTCGTTTTGAATAGTACAAAAAAAACAATTGAAACGATCACAATGTCAGTGCTGAATAGTGTACTGAATATGTTACACTCAATACTCATAATATTTGTACCTGTATTTGGATTTGTATACTTTTTTTGAGAAAAAAATTAAGAGACAGTTATGATATTCGGGTATCACTACAGTGGGATGTAAATGGAAATAAAGAGAAAGAAATAAAGAGATGAAAGGGAGCTTGGTTTGTTTGTTTTGTTTGTTTTTCTTGGGGGTATGAACAATACATGAAGAAAAAGAAAATTGAAACAATAAATGTTGTTATTATTATTATTATTGTTATTATTATTAAGAAAGAATGTGCAAGACAAAACAATACTGCAAAGATTACTGTTCTTTGTTTTAATGGTGTCATGATGTTTGGATTAAAGTATCATCGAAATAGGCAATAATTGAGACGCTATTTCTTGCCTTCTTCTACCTCCCACTATCTCTCTTAGTCTCTCAATATATCTGTCTTTACTATCGATGTGTGGGATCAAGACTAGGCTTAGGAATGTGAGATATGAAGGAAAGAAACAAAAGTCACAAACATTTGAGAGAATAAAAAGTAGTAAGGTTAGCAGGCAAAGAAAGAAGGGAAATGTTTCCTTTGTACATTTTATTATTAGTCGATTGAAAACATCATATCCCCCACTCGTGTTCTACTTTCAACAATTTGCTCAAACGATTCAAGACTACGGGGAATGTATGATCCTGATTCTCCCAAAAACAATTCTTGTGTAGTGTAGTGTAGTGTAGTGTGTAGTGTGTACTTTTATTTATTTATTTGGTGTGTTTGAATGTATGCATTAGTTTTGTTTCCAAGTACATATGATGTAGTTTTGGCCGTTTATCAGTGTTGTCACAATCTGTGGAGAATAAGATACATGTATACATACATATAATTTGTAGTATACAAGTGAAATAAATGTGATTAGTAAAAACCAAATTTGACTACACAAGCCAAGTGTCGATTGAAATTGATAAGACATTGGTGTAATAGAAAGATACCATTTTATTCTTCCTTTGCATCATAGCAATACAGACATTGGGTATTCTAAGAAATCCAATCGATAATTAAAATATCCTTTTAGTTACCTTTCTTGAGTCTAAAAAAGAATCCCAAACACAGGAACCATTGGTGCACAGACGTAACAAGTAAAGAAGAAGAAGAAAAATATGCCTAATAATTTCAATGACAAAAAATAAATAAATATATGTATATGTATTTTATAATTATTATCTATGAATGTTTGATGTATATCTTACTGCTATGGTTACTGCTGCTATAGTTACTGTTGCTATAGTTACTGTTGCTATAGTTACTGTTGCTACAATTTGTTTCAGTAAGCCCAAGTTCAAACAAAAATAAAATAAAATAAAAAATTAAATCCTATGATGAATATATGATTTGACTGGTTGTACTTGTTGCAAGATTCTGTCGTTATTTGACTTCAAAATTTTGTGTACCTTGAATCTCCTTTAAGATATTAAGATATATAACACAAGAAAGAAAGAAAAAAAGCCTAAGAAAACTTGAGCCAATAGAGGTTTGTATTATTTTGTGTTGAACTTAGATTCCAGGCTTTCCTTAAAAAGAAGTTAAGAATTGTGCTGGTGGGTTCACAGGTTAATAAATAAATAGATAAATAAATAAATAAATAAAATTTATTTTGGAATAGATGCCTAAATTCTAAAAAAGCATATAGTATAAATCAGGCGAGTTGGACTTCTATTTAGATTCCAACTGGCTTGTTGAGCTCATAAGTCTCTTGATGATAAAATGTCATACGCGAGCACTTGCTACTGGTGACCAAATCTATGTATCATTCCGTTTGTATCTTACCGCCTATACAGATCTAGAGATTTCACAAGTGAAATTCCCTACAGTAATGACGTAAAAACGTTTTATTTTGTCTTTTGGTGTAAAGAAAAAGCAACAGCCTAAACTCAAGACAGAAATATTTTGTTTGTATTTTCTATTTATGAATTTGACTACGCTTGGGCTTATTTCGTGATAATCGATAGCTTATTTTCTGATATTTCTATTTCGTACAGAATTTCAGAGTTCCCAGGCTTGATTCCATAACTATACTTTAGCTCTGTCTTTTTGCTCTCTCACTCTCTCTCACTCTTGTTCTTGCTCTTGCTCTATTCTCCCCCAATGTTTTTTCTTTGCCCCTCAACATTAACATTAACATTAACACCAGCTTAATTCACCTGTCTCCCCCACCCCCCCTCTTTCTCTCTCTCAATATATATATATATATTTATTTTATTTTTCTTGGTCATTATTTTCAAAATAAATAAAAATAAATAAATAATATTAAAAATAAATGCTTGTAAATTTTTGCTTAGATTGATATTGAAACATTAGCAAGAAAATTCAATTTAGTTATTGATTATATATTTATTAATATTACTACCCCCCTTTGATAATAATGAAAAATGAATAAATACAAATGTATTTTTTTCTACTATGATGATGATGATTATTATCTATATCTTTAAAAATCATTATTGACTTTGTCCCTGTAAGAATATTTATATATATATATATATATGTATTACATGTATTTATATTTTGACTTTGTGTTCCAATATTTTTGTTTTTTAGCTTTTTTATTATTATTTATTATTTATTATTATATTTTTTGCTTGGTTTCAACTATTAGTCTTTTTTATTATTATTCTTAATTATTAAGGTATTTTGATATGTCCTTGTGGTACAATGGCTTAATGGTTAGTATGTAGAGATTTTGATACTTGATTATATATATATATATATATATAATATATAATATATACACGCATTATATAGATAGATATATATATATTAAAATAAATAAATAAATATAAAAATCCGCGTTTCGAGGCATGTAATTCGCGAGTTCCTGGTTGATTGATTGATTAAGTGCCATGTCGCCATGGAGTATTAATGTGTCCCTGTATTAAAAAGAAATATATATATATATATATTTAATAATTTCTGTCACGATGTGTGATCGAAGAGAGAGAGAGAGAGAGAGAGAGCCTTCCGTTGTAATTCATCATTCCATCCCTTTTTCGCACCCCTTGATAGACAATTTGATTCTATTTCTTTTTGTTTGAAATGAAGGACCGCTCCTTTTAAGTAAGGGCTACTAAATAAAGGAAGATGACAGCTTTTACAGAGAAAAATAAATAAAAAATAAAATCAATAAAGAAATATTACTATTCTTTACAGTATCATTATATTTTTTTATTGGGCTCCTTTAAATTATTTATTTATTTATTTATTTATTTTTTCATAAAGACAATAATAAATAATTTATAATGGCTAACCCAACCCAAGTCAAATCAACTAATCTCTTAAAGGGTCTTTGATTGACTTGAAAGTATGCTAGTCATCGTATCAGAAAGTGGCCAAAATGAGATATTCAGGGTGTAGTGTCTCAGGTGTTTATTTTGTTTTCTTGGTGTCGCAGGCGAGACAAACAACACAGCCGGACAGATAGTTCTTTTGAATAGGTTCGTCTATTATATAATTAGATATCTTGCACACAAACATGTAACAGTGATAAGCTAAATGTCCGTGTTAAGAGTGTGCATATGCGCATGCATGTTCTCTTTTGAATGGTATTGTTTTTTTTGTTCCATAATTGGCCCCACCTCCCCCCTTTAATTTTTATTATTTTATTTTTTTCAAATCGCAATGTATATAAAGGCCCAACCTACAACACCAAGGACAACACATTTTTTTTACCTGTTGCTTTACTTTTTCTGACTTTACAAACCCAAAAAAAAAAGCTTAAAAAAATAATATTATAAAGAATCCTAATAATTCTTTCTTGCGCTCTCATTCTCATTCACTCTACACACTCGTACTCGTACTTAACCTCTCATATCTTATACACACTCACGCATTCACTTCTATTTCACCACTCTAACAAATATCTGAAAATGAACAGTACGTCGTCCTACAACAGAACAATAATAAAATAGCACCATAACTTCAAATCACTTACTCATCTTATCCTAATAGTTGCTGACATGCTAAACCCATCCGCAGTAGCCGATGATACGCCAACCTTCAAGCAGACCTGCTTTCAATTGACCTCTCCTCCACACTCTCCCACCCACAAAACGAAAGAAAGAGCGTACTCTCTTTCTGCAGCCAGCATAAATGGCAAGGCACGCAGTCGGTTCTCCGACCTTGAAGACACCATTATATGCGATGGCGTTGCAAACGGACTGACATGGGGGCAGATCTCGAGACAACTTCCACACCGAAAGAGAGCAACTTGTTTTAATCGATATAGAACATTGCAAGGAATTCGCAAGTCACGCAAGTCTCTTCTTTTACTTGACTCAGATCAAGAACCTACGACCACAACCACAGCGAATACTATCGCAGCCATAACCACAACTACAGCCACAGTCACCAATACAAACGTACCTACAGCAACAGGTACAGCAACAGGTACAGCAACAGGTACAGCTACATCTACAGCTACAAGACCATTTGTGCGTCACTCCTTGTCTCCATCTTCACTGGTATCGGGATTCTCGCCTTCATCGGTTGGCTCTTGGCTACCAATCACTCCGCCAAGCCGAACATTTGAAGACAATGAATTGCCCTCTCTAAAGAAAGATGGCCACGGCTTACAACGCAGTCTATTCGGCGATCTCAGTTCCGAAAACGCCCCTTCACACCGCCCCCAACACAAACCCATTTCTGGACAGCAAAAACTATCCAAACCCTTCCGTTCGTCACTCATCCACCCCTTTGTGACCTTTCCGCTTAGTAAACACACCAGTCCACCATCGTCTCCAATCCCTTACTACAGACGTTTTTCATCTTAACATATATATATATATACATACATACACTTCTTTACTAGGCTGGTTGACCAGGTCTTTCTCTGTACAGAAAAAAAAACTTAACATCCACAAATACCCTACTCACATATTATTATTATTATTATTTTTCTTTAAAGAAAAACACACCCACCCACTCACCAACCCACATACACACACTTTCATTTACATTTTCATTTTCATTTTCATTTTCATTTTCATTTTCATTTTCATTTACATTTACATTTACATTTACACTTACACTTACACTTACATTTACACTTACATTTGCACTTACATTTACATTTACATTTACATTTACATTTCTGTTCCCCTTGATATTCTTTTATGTCTCAATTGTTATGTATCATAATTCAGTAATTTATATATATATATATATATACATATATTTTTTTTATTGAAAAAGAACAAGATTCACATACACATGCACACTTCTTTAATATGCTTTTCTTGTTGCTGAAATTTAATCGAGAATTATTATCTTTTTTTTTTCTCTTAAAAAAAGTCTATTTATTGGACTTTCTTAATAAAGTTCTGTTAAACAATACGCAAGGGTTTAAGAAGAATATGAAGTTTGTTGCTGTATGTGCTGCTTGGTACTTCCTGATGTCGTTTGATGCCGCTTAATGCTGGTATTGTTGCTGGTATTAGTGTTGGTGTTGGTGTTGGTGCTGGTGGTGGTGCTGGTGCTGTTGTTGATATTTTGGTTTGTTTTTTTGTTGTTGTTATTGTTGTTGTTGTTGTTGATATTTTGGTTTGTTTGTTGTGTATTATTTTTGTTGTTGTTGTTTTGGTATTGTCGGCGGTGGAGTGATGGTTCCTTGTCCTCTCTCTCTCTCTGTGTGTGTGTATATATTTATTGGATTTTACTTTCAACTGTGTTTCGGTAACCTATATATACACACACACATACACGCACGCGTAGTATATATAATATACTATAATATATAGTAAAATTAAATTATAGCCTTACAAGGGTCATAGTTTCCACTAGCTTCTTTTTATTGCTCGATTTCTACATTAATATAAATATTTGCCCAAAACCATAAATTGTGTATTTTTGATCCTGATCCTGATTTTGGTGTTTCTGTTGATGATGATGTTTGGTGTTGCTGTTGCTACGGTTATTTTGTTATTATTATTATTATTATTGAATTCACATCTATGTTACTGTTATTATGATGCCACCCAATTGAAAATATACTATTGTTTGTGCCATGCGCCGTGTATTCTAGACAACCTTGTACATTACATTACATTACATACGGACACATTTATATGTGAATGTTTCATAATCAAACGCTCATATAAATCACATATCATATACATACAAATTCTTTATGTATATTGTGTATTATAAATCAACACATCAATATTTTATTTTATTTTATTTGATAATCTACTGTGTGCCTCTGAACTTGGCAAATGTCTCCTTGACACCTGCACCATTTACTAGCGCCTCCATGCACTGTGAATCAATTGCCACATTCTTTTTGCAGCTCTCTAGAACATCATTCAATAGCTTTACGGGTACACAGACAACTCCTTCCACATCGGCTACAATAATATCTCCTGGATAGACTACAACAGAGGATGTCGACATACTAAGAGGCACCTGGATCTGGGAAGGTCTCAGGAACGCATTTTGTGGCAATATCGAATGTGATTTTGCAAACACCTAAAAATCACACACCCACACAAAGGAAACAAGTTAACAAACAAAACAAACAAACAACAGCAGCAATAAATTTGTACCAAATCTTATGAATTTTAAATATCCAAAAATAAAAATCATAAAACTTACAGGGAACTGCATTGACCGATGTTCATTCAAATCTCTAACCCTGCCATCAATAACAACGCCCTTTGCCTCTCTGGCCTTGGCACGTGCGCTCATCAACCCACCCCAGACAGCATTTTTGACATCTATTGAACGAATTTTTCTTTATTAAATATTATTTCTCAATATGATAGCCGGAGCTTACCTGGAGGCGCAGAAACAACGACAATACTTTGGCTTGGGATACTGTCAGCCTTTGTATATTATTATAATCAATGCTTTTAAATCAAATGTGCATATGAAACCTAACATTTTACTCTACGCTGTAGTTAGTGCTTACAAAATGACTTGAAAGAGTAGGTGCATCTTTATCCAATTTGTCAACCAGCTTTATTAAATCCAAAATAAATATGTCAGTCAAAATATAAATAAACACAAATCAAATCAAATCAAATCAAATCAAATAAAGCAGGCCCCTCAACCCACCCAGTCAATCAAATTAATCAATTGATCAATTTATTGATTCATATATGTATACTTATCTAAAGAATACTATTTTATCAAAAAAAATATTTACTTGCCTTTACTGTATAAGCAGGTCCAATAATCCTTGTCTGTCCTTCGCAGTAAGTCGGAGACCACATATCAATGTCTGCAATATAACCTCCCCAAGGCCGCTCTCCTAGTTTCAACAGAGCATCGGCAATCTATATCGATAGTTGACAAACAATATATATATATATATATACATACACACATACACAATACATATATGAATGCATATACACACACACGCACACACACACGCTCAAGTACACATGGGTACATAATTTTTCTTTTTCTTTTTCTTTTAGACATATATAAAAAGGGCTCAAGAGGTGTATTTTATGTTTATAAATTTAATTTAATTTGATATTATATTATATTTAGGGGTCCACTGTCGGATTTGGTTTTGGAATGACAGCCAAATTAGCTCTTAATCTTACTTCGCAAGTTGAGAATTCAGCAAGAGCATTCAATGTCGCGTAAGGTGCCTCCATTAAAAGAAGATAAACGAGGAAAGTAAAACAGCAATAATAATAGAGAGAGAGAGAGAAAGAAAAAATAAGAGAGAGAGAGACAGACAGAGAGCAAGGAGTGGCAGCTCGTTTCACGTGAGAGCAAGAAAACCTTAATCATTTTTTGGGGGGTATTGTCGGCTTAATGACTGCTCTTCTTCTATTTCCTTTTTATTCTTACTTTCTTACATTGATCTCTTATTCTTATTCTTATTCTTATTCTTAGTTATCTATTCTGGAGAACGTAACACATTAAAAGATTACAAAGTTTAAATAATAAGAATCACCATAGTGATATATTAATTTTTTTAAAAAACAAAATAAAATAAATAAATAATATCACAATAAGCATAATCACAATACGCATATAATAATTAAACACAATACACATGTGTATCATAAAGCAGATATCACTCTGTAGAAACTAGCGGAGGATAATTGTTGTTTGACAGTAAAAAAAGTATGGAAGGATTATAAGAAAAAGGAAAGAAAGACACAATATATTGATGCTGCTGTATGACGCAGTCCCGGTAGCACACGGTGGGGTAGGCAGCCAAGAGGCTTTCTATCGATACACAGCTTGAGTTGCTATTTAAGAGGATAAAAGTTATTCGCTCACTTATAAAATATATACTGATAATCACGTACAAATCATAAATATATATATAAAAGATGGAATGATACTTGAGGAAACACTTTACTAATTGCAATGGACTTCAATTATAGTTTATCAATAATGAATAATCATAGTAATTAAACACACCAAAAAGCCTTGTTTTGTTTTTTAATCTTATTTTTTTTAAAAAAAAATAGTGTCTTGGTTGGAACTTATAGCCCACCTAGCAACTAAATATCTATCTATCTATCTATCTATACACCCTTACACCCTTACACCAACACCAACACAGCATTCTGTATATCTAAATTTCTATATTTTATGTTTTTGGAGGGGTTCAATTAGAAGAGTATTACCTCTTTTTTTCTGTCCCCCTTGTACACCAATACATTTGGCATGACAACGCTGAGATAAAAATTAAACAGGAGCTTATGTTAAAGAGAGAAAGTGAGAGGAAAGATTTCCTGTTTAAAGTTGTCCCGACACTACAGGCAGTAGATTATATATATATTTATACATACAATATATATATATAGTTACATTAGGTCAATACAAGCTTTTTTTTTGTTCTTAGATACAAAAAGCAATAAATTGATAAATAGATATAGGTTGATGAGTAGATAGATAGAAATAACGCAGCTTACAATTAGGTACAATTATGTTTCCTCTCAGCCATATACATTTCTTTTTCTCTTCTCTATTTTCTTCTTTCCCTTCTCTCTCTTTTTGATTTTTCTTCTTCTTTAACCAATTACTTTACTTCATTTTATTGTATTTATTTTACTGCTGAAATTTTCTTTGTATTTATTTTTTATATAATTGCATTCATCATTGTGCATGCACCATTCGTACTCTGGCCTCTTTACGATTGTTGACGCAGGATAGCCGATGCAGAACACCATTGATATCACACCTCTTGAAGAGGAACCTCCAACGAAGCCAACTGAAAATGTTTATCGAAAAAGGCATGCATCTCTCATGCCATCCTCCTCCCCTCGTCACAGCTCTCGCCATTACTTTCAGAGAAGATTATCCGTACCAGATCTCCATCGTCTAAAAAAAGAATGGGGCAAATACCAATCGTCTGGTATAGAAGATCTAGAGTTATCCAAGTTACAGGTTAGAAATATTTCTATATGTATATTTTAAAGAAAACAAAATTTTAAATTTTAAATACATGTGTATAATTTGTTGCCATGCATTTTTTTTTTATTTTTATTTTTTTTAGGTGGACTTGCTTAATATTCAATCGGATATTCCACTAAAAAGACCATTAATACGAGTCAAAATGGGATCTTCAAAGTACTATACCATGCGTTCCCGTTCTCCTACTGGAGATTGGAATGAAGGATTTGTATTTGTAGTAACTTATCACACTCAATTGTTTGATACTATAGAGGTAAAGTTTGTACACTTTTATGCTTTATATATATATATATGTATATACTAAAAATAATAACCCTATTTTGCTCTAGTTTGATCTCTATGACCAGCCTAGAAAGCGATGGCCTTCGAATGTAAAACATCTTGGAAAAGCCAAACTCAAGTTATCCAAATTAGCCGGTAAAGACGATATTTTTGTAACGTAAGCCGCCTTAATTATATACATATATATATATATATTTACATTTACTTTTCTTTTTTTTTCTTAGATTTTTGCCCGTATATGAATACCATATTCGTCGATCTTTGCCTGCCGAAATCCTTGATACTCTGCAGGAATCTTCGCTCCGGCTGAAGAAGATGGTCGATGCTGCAGTCCCTCCTGCAAAGCTTATCGGCTCTCTACAGATACGAATCCGATACCATTTCCAGCAGCCTTCAGATGTCCCCACTCTTGCCATAGCACCATATCCAGAACTACTCCAGCAGCGAGGGTGCAACGGCGCAAATAGTATCGTTTCTGAGAGTGACGATGATCAACCAGGATATTATTCGGACACAGCATCCATAAACACAGCCAGTCCTGTGCAGAAATTATCAATAGGTACTAATAATATCATCAACAACAACAACGACAACGACAACGACAATCAGCCTAGATTATCAGCCGTCGATGGCTGCATAGACGAAACTGGGGTCTGGCCTATCACCACTTTCCCCACCGGAAACACACTTTCTCCTCCTGATAACACGCCCCGCAACAACAGTACTTCATCCCAGCATAACCGAGGAGAGCTTGCTCAAGACGAGCACGTCGTCAATTCTTTATTTATGAACCGCCTCAGTACAATCATGACCTCACAAGTACCCTGCTCTAAGCAAAATACCATCAATACCTTTCAGAGACCAAATATATCAGCAACAAGCAGTCGAGAAGGATTAAACAGCGACATTGACTGGAGACAGAACGAGTCCCGGCTCGAACTCCACCCAAACTCATTACGCTCAAGTACGACTAAAACTAGAGACTGTCAATGGCTCCGAGCCATTCTCTGGCCCGTAAATAGATCAAAACTTGCGTCGAATCGCGGACGACGCTACGGATTCTCTCAGAATGATGCTGATGAGACCCAATCGACTCTCCCGACAATCAGAATCCAAGACGCAAACAATAACGATAATGCTAATGCTAATGATAATGCTAATGTTGATAACGACAGACACAAAGGCAAAGAAAAAGTAAAAGAAAAAGTAAAAGAACAAAAGGGTCGAATCAAAAAGGGAGCAGAAAAGGCTCGGTACATTATCCACAGTGTGAATTTTGGAGACAAGAATTTTGGATTTCAGTGGATGCAGGATTCTTTTGAGGATGTTGCCATTTCACATCCATTGATCGATTCACTTGTTGGTTTGGTCGTTAGTGGGCAGACACGCGCAATGGTGCGGGCCCTTATAAAGCTGGCAAATGCATTTGTACGTAATTAACTTGAATATCATTAAAAACATACAGAGCAAGAGAGATAGACAAAGAAAGGAAAAAAGAAGGTCCTTGTCTAGCCACTAAATTAATTAGTTCTTTTTCTATTATTTAAATATATGTTCTTAATTATGTATGTATGTATGTATGTATTAGGGTCAAGGGTTCAAGGTTACAGGCTTTCAATTATTAAAAGCAATGTTGGTATTACAAAAGTACTACCAATCATTACCAGAGTAAGTTATATAAAAAAAAGTATATTTATTTCTTTCTTCTCCATTTATTTCGTAGTTGACCATTGCAGTGGTCCTTTGAGAGATCCTTTTCATTGGACCCTGCATTGTGTGAGTAAAGAGATAAATGGGCATATGTATATATATATTTATTAATTTTTCTTTATTAATTTAATTTGTAGGCCTCCTCCCGAACCTCTTATTTATGACCGCACGTTGGTCAATGACTCCCGCCATTACTTTGACTATGCGCTCATAGCCTATGTAAGGAAATAGATTTGTATCTTTATTAATATATACATAGCAAATAAAGAGAACTTTGTAAATGATCTTTCTAATGCTCTCTTCAGGGATGGCGTGGTCTTGTCTATTTGGGGGCTTATGGTCAATATATTCGAGGTAAGAAATACAGCGTCCTTTTCTTTAGATCTCTCTATCTCTATCTCTATTATTATCATTTTCAATAAACAAAAAGACAGGGGTTAAAGAATAGTAATAGCAATAGTTATAGCAGTGCCATTAACATTAATAATAATAAATCATCACCTCACCCAAATATATATATATATATATATATATTAAGGAGCACGGCATCGTCGGTCCAATCGTATGGCCATCCTACGCTACCTTCAAATACCTCCTGAAGACTTGCTAGGGTACGAATATGGATTACGCAAAGGAGCAGCATTCCAACCAAGTTATTTTCTTGCCATAGACCGCTCTCGAAAAGCAATTGTGCTCAGTATCCGTGGTACTTGGGTAAGGGTTTTTATAAAAAAAATTAATCTATAATATAATTAAAAAAAAATTGACATGATCTATTTTCCATATTTACTTATATTTACTTTTTATTTTGTGCGTGCTTGTGTGTGTGTGTGCTTTTATTTATTTATTTCTTTATTTATATATTAATGTCTCTCAGAGTCTCTATGATGCTATTACCGATCTAGTCTGCCTCTACAAGCCTTGGAAAGGAGGTTTGGTGCATTCAGGCATGTTGGCATCGGCCCAATGGTTCTATACAGAAATTGTCCCTCAGATCTTCCGCTACATCCATCACCATAGAAACGAACTTTCCTCCTTTATCATAACTGGCCATTCACTTGGAGGAGGTGCGGCCAGTCTTTTGACAATGATGGTTGTCGATCACCTTGAGGAACTTCGTGATATCTCTCGCAACCCCACTTTCACACTTCGATGCTATAGCTATGCACCCGTTGCCTTGAGCTCGCAACAGCTCGGTAGTCAGTACGATCGTTTTATTTATAGTTTTATTTGTCAAGATGATATTGTTGGAAGACTTTCGTATGGTACTGCTATGGAACTAAAAGAGCTGGTAATGGACACAATCGGAGCGTATGAAACCCTCGGCGGCTGGCGCAAGGTAAAGAAAGAAAGAAAGAAAAATCAATATATCAATATATCAACATATTGAATGGGAAAGAGAAAGTCAAAGTCAAAGAAGTTTAAAATTCTCCGGGCTGACATGTATTTTTTTCTTTCTTTATTATTATCTTTGAATAGGTAATGTATGACTCTGAGACTCGCGAGGTTTGCTTTGAGATCATCTCTAAGCGTCGTAAGCAAATCTACAATAATGCAGAAGAGTTATATCCTCTGGTAAGTTTACTAGTATTCAATAGCACTCTCACACTGTAACAACAACAAAATAGATAGAAATAGTTAACCAAACATATATATATATCTAGCTCTATATTCCTGGGAAAATTATTCATATAGTCAGGAAACGTGAGATGCGTTTTGGTGGAAACGAGCGTCACAAGAAGGATGGACCCGAGGCGGGAGAGAATAGACGAGGAAAGGAATCCAAACGAGAGTCTGTCTCGAAACACATTCCAGGCGCCAGTCGACACACTTACACAATGCATGTAGGAAACCGCGCAATATCAAATGAAATGCTGGTGACAACAAAGAGTGTGGAAGACCATATGATATCAAGCTATCGAAATGCATTCAGTCAATTGGGCGCCAGTAGTCCATCTTAATCATCATCATTAACTTATTAACACCGGTTCTTTTACTCTATACCCCCCACCCCCACTCTTCCAAAAAAGAAACATACAAACATATATATATATATAAAACAAACAAATAGAAAAAGAGATTCGCCTTATGTATTCATCACTTGCTTGTTGTATAATAAAGAAGCATATAATATAATATAATATACTTTAATTTAATATAATGTAATTCAATGCAATGTAATTCTATTTAATTTAGTGTAATAAAATAGCTTGCACCAATACTTCTTGTCATCTAATGGACTTTATATATATGTATCAAGCTCACATTCATACTTATGCTTTTACTTTTGCTCATGTTCATGCCCATACTTAAACTCACATTTAGTTATTTAAACTGTTGCCGAGGCCAATACTCTAGAAAATACACCAATTTTATTTTACTGCGACTCAACTCATGATATTAACAATTATTTATTAATGGTATATTAGAGTTCCAACGTAGCTCTCATATGATATTTGTTGTTATTCTAATCATATCCAAGACAAACCAAACTCTCTGAAACAAGTCCTAATAACCATTAGATCTATTTACATAATAGCCAACGTTTGTGATACGCTTCTTTTATTTATTTCTCGTTGTAAATCTACCAGAAAAAAAAAACAAAAAACAAAAACAAAGTCGTATTGGTATTGTAATAATCCAACAGATCAAGACTAGGTTAATTCAGATTGACTAGCTGACTGACTGACTAACTGAATGACTGGCTGACTGACTGACTGACTTAATGAATGAATGAATGAATGAATGACTAGCTGACTGCCGGACTTATGTACTCAACCACGTTTCACTCTGATGTACTATCTGACATGCTGCAAAACGACTCAGTTGCTCAGCCTGGAATTTCACACCATGCCAAACAGTTTCAAGATGGGTGCGTGTATCAAAAAGATACATTCTTACCTATTGAAATCAATGGAAACAAGAGCATACAAAATGAAGCTACAACAATCTGCCAAAACACAATTTGTGTGAATCTTACCACAACAGAAACAAAGGATATTCCAGTTGCTCACCATCAACCAAGCCAGATTCAAGACAACCGGACCTCTGATCCGTCTCCCAACAAAGACCCCGCTTCACCGTCCCTTCCTGCTGTGGAACCAAGAACAAGAAGAACAAGAAGCTATCCGGTGAGCGCAACAGTTGCAGCAAACCTCACGCCACTTTCGACACTTTTATTGCCCAGAAAAAAAGAAATGGATAATTCAGAACATTTCAAGATTGCTATCCAAACTGCCTATCTCACAGATAAACCTCTTCCGTCAATCCCGTCCATTGCGTCTATTGCGTCTATTGCGTCTATTGCGTCCTCTCCGTCCGTTTCTTCTATTCCGTCTCTTCAATATCAGCAAGATTTTATTCCTAAAGAAGGCGGTTCCGACTCTATTCGATCTGTACAGCTATCATGCCACAGCTCCAATACAAGAGGCAGTGCAACTGCCAACTGGGAATCCATGTTTGACCCATTTAGTACCTTTCAGCGAAACAGGGACTCTGTTGTCTACAAACCATGGTCAGCTACACCCACAGTTCTCGTACATCCTCCCATTGAAGTAAACTTGCCACTTGCTTCATGTATCCCTCACACCCCACCTGCTATTCCGGGAAATTCTCACTTTCTTGCTCATGAGAATTTACGCCAAGAGTCATGTATTTCTGACTCGGGAGATCTCATGAACTCTCACTACAGCGTACTTCAAAGAATTCGGAGCGAGGGAGATCTTCCCTTGCATCCTCATGACACGCAGAACACTCCAAGTAGCAGCCTCGACGAAACTAATTCTCTGTCTTTGGTATGTCGTGAAAAATCAATCGCAGGTCAAGTCTTGCAAAAGATACAACAGTATGCTGTTGTCCGCAAAGGATCGAAAGTCAAGTACCTTTCAAAAGAGTATCCAGCCAATCCAGCCTGCCCCCCGGGTGCTATACAACATACTTATCTGTATGGGACATCTGCTGTGAACCATGCGCCTATAGAACGACTATTCTTTTGGCTAGGGTTTGTTTGCCCGCTTTTCTGGATTGGTGGAAGTATAGGACTAAGTAAAAACTCGGCCAGAGATAGAGACTTTAGAGGCTGGCAGAGGAGATGTCGGGTAGCATTAATGGTATCTTTGATGGTTATTGGTGCAGTAGGGCTTGTAATATTGGTTCAATCCACGTGGGTGGCAGGCTCACGCCAGAGTGCATCTGAGTCTATTCTTGCAGTAATCAGTAGTTAGCGAATAGGCATTTTCAATTTTATAATATTTTACATCTACCCACATACACACACGCGTGGATATATCTATATCTATTTATCTATATATATATACTGCGTAAAGAAAGAAGAATACTTTTAACAAAAAGATTATTTGGCTATGACTTTAACTTTGAAGCTTCATAATTTATAAACCTATAACTCAAACAGTTTTATCAATATTGGGATAATGCTTACTTTTAACCTAGATTACTTATTCACTGACATATATATATATTTGTATGTGCATTCTTAATCTTAATCATGTCTGTAAATAACTTTACCTCACATTTTCTTTACTATCTTTATATACAACCCACTAGTATGGATCAAGTATATTAAATGAACAACATTTCTTGATTTCTTATTTTTTATTTAGAAAATGAGTAAATATGGCTTTGGGTAAAGGTGAAAGAATCATTTAGCCTTTTCCTTCACTTGTTAATCTGACAGTTTTGTCCAAATTTTAGCAGAGAAAAAAAAATACAAAAACTTTGATTTGTATCATATAAAGGTATATAAAAAAAATCAATGTAGATTTTCCTAGATGACTGATATTTTGAGTACCAATGTTGTAACTGTGTATTTTTTATTACACATTTTTAAAACAACAGCAGCAGCAGCAAAAGGTCTCAAATATCATGTTTCTTCTCTTTTATTCTTATTCGTATTATTAGTTTTGTGTTTTTTTGGCATTTTTTTTTTCGATTTTTGTGTGTGTGTTTTTTTTATTGGCTTAGTCTTGCTTGGGCAAAGACTGGGTACCCATAAGAATACCTCCATTGTCAATATTTCCACTGTTGTAAATAAACACAAGAACACCTGAAGTCAAGATAATCAAACTAACGCCAGTCCAGAAGAGAAGCTGGAAATCGCTAGTAGAATCCACAAACTCGCAGGATTCACCCAAGAAAGAAGCCTTGCACTGACAAGCATAGCAAGAGTCAGACACAATACCGCACAAACCATGACCGCTGCAATCACCAGTTCCCTCTTCGCAGTCAGAAAGAGTTGTGTAGCAGGTGGCGTCGGTATCGGGAAGGTCGCGCTTATTAAAACGGTTGGCAATAGCAGGTGAAAGGACAACAGTAGCCAAGACACCCTCCTTGTTGTTAAGATAGGCTTTTTGGAAGGTAGGAATCAAGTTCTATAATGTATATGTATATATGTATATGTATATGTATATGTAAAATAATAATTGGAATGTTAGTTACAGTACCTTTATACACAACAAAACCAACTTTTTTCCCTTTTTTTTCGTTCCATCTTTCTTGCAAGTCCTTTCCCATTTGTCTTTCAAATATGTATGTATGTATGTATGCAATTACCTCTTCCAGCAACAATCTAACTGCGTGCTGACCCTGGATGTACTTATCAGAGTTGGCTCCATAAGCATGAAGAAGAGTCTGAAGACCAGTCATCTTGATTGAGACAAAATCAGTACCACGTTGTTCAGAACCTTCCTTGGCAGTTGTAAAGATCTTCATGGCATCTCTTGATTGTTCCATTTCAGTAATGAATGCATTATCAGCCTAAAGATCATTTTAATTATTTTAATTAGCCTTTGTTTTGTATATATTAAATTAACTATATAAACTTGCTTCCAATGTCATATCGAATACGCTTGCATCTACACCAGGATAGTTCTGTTTAAAGGAAGACACAATTTCCGACGCTTCCTCAATAGTTTTCTGTAAAAAGAAACAACATAATTGATTAATTGATATTTCTAGTATAGATCGATTTAATCAAAGATATATCTATCATAATCTTACAGGTAATGTGTAAGCGTGCATTACGAAGCCATGGCCGGATCTCTCCTGAGTGTTCAAAGCAATATCCTCAGCAAGAGCTGCATAATCTTCGGCAGTGTTGTCGGTAACATAAAAGGCAGGATTGTAGTCGGGGAGAAGCACTGTTTTAAATAAATAAATAAAAATATATAAATCAAAAAGGTATTTAAGCTTAATTAAGCACCGAAATCCAAAAAAATAAATGCAAATTCTTTATATATACATATGCAACTTATATTCATTTTTTTGATCTATATATATATATATACCTTCGGCATTCTGTACACCAGCTACAGTAATAAAGAGGTTTCCTTGTAACTTTGGCTTGAAAAGGTCATTTTCTTCATTGGAAAACCACTGCTGATGACCATTCCACACAGCCTGGGCACCATCGAGAGCCTGTTGCTTGTAGCTGTCTTGCAATTGCATGATTGGGTGTGTGTCGAGGGTGTTCATCAAATGGGACATGACCAGAGAGAACGAGTTGAATGAGACTTCAGAGTGATGACACTGTGCAGTCATCTTTGCAGTCTCGGAGACCATGTAGACAGACGACCGAGCTAATTAAATCATGGCAGGTTGGTTGTCAGTCTGTGAGGTTTGGAGTCTCTCTTTTTTTTTCTGTCTATATATATATATATATATATATGTCTTCTCGTTCTTTTTTTTTGTTCTTTTTCTGTTTTCTCGCCAACACGCTCATCTGGCAGAAAACCTACCGAGGACGCTGGTGCTGACGGAGAGCAGGCTCAATACAGCCGTGCTCAAAAATGATGCCTTCATGTTTACTGTTTTCTTTGACGTGTAAGGTGCTAAGAAGGGGTCTACAAAAACGGGGTTTTGCTTTGTCGCACGTTTCAGCATCCGAGCAAGAACAGCTATCTACACTCTCAACTATTTATGACGTAATATTTTATCATGACGTAGACAGCAGGATCATTTACTGTTCTTGTGTGTGTGTATATGTATGTGCGTGTGCAAGCAAAGAAAAAGGAATAGATTTAGTGTAATAAATCTTACAAAGGAATTAGCGTATATATACAATATGTGAATATAAAGACAGATCAGCACAGATCAATGGTAAATATAAGGTAATTGGTATTGGAATAAACCAAATAGTATGATCTATTTGCGTTTGCTTGTTTGTTTGTCATTTTTAATACATATACCTACTATATACACATACAAGAATATGTAAAACTTTAAGCTTAATATCAATTCATATCAATTTATTAGTTTGTGAATTAAAACCTGGATTTATATATTAATATCCCTATTTTTACTCTGTCAATGGGTGCTTTGTACCAGCCGCAATTGAATCAAAATGTACAGTTCGTTTACTATAATAAGCTACTATAGTTGTTTTGGTTTTGACTATCTATATACTCGTTATATCTACTGACAGCTTCATTGTGAGTTTCAATACATATATATATATATATACATTGTAAAAATCGATCTGGAAAGTCTAACAGGGTTCAATTCCAATGTTAAGCGGTAGTACATAAAGATACAAAGAAGAAGATAAGCTCTTTACACAGCTTGATCTTATCCTGTTATTTATATAAAGAAAGAAAGGGCACCTTTTTTTTTTGTTCTTTCACCTTTATCCTCAACTTTCGGGATTTAAATATCAACAGTCTCTCCAAAGTGACAGCGGTAAACAAAAAGGGGAGGGGCAAAAACGACAGGCTTTGAGCCCTTTTTAAACACACATATACACACCACCACCTATTCTCATGACAACCTCATCGGCAGCTCCAGCCAAGCTTGCTCAGCTTGCCCAGCTGTCCTGCAAGATCTTCCAGACCGTCTACAATCCCACATCGGCACGGACAGGAAACAAAGTGTTGAGGCAGCGATTGCTCGGATCGACCTTGACCCAATACCACCCTGAAAAGCTAGTTCATTTCCGTGACCTCAAGGCCATGTTCCCTGAACTTGACCTTGTCAACACTGAGGAGAATGAGCGCCTTGAAGAAATTGCCAGAAGAAAGAGACGTGGAAAGGGCGCCCCCAAGAAAGGTAAAAGAATATAAATAAGGATAAAATAAACCAATAATTTGTATGTGTGTGTGTGTCTAACTTTTTATTGTTTTTGTGTAATTTTAAAAAACAAAAAAAAAACAAAACAAAAAAAAGGTCAAGGAAAGCGTGCCTCCAACAAGAAGCGATAAGTTTGCCAGACTATACTTTGTGTATCATAGAACATATGTTGAGGATATTAAAGAAAGAAAACAAAAAGAAAAAAATTCAAAAATTCAAAAAGATGATCCTGTGCTTCCCTTGTCAAAACAACAGAAACACCAACGGCAACAGCAAAAGAGAGTGTGTAAGAGAAAGAGAGAGAGAGAGATGCTATGAGTTTTTACAGACAAGAAAAAGAATCGTGTCAATTGTGGACTAGTGTTGCTATATGTGTATGTGTGAATGGATGAGAAAAGAAGTGAATGTGGATTGTGGTAAAGTAAAAGACAATAATGTTAATTATTTTTATTGTTTCAAAAAAGAAGAAAAAAAAGGGGGGATTGGGAGATATGAGAAAGAAAAGAAATACAGAATATATATATATCGTGTTTGTATGTTTGTGTGTATTTTGTGAATTTGTGTACTTGTGTATTTGGTTAAGATTAGTAGCTTCTACCAAAGAGCATAAAGTGCTTGGCATCGTGGTCACAAGCAATGCACTTGGTGACGCCGGGAACAATGGGGTTCTCGGTGGGCTGGACAAATGGCTTGCAGAGAGACTTGGCACCCATGGAAGGAGCGCGATCATCTTCTTCCTCACCCTCGGTGGCAACACGGGCAGATCTTTCCTTAATATCATCCTCGCAGGCAATGCGGTCACACCAGGGAATCAAACAGAGCTTCTTGTCGTTGAGGGTACGAACGAAATCTTCCCACTTGTTGATGCGGACAATGGAGCTATCCATCTTTGCCTTTGCCTTCTGGAACATGTCGTTCTGGATGGTGTCAAGAGCATCGCGGACACCCTTCTCAAGGTTGTCGAGAGGGATGGCAAACTTGGCACCGGTGTCACGACGGACAGCAGTGACCTGGTTCTTCTTGATGTCCATGGGGCCCAACTCGAGTCTGAGGGGAACACCACGGATCTCCCAGTGGTTGAACTTGAAGCCAGGGCTGTAGTTCTCTCTCAAATCAGCCTTGGACTTGAGACCGGTCTTCTTGAGACGGGCAGCAACGGCCTGGCATCTGTCGTAGATGTCATCGGACTCCTCCTTGGTGGTCTTGACGTTCAAACCGCAAGGAACGACAACGGTCTGGATGAGGGCAACACGGGGAGGGAGGACAAGACCCTTGTCGTCACTGTGAATCATCACCATAACACCAATTGTACGGGTGGACAGACCCCAGGAGTTTTGCCAGACGTGGAGCTTCTTGGCTTCCTCGGTGGCATTGGCTGGGGCACTGGGATCCTCGATCACGATGTTGAACATCTTACTGAAGTTCTGGCCGAGACAGTGGGAGGTACCACCCTGGATAGCACGACCGGTGGTGGGGATGAAACCTTCGACGGTAGTGGTGTAGTATCCACCGGCGAAACGTTCTTTCTCAGACTTTACACCCTTCACTACAGGAACAGCCAAGAGATCGGTGTAAACCTGCTCATAAAGATCCAAGATCTCACGAACTTCCTTGTCAGCGCCCTCAAGAGTCAAATGGGCAGTGTGACCCTCTTGCCACAAGAACTCGCGAGTTCTGAGGAAAGGCTCTATAGATAATATATATATGTTAGTTTGTGATATAAAGATATGGTAGTTCTGCTATAAACTTACGGGGGTTTTTGAATTCCCAGCGAACGACTGAGCACCATTGGTTGATACGGAAGGGGAGATCGCGGTAAGAACGAATCCACTTGGAGAAGTAAGGGTACATGACTGTCTCTGAGGTGGGACGAATGGCGATCGGTTCTTCCAGGTCAGCTGATCCAGCCTTGGTGACCCACGCAACCTCGGGAGCAAAACCTTCGATATGATCCTTCTCACGCTGCAAGACACGGTTGGAGACGAACATAGGGAAATATGTGTCCTCAACACCCATTTCAGTGATGGCGGCATCAAAAAAGTCTATTACAAGGATTTTTTTTTAAAATTAATTAATTATTTATTTTTTGATCTCTTTCTTCTTTGAATGTTTCATTTTCTGACTTACTGGTAATCTCCTTCCAGACGTTGTAAGCGAGAGGACGAAGGATGTAACAGCCAGAGACATCATAGTACTCCAACATCTCACTCTTGGTCAAAACCTACAATTTTTTTTAATAAAAACACGCACAACATAAATATATACATGTTAGATATCGATACAATATAATACAATACAATGTAATTCAATGTACAAAAACAACTGTCTGTACACCCGTGCGTGCGTGTGTGTTATTTACCTGCTGGTACCACTTGGGGAAGTCAACTTCCTTCTTAGCCTCAATACCCATTTGGTGAACCTCATCAGCGGAAGCCTCGATTTCAGCTGCGGCTGTGTACAAGAATTAATAAAATTGTTTTTTAACGTGTATTTGTTAAAATTATATATATATATAAATTTAAGAGAAAAATAAAATTACCCTTCTTCTTTGGTGCAGGCTTGGCAGCAGGCTTGGAGCCAGAAGCAGCAGCAGCAGCGGGAGCAGCAGTAGCAATAGCCTTAAAGTCAATTTCGACGAAATCCTTGGAGATGGATTTGAAATAAGCCTTCAACTGATCGACTGTGACAAATACAGTCTTGTCGGCAGCCGAGGGGTGGAAGGCCAACAAGGTAGTTGCAGGGAGGGCAAGGATAGCAGAGTCCACAACCAAGTGAACCAAGCTAAGATCAGCCACATTAGATAAGGCAAAGGGAGAAACTATGTGTTGCATACAGATTTTTTTTTTGGTTTGTTGTTTTGTTTTCATTATTTAATAATAAGCTCAATGTTTCTTTCACTTGGATTTTTCTTGCGTATTTTATTTTGTTTTGTTTCCTCTTGATCCCTCTTTATATCCCTCTTTTTTTTTAAAAATATATATGTGTGGGTGCGTGCGTGCGTGCGTGCGTATGTATGTGCGCATAGTGTTACCTTGATCCTTGTTGACGCCAAAAGTGGTCTGCAACAATTCTTCGTTGGCGAAACGGCAGTCTTTGAGGCTAAGTTTCTTTCCAAGAGCAGGGACGGGGGTCTCGGTCGACTCGAGTGCAATGACAACGACGGGAGTGGCAGCAGCAGTCTTGGCGGTCTTGGGCTTCAAGATGAGTGTCTTAGTCATCTCAAACACCGCGTCCTTGGTGCTGGCAAGAGCAGCAGCCCAAGCTTTGTTGTCAGACACACTCTCATGAGACACAGTTCTGGGCGAGAGGGAAAGCTTGGCAAGAGACTGAAGTACAGCGTCGCAGGTGGCCATAATATTCAAAGTAGGGAAAAGAAGAGGAACGGAAAAGGCAGGGGAAAAGAAAATAAAAAAAAATTGGTGGCGGAGTTCGATAAAGAAGTGCACCTGTCAAAGGCCAGTTTTCAAAATCTACCTTTTCGGTGACTATGAACCTTGATTTCTTTGTAAATGGTAACTAGCCAAGTCACATACAACTTGACAGCCTTTTTTTTGGTTTTTTTTTCTCACTTTAAAAAATATAGTGCTTTCATATTAACAAAGTCTCCTCCTCTTATGCACACGCACAAGAACATACACATACATTTATATATAATATATAAGGTTAATTCTAGGGCTGTTTTCACTGCTACTGCCTTTAATTGCTTGCCTTCAATTGGCTGTCTGCCTATTTTTCTATTTGTCTTATTTATTTTCCTTTTGTCTGTTTTGATTGCCTTTTTTATTTCTACTGGTAAAAATAATGCGTGCACAGAAATAGATATAGATTTTTATAAGGAAAATTTATATAGGAAAATAAAATCAAACTTGCATACTTGGAATAATAATAATGACAATAATAATAATGAAAAGGAAAAGAGAAATAAAAATAAAAATAAAAATTACTGGAATTTGGTTTACTATACACACTTATTCTTGGTGACATAAAAATTAAAGTATTCATAAGAATGTTATAGGTAGATAGGTAGATAGGTAATATAGAGCTTCTTTGCGAATTATTAAAGAAGTGAAAGAACATAAATTGTTTACAAAGAATGGGTGGGGCATAGATTTAAAGAAGAAGAAATGGAATGGAATACAAAATAAAATGAATCAAAGAAAGGAAGAAATCAAAGTAAAACAGACAAAATAATAAAAATAAAAATAATAATAATATTTGGCAAAAGTGTCCAAAATGAAGAACTTTTTTTAAGGAGGTGTACGCTTACCAGCCTTTCTTCTCGATGAGTCTTTTTGGTCAGAGGGTTTCTTGGTGGGTTTTGAAAGACCATCTGGTCCATACCGTTCAAGTTCTGATTTTCGCCACTGCTTTGAGAGCAAGCGAGAATATCTCAAACCACATGCATTGCACAACCTAATTAAAGGCAATAAAAAGTCAATTGATTTGGTTTCATCTCTTTGTACTTTTGAAGGCGTTTTACAAATAAATAAATAAAAAATAACTAACTAAATAAATAAAAAAATAAATAAAAATAAAAAACACCCCTTTATTTTTCTTATGATTATTTTTTACGATTCTCCTCATTATTTTTATCTTTATTTTTTTTCATTTTTATTGTTATTTTTACCATTATTTATCATTATTATTACTGTTATTGTTATTTTTGTGATTTTTATATGATTTTTGTGATTCTTATTGAGATTCTTAATGCTATTCTTGCTATTTGTATTATTGGTATTCTCACTATCATTTTTTTTATTACTACTGTAATTATGATTATTGATTTCAATTTCAATTTTAATCATAATTATAATTTTAATCATAATCTGAAGTACAATTCTCATTACTACCATTATCTATACTTGTATTGCTATGACTACTGTTATGTATTATTTTATATCACTAGGCGTTATACTTATTACATTATATACATATATATATACTATTATTTTGTAAAGGAAGCTCTTTTACTGCTGAGAGACGCAAAGGAAAGAAAATAGTGAAATTTTGTACTTACGTTTTGTGGCCGTTCGGACCACGGCGCCACTCAGGACTTGAGCTCGTGTTACACCTTACGCAGACCTTTGCAGTCTGTTGGTCAAGGATCGGGTCATAAAGAGACCGTACATGCAACCATTGCCTTTCTTCTGGTACGTGTCCAGCTGGCAGTTTTGGTGATATTGTTGAAATTGGTATTTTTGGGGCAATAGGACTTGGTTCCGGACTACGTAAGGACATTGGGTACGCGAGCGTAACGGGTGAATTGGTTCCAGATGGCGGAGGGTCCTCTGATTGACGGCCAAATGGGCGGTGACGATGAGGGTTTATTGCTAAAGAAGGAGATATCGTGGGCGAAGGGAGGGCAGGATGGTAGAGAGGCGTCAGGGCAGGATCGGGTACGACCACCACAGGCGAATGTGGTTCTGAAAGGCAGGGCCTAGAGTTCACATCATAGAAAAAAAGAGAGAAAAAAAGCGTGAATATAAACAATCAACGTGAGAGAATCTGGAAAGAGAAAAGGTAAACAGATAAACAGATAAACAGATTCTAAAACAACAAAAAAACAACAACAACAAAGCAACAAAACAAAACAACAAAAAACAACAAATAATAATAAAACCATTGAAACCGAGGATTTACTCACCTATGAAGAACTGCGGTCGAATTAGGATTACTGATAACCCCACTAAGATAAGTTGTGTCGTCAGGAATAGTACTGGGGGCGCAATGCATGTAGTGGTGATATTGGCCAAGATCTGTAGTGGAATTGTGATTTATCTGGGTGATTTGGTGGGAGCCAAATGAAAGGACTCCATAAGGTATAACTATTCTCTCAAATCGGACCATGCCATGTAAACCAAGATGGACCATCGAACTGGAGTGAAGGTGGTGTGTACAGGCCACTTCTTCAACCCCCTGTCGTTCATCGCCGCTAATGTCTCTCAATGTGGCGTTTTTGGTGAGTTCGGTCACCTTGCTAATCAATTGTGGCACACATGCGTCGCGCAAAAAAGTATAGGGAATAGGGTTCGAAGGTGGTCTGTGGTTACCGCTACTGCTACCGCTACCGCTACCACTGCTGCTGGGAGTTGTATCACAATTAGAGTCAAAATGTGGGGGCCAGGAGGCTAGCAACTCGTGGGATGTGCTGTTGTATATCTGAAAAACCCTTAATGGCTCTTTTATCTTTTTCTCTAATTGGCTGTTAGAGGAAACAAGGTCGTCGTAAGAATATTTCTGCAACACGTCCATCATTTGTTGAATGTCCTATTTTGTAAATAAATTGAAAAACGATCGTAAAATAAAATAAATTATGGTAATAATAAATTACAATAAATTGTGTTCTCTCTCTCTCTCTCTTTTTGGGGAAAAAGTTTTTTTTGTGTTTTTTTTTTGTGTGTATTTTTATTTTTTCTTACCTGTTCTCTAAAAATGCTTTCACCACAAAGAGTGCTCATGGCTTCTTGACTGTGAAAGTACTCTTGAAGGTGTTATATAGGATCAGCGGTCAATTATTGTTTTTTATTATTATTTTTACCTTTAAGAAATTGTTTGAATTTACCTGTACTGTGAAAAAAGGCAAGAACGACGTTTTCAGATGCAGTGTACATGACTACATCAATTACATCCCACGTTGCTTCCTTGTCTTTGGTTTCACCATTGAAAGATATTGTTGGCTGCCAAAAATAGTAAATAGTACAAGCAAAATGAGTTTTGAATTGATCAATAATGTTTTTTTTCCCTCTTTTTCTTTATTCAGTTGAGCCCTACCATATGGCCGTCTTTGTCCGGGAATGCATTATAAGCACATGGCTGTGACAGGTCCTTCGATCGGTGAATACACAAGGCTATGTCTGCAAACGAGCGGAGCCGACATCTTTAAAAGAATATAGAATACAATGATAATTTAAAGAAAAAGAAATTATAATCATTACAATTGTTAATATGAAGTTGGTTTTGGGTATTAATTTATATAATCTTTTTTTTGGACCCTATCCCACTTTCAATCTCTATTCTATTGATCAAAAGAGCGTCATTGACTTCCTGGGAAAGGCAGGGCCGCAAAAAAATAAACAAATGTCTCCCTTTTTTAGAAGGTGAGACGCAAACAATGGCGCATCTGGAACTACAGAAAATGAGAAACAAAGGCTCACCTTGTGACAGAGCCAGCGAGGGTTTTCATGCGAACAAAAGTAGATAGATCGGATTTTGCGAGATCTACTTCTTCGTGGTGTACGAAGTCAAGAAGAGATCTGTTAAGCAAGAGATCTCGGATTGTTCTTCCACCCAGGACTTCTTTATCTCCTACTGAGGCCGGTAGATAGATGAAACTGAGCTCATTCAAGGAAAGCAGGGCCCAGAAACAAGTCGTCAGAGGCATCTGAATAAATGAATGAAATAATGAACAAGTCTTTTTTGGAGATTCTTGACAAACGAGAACAAATTAGCTTGTCTGGTATTGATAATAATTACCAATGAAATTTTTGTGTCTATTTGTGTGCATAAATTTGATAATATTGAAGGAATTTTGTACACTCACTCTACTCACCCTACTCTCACTCTACATATCTACCTTTCTACCTCTCTACCTCTCTACCTATCCTCTTCACTTATTCCCACTCTTTAGTGTCTTTACTATAATTCTCTCGCTCTATGATCTTTATTAGTTGCTAAGCTACACATATATTTATTTATTTATTCTCTCTCTCTCTATTGTTTGTTCTCTTACTATCCATATCCCCTATATCAGTATCTGTATCTATTGTAGACTTGTTTACAGAATCGCTATATACACTCTCTTATAAAATAAATGGTAAAAGAAAGAAGCAAATCACCCATAACTTACTATTAGTGTCAAACTAAAAAGATTGCAAAAAGGAAAGAGAAGAGAAAACAAGATCGAAGAAAGAGTGTTAAAGAGATATTTAGGTTTATGACTCGCTTTTTCTGTTTTTGCTCGTGTGTGTTCTATAATCAACAAAATAGAAAGAAATAGAAAACGAGAGGTCAAGATTGCGAATAGTAATAAATAAAATAAAATAAAATAAAATAGCAATTAAGGTTCCTTGCCTAGAAGGAGGACTGTGCACGACAACGAGATGTTAGAATATATTATATTATTTTATATTTTATATTTGGTCAAGATAATCTCTCTTTCTCTCCCTCTTTCTCTCCCTCTTTATCTATGTATTTTATCTAAATCTTTATCGATATTGGTATCATTTATCTACCTTTTTCTTGCTAATATTCACTCGCTCACTCGCTCACTCACCTAACTAAATAACTAAATAACTAAATAACTAAATATATATATATATATATATATATATACCCTTCTTATACACTGATGTTATGTGGTTTAGTTACCGCAACATTTCCATCAACGCATCGACAGTAGCAGTAGCAGGAATCTCAGCTTTAAATAGGCTGGGCCTTGGGTCGGTGGTGCGCGCAACGAAAAGGAGAGTTTATTCTATTTTATTTATTCTATTCCACACCCTCGTCCTACGGTGCAACAGTAACACTTAATAATTCAAATGAACCAAACTTCTCAGTGGTTTATTGTCAAATACGTATCTGGTCGCCTTGCACAAAATAATAAAATAAAAATAAATCAATAAATCAATAAATCAAATCAAATGTATAAAATAAATAACAAGCAAATAATCTAAAGTAACAATAGCCAAAGAAGAAGAAGAAGAAAAAGAAAAAAAAATAAGAATCCTGACATCTTATTAGGTGACAATAGCTAAACCAGAAAATAGCACACAGATCATTGGCCAACCTTACTTATTTGCTTCATCGCAAAAACAAATAAGCTTCCAGATTATCCTTCTGGTTTGTCTCTACAGCCTACATAAAAAAATAAAGTAAAGTAAAGTAAAGTAAAGTAAAAATAAAATAAAATAAAATAAACTAGACCGTTTGGTTAATACCAACCTGCCCTGACTAATAAGCTTCCCCTCTGTTTCTTTTTGTAGGTAGGTCAAGTACAACACTGCAGCCAGCAATTGATCAAGGCGTCGTGCCTCACATTTGACACTCCACGCCAGATGAGAACCTTAAATCTATTTTTTAGGGTTTAGGGCTGTGGCGGTGATACCGTTCTCGTCATGATATTCCAAGCACACATCTTTACAGACGGGATTTCTTTTATCCGCTTGTAAATCGCTCTTTTATATATATATATGTGATGGAAGATCCAAGATAAGTTACATGTGAAACAGCCTCAGATAATTTATTCTTTTATTGAGGTTTTGATTCTTATTTTTTTTTGTAAACTTTATATAGATATATAAATAATATGTATATGTATATGTATATGTATATGTATGTATATGTATATGTATATGTCTATATATATATTTATGAAAGTTTGTAGATGATAAAGATCCAGGTTATCTAGAATTGGAATATAAAGAAGAAGAAGTTAATTTATGGTTTTGGTTTGGTTTGGTGAGCATGCTGTGTATATGCAAATCTACATATAAAACAGACAAATATTATTATACAATACAATACAATAAATCTAAATAATAAATATAACTATAAAGAAAAGCACAAACCATGTACACACACTGTGACGGTGTATAATGAAAAAGGGAGAGAAAATAAAATATAGCTACAGCTGGTGAATGTAGTGGCAAAATGATAGATACACATCTGCAAATCTGTATGTAGAAATCTTTATCTATATGTCTTTGTGACTTTGTGTTGGTAGGCTTGTATTCTTGTATGCTTGTATGTGGACGTGTGTAAAGAGATAAGGAATAGAGAAGTTGTGGATATGAAAAATAATGATATATGCAGGTATAGTTTTGTGTATACATACATATATATATAAAAGAGTATATTACAAAATAAAACAAAACAAAAAAAAGTCTAAAATCAATCAGAAAAAACCTATACAAATAACACCCTTTTTTTGTTGTTGTTGTTGTTGTCTTTGTACAGAGTTCTTTTCTCTTTATAGATTCTGGCTGGTTCCTAGAAAGGGAACCCCTGTTCCTTTTTTTCTCCATTGCTAAACAAGGCAGAAATCATGAATGCACCTCTCCTCGATCAACGTGTCTTCTGTTCGCTTTCGTCGTCTGTTAGACTGGTTTGGTGGTACAAAAGATTGTTCGGGGAGACCAGCGATTGATGCAATTACCCTTTCCCACACCCGATCGTTCAAGGGGTCCGAGAGCGGCAGGCTGCGATTGAATGGAGCCCCGCACAGAGCCTCGTCCTCTCGAATAGCACACGAATAAAGTGGGAGACGCTCACCATCGCGTGTAATGGCCTGGTAACTAGGGAGAGCGTCTGTGTCTAGTTGCTGATGTCTGATTTCGCGTGTCACATCAATCGGGAGTCCGATACAGACTGGTGGCAGTACGCGACCGTCTGTTGTAGCCAGATAGAGAACAAGGCGAACATAATGTCTGATCTCAAGAAAAGGAGAATCGAGCGAATACGTAAAATCTCCCCATGTAACAGTAGTAGCATGTCCACACGTAGACACAGGCTGTGACGCTTCGGCTAAAGCTCGGTTTTGTTGGCCAGGGCTACCCAGAGGTTGAAGAGGAAATGAAAATGAAATCAAGCTATCCAGTGGTGGATGGAGATATACTGAAGGTGGGTGAGCGCATCTTACCAAATGCCGTTTACTCACCAAATCACTTTATACAACCAAATACGATCGATTTAATTTTTACTTTATTTTATTTTATTTATATATAATATTATTATATCATGAATTATTTTCCTGTTTTTGATTTATCTATTTGTTTTTACCTGGAATCTTGACGGTAAATTTCTTCCTGAACAACATCTACTTCAATTCGGCTGATCTCCACTGATTCTGGGCCAACAAGCGTTTTTATCATACCAACAAACTCAACCCCTTGTTGGCCTTCTAGGCACACCCACCCAGGCACATTGAACTCCCACCCAACTGTCAATGCCCGCTCTCCCATCATTTTTTGATGGGGTACAACATAACCTCTGACATGTCCTGCAGACACATCTTTTGGCATAAGTGTTTTCAACAGTTGCATTTCTCGATGGACCAGCCATTCTTTCTCAAATTTGCCTGTCGGAAGCACTCTTGCAGTCAGTCGGTAAGATATCCGCAAATACTCGGACTCGAAAGTCGGACACAAGTAACCCGGAACCGCCACTTCAAAACCTAGATAGAAAGGAGAACAAAAAAAAATAAGAGCAAAAAAAAAAGTTAGGAGTAGTTTTCTCTGTTTAAATACTAATACTAATACTAATACTAATACTAATACTAATACTCGTGATATAAGATGAAAAAGAAGAAAAAAAAAGAAGAATAAAAAAGAATAAAAACTCCATCTACATGTTCCTAATCCTCACCAAGATCAGTTACTCCTGCGGGTAAAATTGCATCTTCAAGCAAGATGCTTTTTGTTTTCCGAAGTGTCATGCTAGCATTGATTCTCGAAACCAGAAAGGCATGTTGCGATTTAAGAGGATCCCGCCAGCTGAGATGTGCCTGGCCCTTGAACTTGATTTCTACTAGACTCAGCTTGGTGGGCCGAGATGTAATGAGCCGTAACTTTCCCCGCACCTTTTGTCGTTTTGGATGAGTGCTGTGAGTGCCCTGACTAGACGTACGAGGTCCGTAAAAAGTCACAGTGTCAGGGACAATAAGATCTACTGCAATTATTTTCTTGGTCATGATCAACAATGAATGAAGTAGGAGAAAGAGAAGGCTGTGAATTTGTCACAAGTCTAGGCCAGATCGTGTCACAATATGTGCTGTTTATAGAGCGTACAGTTCTTCACCAAATCGATAACCTCACAGCGAGAGCCAGCTTCTTCTCTGTCTTGCCACGTGCTTGTCCTGAAGGAATAAATGATTCAATGTGCATAATACATGAGATATTATGTTCCCGACACCCCTTATTTTATTTATTTTATTTTATTTTTACTTGAAGGAACATAAACTGTTGGTTCACAAAGTTTAGAATTAAAGTTCTATTTTTGACGAAGAAGAAGAAGACTAACAAAAAGAAGAAGGAAAATCATATATACTTGCTTCCTTAAAACAATAGTAACCCTTTTTCTCTAACAGGAAATCTTTACTGGGCGGCATAAATTAGATGCCCAGAGTGCATCTTCTAAAAATTGCTTATTTAATATCAATAGCAATATCAATATAAATATACTTGTATAAATTATATATATATATATATACATATATATACGATTCTTACTAGAAAAGTTCAAATGAAATGTCTAGGCAAAAGAAGTATCGGGTTGTGGATATCTCATTCATTCATTCACTCATTCATTTATCCACCTTTTTTTTTTTGGTAGACCCTGTATCAAACACTGTCACATTTTCCAATTGTTACATTTAATCCCTCTTCTACTCTCCCCACTCTACATTGACTTAATATTGTAGGATGGATGAACATGAGCACAGCAGTGGCATGGGTCACAGCCATGACCTTGACCCGTCTCTGTTTACAGAATATGCTACTACTAGTGAACCCATTGGAACCATTATGACATTGCACATTATATTTATGATTGCAGGTAAATGCAAATATATACAACTATTCACCATAATCATCATCAATAGTTATTTTTTCTGACACCTTGTGTACCCTCTCTTGGTTACTATAATAGCATTCGGTATCCTCTATCCTCTTGGAATGGTTTTAGGTCTGGCCAAGAATAAATGGCATGTTCCTGTTCAGATTCTCGGAACTACATTCTTTATAATTGGATATTTCTTGGCACATGCCCACAATGGCCGTAATTATGTAAGCCATTTCAAGCTTATGTTGGTTCAATACACTCAATTTCTTTTTTATTTTTTTCTTTTTAAATTTTAGGAGCCTCACATTGCTCATCGGTGGTTTGCAGACATCGTTATCACTGCTGTGGTAGTTCAGCTCGGTGTGGGTGCTTATCTTAAATGTCATTTGGAACGCGGACTTTTGGGCCGTATTCGGCCGGTACTGGTCAAGGCGCACAAAATACTTGGCGCGTTTATTCCTGTGATTGGTTATGTCCAAATTGTATTGGGTGTTATTGCAGTACTCGGATTTTGTTATGCCGGTAAAACACACACACACAGAGAGGAGAGAGAGATAAAAGATATATGAAAAAAAGACTAGACAATATACATAAAACTATAGCAATACTCACTATATGTATTTCTAGACCACACTGGCCAATGCTTAGCCCATTTTATTATGGGATCCTCGTTTATGGCTTATGGTATCCTCCTCCTTCTTTCTCTTAGAGTGGGCGCACCTTGGTTATTACGCAGAAATAAGAGTCAGGAATGGTATGACAGTTGGGTCATTACTCTGTGGGGTATTGTCAATACATTCACTGAGCACAGGTAAATAAAGACAATCTACTATAAAACAACAAAAAGAAAGAAAGAAATATTGTTAACAGAGGGAATTCAGATGGGGTTCAGCATGGAACCATGGAGACTATCAGCACACGTCGATGGGTATTATTTGGTGGATGGCAGGCATGGTCGGAATTGTTCTGAGCCGCAATGGAAAGAGATCCGTTATTCCTTCCGTAATCATCATTCTTACAGCAGTAGCCTTCCAAGGCCACGCACAACATGTAGCTAACAGCGGTGCTATTCATTCTTACTTTGGATATCTGTTGATGGCCGGAGGTCTTAGTCGCATTATTGAGATTTGCTTTGTGTGGAAAGAAGGTGATTTCAGTGTCTCCCCATGGCAATATCTTCCCCCTTTGGTAAGAACCAACAACACAAAAAAAAGAAATATTCATCACAATTCTAATTTTTTTAAATTGTTATTGTTGTAGAACTTGATTTTAGCTGGTGTGCTTTTTATGGGATCCACAGAAGAACAACTTGGATACTTGGCAGTAATTGATGTTGACATCAGCTCCTATAGTAATGCAATTCTCTCCCTTGGATTTGTCATGTTCTTTGCAGCAGTTCTCTTGATCACCCTGTGGGAGAACCTTACAGGATATGTCCCCTCTCTTGATAACACATATACAGAAGTCAGAAATCCAGTAACAGAAGAGTCGCTTATGCAGGGTTCAGATTCGACCTTCTTAGAAGATGACGATGACGACTATGATAACGATGCTGTTCCTTTAAAGACCACTGTTAATGGTCGTTTCTAACACTCCTTCATCCTACTATTAAAGGAGATATTTATTATATTGGACTATGGTCACACTCAATAGTCTTGGCTTATTTCTTGGGGAGTTTTTTTTTAGTTGTATACTAAACGGGAGATTTCATTTTCTAAAGCAAAAAGAAAATTCTTCTTACTTGGTTTGTCTTCTATGTGAACTAAGGTTAAAATAAATGGTTCAAAAAATGTGGCACTAATGTATATATATATACTATTCAAAGTTGTCTATTTTTCTCACGGGAAACTTTGTGTGTGTATTATTAACTGGAAATTACCCTTCAAAAAGTTACTAAAAGAACCACTTTTTTTTGCAAGATCTATTAAAGATCTCCTGATGTACAGACTATTCACCCAAGGATGTGGGTCAAGAAAATATCACTTGTTTATTATTAAACTTGGTCAACCTGGGAATTCTGGGGTTTATCAACACACTTTTTATTTAGTGTATATCCTAGGATTTGAGTCTTACAATTAACCGCTGGACAGTTCCTATTTGATATATTAATTATATATCTTAATATGAGTGAGAAAAGTGATCTTGTACAAGCTTAACACAAACTAGTATAACAAAATCATCTTTCCGATCATTTTTCTTGTATTATATTTTAGAAAAAAAAAGGGTCTTTGGTTTCTAGATGCCTTGAGAAGACTCAGGTATATACTTGACACCTCTTTTGTTTGTAACGCACAAACCCTATATTTATATATATTTCTACAGCATAACTTTACAAGGTTTAAGATATAAAGTTTAAGGAACACTTGGTCAGCCATGCACATGTAAGCGCATTTGGGGGTCTTGGTCACAATATATTGTCCCAGTGAAAAATCTTACCAGCGCATAATGTACACAATGTGCACTTTGTTGTAATATGCGTACAATACCTGCTGATACATATGTAACAAAAAAAATTCAGCAGTAAATTGGATCATATATAAATATCAGAAAGGCATTTATAGAAATGGCTCTCATGTAGTTACACTTAATACGCACAGGCAAAAAAAAAGAAGATATATGTTTTTATAAATATATATATATAGTAGAAAATAAACACAGTATGTAGACTTTTTGTGGATGTGGCGGGTTATAATCAATAATTTCTTTCTTTTTGTTTTATGTCAATTGTGGGGCTAATTGATAGTTTTGTCATATGTACTATTACTATTGGGGAAATAGAGAGAGAGGAAGAGGGAGGGGATTCACGAAATAATGGCAAACTTTCTTCTAATAATGTATTTATGCATTTATTTGTTTTTATATATACAAATATGAATAAAAGAGACTCAAAGAGACAAACTCTTCTGATTCTTTTAAATAAAGTTCTTTTTTGATTTTCCCAATCTTCGTCTCTTGGGTACAAACTCTTCATCTTCAGCTTCTTCATCCTCGGCTTCTAAAATTGGAGAATCGTCTTCGTTTTGGAGTGCAAGGGCAATAGCAAGATCATCTTCAGTACTGATTATAGTCGGCATCAGCTCGTCGTCTTCGTCCGCAGAAGGTGTAGCAGGAGATGGTGAACGAGAAACCTCAGACTAAGCAAATAATTGGGTGTAAATTGTGTGCGCAAATATACATCTATAAACCAAATTACCTTTAATTTCTCCATGCGACCAGGATGAGCCTCACGCATCTTTTGAATCTTTTGTTGAACCTTCTCAAGTTCATCATTGAGGCGCTGCATTTCAGCTTTCTTGGATTCCAACAGAAGCATAGGCTACATATATTTTTTAAGAAAATAATCTTTTGACAGCATATCAATTACTTACATCTTCCATCTTTGGTAGTTCAATATCGCTCCATTCTGATTCTGGGAGCTCGTACCTATTCAAATCGTTAATTATTTCTTGCTATTGTTGTTGTTGTTGTTGTTGTTATGATCACTAGCAGCTTTTTTTAAAATGGTTTGGTTTGGTTATTGCCATACAATTTCTTGTTCTTCAAAAGTCTCTCCCTCAGCTCTTCTCTTGTCAATTTTCCTATAGATAACAAACCAAATTTAAGTCTCAACACCTCATATATTTTCCTCGATAAGACTTCATCATTTACCTCCTGTGTTGACAATACAATTATTCTTTCGCTTGATATGAGGTCCCTGAATCTTTGAGTTTTTTTCTCCTACAACCTTTGGATTGATATGGAGACCAGCAAATTCTATCGGATGTGGTTAATAAAAAAACACACCCACATACATACATAAGTTTTTTTAGTCAGTCGATTAAAATTACCTGCAGTACTCTGTTGTCCCAAAAGTCGCTGAAGCTGTAGATTCATTTGAGCATTGGTCTTTCCTGGGAGACATCCACTCTCAATGATTTTGGCCCAGTTACCAATGCCAAATTTCATCAATGCACTTCTCAGCAATTCAGATTCTTCCTCGGTCCAGCCTATTGAAATGAATTTTTTAATCAGTACTACAATTGTTTTGAACCATTTGCCAATCATGCCTTACCTGGAGACAATGTACAATTCCACAGACTTGCAGAATCATTAGACCGAAGCACATTACGTGCTCCGGCCGTCATACTACGTGGTTTGACAGACATGGGATAGATTAACAAGATGAAAAAACAACGCGCTTGCTTTTCAAGTCACAAAAAAAAAGGGAAAAACAGATGAATAGATGCTTTTTTTTTTCCACTAATGGCATTTCCATTGATTGCACCTGTAGATAGTGAGGGCAAAGTCTATCGAGGGTTCCTTTCAATTCATGTAATTCCAAACAAGAATGTGGGATATAAATAATTGAATGAGACTATTGTAGAATGTTGATTACAGCATCGAGATTCATTTGCCAGATCGTCTTCACAAGCAGAATCTAGCAATCTTTGGGGAGCCAACTCTTCAAAGTCTTGTCAAAGACAAAGAGGATTTGATTCAGAAAAAGATTGGCCAATGTGAAGATATCAATCTTTTACTTACAGACTTAAAAGAGATTCTTGTATGTGTAAAGAAGCAGACCTAAGATTAATTTAACCGGAAGTCTTAACATACAGCATCATATCTGTGTAGGAAACTCAAGCTGCTGTGAATACAACTACAAATTTCTCGGCAGAGAGATATGTAGTATTATTAAACGAATTAGATATTCTTGGATTTGATGTAGTAAAAGATATGAGCGATATTATGGACCAAATTACATTTGAGTACAGGCAAGTATATATATATATATATCTTTTTTGTGTAGATATACACAATAATGAATTGATATAAATGCCATTGTTGCGCTGTTAGAGACCAATCGAATCGGACACATCAGATACGAGCTCATATCCCTACAGATTATCCGTTAACCGCGCCTACTCTAACTATAGACCTGCCATGTTCTCCACCTGCTTTGCTCTCGACCTCTTTGTCTGACCATATACATCACATTTATTCTCTTGTATCAAACTACAAAGATTTCTTTGACTGTATGGATGAATTGGACGTGCATTGCCGCATCCTAGATCCAGATAACCCTAGGACAGGTGACTCATGGCGTCGAGTTGCGCTTTCTCACCACTGCTCCGTTCACATTGACATTAATCCAGACGCCCCTCGCGATATACCTCGTGCACGTTTCTTTGGTGCCGAGAAGCGTTCAGGGGAACTACGCATTGCATGGCAGCAAGGATCTCATGCCTGGGACACATCTCAGACGCTGTTTGTTAATATGAAGCAAATTCTTAAAGATGCGCTTGTAGATTTAACAAAACCCCAAGAGGAAAGCAACCACAATGAGGTGGAGTGCGGGATTTGTTACGCTTATAAATTGGACCAGTCAGTGCAAGAAACGCCGGATGTAATATGTTCCAATGAGCTCTGCAACAAAGGGTTTCATCCTACATGTCTTTATGAGGCAAGTGGCCAACTTTGTTTTATACCTCTTACAGAATTTTTCTTTATTTCTAGTGGTTAAGATCGAGCCCAGCGTCGACCCGCAGTTTCAATGTTCTGTTTGGAAAATGCCCATACTGTGGAGAGGTAAGAGAACTTTTTTGTTTTTGAAAAAATAAAATAAAACAAATGTATATGCATATATACGTTTGTATATGTGTGTGTGTGTATATGGTTTTAAATTTCCAGAAAAAAAAAGAATGTGTTTTATTTTTATTATGAGAGTGGTTTTGTGATTATGAGATGTGATGTTATTATGTAAATGTATAGATGTATAAATGTATAGATGTTTAAATGTTTAAATGTATGTATATGAATATGAATGTATATATAACAAATGCTATTATTATCATTAGAAAATTACAGTAAAGGCGGTCCTATAATAGAGAATTAAAAGAGTAAAGAAAAGAATACAGCTATTAGGCCTTTTCCTCATAAGGTGGTGGACAAGATTCAATTGGAAGGCCATGTTGTGTTAAGACCTCAATTTCTTTGGGCGACCGAGGATGGTTGGCATATAATGGTAGTTTGTGTTCTGTCTGTTCATATTCAGCTGCACGAGGGCTATGAATAGGAACTACAGTCTGATAGGTAATTGTATCCAGAACTCGCCGGATACCGTTGTCGTGGGTCAAAGCTGGGAAGCTGACGACCAATGAAACGAATAAGATGTGGGTGTTTTCGTAGTATCCTTCGTAGTTAGATGTCGGTACAAGGGTAGCGATATCTGGTATCTGAAAGTTGAGCATACCGTGCCACACCCCTGATTGGTGGCTAGTTGGAAATGATGAAACTAAAGGGAGAGTGTGGCTGGACTGGCTGGTATTCCAATCATGGTTGTGACACACACTACGTCGCTGACGAAGCTTTACTGATACTTGTTTCAATTGAAGACCCTGAATCAGAGGTGCAAAATGGAGAAAGAGTGGAAGTGTGCTATTACGGGATAGTAGTTGGGTATCCATTGTAATGTGATATTCGCAATAAGGAGTAACATGCTTTCCAGAATCAATGCCAGTAATATTGTCGCCAATCCACAATCTGTCGCCCACTGGTAATCGGATAACCTCGATTGGTTTGCTAGTACGAGTGGTGTGGCCTGTGGTTGTTGTGAGAGTTGCTGTGGCAGTGTAAGAGATTTTGAGGTTGCGACATTGGATTGAATCTGGAAGACCAGCTGGGAGATTCATTTCAAATCCAAAACGTGTTCTGCCTGTCTTGAGGCAATATGTTGGTGATTTGGTGAAAAGGATAAGGGAATGGTAGGCGAGAGAATGTTCGAGAGTGTCGTTTTCTAATAGGTAAAAACAAAATTAATAAAAAAATCTCAAAATAGTTATAATAAATCTGTGGCTTACCTGATGTGTTAGATGTATGTAGTTTTCCTTGGAAGCATAGTGTGAGGGATTCGATAGTAGATGCAAGTGTAACTTCGACAGCTCCTCTTAATACAGGCTTCTGCTGACCGCGAGTGAAAATTGTTTTCTCGAGTAAATGTAAGTTTAGTAAAGACATGAAGATGAAAAATTAAATGTGATGAAATGAATAAAGAAGATAAATAAATCAGAGACGTCCAATTTATAGGAAAATAATCTCGGAAAGATGTCGCTGATTAGATTTGTGTGTATTTATTTTTTGTTAGGTACTGAATGAGTGAAACTTGGCAATTCACATCAGTTGACTTTTTGTCGGAAAATCATGTAGGCGATCTGTCTTTGATCTATAGGTTTTCTGTATGAAACCAAGTATTTCAGTCGAGAGATCGGCCTGTGTGCTGGGACCGTTTATGTAGTACCCGACTATCAATAGTCTAATCTCATTCTGGATTTCAAGAGGACGCATATTGCTAATTAGCAATTATAGAGACCTCTTTTGCTTGTCTCAAATGTTAAACAAAATCGTGTATGTAAGAATCAGTCATTAAAAAAAAACATTAATAGTAAGAACAGCCGATGGTATCTATTACGCACAAAGAAGCTCCAGCATATATCCGTGTATGTATTTTTTTGTATTTTTTTTTTGTATTATTACCTGTTTCACGCTCATTGTGACAGTGCTGTGAGATTATTAGGTCTTTTTGGGAGCATTTAAAGTGGTCTGTCATTTTTCTGTCATTTACTTTTTCCCATTGAATATACACCTCCTTTTATAGTCCATACGAAAGGAATCTTTAAAGACCTTGATATATGTTGTATTCTACAAGTGTTGTGGGACAGTTATATCTTTTACACGGCCGCTTCAATCCGATATTCCGGTCCGATCCGCCATTTCAACGAGGTTAGTGAGAGAGGATCGTTAAAGGGGAGTTGTTTAGCCGATGTTGATTATATAGGTTATATGATTGATAACCATGTGCTGTTCTTAATAGTGTCCACTACATAGTCACTTTCCCCGCCTATATTTGAACACACTACCCCCACCATCTGTGATTTATTTATGAACTCACAAATTCAATTTTTTGCATTTAATTTGGCAAACCCTTATGACTAGAAAGTTTAATATCTTGGATAAGATGACTAAAAGTGGACTCCTCTAAAATAGTAAAGCAGCTTGATTTGGCTTATCCAAAAAAGGCAACAATAACAATTGTTCCCATTTGTAGGATTCGGAATATAGACATGCTTGAGGGTACTTTCAATACCTAGAAACCTAGGCTCAGAGGAGTACGTTATAGCAAGGGTCAGATTAGTGAGAATCATAGGCGAAGCAGGATTTTTGAAGAACCATCAGCAGTTGTTGTTTCAATGTTCCAGTGATCGACAAGCACATGTGGCTTTGTTCCCCTCTGGCCCTGACTGTACTTGGCGTCATAGTGTACTCTTTGACGGAGCTGGGATAATGGTAACACGACAATGAAAACGCCTAGGCTATACAAGGGCATCAATGTTAGAACATTCATCTGCTATGTTGCTGGGTTCAACCCTAAATAACCGTTTTTGCTGCCCTAGCAATAGCTCAATTGAACTCCAAAGCTTAGGCTTCAAAACCATGGCTTAAATTACTTACTAACACTTGACCTCACAGCACCATTCTTGTCAGTTCCACAAAATTAGATCCTATCACACACTCAAGAGGCATGTGGCTTCCCACAATTTTATTACTGTTTTTGCTCTGGGAAGCGGGGGAGAATAATCATAAGGTGTAAAATTAAAGCAAAAAGTCATTGAAGTTAGTTTGTTCTAGCATTTCTTTTGAGAAATATAGTATGACAGAAGCTAGTCTGCTGGCCTAATACAAGTACTCGGTTACTTGCTTAAATAACATTAATAAGCGTTTGGCGTGTGAAACCTTTAATGAAACAACATGCTTTTATTGCTTGTCATATCGAAGCATAACCTGGAGAAGAGTACAAGTCAAGCATTCCATGGATATATATGCATTACCTTCATTATTCAAAAAATAATGAAGCTGTCAAATTCGGTACTGAATTTCTCCATTTTTCTGTTAGTTATATCGTTAAATATTAACTCTTAACATTCACAAAGTCTTGGACCTACACGATCTTATTAGTCAGAGGTAAAGTGGTTGCTCTTTGCTGAACGTAAAATTATGTTTTTTGGCATGTTGTAATTTTTACAGATTAAAATTAGAGAAAGTTGCACACATGAATAGTGCTTTTTTATTTTTCAACCTATTATTGTATTTATTGTTGTGATTCTAGAAAAAGAATTATTATTCTCCTTTCACCAATAATATTCCTTACCATAGTTACACTACGCCAAATGAACATCTGTGCGCGGAATATATTCCGGTGGCAGAGGCGCCAACGAATTATGCATTAGATCGAATACACAATAAATTACAAACAAATCAAATATATTCTCTTTGACTTTTTACAGATACTGTGCCTAAAGACCATTTTTTTTAGAAAAATACATATTTTGCTGTGCTTTGAATACAAATTGGTAATATATAATATCAATTCTTACACTAATGGTAATACAAAATTACTGCTAAAAATTAAAAACACAAAATAATTATTAACATTTGCGTTGATTCAAAATGATTTATGGATAGAAATATAATAGCTGTTGACAATTAATAAGGATTATAGTAAAAAAGAAACTATGTTAAAAAAAGGGGGGACTTTAGTAGATTTCTACAAGTTCTTTTGCGAGTTTAAGGGTGGGATTAGGCTAGTATTTTGGCTTAACAGTGCCTTCCTCCTCTTTTTTTGATGTTAATTTAAACTTTTTCTTAATTGTTTGCTATTATAGGCCTAGAATAAAAATACCTTTTCAACTTCTCACTATCTTTCTACTCTTTTTTTTGTGCAAATATTCTACAATCGCTTTTTGCAATAGACGCAAAAAAAGATAGACTGACCTTATACAGTACAAAATATAGTAAATAAAAATTACCAAGTTATTCAAATAGCATAATATCTTACCAAAATGGCACCTTGAAGATACCTAGAAATAAGGAGTTTGAGATATTTCTTTTCTAAACATTATCAACCTTCGTCTTGAATGAAGAATTTTCAAATCGCATTCTCTTGTTATTGCAACACTTGCAAATCTATTAACAAGGATAAATCTATTGGGAATCATGCCATAATGGCGCAATTGGCTAAGGACGTTCTGGAAGTTTAAGAAAACTCCGAAAATTTTACTCTACAAACGAAATTCAAGCTGTAATAAAGCAACTTCCTTCAAAAAAAGGTTGGATTAATATATATATAACATCATTCATAAGAATATTGAAAAATAAAAAAATAAATTCTGGCTGAAATATTACGTTAGAAGACCATGGCAGATTACATTTAGTATCTGAGAACGACGGTATGAGCGAGGGCTGGGTAATTGCTTGCCTCTTTGAACTTCATCACATAGTTTTCTTGATCTTAAAAAGCCTTGCTTTTTAAATTGGCTAAAATTTCTTGCAGATCTAGCTTACTTATGAAGTACTTTCACAATCTCTTCTAGATACGTTAGTACAGTACCTTATTGTCAATTTTGTATATAATACAGAGGCTAAGTGTAGCAAATATGAAAGTAGTTAAATGAGCAGTATCATATTAATTCTACAATTTTGACCATATAAAATAATGTAAGAAATAAATTGTGCGGAAAATCTTTGGTGTCATAATATTTATCTTGAAAATCCGTATAATTTAGGAAAGACCTTCAAAATAAGTAGGATTAATGTGAAACCAAATTTGTATACTGTTAAAGACCACCGTAATTACATATTAAAAACATATATTAGGATTCTTGATATGTGGACATATACCAAACTTTAACATTGATAACATACAGTGTTGATGAATATAAAGCAAAATATTAGCATAACAATCCTTTAAAGAAGTCCCGTCCAATATAAGTTCAAAATAAATAAAATAAAATAATCTACATATAAACACCAATTGATATAATCTCACTATAAAAGAAGCCGACATCTTTATTTTACGAAGTAACTTTACAGTAAATTGGCTAACATATTGGTATTCATAAATTATAAAGAGATATGTTATCTATTCAATTACTTGCGATCGAGGAATAAACTTCTTTATCCTGAAACACTTTATCACAAGCAAATTTTCTTTTTGCTTATGTTGTATTTGGGATACTTTAATATCCGATATTATATACGAACCCAGACACATGTACCTGTCAAAGAGGTCGATATAAATGATTCTCCAATATGAAACCCCTATCTGAAACATAATAGCAATATGTCTGATCCATAATTGGATCATATTCAGGAAGTACTTAAACTATTATCGCGAAGCCGTTATGATGACTCATATCCAGGGTGACTGGATATATCTCAATAGCTGTAGGTACCATAGATACCATAGACAAAATACCTTTTATGAAGATAATTGGATTTGGGTTAATATTTTAACAAACGATAAAAAATAGTCTCAAAGTACTTGTCCGTCCCAACCTTTCCAACCGTAAATATCATAGTTTACTTTTGGCGTTTGTTTACTGCGGGAAAAAAATGAAAATGAATAAACGTTGGCCTTTTTTTGTCAATCAAAATAATTTTCATTAAAAATACATTACAAAAAGGAAGAGGGAAACCTAATGATGAATACAGTGTCGTAGGTTGGGAAAGTATACAGATTTAATTTCCGAGAAAATGAAAATGTTCATATGAATGTAGTCATCTATGTTTTTTTTCCACTTTTACATTTATAACACACTACCATGATAATTCAAAAGAAAGTTTGAAGTTTGCTCTTATATACAAATTAGTTTTTAAAGTATACTTTAATATTTAATATACACTCCTTTACTCTTCTCAAGTGCATATAGTCTATTTGGTATTGGGTTCCAATGGGCTGCACACACAAATGCTGGTATCTTTTGTCATTCTTCTTGTAAAAAACTTTTCAATTGCGTAAGATTCTTTGGGGAAAGGTTAGAAGACCCTACTTGCTTCCCAAGATACGCAAAAATGCTCTCAATTGGGCTGAGATCAGGATTGTGCGCCGGCCATTCATTACCTCCAAATTGGAAGTCAATTGGTAATCTTCCATCATTTTGCTTCGGTGACAGGGGGGGGGGGGCATTATCTTGCTGGAAAATAAATTTATTGTTGTATTTGTGCTCCAGGTGACGTTTGAAAGGAATCAACATTTCTTTCAGTATATTCTTATAGGTCTATTAATTCTGGCTGCCATGCAGGATTTCCAGGGAACCGACTCCACCGGCCCAAATACACCCCCAGATTATTATCGATCCTCTTTTGCCTTGAACCATTGGTCTTATACAGTCATATATGTAATTTTCTGATGCTAGACGCCAGATTCGTACACTTTTGCACATAGAAGATAACATGAAGAACAGTTCGTCACTCCAAATCACGCGTTCCCAGCTTTGATTGAATTTTATGGCATGGTGAGCAAATTCCACGCGGCTTTTTATTATGTTTATCTGTAAGTCAAGGCTTGTATATATCTATACATGACTTCATATTGAGAGTTTTGATAACATCGCGCGAGGTATCCTTGCAAACAGTTCTATGCAAGGTGGTCTCCATAATCTCGACCAGGGTCTCAAGATTTGTCTATCTGTTTTTTTACTAAATATCTTAGAGGGTCCATTTCGCTTTGATGTAATTGCGGTCCCATTCTCATCGAATCTTTTCACCACATTGTAGATAGTTCATCGGGATACTCCATATTTTTCACAGAGGATCGATACTCTTTCTCCGGCTTTAAAAGCACCAATAATAATGCCGTTTTTTTCAATTAAAAGCTCTCTAGGGGTTGCAAGACTTTTAGAAATGTTTGCTGAAGACATGATTGAAATTAAATAAAAAATGAAGAGTGCGAAAGAGAAAACTAAAAAAGAAATGCCTATTTTATTACTTAAAAAAAAACTCGGGAATTCAAAGTGTGCACTTTCCTAACCTATCTCACTGCACTTATTCATGATAGATAGGCGGCAATTAAGGAAGATATTAATAATTACGCTAGAAGAAGTATAAAAGAAAAGTGAAATATTGAAAAGGTGTCTTGATTATCAAATAACATACTCAAAAGGAAATGCTAGTAATTAGTCTCTTACAGTATTTAAACTATGAGCTATAGACAAAATAAGGTTCATTCTGAAAGATATAATAAACAATTCTATTGAGAAAACTCAATCTACGATAATTGCTTACTTAAACCCATCTTTAATCAAGGAAAATATATTGTCACCACGCACTGCTATTCCACCACCTCCGCCCATCAAGCTCTTGGCCTATGCCGACGATCTGCTAGTCTTTCTGCCTGATGCCGCCCACTTGTCCCGTCTTCATCATCATCTTCTCACATACTCTCATGCCTCCAATGCTCGCATCAATCTCCATAAAACTGAAGCTTTCTCCCTGTCCGGTCTTCCACTGCCAGAATGGCGCCCCGTCCTACAACAATTCGACATCACCGCCTGGTCTGACAGATCTTCCTCCACTCCCCTGCGATATCTCGGCTTTCCTCTTATTCAATCCTTACCTCAGCGCAATTCTTTCTATGACAACATTCTTTCCAAGATTGAATCTACCTGTAATATCCACCACTCTCGCTCTCTCTATTCGTGGCCGTGCCACAGTGCTCAACTCTCTCATCCTCTCTAAGCTCTGGCACGTTCTCAGAGTTGTCACCGTACCTCTATCCTTTTTCCGTCGACTTCGCTCGATCATGAGTAAGTTTATACAATACCGCTCCTTTCCTCCCATTTCTCTCGGCACTTTCTGCCAGCCTATTCGGCTCGGCGGTCTAGGGGTCCTTGATCCTCAGGTTCAACAGGCTGCTCTTCAGTTGCGCTGGCTCCGGCCTCTCGTCCGCTCTCCGCTGTCCCCCTCTGGCCTGGTCCCGCCTTGGTTCTCTTACGTCCTCCGCCTCGACTCCTCATCTGCTGATCCACTCGTTCCTTTGATATTTCCATCTCTCCGATCCTCTCATCAGCGTGATTTCGACTCTCCTCTGGCCACCCTACTTGCTGCCATTGATCTTCTCCCTCACAACTTCTCTGACGTGGTAGTCAACCTCCCCACCTGTCTCTCTCTGCCTCTCTCCTATCTCACTACTGCACAACCAGACCACCCTCCCTTTCCATCTGCATGGCGCGATCTCCGGGTTTCCGACGCCTATGAAGTAGATCCTAGTTTCGGCGTGCTTGCCCAACGCCCCCTCCACCGCATACTCCGTCGTCCTATTGTCCTTCACCGGTTCTTCGAACGTCTCTACACTCGCTCTCTTGTCTTGCACCCTGTCCTGTATCGTGCCACCATTCCCCCCGCGATCTGTGCCATACAGTTTCCTTCGCTAGATATGCCTTCTGGTACAGCTGTCGATGTGCGTCCTTTCTTGACGGCTCTTGTCCCCGGCATCCCTTGGCATCGTTTGTCCACCCAGTCTTTCCGCCTACTCTGCAATTTCCACTCCAAATCCGCACGCCCCATAAGCCCCACACTCGTCCCTCGCCAGCTTCGTCGGTTTTGGTCCTTCCCCCTGCCGCATGGGGCCCGCAACGTTTGGTTTCGTGCCCTGCACAAGAACATTCCTTGCTGTTCTCGCCTCGATTCTAGGATCCCTACCGCTTTCCCAGACCCATCCTGTGCCCTCTGCTCTCACCCTCTGGACAATCAAACTCATTTTTTGTTCCAGTGTCCGGTCAAACTGTCCGTATGGTCGTCAATCTGGACGTTGTACTTCGCCCAGACCGCGACACCCACTGTCTTGCTTTCTGGTTTGCAATCCTTCACATTCCCTCCTTGCACCGATTCTTCTCTTTCTGCTGCCTCAATTTTTGGCTGCACGCTGCTGGCTATATGGCGCCATCATTGGCTGTTCATATTTGATCACGTTCCTTTTATCTCCTCCGCTGCCTTTTCCACTGCTTCCTCTCTTCTCGACCGCCTCAAGAGCGAACTTGCTCTCGACTTTCCCCCCCTTTAGCTTCCTTCCATACCTCCACAATATATATAACCACAAACATATAAATAGAAAAACATTGTAAAAATATAAAAGCCAAAAACAAGTCGTGATTTTCCTCTTTTGCCTTGCAGCATAGAGGCTCACTAATAAACTAGAGCCTTCGGCTCCCTACAAAAAAAAAGGAAAATATATTGCATAAAAGAAATGGTTCAAAAATTCTGGGAAATTTGCTGAGAATATTCTTGTTTCAATTCGTTTATTTTTATTACTTTCGACGGACAGTTTTGTTTTTTATTTTATTTTTTTCTTCAAATTTATTTTTGCATTTATTCATTTCAAAACCATAATCAGTAATCTTAACTAACACTTTGATCTCGAAAAGAGAGAAGAATACTGTACTTGATGAGTTAAAGACGAAAATAAAATGTAATAAAAAGGTAATATAACATAAAAACTAGTACTCATTAAATGCCAATAATAATAAAAGTACAATGCAATTAATCTTAGGACTATCGCTATTATCAGAAAAAAAAAAGATTTTGCTCATTTCTCAAAACATCTTTGTTCAAAATAGCCCATTCGTTTACAAATCACTAACAACACTTGAAAGTAGTTTTTTTAATGCTTTTACAAAACTAAACAGATCAATCTGATTCTCCACATCAAACGAAATAAAAAGTAAAAAAAAAAAAAAACGCATTTTCGACGACAACGGGACTCGAACCCGCAATCTTCGGCTCCGGAGGCCGATGTGTTGACCATTTCACCATGTCGTCGCTTCAAGCGATTCCATCCCGTGTTTAAATAATATTGATATTTACCGCACCATTCTGTTCAACCCGGACATGTTCGGGGAGTCGTACCGGACAGTGACGTATATATTATTTGGTCCGAGCCGAAAGTGGGTATGGTTCATGGCGACTCCTTTTCCCCTTTATTTTCTGTCTCTTCTTTTGTCAAGCCACCCTTTATATTTTCTTTGATATGTATAGTACTTTATGACTTAAAAATATAGAGATTTAATAAAGTAATATTGTATGAAGCTCTTCATAATATGAGCATAAAAATAGCCTACGAAAAAAAAATTCTAGTTTGACTTACTAGGAATATAAAATAAGTTGTGAAAAAATAAGAGAAAAGAAGTACTCAACAACTTTAGTACAAAATATGTAAAGCAAATGAACTATTCCATATGATTATATTGTAAAATAAATAAACAGAATATTTTATTGAAATGCGAAGTTAAAATTACTCTAAAAATTATTAATCTTGTGTAAACATGAGATTTTTAGACAAAAGTGTATTATTTGTCTTTTATGCCCCTTTCTAATTCTCACTTTTGGTAATTTTTCTCTGTTTTTTTTAAAGCTACTTTTCCCTTCATTTTAGATTTCAATATATTACATTATCCTAACCTTCTTTGATTTCCCCATCTTCTTATTACTTTCTGTCGTCTTGGTTGTTTCCTTTTTCTTCAAGAGCAAGTCAAGGAACATTCGAGATTTATTTCCAAAGTGAAGCTTGGTCCAGTTCAAATGAGCAATAAGGATTTTTGTTGTATCATAAGAAGCTATTTGATGAGCATACTTCCTGTCGAATGTTTCATATGACCATCACTGAAAATACTGATACCGATAGCTGAATATTGAATCCTTATAGGCCATTGATTTTGTCGAAGTCTTCTGTTTAGCTAGCTTGTAGTTCTTGAGGAGTGACAAAAAAAAAGACTTTTTAAAATCTAAAAGAAATCCAGATTCGTCGTCCAATTAATGAAGAATGACATACTTCAAAAAGGCGGATGTATGCGATACAAGAGTATAGACGTTGACTCTAAGTGCCATAAGTCGCAGAGCATATCCCAACTTCTATTTTATTCTAGCAATTGAACTTTAGTGCGATTTTTGAAGGAAGTTCCATAAAGAAAATAAAGTCAAGTTGTCATAAGTTTATTTTTCTTTTTAGCTTTATTTATCGGCTTCTATATGTTATTGATATATTGTAATTTTATAAAATAGTCGTCTGTTGAATTTACTTTACGATCTTTTATGGAAAGTTTGGTAAAAGCTATGAAAATTATATAGTGACTAGAACGAAGCTAGGAAAGTAAAATAAAGTGATTCGGGATTGCTTTCTACATAAAATCCCTACATATTGATCTTTGGTTTTATTTATTAACTCCATCTCATTTAACCTGCCTTTAAATGGTTGCTTTAAAATGCACAGCATTTTATACAAAGTACCTGAAAATATTGTTAGGATTCTAGATACAGAGTAAGACTGAATATATGAAATGTGTCAAGTAGTGATTCAAATTTGCTTCAACTTCTCTTTGAAAAATTGGATGATCAGTGCAGCATTTTATCTTGTGCAAGGTGAAGCCAAATGGAGCAACGATCGCCCTGAAATAATTTTATATCCTCATTTGTAATTTTGATTCAACACGGAATGCGCCTTTTTAGTTTTATTTTTATTAATTCTCAACCTGCAGTATTAAATGCAAATTGAAAATGGGAGATGCTTGATTTATACATTTAAGCGAGCTTGGCGGCAGCCTTCTGGGCACGGATACCCTTAACAGCCTTCTGGGAAGCAGCCTTCTTGGGCTTCTGGACGGAGATGACAGCGGAAGCACGGGCGAGGGCAGCCTATATATACATATAAATTTAATAAAATACTCCTATTAGTTTTCGCTGTAATTATTGCCATTGTCTAAATATGTTCACTAGTAACGTACAGCACGGAGGTCGGGTCTGTAGTGGGAGCGAGCAATCAAGTTAGCAACAGACTTGGCGGTCTGACGGCGAGACTTGTTGATGACGGTGCTGTTGGCAACCTTGGCGGGGAACTGACCCTTCTTGGCCTTGGTCAAAGTGACACGGACACCACGAGCGGCAGGGGTAATAGCAACAGACTATAATTGATTATATAGAAATATATTTTTAAGTATAAGAATATAATATTCATTTTTTTGTAGTTATTAGTGTCGTACCTTGGGGTTAGCAAGACCAGAGTACTTGAAGGTGTTCAAGTTCAAGAGGTTGTTAGCCTCAGAGGAGAACTGGACGCCGGAGCGCTTGACGATGTAAGAACTGTTGTTCTTGATCAATTCCCAAACCAAATCGGCGCTCATGTTCTATTCATCGGATGAAAAAAAAAGGCTCGTATCAGATTTTCTGTTTGACAGGTGGAAACCAATTTTTCGGTTTTATCGTAGGTCGCTGTAAAGGTCATTGTCACTTACGAATATATTAAACGTTTAAGAAACGAAAGAGGAAGGGTCCTATATTTGGGTTCACACAGACAAATAAAAATTATTTTTTTTTCAGCTTCCTACACTTGGCTGAGTAGAAAACAGAGCTAATAAGGGTGCTGATTGGAGGGTAGTATTTGGTGGCTTTGCTCTTCACTTCATCAAAGAAGTTATCGATCATAAAGTGGTGTATTGCATATTTTATGTTTTGTTTATTTGTTAATAGATTTATTTACGACCAGAAGTCAAGTCGTTAAAGGAGTTAATTATACAATTTTTAACTTCTTTGTAGCTGACTACGAGACAAGACTGTTCATCTCGAGACATCAACATAATTTTTTCATCAACGCCAGCATCCAACTAGATAACGAATTAAATAAATTAGAAAACCAAAACCCTTTGTACAGATATTCTACATATATTTACCTTGTTAAGACATGTAATAGCATGTACCATATCTACTACAGGAGTCCCTTTTGCGTCTACTTGGTGAAAAACATAATCTCGGAAGAGCTTGATAATATATCGATCTCCAGTTTCGGACCAGCTTGGATCCATATCAAATCTACGATTAAATAGATATTTACTTGCACAGTTCGTACTCCATGGTTCCTTGATCCTATTACTTACACTGGCCTCTCATTTATAAAAGCCATCTTGGACATTATTCGTACCAGCCGTGCATTTTCTAATTCTCGGCTCAATTCGTTTTCTAGAGTATCATTGTAGCTAATTCCCACTTATTAGTATATGAGTCCCAAAAGACACAAGTTCATTACGTACGAGTGATTCCCATTAATTTCTTGGAGGATATGAGGTCCAATTAATGATACCACTTCGTCAACTGTCTTTGTTGGCATAGGTTTACTGAGAAGGTAGAGAATTGTATTCTTCAAATCAGGGGAGTAGAAACGACTGATGTATTCAAACGATTGCGACAAGTTTTGGATCGAATGTGTTGAGTTGCAAGCCAAGGCAACAATAATCTTTCCAAAGGCAAGCAAGTCTTCTTGCTGCAGATATATTTGAATAAATACTATATCCTTTAAAACTACAATCTGATTAAATAATATACCTGGTGTCGCGACAGGGACTGGCCTCCATCAAACTGCAATACGTCTGCTATACACACACAGTTCAACCGAATTCTTCACAACGAATGTATTAGAATAAGCTGATAGAACTTTATTAGCCGCAAATTAACTTACCTATTCTTTCCAGTAACAAGGATCTTAGTGGGATCCATAACGCGTGCTGCTAATCCAAGTGCATGGATCGATTTTAACGCCGAGGCAATCTGAGTAATATAACTCCACAACGTGCTTTCTGGCACATGCGGAGAAGAACTGGCTTTAATCTGTGACTGTCTCTGAAAGTTGGTTTGGGTTTGAGAAGAAAGATGCGTATGTTGAAGTGTTTCTGAGCAAGGATGATAGTCATACACAAATACAAGTGCTGTAATATGAATTCGATCAGTTGTAGACTCTCAACCCAACTGTATATATTTTTACTTACAAGAGTCATCAAATGCAGAAGTAGAAAATGCATCCCGAATAGCAACCACATTACAGTGTCTAATCCGTTTCCAGTTCTCTACCATGGACATGGCCAGTTCGTTCGCTAGTCTGCAATCTATATGTCACACCATCAAAAAAAAAACTTCTTCTGTAGAATATATCTATCATTACCTGCTATCCTTACTAGCACGTAGCTTCTACCATCCACACTACACACTGATTTGTAGACCCATGAAGTGTGGCCAAAAAACTTGCCACCATTACTTGATGTATCATCCAACAGAGACAGGGAGTGATAAATATGCACCTCCTGAGGAAGACTCTGATCGTGTGCTATTTTGAGATTAGAGTTTATTCTAGTTCGCTTTTACAAACACAGACATCAAACTCTTACTTGATCCAATAGTTAAGACTTTTTCATTTCTTTCAGTCAATTGCTCCCGGAGATCATCCGGCATAAAAAATGATTGAATGGTTTTTTGATTAGCTGCCAACTTAGGCATACGCGTGGGTGGCGCTGAGTACAAGTGATATTGTAACTATCAATGGATGGTGTTTTAGTACTATATTTAACGATCTAAAATCTTACAGGTTGGCGCTGATAGACTGCTGAATTCATATAATAATATTGATCTGTCTGTTCGGGTTGCATCATGACCATACTATTCAACATCTGAGAGGGCGTCTGTGGAAGAGCCTGTGCGGTTGGAGACTAGGTAAAACCTTTATAAGTACAAGTATAAGGTTATGAATAATGACTTACATCGTTCCCTAACGAAAAGTTTGAAAATTCACGGGTTAATGAAGGCATCGGATGGTTGTATTCTTGCTCTGGTGAAGTTAATGGTTCCGTCCTAAATCAATTGCGTAAATATTATTATTATCTTTTATTTATTTGTAATAAGTCCTTACTCTATCTCTTCATTGGGTGTAGATTCAACTAAACAAAGTGCAACAAGGTCAACATAATCAAACCACCGGATTTTGGATCTTTTTTACCTGTGGTTGAGACTGGAGGAAGTGGAGCTTCTATAGACAAAAGAAGAATAAACGACCGCACATGGACAATGCTCCAACTGTCGCCGTATTACCCAGTGAAAATTTAGGGACAAAGACGGGAGCGTTTACACTGTCGGCTGATACGGTAGAGACCATCGTGGTTGGCCGAGTAGATGGGGATTGGACACGCAACTTTGGTTTACTTATAAAGTATATATTATTAGTCTTTGTTGAATAAATATCTAAGTTACGGCTTGACTCACTTTTCGGGAATTTCCTGAGGAGGCTTATTCTAAAAAAACACATTAGATGTTGTGCTATAACTTGCTCGGAAATGGCTTACACACCCCATCGTGGTTGAACTCACAACCCTTGTCTTCGTATTTGCAGAAACCGTGGATAATCACATTTCTACATTGTCTCTTTGGTACATTGATGCCTAAACATGAAGAAAAATAGGAATATTAAGATGTGATTGCAGAAATCCAAAGCATTAAAATTATATCCTACACATATTTATTGGAATAAGATAAATACCTTTGAGAGGCTTCGAGACAGGTTTTGGTGTAGGTGAATTTGGGCCATCTGAAGGTGCTACGATTGGAATCGCAGCTGGAGAATGAGAAGGCACGACGATTTGGCCGAGTGATTTTTGCATTCCAACTAAAAAAAAACAGAGAAAGAGAGAGCAAGAGAGACAAAGAGAGGAAGGGGTTTAGAGAGTTGAAGAGCTTAACAAGTCACTTGGTTATCAGTTATTTTGTAGTGTAAAAATAATAATAGTTTATTTTTTACAAATTATTCGCACACTGGGAATAATTTTTTTTACGCATTTGTAAATACATTTTAGCTTAATTGGTCCAATCGTATTCACTCAAAGTAAGTATATTCTCGTAAAAATGATCTAATCTTGTAATTTTGGCTCCTTGCAACTTCTTAATAATATTGTAAAATGATACTATAGAATTTGTTTTGACTACATGTTCTCCTATAAACTCTATTGAATAAAGTGGATATAACCTTGTCTTCTTGTAGTTTATGTCGATAAATGTCTAAATCGATTCCTCAATACTAAACTTTAGTTAAGCTTTACATTGCTATTTCTAAATTGTGATAATTTGCAAAAACATAAGACAGACATTCTTTTAGCTAATACTACTTTATAAATATTAGGGGAATTTCTACATACATACCGACTCAATAATCCTACAGAGAAATGCTTTTTAAGTAACTCAAAATATAATGTAGACTTTGACAAACAAATAAGCATACACACATGCAATCAACCAAAACAATATATTGTCTACCATTATATTATCATAGATTCAAAAAGATTATACCTTTTATATTGTGGATATTGAATTCGTATTCCTACCAACTACATAGCACACTACTACACAAGCGGCTGAAACGGAAAAAAAAGTTGCCAAGCAGCACTATCTACATTGGTTTATCGAGTATCAAGATACGCAGAACTCTAAAATATCGTTGCTGTAGTGTACTGTCCAAAATGTAAGCACTAACCCTTAGGATTGGTATCTAGAAGTACAATACATAATTTCACTCACTCCTAGGAATTACTACACGACTGTCATGATAAGTGATGGCCATATAATTTTGGAAATGTCATAGTTTTGAAAGTTTTGCCATTTATTACATACCATCCAGTTATATGCCGATCAATGTACATATCATGAAGCATCTACAGTAAAATTTAGCCGCAATTATACCCAAATCACAAGCAGCTGGTTTACTTCAATGACATGGTCCATGGAGCTGATTTGGAGTAATTTAATAAGAACTACACATATAAAAGAAAATATTACAGCACTACTTAGAAATATATATATATATATTATCTGGTGTATGTCATTCTTGTGCCTCAATTATGGAAGAACTCAGAGTCTAATTGATGAAAGATATCACAACTTAAAGTATAGCAAGAACTTTAAAGTTCTTTTTTATATTTAGTAGAGAATTAATGTACCAAAATCTTTCTTTTCTTTTACTATATATACATGCATAGACTTTTTGGAGACCAATAATAATGATAAGAAATTATACTCACTGTAGAGTATTGATATATATATATATCTACTGTTAGTCTAATCTTCTAATGTATACTGCAGCAGTAGCGCGTATTAAGAAATGTTTCAGAGATTATTAATTTATACAAGACTTTCAACTATTCTATATAAGCATTTGGTAAATAGACCCCACTAACAGTAAATTCTCATAATTTTCAAATTATTTTTGCTCGTTGGCCTCAAGGCCAAACCAAGATGCGTGAATACATATATTAATGTAGTTTAAACTACATAATTAGCTGCCCACAAATATATATCATCTTTGTCTGTTAGGCATAGAGATGACAAGGTAGTAATCAACTTGATATAATAATAATAAGTCCTTTATTTTGTTTTTATTCATCCAAAATAATAGTAGTATTTCTCTTTTACCAATCGAGATTAAGTGTGAATCGGATGAATAACTTTGATTGAAACATATTAGCTATCATTACAGAAAAAAGGACGATTTCAGAGGCCATTATAGGAAATAATTCCCGTAAAACTTACTTCCTTGACCCTTTAATTTTATAAAAGATAATAGAGAACCCGTTGACGAGTGAAAATTTAGAATTTTCACTCACTTTTGCTTTACGCGGCGATTGAAATTCCAATGAAAAGATGTAAAATTTTACTGAGGGAGGCCATTTAGTGATGAAATGGAGTGAAAAATTGGGAGTTTTCTAGTTTTTCACTCCATTTCATCACCAAGTTTTTATTAAGAATTGAGCTTGTTTCTTTACCTTCAAACATAAAAATAATATAGTCAAGAGTCGTCTCTATATATCTACTTAAAAGAAAAAGTCTTGGAAATCCAAGTTTATTAAGATGTATCTCTCTTATGTTTGTCACAGTACTTATGTTTTCATCAACTGTGGTTGAGTTTTTCTTTTTTTTTGACTGGGTTTCACTAATAATTCTTTTTTAGCAGTCTTTGAAAATATCACATCCCAACGGGTTCTCTAATATACATAAGTTCTCTTTAAGGTGTAAGGCTTTATTAATAAACCAGTATACTTCTCTGTAATTGATAATGCATTATAGTATTCTCACGCAAAATTAAAAAGCATCGGATATTAGCATTCTAATATATTATATACTCTTATATCATATATATATATATATATATATAATCCCACTTTTCATGAAATCCCTGTCTTATTTAGCAGGATACAGGGATCCCTTCACAACAATACTACCTATCTTAAAGTTCTACCATAACGATACAGATTTCCATTATATATACTATAGTGCTAGAAAATTTTCTCATAACCATATTTTTATCTTTCTGTATGGAATAATTCCTAGATCAACTTGTATAATTATCCTTCGACTGTTTCGCTCTTTTCTAATAATAGAGGAGGTGTTAGAGGAGGTGTTATCTAGTGGAAAATTGAATATTTTATCCATTTTCAATTGAAACGTCGATTTAATTTCCAATGATTGTTATACGTTTTTCTCGGTTGACGCGATTTAGTGGAAAATGTATGTGGAAAATTACGAATTTCATAATTTTCCACTAACATTTTCCATTAAATATTTCCTCAAAATCAAGCTTCTTCTCTCACTCTCAAATTAAGGTATAGGGTAGCCAGGAGTGTCTATTGTATATGTAATTAATTTATTCGATCCTTAAAGGTCGAATTTATTTTTAAAAAAAAGATTGAAATTTATGAGGATTTATTTTTCTTATATTTGACACAGTATGATGTTCTCATCAATTGATAAGTTTCCACAACTGCTGCCGGAGTGCTTTGTTTTTTACTGGGTTTGTCTGATCTTTATTTTTGTAGCAGTCACATTTTTTCCATTAGATAACACCTCCTCTAATAGTCTACATAGTACGCACATATTAACACTATAATTCTATACCAAAATACCTTATAAACCTCTGGAAGATTGTTCATAGACAAGATAGACCTGTGAAGAATTTTTTTTGAGAATAATAGAGAAGCGAGATGCAATCCAGAGGGACAATGTAAACATATGATGGTGGCATATCCATCTTGAAGTAGTCTCACGAAACTACCCAAAATCAGACATTTGGAAGGGTTCGCATAATTGATTAGGAGTAAACTACCTATACGTATACTTTATTACAAAAAAAAACGAAATAAGTTGGGGTCTTTGCGTCTTTTTTGATCTTGGAAGAAGATATTTACTAAATACGTGGGTGAGGACTGTACTTAGTGTGGACAGACTGAAAAGATTTATCAAAGTTGAAACAAAGGCCATAATGAGCTTAGTAAATCAAATAAATCTCTAACTGCCTGCACTTTTTTCTTTTTAAAAAAAGGTTAGACTTAGTTCAAATATAGAATAGATACAATGAACTGCTCATAATACCATATCTTCCATCAAAAGCATGATCTTCTTCTCAATCCAAGTGGCAATGGAAGAAGTCTGGCCAATCAGAGTCGCTCAATTTTTTGACCTTTCTTTCTACCTTTTTTTTTAAACTTCTAGTCTGTCCACACCAATTTTGGAAGCTCTCCAAATTTAGTAAGAAATCATCTGCAATTGAAAATACCTTTGTCCAATAAAAAAAGAAAATTCTCTGAATTTCCTTTCATAAACACCTGAAATTAAAATTGAAAATGTAAAAAAAAAGAGATGGTCCGAAATTTTTTTGAAAAGGTCCGAAAACCAAGTGAAAATACATTATTTTCGATTTTCCTTTAATTTTAACACTTTCGTCCTTTGGAGTCTTCTTCTTCCGACTCTGCACGTTTCTGTAAAGTTTTTCTTCTTTTATTTATTTAATTTATTTCACTAATATATTGGCATGGGAAATACCATTGCGACACCAACTCCCAGCCATCCAACCAGCAAAAACCATCCACCTGATTCACGACCACCCACAGCAGGACTACCTTCATCCGGTCGTAGCTTACGAAAGATCGAATCTTCCTCGACATTATCTAGTCTCGGTCGATTCTACCAACATCCAAATCCATCAAATACCTCAATGTCTTCTAAGGTATCCAAAACTAGTAGCCGACGTCAGCATGTAGAAAAGGTTCTTGATATTGGTAAACCAACCCAGTTTGAACACGGAATCCATGTTGAATATAATAAATATAATGGAAAATACATGGTAAATATAGTGCATCAATTGATTTATTTCCTAAAGAAAAGTGCAATTATATATATATATATATATATGCATTACTCTATTTTTGTTATTGTTTTTCTCATGATCATTATCTAGGGCCTACCAGATGTCTGGCAATCTAACCTTCCAAGCGATGATGTATTAAATACAAATTACATCAACCCGAACCTCGTCCCATCGCCAGCAAGTACTCGCAGTAAGTCAGTCAGACGACTTTTATCGAGCTCCAAAGTTGTAATGTCCTCTCAAGAGGAAAAAACACAGACGCTACGAAAGTCCCCTTCCGTCATCGGCAAACCCTACAATGTTCAACACAATGTCCATGTCCAGGTAGACAAATATGGATTCCGAGGACTTCCACCAGAATGGCAACGAATTCTCCAGGTGTCTGGAGTACCAGAAGAAGTCGTAAAAGCAAATCCAAAAACAGTAGAACGATTGATGCATCTTCGAATGCCAGATTCTCTCCAACAAGATGTTACAAACAAAACAAGACCATTGAAATCTCCACATTCTGCATCCTTGATTCCTAATGGACCTGACACTACTCAACACCCCACAAATGAACTACCAATTGGATTTGCACCACCTTCCCGAGCACGGAACTCAAAGTTGACACACCTTTCTACAATCAAGACTAATGAGCCTCCCCCAAGAATAGATAGTAATGTATCAGAGGAACAAGGTATGTGTTTACAAAATATTAATGCTATTATTATGGCTGTTATTAGTGTATAAAGCTAGTTGATAAGCGATTGGTTTTAATCTTTGGCTAACAAATTTATATTTTGCTGTGTAGAAAATGAGATTTTGGCAGAGGCAAATTCCGAAAATACACATCTTGCTTTAGATTCTGGCTTTATTGGTAAACTAATACTGATGCGAACAATTTCTAGAGCGTATATTAAAGTATCAAATAACTATTTTAGATGACTTGGTTGATACAGCTGATCCAAATACACTGTACACTGATTTTGTCCTAATCGCAGAGGGAGAATCTGGTCCAATGTATTCTGCAAAGCACATCACAACTAGCCGAGTGGTAGGTTTATTATATAAATATAGATATACCTTGGGTAAGCTTATTGACAAGCCTTGTATTGGTTCATAAGGTGGCTATCAAAAAGATACCTCGAACGGCAGTGGAGAAGCTTTCAAAAATCAGAAATGAGCTGACGACAATGAAAATGAGCCGACATCCAAATGTAGTTGAATACATTACAAGCTACATGACAGAAGAAGAGATCTGGGTAAAGTAGTAATATGGGACTATATATATTGTCTGTAATACTCATGCATTTCTTTCAAGGTGGTTATGGAATGTATGGATGTTTCTTTGGCTGATATTCTTTCGGTACACATCGAAGAGGGTCCTCATATGAAGGAAGACCAGATTGGCCGTGTGGCTCGCGATATATTGCGTGCTTTAAGTCGTATCCACCGTCTCCAACGTATTCATCGGGATATCCGTAGTGACAATGTATTACTAAATATGCGTGGTGAAGTCAAGTTGGGTAAGAAATCATACACGTCTTTCTACAAAATTTACTCATGATTTACCTTTATAGCCGATTTCAGCCATTGTGCTCAATTGACGAAGAAACATCCTAAAAGAAACTCGGTTGTTGGTACACCTTATTGGATGGTAAAGTACTCATAAATCAACAGATTCTAATTTACATACACATATATATAAAAGCGACTAATTAATTCATTCAATGTGATTATGTTTAGGCTCCTGAAGTTATCAAAGGTGTTGAATACGACTCAAAAGCAGACATTTGGAGTCTTGGAGTATTATTATTGGAGATGGCACAAGGCGATCCACCCTATGTAGAATATCCTCCTCTTCGGGTAAGTGATCATGGAGCAAATAGTTTAAAGAAATAAAAATACACGGGCTGATAAGATTTGTGTTGGGATTCAAACTCAACATTAGGCCTTGTTCCTGATTGCCTCGAATGGTCTCCCTCCGTTACGCGAACCTGACCTCTGGTCAGATTCATTCAAAGACTTCTTGAGCAAGTGCACAACAGATGACCCTGCTGTAAGACCAGACGCCGCCACACTCCTCAAGGTAAATAATCACAAGCAAATTATGAAAGATAAAGAGGGTAAATTGACGGTTGATTTCCGAATGTATATTTTAGCATCCTTTTTTGCATTCAGTTGGTATAACACATCGCATGGTTGAATTGATTGAAGAAACTCGACGGTTTGAAATCTTACAGCAGGAAGATGCTGAGACGGTAACAGAAGAACTAGCCATCGGTTCTCCTTAACCCTCCTGTACTTCTTGGCCTCTTCTATCTTCATGCATCTCCACATACTCCGCATTTACTCACTTATTCACTTATTCACTTACTCATTTACTCACTTACTCACTCTCCCTTCCATACCCAAAGGTGTCATCCTTCCCCCTTCCTTTTTTGTTTGCCTCCAAAATAAAAATAAAAATAAGAATAATGTAATCATCTTCTGTTTTATGTTATAAAAAGAATAATAGTATAAAATTGATTGAATACGGGAATGGGCGGATCAGATAAGCCTCTTCGATTTTTTTATGAATGAAAAAAAAAATGGCTTTTTCTTTTTAAAGTGAATTGAGAGTATAACTTCTTTCTATCGCTTTAATGAAAACAAAAACGACAATATATAAATGTATAGTACAGAGTTTTAAAACAACGGATATCCTATCTCTTAAGCCAAACCAGCGGCAACCATAGCCTAGATAATGCAAATAGATGAGTTAATCAATCACCACAAATGCCTTATTAAAACACGTACCTTTTGGAGTTCAATACCCATCTTGGCAGGGGAAGGAGTGACAATGACACCAGCCTTCTCCAATGCCTTGATCTTATCCTGAGCACCACCCTTACCACCGGAAATGATAGCACCAGCATGACCTACAGAATTCCCAAAATCATATTTTAGAATGAATGATCCCAAAAAAATAAAAATTAAATTTTTAATTTACCCATTCTACGGCCAGGAGGAGCAGTCAAACCAGCAATGAAAGAAACAACGGGCTTGGGGAGGTCTCTGGACAAGTTGTACTGGGTCAAGAAGTCGGCAGCCTCCTCTTCGGCAGTACCACCGATCTCGCCAATCATGACAATACCTTCGGTCTCCTCATCTTCCAAGAAGACCTTAAGACAGTCGATGAAGTTGGTGCCGTTGAGGGGATCACCACCAATACCGACACAGAGGGTCTGACCAAGACCAACCTCAGTAGTCTGGTTGACGGCCTCGTAGGTCAATGTACCGGAGCGGGAGACAATACCGATCTTACCACGCTTAAGAATGTGACCGGGCATAATACCGATCTTGCACTGCTCAGCAGAGATCATACCGGGGCAGTTGGGACCAACGAGACGTGACTTGCCCTGGGTCATCAAGGCCTGCTTAACCTTGACCATGTCGTGCTGAGGAATACCTTCAGTGATGGCAACAATAAGGGGGATCTCGTTTTCGATGGCATCGAGAATGGCGGCGGCAGCACCGGGAGGGGGGACGTAGATAACACTGGCGTCGGGCTTGGCTTCCTTAACAGCCTGTAAGAAGCAGAAAATTTAAAAATAAAAATTTAAAAAAATAATGAGAAACCAATTTTAAGTCCAAATTAAAGAAGAGCCAAAAAGTTGAGGAAAATTGGTGATATGATTTCAGTCAGCACAAATGTTGAAAATACAATGTGGATCTTCTTATTTTCATCTTCTTCGTTTGTGTGTATGTAATTAAATTAAATGCTTATAATATTATAGTATAGCAGAATACTGTATAGTATTATATAGTATGTATGCTCATTGATTATAAAGATAAGGGATTTTATTTTCATTTAATATAAAATCAAGTTCGATGAAACCTAATACTATGAAAATATGTATATGAATTTGTGAACTATCTTACCTCTCTAACTGAGCCGAAAACGGGGAGACCAAGGTGAACCTGACCAGCCTTCTTGGGAGAGACACCACCGACCATGTTGGTACCGTACTCAATTGCCTGCTGAGAATGGAAAGTACCCTAAAATTTATATTATATAATAAAATAAAATCGAAAAAAAGTGTGAGAAAACGCAGTGATGAAGGGGTTTGTGATTTATGGGGCCCTTTTTACAAAAGACTCATTTCACAAAAAAGAAAATAAAAAGATAGAGAAAATATTTTTTTCCTGGGAAAGTTTTCTTATAGCTTTAGTTACCTGCTTTCCTGTGAAGCCCTGGCAGATCACCTTTGTGTTTTTGTTGATGAGCAAGTTCTTGTAGGTGGCATCATACGCGTTGGCATGGCTGTATGAGCGACGGGCCACTACAATACAACATGGGGAAAATTGAGTGAATTGCTCGAGTAAATTCTCTTCAATGTATTACTCACCATTAACAGTGGTGCGAATGGCAGTTTGGACCTTGGCCGAGAACATGATGGTAAAAGCTTGAATAAAGGGGGGAAAACAGTTCAACCCAGCGGATTAAATGAGCTATACGTGTTTATTCATTTTGTTTAATCCCCGACCGAGCTTATATCGGAAGACCAGTGACTTGCTTACTTTGTCTGAGTTTAAGCTCGAGTCTTTCTCACAAGCAAGTCCTTTTTTCCCGTTTCTTGATCGATTGGCTTGGCTTCCTATTTGAACCGAAGTGTTGTAGATTAACACGATTTGACATTTTCAGCTCAAAGTTAAAGAAGATCCTTACATTGAGATATCATCAATACAAAAGAATTAACTAGATAAGGCTGATTAAACAAATGCTTTTTTATATATTTTTTTTTAATTTTTTTGAAAATAAAGTAAAATAAAAAATAGTATAAAATAAACTGACGGAAATGAGTGGGTAAATACGGTGAAATTTTGATTTTTTTTTAAATAAAAAGTTGCTATAGCGACAATAATCAAATGAATGTGTCAGCATATAAAATGGGTAGAATTATTAATGAGGAATAAAACTATATATCCTTCTTACAACAATCTATAAAGAATACATGTATCTTGTAAAGTCTACATAGTTTATATTAAAAAGGAAAGTCCCTCTCAATACACCAGCACCTAATCTATGTTTAATATTAAAAACATTATACTTTGTACACATTATATAATATTAATTACGTGTGACATTTCACACCTGTGATTTTTTGTATTCCTGTGCGTTAAAGTCAAGGGCTTTACACACAGGACTTCTTCTTATTTCTCTCTCTCTCTCTCTTTGTCTCTTAGTCTAATACCAATTTATTCACAGAAGTACTCCTGTTGTGACTAAAATCATTTGCAGGTAGATAGTGCAGTAGTAATATACTATAAATGCAAGCACGGGTATTAATGAGCACAAATATACATTTAAATATATATCGGAACTCTTTCTCTCCACTAACTAATGTTATCTTGTATAATATATAAGAATATCTGATTCTCTAACCTAGGTCAAGTAACTCATTAATCTGATATACACCTGTTTCCGACCTCCGTCTCCTTCTGTTCTCACCCCGCCTATTTTGATCTGCTATATCTTTCAATTTTATTTGCCACTATACCATTGTAGGTCTTATTACTTTATTGATCATAATATCCAATAAAAAGTAATAATAATAAAAAGACTAAATACTATTTTTGCTCTATCTCAACAACAAATAGTGCTGTTTCTATTTTCTCAACCATTCATTTTCACAGTATTAGTGTTTTTCTCTTAGATTCACTACTTTTACCATAAATACACCGAAGGGTTCATTATCATGCATGCTCGATTATTGAGTAAAGTTTTGAAATTCGTTATTGTTCACAAGTATCGCAGGCCCGATCTTGTTAATTGTACTGTTAATGATGAGTATAGATATATTTCAGTTTGTATTGGTGAGAATCCGTCTGTCGTATTTAAATAGATAACGGGACAACCGGCGTAGAGTTTTCACGACTCAAGGTATCCAAAAGCACAGTTTGATTTAACAGCAAGAAACAAGTGACCCCTGTTTCTTTAGAGGCCATATGTCTTCCTCTTTTTCAAACATTAATCTGTGCTTCATGTGAAGTAAGGTCATATCGAAGGAAAGTCTCAATGCTAGCTATACGAGTACCCAAGATATGAGCAGTTACGACCAAAATATTGGGTGGAAGAAAGCTGTACATCTAATTAAATACAGTTAAATATTCAATTCGATTGTATAAAAAAGTAATGTCTCTAGCAAACTAATTGCTGTAAAGCCAATGAATATACCCTCAACATCTTGTACTAAGGTGATTGTGTACCCAATCGAGATAAACAGTAAATAAATGAATAAATGTAGGGACTAAATATTATAGTATAGTTCCGAGCTGACATGATCATACTTCTAATGATGCTAAGGATGTTCACAACGAGTAAAATTTTAACTGTCAAAGGGACAGCTGAATCCCGCACACACTGTGCAAGAGGTTAATTGCGTACCCTATTATGTTAAACAACAGGGAAGTATATAAAATTAGGTGCTAGGAATTATAACATAAAATACATGTCCACAAAAATCAGCCTCCAATAAAGTTAAAAATGCCTCCAGTGAGCAAGGTTCTAATAGTAAATAAAACGGCTGTATTCAGTATATATTACCCGTACGCTTAACTTTATTCTCTCAAGTGTAATAGTAAGGATGTCGGTAGGGGCGAGGGCTAATAATATTACTAAAAAATAAATCGAGCTTGTACAAGTAAAAATACAATGGTAAAAATGGAGCCCCAAAAGTAGTAGAAAAGTAGATAAAGCTATAAAGTAATCGGCTCTACTAGTAGTGCACACAAGATCCCGGTAAATTTTTTTAATTGAAAACAACATCAAGCGCAAGTTATAAACACACGCATATATATATATATATGTATATATATATTACTTATGAATAAAGAACATTAACTAAACATTTTTGCTGCTTGGTCTTATTGATTCTGAAATAATTCTAGTATTAAGCTAAAATTCTGGAGGTCTTTTCAGACTGAATTTTATATCCTATGGTCGGCAAACTTGTTGTCTTTTATTTTCCAGGGTCGTAACCATAAAAAGTATTATATATTTATTTCCATCGTATAGAACGCCTTTTTTTATTTGGTATTCAAATATCTAAAAGAAAATACACTTTTTGTGTTAGCTAACAATATTTAAGCTTTCTCAACCAGCGAGCTTTGTATCGAGTTCAATTTGACTCTTAATAACGTCAAGGCATTTTTCTTTTGGTGTTTCCACATAAATGCACCTCGATATAAAGAGCTCAACCATCAAACTCTTCATGTTCTTGACAAGAATTGGTGTATTTTGCCATCCGATAAAGTTATAAAACATATAAAATACGTATAGTACATTGGTGCATATATAAAGGAAATGGTATCTGTCTAAAATTGTAGACCACATATGCCATGAAAATATTATGAGCATATATAGCAATATAATGCACTGATTGTGTTTAATTATTAAGTATCCAGTCAGTAGTTTACTGAAATCTAGTATTCAATCACCCATCAATAATTATACTAAGAGCCTTCATACAAATAAACAAAAAAGAGAATGTATATACATATTATAGTCATAAGAGTAATAGCGAGTATGGGGAGCTTTGGTATCAATCACTGCTTGCCCCCTTGTTTTTAACAAAATGCGAAGCAAATTCAATTCAAATCTCTTCTTATTCAAATCGCATTACATAACATACCCTTTTTTATTGTTGATACTGACCCTCTCTTCGTTCATTCTAATTTCAAGAGTCCACTAAATATATTCAATTGGATTAAGGTATGAATTTTGAGCTGATCATTACTTAAAAAAACTGACGTTAAAGGTCATTATTATTATGTAACTTTGAGTGGAGTCCAGTGTGGGGACTGGTGCCACCTTTCTGGAGTATACACTTTCTGTTTTATTCATATAGTTTTTTTTTGTTTTGAACTGCTAGAAGGAAAAGTATTTCAAGGTGCTTAAATACCAAACCTGGCTTATATTCTCATCCAGGAGTATTAATGATCCAAACTCAGCTGTCCAAAAACAACTCTAACACAGTACATTGCATTATCTTCACTTTGGTCCTGTAACTGTATGCTCTTTTGCATACCTTTTTCAGCTCTTTTTGCTATATTTCGGACATATCAGTTACTACTTTCCACTAGAAGACTGGACTTAACAAACCAAACAAGGGCCTATATATCCTTCAAAATCAGTCTCGGCTGGTCGATAATTAGCAAAGTAATTCTTTCCAAACGAGGATAATCCAAAACCGCCAGACCTTTCAATGATATATTTGACAGCGTGCAAAATTGTCTTCATGTGATCAGTGCAGAGACTGAAAGAAAAAGTGAGAAAAAGACTGTTGTACAAAAATGATACGTGGAATGAAGACGATGACCTGTTTAGCTACTTGTTATTATTGTTAATGCTTTTTTCTTAAAAAAAGATTATTGAAAGATATTTATTCTCTTTTATGTTAAGCCTTACAGAAAAAAAGGCGACTTTAGTAAAATTTTTACAAGTTTTCTAGGGTTTAAAGTGCCTTTTATAGTGGAATTTAATGAAGTATCAATTTTTCTCACTTTTATATATATCCCACTATTTACCTAACTAAGTTTTTACAGTCAATGCAAAACACCTTTTTATCAACTTCTTCAACCCACTACAAAATTAAAGCTTATATAATTACAGTCAAAGCTCGATATAGTGATATGGATGGTGGACAGAAATTTTATTACTATCACTATATCGAAAAATAGTGATAATAAGCAGGCACGGGCCCAAATTTTCCAAAAAATTATCACTATATCGAGCTTTGACTGTATTCAAATATAATAGTTTACCATTCGGTAACAAACCCCCTGAATCCGAGTTAGATCCTATTTCATATAGATATCATCTTATATAAATTAGAGACTTATCATAAAACATATTATAGTTATACCATGGCTATCGGTTATACAAGAGGTAAGCATTACACTAAAGACAAGCTCCTGATAATTTTATATTGAGACCACCAATGTCTACAAAGATCTCGAGAATTCTTTTAAATGCGAATGGTTCAAAAGGCTTGTAACGTTGACACGTCTGGCATATACTAAGTTTAGGATACTCGAGACTTATTATCCTGAGACTTAATTCAATTACTATTATAATTTTAGTCTTTAATACAGAAAGATACTCTAGATGAAAATTGTACATTGGACTGCTTACATATTGCGAAATTTGGTAAAGGGACAAACATGGCCTACAGATTACTTATATTTTTAGTTTGAACTTTAACAAGCATTTGCCATAAAAAAGTAGTGTCATGTACAGTTTGGATGTCGAGATTGCTCGCATTCTCATTAGAAATAATTGATTTAGAGAATTTCATAGAATCTGACTTTTGGTTTTTTAAAAGTAGAAATCAGCCATAGAAATGCCAACAAAAGACAGGTGTATAATCTTTGATAAAAGAATAAAGTAAGGAATATGCATGCCTTCATCAATAGTATAGTATTTATAGAATAATTTTTTTAATAAGGAAGATAGAATATAGCACGTAGCAATAAATATATGTATACTATATAGCAAATATATAGCTTAAACTGTTAATAAATATCAGATAAAGCAGTACTTCTTTGCATACTTCTATTATCTCGATCAATAAAAACCATAAAATTCCAATATAAAACATCGTGAATTTGTTGAACCAATTATAAGAAGAATACGGATACCTAAAAAGGTATACACTTACTATATTTAAAATATTTTATTGGATTAGATTCAAAATAATGTTAAAATGCTAAACTCTGATATTCTATTGGCTGGAAAATCTATGCGCTCGTATATTTTCTACGAGTACAGTTATAAATCCTGTCATTTCCTACAGTGATAAGTTTATCACACAAGTATATTACTTTTCAAGAAAATATAAACAAACAAAGAGCATTGCTTAATATGACCCTAAACTGACCCTTACTCTTGTAAGTGGAAGACATTAACTTGTACCAGAAGTAACTGCTTTCCTGAAGCATTTTGTATATACAAATATCACACATTATTACTTTAAAGCATTAGATATATTATAAATTGTTTTTTTTTCGCTTAGCAATGTATAGTTAAGCCTTGTAGAAAAGGAAAAAGAAGAAGAAGAAAAGGGGGGAAGGATAAAATATATCGATAAAAGAAGAAAAATGATACTGTGTTTTTCAGGTTTAAAACACACATCCACATCTCTCCTCTCAAACTCCTCTGATTCTTGAATTCGTTCATTTATTTGACTGTCACGTTTAGCCACACTGTAACTCTTGTGTAAGTGTCAATTTGCTACCTCATTTACTTGTACATTTCAATAAAATAATAAAAAGTAAAAAAAAAATAAGGCAATAGAATGGCAATGTCTGATTCCGAGTTCTCCGAGGTTATCTTTACAAAAAACTTGCCTCAGTCTCCTCTGTTACATTCCAAGCCAAGTCGACACACAATTGAACAGTTTAGACATGCACCCCGCAGTCTATTCGACGAGATCCGTCAGCCGGATTGGCCTCTTTCTGAAAAGGTAGATTGGGTTATTCCTAAGCATAGCTGGGGTCCCAAAGGAGACCATGGCGCTTAATGACTCGTAGATCACAGAAGAGGAAGATCCGGATGAGATTGATGCCGAGGTATGCAAAAATAAAATATACTAAAATAATATAAAATAAAATAAAATCCTAAATAAAATGGACCCAGTCTGCCCCTCTCACACAAACTATCGAATATTATTCTTGAAGACAGTGATTGGCTTACTGAGGCAAGAGAACCTAGAGCTATTGGAGTCTTTGCGAACTATGAAAGAGGAATTGGAGCGTAGTGAACAGGAAAACTTCGTATTGCAACGCGATCTTTCAGCAAAACTCAATACATCGGATGATTTGATCCTTCAGCTTCGTAGTGTCTATTACCAACAAATACAACTTACAATGGTAATCCAATAACTCTACCATCTCTCACATGTCTCTATCTTTATTTCTTCTATATATGTATATGTGTGTGAGAGTGCGTGCGTATGTGTGTGTGTGAATATAATCTATGCCGAAAATAAAACTAACAAAGAAACGTGTTGTACAGGCAGCCCAGGAAGCACAGCGTACACTGGCAACACGTTTGAGGGAGTCTGAACTGGAACGACGAATGGTATTACAGGTCACTCAGCGCTTGACAGGTGGATCAATTAGTCCATGCTTAGAAGAAACAGAGGAACAGAATGAACAACTACGGGCCGAACTGGCCAAAAGATCAAAGGCGTTGTTGACGCTCGAAGAACGACAACATCAAGCAGATCTCAAAGCGTGTGAATTGGAGTGGAATCGTATCAACGGACGGGTGATGGCACATTTTGACAAGTTGTTTGGGTCAACGGACAACCTCAAGCCAGAAAGTGTGGTGAGACAGGATTTTTTTTTAAAAAAAAGGAGATAAAGATATTGATGTGGAACCTCAAGTCCCCTGAAGACACCCTTCGGACCGAGTTACAATGGACACGACAGCAGTTAGAAAACGAAACGGAACGGTGCATGGATCTTGGTACGTCGTGGTTTGATAAACATAAACATAAACATAGAAAGAGCGTGTATGTGTGTTTGTAATATACATAGATAGACACACACGCACACATACACACATACACAAACATGAATGTATAAATAACTCTATATTTGCACTATTTCCAGTCTTTCAAAAGCGTTATCTGGCTATGGTCAATGCAGCCCTCGAGTCAAGGCAAGTTAATTCAACTAATTAAGGGATGTTGGATTTTCTAATGGTGCATTCTTTATGAAATACATTGGTCACATCAGCGAGTACCAGACCACCAAACTCATGAATGAACTTCAACTGGCCTCAAGTGTGCCCACAAAAAGGTCACCTTTGTTCAGGTGGCGAGCATGTGTTACGGCCGTAATAGCGGTGCACCGGTTCAGGTACATCATTATACTTTCTTTCCTTTCGGTCACTTCCTTCCCAATACTTTAGTTTCTACATGATTTAGCTGCTTATGATTTTTTTGGTGTGTGTGTGCGCGTGTGCTTATGGGTATATATATATATATATGTGTGTGTTTTTTTAGGGCATGCCTTTCATAATAAACAACTATTTTTTTAAGGGGAAAAGAAGAGAATTTTGTTTTAATGATATATATGTATATATAAAAGAATTAATCTTCTGTTAACTGAGCCCTTTGGCCTGTGTTCATTGCTGACCGTTTCTTAAGGGAAGACGGGTCAGGATCATCTTGAGGAGAATCATCAGTTTGAATAGTTGTGGTGGCTGTGGTAGAAGCAGTGGAGCATGTTGATGCATTAGAACTCGAGCGTCGTCGGTGGAGTTCGTGGACCTGCAGCGTGGGATTGTAGGGGTAGCACGGATGGTGGCACGCAAACGCATCTGCCACAGTAGGTGATGGTGCAGTGCTGCTGGGCGCGAGGTGAAGATGAGAAAGGTCTGCGCTAACACTTGCAGAGGTGCTAGCTGCTGAATGCAGATGAGAAGATGTGCTGCTGGGTGCACTTGCCCGTAATGCAGCGGAAGAGGATGTAGTAGTAGCTGTGGTGTTTGAGTTTGTGTTCGTAGTAGAGGTGGAAGTAGATGTGGATGTGGTCGTTACACAGCGTAGATGGTGATGGTGATGGTGGTGGTGGTCAGGAGTAGCCGAACGTCGGGTTGATGAGGTGGGAGTGTTTGTAACAGGTGTTGGCGTGGGCGTGGGATCTTCGTCAAGTTCGGGAGGAGTTGAGAGACGGAGACGTTTGATATCATTGACATCGTTGCTTGATGTCCGACGGTGGTGCCGTCGTGTGGAAGAGGAAGATGACGGCGAAGGAGAAGGAGGGAGTGGAGAGGAAGCAAGTGCGTTCTGGGCTGGCTCAGTCTTATTGATATTGTTGGTGTTTACAGAAGTGTTTGAGGTAGTTGGGTTACTACTGTTACTATTACTAGTATTATTATGATTATGATTGTTATTGCTATTGCTATTAGTACTATTATTATTATTATTATTATTATTATTATTATTATCGTTGCTGCTGTTGTTGTTGTTGGCTGTGGTTGTTGTGGTAGTATTGGTGGGAGTGGCAGCGTTATTGTTATTGCTACTAGTGGTAGAGGTAGTTATGGTAGTAGAAGTGGTAGAGTTATTGTTGTCTTGGGCAAGACGTTTCTTGCGATTCATCTTGGCTACAAGTGTTTCTTTCTCGCGACGAGCTGCTTCTTGTAGCATGACACACTTGACCTTGTAATCAATATTGGCTGGACTTTGGAGACACATGAAAAACTCGGATAGTTTTGAAAAGTCCCATTCTTGAGTAAATGCCCTGAGAAAGCGCTCTCTTTGAACACTGCTGGCAGATAGATAAGGCGGGACGGACAGGACCATGGTTATCAGTGTAGTGGTGTACTGAGTAGCCCAGCTGCTGGTCAGATGACGTAGAAGGTGCGCTCGTCGCAGATCACCTGCAAGATTAATCCGTCAGTAAATTTGCCCCCTAAAAACCAAACCCCAAACCACACCAACAAAACCGGCTGTTCTTTCTACTCACCAACTTCATCTACCCAGTCCATGGTGACGTTGCGTACTAGTGTACTGATGCTCTCTAGTCGCCAGTCGCTAATAAGCCACTTGAGTGCATTGACAATACGAGAGAGCGGATATTCGTTTGCAATTCTGTGTAGATACATGGCTGTTACGTGAACATTATCTTCACTTTTCAGCCACGAATAAAAGGTTGCGTCGTAGAGTTGGTCCATACACTTGATATTGCGATGAACGTCTCTCCAAGATACTTCTTCTGTATCCTCTGGGGGTTGTGTTACCAGACCGAAACACCCGGACGTACCCTTGATGCGTGTGGTGCGTTTCTTTCCTCCAGCCCATTCCGCAACACTGGTCCCATGCAGCGGTTGGCGAGACGGCAAATGAAAGTCTAGTGTCGGGTCATCCGCTCCATCCGTTAACCCGTCCGTGTGTGCCCGAAATGTGGGCCGACCGTATGATTGACGTTGATGGAGATTGTATGAAAGGCTGTTTCGATTGATCTGAGCAGAATCGTGAGGATGAGAATGAGCCATGGTAAAAGTAAGAAGAAGAGGAAAAAAGAGACTGAGAATAAAATAAAAAAAAAAGAAAATAAAAATAATCAATTTATGACCGTTTCAATCACTTTCTGACTCGTTCTCCAACATTTCCTCTTGCAACTGATGAATGCGGGGCACCAAATCCAGTAAAAACGAAACACACACACAAATGACGGAATCATGGGGAATTATAGGCAAAGACACAGTCTTGAAAGATTTGATTATTTGTTTATATGTTCAAGAAGCACACAATACAGCTAATGTACATAAAAAGAAATTCAAACTTGCAGCCAAACTTTGGTAGAATTTCACTGTAACTGTGATACGAATTCCTTAAAATTCATTAGAAATCTATTTTTTTTTAGCCATTATTGATTTCCGCCTTGAATTTCCGCTCACAAGGGTGCAAATTATGCTTACAGTGTTTCTACTTGAGACTGAGACAGATTAGGAAATGTTTTAGACGAATCAAAGTGTAAGTATAAGCAATCTACTTACCTTTTGTGGACAGAACGAGAATGAAATTTACACGAAGGGAAAGTGTGGTTATTTTATTAAAAAAACATTTGAACTTTTTGACTGTTTAGAGCTGTCTTTCTTTACTGGCAATCTTATCCCTATTCTTTTTTTTTTTTAAAAAAAAGGTAATAATATTTTATTGGCCATTTTCTTTCTAGAGATACATTAAAAATGTAAATCCAATAATTTCAAGATTGTCAGATTCATAGCGAGTATAATTTGTGGGGTTTTCGCTGGTCATTTCCACAGATAATTATTCGTTTTAACAAGAGTATAAGGAATATTTTTTTTTAAAAAAAAAGAATTCAAAGCACAGAGGTCAATTTATAATGATATATGAGATTTAACTGCTAAAGATACTCTTAATGAATCAATCAAGATATAGTATAAATTGATGACGACATTTTGATATCAATTGGCATCTCTTTCCATTTTGCTTTTTTTTTTGACATGTTCAAAAGCTCTATTCTCGAAAAGAAGTTCTAAATAATCAACAAAGGAAAATCTGAAGAAAACGTAGATGGCCCTTTTAAAGGTAAAAAAATAGTAATTGATTCAATCAAGTCCATATTCTTATAACCATGTACCTTTTGCTATAGATATGATGTGCGAGGATTATGAAGAAAGAGGAAATTCAAATAAAAAGTATTATAGGCGCACATTTTACAAAGAAATGTTCTGCTTAAACTTCGAAGTATATTGGTCACCTGCTCTACAACAGCCCTTTCTGGAAGTTGAAGAAGCTAGACAGGGACAAGACAAGCGCATTATACAACATGGTGATTCATTAGTTTAATTTATTTTAATAGATAATTTGATAAGTAATTAGTACTTTTATCTGTCTCATTCTATCATGACTCTTTTCTATCGTTCTTTTTTTCCAGCACTTTCATGTCTCCCATCAATTACATCTCTTTATTTATCCCTATGACACTACTTATTTCACCCCTCCCTCTATATCCCCCCAGTATCACAGTATATTCATTAATCCTTTCTGTCTCATTCGCTTAGCCAAAACTTCAACCTGCAGTTAAAACAGAAAAAGTAATAAACAAAGGTAAGCAATGCTCTTTTTTTTTAATTAGTTCATGGTAAACGGTAAAGGAAACAGATAGGAAAGGAGAGGGGAATGAGAGAATATAGAGGAAAGATGGAGGGAAGATGGGATTAATCAAATTTTGGGAATTAGAGGGACTATGCTACCCGTCTCACACAGCCAGATCTTGACTTGAATAGTTCAAGTTTTTTCTTGTCCCTATACAGTAGAGAATACCTGCTTAGTATCTCTATATGGCTGTCATGGTCGAACGCTATAGACTTTACCATCTTACATCTTCTATAAAAGATACAAAAAAGTTAGTATGGAATAAACATATGATAAACATTTTTCATGCTTTAAAGATATGACAACGCCGTCAGTGTTGTTTGATAAACCAGCGTATGAAATCACACAAAGCCGAGCCTTTTTGATTGAGTGTCCTCATGGCAATAAGCCAAGCCGGCTGCCTTGACGTTGTTTTCCGCCAAGAAATCTCTTTCCAAGATCGGTGAAGATGATGTTGGCCTGGTAGAAGCGAAGATATAACGACAGAGACATCGGTTCCTTAACTTCATAATCATTGCCTCGACGAATTCTTGCCGTGTCACCACGCTTTCAATGTCTGGAGATTTCCTAACATATCCACCATTCATCCAATTGCTACCATCGTTATTGATTTCTGTGGGAAGGCAGAATTTGATTCCGCCAAGTTTCCGATCGCATTGTCCTTGAGTTTGTATAATATTCGACCTTTGATATTCTTTCCCTCGACACATTTGAAGACCCGTTCGCCAAAGTCTTTGTCTTTGATAAGTTTTCCAAACTTTGACGCATTTATAAATTTGGGTAGTCGTGACAGTTGCTTGGCAACGTTGGTGTAGATGTCCGTCGTGGTATAAAAGGCATAGTCAGAGATTTTTGTTTTCAGCATTCTTAGAAAACATTGATTTCGTCATGTGTCATGCCCAGTTCTGACATTCTCTAACAAGTTCCACAGATACATATCAGTATCATTTTACATCGTTTATTATATAGTCTTACATTATTTTCTAACAGTATAAATACCTTTAACAATTCAAATAATAAACGATATTCAATTATCTTTGTTTCTGCCTAGCTTTTCCTGTCCGCTTTTACTTCGGTCTTCTTGTCTTGTCTTGTGAAAGCATCCAGCACCCTTGCCATCCTTTCTTCCTTGTCCTGTCCTGTCTAGGTCTTACACCATGGCAAAAGGATTCTGATGGCCTTGCTCTTCGGTATACGTAACATTAAACATAATGTTGTCTACTATCTCATTTCATTTTCGTCGGTTGTCAACAGTGGACACCATATCAAGTACAAGGAATATGGCTTGACTGCGTGTTTATAAGCTGTTTTTGAATGTTGGAATGAATTTGATAGTAAATCGATAAAAAAACCAGGTAGAGAGAGGGAGAGGGAGAGAGGGATAGTGCGTGTTTTTTTGTCCAGTGGCCAAATAAAAAAATATTTCATGTGGGAAAAATGCAATTTTTTTTCGAACGTTTGACCATGTTCTCATACACCCGATTGGCGGTGGGATAACTGTAAGTTACCAACACTGTAAGAAAAAAGATAAAATCCTTACAATTATTTTAATCTTCTGCAAGCTTTACCATGTTTAGGGCGCTTTAAGCCCAATTGGGCACATTGATACCAATGTCGAAATAGAAGTTTGACCACAGAAGACTTTTGAGATTATATTAGGAAATCAAAAACTGAGAAGATATATAATTGGTCCGGTAAAACTATATATTGCTGAGCTTCATTGCCATTTTTTTGAAGAAAATACAGTAAAACACATTTGTAAGTCGCACAATTCGAAGAAATAAGGCGCGTTTTTGGAATTTCTTTTTTTCAAAAGCTTTATATTTAAACAAAAGGTTGAGCATAGATTATATAAGAAAAATAGTGTCAGAATGTTTATTATGATCCTTAATAGCCTAACAATGCTTTTCTGTGCTGTTTATTTGAAAAGAAGATCCATTCATAACGGTTAATAACTCTTAAAAATACGCCTTGTATTCTCGAATTGTGCGACATACAAATGTGATTTACTATATATATATATATATCATTTTGGGCTTTGATTTTCTTTAGTTCTCTAGATTATTTTTTGTACAAAATAGTAGGCAGAATGGCCACCTTTTTCTGTATTGAAAGTTGTAATTGTGCAAATTTTTGTAGCCTTAAAACACAGAAATTTAATACCTTGGACAAAGACAGAATAAAAAAGAATCAAAAGTGTGTCCCAGTACTAAAGAACAGAGTTATGAGAATAACACATTATTCCATATATAGAAGTTACATCTCTTTTCCGAGCCTCACAAAGAATAAAACTCAACAACAGTGGAAAATAAACCAAGAAACATAGCCCATTATTGATGGTGACTTTATCCGAAATTGACAAAGAGGGTACATATCCTAATATGACTATGTTGAAACAATTACAACATACCACCCTGCATCGCACCACGCCGCATAGATATCCAATGAATCACCTATCAGGTCAGTTAAATGTGTAGACACACAAAATCTGTCCAAAGGCGGTAATGAGATACACGATGTTACACTGAAAAACAAACAACACAAACATACTCTTGATATGGCGCCCTTTCTCTTTTTATAGGACTTTATCCGTATTCATGTTTGTTTACGGATATTTAATTTTATAAAGAGTAAATGAAGAGAGCAACGAATCGATCAAGAAATAGACCACAACTAAAATCCGAAGTTTAGTTATAAAGAACTTAGCATCATTGTACCTTACCGAGCTATTCATTATAGGCTAGGCAATCGAGAAGAATGTTTCATGACCAAATATGACTTGAGTTAACTCATGAAAATCGTTTTTTTTATTGCGAGTATGTATATAAGCCTTGGATTGGAAACAAAACAGAAGCAACAAAACAAAAGGTACCACATTAAATTCCTTTTTTGTACAAAAGCAAGTATGAAAATTACACTATGAATTATGAAATTACTATTTGTTTTTTCTTCTTGTAGGTATAGATACAATTTTTCTTGATGCTACTAACGCGGAAGATTTGAAGGGGTTAGTTTTGACCGACTGTGCCCTTTAGAATCCTGAATTCATTTATGCGGGCCTTTCCGTTTTCGTTTTTGTTTTTTTAGCAGATTATCCTCCTGGATCTGACCATTCGGAATAAACCTATCCACATGTTTTTGATACTCAAAAAATAAAAAAATAAATAAATAAAATCTGGCTACTTTATTACAGGGCAGTTTATCCACTGGCTTTTTTTATTATTATTATTATTTCAAAAATGCTTGTACTTTATATATATATATGTTTCTTGCTTTTTTTGAGCTACAGTTGATCCGTCTTTATAATGAAATGCATATATTAATTGTAGTTTTTTTTTTCGAAAGCACAAAATCCAAATGAACACACGAAAACTTGAAGAAAAAACCGTTATGTGTGTGATTGTACTTGTAATAATTTTATATTTTTAAAAAGATGTGCCATATTTTAATATTTAGATCAAGACAATGTAAATTATTAAATTAGTTTGAATATAATTTTCATTTGTACACATGCTGCATTCAAAAGAACCTCTGAGCTACAAGATCAGGATTGTTCAGTGACTTATTATGACCGAAAGTCCTATTTAGTGATACATTCGTAGGTTGCTTATTGATTAATTACAAGTCTTTAAAAGTTACATACTTTATTGTGTTTAAACACTCACTCAATATATACATAGCTTATTGTTTCTCTGTAGTAAATGTATAAATTTACAAGCGGTACCAATTCAATTCTTTGTTGGTGCTTGGATGTCTTGTCAAAATATAAAAGGAAGGTTGTTGAAATCGAGACATTAAGATTATATATCTTTAAACCTTACTCTGATTAACCATTTGACCAAAGTATCAGAAGATAAACTAGGGATTCTGAGAAGAGATATTGCCGAATATATGTACATATATATTGTATTTAAGTATATGACCAAGTTACGTAAATATCATTGGATTTTATGTTCATTTTTATTAAGAATATAAATTAATACACCTTTTGCCAAAATGATGTCGCAAGAAAAAAAAAATTAAAGTGTTGCGTTTTTAAATAAAACAGTTTCGTATGTTTTTAGAAAAGAGTATTGCACAATTTAGGAAAATAGTGTCGCACTTTTTAAAAAAACAGTGTCGTGCTTTTCAAAAAAAAATATGTCGCATACATAATTGTTTATTAAATAAGATGGCCTGCAAGGCAGTCATCAAAACGTCTAGTGGAATAGCGTGCAAATCCTTCAAAAGATGACTGGGCAACTTGGCTGCTAGCATCTGCAATTATTTGAGGAATAGTATCTTTTTTAAGTACAAACTCTCTTTTCACACTACTCTTAACAACAGACCAAAATTGTTCTATTGGGTTGAGTTCTGGAGAGTAAGGTGGCAAGTAAATGCACTTGTAGCTGCGCTCTTCAATCATCTCACCAATTATTTTACCTGTATGTATTGGCGCATTATCCATGATCAGATAATGTCCCTTCATTTCAGGAAATTTGTCCATCTCAGCAAGAACGTCCTTAATAAAATTGACATAGTGATTGGTTACCGTGCCCTTTGTTTGCTGCTTTCTGTCACCGGCTAGCGAGGGAACTCTTTCGCATAAGCTAATTTTTGCTTAAAAAACCCCATTACTCAAAAACAACCAATCAACCACGCATCCACTCCCATCCCTGTCCCGCCAACTTTGCTGACCTAAGTAACCTCTGTTTTATCAAGTTGCCATGAGTCCAAAGGGATCCACCAACACGAACGTCTTCAAGAAAGTTCCTCCTCGACAGTCTAGGCTGGCAAAATCGTCGGCTGACCAAACGTTTTGCAGCCCCGAGAACGCTCAGCTAAAAGCCATTTTGGACGAGGCACTTGCACGCGCAGCCATACACGAAGAACATCACAAAGCTCTGCTTAGCAAGATAGATGTAATTGTAGAACACTCAATTGCACTTCAAGAACAGAACAGCACTCTTACCGAGGAGCTCCGCATCGCAAATGAGCACGTAGAGTTCCTACACAACCAACTCCAGCTTCAGGTACAAGTACCTGGTGCTTCAACCTTCACCACCACCACTCTCCCGCCTACAGAGATTGCTCCTGTTGAGAATTTCTCAGCGGAAGCCTCTGCCCATGGTCCTGTCACCATTTCCACACCCTCACCCACCACGTTTTTGGCTGCTGCCAAGAAGGCAATGGGAAAGAGACCCAACCAGCCCAAGCTCACCACCGCTCAAGCTACCCGCGCCTTGCAACCCGAAAGTGGACCATCTGCGTATGCATTTGTATACCTGCCCTGCCGCCACCACCTCAAGTACTCCCAAGTACGAAAGCTCTTGAAAACATTCAAGATCCAACAGTCCCGTGTCTTGGACATTGCGTTCCCGGAACGCGGCACTCTCTCCCTCCTTGTGCACAACGACTTCAAGGACAAGATCACCCAGCTCTTCGCAGACATTGGCGTGTCTGTGAAGACAGATTTTGATCCCTTGGACCATCGGATCATTGCTGACCCGGCACATGCCCACAAACCCGTGCAGGACCGCCAACAGCTTGCATACAAGCTACACCACCAACGTCTTCTTGCTCTCTGCCTTCGCCTCCCTGCCCCACTGGGCAAAAGTGTCATGAGGCACTTTTGTACAGTGGAAAGTAGCTCTCTTCGCCTCCCTCCAGTCTGCCTTGAGCAGTATCTGGAAGACCGAAACCTTCCATCTGGCCCCCAAGCCAGTGCCATTGACACTGCCACTGCCATGGTTATAGGATAAATAAGCTTGCTTATAGTCTTCTCTCCTTGTCCTGTCTTCTCCCCTCCTCTCTGTCTCTCTTATTTTAACCTGTATTATTCTTTCTCTTCCCCTTAGCTAGTTTTATCAGTCATATTTCTGTTTTTTCTCTTATTTCTTCTACCGCAGCTCTCTTGGGTCGCCACTATGCTAAAATGCGCAAGGCCTAGACAAACCCACAATAAAAAAATATTGTCACCTGTCTACCGCTACTATCTTAAAGGGATTTTGCTAGAAGTTACCAGGTATTGGAAACTTCCAGCAAAGTGTAGTATTTCTGAGAAGGATTGAATTGGATTGGCTAGATTAGGATTCAGTTTCTAGGAACGACATGCTCATGACAGTAAGCAGCCTTATAGCCTCGGCCCTCAATCGTCTGTTGAATGCTTCATCTTTAGGAATTTCATCCATAACATTAAAACAATACATGAACTCAGGGCATACATCGTCGCTAGACATTATTTTATTGAAAAATATCTTATGCGCAAAAAAAAGAAAAAAAAAAGGTTATTAAATATGACAAAAGTAACTTTATGAACATGACTTATCTTTTATTTCCGAGTTGAGAACATGTAGTAATTAAATCGAACAAAAGCACCAAGGGCCAACGCTCATCTCGGAAGATATCACTTCTGAAGAGCTCTAGTCAAACACTACGCTATTCATCTATATAACAATAAAGAAAGGTTAACACAAATGATTTGGGTTTGAGCATAATATATAAATAATTTTAAAAAGGAGCATCATCTCTTTTAAAGTTACTTCCAAGTCATTAAATCAAATGATTAGGAGAGTCAGGAGCTGCCAATGTGCTCATCTTGCATCTTACAATTCGAGGTCTCCAAATACTACTGATGATACTATTTAAAGCGATTGACAAGAAGAGTTGGAAAGTTTCGTTTAAATGAAAAATATGTGTAAATTAGTGTCGTCATCATGTGTTAAATGTAAAATCCGCTGCGCGTTTTAGTAGTTACTCAAACTTCAATCCACTTCATTCGTCTAAAACATCATATAAACTACAAAACCTTACAAACAAATATTTTAATTTTCTCTTTTCCTATTCAATCAGAGACCTTTAATAAAATCCTGAGCTTTTTTCTTCCTGGCTCCATACAAAAAAAAACCTCATTCGTCTTACTTTTCAAATCTCTATTTTAAAGTATTGCTAAATGTCAGATATTTCTAAGAGTAATTAATGCTTCCCTGAAATTAGACGTCGCTAAAGTTCTAAACCTGTATATTGCCTAAGCTATGGCCGATTACCTGGAAACTCCTGGTCGAACTACTTTAAAAGCATACATTGATGCAAACCAAAGTTCTGTAAACGCTTATATCCCCCAATTTGATAATGCAGCTGAAGCTACAAAAAACCTTCAAAAAAATTTCAAGCAGCATTCAGATCTAAACATCCCAATCGAAAGAGAAGCCCAGACATCAAATTAGACATAGAAGAAGCATGGATAGAGACCAAAGTACAAAGGACTGCAAACATTCAAACAAGCCGCGTCTCAGCTGCTCTATTGAAAGCCGGCGGTAAGAAGGCGGTCAATTTATTGAAGGTAAATTGCAAGAAGAAAGATTCGGGGTACTTTGAATAAATATCTTTTTTTTTGCACGATAGAAAGCTCCACCCAGCTCAGATGAAACTACTGCTCATGTCCCTATTGAAGCAAATGCTGTTTGTAATCCTATTCAGCCTGCTGGCCCATCATATACTGATATCTCCAATGCTTTTCTTTCTCCGCCTACTGAACCTGCTGCTAATACTAGTACTACTGAAACAAATGACACTGCTGATAATCATAATACCAATATTATAAATAATAATGTAGTGTCTAGCAGCAATGTAGAGGAGGAAAATACAGAGAAGCTGCGTTTTGTATTAACCGAAGATGAAGAATTCAAAAGCACAATTCTAATTAATGAGGATACCCCAGAGTGTTTTAAGCGTTTTAAGGAGTTCCAAGAAGAGTCTTTCAAAATAGTCAAAAAGAAAGGATTATTCATTAACAGGGATTTATTCCGGATACTGTAAGTCATTCTGTTCTTGCACATTTGAAAACACGATTTTAATATATTTTAATAGCTCTTTGTATAATATTGTACTTTTGAAGAAAAACCACGCATACTCTCAAATAGACTTTTCAATGATAAATGATGAGTTATCGGAGAAGTTTGAATCCAGTCCCAAAATCGAAAAATCGATCTTTATGGAGATAATACATATATTCAGGGTGAGACGGCCATGAATGGAAGAGAAATTCCTGATAGTATCTAATTAGATTTTCTTTGATTAGGATGACATAAGCGATAGGGACGAGTTAAAGATTTCCTTATTTGACCTTTACAAAAAAGCCAACAAACAGGACGGAAGGGTCATAGATGTCTTGATTAACCTGTACGTATTACACATAACTTTTAGGAAATACAATCTACTACTAACAAGCAATAATTTTTAATTTCTAGTTTAAATAAGCTTCCGAATGAAGAAATTAAATAACATGACATTGAGGAGCAAGAGTTGATAGTGAGCTATACAGATCCTATTATCAGTCCTCTGCTACATGATCCTGGCCATGACAAGCTGTTTATCTGGTAAGAAATATTTATAATATAATATAATTGATTAGCAATAAAGATACTGACTCTTCATGCAATAATTAGGTTGAATCGTACTGTATTGCAGAACTATGACAAACGCCCTGATGCTGGCTGTCTCGCTTTAAAAGGAAAAAGACTCGATCACTACGTCGGTTTTGCTGAAGTCAAACCAGATTATAAGAGGAAAGACACCGTTAAAACGCATGAAGACTTGCTACGACTATCATTGTTTGGCATGAATGCGCTCGAGGAACATAATTCAAAGTGCATTTTGTTGATACAAGTAATTGGTAAAATTAAACTTGATGCAAATTCTACTTTTCAGGTATAACTTAACGTTATATCGCAATATAGGGTCTAGCATGTATGTACATGGGTGTTTTAATCGGGTCGAAGGTGCTGTTGTTATAGTGGAACTGGAGGAGTTTAAGTTGCCGATGTCGCTGAAGGATTTACCGGGATTTATAATGAGCCTTGATAAACTGAAGAAGGTTGGTCACTTCTACCGCCTTCAATGTTTTGGTAAAGGGGGGAACAAAAGAAGAGCTCCAAGCAACGTAAACCTTGATGATATTATTAATTGCCACACGCCGAAAAATATGAAGGCCGCAGTTGATTTTTAGTTTATTAATGGTTTAGTGAAGTATTTGCTAATTACTTGTAGCAGTGGTAGTATGTATATTTGTGAGAGTTCTGTGTACTTCTATATATTAGCATAATCCCAATTATTACAATTATAATAAAACTCAATTTATAACATGTCTCTTTCCGGTACCTTTTATAATGTTGTTGTACTTCTGGCAGTATATTTTTACTTCTGACTAGAATTTCTTGTCTGCTCTTAAAACTGACCCGAGAACTGACGGCTCAGTCCAACTACCCAGCACTTTCTGTTTGTAAGTATCGCTATTCTAATTTGTACTAAAGTATTGTGCTCTGTTAAAGGCCTCATCAAGATCAGCTTGAGAAAGCCCATACCATTTTCAAAAAAAAAAGAAAGCTAGCCGGTGACAGAAAGCAGCAAACAAAGGGCACGGTAACCAATCACTATGTCAATTTTATTAAGGACGTTCTTGCTGAGATGGACAAATTTCCTGAAATGAAGGGACATTATCTGATCATGGATAATGCGCCAATACATACAGGTAAAATAATTGGTGAGATGATTGAAGAGCGCAGCTACAAGTGCATTTACTTGCCACCTTACTCTCCAGAACTCAACCCAATAGAACAATTTTGGTCTGTTGTTAAGAGTAGTGTGAAAAGAGAGTTTGTACTTAAAAAAGATACTATTCCTCAAATAATTGCAGATGCTAGCAGCCAAGTTGCCCAGTCATCTTTTGAAGGATTTGCACGCTATTCCACTAGACGTTTTGATGACTGCCTTGCAGGCCATCTTATTTAATAAACAATTATGTATGCGACATATTTTTTTTTGAAAAGCACGACACTGTTTTTTTAAAAAGTGCGACACTATTTTCCTAAATTGTGCAATACTCTTTTCTAAAAACATACGAAACTGTTTTATTTAAAAGCGCAACACTTTAATTTTTTTTCTTGCGACATCATTTTGGCAAAAGGTGTATATATAAAAATAAAAATACGGAATACTGCTTGGGGGTTCTAATTAATTAAAGAAGTATAAAGTGTTACAATATCAAACTAGAACCCCGGTTTTTTTTTATCTATTGAAGGTCCGCCTCCTTTTGAACTTCTTTACGGTCAGACGCGTGGAGCTGCGCCATGGTCCTTGCACGCAAGTGGGATAGCAATCGGCACGTGTGTTTTGTCAAACAGTGTTCGGAAGGTACACACCCTCTTCCTCTCCGACCTCCGACCCGACTTCTCTATCTTGATTTTTCTAGTCTTTGTCCACTTAAAAGAAGGCAAGAAAGGCGGAGAATAAGTTAACAAGCGAAGAGGAAACATAACCGCATTTATACATATTTTCCTATTGGCCAAAAGGCTTTTCTGCTGTATTTTTTTAACCCCCATTTTTTTTAACATTGATTTTCATCTCCTTGTCTCTTTCCTTCTTTCTTACTTTGCGTACCTTATTCTCATAAACATGTCCCAAGGACCATCTCTTGGTTACCTTGACAACGTAATGTCTAGATTCGGACACCATCTCTCTCCAAATGAACGCTCTTCCTTCTCAACTTCCATGACTCCACATCTACAGAGTGCTACTCCTGGCGCCTTTAATCCTCAACATATTGTTGTTGGAGGAACCACTATACCAGTCACAACAGCCACCAATACAACAGTGTCACCTACTACCACCCTTTCGCTTGGCTATGACGTCCAAAGCAACACCTGATATCTATGTTCACGTCTATAATTGTATTATTCAAATTTATTGACAAATTTCCTTTCAAGTTTATTCCTAGTCTAAAGAAACAAAGAGAAAGGAAGACTACTTGTGTACATAGACCTTTAACACTATTTCTTTTTATCGATAAATAAAATACCCACAGAATTATAATGTTTATTATAACAACATACTCGCATACATATGTATGATTATATAGGGTATATCTTAATCTATAGTGTCACAAACAGTGCCCAAACCGAGAACACCTGAAAAATCGGCATGAATCTGGTAAAATAAAATAAATAGAGAAAACATTTGTATATTTTTCTCATGGGAAGCCACTACCCCGCATCAGTGCATTTATTACACTTGTCAGAAATAATAATAGCTACACCCCCACCAAAATATCCGTGTATAACAGTCGTGCTCTATTATCATCACTGTGCAAGATATACAGACTATAATATTTTTATTTTAAATCAACTACCATTTCTGGAAAGCCCCTCTTTCAATCTTAAGCCTCTGCACAAACCATTTTCTCCTTCTCACGCTCATTTGTGCAAGTATCAAAGGAGTGACCTCATGACTCGCACTCTCTTTCTTTGGTCTTCATTCAAAATATAAAAGGGTTATAAAAACACTCTTTCTCTTTTCTTCTCTATTCCTCTCATTCGCTCTCATACTTTCATAACTCATAATGGGATTCGGAATTTTCTTGAAGGCAAACCCTGCCTTGGCCCCTCTCTTTCTGTTTGCTGGAGGAGGATGTGCAGCAGCCGTAGCGTAAGTGTCCAGTCTATCAGCCTATCCTTTAATCAATCAATTTGAATTCTCATCATACATTCCTTTGCTAAAAAAAACAATAGTTACCCATTATATCTCTTGAGAACCCACCCTGAAATCCAGTTGGACAAGAAGAACAATCCTTACCCCTGGCAGCACATCAAGCAGCACCAGAACATCAAGGTAAGGCTCAAGACACATACTGGTTAATTTAATTAAGTCCTAACATCATTTTTATTTCTTGTGAATATTAGTTCATCAATGCTACCCCAGATTTCTACGCTGGTCGCAAGTTGCTTGAAAGACCATCTTACTAAATATCAAATGGTCTAAAGAAAGACATGTTTGCCTTTCTGTTATACATATATACATATATATAAAAGTAAATATATATAAATACCTATAAAAAAAAAGAAGAAGAATACCCTTTTTTATAAACAATCAATAAACCTATGAAAACTTATCTTAACAGACAAGTTTTGTTTTCCTTTCAATTACGCGTCCCACGCCAATTTGTCTTTAAATAAAATACTAATGTGGCATACAGTGAGTAACCTCGGCTTGGGTTCTATTCCAAGCAAGCTTGCAGCCAAGAATCCATGCTTAAATGTGGCACAGATAAATAGAAAGAGAGAGACCATGGGAAATACTCAATCTTGTTCATGCGTAACTTGTGACTTGGGGAATCATACTCCGCTGGGACCGGAGCAAGTGTGTGTGTGCGTGTGCGTACGTGTGCGATGACCGTCATTTGAGACAACTAACCCGGCCGCCCAGCCAGCCTTCCTTTCAACCCTTATCCATCAGTCATGGTAAGCATCACCAACCAACACAATTGAACCCAATCCATCCATCCATCCATCCATCAATCAATAAAGACCAGCAAAGATGCTCATCAATATAATATATCTATAGTCCAAGCGCGCTGCTGTCAAGAAAGCCCCCGTTGAGAACGTCACCCTTGGTCCCCAGGTCCGTGAGGGTGAGCTTGTCTTCGGCGTTGCCCACATCTTCGCCTCCTTCAACGACACCTTCGTCCACGTTACCGATCTTTCCGGTCGTGAGACCATCTCCCGTGTCACCGGTACGTTGATCGCCAATATCGATGCTGTAAAGGACATCCCCAAACATTGTGATTTGATTGATTTCATTCACAATGTTTGGCTGAGCGGCGTGTGGGAAACATCTCTTGGAAGCATGTCTTTGTTTGATTTTCTTTTGAATTGAAAAATTGAAAATTCTAAAGGACTTAATGCTTCCAAGAGATGAAAGAAGAAAGTGCCATATTCTTACACCCACATCCCCCTCCTATGTACCTTTTGTGTTTTTGTTTTATTTAGGTGGCATGAAGGTCAAGGCTGATCGTGATGAGTCTTCTCCTTACGCTGCTATGTTGGCTGCTCAGGATGTTGCTGCCAAGTGCAAGGAAGTCGGTATCACTGCTGTCCACGTTAAGCTTAGAGCTACCGGTGGTACTGGTACCAAGACCCCTGGTCCCGGTGGACAGAGTGCTCTCCGCGCTTTGGCCCGTTCCGGTCTCAGAATCGGTCGCATTGGTGAGTTGTTACTTTATTTGCTTTATCTTATCCTTTTTATTGTTTTAAAATTTTCTAATCAATATTTCCTTTTTGCAATTTATAGAGGATGTTACTCCCATCCCCACCGACAGCACCCGCAGAAAGGGTGGTCGTCGCGGTCGTCGTCTCTAGATACTCCATCTTTACATTTGTTGGGGCTTTCTTTCTTCTTTTTTTTATGTACATTAGGAAAGGGCTCATTGAAGCACATAGCTTTACAATTTGATGCCTTACGAATAATAAAAATAAAATAAGGATGCCAAATATCATGTGACTTGTCTGTTTTTGATTGGAACCAGAAATACCCGCTTCTAGAGAGGAGAGGGGGAGATGGAAGGAATAGAAGCCAAAAAATTAAAATACCCCAATTTTCCCACTTTCTATTTTACTGGCTTAAAGCTCATGACAAATACAAGGCGTCCTCCAAGTGCCCGATTAGCTAGCCATGTTGAGATCGCCGCAAAAGGCAAAAGTCTACTGGCAAGTATTGCCCAAGACAAACGAGAATATACAAAACAGGTCCTGAAACAGCCTGCTCTTGTGTGTTCACTCGGTGATCTCTTTTCACAACAACACAATACCCCGCATCTCAGAGGTCTCCCAAACATTGAGAGTCTTGCACGATTCGAACATGCCAAAGCAAGAGCAGAGGTACATCTAATTCTAACTTTGCTTTTGTGTGGTGCGATTTCCGCAATCCATCGACATTGTTAATGTTTGTTTGGTAGGCACTTGTTTGTCGTAAGATCAGAGAGACAAGCCCAGAAACAGTGCCGCATGAAGCCAGTGCCCAGAACTCCGTCAAAACACCCACTACACGGCGTGTTCTGCGACAGCGCCAGAAAGTACCGGTTGACGACGTGACAGCGTTGCCAACCAAGTCATTTCTACGCATTGCCCCTCGCATCTTCAACCACCGCCCTCTCAACTTCCAGATACCTGATAGAAACCGTATACAAAAGGTTCAAATGGGATGTTTCCTAATTGATGTCTGGTATCTCGCCCCGTATCCTGAAGAATATAGCCGCCTTGAGATCCTCCATGTCTGTGAGTTTTGCCTAAAGTATATGAAAAGCGCCTTTGTGGCTAGACGACACAAGGTACCATTTGCTACTCTGCCATAATATGCATCTTATTAATATCCAAGGTCCATAAGCTAAAGTGCCCTACAAGATACCCGCCTGGGGACGAGATTTATAGAGATAAAGAGCTATCTGTGTTTGAAGTAGACGGGAGGAAGAACAAGGCAAGTCAAGTTGGATGGATGGATTAGACAATCAGGCTTTATTTCTTATTGTAAAACCCTTCACATATGTATAGATTTATTGCCAAAATCTCTGTTTGCTTGCAAAAATGTTTCTTGACCACAAGACATTGTATTATGATGTCGAACCTTTTTTGTTTTATGTACTTACCGAGACGGACGACCAGGGATGCCACTTTGTCGGCTACTTCTCAAAGGCAAGTCTCCTCCGCTATCCCTTCTATCAACTTTCCACCGAGTACAGTGGTATGTCATGCATGGTCTGACACTGGGAAGCACAGGAGAAAAGATCACTTTTGGATTACAATCTTTCTTGTATCATGACATTACCAAATTATCAACGGAAAGGCTACGGCCAGTTCTTAATTGACTTTAGTAAGTTTTGCTTCATTTGCACAAGTAGCAAGTAGTACGTAGTAAAATAATAGTAATATCACTGATGGCTATTGAAATCAATTAGGTTACTTGCTTTCCCGAAAAGAAGCCAAATGTGGGTCGCCGGAAAAACCTTTATCTGACCTTGGTCTCTTGAGTTACCGAAAATACTGGACCTACACACTTCTTCAAGCTCTACAACAAGCAAAAAAAGAAGTATCGTTACAGGGTAAAGTGATATTTTCTCAAGATCTCATACCCATTATACTTGATCTCCCTTTTTTTTTGCGTACATATTAAACATTATTTAAATTACCCACAGAACTCAGTACATCAACCGCAATTGCCCTGGAAGATGTTATATCAACCCTCGAGCTAAATCACATCCTTTTTCGAAATCCTGAAACCGAGAATTATGAAATAGTCTTGCCTGAAAAACCACCAAAGGCGATATCATCTTTTAAAAGATTGACAGCTAATCCAGACTTATTGACTTGGGTACCTTTTCGGGTCTCACTCAAAGGAGATTCTGGTGCATTATCTGTTCAACGACCTATTGTACCAATTACTGATCCAGTTACTTCTGGAACATCCGTATATCTAGAAACAACATCGATACCAATTACCCCTAAATCTCTTGCGTCAAAGCCAAATTTGCGCCGATTAAGGACATCAAGCTCTCAATCAGAAGCATTTGCAAAGAGAAAAAGCAAGCGGTTGGGTGCCAAACCAGAAATATAAAATATCTTTCGTATTATTACTATTACTGTTACTATTATTATTATTACTACTACTATTATTTTTTATATACTTGGTCACAAAATATGTATAGGTACAGTGAGAACGAGTAGAGATCTTACAATAAACACATCAATAAATCAATACATTAAGCATCAAATCATTAAAGAAAAAGAACCGCATATTTTGTAGGCGCATTGATTTTTCTTAGCCTTTGACCAATCAAAATATTGGCAAAAGTAAACATTATTTCAAACAAATGGCTCAATATTAGTACCTCTCTCATCTTCCTTAGCACCTAGTAGTGTTCCTGTTCAGAACATGTAACAAAACCACACTTCTACAAGCAATCATTTTTTTGTCTAATACTTTAATACTAATTAGGTACCATTAATATTGGAGAGCTTTTATTACAATCTTTTACAACTAAGGATGTCAATTTGGTTGGAATATTGGCAAGCTATCCAAGTAGTTGACTGCTTGACAGAAGTTTAAATTATATTTTTCCGGCTTATATCCTGACAAGGACTAATATTTTACATAATAGCTGTATGGAAATCTATTAAAAGTATATTTACATCTCAAAATAAGAGAAAATCAAAGTACATTAACGATAGCCAAGTTTTAAGTGCAGTACTTATTTTACATTCAACTGCCAGTGAAGCCAGTTTGCAGTGAGAAATATATTCTGCCCAAGTGGAAACACTAATTCTTATAGACGATGGGATGTCATACGACCAATCAAACATCAGTTGCTAGAAATTCTATATTCGATGCAATGGTCAAAACTATGCTTGTGGTTATATTTAGAAAAAGCCAATAAATACAATAAGGACCAAACTTTAACGACTATAGCCCAAACACAATATGTAAGCATATCCATTACATGCAAATTTAAAGAGCTAAGAAATTATAAAACCTTTGATTCGAACTAGATGGAAGAAAGTATAGTAATAGTATGGATACTTGATATAGTATTTGTCTCCTTCTTTTACTATTTTAATGAGACATGCATCAAGAATTTTAGCGTGTTCTCATGGGCATACGGAGATGTGATACATCCTTATTTACGTCCAAAATAAAAATAGTAATATTACTTGGCATATACCTAGTGACCCATTGAAAGCACTAGACCAAAGCAACCCTAAAACAATTCTCATTATAAGAAGTAAGTGCCAAAAGAGACCTGCATAAACACTTTGATAATATTGACTTTATAATGGATACATGTTTGAAATTTGATAGATATTTGCTGTATCTCTAGGGAACTAGTCAAATTGTGTACAAATAAGCTTCTTTATTATTTTTTTTGACTATCTATTAGAGAAAATATACACACACACACACACATATATATATATATATATTAGCTTGACTATACTTATAGCTATAACTGCTTATACGAATTTTTGAATGGATCTCATATATTTATACTTATTATTTTTACAATGTTCTTTTGAACAATTTCAATTGTTTGTATAACACTCGGACATATAATTTATTTGTCTTTCTCTTTCCTTTTGCAGAACAAGGGTGCTTTTCATTTAGTTATTTTTTAAAGAAGTTCATTGGATTTACAAACATACTTTTAGGTAGCAGGCATTGCGTACTGTTGTATATCTAGTGCTGTATATAAACATAATATATTCTTTTTGCTTGATCTATTTTTTATTTTGATAGTGTTTGTGTTCGTTTAGCCGGAATAAGCGTTTGTGTCTCACAGACCATATCGTTTATCTCGATTCTTCCTATCCACGATAACAGTCTTTATTGAAAGCATAAGCTTTATACGCCCCCGCATTTCGGTTTTTCTGTTATCTGATGTATTCTTTGACTTTAGTTCAGTCACAAAGATCTATTATACAAGAGTTACTTGCTCTATATCAATATATAATCAGATATTTCTCACCTGTTCCTATTTTCAAGTTGGAATATCCCCCCCCCCCTTTTTTTTTTCAAATATTATATAACAATACACAAATATTGTTTCCAAACATCAATAGCTATATGCCTGCTTATATACACACACATACATATAGATGACCATAAACTTGAAGATTACAACTACTGACCCTTTGAGATATATAAACACAACAATAGAAGAAGAAAAAGAAGGAAGCAAAGAATCCTGGAGTTTATCGGGCTGAACGGTATATTCTGTCCCTTTAAGCTTGGACGATAAACCACTACACCCTATTGTACTATCTTTTATCTTTTCCCGAACCTTGTAATACTTCCACCTAATCTCTTCTTCTCTAGCCTTTCATTTTTCGCTACTTGCCTTTATCAGGACAATAACGATAAGCAGATATCAATTAATATTCTCACAGAATATCCAAAAGTTGTTTTTTTATCAACTCTGACCCCATGATCACTCCCATGAATGGCTTATCCACAGCAATTTTTTGTTGAATTTTTTGACTATAAAAAGTGACATTCTCATGCCGTGTCAACATCTCCAAGTACTCTTATTCTCTTTCTCCTTCCAACAACTCTCTTATTCTTGCCTTCAATATAAATGAACGTTATCCAAGAAATTCCAGTGATCGACTTTTCTCTGTTTGAGACAGACCCCCAAAAGTGTTCTCAGCTCGTGTTTGACGCTGCCAGAAATGTTGGGTTTTTCTATCTGCGCAACTTTGGTATTCCAGTTGAGAAAGTCAAAGAGATTTTTGGCATGGTAAATCATATGAAATTCGTTAAACATCTTTTATGAAATATAAATTAATATATATATATATATATATTCTTTGTAGAGCAAAAGTTTCTTTGAGCTGTCAAAGGAAGAAAAGACAAAATACGCTATTGATGTAAAGGGAAACCTAGGATATTCGGCTATGCGACAAGAAGTGTAAGAAACATACAAATATTACATTCATTTTACATTGCATAACTAACTGTAATGTTTTTGTTTTTTTTTACTTAGTGCCGATCCCGGAAAGCATAGCAAAGGCGACTGCAAAGAGTAAGCTGAAACTTATCCCCTTTATCCCCTTTATTATTATTGTTATATCTGTCCTATATATCCTAACTATTATACTTCACAAATAGATCATTTCATATTGCCAAACTTAACAAAACAAACGCCCCACAGCCATTGCCTGACATGTTTACAAGCAACAAGAATGATGTGGGCCAATTCATAGCCGTAAGTCTGCGCCAAAAAAAAAAAGAAATGATTGCTTTTTGTTTCAATTTTTCCAATCTCGGTTATTTAAATTCGTGTTACTGAATTTTACTGAATTTGTGTGTCTGTGTTTCTTAGGCGTGCCATACCCTGGTTGGTAAGATCCTGATCTGCCTTGGCACTGGTCTAGAAGTAAGATAATATAAACCAACATATTTTATACTTTCTATTAACAAAAGACTTTTCTAGATTCCTGAATCCAAGGGTGGTAAGATGTGGTTCCATGACCGACACCCATACGAAGGACCTTCCAATGATGTGTTACGTCTGTTGCATTACCCTGCTCTCGATCATGCCAATGATACAGACGATATTCGAATTGGAAGGTGAGAAGAGAATGTAGACTACGTGAGAAGACATTGAATTTTCAATTAAACATTACTTTTTTTTTTTATTTCTTTTCCTTTTTTTTTTAGACATTCAGACTATGGTTCTTTGACCCTACTCTTCCAAAACGAAGTTGGTGGCCTTGAGGTCGAAAAGGGTCCTGGAGGTGAATGGCTTTCTGCACCAGTTATGCCAGATTGTGTTACTGTAAACTTGGGCGACTGTCTGGAATATTGGACCAAAGGTCTCCTTAGATCGACCAAGCATCGTGTTGTCTTTAAACCCGAGACTCAGACAAAGCCACGCTACAGTATGGCCTATTTCTGTCAAGGTGGACCTGCTCTTTTGGAGCCCGTCCCGAGTAGATGGATCCCCGCCGATGCAGATGTAAAAACCGAATTACCCAAGGACAACAAGGAGATCCTGACCGCCTCAGACCATTTGTACCATAAGTTGACCACAACATATATTTATTAGGGATTTCGAGTATTGTAAAAAAAAAAATCTGACCTTTTCGAATATATATATATATAATATAGCTTGATATCTCTAATGATTGATTCAACAGACAAAATCAAGAAAACACAATTAAAAAAAAAATAGGGTGTGAAATAAGAATGATAAAAACCCAATTACTACATGGTCGCATATTTACATATGAATATAAAAATTTAGTATTTTTGCACGCTCATTTCCAAATGTCTTACCATTAAAGTTACTCTTGCAATCAAAAGAACTTGCACAAGCAGCCCAGTGACAACCATGAATGTATATTTGTAGAGGTGGAGGTGTACAGAATACAATTATAGGACCAAGAGTAACAAGCTACACATATGCATAATATTATTGTTGCTTTCCGTACAAGATATTTTCTAGCGCTTTAGGAATATGCTTCCAATACTTGTGTACGAATGTATATACTTGCAATTAGATATTTTACTTGTAGCCCATCTTATAAGTCTGTTTCTAGATGTAAAAATATACTCAAGAAAAAGAAAAAGAAAAACTAAAACTAAAAGCCTTCTCCTGTGGCTCACTAAAAAGACCTTTACTATTAGTTTTGTACCTCAGCTGTCAAGGAAGAGTTTTTTTTGTTGGCTGTATATTTAGTTTTCTCCACTAGCACATCAATTGGTAAGCTAATCGATAAACTGATAATAGCTTTATTAGAGACATTTTAGACATTTAATTTCTCTTTATTTCTTTAGAAAACTATTAATGACACCAAGTGTGATTTCTTCGTTGCTGGTCAAAGGTATTAGGGTTTGCACGTGGAATCTGTTGCAGACTGAATCATAATGTATTCACTTTTTTACAAAGGAAAAAAATATCTTTTAATGCTGGTAGCACTTTGATTTATTTATTTTTTGTACCTAGCTTGTTTAATATTAGAATATGTCGAGTCAAAGAAACTTTTGTCCTTATTACTGATCTCTTGATCGATTATCCTTCAAAGTCGACTAAGACCTGATTTGTTCTTATTCCTCCGATACTGGGGTTTGTCTTCACCTTTGTACAATTTTATCGACAACTAAAGTGTGTATTTTGAAGCTGGCAAAAAGAAGAAGAAGATATATTTCTCTTAATTGGGTCTATTTGCCATTATTAAAGTCAACACTTTCTTTTTCCAAACTTGTCTGCAATGCACTTATTTTGGCTTTAATGATGTTCATGCCTATGCTTGATAGATTCAAATATCTGTTTTGGTGAAGTCGATTTATATTAATTTAGTTCACTGTGCGCAGCTTGGAAAGGTGCAAGGAAAAAAGGGGATCAGAGCTATACTATTATAGACAGCTATTTTTTTAAAAAAAAAAAAAAAAAAAAAAAAAAAAAGCGCGGCTCGGAGAGCCTATGCCACACATGTAGTCGCAACGGAGTCAACACTAATTGTGCCAAGTACGACATACAATTATATAATTCGCCTCATCTATATAAAAGTGCACAAATATATTTGTATCTAAATATATCTATACATATATTACATTATTGTTCCTTTACGCTTTGGAGAGATGGGATCGCCTGTCCACAAGCCATGCATACCAAAACGACCTGACCCATTCTCCAAAGCACTCGGAATCTCATCAAATCATGATCACAATCAAGATCCAAATGTTCAACATCCATCACAAGTGTCTCAATTATCGATTGATCGCAATCAACCCCATTTAGCATTATCAACTTCAATTCAACAGCATCCCCAATGCAGACCTGTCGTACCAGTCAAGCCTGCCTCTTTGCGACTCTCCGCAATCAGTCCTTCCCGCACAAATACTACTCCGTCTGATCCAAGTCCTCGTACAATATATGATATATCCTCAATAGATCAAGCACATGAAATTGTGGGAGATTTATTGGATTTCTCTTCAATTCGAGCCAAATTTCAGTCAATCGAACAACCGGTGAAAGTACCGGTAAATATTATCACCCATTCATGTGTAAATACACATATATACGTGTATAGCACATTTCTTCTTCATCTTCTTTGATCTCTCTTTTTATATCCCCCAATTATAACCCCTCCCCCATTCTCTGTTTTATTTTGAGTGCGTGTGCATTTATGGATTTATTCTTGGCTCAAGGGGAGACAGGAGGTGTTTGGTGTTTTTATTAGGTGCGTTTCTCTGAAAGCTACCTGAAGGGCTGGGGATGTTGCCCAGATGATCAATTGTAGATAGGGGTTGAAGGGGTCAATAAAGAGAGAGAGAAAGAGAGAGAAAAGAAAAAGAAAAAGAAAAAAAATTAGAAACAGAAGCTTACCTTCTCTTTGTTCTACTCAGCTTACTCGCCAAAAAGCATCGCTTTCTGAACCAAATCCAAGAATGTCGAGGCGAACTGTAGCCAAAACAGAAACCAGCAGACGTTCGGTTCCAGATATACACCCACCTAACGCCAAACTACCACCTCCAGTACCAGCCAAACGATGGGGTACCCGAAAAACCCCGGACGAAGAATCGCCCAGAGCTATCTCCTGGACATCATCAGTATCTCCAGTTACTGTGCCTCGAACAGGTTCTTTTGTAGCAGAGCTTAGCCGCCGCTTAGAGCAGGCTGAACGTATGGCTGAGCCAGTTCGACAGATCAAGCCAGCCTCTCCTCACCCAACAAAGCCTAAATTTCCTAATGAATCCCACCTCGCCATTCCACCACCCTCTACCAACACCCACCGCTCAACCTCACTTTCCACCCTACGTCTTCCATTACCCCGATCTGCAACCGGAACAAGTGTGAACAGCATGACTTCTACTTCATCCAACTCGTCAGGGACTTCCCGCCGTGCATGGCCTTATGGCAGTGCAATGGCCAGCTGGCTGTCTGGATCAAGTTCATCAGACGATCTTCAATTGTCGATCCCGTCTGGCCATGTAACAAACAGTAGTAGCCGACGTTCGCTCTTTCCGAATATGATATTGACCGCTTCTCCACCGTCGTACCCCTCAGATCCGTCTGATCTTCCACCTGTCTCACCTGATCTTCTCGACGGCCCAGAGCTTACCGCACTCCCAACAAAACGAGCACGAGTTGTGCAGGAGATTTTGGAGACCGAGCGAACTTATGCGACCGACATGCGTCTAGTAAAGGAAATCTATTATGACAAGGCTTTTGAATCACATTCTCCTTTGAATCCGCTCGATGTCAGACACATATTTTCTAACTTGTTAGACATTCTCGCCCTCGAGAGTGACTTTTTGCCCTTGTTGGAAAATGCCTGTAAAAATGAACTCGATTCTGACTTGCAGCCTACAAGGATTAAGACCAATGAAAATTCGATAGGAAAGCTATTCAGAGAGATGGTATTTTATTTATTTATTTATTTAAAGACACCACACTTTATGTTTACATATATATATTTATGTATGTACATATTTATGTATGATGATTTCAGACAAGTCGTCTAGTGCAGGTTTACGGTGATTACTGCAAGCGACACGAAGATGCTCTCAATCGATTACAGGAGTTGGAAGCAAAACCTGCTGTTTATGTATTTCTATCGGTAAGGTTACTTTTATATTTTTCTTGAAAAACAAAACAAAACAAAATAAAATAAAATAAAATAAAATAAAATACAGGGTAGTTAATGAATTTCTATTTATTTATGTAGGCATGCAAGGAGGATATACAAGGGCGAACAATGTGTTGGGATCTTCCGAGCCTATTGATTAAACCTGTTCAGCGAGTTTTAAAGTATCCGCTGCTTCTCAAAGTAAAAAAGATTAAGATAAAAGAGCAAGGTCTAAAGAGGAATCGCGTTTAACGATAGGTGAATTTTTTCTGAAACATTTATTTGCTCTGTAGGAATTGGTCAACATGACACCTACCACTCACCCGGATTATGAACAATTAACGATCGCTAATAAGGAGATTCAAGGAGTTGCAGACGCCATCAATGAGATCAAACGGCGCAAGGACATTGTGGAGAAGATTGTGCGAGAAAAGAAACGGAACGAGATGAGTGTAAGACACATTGACAAGAATGTTTACCTTGAGTCTAAATTATATGTATCTCTCTGATTATCCTTGCTGATCTGTTATTTCTTTATTTATTTCTTTTTGGCTTCTTAGATGGTGTAAGTTAAAGGGGGATAAAAGGAAGACGGTGAAAAGAGTCGAGCAAAACTAAACGCAATGTTTGTGTGTATCTACGTATCTATCTATCTATGTCTTATTCACAGTCATGGGTTCAACAAGACTTTGACTCGGCACGCTCAACGGTTTAGACAAACTACTGGTCTCTCATCTGAACCAACCCAAGATCAATCGTTTGATGCACTCTACCAGAAATTTGAGTCTCAGCAAGAGATAGTTCGCCAGTGGGTGAAAGCTATTCAGGAATGGGGCGATCACCTTAAACATACTGCAGACACATTTCATGTCTTTCTGCTTCATCTTGAGTCTTTTTACAACACTTGGGGAGGTGTACGTGTCAAGAGTATGGAGAGAGTACAGGAAATCACCCGAATAACCCACACACTACATATGGCGATCTCTCATGAAGTGGTATGTTTATTTCCTCAACAACAAGAAAAAAAAGTATTATTTTCTTATTTCTTTCAATTGATTTATTGTAGGATGCACTTGTCCAGGGAAAAATGTGCGGTCGTGTTGAAGCTTTCTTAAAAGTCTATGAGAGCCCTGGTCAGGTTATTCATAAGCGTGCTAGGAAGCTACTTGACTATGATCGTGTACGCTATATGAAGAATAAGGGAGATATTCCTGACAAAGTAACCCAGGAGTCTGCAGATGCATACGTGTCTATCAATGCCCAATTGGTAGACGAACTGCCAAGATTCTTCTTGTTGACCGCGCGCTACTTTGGAATATTGGTTGACGAGTTTGCTACAATCCAGGCCAGACTAATGACTCACACAACACATCAATGGAGAGCGCATGCCGAGAAATATTTTCAACTTGGTGATCCACAAAAAATGTCTTATGAAGCCATCACTCAGAATTACCACAAAATCATGACAGAAATTGTCCAACCTCAGATAGACGATATCCAATCAATTAGATATTCACCGACTGTCAACTGTAATCTGCGTCAGAGTACTGAAAGTGTACCAGCATCTTCGAGACTATCCCAGAGCCTTTACCAAGACTCACAGTGGCTGTCTGAAGGTCAAATAACCCCTCAGCCAGAACGAGCACAGAACTTTCAGCAGAAAGATAAGCGAATCTCAAGAGATAGTCAGGATAGCGCAGTATATGTGCGAGCTATAAATCGACAGTCGAGTCTTTCGTCGTTTTTGATTGAGGGATCAGATCCAGTATTTGAGTGTGTAGCCACCTCAAGTCTGAAGTCTCAAGGTCCTGAAGCTCTTTCTATCACCAAGGGGGATATTATTCAGGTTTGGCTCCCCACAAAAGACCAAATATCAGGAGACGCTGCTACTGCTGAATGGTGGTATGGTAGCCTGAGGACAGTAGAAGGTGAACCCATGTTCGGTTGGGTGCCTTCTTGGTACTGCCAAAAAATTTAAAAGGTTTTCTTCTTAAAGAAGAAAAATCCTGCCTCTGTATAATAATCTTCACTCCTTCTCCTTCTCCTTCTCCTTCTCCCTTTCTCTCACAAATTGATAGATCTCCCATATTTATTTACTTTATACAATAAGGGGGGAAAGGGAGAGACTTCCTTTTTCTTTTGTTTTGTTTTTTAGTTTTGTAATAGTAACCCTACATCATCTACCTTTTATACATTCATTTCTTGTTATTCATTTATTTAAATATAATCACCAACTCTCTTTACATATCCTTTTTTGATTAAAGAAACTATCAAAAAATATAATAAACGCTATACTGATTTCTTTGCTTGTAATTAACCACACTATAGAAATAAAGAACAAAACAATATATATATATATATATACTTGATGAATATCTTCTTTTCTTCTTCTTATAATGTACAAATTAGACAGCCATTGTTTGTGTATATAACAGGCTGACCACCAAGGTACGATATTTTAATATTTTGTGTCAGCAATAGTTGTTCTTTATCCACCACTACATGAAATTTACTCTAGTTTTCAAACACTGACTAGAAAAGATACTCAACAGCGATATTGATTCACGTGCAAGCTCACATCAAGAAAAGATCCCTAAAAAAAAGGAGACAACTGTTTCAATCTAATGGAACTGGTGTTGTAACTGTAGAATATAATGATCTTGTGATTATTACCTTAATTCTAGTTGTTGTCTAAGCCAACCAATAACAATATTGACAATCGTATAAAATATACAATTAATAACCAAAAATTATAGCAAATGCTTCAGTAACTCTAGTAGTTTTGGTATTCCATTATATCCGAGTAGTTGTTTGCTTAAAATAAACTACTAAACTTTTTACTTGCCTACAAAAAAAAACCTACAAAATCAGTATCAATTTTTTTTTGAAAGGAATCTTTTTTGGATCTAAAATGTTTGTCAATACACATGTCATGATTTGTCTAGATTTTATTAACACACTTTTTTTAAAAAAAAAATAAAATAAAGTGTGTGGCCTGACTTTTTATTTTATTTTTCTTCTTTTAAATAAGAACCATTCAGGAGAGAGCTTTGAAAACCCTAAATATTAATAGAATATATCTAATTATATAAAAGAAAGGGAAAAAATCCAAATCTCTGGAGTGGTCAAATCCAAATACCCCATTATCTAGGATTTTATATTCCATAAAAAAAGTACTTAAAAGTTTAATTGGTTCATTTGTTATAACAATCGCACCTTCTGTAATAAAATAGACAAAGAAAAACGTAAGTTTATGTCTTTATCTAAACTTTTGCTAATTTAAAACACCGAAACAAACTCCAAAGTTTCCAATAAAAACGTTGGGGTGCGAATAGCCTTTTGTATCAAAAGGCGATTATTATCATGTACGCGTTCAAGTCTTGTGCCTGGAAGCATCCATATTTTTATAGTACTAATATACAAGCACGCTTTGAAGCAAAAAAAAAAAGAAAAAAAGAAAAAAAGAAACTAAAATAAAAACCAAAGAAGTGCGTAATTTGCAATCCCATCTGGAAAGCGTGTCAAATACAAACCATCTTGTCATCAAATCTAGTAGAAGTTGCTTATACAGTCTCAAAGTGCAATAACTTTTACCCATCTCTCTTAATCTACAAAAAAAAAGCGCTCATCATTGAGCATGACAAACCAGATGATCTCTCGAATGTTCCGTGTCAAGAAACTTTCTAACAAGATCGTTCTACCCGTCTACAAAGATTCGGATCTACCGGACCTTGTGAACTCTATTAGTGCTCAACAAAGAACAGTTCCTCAGATAGAAACTGGTGTTGAGAAGGAGGAGGAGGAGGAGGTACGGTGATAACTAGGATTTATAGTACACATATACACATATAGGCTCCCAATCCCAATCCCAATCTATTGGCATGTTTTTATATATATATATATATTTATATTTATATACAAAAAAAATCTTTAGCACGATCTTCAAGCCGCAATATCTGCTGCACAAGCTGCGGTAACAACAGGCGCAAAGATAGAAAGTTTTATTCCTACACCTGATGCATCTAGAACCATAAGCGAAGAGATGTACCTCTCTCTCTACAAAAAGAAATTTATACAACCTTCGACAAATATTCGTTTTTCATCAACAGTCGAAGATACTAGTGGCTGCACTTATGTTGTAGATGAAGAAGATATCTCTTTCTTGACCCAGTTTAATGTAAAACATTCTTCTGAAATGAATGAGGTTACTTTTGAGAACATAATGCATCATATTGAGGCTGTTGTTGAGCAAAATTTTCCACATCTTTATCTGGTAAATCTATTTAGCTCTAAAACCTCACACGTTTGTCTATGCCCCAGAGTTCTAATGCAGTATTGTGATAGGATCCATCTCAAGTACCTGCATTTAATAACATATATCCTTTGTTCCCAGAGCACTCCAATATTCGCTCGCAGACTGGCCTAGAGCAAATATATTTGCATTGGAAAAAAAAGTGTCAGCACAGACAAGGCCGATCAATTATACCCAGAGTGAGACATGAAGATCTCATAAAAGGTGATGGCGATCCTTATGTCTGTTTCCGCCGGAGAGAGACAAAGGCTCTGAGAAAGACACGCCAGTCTGATCAGCATGCCCTGGATAGACTGCGTAAACTACGGACTCAGATGGAGAATGCCCGAAACCTACTTGAGATGGTACTTCGTCGAGAAAAACACAGAAAGGAGAGTCTTGTTCTAGAGCATACAGTATTTGACTCTCGATGCAAACTACGTGCTTACCAACGACAATTGGGGATCAATGATGATGAAGACATATTCCCAGTATCAAGAAAGAAGCACAGGTTAATTCCGGAAGAAGGATTCTCTGGGTAAGTCTGTGATAAAAAGAAACTCTTGAGTTTCTTTAAAGGACCATAGTTTGACTGTGCTCAACCTTTATTTTCTATAGAACAACTATTAAGATTCCTCTTAACCGATTAAAACGTGATAACGCTGATAAATCTGGGGTTCAACTCGCAATTGAGTCAGATATTGCTCGAAAGAGAGATTTAGATTCTGCATTTGAAGACATCACAGCTGTAAGTTTACACGTAAACTTAGTTGCTCTCATCAGACAAATTTAATTAACAAAAGAAAAATAATATCCTACAGCGTCCCTACAATCCATTCAGCATTCCAATTCCTTGCAGCTTTTACCAGAAGATCCCACTGCAAAATAATAAATGTCGTTACAGAAAGCGAGCAGGCCGTGGTGGAAGAATCTTTCTTGACCGGTCTTACTCTCGCCAAACTTGTGAAAATATGGTGTCAGCTAATCCTCACCAAGAAGTAGAAATTTATAATCGATTCCAATTTGATTCGGACCCGAGTGATAATGAAGATATTGAAGAGTGGCAGGTAGATCAAATGAATAACAAGTAAGTTTTTCTTTTAAAGAAAAGAGAATAAAGAGAGAAAAAGGGAGAGAAAAGGCAAAACTAACTCAACCCTTTGTCTTATAGTTTCCTCGGGCATCGGGTCAAGCTTCTTTCAGAGCTAGAACTCCGCAATCTTGCTGCCATGCCTGTAATAAACCCGTCAAATACCTTGAACTTTCGGGCTAATCAGGGAGTACCTACATCTCAAAAACAATCTGATGTTAGCGGTGGCTCGAACACTTCGTCTTCCTCGCCTTCCTCATCTCCTTTAAATAATCAAACATCTACTGTAACCTCGCAACCAATTAAAAGGCAAAATAGCAGAGCCAGATTGACACCTCAACAGGCTGCAGTAGCCATGGCTAATGATATGCTGGTTGCTAATATGACTGCTGTTGTCAATAGCAGCGGTCAAAATAGAACTGTGTCCCAGTTAGCTGCTATAACAGCTGCACAGCAACAGCAGCAACAACAACAACAACAGCAGCAGCAGCAACAGCAGCAACAGCAGCAACAGCAGCAACAGCAGCAACAGCAGCAACAGCAGCAACAGCAGCAACAGCAGCAACAGCAGCAACAGCAGCAACAGCAGCAACAGCAGCAACAACATCAACAACAGAATCAACATCAACAACAGAATCAACATAATCATCAACAGCATCAACAGCATCAACAACAACAAAATAATCATCAACAGCATCAACAACAGCATCAACAACAGCATCAACAACAGCATCAACAACAGCATCAACAACAGCAGCAACAACAGCAGCAACAACAGCAGCAACAACAGCATCAACAACAGCAACAACAGCAACAACAGCAGATACAACATCATCAAATACAGCAGCAGCAATTACAGCAGCAGCAATTACTGCAGCAGCAATTACAACTGCAGCAACAACAATTACAGCAACAACAAATTCAACAACAGATACAGCAACGTCTAGTACATAATGGTAAGTGATTAAGCTCAAATGCACTAGGGTATTGAATTATATCATTAATATTGTTAATTTAATAATTAATTAGCTTCAGTCCAACCCAATGGGCATTCTTATTATTCAAAGCAGCTGTTACCCGGATCATCTGTACCCAGTGGAGTTACTCCTATACTAATACCTCCACGCCTGATGAAAAATGGATCCTCTCAGGCCTCGTTATCTAGACAGCCTACTGTCTCTTAAGAAACCCGTTTGGATTGGTCACATATTCGCATGCATATTATTTATCCCATTCCTTTTTTATTATTATCATGACCCTATATCCTTTTCTTCCCTCCTTATTTTTTGTACAGCCTTCAACTTCATTTGCATCCAATTTAATATTTGTTCTTTCACATTGTCTACCTCTTTTTCCCGTTTCTTATTTATTAAATACAAGCAAGAAGCATCTCATTAAACATCTTTATTTTTTATTTCGTTTCGTTTTATTTTTATTTTATTTTTATTACCAAAATACTTTATGAAAAAGCCATGCTGGTTTGTATGAGTTTTATAGTATTATCCAGTGTATAAAGTAGAGTCTCAGAAACAAGCACGTTTTATTATTATTTACAGGAAACCAGAATGGCTTTTGCCGGCAATTTATTCATCTTCTTCGCCTTCACCTGCAGAAGAACCTTGAACATCAGAATCGTATTCTTCAGGAACATCACTACCGCTATCATCGGGTGCGAAATCCTCATCGGCTACAAACAGACAAACAATCGCAATAATTAGATCTTATTTTTTAAAATAATAATAGAAAACAAAATACTCACGACTCTCTTCTTCTTCATCCAGATCTGGCATTCTGACTTCTGTTCGTCGCTTCTTGCGAGAATCATAGTTGTCATCATCATCTTCCATAACATCATCCATATCAGTGTATGTGATAATTGTCTCTTCGTTATTTTCGCTTTTAATCTTGATCTTCTTTTGCTTCATAAAGTCTTCAAGGTTAGCGTATTCTTCACGGTTAATGCTGGAAAATTGGATGTCGTTTCCGCTCTTCATGTGGAACTTCATATCGAATGTACGGGAGCTGGCACCGGCCGATGTTCCCACACGAGAGAAGGTGACAACGCCGATCTCATTGAGAGGGATAAAGGTGGGTGGTTTGGGGATAAAGAGGAAGCACTTTTCCAATGGATACAGGTAACCTTCGTTTGCCTTCATCGAACACTTGAGAGCATGTGCACCGTGATGACTATATTTGCAACAAAATATTACATTGGTTTAATTTAATATATTTATCGTTCTAATTGTGTGTCTACGAGTGTATCTTGTTGTTTTTCTTGTTACCTTCTATATGCACCTGGAACAGTGACCTTTCTACCTGCCAAAGAACGGAAAATTGTACTGATAACTTCATAGGTTGGTGCTTCATAATGCTTTAAAAGCTTGTTGTCATATCGTTCGCTCATGGTAGCCCTGTAGAATAAATGTCAGTTTCTTTTTTTCTTAAAAAAAAACTCCTACTTTCTGTATCTTAATACGTACTCATCCAAGTTCAATTCAACATCGATTTCATCTTCACGAACAAATTGGAATACAAGGAATGGGTATTTTGTTTGACCTTGACGCAAAGGTGGGTCCAAACCAATCTAGAGAGAGAAAAGAAGTATAAAGTATATCATTATTTGTTACTCTCTTTCTCTCTTCAATAATTAACAATAGAAATAATTCTACATATATATATATGACTTACAACAAACAATACGTGGACCTCATCAGGCTTGGGCAACAAAAATAACTTGATGATACTGGAATACTGGATCTTGTAATCGTAAGTTTTTCCACGAAGACGAAGGAAGTCCTGATACATGTCGATATTGTAACGACCACTGTATAAATAATTCCCAATAGCGTTATTGATATCATTATCTGTTAGTACATATACATGTATATATATATATAATTTACAATTATGCACAAAATCATACCGAGGGGTCAAACAAAGCACCTCTTGGAATTGGACAATGTTTTCGGTTGTCATCTGGCTGAACTCCAGCTTGGACTTGACTGTCTCGTAAAACACCTGTGTATGTGCATATGTGTATGCAAGTTCAATTTGGTCAGTCCGCTGGAGATTTTTATATATTCTGCTTCCTTAATTACCATGTCTGCATTAACTTCCTCTTCGTCTGCATCCTCGTCTTCATTGTTTTCTGTCTCTTTGGGAACAGTTCCAGGAACGTAAAAAATTACATCCATCAACTCATCTATCTCTCTAGGATTTACTCCTTCCGGTGCAGGCTGTCCTGGATCAACAAAGTTGATCGATACTTCGTTCTTTCCTGGCTTGTTTGCGCCAATTGCCTGTGCGAGAGGTAATTCAAACATTGTCTTGTTGGAAACATTAAATACAAGATTGGAACCTAACAGCCCATAGTACACACAAAGACACGTTTGATTTTTGATATCAGAGCCACGATCAACCAAGTACAATATTTATAGAAACCCATTTATATCCACAATATATATACATATCTGAAGGTCTCTATTTCCTTGCTTTCTATTTTACTCTCTTTTGATATATAAATCTATAAATCTATATATATATATTTCTCAAAATGTCTTACCCTGGAAATCGGTTTTTCCCCAATTCCATCCCTTGACACTCAATTCCTTGGATTCAACTACAATTTTGTAATACAATTTTGCGGTATCCTTCAAAACCTCAAAATCCTAAATCCATAATAACAGTAATAAAGATATCAAACTCAATGTCAGTCCGATTGTGCTGTGGAATTAAATACGCAATTAAGGAATCAAGCAATCAGAACTGACCTCTGATTTGAAACCATCAAATTTGGATACACCGCCGTCCTTGAGTGTAACTCGCAGCTGATACCCTCTTGCTGCCCTGATCCAAGACATTTTCTTGAGATCGTCACTTGGAATGATAGTTGCTTTGTCTTCTGATGATTTCCAGCCCACTGCGGTAGGAGCTAATCTGAATCTACCAGTGTCTGGCTTGATGCCACAGTAGATCCCACTGAAATCAACGTGTTTTCTGTCAGTCATCGTTTGATTCCCAAAAGAAGAAGGAAAGGAAAGGAGAGGAGAGGAATTAAAATAAAAAATAAAAAATAAAATAAAAAATAAAAAATTAAAATAAAATAAAATAAAATAAAATAAAATTAAAAAATTAAAAAATTAAAGTAATAATTTTAATAGGTAAGTGAATCTTGTAGTCTTTCTTTCTTTCTCTCTTTCTTTACTTTCTTCTTTTTGTCGCTCTTTCTTACTGGCATTTTTTTTTTGGTGTTCACATTATCACTTTTTTTTTCTTTTTTCTTTTTTTAGTCTCCACAGTTTGGGACGCGTCTTCGACGTCAGCCATGAAATCACACTCCGATACACAGTGTATGCCCGCCAAGTTCACTTTCACTGTTCTTTGCCCCCTTTTGTACACACACATACATAGTACACACTACACACTACATACTACATACTAAATACTACACAATTGTTGTAGAAATAAAGAGATAATCTTCATTGTATACTTTTTTTCACATTCGCATACATACTGTCGATACTACTACTACTATAATAATTTCTAGACTAAAATAACAGCAAAAATGAACTTTTCACCTTACAAACCATCTCCCGACGAAGATAGGAATAACCGTTTAAGAGAAGAACGACAAAAGCAGAAACAACCAAAGGGAAAGGCAAAGCAGACTGACACATCACCGTACAGCTCATATCAATCAGGGAAGCCTAATTACCCTGGCCCATCACCATCATCGTTGGAAGAAGGATTATTTTCAGAAACAGACAATCTAGGAGGTTCGCGAGGTCCACCAACAGGGACACTACGAGTAAACAAGTACGAGACCAGTCTGCCTATTAGGGTTGATATTGAAGCAGCCTTGGCTTATGTTCTCGGGCCAGTAACAGGTAATGTTTTATATATATATATATATATATATATATATATATATATATAATTCTTGGCTATAAAGATTGTGGTGATTATTGATCTAAGGAAGAGTACCCCACCAGACTGAACTAGAAGTTTAACAATTATTATTATCTCCTTATTATCAGGGTTGTTGTTTCTTGTGCTTGAGAGACAAAATGATTATGTCAGGTTTCATGCATGGCAGGTAATTTGATATTTTCATTCTCCATAAATCATTTAAAATAAATAAGTAATGCTTATAATTATAATATTGTTTAACGTATATATTTTATGATCTGGCAGTCATCGATGGTATTCTTGGCTTTGATGTGTGCACATTTTGTCCTGATGTTTATTTCCAATTTCCTCTCTTGGACATTATTCATTTTTGATATCGGTTTACTTGTCTGGTTAACGTAAGTTTTTCTTTAATTTTTTCATTATTATCATTTCTTTATTTATTTTTGTTTGTTTGTGTGTTGAGAGAAATCTATTGCTTTCATGTTACTGAAACTGATATTAATACTGATGCTTATTATTTTTTTGCACTTTATTTTATTTTATACAAGATATCGAGCCTATCTCGATGGTGCTTCATTAGAGAGATACGAGTTTCCTTACTTCGGTCCTATTGCATCTGAATATGTAGATTCTGAATAAAGTAATAAAAGTAAAATAACAGTAAAATGATCCTTAAGAAATAGATATTCCAGAATACACAAATATATGCATACATTAATATTGATATGCTTTTGATTAAAGAAGGAAAGATGATTGGGTTGGATCGGAGCAGTACAATACATAAACCTACATTAGACTTTTGAGTTATTTTCTAACATATATACATGTATGTACATATATACACACCAAACGAATCTTTATTTCTTTTTGGAATTAACTAATCGACTCACTTTTTTTTGAAGCTTATTGTTAAAAAAAAAAATGCTAGATTTCGGTTATTTAAATATATGTGCGGGTAAAGAAATATTTATTAGCGGTAGTTCATTTTCCAAGTATTTGGATTTCTTCCATCTAAATTCCGCTTTCCAGAAATATCTAATTTTTATTTTTATTTTATCCAAATGGGTAAGCAAATTTTCTGAACTTTAATTTTGATTCATTAAAAAAAACTACTATTTTTGAGTTTGAAGGGTAAAAATTGTAAAAGCATCTTCAACACTGCGTTAACTTTTTAATTAAAGCTATACACCGCCACTTTAGCTAAAGAAAATTTTACTTTTCTCAGCAGCTCAATTTATCTTTTTCTTTAAATAAATTTTGAGAGCGTTTTCAGCAATCAATTTTAATTTTTCGGTAACAAAAAGATAAAAAAGCTGACTTTAATTTTTATTTAAAGTAAATTAATCAGACTGCTGGGAGTACCAATTTTTACTAGAATTTTAAGTTTGAGATAAAAACGGAGATAAAAGTGGATGTTGGAGATGCTCTAAAAGTTATGTGAAAAAAAATTAGAGATAGGTTTTAATTTCAGATACTGATGACGTAGAACTGTTGATTTTTAATTAATGGATATTTTATAGTAAGATAAAAAAACAATATTGAGCAACCATCCTTTTATTTCATTCTTTGAATCTGAAGACTTTGACCGTGCTCATGCTCAGAGTCTTTTTATTCACTTTTTCTTTCATTCTTGGAATCTGAAGACTTTGACCGTGCCCATGCTCAGAGTCTTTTTATTCACTTTTTCTTTCATTATTCGAATCTGAAGACTTTGACCGTGCCTATGCTTAGAGTCTTTTTATTCACTTTTTCTTTCATTATTCGAATCTGAAGACTTTGACCGTGCCTATGCTTAGAGTCTTTTTATTCACTTTTTCTTTCATTATTCGAATCTGAAGACCTTGACCGTGCCTATGCTTAGAGTCTTTATTTACTTTTTCTTTCATTCTTTGAATCTGAAGACCTTGACCGTGCCTATGCTTAGAGTCTTTATTTACTTTTTCTTTCATTCTTTGAATCTGAAGATTTTGACCGTGCCTATGCTTGACGTTTTCTGATTCATCTTTTCTTTCATTCTTGGAATCTGTAGACTTTGACCGTGTCATATGCTTGAAGAACTGCATCCATTTTTTTTTAAAAAAAATAAACAAATAAATCAAAAAACACTACTCAGTGTTTTTTTCCTATACTTCAACCAAGTTCGCTAACTAAGAATGATGCTATTCAAGACTATCATTTTCATTGACGATTTTATCCTTGTCAACTCAACCTTGTAACAATATGGACTATTTTATGTTACGAAAGTCTTTGATTATATTAATAAACTTATTTGAAGAACCAAATATCTATTGCTAACTAACTAGGACTGGAGTGGCGACTGTTTTTTTTGTTGCAAAGCCTACAAATTTTGTCTGGTAAAAAAAAACAAGCAATTAGATTACTTTATAAAATGTGGAAATATTTAAGATTGTCAAAAAATAAAAATAAAAAATCAAACATATATCCCGTATGTATTATTCTAAATAAGACAATAGGAGACTCTCATTTAATAAGCATAGAAAATACGGGACCACAGATATATATATGCTATTTTGTTTTAACTGTTTGGAAAATCTCCTTTTTTTTGGACCATCACTCCTGAAATATTATGATAATAGTCAAGGTATAAAATAATGGTTGTGTAATGAGGAACGATCAATTTGACTTTTGCTTCTTGACTTTTTCTGAGATTGATATGCATGATGATAAGGTGTAGGTGTCTTCTGAAAAGATTGTATTTTGGGAGCAAGCAGGCTGCTTACCAGATGTAATAGGCTCTTCAGGAGATTCTTCGATTGTAACGTTGTCGTATAGGTTTCGTGTATGTATCATAGTTGATTTTGCTTTTAGTGCTAACTTTAGGATGGGGATAAGGCGATTCGTAAACTGGCGAGCGTTTGTGGGATAGTACAATGGCTTCATTTTTCTTACTCGGCTAACATAACCCGCAGGAATATCCATAGAAAGCATTGTAGCTTTGGTACCCACCAAAAGAAACCCGACCGTCCGAAGTTTATGAGTTATGACAGGAAGTTGATCCGTAGTTGCTACCAATGTGTCTTTCATTAACTTCATCAGCTTCATTCCGTCGGAAAGGCTTTTTGTCTGGTCATTGCTTTTTCCTAATTCTATCAAGCCCAATTCAATATCACCTTCGGAGAAGATTACATCCACTTTTCGACCCATTCTTCTCTTGATTGTCGGACTGATTGCGTCTAAGCTTCTTTTACTGTTCTTTACACTGGCGTTTGATACACAGCTTTTTTCACCACTGTTTGCATTGATGTCAGAGCCTTCGACAACACTTGTAAAAATGCTCCAAACATTCCCCAGCATATCAGCTTCGCTGAACTTGTCCATGTTTTTGTTGTACAAAAAGTTGCAGGCTGCTTGAATTACACTTCTTTGGATCCAGGATCGTTCACTGTGTAGACGTGGATTATACATTTTGGAGAAAGCATAGGCATATGTTTCATCGATATTATTTAACTTGAGATATTCATCCAGATATTCAACAGAATCTTTATTAATCTCTTCAAAGGCTGGAATTCCATGCTCATTTATTTCTTTTAATTCATCATTAGAAAAGTATGTTTCCCAGAAATGATCGCCTATTTCCAGTATAAAGGAATGGCATGGATGCTCAAAATTGCAATTCAAACGGGCCTTTTGCATAACTTCTTCAACAATTACGCCGTTGCTTAATTTCCAGAACAACGTCTTGTCAAGTTGTCCAAACACATGCTCTATTCCTAATTTTTGGTCTGCTGTCAAGAGTTTCTTTGTAGATTCAGCTGACATTTTTGATGACTTTGAAGAAAAAGAAGAAGTTGATGTGGCTGACCGATTCCAAGAAGTTGGATCAGAGGAAATAAGCACGGAACTTGGTATAGAATTTTCGGAATCAGGAACGATGGCAAGTAACTTTTCTTCGATTTTGGGCCAATAGTCTTCATTTTTGTTCTGGTCGATATACAGGCACACACATACACATAAACTCATGCGGTCAAACCTGGCTGTCTATTAACTCATATAAAATATATACTTACTAACTTGATTTTCAGCATTGTTGCTGTTCTTTTAATTCTAAAAATCCAATCGCCCTTAAATCTTCTTATGCAATATCCTGGCCGGAATTTTGCCAAAATCCTTTGTTCTAATCGCTTTAAAAGATGAGAAAGTTCAACAACGCCTTTATTTTCCAAGTCAAAAATAATTGACGCGATTTCTACAGAAAATAAAAAAAGGGGGGTTAGTTTGTAGACTATATGATAAATTTATTTAAATGTCACCTTCTTTGTATTTGGGATCTGGCAATTCATTGCTCATTGAAGGAACTTTGTCATTAGATCCTGATTCACTCATTATGAATAGCGACTTTGCAGTATATAAATTTGGTTACTAAAGCACAAATTGAGTTTTTTCTTTCTTTCTTTCTTTCTTTAACAAAAATATATAAAAAATAAAAAAAAGGTATAGAACACAAAATGAAATAATTCTATTGGCCAATTGGAATTTCTCAAAATCAATAAAAAAAATACACACATACACAGCAGCTTACTTATGCAAGTGAAGATATTTTATTGCGGATTTTTCTAGGCCTTGCGCACTGATTTTCTTTTGTATTCATTGGTCTGCTACAGTTCAAAGCACTGAGCGTGCCTTGTACACTGAGCTTATTTATACAGTTGTGCTAAAAAAAAAGAGAAACGTTTCCTCTTCTGAGGTTAAAAACTTATGAGAGGGAAGTCAGAGCATATCTTTAGCATTCAACTGTTCAACAATAGTTTAAAGACAAATCCCTAAGGCTTCAGGGATAAGATGATGTATATATATATATTACAATTTTTTTAGCATTTACCTCCTCTGGCATCGATCACAGCTTGGTATTTGTTTTGCATACTTCCTGTCAGACATGAGCCAAATCTAATTTCAATAATCTACTAATATTGTTGCATGACAACGTTTGCATTGACATTTTTAAGAATGACCTTCATTTCACTCATTATAGTTTTAAGAGGCTTACGAGATATGTTAGATTATTTTGAGAATTGGGCTTTTAATTGGCACATAATCCTTGTCCATTGCACCAACATTAAAGTGACACTCTCATTAGACTATTACGACCGCCTTTCGTAGTGAATCTCTCTAAAGATTGAATTATGGGTAATAATCAAGTCTTGTTGTATTAGAATGAGCATTGTTTGATGAAAATGTACATTACATGTTGAATTCGATTAATAAAATTAAACAACAAAAAAAAAGAATACTACTTTCTTTTTATCTTCTTTTTTGACAACTTTTAACGGGTGTTTAAAGAAAAACGTTTCTCATTGTGAGTGCCTTGACATGTATAGAATGCTTATCAACTGGATACTTAATATAATAGCTGCTATCCTAACTAATAAAATACAAACCAATGAACTTTTGATAATCTATAATATAAACAGTATTTTTGAAAAAAAATCTACCAAAAGTCTTGGTAGTCAATCGTTTCAAGCTATCAATAATTTTGAGCCATACCTTCATTTCCCAAGTCAAAAAAAAAACATTAGTACATTTTATGCTGAATGTAGCCTTACTTAAACTGTTATATCCTTTTTACTCTAAACTTTACACCATATTATTATTATTATTATTATTATTATTAATAGAAGAACGTTTGTGGTCAGAAACTGATTGTCACAATAATACAATTGAACTGGTACATACACAAATAATCATTTGAGATGGACAGCAAGTTAGATTCGTTTAATACAAAATAATAATCCAATAACAGAATTTAAAAAACTAACAAGAAGCCTCTAAATAATATCTCTACACACACGCAAATATAATCTATGTTTCAGCCTTATTTTAATTCTGTACGTGTTTGATGGTAATAGCACTGTATCTTTTACTTTTTTTTTTGTATTCTTAGTGTATCTTTTACTATTAGAGGAGGTGTAAAAAGAAATCGCTATTTTAATATTTAAAAATACAGAATTTTGGAAACTTAAGCTACGACAATTATTTAATTTCAGAACAGCGGTCTTATAACAATACTTTAGTCCGCTAATGCTTTTAACGGCCGATAGTTGACATTGGTTTTACTGTACACAATATAAATATATAAATGTGTATGGTTGCGGTTACGGTTACGGTTGTTATTAATATGGCTGTGATTATTATTAGCATGACACACGAGGTTAGAAAGGTTAATTAAAGGAAGCAAAAAAATAAATAAAAATAAAATCTGGCTAGTTTACTCACAGTGTATGGTGAATATATTTTATTTGCCTATTTCAGGAACAAACCAATGGATCTTGGACAACTAATTAATTGAACCATTTAATACATTTTGTATATTTGATAGAATAGAAAATAGTAGTGATTTATAATAGTTGACTCATCACAATTCTCTCACGGTCAGCCAAAGTATACTCGTACATTTATCATTCGTGTGTGAACATGCTGGTAAAATATCATTTTATTTTATTTTTATCTTTTCAGCTTTCTTTCTTTCATTAATGGTTGTTGCTTGTTTTTTTTATAAAAAAAAAGGTAGAATAAATGACATTTTCTGTAATACATTTGATTTTAAAATAATAAATATAATATATATACATGTATCCACGGTAGTACCCTACGGAGAAAAGGAGCGAGAGAATAAAAGGGATCGAAGGAAGGATCTAAAGAAAGGGAACGAGAGAGAAAGACCGAGATATTTGTGTGTGTGTGTGTGTGTATCTAACCAACAACAAAAAAGGGCGCCTGTGTCTGTGTGAGTGTGTGCGTGAGCGTGAACGTGTGCTTTGATGGTGGTTTGTGTGTTACGACTTTTATATTTGGTAAAGATCACAACTAAAGATATATATCAACTGTTGTGCAAGACAAGGGTAAAGTAAATAGATTGTTAAGTACAAATATCTCATTCAGAGAACTTTAATAAATCTGAGCCTGTCACAGCTCCATACAAACAAAAAAAAAGTACAAATACCCATTATTGGTATTAGTATTATAATTATAATAATAGAGGAGGTGTTATCTAGTGGAAAATTGAATTTTTTATCCATTTTTACTTTAAACGGCTATTTGATTTCCAATGATTCTTATACGTTTTTCTCGGTTGATGCGATTTAATGGAAAATGTAAGTGGAAAATTAAGGACTTTAATTTTCCACTTACATTTTCCATTCAATATTTTCTCAAAATCAAGTTTATTATCTCGCTCTCAAATCAAGGTATAGGGTAGCCAGGAGTGTCTATTGTATATGTAATAAATTTATTCGATCTTTAAAGGTCGATTTTATTTTTAAAAAAAAGATTGAAATTTATGAAGATTTATTTTTCTTATATTTGACACAGTATGATGTTCTCATCAATTGATAAGTTTCCACAACTGCTGCTGGAGTGCTTTGTTTTTTACTGGGTTTGTCCAATCTTTATTTTTAGCAGTCACGCCTTTTCCATTAGATAACACCTCTAAATAAAGAATCGAATGAAAATCATTAGCTAATAATTCCGTTGATGTAAGTACGAGATTGCGGTTATCCTCGTTCAAAACCGATTGAGTAATAAGATTGATAAAATCCAAATTTTGAATAATATTTAAAACTAAAAAATGGTGTAAATAAGCAATTTTTTTTAAGTGATTAGCCTACTTACCTCTGCGATTCATGATTTACAAGATCAATGAGAAAAAACGAAGCAAAAAAAAAACCACAGCAAATTTTGAACGAAACCTGAGCGACAACTTAGATTTTTATTGGGCGACATCATTTTGAGAAAAGGTGTATACGATGTTTTTTTTTTGGGTGTACGAATTTTTTTCTAAAGTGTACGAAAAGTTTGTGAAAAAGGTGTAAGAAGAAGATGCTTCGGGTTATTACACTCTATCACCGCTTGCACTACCTTTTTGGTTACACTTTGATGTATAGATGAACCTTTTATACACTCATAGATATGTACACAATCAATTGTATATATTTAAGTCCATGAACAAAAAGAAAAAAATAGAAAAAAGAGGCATTTTATCAAAGATAACTTCTATATATAAAGTATATATTTGATTAACTATCATTCTTAAATATAAATGAGCTTTGAGATTCAAGATAACTATTACTATTACCAATGTCATTACCACCATATACTGCTGTGTACATTTAGTTTTAGGCTTGGATTTATATGATGAACGATAAGAATAAAATACAATACAAAAGGATAGAATATAATTGGGATATATACAGTTCAATACAGTGCAGTGCAGTAAACCAAGAAAAAAAAGAAAGGCGGCATAAGATTTCAAATAAGAAAATTATCACTTCACTTTTTTTTCTAGCTTCTTTTTGGGAAAACAAAACATACAGACCAATCAAATGAAAGAGTATGTGTATATAAAAGAAGTTGTTTTGTTTTTTTTTACGTGTTGTTTCATATAACTTTTTAATATTTTGGCGGTGTATATGAATACGTTTGAATGTAGGACCGTGTACGTGTACGTGTGTGCGTAAGGTTGTGCGTATGTGCGTATATGTTCGTGTGGGTTTGTGCTCGTGTGTACTTGTGTGCTTGTGTGCGTGGGTTAAGTGAGGGAATGGTATAATAATTATATATGTATATAACAAAATCAAAAACAAATAAAGAAAATATGTATAAAAAAGATATAGTGTAAATTAAGTATGTATGTATGTATGTATGTATGCGTGTATGCGTGTATGCGTGTATGCGTGTATGCGTGTGTGCGTGTGTGTGTGTGGGTGTGTGGGTGTGTGGGTGTGTGGAGAGGTAGGGTATTATGGCAACTTATAAAGCAAAGAAAAAAAAGTCGCTTGTTTGCTTGTTTTGTTTTCTTCCTTAACGTCTTTGGCTTGATCGCTCTCCACCGCTATTCGTGCTTTCGCCACTTCCTTTTGAAGCTCTGGAAGACCCATCTGAAGATGTCGTTCCTAGTCGTCGAACGGAATGGGGTGGTGATCTACTTTGCGCTAGCCTTTTACTTGCGGCAACTATTGAAGTTGTATTAATTGAGTATTGAGTATTAATTTATATTAAAATTAGTATTTTGGCTTGAACTTTTTATGATCATGAGTTACTTCTTTTTTCTGGGAATAACTCTAATTTCTTTTTTGGTTGTTCTTATTCTTAGTATTCTGCTTCTTCTTTGGCTTGCTTTATCTTATATATATATTGATTTTTTTCTACTTTTAACATTCTATCTCGTGACTTACGATTTTTTGCTTTTGTTTCCTCATCAAGACGATTGATAATCATCTGTATCTTTGTAAACCATTCTTGCTGTTCTATTGGCCCATTGGTCTGGAGTACATATACAGTTGGTGAGCCCATGTAGGTTGTGTTGAGGGTATCTATTCCTTGGAAAGAGGATATTATTTCGATGCAGTGCTCTCTTCCACCGGCTTCTTCTGGCAAAAGTATCCGGACCTGGGCATGTTCGAGAACGATGTGATTCTTGTACTGTAGGACGGTCCGTTTGGTTTCTTGTTTTGGCCGCACAATGGCCAATAGATCTGAAAACAAAAGATAGGTCCGTTCTTCTGCCATCTTTGAATTCATAGTCACGCGTGATAGTTGACCCTGAAGCACCAATCTTCTTTGAGCCTTTACGCCAAAAGGAGCACCGACAAGCGCTTGGTGTATCATAAGGACCTGATCCACATTATCAGCATCTTGAACTCTACAGATAGACAGATAGATTATTACACTTTTCTTTGATTTTTTTTTTACATTCTCTGGCTTTAGATTGATAACTTACTTGACTTTGATTTCTTCTGCCAGACCGATAATTTGTCGCTTACAAGACAATAGACCGGCATAGTCAGGGTGCATCGGGGAAGTCATGTCAGCTAGTCTGGTCATTAGTAGTGCGTAACGACTGATACAACCCGCGGGGATTTGTAGTAGAGACAGCAAGGTTGCACCTTTGAGCGATGGATCTTTGTGCGCTGTCTAGATATATATATACATAAATAAATAAAATAGAGTAAAAAAGAAATTAGTATAACTATTTTATATATACTTCTTACATTGTACACTACACCCATATATACATATAATTTTTTTCTTACCTCTACAAACTTCTTGAATGGTTGATATCTCATGAGACGTTCATAGGTTGTAACAGCAATATCGTAATTGTCAAGGTAGGCGTGATAATTCACCAGAGACGGTAACTATGGTTATTATTATGTAGTTGGTAAATAATGGTATTCAAGACTTGACAATTACATATTGATATTTACCCAACTCTTGAATACATCAGAAAATATCTGGGTTGGTCCCCATATTTCCATTCTACACAAAAAAAAAAGAGAGACAGAAATATAATATAATAATTGTCAATAATTGTGTAATTGTTTTTAAGGTTTGGTTACCTTTGTTGAAGAATGGTGTGAATCTTTTGATGAGTATCATAAATTGTGTCAAAGTTTCCAAATAGCCAGCGTGTCTCTCTCTCTGTGCAGACCATTTTCTTCATTCCCAGAAAACTAAACGATGAATTCTTGCTGTCCTTGCGAAGTGGATCAAGAAAGACTCGTTTGATGAGGTTGAGAGATTCCAGGTAGGCTTGTTCAGAGAAGAAGAGTTGTTGGATAATTGCTTCTCTTTTTTGGTGGACTAGTTCGTGGTCTGTAGGACAGAATGGAAATTTACATAATTATTATTAATAATATTCTTATTACTGTTACTATGGTTACTATGGTTATTATTCTGATATATATATATATATATATTCTTGTGTGCAATATGTGCATGTGTGTAATGTATGGCCATGCAATGTAAATATATATATATATATATAATGAAAGGTCTAATTTTCTATTACTATTATTATTTTTACTTTATGGTTTGAACATCGTTTATTATATAGAGCAAAATAATGATAAAGAAGTAGAAGAAAAGGTAGGGAAATGGACACCCTACCTATCAAACCGTCGTCTACATCATCATAATCCAAGCTGTCGATAATATCGAATTGATCATCTTGAAAATTGTTGATATCGTGTATATTTGATGTGTAAGGGCTGCTGTCGTGGGACCCGGAAGAAAAGGATGTGATGTGGTTTATTCCATTAGGATAACCTGACCCAGAGCTGGCGTAACTACTTTTGCTCGAAGTGCTAACAAAACTATTGAGTCCAGAGTGTGTCTTTTGGCGAGTTGGAGGGCTTCGAGGTACGTTTTTGTTGTCTTTTTCGATAGAAAAGTGCATTCTCCAAAAGGTGATAAAGGGTTGCTAATTAATAAATATATAAATAAATATAAATAAATATCTATTGAAGTGAAAGAGGTGAGAAACATATATTCTTATATATATTTATATATATATATTTATTTATATATTATTTAAGAGCAATATTATAAAATAGGCACTGTAACACTGGTTAAAAAAAAACAAACTCAAAAAAAAAAATTCAAATTGTTCCTGCAAAAATTGTGTGGCAAATACATAAAACTGGGTACGTTCTGTGTCTCTGTGTACTCTATCTGTGTACTTTGTGTATATTCTGTGTGTATTTTGTATCTCTCTATATTTCTCTCTGTGCAGTGTGTGCGTTCCGATTCAACTATTGTGTACACTTTATATATATTTTATTTTATTTTATTTTATTTTATATTATATTTTATAGATCTTTTTTTTTTGTTGTTTTTTTTTGTTGTTCCTTGACTCTTTGGTATCGGTTTTGTCTTTTCAAAATAAATGCCTCTCACAATAATCGTATACTACACTTCTACTTCAGACAATATGGTTTATCCGATCGTTAATACTTGATCATCTAAGCACAAACACACACACACACACACACACACACACACACACACAAAGGCACACAAAGGCACACAAAGGCACACAACCTTGTTTCTCTTTTATAAGATAAGATACCAAAAAAATATATATATTGATTTCAAACCTGATAAGTACCTAGTAAATGCAACATTAATAACCACAAATTAAATATTAAATATTATAGAAAGTAGGTACTTTATGTATATAAAATAAATAAAATACCCTATACTTAGCTTTATATATATTAAAAGGGAGAAAACATATATTATTATTATCATTATTACACGCGTACATACATGCATACAGACAATATCTCTCTTTCTCTCTCTTTCTCTCTCTTTCTCTCTCTCTGTTTCTGTCTCTCTTCAAATTCATGTATAGTCAGACAATGAACCGGTCACGTGACTCGGATTCTCTTTCAATTTTTGAACTCGTTTTTCTTCTACCTTCTTCTTCCTCTTCAACATTACTGATCTTTCCCATCTTATATAAATGCGATGGAGGATGAGCAAGGCAAGGATAACCAACAAGACATTCCTGCAAACTATAATTATACACCCAATTAGCTTATTAATCACCCACACTGTTTAATTGGATCCATTAGAGATCTGTAGAGTATGTAGGAGTGAATCAACACCTGATCATCCACTCTTTCATCCGTGCAAATGTTCTGGCAGTATTCGATTCATTCATCAAGACTGGTGGGTGCATTTATATAAATTTATTTATTTATTTAAATATTCTTGATAAAGTGCACGATTTACTCTCTCTCTTCTTCTTCTCATTGACACATTAACTAAACCACGACAACTTTTAACTAATCTTTATTTCAATATAAATTTACAGTCTTAGTGAATGGCTCACTCACAGTAAAAAAGAGTAAGTTTCCTCTCTACTAAAAATCCATTAACAATAATAATAAGACACAGTACTTGAATTAATTTTATTAATTAATTTTGACTTGATTAATCATTTCATGATCGTCTTGTTTTATTAATACTTGTATATATATACATACATACAAATATATATATATATATGTCCATATATTTATCTATTTATTTACTCATATATCATATAGCTATTGCGAATTATGTGAATATCGGTTTACATTCACACCAATCTACAAAGAAGACATGCCAAGACGACTTCCTCTCAAAGTCCTCTTTCGACAATTCTTTTATCGACTGGGCTCGCTGATCAAAACACTTCTCCGGGGTCTCATCGTGACTACGGTTTGGTTGATCGTCCTGCCTTTATTTACTCTCTGGACCTGGAGACTCTGTTTCTGGACAGGAGAGCGCATTGGATACACAAATGATCCAAACAATGGAAATTTGCCCGAAAATCACCCGTCTCAGCAGAACACAACATTTGTAGAAACGTCTCCTTCTTCATCTTCTCCTGGATTCAATTTCGAGACCTTCTTTACTAATCCTGGATCAGCCTGGAGCTTTCTCAACAAAAGGTAAAAGTCAATAAGAATAATGAAATTAAAATAATGAAATAAAATAAAATAAAATAAGCATAAATTTAAAATTACATTAAAAGACAAAAGATAAAAGGGGGGGAAGAAGTTTTGTGGGTAGAAGAAGAAGAAAACAAGAAAAAGGAACAAAAGAGATGCGTGCTTTTTGCTATTAAAGGTTCAATAGAACCATATTTATTTGCACATCTGTCCATCTGTGCGTGCATGCTTTTCTTTTTGCTCTTTTCTTTTTTTGTGATTGTGTTGTCTGACAGCTCCCTAATTTTCGGGGCAAAATCCTTTTTTTTTATATATATATACATATATACATATATACACATAAAAAATTATATTATATTACATTATATTATATTATATTATGTATAAAAAGGGGGTTTTGGACCGATTGCTTCGAGGGTCAGATCATTACTGCCTCTGTAGTCGTCGTATTTGTCACTGCCTATCTTTTCAGGGAGTGGGTGATCCAAAACATGCCTATTGAAGAAGAACCTGATATGCCTGATCAACTCATGGAGTTTCCGCAACCTGTCAGAATCCCACCTAGAGATCACATTCCAAATCACCAACAATTACTTCAAGAGCAACAGCAACAACAACAGCAACAACAACAACAACAACAACAACAACAGCAACAACAATTTGCAGTCGAAACCTTAGTAGACGCAGTAGATGCATTGCGTGCCCGGGATAGAGAAAATCATTTTAATCAACATCAGATTGATCGTGTTCAACCTCAATTGCAACAGATCTGGGCAGAACTTGACGAACTTAGAACACCAGGCAACCGTAACAACAACATTAATATTAATAACAGTATCAATAATTCTAATCATCATAATCAAAACAACAACAACCAAAGTCGCCACAGTAGCCCTGGATATGATTCTGAATTGGATAATGACGCCGAAAGACACCAACAGCATGACAATAGAAGCATCCGTGAAGAATCTCCTTTACTCCACGGATATCCAACCGAAGAAGACAACCAGAGAGACAGGCGTCAAGAGCACAAGGCTAATGCAGGCGGAGTCCAGCCCAGCCGACAATCGTCTTCTGGCCTTCACACTACATCTACATCTACATCTACATCTACTTCTGCATCCACATCCACCACCGCCGGACGTTGGGATTACAATGGACACAACTGGCCAAGTGGATCTCAACTGCCACCCCCAAGCCGCTTTTATGAGTACCTTGACGACATGGACACCCAACCCGGAAGCAGCAGCACATCTAGTCGTGGCAATGCGAGTGTAGACACAGCAGCAGCCTATGGAGTAAGCGAACATGACATGTTCTCGGACGGATCACACCATAACATCAATAGTAACAGTAACAGTAACAGTAACACCAGCACTAGTACTAGCAGCAGCAGTAGTAGTAGCAGCAGCAGCAGCAGTAGCAGCAGCAGTAGCAACACCAATGATGATGATCACGATGACGACGACGATGATAACAATGTTGGTAGACAATTTGGAATACATAATGCTCGACATCTTCAAGGACTTGAAAACATGTTACGTCACACAAGCAACGGCAACGTCAACAACAACAACAACAACGTTGGTGGCGGTGCTGTTGATAATGATGGATGGGAAAGAGATCAAGGACTGAATATTGATCGCTTTAGAAACCGCGATTTGTTTGACGATGAAGGGTTCCCGCTACCTGAGCTTATTCGACAGAGAATATATGGTCGGATGCCTGGTAACCAGCATAGAACTGAGCTGAACCAACAACCTGAAAACGTTATGATCGATTTTGGAAGCAACAATATCAACCATGTCAACAATCTCAACAATCTCAATAACATCAATAGCTTCAATCGTTTCAATAACCTGAATAACCTTAACGATCTAAACGATTTGAACGATTTGAACGATCTGAACGATCTGAACGATCTGGAAAATCTGGACAATCTGGACAATCTGAACAATCTGAACAATTTCAACAACGATATGAATGGAAATGCCGCCGCTGCCGCTGCCGCTGCTGCGGTTGATGATGATGATGATTTTCAAAGGGAAGATGAACCATTTGATATGGGTGAAGGGCTTGATGGAATTCTAGAGGCAATCGGCATGCGTGGAAACCCTTGGATGCTTATTCAAAACTCGGTATTGATGTCATTGATGATCAGCTTGTGTCTTGGTGTTGCTGTTTGGATCCCATATGTACTCGGTCGCTTGCTGATTTTGGTACGTACCTTTTTCTTTATATAAATTATCTCTCTCTCTGTATGCTTTTATTAATCATTGATATTATGTTCTTTATGGATTCAACTTTTATCATTATTATTAAATGAATAGATTCGACCCATCAGCTTTATCCAAACTCCAATTTATATTATGCGTCTCATTACAGATCCATTAGTGGACTTTACTCTTGACAGAGTACTTCCGGCCGTTGTGTCTCTCTCCGAAAACTCAAAGTCTACCGATTCTCCAGACGTAGTTATGATCTTTTGGGAGACTGTAAAGACGTTTTTTGAAAAGGCAATCAAGATCATTATGGAAATCATTGGATCCAACGGAGAAAATCACCAATACGACCACGACAATAGCCACGACCATAATCTTAATCTTAGTAGCAACCAGCAATCCACAATTGCAGGTTTGATAGCCTTTGAAACCGGCATTCCGGATCTTTCGATGATTCAAGAGAAAGCAGAAATGATCGTCAGCCTTGCTCTCAAACGGTGGCACCAATTTGCAGTTGAACAGACCGGTATTGACCGAACAGTGTGTGTTTTGGTCGGATATGTGATTTTGGTTCTGTTTGGTTCCTGGTACCTCTCAAGAAGACAGCATGGCTCTCTGACCAGAAGAGGAGGAGCTGCTGTCGGTGCTGGTGCTGGTGCTGAAAATACATTGGAAGAAATCCTGAACCAACAAGGAATCTTTTTAAAGGTCGTGTGTTTTATTGGAATCGAACTGATTGCATTCCCAATTGTGTGCGGAATTTTACTTGACATCTCGACTCTTCCGTTGTTTGCCAATGCCTCGCTTGCCACTCGTCTGGCGTTCTACCGGACCAACCCGTTGTCTTCTTGCTTCCTGCACTGGTTTGCTGGTACAGGATTCCTGTTTCACTTTGCTGCGTTTATTGGACTATGCAGAAAGGTTATCCGGCCAGGTGTCCTATGGTTCATCCGTGATCCAAATGACCCCCAGTTCCATCCAGTGCAAGAAATGGTCGATCGCCCAGCGGTGACACTGTTCCAGAAGATCAGTCACAGCGCAATGATGTACTCTATCATGGTTCTTGTTGGAGTGGGAGTTCCAACCTATGCAATCGGGCACTATTTTGATGTGTATCCTCTTCGTTGGTCATTCGAGTAAGTTAATGATTTAATTGGAAACCTATACACACACACATATATATATATATAATGTATATAGGTGTTTTCTTGTGCGTGTGTGTAAATTGGGTTTATTATCTTTATTATTAACAAACCAAACCAAACCAAAAAAAAAATTCTGCCTTTTCCCTTTTTTTTTCTTTCTTTCTTTCTTTCTTTATTTAGTATTCCTTTGTCTACATTGGCTGTGGACCTTGTGGGACTTGAGATGATTTTGCCGCTTATTGTGCAACAGATCAATGGCCAAGACATTGCCAAGGATTGCTTGTTGGTTTGGTGGCGCGTTGTGTCTCGGTCGCTTAGACTGTCTTCGTTTATGCTGGGTGGTAGATACCCTGAGGAAGAGGGACGCCATGTGAGAAAGACCTTGATGGCCTGGCTATTGTTCAAGAAGGCAAGTGTGCCAGAACATGGATTTTCCGATGTGACTATCTCAAACCCAACAAACAACAACGAAAGGGGAAGAAGAGCAGGCGAAAACGAAAATGAACATGAATATTATGAAGGCTATGAGAACAATGATGATAGTGTTGTATTCGAAAAGGACGGAATGTTGGTCAGAGCACCAAAATTGGATGGAGTTCCTGTGGTTCCTGATCAGTCGATGCTTGTACCTGTGGACCCTGTTACTTTCGAGGCCATTGATGAAACCGAACGATTACGAGGACACCCTGCAGCATCTGGGTCTGATAATCAAGATGCAACCACTACAATTGTCTACATTCCATCACACTTTAAAGCCAGGGTAAGTTTAATGATGATGAAAATCATTACTATTATAAGGTGTGGTTTGTTGGTTATAACTTTTATTGATTTATATATATATATATATAAAATTAGGTTATTTTATTCTTGATTCTTTTGTGGATCTCAATTTGCATTGTTTTGGCTACCTTGACTATTGGGCCACGTAAGTCAATAATGATAATAATAATGATAATAATTGTTCTTATTTTGAAACAACAACAACGACAACAGAAAAAAGAAGAAAATTAGAGTATTGACATGTTTGTGCTTGTGTGCTTGTGCTTGTGTTTGTGCAGTTGTTTTGGGTCGACATTTGTTTAGTGCTTATTTTGCACCTAATACTAGGGTTCACGATCTGTACTCATTCGGACTTGGGGCATCCATTTTACTGGGTATTGCTGGTGCAGTTAAGACTGTGTTGGGATACCATGAATATTTCCAATCAGCCTCGGCTGCGGATAGAATTGAGTCTGTCAGGAAGTTGTGTATTACGGTAAATTATTTATTTTATTATTATTATTATTATTATATATATAGATATGTATTCTTAGTTTTCTTCTGATTTTCTAGGTTACGGGATTCCTATACTTGGGAATTGTGCTGGGTGTTGTTACCCCACTCTTGTTAGGAATTCTGATTGAATTATATGTGTTTATCCCAATTTCATGTGTCAAGGCCAATGATCCCATTACTCTATACATATCACAGGTAAAGAAAATAGCAAAAAGGAAGAATGCTAATAATAAGAAAGAAAGAAAGAAAGAAAGAGAGGGAAAAGGGATTAGACTTGGGAAAAAAAAGAAGGGAAAAGCATATATATATATATATATATTAATTAAATACTTTCTCTCTTTTTTTTTTTTACTCACACACACAATATATATATACAAACTTATATAATACAAATAGGATTGGCTTTATGGCGTCGTCTACATGTGTATAGCACGCGGGACGATCTATGTGCTACCCAACAACCGCTGGCAAAGACGGTTGGATCAGATATTTGGAAATGATCCTATGCAGCTGAACCCATGGGTTGTAACACGGTCAATTGCAGCACCAGTTGTCATGGCAGCTGTGGCAGCAATTGCTGTACCTGGCATAGTGGCATGGGGGCTGACACAGCTTTTAGGTAACTTTAAACTTGACTGACTTATAGTATATACATCTACATAATCAACAAAGAAAAGGCAAAGTATTAATATCAATGTCTCTCTTTCTTGTTTATTCATTTATTTATTTATGTATATTAATATAAAAAGGCGATAAGATTGACCAACTCGTTCTATTGCGCTTCATCTATCCTGCCGTCCTTTTGCTGCTGGTTCTAGTTGGGGCTTGGATACTGTGTGCCAGATTACTGAAAGTTTGGTTGCGTGTAGCCAGAGACGATGCTTACCTTGTTGGAAAGCAACTTCACAACTTAGATAGCCCAAGAGTAGAATGAAACAAAATGTAACGAAACAGAACGAAACGAAACCAAAAGAAACAGAATGAGATGGAGTTAAATAAGTAAATAAGTAAATGAATAAATACATGAATAAAAAAATTATTATTAATAATACACATGGTCGTGTGGGGTTGTAACAAAACACATAATGTTTAATTAGCTAGTTAGTTAACTATACACCATGAAACACATTTACACCCTCTATCTTATTCACTTCACACAAAAGGGGGGGCTCAAGAATACTAATATGTATATATTGAAACGTTTCAAAAACTATTCACATATTTAAACAAACAAACGTACGATGTGATGTGTGTGTGTGTGTATTTTAATGTAATTCATTGTCGTACAAAACCAATATGACTACACACAAAAAACAAAACAAAAAAAACAAAAAAGTTACAAGGATGAGAATCGCCACAGTTCAGCAGAATAAAATAATAAGGAGAAAATGGACCCCATGATTCATTTAATGAATCTCCTATTTGATCCCATGAGTAGGACACTTTTTCTTGCCTATAGTCGGGCCGGGGAAAAATCGTCAATTCCAAAAAAGAAATCTGATTTCTTTTTTCGCTAATCTAGTCGATTTTCCTCTTGCTCAAATTAGCAGCCAACTTTTATCGACTAAATTATCCAAAAAGTTACCAGTTATTTTCTGATCCCAAGATAGATTAAAATAATATTGAATTTATTTGTTGCTATTCACCCTTTCTTCTTTTATTAATTGTTAAAGAAAAATAAGTAATACCCACATTCCCTAATTATTCAAAGCTTACAGGATAACATCCAGTACATAAAGAATACGGTCCATAACTATATAAGACAGATATGCCTTTCCCAGACATCTAGGCGATATGGAATAGTATAATATTTTAGAATAAGCACTACAAATATATCAAGTTTTTGTGGAATAAGATATCTTACAAACGTATTCACAAGTCATATACCATTATCCTCATATATCGATCAAACCATACACAAAGATATACCAAAGTTGATCTCTTTCTTTCTATCTGGAGCCCAATGCTTGAAGCTCTTCCCCCCCTTAGAATACATTGACTCGAGTATGGTTTGGATTATTTAGATTGTTGGTCTACGTTGCAGTTTATCTAGTATTTATCCTAAGAACTCTTGTTTATATGCTATTATGCTTCTGTTCCTCATTAATTGTACCATTCAGTTAAAAAGGCTTTAAAAAAAAGACTGCAGTAAATCAATCCAATGGCTATTAAAGATAGTAGAGCATCTTTTAGAGATATATCGTTCCAGTTATTAAGAATAGCATTAGAAAAGGCTCCAATATAACATTTAACAGAAGAGAAAACCAGCAAAGCTACCTAAAAATTGGCTATATGAGCAATCTTTACTACACTACCGCTTATAAGCAATGTCACATAATCGCTATTGTTTATGTTTGGTGCTTATATTACTTCCTCCATCATTAACCAATCGAGTAAAAATATGACTAGGTAAATTTAAATATAAATACGAGAACAATACTTACGGGGATAGGGTTTTTCTTTATAGACGCTACAGCAATATATTTAATAATCCTGTTCGCCAGCGTACGTCGTTAAATATCAGGTTAATTCAACCAGATAACTGATGGAAAAAAATGCTTTATATAGTAATTTATTTAACTCCGTGTGGATATATTTGTCAGCTACATGATAGAAAAAAACACCATATATTGACCTGGTAATTGGAAAAATTCTAAAATAAGGATTTTAATTACCAAAAGCAATGTACTAATCTACCTCGCTTACAAGTCCCACTTTCTAAAAGTAAATGTAAAATAAACCACTACCAAAGTATAAATACCAACAAGGTATTTTAGTAATACAATAAAATGCGGAGGCTGAGTAATCGCAGGGTAGTTATCTGGTTGAATTAACCTGATATCTAACCGCGCACGCTGGTGAACAGTATTAGTAAATAGAATCACACACTCGCAAATACTTGTATACACGTCTATACACAAATATATTCAGCGATAGGTATAATGAATAGTAATAGTAATGATGGCTCTTTTCTCTTCCTTTATATAATATATATATATAAAAGATATTTATCTATGTTACTATTATATTTGATAATCTTTGTGGGGTGTGGAATCTTATTATTCTGTCGTTAGGATAGTAAATTACAGCTGTTTTGACTCGTATAGTTTTTATACTTTATTATTATTTAATATATATCATATATATATTTATAATATAAATTTAAACATTTATAAAATTTTCAAATCCTTTGTTCTTCTTCTTCTTCTTCTTTTTCTTCTTCTTTTTTTTCACTATTATTTTTCATATTTAAAATAATCAAAATATATATTTACACATTAATTTTAAATTTAAATTTAAATTTTATTTTATTTTATCTCATTTTATTTCATTTCATTTCATTTCGTTTGTAAGTACAAATTTCTCTTAAACCTCTTCTTCCTCTTCTTCTTTATAGACCAAAGAAAGAAAGAAAAAAGCAAGATTATTTCAAGTTTTAACATTTATTTGTAAATAGGTTGAATTTATTTTATATAATTAGATATAAAAAAAAATTACAACTAAAATCAAGTCAAATCAAATCAAATTATATCCAATAATATACAATAACACAAGAAAAGACAAGACAAAACAAGACAAAAAAAAACAAGAAAAAATGAGCACCTATTCAGAAGTAAATCCTTTGTACAATCATCACCTTCGTCGTGCAAGGCACACAAAGAGTTATCACCATTCAAACCAAAGCAGCAATAATATCCACAATAATGGCACCAATATAATAATGGCACCAATATCATCACCATTGCCAGCGCCTGTACCAGTACCAGCGCCAGTACCAGTACCAGTACTAGCACCACCAGCATCAGCATCACCATTATCATTATCATCACACGGAAACCCAGTTTATCATCCCATGAGCCCGGCCTCAGGGATACGAGGAGGGGGAGAGTCACAAGAAAAACACAGGACACCGACACATTTTATCCCAACCCCAACCCACCACTATAACTATAATTATAACCATAGCAACCACAGCAACCACAGCAACCACAGCAACCATAGTAACCATAGTAACCACAGCCAAATTCCATCGTCTATGGGTCTGTCTTCCTCCTCCCCATTATCATCCTCATCACCAGGAACCACAATCACGCGTTCATCAAATCCGATTCCTCATTTACGCTCTCCTCCTTCCCCTTCTCCTACTTCTTATCTATCGCCACCACACCAACAGATTCTGTCATCCACCATCACCACACCAACACCAACAGCATCAAACCTAAACTCAAACCTAAACTCAAATGGACTCTCATTCTCGCTTTCGCTCTCAAATTTGAATTCAAATTCGACTTCGAATTCACTTTCGCTCTCGAATAGCTCGTTTTCCCTTTCAAACTCTACATGGCTTATTTTTATGGACGAGAAATGGATTCCGTTCGACGTTCCAAACCAAGCCAAATTGGAACACACTCTTTCACTGGGTGGAACCTTTGTGGATATCACCGACTCCCACTTCCCAAACGTCAAGCGTGTGCGAGTATTCCCCAAAAGCAGCTATCTCAGCTATCTTGGCGTAAAATACAGACTGTCTCGCATCATAGAACCCGATGCCTGGCTAGACCATGCAACTCTCCAGAGAGATAGAGACAATCTAGAGGCCAAGTCAAAAGGAGGAAGCTCTGAAACACCAGATCCTAAGCTCTGGAGCATCATCCACTCCTTTGGATCACTTGGATCACCTTTGGCCACCTTATAAAAACAAAGACAGAAAGATAAAGAAGAAAAGAGAGCGAGAAAGGAAAGAAGAAGAAGGAATGAAAAGAGAAAGAAAGAAAGAAAGAAAGAAGAAAAAAGAGAAAAGAAAAAACGATAATGATAATGATAATGATAATGATAATGACAGTGACAGTGACAGTGACAATGACAATGCCAACGATAATAGTAATATTAATATTAATATTAATATCGATATTGATATTAATGATGATGATGATGGTAGTACTGATGATAGACTTATAGACAAAGTAAGAGAAGAGGAGGAAGAAGATATAATAATGGCTGATAATTATTATCAATACTATTATCAGCATCATCATCATTATCATTATTAATATTATTATTATAACCCTTTTTATATATATATTTTTCTTTAATTTTTGCACAAAAACTTTTCTTTGTTTCTTTCTTTCTTCTTACTTTATATCCTTTATACCTGTAGACCACCCCACATCTTTTACCTTCATACTTACCCTTACCTCCACACACTCTCCTTTTATGTTATCTTATTTTTGTACATCTTCTTATTCTTATTCTTTTGATTGAATTTTGTCGTAATTGTATTTTTATGTATCTGTATGTATGTATTTGCTGTAGTACAGTGTACGAGTGTAAGAAGAGAGAGAGAGAGAGAGATAAAGAAGGAGGCAGAGGAGGAAAAGAGATATAATATACAACAAATACTAGACTACACTCTACACATCACATTATATAAAATACATACATACATATATATATATATTACCTTTTCTATTACTACTATTATTACTACTATTACTATTACCCTTATTGTTATCCTTATATTACCATACACACACACACACACACACACACACATACATACATACATACATACATACATACATATATATATATGTATGTATGTATTTTATATATACACAAGTATTTTCTCTCTTGAACACTTTAATAACAAATCTATATATATATATATATATATAACGGTTGCATAGTTTTTGAATATATACGTATGGCAAAGAAGTATTTACATATATTATTATTAAAGTATTGCCTTGAGAGGTAGAAATAGACAAACAAAAAGAGAGAGAGATGATAAACGGAGTTTCCCATTAAAGATTTCCTATCTTGTCAGCTGATAAAACTCTCTTTTCTCTCCCTCCTCTTCTTCTCTCTCTCTCTCTTTCTGTAAATGTTGTTACTACTAGCTTCGTTAAGTCTCGTAAAAAAAATAAGCCTAAAGCTAAATATAATTATATTTTACAATTAAAGTAATTACATCAATTAGAAGCATAGTCATTACTACTGTTGTTGCTGTTACAAATTATTATATGATATTTAATAAACTATATTTATTTATTTATTTATTTATTTATTTATTTATTTATTTGTTTTGAATACAAATCACAGTCATGAAAAAAAAAGAAACTTTTTTTTTGCTATGTGTATATAGATATATTGTGTATTGTATTGGTTGGTAGGTTGCTAGGTTGCTAGGTTGCTAGGTTGCTAGGTTGGTTACACTATCAAAACAGGTTACACGTATCCAAATTAAATATAAAAAATAAATAAATAAAAAAATATAAAATAAATAAAAAAAAAAAAGAGAGAGAGAGAATAAAGGCACGGGTTACAATCATAATAATAATAAAAGGTTTTAGGTATGTAAAACAGGTAGCAGGCCACGTGTAGAGTACATTGAATATAATATAATATAGAATGATATTGATAGGGATAGTGATAGTGATAGTGATCAATAAGCCACCTTGTAGAACAATGACCATTTATTTATTGGAATCTCATACAATATTGTATTCACTTCCAATACATACAGAAGCACTCTTTTTTTTGTATGTTTTTAAAATAAAAATTAAAATATATATATAAATAAATATATTACACGTTGCCTCGATGTGCCGTGGTTCCGGCTAATGTGCTACGGCGTGTCACCGAGGCACACGATACAACGTTTGTTACGGAAAGAAAGAACGAAGGAAAAAGAAAAAGAGAAAAATCTTACTTCCGTTCCATTCCATGTTCCTTCAATCATATATATATATATATATATATATATACAGTGTAGTTAGATGGCTTATATAGTAGACTACATAAGGCTATATAATTTATCTTGAGCGTGCAATTCTACGAGCACCAGGTTCTTTTGTAGTAATAGATGATTATAGTAATAGTATATTCAGACTATTATATTTTATTCAATTCAGTTCAGTTTAATGGTATCTATATGTACAGTGTGTTTATTGGTAGATTGACTTGCTGATTGAATTTATCTATTTTTTTATTTAATTTATTTATATATTATAAATGATAGTAATAGTAATAGTAATTCTCTGTCAATTTTGGCGCCACAGTGCCACGCTTTTCGACCCTATAGTATTGGTATTATTATTTTCAATTATTTTATCAAAAAATACGTATATGAATAAGAATATCCATAAAGCTATATAGCTATGTATAAATTTGTCTTTTGACAATTGAGCCTTACTCGATTATGATTGTATTACCAGAAAATAATAATAATTAAAGACAGCAATAGAAAAACGTGCAGTTTTTGGGAATTGAACAGACTGTTTATTATTTATTTTATATGTATGTGCCAAAAATAAATAAATCGTTCGATTATGTACTTCTTTTTTTGTATTTGCTTAGGGTTAGTATCATTAGTACACTTTTGGTATTTATTCTGGGCTGGGTATCGCAAGGCACAGACTGAAAATAATGTAAGAAATATCGATACAAACCTATTGAACGGACGATGAATATGTGAGGAACGTGCACTATATTAAAATACATAAACAAATGAAAGAATAAAAGGTGTCTTACTAATACTGTAAAAAATGGTAGTGATGGTATTAAGCAATGTACATAATATTCATTCATCTATATATCTATTTTGAAATGCCTGTACTTCTTGTTTCAATAATATAAATTACTCTTTAAAGCCAAATTCAATTCAATTCAATTCAATTTGATTCGATACGATACAATACAATACAATACAATACAATTTCTGGTTTTTGGCTTGTACATCCTAATTCCCTGCACTCATCTCACAACGTGGCTTACACTTTATTCTTATTTTTTACGAGATTGTGAAACTCTGGAAGGAAAAAGAAAAAGGGAAGCAGTCAATCTAGGACAGTCTATTTGACTATGTAAGCAACTCCTACGTACATAGATACATTCAGACAGACAATCATAGACACAGGCATAGACATATGCTTACGAATTGTTTGGTAATACTCTTGTACGATACAAATAATCCGAGATCGGCAGTTGTACGTGTGTGTGCATGTATATATATATATTGCCCAAATGCAACAATACAATACAATAAATAAAGATCTCTCTCTCTCTCTCTGTTTTTGTACGCTTATTTGGAATCTACCAGAACAGGAAGGAACCCATCACTTTTCCCCCAATTCACAATAGAATATTACACTCACTGTTCTGACGACGCTCTTGAATACAAATATATATAAATATAAATATACATATACATATGATTACAAAAGAAGAAGTGGGAATTTCATCACACCATTGAATACTTGGATCAAATTGAATCGAATTGAATTGAATGAAATCAAATCAAATTGAATTGAATAATACTGGAATAATTATTTTCTTTATTCCTTAAAACTTACAATAATCTAGTAAGCAAACAAACAAACAAACAAAACATTTCATCATCTTATAGTCTTCATTTGTTTAACGACTAAATTATTTACCGGGCCAAGGGAAAACAATAAAAAAAACGCTATACATTGTATGTGTGTTTGTAGTATAAGTGCAAGTCTAATGAGTATAAAGAAGAATAAGCATTAAAAAAAAAAGACTTTAGACTCGATTTGGCTTATGTGTTCCTCTTGAATATCATCATCATAGACATCATCATCATAGGCATTGAAGTCATTAATACTATTTCCGGTGCAAAAGTATTTGAAAACTTAATAGAATACAAATATTTATATATAGTTATGGGACAATCAAAATCAAAATCAAAATCAAAATCAAAATCAAAATAAATATAGATATTTCTTATACAATTATACAACTATATATATACCCTGTACACAAATTGTGCGCGCACACACATACACAAAGAAAGGTGAATATTACAGGCATCATTACTATGATATATTTACACTATAGAAGAAAGAAGAGAAGAATAGAATAGAAGAGATGAGAAAGAATGATTATAATTGTATTAGAGTACAAGAATCTTTGTATCATTTAATCTTTCATTATGAATGGTCCACTAGACTTTGGTAGGTCCAAGTCAGTAATGAATTTTTTAGACTAAAGTGTGTGGACCAATGAAATATCAAATTAGAGCAATCTATTTTGGATATTTTTATTTTTAATTATTTTTTTAATTTTTATTTTTGGTGTCTATATAAAAACTACTGCTCTCTTCATTTGTCGTTTGTTCTCTTGCTACGGCCTCGAAACAAACAAAAAGACCAAAGGCTACCGAATCTTTTTTTTTGTTCTTTTCTTCCTCTACTTTACTACTGCACTACTTGCCTATTACCTTTCTCTAAGACCATAATTATAATATATATATTATATCCATATATAAAAATCCGTCCCTTCCCCCCCCCCCCCCCTTTTTTTTATCCTCCATTTATAAGCCCCAGAAACAAACCTGAACCAAAACCTTCATTCACTGTATCTCAAATTCACAGACGAACAGACGAATTTTTAATTATCATGCAATTCAACCCAATAACCTCACCTACCGGCTACGCTACCAACCAAACCTATACTCTCAATGATTCTTATCTTGGAATCTCGGACCAACCTAATCCGATACCCCTTGCAGTAACCAAATCTACAATAACCGCAAACGCAAATACAAACGCATATACAAATACAAGCACAAACACAAATACAAATGCAAGCGAAAATACAAATGAAAACCCAAATAGAACAAACACAAATGATACCGCTGCTGCAGCTGTAAATGCAATCACAACTGCAGCCGCCACCGCCACCCCAAAGAACGAAAAACCCAAGCGTAAACAGGTCAAGAACGCATGTGGTAATTACCCTTTTTTCCTTCTTTTTAACAATAGAACATATGTCACACAGGGGAAATTTCCGTCTCGGCATTTCGACTTATTCATACAAACTGTGTTCCAGCAACCAATTAACTAACTAAAAAAAACGCCTTCCTCCTTCCTTTCTTCTTTCCTTCCTTTCCCCCCCTCTTTTTTTTATACATAAATGTATTTTAGTCAATTGCCAAAAAGCATGTAAAAAATGTGACGATGGAAGACCGTGCCAAAGATGTCTTAAACTTGGTTTGACTCTAACATGCTCTAATTCCGAACGTAAAGAACGTAAAAAGGGTATGAAGCGTGGTCCATACAAGAAACGACAGAGACAAACCTCTTCGTCTTCTATATCTTATGATCAAGGTAAGCATAATAAAACAACAAACAATAAATAATGAAATAAAATCTCACATTATTATTATTTTTATTTTTATTTTTATTTTTATTATTTATTTTTTCAAGGTTCCTACATGGCAAATGAATGGTATCCTAACCATGGATATACAGCTCCCTCGTGCGCGGTACCGATAGCCCGAGAAGCGCAAAAGAGAGAACCAACTCTCTGGTTAGAAGAACAGCAGCATCAAGTGTACCCGACCCTTTCGACTGAAGAAAGTGCTCTGGTACATGCATTTCCAATGTTGGACACCGGCTACATTCAGGCCTCAACCACCCCTTCACTTGCCCAGTCCTCGCCTCTCTCTAGCCCTCACTCGGGTGACGAGGCTTACCAGATCTATCCCGGATCAACCTCTCCTATTTCACTTGTGTTCTCTCAGGGACAATCAGACTTCTGTGCTGCAACTCAACCACCTGCTACTGCCACCACTACTACTACTACTACTACTACTAGTGCTGCAGCTGGAGCTGATTCTGGAGCTATTACTAGTACCACCGCCACTACAGGTACCATTGTTGGCGTTGAGGTAACCCCCAATGAAAACTGGTGGATGCCGGCAACAACGACCACTGACCAGACAACCAAAACAGCCAAAACAACCAAAACAACAACAATAACAACGACGCCTTACCTCGTCCAACCCACCACAGAATCTACCCCTGGTTTTGTCCCATCATACTCACTCGGGCCCATCAGTCCAGTCATCAATGGCGTCACATTTGAACTTCCCATATCTCTTCCTGTGACATCTTACCAAGATAATATTATTATTACTCAACCAATGTATTATTCCCACCAACAACAGCCACAAAATTATCTACAACAACAACAACAACAAAATTATCAACATCCCGTAAAGGAAATCATGCCTTGTATTGATGTTCCTTCTCAATCATGGCTTGATCAGCTTATTCAACCTATTCAACAGTTACAACAGCCACAAAATTATTATCAAATCCAACAAAATAATTTTTATCAGCAGCAGCTAATGCAGCAACAACAACAACAACAACAGCAACAGAAACATCAACAAAACACTTGGCAATCATCTATGGGCACTCGCTTCTAGAAAACCAATACCACCCAAAAAAAATCAATAATAATCATAGTACTATAATTCCACTCAAGCACAAGGACAAGCCCCCCTTTTCTCTTCTTCTCACTTTCACTCTCGCTCGCCCTCTCCATCGTACAGACCTTGACTTTGTTAATTACCACCGCAACCAATAACAGCCATAACAACACCGACCTGAAAAAAAAGAAACAGTACATATATATATATATATAACATCAGCAACGACAAAACCATTACGAACCTCTTTTAATTAATGCCATTCTTCTCTTAACTCCATTTCTTTTCTTTTTGTTCTTATGCCCTTAATATTTCTCTTTTCTAAATCTTCTTTACAGCATTATACTCTTTGTTTACTGTACATACATCACACATTCTTCTATTATTATTTGTCATCTCTTTACTAGGCTTCATTTTCTTTTTCTTTCTTTAATTACCAAAAAAACCCCCAAAAATTCCTTTTATATTTTGTACTCATTTATTAAAATAATATTAATATTAATATTAATACCAATACTGTTATTGTTTAATGCTATTGTTATTCGTATTAACTATTAACTATTATTCTCACGACTTGACTTGACTTGACCTGCTTTGTCTTGTCGTCTATGTTTTTCTTATTTTACTCTTCTACCTTAACATGCAATTACTTTTTATTATTTCACTCTCTTATTTTTATATATAAAAATCTACTGTTAGACAAACAAAATTTTTTGTTTTTTTTTTTCTTTTTCCTTTCACTTCATCCCATTTAGACCTTTACTCTTATTATTATTATTACTATTATTATCCATATTCTTTAATTTCATATACATAATATCATAATATCATATACATAAAAAAAAACAGTTGAATTGCACCTCTTTATCTCTCAATATATTTTTATGTATATATACATACATCTTTATCTAAAAATATCTTGGCAATTTGGTTGGATTTTCCTTTTTATATATATAAAATGTATTTATAGAAATGTTTCAAATAAATTTTATAATCATAATTAAAATTGAAGAAAATTATTATTATTATTATCTTTCTTTTTTTTTATATAACTCTCGTTGCTATGACGACAAAATCTCAATAATAAGTTTCTAAAAAGAAAAAGCTCTATTTAAGCAAGATATACATGCACGCACAACATACGTACAACATCACACGCACGCACGCACGCACGCACGTACAACACACACATACACAAAAATATATTAGTGAATTTAAACCAATCATATTCCTTAAAAACTAGTCTTTAGCTCTCTTGATTGGGTCATTTTAATGTCATTTCTGTTTATATACAGTTTTTTCTTTTAAAAAAAAAGATTTATCCCTTTTACAGTGTATTCAATTGAATCGCAGCTTTTATTTTATTTTATTTTATTTTCAGGCACAAATCCTTCATTTTTTTTTTTTGATCATTTTCAACAGTTGACAATGATATAGTTATAATTGTTACTGCTACAACTGATAATGATAATAATTATCACAATATATTTGTAATTGAATTACTCGAATGTTTAGTATCGTAAATTTGTTCCTTTATTGTTATATATTTCATATTTTGCATTATTTATTTATTTTTAAAAAAAAATTTTTTTAGTTTATCAGTACAATATTACTATATGTAAAATTAAAGGCGGGGAGGAGGATATCACATTATCTGGAGTAATTCAATTTTATTTTATTTTTCTGGGGGAGTGGGAAGTTTATCTGCCAAATAAATGTATACATATATAAAAGATAATAATAAAGCCGGTATAGGGCTAGAAAACAGTGCTAAAATGGCAATACTAATAATAATGGTGTAGGCTACACTACGGAAAAAATAAATAAAGACAATGTCACTTTGATTCGGTATATCAAGCCACACGGTAAATTATGCTTCTATGTATACTGCCGCAATAACACCCCCTAAAACTTAAGAAAACATTCGGTAAACTTATAATTGACTTGATTGAATTGATTTTCTTTATATATATAAAACACACAAGCAAAAGAAGAAGAAGAAGATGTTGGAATTGTGATTCTAAAATCGTAAATGTGTGTATGCGTACATTTTTGTTAAATAAAGAAAAGAAAACATTATTATTCTGACTTTTAAAATAAAATCTGGGAATTAAGTTTATAGCCAATGTGTTTTCTTTTTGGTTTATGATTAAAAAATTATAATTATTATTCCCGCATTGAAACCCCTCTCTATTGTGTTCTTTTATGACGATCTTTAACTAGCCTTTCTTTCTTTTCTTTGTCTTTTCCTTAATAAGAACATCCCTGACGTTATGTCTGAATATATCTATATAATTTTTTTTTATATAGATAACTTATTTAACTTCAAAAGAATATACAATCTATAAAAAAAAAATCAAATAAATAAGAATAAAAAACAAACATGTGGGTTCAGGCTTTGTTCTTATTTTTTTTTAACCTTTTTATTTTATCTATTTATCTTTACCTTTTGATAAGAAAGTTAACCCCCCCCCCCTTTCTCCCTTCAACCACTTGTACTTTACTCAGAAACCGATCAATAATACACTACAATATCCAAGAACCAAATCAAATCAAATCAAAAGATGACTCTATTTGTATGCGCAATTGACCAAGGAACCACGTCCACTAGATTCCAGATATTCAATCAGGAAGGAGCATTTGTCACATCACACCAAGAACAACTAAGACAGATTTACAAAAGACCAGGGTATAAAAAAATACATCGCATTATATATCTCTTATAGCCTGAATTTACTTTATTAAATTTTATTTAATTTAATTTGATCTAATCCAATTCAATTTCATATTACTTGTTTGTGGAGTAGGTGGATCGAACATGATCCAAAGGAGATTCTTAGATCAGTAGTTACATGTGCAGAAGAAGCAATCCGAAGATTCGAACTAATGGGCCATTCTACCAAACATATCAAGAGTAAATAATCAAAGCATAAAACATTTTGATTTGCTTATTCACAAAATATATAACAATTTGTCTTATTATTTCTGTTAGGCCTTGGTATCACAAATCAAAGAGAAACCACAATTGTGTGGAACAAAGATACGGGTGAACCTTTGTACAATGCAATCGTCTGGGGAGACACACGAACAAACAAAATAGTCCAACGCCTTCAAAAGAAGGATACGTCTAAACTTCAGAAAATGACCGGTCTACCACTGCACAATTACTTTTCGGCTCTCAAACTTGCATGGCTAATGAAACACGTACCTGCAGTCAAGACTTCTATAGAGAAAGGACAGGCAATGTTTGGGACGGTGGATAGTTGGCTTATCTGGGTAAAGTTTATTTATTATTTTAAAATATATATATAAATGTTAAATAACATATGCATATTAGAACTTGACAGGTGGACCAAATGGAGGTGCTCATGTCACAGATGTAACCAATGCAAGTCGAACAATGTTGATGAACCTTGAGACACGCGCATGGGATCCTATTTTACTAGAGTAAAGAAAGAAAAGAAAAAAAAAGAAACTCGTTTACAATAACACATCTTTATTAAACTAATCTTTTTATAAATATATATCATTTGTCTCCCCATTAGATTCTTCGGTGTTCCAGAATCAATCTTACCAGAAATCGTGTCTTCGTCAGAACATTATGGAGATGTTGAACTCATAAAGGCAATCAAAGGTTTACCTATCTGCGGCTGTCTTGGTGACCAGCAGGCTGCTTTTGTGGGCCAAAAATGTTTTGAGCCTGGCGAGATCAAGAATACATATGGAACCGGTGCATTTATGCTTCTTCATGTCGGAGACACTCCGGTCTGTTCCAAACAAGGTCTTATCTCAACCATTGGATACCAGCTAGGCCGCGATGGTCCGGTTGGGTATTGTCTAGAGGGGTCAATTGGCGTGGCTGGATCAGCTATTGAATGGCTCAAAGACAACATGGGTATTATTGAAAATGTAAAACAAGTAGATGAATTGGCTTCACAAGGTAAATTACATTCCTATATACACATACAATTGACTGCTTGATTTTCTTTTATTTATTTGTTTATTTGTTGGTTGTGTATTTCTTTGGAACTCCAGTTGATGATACAGGTGGCGTTGTGTTTGTAACTGCCTTCTCGGGTTTGTTTGCTCCTTACTGGCGTGACGACGCGCGTGGTACCATTGTCGGCTTAACTCAGTTCACAAATAAGTGCCATTTGACGCGTGCCACTCTTGAGGCTGCGTGTCTTTCAACACGTGCAGTTTTGACAGCCATGCGACAGGAAGGCCATGTTGAACTCAAGACATTAAAGGCTGATGGCGGTCTGTCCAATTCTGATGTGTGCATGCAACTCCAGGCAGATACACTGGGTATTCCCGTAGGCAAGTGATTTTCTTTGTACCGTTAGCTGTACCATTTGGTGTATTAATTATATATTATAGAGCGACCAGCTATGCGTGAGACTAGTGGGTTAGGAGCAGCATTTGCAGCTGGTCTTGGTTGTGGTCTCTGGAAAGACCTTGAAACTGTAAGATCACTGTATGTAGAGGGAGCTGATGTATTTGAAGCCGATATAAATAATAAAGGTAAGACAGAAGAGTAATTCAATTTGATTCTTACAGATATTTATATTTATAATATGTGTAATACTAATACTAATAATGATATCTAGATCGTGAAGCAAAGTATACAATGTGGGAAGAGGCTGTTAAAAGAAGTTATGGATGGACACAAGTTTACAATGATGACTCTGAATAATATTAATAAAAAAAAATACACTTTATAATAATACACTCCCAAAACTGAAATCACCGACAAAATCTTTGATTTCTACCCCCGAATAAACCATACATCAACTTCATTATGCTATATCTTCTCAAGAAGTTGACAAAATAAAACCAAACATTGTGTTGTTATAGAGAAATGTATATATATTATAGAATAAAAATAAAAAAATGAGGTTTAATATACGGTATGATCACCACGAGCTTTTATGACTGCTTTAACTCTGCCAGGCATACTTGCCACAAGAGTTTGCAGAACTTCAGGGTCAAGCAACTCCCATTCCTGAAGAATACAGGCCTTCAGCTCTTGCACATTGTTAATAGAGGCCTTTCTCTCTTGAACCTTGGCCTTTAGGGCATGCCAGACATGCTCAATTGGGTTCAAATCTGGACTTTGCGACGGCCAGTAGTCAAATCGTTTAATCTCCCAACGGTTTTTCCACCACGTCGTGTAGGACCCAGTATGACAGCTAGCACCATCTTCTTGGAATGTGAACACGGTGTCATGTTCTTCATTCAATTGTTTGTACCAGGGATTGAAGTCCTTAGACAGACAATTGACGTATGCATCTTGGTCTACAGATCCTTCGATAAACGATAATGGCCCAATGCCACCAGCCCAGAAACAACCCCATACCATCACGGAACCTTTTCCATACTTTTCTGTTGTTAGTGTATGGCGTTCCTGGTGCCTCTCCCATCGTTTACGAATTATGGATGGGTCAGAATCATTGCCTTTCACCATGAACCTCGACTCCTCTGACCACACCACTCTGCTCCAGTCTTCGATGCTAAAACTGGCCCTAGCTCTAGCCCAACGCAACCGATTCTTTTTCTGCTCACGGGTTAACTTTGGTTTAGATACAGGGGTGTAAGAACCGAAGCCTTTTGCTCGTAGGTATCGGATAACTGTCTGTCTACAGACAATAATGCCAGCAGCTCCCAAATTTGCCTGGTGGTATCCATAACTCTCAAAAGGATTACGTCTCACACTCAAACAAAGACTTGTAACGTCTGTTACACTAAGTTTCTTTGGTCTCCCAGGTCTGGTTTTTGTCTTGGCTGTTCCAGTAGTCTCCCAGCGCTTTATTGTATCGAAAACTGTAGTTCTAGGAATGTTCATACGGTTTGCGATGTCAGTTGGAGTATGATCAGCTTTTGAGAGCCAAACAATGCCTCCACGCTCAAAATCTGACAGCTCGCGTCTGGAGGGAGTAGTTTTAATTCTTTTATTACTTTTCGACATTGGTGGTTAAGTTTGAGGTAAAGGTGTGAGGAAGAGAAAGGTAAAGAATGTTATAAAAAAAGCAGCATGAAAAAGGTGGTTCATCGATGATTTTTATTGTCGGAGTGTATAATAAGCAGGATTTTTATTTTTTGGGGTGATTGATTGAATTTTGGTTGATATGATATATAGATAGATAAATAGATTTTTGATTTTTGGTTGACAGATTATGGTAGTTTAAACATGAAAAGGGAGGTTGAGGGAAGGTAAGACAGTGATGATAAATAGATATATAGATAGATAGACAGAAATATAGAAGAAGAAGAATAAAATGAATGAAATAAAGAAAGAAAGCTGTACAGGACAAGAGGGATAAGGAGAAGAAGGAACTTTAGGTTTTTGTTGGTTATTTGTTGTTTTTGGACTCGCGTTGTCCAGTCTTGAGATGAGTAAATCGTCTGTCCTCGACACGTTGTAAGAACGCCACCTTTTCCATATACCTTTAATCATAAAACATAAGAAAATAACCACATATATTTGCAGTTTGTTTGTTTGTTAGTTAATTAATTATCTGGTTTGATTATGTTTTGTGTTGTATACTTCTTTATCCAATCTCTTGACAGACATTAATAGTAATAATAATAATAATAATAACTTACCCGTCTTTGTTCTGGTATTTTAGATCAGCCCTAATACCCTCTCTGTCCACATAACCTTGCCAGTCCAGCCGACTTTTTTCCAATGTGTTCATCTTGGGTACTTTGACATTATATTGTGTAACAAGGTCAGACAGCTTTGATTTTGGTCGTACCAAACCAGACTTCTTTTTTCTTCCCAAAGGTAAGCTAAGGCATTGAATTGATCATAGCAACCAAAAAAAAAACAATCATAATGATAATGGTGTTATATAGAGATTATTGGTATTAGCATATTAAGAAATACTTTTTTTCATACTTTGTTTATTTAAATTACCTTTTTAGTGTAGGTGCATCAAGAATGGAAGGAGGATCGGAAATGCCTTTTGTTGTGCTGTTGGTAATGGTATTGGAGTTGGTATTATTGGCATTTGTATTTGTGAGAATATTGGTTTTAATGGGTTCTTTGGCAGCCAATGTCTTTGGTACATTCATTTCTGCCCAGATAGCATCAATTTTGGCCTTTTGTTCGCTGCTGTCCATTATCGCGACTTTCTCATCGTTGAAAATTCTACAATAAAAATATATATTTATATATATAAATAAATATATACATATTTTATAATATATTTAAAAACCAAACATATCTGTAAAAATAAAAAAGAAAGGGAACATTTCTATGCAGTTAACCCTTACTTTGGACGCTTTACGGTAGGGTCATCGGTACCCCGCTTTCGTTTATGTGCAGGGGCATCGGGTGTCCCAATGTCGTCTTGGTAGGATTCTTCGTCAGATTCCGCAACATCGTCGGGTTCACTATCAGAATTGGTTTCTAATATACGTGTAAGTTGCTTGTTTATTTGTTTGTTTGTTTGTTTGATTTCCTGTCATTATATATAATTGTGTGCGTATGTGTAATTTAGGGTAATGATAACTATGAATCTAAGAGAGAGAAAAAGGGATCGAAATTAGACACTTGCGATCGGGTGTATAGTCGGAATCATCTTCTGAATCTTCGTCTAATGCCAAGCCGCATTCGTCTTCTCGTCGAGCATTCTCTTCTTCACGGATCTTGAGAGGAGGTTGCATTATAAGAATGAAGAATAGAGAGAAAGAAGAAAAGGAAGAGAAATAAAATAAAATAAATAAAATACAAAAAAAAAATGATTAAAACTCACAATTACTTTGAAAGGTCAATTGTGTTACCAAATTTACCAACCACCGCCTCAACCCCTCTCTCTCTCTCTCTCTATTGACCCCCCTCCCTTTCTACTTCAAACTTGATTGTGTGACTTTTTTAAACTAGGACCTATTGTCAAAAAACTGACAACAAAAAAATAAATAAATAAATAAAAATTAAAATATAAAATATAATAGATTCACCTAGAGTCTTTAAAAAGTCTTTAAAGCCCTTTAAAGCCTTACAAAACCAATAGGCCAAAAAAAAAAACATCACCCAAAGAAAAAAAAGGGGATTTTAGTTTATTATTAAATTTCTCTTATTCTTTACTATCGTCTTCACTCTCTATCCCCCTTCTTATATATATATATATATAAGTTAAATTCTTTAATCGATCAATATGGCCAGTCCGTTAGGTGGAGGAAGCCCTATGGGTGGAAATAACAATGGAATGAGTTTACAAGAAAAGCAGACAATTGCAATGATTCAAAGCACAATGGAATCATGTCCATTCAAGACAGCCATGTCTGGCACAGCAGGTAAAACAAAGAAGAAGAAGAAAAACAACACCATTCGACTATAATAGATGTATTGTTTTTACACTCTTGATTACTAATAAACGAAATAAAAATAAACAAAAACAAAAACAAAAAAAAAACAATGATTACCAAAGGTTTTGTGATGGGTGGTGCTTTTGGTTTGTTCATGTCATCATTTGAATATTCTGGCCCCAACATGAATGAGGAAATTGCCAACCAAACTACCAAGCAACAAATCAAGGCTGCTTTCAAGGATATGAGTTCTCGTTCATATTCAATGGCCAAGAATTTTGCTGTAGTTGGTGCTATTTATTCTGGATCAGAGTGTTGTATTGAATCTGTAAGTATTAAATATTTGACATTTGAGTAAAAGCGTATGTTAGATAGTGAATGAAAGAGGGAGGAGTAATGTTCTTTAATTAACGATTACAAATGCATTCTTGTTCGCTTTCTTTTTATCTTAGTATCGAGCCAAAAATGATCTTTACAACAGTATGGCTGCAGGATGTTTCACAGGAGGAGCCTTGGCTGTAAGAGCTGGTCCTCAGGCTGCAGCCTTTGGCTGTGCTGGTTTTGCCGCCTTTTCTACTGCCATTGATTGGTATATGCGAAGAGATTAAATTCTAACTATAGAGAGCCTTCCTTGTTTTCCTTTTTTCCTTTCTTGTTTGTTTGCTTGTTTGTTAACTACCATTACCACTATCACTACCAAGAATTGCATGTACGTGTCGACCTTGCCTTGATTTTACCACCATCAGCAACTCCTACTTCCTTACTCCTTATTATCCGTATTATCATCAACCAACCACTCGCTCACTACCGCCACCATTACCACTACCAACACTACCAACCATAAAAAAAATTACCACCTTTTTCCTCTATATAGACACTCCAGAATAAACCATTTCCTGATTATTTATTGTACAATAAAAAGTAATAATAATTATTAATAATATAAAATGTGCTTTGACAATTGGGGTTTTTTTTTGTTTCCTTCTTTAAAGATGAAAGAATTAAAGAGAGAAAGTACAGTGCAGTGTAGTTTAATGTAATGTAATGTAGTGTATTGTATTGTAGTATAGTGTAGTTTAAGTGTATTAGATGAAGCTTATGATACTCATCTCTATATCCCTTTCTTTGTTTATAGTGTATCTTGAAAGGGTAGGGCGTGATTTGTTTTGTATTAGCATTAGCTGTAGTTTTAGTTTTAGTTTCTAGCTTTGGCTTTGTCTTAAATCTCCTTTTTTTTCTAGTTACGCAGGTGAAGTGATTGTTCATACACCCAGGCACCTTCGTCTAGGTAAGGCTTGCCAACCATTGATTGTTTCAACGCAGCAGTGTGAGTTGTGTACGAATCCCGAGCAGATTCATCCTTGACAAACTTGAAGAGACTTGGCTCCCATGTCTCATGCTTTTCCTCTCTTTCCTTACGGACCTTGCGCTGCCATTCTTCGATCTTGGATTTCTCGGCATTGGCAACCTGGAAGTTCTTGACCTTTAATGCCTCAGTTACTTTGCCCCACAGACGATGAGACTCGATCTCCTTTTGCTCATCATAAGGTGGTGTGCGGCGGTCTGCCATGGGCTCAGCCTCGGCATCAAACAAGAGTTCCTTTTGAGAGCTGCCTGCATTGCTGTAGAACGACTGGTGGCTCCATCTACCGGAGAGGGTGTAGCACTCTTTGCCTTCATAGCTGATCCCTCCCTTGATGTGGTTGTACTCACCGCCAAACCATGGTTTGGGAACAAACTCAATAACAGACTTGGCTCCATTGGTACACATGATGGTGCATGCGCCGCTCAACTCAATAAAGGCAGCACCAGTGAACACACCGCGGATCATTAGGTCCGGGAAATCAATCAAGTACTGCTCATTCCATGGCTTCACATACAAAACCGCACGTCCAACTTGTTCGATCTTGATAGAAGTACCCTTGAACTTGGACTTTTGACCACCTGGAGAATAAAGAAGAAGAAAATGATACTCATTTATCAACAACAACAAAATTGGACATGTATATAGATATATATTTACTACCAAAAAAAAAGACTTACAATGGCCATTGAGAGAAACACCAGCCTTTTCATCTTCCAAGTAAAAGGCTGAGATGGGAGGATGGTGACGCACTAAAAAAAGTTATTGGTATTGGTGTTAGTATTTGAATTGGCAATTTTCATTTTTTCTGTTTTATTTTATCTTAACAAGCAAATAGAATAAAATAACACCTCTACTTCATATAACCACATCTCATCTAATCTCATTTTATCCCACCCCTGCTGCTTCTGCCTTGTATAATTTAATTTATTACTTGCCTTGTTCACAGATACAGGAAACATCGCCAAGATTACATCTGAACTGCTCACCCAAGATAGGGTTGTAAGGCTTCTTCTCATTCAACCCGTTTGTACAGCGCGATGCATAACTTCCCCACAAGGTTGACATAAACCAGCGTGTTACTGCCAGCATGCGTTCTAATCAGCACCAGACAAACACAGGTTTTTTTTTTAGTTAGACTTGTTAAAATTATAAGCCTCCCAAACTTATTTAGAGTACACATGCACGTCTATATACATGTTTGTATATATATATATATGTAGCTCATAATAACCAATAACAAAGTAATGATCACTGTAATTATTTTTTTACCCTTTGGATCCGAAGACTGGCTAATAGCGGTGAAACTGTACCATAATAATAATAACAATAATAATAATGGTAGTAGTAACAATAAGAAAAATTAGTTGACGTAAGTACATACACATGCACATGTGTGTGTGTGTGTGTGTGTTGATAAGATTAAGTTTGGGGTATTTGTATATCAAACAGCCATATAAAGTGTGGGAAGAGAAAATAAGAGAAGAAGAGGGAAGGGAAGGATAAATCTGGTGCATTAAAGCAAGAAAAAATACCCGAGATATACAAGGCACCACCGGCTTTGTTGGATCATTCCTTTTTTTATAATATATATATGTGTATATATTATAAACTACTTACCAAGTTGGGTGGTCTCCCCAATAAGTACTATAGGACTGGAATGAGTTTGTCTGTTGGGGAGGTAGCTTTCAATTTGATCATCATCCCAACTTTACCCATATTCCAAGAGAGACAATCCATTTAAGAAAAATGCGGGACAGGTCAGCGAAGAAAGATCACCCGTGAAGCTGATGACTGTTTTAAGGAAATCCTTAAATTGACCCTTGGTGCTGGGTTCAACATGGTGCATGGACAAGGTGTCGACATCATTAACAGTAGGAGGAGCTCCTTCGGCATCTGTTGGTGACTTTGGGTCGTTTGATGATTTAGCGAAAAGTGACTTTTTTAAGACCATGGCCAGAAATTATAAAATATAAATATAGATATAAAGAGCAAAAATAATAATAACTGCTATTTAGTGCGCAAAAAAGAAAAAAAAAAGAAAAAGAAAAAGGTTAAAAGTAGAAGAGAAGGCAAGAATAGCGGAGTAGATTTAGTTTTATTTAATCATCATATCTGGGTTTTTAGGTTGTCATGGTTACTTTTTTGTTTTTGTTTTTGTTTTTGTTTTTGTTTATATTATACATACTATATATTTTATATATATATATATGTGTGTGTGTATATATGTAAAAGACGTTTTATTGACGTAGCAACAACGTTTTTTTAATTTATCAGAAATAATTTTGGATTTGTAATACGCTTATAATCAACAAAAAAATGTATTTGTTTCAATAATGAAGTATTTGATAACAAAAAAAAGGTATAAGAGAAATGTATGCATAGAGTCATAGAATTAAGTGAGTCTTTTAAACAACCTATTGTTGTTGTTGTTTTTAATAAAGAAATAAAAATATGTGCTTACCAATTGAGAGGCTGATTCTAACCTGATACTTTCTATCTCTTTTTTTATAAATAATATATATACCCATACACACATTAAAGAGGGTGTGAACTTGTAGCAATTTCTCATCAAATTGCAATCACCCTTCCAATTTATTCGGTGTTTACAATACCTCGAGAAAACTTAAACGTCCGCATTATCTTATTTAGGCGTTATGGGAAATTGACTTGAACTTGCCGCAAGTCCACGCCCTATTGTTATAAGTTATCCCCTTTTTCTACTGCTGTCTCGTTATTGTCCCTTACTCACTTTTTCGACAACACACCATGACCGGCAGTTTTTTTCTTTTGCTTTTTTGCTTTTTATTTCCGCATTACGCTCTCGGATAAATCAGCCGCGATATAATTTCCACTGAGCAAATATATTCTCGTCCACGTACAAGACACAAATACGAAATACTGGCCGACTGTACAATTGATTTTTAAGCTATGCACTCTTTTTTATGCACATATAGATACAGTTACAAGCACGCTTACACAAAAGAAACTTACGGGAAGCGGACGCGTCAGTCCGTAATCCAAAATTCCTGTTAAAGATGTGACATTTTGTCGTGCAACATCTTCAGGGCTTCAACTTGAATGTCCGTGCGAGGAAAGCCGCTTACAAGAGCACCTACGGTTGAGTCATAATCCAAAACTGCGTGTAGTAGTAATTCAATCACACATCGATCAGAGATCATCTGACCTAGATTGCTGAGCTCATTGCATTCAGGAAATTTCAATAATTGAGACACGATAATGGGAAGATTGGTAATCCCGCGTGCCTTGAAAGTTGAGTGTGTATGTGTGCGTGGGTTCCCTTTCCTGCAAGATAAAAGTTGTGGATGTACAAATTCCTTTTTATATACTTATAAGTATATATGTATATAGTTGAAGTAAAAAATAAATAAAGAAAGAAATATTAGGATAACAGTTGATAGCTTTTATCAAGTGCATGAATATTTATTAACTAAGGATACACCAGCACATACTTACCGTTTGTCATGTCCTTCATTGGATAGTATTGTTAGCTGAGACATATAAATAGGCTTTATAGCTCTACCGATTCCCCACACACGCACAAATACACGGTCTAATGAACAACGATATGAAAGAAATAAAGAAAGATTTTTTTGCAGCAAAAATGAGGTCAAAGCGCAACACGTACTTTTCCTTTCCCTCTCTCTCCCCTTTCATTTTTCCTCTTTTGTTGTTATCGTACCCACACGTGACCCCTCTTACGCTTACCGTTTAAAGGTTGTGCACAAAATATATGTGTGTATGTTTATTTTTAAATATATATATATATATACATGAAAAAAAAAATTAGGTGTCTTTTCTACACCAATCGTCATGAGCAGATCCCGCTTTACAAGACGCCTGTTTCCTCTCTTGACTGCTGGAGTTGTGGGCACAGGCATATACGCAGTTGACAATTGGACAGACGCTAAGCTTATCCAACGCAACTGTCGCACGGCTTACAATGGAATGGCAGTAGCGATTGATTACAAATTGAACTTTCAGCCTACCGCAGACAGGGACATTCGGCCTATTGAAGAGCTCCACAAAAGAACTGCCAACAGACTCTTTGATGTATTTGAGAAAAACGGTGGATTGTACATAAAGATGGGCCAAGTGATCGGCACCCAGGCAGCAATTCTGCCCTTACCCTACCAAGAAAGAGCGCGTCGTCTTTTTGACTCTGCACCAGCAGTACCATTCGAGGCAGTAGAGAGAGTGTTTAAGGAAGACTTTGGGTGTCTGCCTGAAAGCGTATTTGATGAATTCGATAAGACTCCTTTGGCGTCCGCATCAATTGCACAGGTGCACAAGGCCCGTCTGAAGAACGGCGATATCGTGGCAGTCAAGATTCAGAAGCCAGCTATTCAGAAGCAAATTAACACGGATCTGTTTTGCTACCGGGTACTTGCACAAGTATATGAGTACATGTTCGACCTTCCTATTACATGGTCTACAGATTATGTAGAAGATCATCTTCGCATGGAAGCTGACTTTGAATGTGAAGCCAGGTAACAAAGCGTAGCATAAAGATGTATAAGTGTAATGGACAATAAGATAAAGGCTTACTCACTACAGAGTATTATTTATTTATTTTGTCTAGAAATGCGATGAAAGCATGGAAGCATATCCAAGACGAGCCTCGCCTTAGAGGCAAGGTGTATATTCCAAAGACATACCCAGAACTCAGTTCAAAACGAGTGCTGGTGTGTGAATGGATCGATGGAGTTCAGCTCACAGACACCGCTAGTATTGCGGAACGCCACCTAGATTTCAACTGGGCTATGAAAACGGCCATCATGGCATTTTCGAGCCAGATATTTAAGACCGGGTTTGTACATGGTGACCCTCACCCAGGCAATGTACTAGTTCGGTCTCATCCCGACAATCCCAAACACACGCAGGTAGTGCTAATTGACCACGGCCTATACATCCAAGAGTCAGAAAAGTAAGCTATTGTTTTGGTGGAATTTGACACAAGTTTCTGAACCGGATGTAAACCAATGTTGAACTATGTAGATTCCGTATTGAATACTGTAGAATGTGGGAAGCTTTATTTATGTTAGATATCAAGACAATGCAAGAAATATGTAGTAGTTGGGTAAAGTAAAAAGAAAGATAAAAGATAGGGGAAGGGAATTTAATGTAAAGCGAGAGTGAGAGAGGATCATAGTAACTAACCTAATTATTTTCAAGGGAATCCACGATGCCAATATGTTTGCGTCCTTGACCTTGCAAAAGCCATTCTCACCCGAGAAAGCACTTCATATCCAGCAGAGTGTTGATATGCGCGACGTCTACGATATGCAAATGAATGCTAAGGAGCGTATTAAACACTTCCTTAAAGACCAGTCTCTTTTTCCTCGAGAAATCATCTTCGTGTCTCGAAATATGAATATAATGCGTGCTAATAATCGTCAAGTGGGAAGTCCAGTTAATCGAATTAATATTATGGCACGCTGGGCAGTAATTGGCCTTAATACTTCGACGAGCAAAGGAAGCTGGCTGCAAACTGTCCGCCTATCCTGGAAATCATTCCTGTTTGAATCTACCCTATTGTTAATGACAGTTACTTTTTGGATGGTGCGTTTCAGAGACGCTGTGGGAAGGGTTGTTTTTGGCAATAAGCTTAATGGATTCGAAGATGTCTTGGACAAGAAGATGACAGAACAGGTAAATAAATAAAGACTAAGGTTGCTATACGAGTTTAACTAATGCTTTTCTTTTAAAAAAATGGTATCCAATTTACAGCTGGAACGTCAGTTTGGAATCAAGATAGATTCTTCAGTTTTCGATGGTTAGAATATAAAGAAGATTAGAGAAGAAAAGAAATTGTTTTTTTACAGCTATATATACAGCAATTAATTATACTTATATCAGTTCAGCCATGTACAATAAACACATATATGTGTTAGGCAAATTTATGTACAACATTGTACTTTAATTACATTGACTAAAATCAGACAGACAAGCATAGGTTGACAAAGGCTTCTGTAGAATTCAGGAGAATATATTGACATTCTCACATTCAAATCAAAGACAAGTAAATGTTTTGGCTACATAACAACCACATATCTAATAATTGATCGTAATTATTATATTCTTGATTTAACCAAAAATACTATCATTATTATTATACTTTTTTTAAAGAAAATCTAAAGACTTGCTTAATGGTAGAGTATATATGAATAAATGCAGAATTATGTTTTAAAGGATAATTCAAACCACTTGCTTAATCAGTTTATTTTACTATTTTTTGTTTTTACTTTATTTAGAAAAAATACATGGATGGACTTGTGTATAAGATTTCGATAACCAACTGTAATTAACAAGAAGTAGTTGAAGCAATAATTTGACATATCTATCAAACTACGCTCTTTCCAAAAGACAAGTACCAAATCCAATTGGTACCCAAAACACTTACCTCTTCACAACTTGGTAAATGTACAGCACGCGATGTGTATATATGTATATATCAGTAAATATCTTTAATCATTTTTTCTTGTGCCAAGCCGTATCTGTTTCTGATTAAATGTACCTAATGAATTTATAAATTTTATAAAGTTGATTAAACTTCAGCTTTGTGACCGTGCTATTTTTCTCATATTTAATTTCGTTCGGTGACGAACAGTATGGACCTTCCCTAATATCACATTCACTTTACAGGTAAATTGAAATGGCCAATCCATATACTAAAATCCATCCATCCATCCATCCACACACATCACTTACACATCCGTCTAATCTCTTTTGTAGCCATGGGTAAGGAAAAGACTCACGTTAACGTTGTCGTTATTGGCCACGTCGATTCCGTAAGTATTTCCCACTAGTACTACTTTTCTTGTCCTGAATTAATAAATAAATATATATGTTCTAAACAATTTTGTTTCAATCTTCAGGGCAAGTCCACCACCACCGGTCACTTGATCTACAAGTGCGGAGGTATTGACAAGCGTACCATCGAGAAGTTCGAGAAGGAAGCCGCTGAACTCGGTAAGGGTTCCTTCAAGTACGCCTGGGTTCTTGACAAGCTTAAGGCCGAGCGTGAACGTGGTATCACCATCGATATTGCTCTCTGGAAGTTCGAGACCCCCAAGTTCATGGTCACCGTCATTGATGCCCCCGGTCATCGTGATTTCATCAAGAACATGATCACTGGTACCTCCCAGGCCGATTGCGGTGTCCTCATCATTGCTGCCGGTACCGGTGAGTTCGAAGCTGGTATCTCCAAGGATGGTCAGACCCGTGAGCACGCTCTTCTTGCCTTCACCCTCGGTGTCCGCCAGTTGATCGTCGCCATCAACAAGATGGACACCACCAAGTGGTCCGAGGCCCGTTACAACGAAATCGTCAAGGAAGTTTCCTCCTTCATCAAGAAGATCGGTTTCAACCCCAAGTCCGTTCCCTTCGTCCCCATCTCCGGATGGCACGGAGACAACATGTTGGAGGAGTCCGTCAACATGGGTTGGTTCAAGGGATGGACCAAGGAGACCAAGGCTGGTGTCAAGTCCGGAAAGACCCTTCTCGAGGCCATCGACAACATCGACCCTCCCGTCCGTCCTTCCGACAAGCCCCTCCGTCTTCCCCTCCAGGATGTCTACAAGATCGGTGGTATCGGTACTGTTCCCGTCGGTCGTGTCGAGACTGGTGTCATCAAGGCTGGTATGATCGTCAACTTCGCCCCCGCTGGTGTTGTCACTGAAGTCAAATCCGTCGAAATGCACCACGAACAGCTCGTTGAGGGTCTCCCCGGAGACAACGTCGGTTTCAACGTCAAGAACGTTTCGGTCAAGGATATCCGTCGTGGTAACGTCTGCTCTGACTCCAAGAACGACCCCGCCAAGGAGTCCGGTTCCTTCACTGCCCAGGTTATTGTCCTCAACCACCCCGGTCAGATCGGTGCTGGTTACTCTCCCGTTCTCGATTGCCACACTGCTCACATTGCCTGCAAGTTCGCTGAGCTCCTCGAGAAGATCGACCGTCGTTCCGGTAAGAAGATGGAAGATGCCCCCAAGTTCATCAAGTCCGGTGACTCTGCCATCGTCAAGATGGTTCCCTCCAAGCCCATGTGCGTCGAGGCCTACACTGACTACCCCCCTCTCGGTCGTTTCGCCGTCCGTGATATGCGTCAGACCGTTGCCGTCGGTGTCATCAAGGCCGTCGAGAAGGTCGACAAGGCCTCCAAGGTCACCAAGGCTGCTGCCAAGGCTGGCAAGAAGTAAATTACCCTTTACTACTTCCCTGTTTAAGCACCATGAAAGAAAAGGAGCGATCTTTTTTTTGTTATCAATTCAAAAATAAAATAAAAAGTTGTATTGAGAAATGTATATTAAGTATAAAAAGTGTTGACAAGTACAGTGTGTTTATATTTCAATGAAGGAATTGAATATTAAAAATTATAATTTAATATTTATACACATAAATCCTACGGGTTGGTGTTTTGTCTATCATTTAATTAATTAAGTTTTAAAAGAAAGATAAAGAAGAAGAAACTATAATAATAATTGAAAAGCACTTTTGGCTTTGTGTCTTTGTGCGTAAATGTATTTTAAAAGTTGAGCAAATGAGGTGCAATGCAGAGAATAATTAAGGCTGGTGTCCATTTGAAAGTAGCGGTACCAGCGCTGAAGATGGAGTTGGTGGTAGCACTTGTGCCAGTCGATGCGCCCTTTGCGCCAGCTGCACTTGAGGCGGCAGGAGCAGCAGCAGAGCTTGACACTGGAGGAGCGTTAATAACAATGGCGACAGTGGCGTTGGTCTGAGAGATGTTGTCAAAGTAGACGACCTGTTGAACGCAGAAATAAAAACATATGTTAATACAAGCTTCCTTAAAAGATAGTATTATATTATATACTTACGAGGTAGTTTCCTGGGGTGGTGTTGAGAGGAATAGCGTACTGTTTTTTTTTTTTAAAAAAAAAATATGAAGTCAGCCAGCCATATACATTTTAGTGCTTAAATAAAAACAAAAAACAACAACATACGTTCTCCTGGTGTTCATAGACATCAGCACCACCAATTGTTTTCTTATAGCTGGAACCCTGACCGATATTGGCATTTGCAAGGGCAACTACACTGTTGGTAGCATTGTTTGCACTAACGACTATTACAGACAGCTGGAGGTCTAATACAAAGAATACGATTAATCGATGCTTAAGTGTATCACATCTACTTACTATCGGATGTTGTGTTGGATGCAACATCATAAACAAGAGGCAGGGTCTGGCCTGCGACGTATGGGTTGTCGGATACAGGCAAGGAGACGTTGAACTGGTAGTTAGGAGACTGGACAAAGGCTTGTGTAGCACCAATGAAAGCGCTGATGATCAAGGCAACTGGGATTCTCATGATTTTGACAGAATATAAAGTAAAGGAGGTAAAGGGACGTTTGGGGACGTCAGGTAACTTGGTCTTTTATGCTTTTGAAGTTTGGCTGTATTTATAGAGTGATACACAAGACAGTAGAATCGACAATCCTGAACTGATTGGTCTATTACCCACTCACAACCTCATTCTCCCAGCCCACATTCGAAAAGCTTTGGTAACTCACTTTTTCCCCTTGCCATAAATAGGCCTACGCCGGTTAAAAATAGGACCAATGCCCTATCTGTACCACATTTATTCCACTTGCAGCCAAAAAGAAAAAGATGTTGCTGTTGACGGTTCACACCAGAAAGGCTAAATTATTCACAAAGATGTTGGAGAACTCACGTTTGTGGACAATTATTCCTGGCATTTTAGAGTGAGCCACACTGACAATAAGCAAAGTATAAAGATGTGTTTAATCAATATTTTTCTTTTATGCTCATCTCATCATAACTGTCCTTATTTCCTATTAATAAACTTTTCTTTTTCATCACGAATATCCATGCAATGTATATATAACTACGGCTAGGCTAACCCATCCATTCGTTCCTTTTTTTTTCTTCTTCCTCTTACTATTATTACTATTAGTTAAAATAAAGTAAATGATTGACTACTTTAAAAATAAAAACAAACCAAATAATAATTAAACATACAGCCATGACAGCCATAATAACCATGACAACCAGGCAACCCTTTTCTTATTACTATTTCTATTGTTTTGTGGTCATGGGGAATGACGTTACCTAGCAACACTTGAGCCTGTTTAGCTCTTGTTATTTATTTTATCTTTTCTTTTCTTCCCTTCTTGTTTTTTTTTTCATAACACAAAAATGAATTGCAAGGAATGGGTGATCTCATTCGTACCTCTACAACAAAACTTATTAGCAAACGTAGACTGTAGTCAAAAGAAGAGCCTATAAACTTAATCAGTAGTTGTGCCAATGTGATAAAGAGAGAAACAAGAACAATCCACTTTTTGTTCTTGGGGTAGTATCTTTGTAAACTCAATGGTTATCTTAAACGTATAGTGTCGGTAAGTGGAAGGCGATCCTTGAAGACCCTCGATACTACTTTTGTAGGTACGCCACGGTGGATTTGAAAGACAGGCAAATAAAATAGATATTCCATTTTTATTTTGGTATTGTACGTTGTATGTTAATGAGATTATTAGGTTTAGGTCTGTATACCCGTCGGTCTATCAGGAACTGTATCCCGCGTCTAAAGAAATCGAAAAAAAAATCGTGATAGGGGAGAAAGAATAGGCTCCCACTCTGGTACAGATATCCCAGTGAGGACATCGATTATTTGGTAAACGTAAATATGAAGCATTCTTACTTTGGAGTGGAGAAAGTAAGTACAGTTTGTATTGATACATATAAAAAAATGTTATAAGAGTTTGTGTACAGGTACTTAAGATATATATATATATATATATATATTGGTACGGTGTAGCATGGTCGAAGATTGAAAAGGACCCCGAGCTTAATATGTTTCACCATAAAAGTATAGATTTGAGAAATAGGCAGGTCAAATCCCAAAAAATGACTTACTGTTGAGAAACAGAGCGATAGACAATATGGTAGGTATCTTATATAGTAAGCATATTCAATTCTACCTAAATATGATTCCACGACTACCTGGGGTCACTCGTCTCAAAGCACGTGCCTTGGGACCCACACTTGCACTAGCAGTTGGTGGTTCGGTGGACGACGTTCTCCCACACGGCTTTTGATCTTCCTCGGTGTTGTTCAACATGATTTACCGTTTGTCTCGCCAAACTGCCAACAGATTATCTAATATTACCTTAAACATTTCTCACGGTTCGACTCTAGAGACACAGTAAAAGTCTTTACTAATTGAAGGATGATGTGCTAGGCTAAAGTCAAAGTCTAAAACCCAATTAACATTATCCAAATATATAGATACTTTTCCTCTGATTACCCTTTCCCTTCCCTTAGATAATTGTACTAGATAACTTCAGATGATAAGGATAATACCCTTTCAGTAACATAGAATATATTTCTGAATTTTCGTAATAAAATAAAGAAATATGGTAGCACAGCAAGAGTCTCTGACTATACGGATAATGGTAATAGGTTTTCAGCCTTTGGCTTTAGCCAAACCTATCATGCTTTTTTAGTCTAAGAGTCTTTTTCAGTAAAGTACAAAGTTTTCTCGGATTCATATGGCTTCCAGACAATCTCGGCGATCCAGGAAAAATAGCAGCGTACAGCATTGTGTAAGGATCAAAGTATTTCTCATCTTCAATCATCCCAACGTTTTTATTTTTTCATTTTTTTCTGGGTGTCTTTCTCTAATATATTCCGTGGTTTTTATTTATTTCAAAGGTGATTAAGTTCAAGCCATTGGATTTTGGTAAAAAGGTTCGGTTGGTTATTATTATTAATGACGTTGTTTATCGAGTCCAGAATACTGCCAATCCTGTTGCTGATTGAAATTTTCTCTGTATCATTCAGTTTCTCATGCAACTGGTCTTTATATGACTTGTGGGCATGAAGATTTATGATTGTGATAATAGACTTCTAGAAAGCATTTAATTTTTTTTTCATCATGCAATTGACACGGGTGTTGTGAGGTTTCCCAACTTCGTCAGCCCTACTCTTATTCTTTTTCTCGTTTTTACTTCTGTACAGATTTACCTTCTCTGGCACGATGGATAAGGTCCACCATCTTTGTATCGTTCATCGTAGTGAGTCTAGAAGTAGTTATATAGCTCTTTTTATTTGTTCTTTAATGAACTTGTCTTTATATCCGTATTCATTTTGTTATCACTGAGTTGGACATTTACATTACCTGACCGACCCACCATGTGTCATTATATAATTGCTTCATTTAAAGGCATTTCTTTTTCCAAAACACATTTCTACTTATTTTTATCATCCATTTCATCATTTCAATTAGCTACATTGCTTATTTCAAGATTCTGACATTTGAAATTGATTTCGTTCGGGAAAAAAAAAAGAAATAGAGCAGGTCCGAAAATCAAGTAAAGATATTATAAATATCTACTCGTACTAATTTTTATAAGCCGTACTCACTCTTTAGATTCAGAAATGCATATCCGGACCGATACGCGTTACTGGGTTACACGTCTCGTCGATCCGTTACAAAGACCACGAATCAAGGTACTCGCAAACCCATTGATAATTCTCTTGTGTGTAAAATCTCTGGCTTTGTCGTAGAGTTTTCAAGTATAGCTCCATTCCAGTTCATTTATTTTTACTTTCCAAAAAGATAATTCAATCCCGTTTCTACCTCATGATTATCTAATTATTGCACTCCCCACACCTCTTGATGAAAGTAATGGACCCGGACTTATTCTGTTTTATCAACTCCGTCTCTGACCAAATGACCCACATAATGTTCTCCATAAACTTTGTATAACCAATGCTACCAAGCAAGCTTGATGTGTATATGTATATGTATATATTAACATATATTTTTTTGAAGTGCACAATCCTTCTCCTTGCCTTTATTAATAGTGAAGATCGGCTACAATAAAATAAACAAAAAATGATGTCAAACAGATTTATATATAATAAGCCTAACATTGCGGAAGAGTCCGGCAAGAGTACAGGCAGCTTTGTCTGTCTGGGTCGGACTGGCACTTTATTTAGTACAACACAATATGTATTCTTTATTGTAATTTTTTTAAACATCTTTAGAAGTAGAGGTTGAGATAACAAGAATATCCTATAATAGATATTGGTATTTGTATTTGTATAGACATATATGTGTATGTATATAATCTTCTTTTTTTTTTGGTAGGTAGGTATTAGACACACACATGGAGAGAGAAAGAGAAAGAGAGATAGGAAAGATGTACAAAAAGGTAAGGCAACTTAATAAATTATTATGACATGAATAAGAAGATTGTGCGGGTGAAAAGATTAAAAGCGCTTTTGGTTAGCTACATGAGCAGACAATCTCCCCAGAGTAGGAATTCTGGTGTAGATAAACCTTTTGAAAGTTTCCTGCAAAGCATGGGCCATGGTATTGTGGAAACCGTAAATACAACGCAGGGCAATCCATTGCTGGGTGTGCTTGGGAACTTTGGTTCGTAAAGGAAATCCTGGGTTCTTGCGTAGGGTAGGGCCAATTGCCATGTAGATCTCAAAAGCGGCGCGGATACTATCCTGAACTTCGGCCGGAAGCCCGTCGATGCCGTTTTGAGCCTGATCGGAGATCTGATCGGCCAGGGCAAGAATTCGAATGGCATAAGACTTGAGAGTACGCTCGCCTAATTCCGAAGGACTGCGGGCCGTCTTTAAGACACCATAATTTTTCTGGGGTTGGTTCATGTATTGAAGTGGAACATAGCAACGACCATTGATGCTATCAGCAATAACATCACGGGCGATGTTTACCAATTGAAGACACTACAAATCAAATGTCAAATCTTTAAGTACATGATGTATTCAATATAATATATATATATATTGTTTATAATCTTACCTGCCCAGTGGAACGTGCCTTTGACAAGACATCGTCTTTACGTGCAATCATATCGGACCGCCAATTTCCATAGCCAGTCTTGTACATAATCACGCAGGTACACAGCTCACCAAAGGTACCAGAGATCAGGGCTGCGTATTGAAGAAGGTCGTTCTGGTTCTTGATAGGCTCGTTCTTGAGATCTAGCTCCCATGCATCCGTCAGTTCAAACATGGCGCGTGGGCAGACGTAGTGAGATACACGAGCGAAGGAACGGAAGGTGGACAGGACATCTTCTGATGGAAGGAGGCTTCTGTAGTGATCCCAGTCAATATGAGAGGGAAGAGTGAGATCATCGTTAGGGTTCAACTCCACAGGCTTGGTTGTATCATTTGAGAATACATCGTGCAAGAAATGTCGGAGGGTTACAAGATTAGCTTGACTTTGTTCCAGTGATGGTGCATCATCGACCAGGTCATCGGCAGTTCTGAAGAATGCATACAGAAGGCAAAGGTCCTGGCGTAGGTTTGTTGGGAAAAGGGCAGCCATGGTCTTCCATGATCTAGATGCAGGACCGAGCAATCGGATAGCAGTTTCAAGATCACTGATAGGTCCGAACGGAAGATCTGATTCGGAGGGCATGTGGCTGATCAGCTTAGCCACACCACACCAATATTCAATAGTAGTTGGACTCTGCATGCGGGCAAGAACAGTTGGATTAGCTGTGATAAGGTAGGGGTACATATTAAGGATTGCATCAATGTGATCGAGTGCATTGCAGACCATGACAAGTGTGGAGGTAAATGATACCCAGTCTATGGCAGACCATGTTGACCATTGGCCAGGAACATTAAAAGAAGACACTATAGCTACAAGTGCAGGTATTCCAGAAGATAAACAGATAACCTTCCAGCGTCGGACAAAGAAAGGGCCAGACATATAGCAGAGTACACCCATCACTGGGCTCAAAAGGCGAAGAACAGGATAATCAAGTAAGGGATGTCTATGATGAAATGATGGAAATATCATTCAGGAGAAGAAAAGTGACAGGTGGAATGAGTGAGCCGGGACATTAAATAAAAGTAAATCAACCAGGGGTGAGGGTTAGCAACCACGATAGTCAAATGAGCTAAGATTATTGTATAATTACCTCGAAACACCGAGGCTGACAAGAACAATGGATAAAACGTGGCGAGTCAATGCAGAAAATACTGGGTTGCAGTCTGGGCGAACATGAATGATTGCAAATTGCCACCGAGATAATAACCCACAGACTGTGACTGTAGTTGCTGTGATTATGGCCAGGAATATGATGTCTGGCAGTAAGATTGGCTCAGAAAACAAACGGTCAGGGTGTATGTAGTGGATTCTATTTGTTGTGTCTGGAGATAGGTAGTATAATGGCCATCCAAGAGGATATTCGGTTGTATTTGAAGCCAATTGAGATTGTTTCTGGGGTTCATCTGATAGCCAGACGCGGGCACAGAATGGAGTTATTAAGCTAGCGATTGTTAAGAAGAGGTATTTAAACCAGTCAAGTTTTGTTATGAAAGGACGATAGAGAACAATTGAGACTGTGAATGCCCCAAAGGCATGAATTAGATTTGTTGACATTAATAGGATATGATATGGTATGATATGATTATAAAGAGTAGAATATTAAATGAAAAAAAAGAGATAAAGAGAGAATAATTTTAATTTACTGTTAGAGACAACTTGTCAGTTGTATTTATACCATTTCGTTTTTCTTTTTCTTTTCCTTTTTTTTGCCCCCTTTTTTTTCATATATATCTTTTTTTGTGATTTTCAGATAATCACCAGTGGCAAATATTATACACCTACACGGCACAGGACTTTAATGCGTATAGTTAAACAAGAGCAACTGTCATCGTGCTAAAAGTGTAGGTTCTCTTGGTTTGAATATCTAGCATATATAAAAAAAAATACCAAAAGCCAAGCACAATACCTTGCATAAAATTATAAAAACAAAAGCAAATAAAATCAACAAATGAAAGTTACCTACCTTGTTGAAAAGCCGCCCTTTTTCCGTTTACACAATACTTTGACTGATTGCCTCTGGGTTTCTCCAACTCAGCCGTTGTAGAACGCTTTATTCGTTGTCTTTTTTCCACTTTGCTTTCCTCACAAATATACAATTCCCCAATAAATTTTCAAGAACCTTATATCTTTAGACCATAAGACACCAATTTACCAATCCCTTTCCCACCTCTAGGTCCCACCAACCCCTTTCCTTTGCCCAAAGTCCCCTGTTGTTTGTACCTCTGGCGATGAAACAGGTCTAGATAATTATAAATAAATATATACATTCTTGTTGTCTTATCTAATACAAACTAGCATTTCTCTTTTGTGGCATCAGTAGTTATATGTTCTGATTGTCTGTATTGTGTAGCCAACGACCTTGTCCTATTATAATTATAATTATTACTAGATGTAGACTATTAAACAAGATATAATCATAGTCATAGTCATAGTCATAGTCATATTAATCTGTAAATGTTTAGATTTGAATTCAGTGGGTTTAAACAGGTTTATTTTCTACTTGTCTATTGGTTTTATTTTTATATAGTTAAATTCACTTTTTTAGATCTGCTAATACCCCAGGATATTAGAGAGGGATATCGGTTGTTTATTGAGCAAAAGAAAAGAAAAGAAAAGGAAGTCTTTCTCGTGGAATATGTCTCTTTTGTAATAATGTAAGCCAAATTTTGGCACTTTTTCTTTGGGTCATTTTCTTTTTGATCTATGCACGGTCAATGAAGATTGTCCTTGAAGAGAGGCGATCTTTCATAGCATTTTCTGCTTCTCAGGTTCACAAAGAGATGCACATAATTTAAACAAGCCCTGCTCTTGTTTATTTTTTTAGAAAAAAAAAGACAATCCTTCAGATATTCAAGAGTATATAAAGAAGTGGTTGCTAAACCATTTGTTTTATCCTTTTACTTTACTTTGATTTATTCTTATTTTTTATCCTAAATTTTAAATATATATACATATATAGCCTGTAGTATTTTCAGTAATTATATGGTATCCTCCAAGTTTCTTGCCTAGCCAATATGAAGAAATGGGGTAAGGGAGACATTAGTTTCTTCTTTTTACTAGGATACTGTCTATTTTCAGCTGTGTCTTTTTTAAAAATAAATTAAAATAATAAAAGAAAATACATCTAGAGGCTTCTCCTACTATATGTTTATGGTATCAATATTACTATGCAGCAAAAAAGGGTAAAATACATTTTCTGTGTCTGGTCTATACTTTAGCCCAACACTTCAAACAAATCATATATTCATTTATTTTGCTTTACTCCTAAAGGTGGCTACAGTGTAAGAAATTAACATTATCTACTAGAACTTCTCGCCACCAACGTGATTTTCTTTTTCTTGTGTCAGGCTCATTAGTAGTGGCGACAAGTATCTTATTTTTATTTTTATCTTTGTTCCATTTCTTTAAAGAGAGTAAGGAAGAAGAAAAAAGAAGATCCAATGGAAGCAAAATAGGAGACTATGCTGTGAGATAGAGATAGAGATCAAGAGAGAACAAGAGAGAGAAATCCTACTATAAACTTTGATATGAAGTCTCTACAAAGAAAAATCAGGTTGACGGTGGCGGAATGAGGTGTACAAGAAGTAGTTACTCTTATCCCTCATGCAGGTGGTGCTCCGTCATCTTGTTGATTTGAAAATCACCAAGGAGAAGGGGATATTTCTAACAAGTGAAAGTTTAAGCTGTATTTCATTCTTTGGAGGCGTACAAAGAAATATGGATGTCTCACAAAAAAAACACTTTAATTTTAGCTTGACTATATAGATATCTTTTTAATATTAATAGTAATAATATATATAATTAGATTATAGATTTAATCTGCAGAACTATACTAATATCATGACATACTATATAAAGGGCGAATGTATTGATCCCCATAGTACTTTTATCACTATATTGTATACAGCGTGTTGCTATGTTCAACTATCATTTCATTTATCGATGTCTAAATAACTATACAAAAGTATATATTATAGTATGCGATTAGAATATATATATATATATATATATATATATATATATATTATGTTAGCCATATGAGGAATTACTCCAACTTGAACCGTTTGGTTTCTCAAGTATTTCTTGAAAATCCAAATATATATAATTGTGTTTATGTTTATAGCTCAAAAGAAAGTTAGATGCTGTACCTACAGCTCTTACCAACACAAGGGGATAAACTAGCTCGTGAATTATATATTTATATTTTTCTGCAGTATTTCTAACAAGGTTTTGTTAAAGTGTTTGTAAGACATTCATCTTGTCATACACCCACCCCCTTCCCCCTCTCTCGATATATCATTAGGTGTATATCTCCTGATGCAGAGCCACAGTCACTCTGTTATTTAAAAGTATGTGGAAAGTCAATGCTTTGTTAAAGTAGAATGAATTAATGAATGAATGAATGAATGAATTGCCTATATATTCATTATAATCTCTCCTTTTATTTTATTTTTGATAGCTTAGAGTTATTATTTGGTTTGGATAGTCTGTTGACACAGAAGTTATTATTGACAGAGCCACATGAATTTGTTGTAATATAAAAGAATAAAAGAATACAGAATAAGATCCTTGGATTTATCTTTTGATCTCTAAAGAAGCCTTGTGCTCTTCAGCTGGATATACTTATAACACAAGACAATGTAGGGCCTTTGATTTTTTATTTATTTATTTACTTCTTTCTGTGGAGATAAAACATGGCGTTAATTATACCGTGCACTGCATAGATAAATTGAGCTCATTTTGGCTCACTATAAAGTTATAAAGTGATACAGATGATACAGATGATACACATTTTACAAGCGGGGATTCCCTCCAGTTTCCTGTTTATCTTTTTTAGTGAAGTACACAAAACAAATTGCCAAGTTTTTATTTTGTTCTGTGCATTAAATTATTTGAGATATATTTCAAGATTTATGTTACTCAGATACTGCAAATTGTGTATCAGTAACTTGTAAGTTCTAGTGTAATATGCCATGTGAATAAAATTTGTAAAGTGTTTACGTAGAACTCCAATTGTATGCATGCCGTAAATTGACAACCTCGCGCTCTATTTGACATACACTAGATTATATGTACACACTTCCAAAGATTCTTAATTATTTATGACCTACTATATAGAAATCACTTTACAAACAATCTAAATTATATATATATATATCCCTATATTGCGTATTGGTAAATGTATATTTATCAGCCTAAATTTTCGGATTTTCTTGTATAATACTTGAGGTATTTACAAAGTGTTATCTCTGTAGATTGTAATATTGTTTGTATATTATTTAATATTTTTAGAAAATTTGTCTCTTACAAGGAACAAATAAATAACTAAATAAATAAAAAGAACAGACGGACGATGTACACCGATAATGCATATTTGTTACACCACTTTGCCTTGAAATTCTAGGAGGTAATCATGAGGACTTTTTTTGTGATCAAAAAAATATAGAAGAGAAAGAAAAGAAATACTGTGGTATAAGGGATAAAACTTGAAGGAAGGAGGCAAATTATGCACTTGTAAATTAGAAAGAAGTCTAGCCTTTCGTTGAACAATACGCAAACATTTTTTTAGTAAATACCTATCATGCTACTACTCTAATATTCCGTTGCAATCTACGTTTTCCCTTTATCCTTAATGATTACAGCTGTCGGATGGCTGGAATAACTTATTGAACCACTGGTTACAATGAATTTAATAGTGTGTACCAGATTTCAGTCTATTTAAACAATTCAACATATTGTGTATTTATTTATCATACAATCAAATCAAATTACCTGCTCTTTTCTTCTAATCTGAATTTGGGAATATCTATATCTGTGAGGTTTGACTATATTCTATATAGATACATATTTACTGCTTAAACATTGAGTACATAGCAGGCACATTCTGTTTCGATAGCTATGATTTGCGACTTATAAATTGAATATACTTTTATCTCTTTTATAACTTTGCAGTTTATAGTGATCTTGAGAAAAAGTATTGACACTATTGGGACAATGCCTCTTTGACAGTATATACCCCATTATTAACATTTCTCTGTGAGATAGATTGTTTCTATTGTCTTTTTCCATCCAAGCTACAGTGGTCCCTCGATAATTTCAAGGCTCTGAAGACCCACCTCGAAAAATAGGGCTAAACTTTCACGATAATTTTTGGCCTTGAATCCTTAACGAATTTTTTTTTAGCCAATCATATGAGAGCAATATAGTTAAAGCTTGATTTAAAAATATTTAATTCAGATTTTTCACGATTTAGTAATAGACATTGATGTCAAGTGCGTTAAGTTTTCATGCCAAACACTGGGTTTTCAAGTTGTCATCTAGCTTCATTTTTTTTCAGAAATAAAATAAAACTATGTGCTATTTATTGATAAGGCTCTATTTATTAATTGTTTAGTAAAGATCATTCACTTGAAAAAAAAAATATATTTAATTCTAATTTTTGGAAATAAAAGTTTTTGTTATGCATTTTATTATTGCTATCTGACATTACTATCTATTATAACTATTTATCATTATTTACAAATACATTACAAAGTCGAACTTTGACTATACTCAACTTCTAACTTTCTTTTCTATTTTTAAACAAATTAAAATGCGTTTGTTATAAAAATGGTTCTTATTTTATTTTATAAGAAATATATCTTAAAAAGGCTTGAAAAAACTGGTAACTTTTATTTGCTTTGAGTACGCAGTTTTCTGATATTTAGTGCAGAGGCCTTCAATGATATTAACAAAGTATCTATCAATATCTTCGTCTTCCAAGATATCCAAAAGTATAAATACACTCAATTTTTTCTGAAGCAGAGTATGTTCTCTTAAGAGAAACATGTGAATCTAATTCAGTAATAAAAATAGAAGAGCCCCCCCCCCTAGGCCTTGAAATTATCGAGGGACCACTGTACCTGTGCACCAAAAAAAACCGCATTCGATCTTTTTACCTCGTTCTGCTATTTCTCGTACTCTTCTCCAAATTACCTTTACCTTACTATTATCAACTTTACTGCTCTCACCTCTCTTATATGCTGATCCCAAATATGACAGCATCTTCTTTACATTTCCCCTTTTATCATTCGTTGGATATTCAATTCCAACATCTACCTATCGTTTTTCACCTTATTACCTATTTTTATTATACTCTTGTTTACGATATTACTAGTCTCACTCTTTCAACAACAACTCATTCTATCTTTTTATTTTCTTCTTTCTTCAAAAAAACCGCCCTCCTTTAAAAATATTTCTGTTTACGAGATTGTCTATAAAAGCAATCCATATCTGTGATCTAATTTGTCTTGAAAGACTTGAGTTGATAATATAAACAGACGATTAATACCAGTATTTTGGGGTTAAGATCGTTGTTAGTTATTATTTACTGAAGTTATTTGTTTCTTTGACCGTTGGTTCACTTGCACAACACAACCAACACACACACGCGTCAATATCAGGTTGGTGCTCTTGTTTCTTTAGGTGGAAGCCATAATCATAATTAAAATGTACCAAATTTGCCGCTTATGAGACACTGGTTTCTTGAGTCTTAATATAACTACAATATAAAGTAACTTTTCTGCTTCGAATTAGAAATGAGAGATGTTTTAGAAGCACTTCACGCATGAATAACCATCAAGAAGGACTGTAAATCAGGAACCCTTAGATATATATTCGCAAATTGATAAAGAGATACACTTGACCGCAACTCATGCAAAAAAAAACTTACCATTGGCAAAAAATCGAATTCATTAGGTTTTTAAAAGGGCTAAAATACAAATACATCGTCATGTGAGCAATAACAATAGAATCACATTTTTCTTACAATCCTCCTTATTTTCTCTTTCTCTCATTATCAATTAGTCTATAAAAAGATATAAATTATTGAATTTCATGACGAGGTACAGTAAGAAAAAGCAAGTTCACTTTGATACTAAATTAACTTCTTCATGGCCTGTATATAGAAGCATTAACAATGGACAAAATTATAAACTGACCACCTACTAATACAACAACGAGCATTATATTAAGATAAAGATGTATAGCGAAATAGTATAGCCTTTTATTTTAAACATGTGTTGATCTTTTAAATAGTTTACCGTTTAGAGGGACTCCTTGTAAGGAACGAAAGCCCACGAAGATGGCATCGGCGACTACTTTAAAGAGCTGTGAATCAAAGAACGAGTTGATCGATTCTGATCAAAAAACTGGTGAAAACGAGAAGAGAAATGCTGATTATAGAACTCTTTTGTTCTCATCCAATAAGGTATTGCGGCATGATCTATCTGAAAATATATCTGACATTGTCCGTCAAAAACTGGAGAAAGCCAGTAAATTATTTATTGTTTTATCCATGTTTGGAATCATTGACAGAGCAACACTAGCATCAATATTTTGGCTTAACTTCATAAATAAAGAGTCAAGTTTAAAGTAACAAACACATAAATTATCATAATAGACTGGCTGACGATTATTGGGTACAAGTAGCTGCTCTCCTTTAGATCAATTAATTATCAGCATGTCTTGAGCTGACTCAACATACCATTTTTTTTCTAAAAGTTATTTGAAAACAAAAAGTTAGCAAGAAGTAACTTATAAAAGAAAATCTAGCGTACTCGTTTTTGCCAAGAAGAAAATCACGTGAAAATACAGTACATTTTCATGGAGTTGTAATAAGAATACGTAGTTTTCGTCATTACGAGAGTCGATTCATAGCTTGACACTTCTTTTTTGATTGTGAGCCTTTCTTGTAATGTAGAGGCACGACTTGACGCTTACATTAAAAATTAAAGGAACAGCACATTTTCTTGTGTGTTTTTCCTCTACAATATACTTAAGAGAAGGTATTCGTGGTTTCTAGCTATACAGTCAGATACGGGTAATTCTTGTGGTTTTGTCCAATCTAAAAGATTCGCTGTTATTTTACTTTTGTTCAAGTCTACTATAAACACAAATACTATAGTTATAGATAATTTTTGCAGTAATACCAGCAGTAATATAACGTGAAGGTTTGTTGGATGTACGTTCTATGCTAAATAAGTTTGATAGACATCATGCCCACATTCCAAGCATATGGTTAAATACAGAAAGAAATAAGAATAAAATATATAGATAACCGAAGCTTGTTGATTGCTTTCGCAGCACTGCTTACTAGCCCATGCCAACAAACGTGAATGCTGCATTTATGCCCACATTCCAAGCATATGGTTAAATACAGAAAGAAATACAAATAAAATATATAGATAACCGAAGCTTGTTGATTGCTTTCGCAGCACTGCTTACTAGCCCATGCCAACAAACGTGAATGCTGCATTTATGCCCACATTCCAAGCATATGGTTAAATACAGAAAGAAATACAAATAAAATATATAGATAACCGAAGCTTGTTGATTGCTTTCGCAGCACTGCTTACTAGCCCATGCCAACAAACGTGAATGCTGCATTTATGCCCACATTCCAAGCACATGGTCAAATACAAAAAGAAATATAAAGGGAGAAAAGGCTGACGCGTTGCTCTGAAAAAAAGTAAATTCTTAATCACAAAAGGGTGATTATTGTAAGAAGACGACAGTCACATTTCTAATTCTTTTTTTTCAGTATTCTTTATTGGTACAGCCGTCGCGCTTGCCGCGCGGCCATTAAAAAAAGTATGTGCTTATGCACATTAGGACAGAGAAAGAGAGAGAAAAACTACCGATCACGTGGATCAAAAAAGTAGTGAAAGGGAAGATATGGGTGTGGTGATCCAGACACTCGGATGTTGGATTTATCACATATAAGAACATATTCATATTGGGATAGCGTGGTAGCTATCATCTTGTCAGTATAAAATATATATAAACGATTAAGTAGTCAGCCCAATAATTATTACAGTTAGTACTGTAGATAATATCTTAAAGATTGTTAAGATAATTATATCATACTGCCGGGTAAACTGTGTCAGATCGATATGGAGCTAATTTAGTAGGAAGTCCTAAAGCTCTAGTGTAAAAGAGAAAAGAATAGCTAAGAGCTAAAGAAGTACAATTTATGACTTGATATCATAATTGTAACACCGGCACTAGTTAAGCAGTAAATACACTCTAATAACCAAATATAGTAAAGGAAGAAAGCCTTAAGAAACTAAGACGTAATGACAAGAGCAGATTGTGTTTTCTTATAAAAAGGGACACTTTTTATTTATGAATAAAGACAACTTATATACAGTCTCAAAGTATTTCTATACGTCTCTATCATCAAATATTTTATTTTTCTATTGTTTCGTACCTGAAATACCACATATTACAATAAAAAAAACAAATTATAGGTCTCTATATTGACCAAGATTTAATTTTGGGCCGCAGTTAAGTTCCTGCCACACTATATACTTTGTTGTTGTTGTTGTTGTTGTTGTTGTTGTACTATCTGTTGCATCTGACATTACAAGACCAACCAACTCCTTGACGTCTGCTAGGTGGACTACCTTTGGTTTGAGCTGGTCATTTACCACCACCGGAATGCCATTGTATAATACAGTACTATATATCAGCACCAAAACAAGGGGCCACCTTTTACCAGAATTCTCATGTTCAAAGAAAAGAATTACTTTTCCAAAGAAGTCCTTTGCAACGGGAGTGTATTGGCGACGTACATTTGTGAACAGATCGACTTGCACCTGAAGACGAACATGATGCGCCTCTCTTAATGTATTTTGGGCAAATGAGGAGTCAATCACACAGCCATTAATAAAAGCTTTGCGACTAGTTATTATAGCTGGTTCAATCGTCCTGCATTCAACCCCCTTTGATCTATAAAAGTCTTGAATAAGAATCAGAAGACAAGAAATGTCTTCGAAACTGTCATCAATTGTTTTATATCCTAAAGGTCTCCAGAACTCAATATCGGAATCTGCACCAGCACGCTCACCCTCACTAGTAATTGGCCAACCAGCAGACATATCTTCATACTGTAATACAACACCTCTCCATTTGCCTCCATCAGAATCAGTCAACAATTGCCGTGTACAAGCCAGCCTGACCATTATGTTTCCAGCATTCACACCAATTGCCAACTTGCTTTTGATGGCGTGAGAATACTCACCAATAGCATGCTCCATTGATCTTGTGCTGTATGCACAAGGAGGACCAAAGGCACTGATCATAACGGGGTAATGTTGTAGAATGTGCTGGTTGATGGTAAACACCGTTATTTCTATTTTATCATTCTAATAAAGGTCTTCGAGATACATGTTCCATAATTGTAATTTTCTAGAAGAAAATTATAAGTGGCAAGAAAAAAAAACACTGAATCTTATTAAACATACCTTTTTATAGAGGTTTGTTCCTCTGCTGATAACTCCCAGCTCATGAGTACATTGCAAGCTTGCACAAGTCCAAGCAATGCTTTCCTGGCAGTTGTATCTCTTACACGCTCGGCCACCAGTGTAGGGACAACAAAGAGAAGGAAATCGGCCCAGTCTACAGCCTTGAAGTATCCACTGTACTTGGATATGTTTCTCCAACAGCCATGAAATGCTGTCAGAATTGTTTTTCTTGTTGCTGCCATTGCCACGCCGATTTTCTTGAGTACATTAGCAAGAAGAAATAGAGAGTGTTTAATCCCATACTTTCCATCAATAAGCCCCCAAACCTGTTTGCCTATTCCATGGCAAAGGCCATGCATCTTGTCAAGGGTAAAAAAGAGCAGGCCTGTGAATGATGCCAGTGAAGAAAAAGGAGATTGTTCTACAAGACCCTTGCTGGACAAACTTGCTGGATCAAAGTTTTGGAAACTTTCCAAAGTGTGCATAGTAGTGTCTGGTAAAGATTTAAAATATTGGCCATGGCCAGGAGTTTGGCCCACAACATTACAGATTTGATAGCTACTTTTGCTCATATGACCAGCGTGACATGCCAGCTTTGCCACTGCCAGAATATCACCAGTTACAACAAGGACATGTACCTTTGCACAGATGGTGAGAGTTGGGGTTATGACAACCATTCCTTCCTCTTGGAGTACCTTGATGTCTGCCAAGGTTGGCTTCAAAAATGGCCAGAAGTCAAGTGGTGTGAAAGGACCTGGAATCATCGCAATTTGTAGCATCCGGCTTTTCTCATAATGGACCATCGGAGGAAGATTAAGAACTGTGGCATGCAGAATAGTAATCGAACTGGGAACATTATGAGGCGCAAAGTCATTGACAGACAAAGAAATTGCAACATCGTTTTCACCAGAGAAAAGGTGTTTGATTGATTAGTATGCATGCCTATCAAAGATGTCTGCCTTGCTGTCATCTGTCTTTTGCTTGTGATTGTGACAGTATAACATCTCATGTCTGGTACTATTGTTGGCCAAAGAAAGGGCAATTTGCCTGACCAAAGGAATCTGAACTATGGTTTTCTCGGCAATGGGTATACCGTCCTTATCGGTTTTGTTGCTTTTGTAGCAAGCTTCACCACAATGCTTGCAAGCAACCTCCTCTGCATCGTTAAACATCATACATCCATTTTGGCAGACGTTGTATACTGTTTCCTCTATGCTAGAGAAACGCTTCAAGAGCTCCTTGCCCAGGTATGGTATATACACTCTGTACGTTATCTTGGTTGACATCTCCAGAATGCTGTTGAGATGCGCAGCAAGCTTCTCATGAGCTTGATAGAAAATGCCAAAGTCATTGATGATTTTCATGAACTCCAGGTTCTTTGCATCATTGTTGCTTGAGACAGGAGAAGGCTGGCTAAAATCGAAAACCAAGGGAGAGGTACTACTTTCAATTTCACTCTCACATTCGATATCACACTTTAATAACGCAAAATCAAATTAGTACAATGCATTTGTATATGCATATATATATCTTACCATGTGATCATTGAGGTCAGTGTTGTTATTACCATCAGTGCTTTCATGACTAATTGTGCTTGTATTTTCTCTGTTTATTTGAAGCATTGATATTGTTAATACATAGTTTGCCTTTTTTAACTTTTGTTTTTCTCAAACTCACTTAAGTATAAAGCCTGAAATCGCAGCTGAAACAGACTGGCTAGGCACAATGTTAAGCACTTCTCAGCCATTTTCATATTACTATAGGTTTTTTTGCAAGAACTGCATTTATGAGGGAAAGTTTTTTTAATTGACGGCATTTTTAAGTAGGTAATTAAGTAACTTTGATAAGAATAGATATACTTATCTTCTCAATACGCATCTTTATACTTAATCCATTGAAGGTGACAATGATATAGATAATTTGAACTCCTTCACAGGACTCGTAAAGATAATAACACGTGGTATGTAGTTATTGCAGCTATTATAATAAAAACAATAAACCCCATTAAACCAATAGATATACTGAAATAAATCTGATAGTAATTAGAAAAAAAAATTTCCTCTTTTTCTCTTTTTTTCACAACAAACCCATGTTTCTGATTTTTCTAATACAATGAATAATACAGATTATACAATTCTCCAGATACTTCAGGGCATGCAAGAAACACTTTTTGCATTGCAAAAAGGCCAGGAAGAACTTCAGGTTGGACAAGACGCACTCAAGAAAGGTCAAGAAGCACCCCGGGATGAACAAGCATTGCTTAGGCAGGAGATTGCCAATGTTTGTAAAGATATGAATGGCCAAGAAAGCCCAGAGCTGACAATAGTACATAACGTAAGAAATAATAAAAGGAAGCAAAATATACAGGCTAACATAAGATAATACAGAATCTTGGTGGAGCAATTCCAAGACCAGTACCAAATATCAAAGATATAACTTTGGTACATATCTACAGAATGATGAGCCACAATCTTGGGGTTGAGCTAGATAAAGGAAACAAGGCAATCCTTCACACTTGTACAGGCCTTGTCTGCAATGAGCTGGCCACTCTTCCTTCTGTGCAAGCTCTGGAACAATATCTAAACTGGAGTGCAATTTCTTAAGAGGACAAGAACTGGGCATGTACCAGACATGCCTGTCTACTTAGAAACAATGGCATAGACTTTACCAGATGCTACAAAAACTGGGCATCTGTTGCAAAGGTCAGTCAATTATGAAAAAACCATAAAAAGCAATAGTAGACTGTAAGTCTGTGCCTGGTAGGTATCATATAATAAAATATCAACTATCAATAGAGTCTAGTAAATAAAATTATATTTAATCAGTATAATCTATATATAATAAACTATTTTTTGTTTTGATAACCAATAAACTATTTTGTATTTTGCCAACCAATAAACCATGTTCTATAAAATTTATTTCTCTTCCAACAACCAATAAAATACTCATTTATAAGAATATTTGGTGAAAAATATGTTTTTAATTCAATTAAAATTATTAATAATCCAAGCTCTATATAAATGAAAACCAATCAAGTGAATATGAATTGTAAAGTGACCAATGGTTTTAGATATAAGGTTAAGATGGAAATTTTAATATCCAATAAAAGAGAATTATAAATCAAGGCTTTTGTATATAAACACCAATAAAAAGTCAAATATAGATTACAAAAATGTGTATTGGTAACTGAATAAAACTTCACCTTTGTTAATAAGCGGGGTTATATGATAATCCATAACAGGCAGGAGGTGAAAAAGTGGGTAGGCAAAAAATACCCACCTGGGTAACCTTCTAAGCGGCCCCTCAGTGAACTCCCGGTGGACCTTCTTTTTTTCTCATAGTGTATGTCAAAGCAATATGGAGCTAATTTAGTAGGAAGTTCTAAATCTCTAGTATAAAAAAGAAAAGAATAGCTTAGAGCTAAAGAAGTATGATTTATGAATTGATATCATAATTGTAATACTGATATTAGTTAAGCAGTAAATATACTTTAATAACCAAATATAGTAAAGAAAGAAAGTCTTAAGAAACTAAGATGTAATAACAAGAGTAGATTATATTTTCTTATAAAAAGAGACACTTTTTATTTATGAATAAAGAACAACTTATATATAGTCTCAAAGTATTTCTATATATCTCTGTTATCAAATTTATTATTTTTCTATTGTTTCATATCTGAAATATCATATTTTCTATTATTTTGTATCTAAAATATCATAGATATCTTATTATTTATAATATTAACTATAATAATTATAGATCTGATTACTTAATTATTTATATATATTATATACTGATATTATAAGAGTTACTAATCTACCTCAATATGAATATGTCTTTATATATAATGAATTTAACAGCTATATAACTGAATTACTATAAGAGCTTACTGCTTTTATATTTATGAATAACTCAAACTTTTTTGGTTGCAATATATTAATTGATACGTTTTAAAATATACAATGTAAAACATCGTAAGCCCCTGTGGCGCAGTAGGCAGCGCATTGTGCTTATACTTCAAAGGTATACCAGAGTCACGCAGTGGTCGCGAGTTCGAACCTCGCCAGGGGCATATTTTTATTTTGCATCGGACTTTCCTGAGAATGTGTCGGGATGTCGGACATTATTCTACCAAGTCCTCAATCTGAAATTTACAGTGTTTCTACTTAATATTGAGCCAAATTAGGAAATGCTTTAGACAAATCAAAATTCATTTTTAGACAATATGCTTACCTTTTGTGGATAGAATGAGAATGCAATTTAGACAAAGAAAAATTAGTTTTCAGGAAAAGTAGAAATTTATTTAGACATTTTACCTGTAATTATCTAAATGTCTCAGAGATAACCTGATTACATTAGTGATGGGATTTTTATTGCTTTTTTGATTATAGTAGTGCTTACTGCTTGCTTTCTAGCCTTTATCAGAACTTTGAAAAGCTGTTAGACTTTTGAATTTTAAATTTTAAATTTTTATTTCTGCACAAATAATTGGGCTCATTAAGAATATCTTTAGGGGTTAGATTTCGAAAAACATTATATATAGTATATAGTAGCCATACCGAGAATTGAATACAGATTGAGAAGAGATGCTCAAGATATGCTTATTTTATGAAAAAAAAATTGAACTTTTTGACAATCCAAATGCTCTTTCTTTACTAGTCATTTGATTTCTATAAATGCATTAAAAATATAAATTTAATAATTTCAATATTGTCAGGTTCATAGTGAACATAATTTATATATTATTTTTTGATACTCATTTCTATAGACCATTATTTGCTTTAACAAAGGCTATAAGGAACAACTTTAATCACAAAGGTCAATTGATAATTGTTGTGGTGGTTGAAGTTGAAGAAGTTTTTAAGAGGAAGAATTGAAGATTTGAAATTAGGAACGAAGATTCGTGAGAACTTGTGTAGGTTTTGTTTATTGAGAAAGATTTTGTATCAAAGTTTGACCAGGTTCCTACACTGAACTACTACTGCTATTTATATTATTTTGGATCGGGAAAATTATATGACTGGGGTCAGGTAATCGATCCTATCTGAGCCTTAATCAGAGCAACGTGATCTTGGGATAATTAATGTATGATTAATTATATAAATGTGTGTAGTCCCAATGAAGTATTAACATCGAAAGTAAATGTGTTTATGAGTTATAATTATGCTTATAATAATCCACTGATGTATCCCATATTATGGTGATATCATCATATGAAATATAATCACTATCATGCATGCTAAACCTGTGTGTTAAATAATAAAGTAATCGGTAGACACCTTTGACTGGAATAGCTGAGGCCTTATATTATTTCCTTCAGACTTATTCTCAATTACAGCAGTAGTCAATACTCATTTACAACAATAATGATATATGAAATTTAACTGCTGCAGATACTCTTAATAAATCAATCACAATACAGTATAAATTGCTGACCACATTTTGATATCAATAAGCATCTCTTTCTATTTTGGTTTTCTTTTGATACATTCAAAAGTTTTATTCTTGAAAAGGAGTTATCAATCATCAACGAAAAAAAAGTCTGGAGAAAACGTAGATGATCCTTTTAAAAGTAATAGATAGTAATTAATTCAATCAAGTCTATATTCTTATAACCATCTACCTTTTGTTATAGATATGATGCGTGAGGATTGTGGAGAAAGCAGACATGCAAATAAAACTATTACATATGTACATGTTATAAATAAACTTCAGTTGACGATGGTACATATATAAACTTGTTGTTTCTATATAAATTCTTCATGCTAATGAACCTTTTTTCTTTTTAACTACTATTATTAGTTAGAACATCCAGTAGAGCCGCAAAAAGTCAAAGTTCGGGTCTCAAGGAAAATGAACATAAAGCTTAAAGAAAAAAATCAGACACCGATTCTTCCTTAGTTCTTTGTAGAAGCTGTAAACAAGAGGATCACAGTACATCGCGATCTTATGAATGCCCTAATCATATACCATCAAAGCGCAAGGAGTTTTCAAACAATCTTGGATTTTCTTATAAAGCTTTAATGAGAAAATTCTCATTGAATACTGTCGTCAACAAGGAATACAAAATGTTACTAAGAAATAAGATCCTTATCACTTCAAATGATCTCCATAATAGTATATCCAGGGAAATTATGTTCATAAACAGCTACTGCTTGCCATCTTCTCACGATTCAATACCTAACTCCATTTACAAACAGACATTTCGGTACTTGGTGTGCCAACTTATTAATGACAGAAAAGTAACAAAGAGTGCTAATGTATTACCAGATCTTGTACAATCCTAGGATACCTATAGAGCCTCGATTACAAATGCCGTATACAATCAAAGCCTACAAAGCGGGACCAGCCAATGTCTGTCCGAAGCTTGCACTGAACTTGCAACATGCTATACCAAACATATAGTAGAAAACTTTGAGAAACAATCACTGAGTTTTTTTTTCACTACACACTGCAAAAAGTATTAGTTGTAAGTCATTATATTCTTGTATTTTCTAAAAGCAATCGGCAATATTATCATAAAATTCATACTTTTGTAAATTTTAGAATGTATCTCCAAAGGATATTAATAGCATTCCTGAAGAATGTTGCTATCAGTTTGTTTGTGGAGGGGACCCCATTTGGCCAATTTGTGCATCAAATTTACAAGAACTTCAAAAACCATCAATTACAAACACCTGTCAGTTGTTAAAAAGCCATATCCCGGACAAAGTGACTTTGGCTACTCTATCAGCACACCTTGAAAAGCATATCTCCATACTTTCGTAAATCCTGTCCGAGTATGAACTAGAACATACAAACCATAATCCCTTTGATATACGCAGGCTTCCCTTACCAAGACTATTTGCACTATTTCCAAAGCCATCTTTGCATTTTCGGTCAATAACTATTAGTGCAAATGCACCATCCTGTTTTGTGTCCCGACCACTGCCAAGAGGATATAATAATAAACTCTTATTATTCAAAAACGTGAGTAATATTTCTAAACTGAGGTGCAAGAGGTATATATACATCATTGTCAATTTATTAGGGAATAATAACCCTTATTATTTCATAGTTCTGACCTTGAGCCAAATGGCAAAAATCGAATCATGTTTAGAAATTTAATAAGAAAAGATGGAATTTCCATCGATTGCCTATTCTACAAGAGGAACCCAACTCCCATCGAAGTAAGAAACAGCACACTTCAACTTGAATTATCAAATTTTGAGTTCAATGAGGTACAACACAACTATAAGCCAATTTTTGTCGACTATGGACGAAAGGCCGTTTTTACTGCAGCAGAGAGGTTATCTACCAAAACGCATAGTTTACTGCAGGGCACAACTCGTGAATACTGCCATATGACCAGATCGACAAGATACCAAGCAGATCAACTTCGGCAGAAAAGACAAGACGGAATTGAAGCCATTAAAAGTCATATACCATCTCACAAGACAGCCTCCCATGCAGCATATATTGATCACGTACAATATGTGGTATTTCAGGTACGAAACAATAGAAAAATAAAATATTTGATGATAGAGACGTATAGAAATACTTTGAGACTGTATATAAGTTGTCTTTATTCATAAATAAAAAGTGTCCCTTTTTATAAGAAAACACAATCTGCTCTTGTCATTACGTCTTAGTTTCTTAAGGCTTTCTTCCTTTACTATATTTGGTTATTAGAGTGTATTTACTGCTTAACTAGTGTCGGTGTTACAATTATGACATCAAGTCATAAATTGTACTTCTTTAGCTCTTAGCTATTCTTTTCTCTTTTACACTAGAGCTTTAGGACTTCCTATTAAATTAGCTCCATATCGATCTGACACAGTTTACCCGGCAGTATGATATAATTATCTTAACAATCTTTAAGATATTATCTACAGTACTAACTGTAATAATTATTGGGCTGATTACTTAATCATTTATATAAATTTTATACCGACAAGATGATAGCTACTACGCTATCCCAATATGAATATGTTCTTATATGTGATAAATCCAACATCCGAGTGTCTGGATCACCACACAATATATTTTGACTCACTTGGACGCGTTATATGATTTTTATGGCAGTAACACTGCCAAAGATCAGTTTCTCCTATATTAAGGGCGCCAGAAAGCAACAGAACAAATGGTGAACATCTTGATAAACAGAAATAGCAAATATAACAAGAAGAGAAAAAAAAGAAGAATAAGGAAGAAGCCACAAACCCTAAATCCAACAAGCCAACAAGCCAACAACCCAACAACCCAATAAGCCAACAAGCCAACAAAGTGAGTAATTAATCTTTTTTCTTTCTTCTTTCTTTAGTTGAAATTTCTAATCTTTTTCTTTTTCTTTTTGAAAAGTTAAATAAGTGGAAACCCCTCCCGTATAAAGAAGAAAAAAACAAAAATCCCGTTAATTGTTTTTTGGGCCGGTATTGACACGGTGTGTGTTCTTTTGGTTCCACTTAGACCACGAATATCCTGCAAAGAAGTATGACGCTCTTTGCAGGATTTCCTTCAATCCCCTTGCACAAGACATACACTTGTGCATTGTATTTCATCATTGGTACTGCTTTAATAGAGCTTTATAGCAAAGTAGTATATACTGTTCACATATAAAAGTCTTCAGATGAAGCAATAATAAAACAGAATCCTTATCTATCCTTATTTTATTGATCAAATCCCTTATTTTACTTTTGTTTATACATTTATTTCATCGTCACTGACTTATAACAACTCTTCGCGATAGTTATAAGCATACTTCTTGTTATATTTGTCCTTTCTATACACATTTTACTACATCTCCTTACTGTTGGATAGACCCGAGCGTTATCACAGTAATTCATCTATATCTCTCTATATATTTGCCTTCTGAACTCGTTGGCAACTCTATTTTCATTTATTATTTTTCTGACAACGTTGCACCACACCAACTCAACACTTGTCAGTATGTTCGGGAAGGACTTGGTAAGACTAAATAATAGCCGATGTGGAGTGACAGAAATTTTGTGGAAGGCTTTGAAGAAACGAGAGAGATGGAGGTCTTGTCGCTGTTCCAATAGATGAATACAATACCTCAAAGACGTGCAACAATTGCTAGGCGAAGAATGTAGAATTTGCAAATCACACTCGTGGTTCCAGTGTACTGGTCTGTAAAGCCTGTAATACACTGTGGCAGCGAAATGTTAATGCTGTAAAAATATGATGACAATTGTTTTGTCAACTTAGAGAGGAACCCATCGACCGACGGCTTTCCAAAGATCTGATAAAGGCAAGCAAGCAAATAAGAAGCAGTCCGCAGCAGCAGCAGCAGCAACAATAACAAAAACAATCCAGTCACTGTAACGTAAACAGGTTGTCTCTTTGAGACATTTAGACAAGTACAGGTAAAATGTCTGAATAAATCTCTACTTTGAAAGCTAATTTTTCTTTGTCTAAATTTCATTCTCGTTCTGTCCACAAAGATAAGCATATTGTCTAAAAATTAATTTTGATTTGCCTAAAACATTTCCTAATTTGTCTCAATCTCAAGTAGAAACACTGTATTTTCTGGCACTTGTAGCTAAGTCAGACGGCCCGATGCAACGATGGGGGTTGTTCATATCGCTGCATTAGCTGCTCTACCCAACCTATTCACCCGTTTCTGTGCTCTTCAAGCCAAATTTCTTCGTCGTGCTGAAACACTACCTTCAGACTCCCTGATCAAAGCTCTTACCACGCAGCTGGACCTTTCCAAAGAAAAAACGACATGGGGTGAGCTTCGTCGTAGTGTACTCTGGAAAAAGGCCCAATTGCTGAAAGAACATCAACCTTGGTTGAAGGACCCATTAAAAGAAGCTTATGTTCTACTGTGCCAAAAATAAATCGACATGCAACTTGCGAGCGTTAACCGTCCGGTAACCGTCGCTAGAGGCTTGTGCAAACCTGTCTGGGATCCAGTCTTACTACTTCCCTGCACTCGTTCAGAACGACGCCGCCTGATCAAATGGCGAATTGCTTGGCTACCACCTACACCATCAGTTGAGTGCCAATGTGGCGCTATCAAGGGTAACCGAAACCACATGCTGATATGCCCCGCCACAATCACTCTCGTTCAAAAACTCTGGTCTTTGATGGATCCTGCTCCTCCCTCAGAGGTTCATCTCATCGACTATGCTCTCAACTGTCTCCCCAGGTCTTTCAAATCGCCTGATACGTGGTGCGATTGGTGGCCGTGCTTGCTTGCCTTGCTACGTGCTGTTGATCAAACCACCTCATCCTACAAACTACCAGAAGAAAAAGCTCATGGTCAAATCCTCATCGACCTTGCAGCAAAATTCCGTGACACAAAACCAAACCGTCTCCACCGCATCCCGCCGCCCACCCAAGAACCTCTTCCTGGTGATCCGTTCCCTCATCTTCTATCCGAAATTTCCACCGTTCCTCATCAACCCCCTCCATCTGTGCCCTCCCGAAATTGTGCCTAGGAGGACTGACTTGGTCTGGTACCGTTGTGTATTCTGGATCCATAAATGGATCGCCCGAGTTTCTAAAAGGAATCCCTCTTTGGAGCTCCTATCCCTGCTGAAATCCGTTCCCAATTCTGGTGCCGTCAGTACCTAGTTACTTATTCTCGATTCTTTCGTGTCATTTATTTATCTTATATATTTATTTCACCTGTATTCTTACCAGCTGTATTATCTATTTTAGTCTTAGTCTTTCTAAAAGCCGTTTTTTCCCACAGGGGGTTTTTTACGTGCTCTCTTACTGTTTTGCTGACTATTCATATTTGTCTCTGTCATGCGTGTTCCATACTTTTTCTTTATTTATCCTTCACTTTTTACACATTTTTTTATTCCCCCTCATATTTAGGGAGTTACTTTTATTATTTTCATTTATTCTTCAGCTCTCATCGGGTAGCCAATATGCTAAAATGCGCAAGGCCTAGAAAAACCCACAGTAAAAATTATTTTCACCTGTAGCTAAGTCGCATAATTATTACCACTGGGAATTGTCAAGTTTATGAATAGTCTTTAGATAAGAATAAAGATGCTTTTTATTAATTATAATTCTTGACTAAATGACACTTGATTCCTAGCTAAAATAATAGCTATTATAATATGTCTTAGATGCTAGCTGTCTAGTAATATACTTATAAGCATATTCATCATCTTAATCAGAAAATTTGAATATATCTTATGATATAAGTTTTTGAAGTGAAGCTACCTAACCCAATTTTTTTTACCCGAGTCATATTGGCTTTACATATTATGAAGGTCAATATAATATGCCCTGGTTTATAGAAATAATATCCAGCTGGTATAATACTGAGGACATACGTTAAAAGAAATAACCGATTAAATATCTGACTTGAGAGTTTTTAGTTATAATAAAGGTAAATGTTAAACTTATAGAAAATTAAATGCAATAATAAAGTCTACTAACCTGTCAAACTTTTAGTATTTGTGTAAAAAAGGTAAGAGTAAATAAAATTACTAATATTATTAAAAGATAGACAAGGAAATTAGCAATATTGTTGATTTAGTACGAAAAACATTCGATTTTTGGGCTATGAGATCTAAATTAGATTTTTCTTTGAGCTGGATATATCTCAGTAATAGCTTTTTCTGGGCATATAATATACTTTATTCATATCATATAAGAGTTTTTCCCTCTCAAAAGTAACAAAGACCAACAATATTCAAATTTCTTTGTGTTGTTCAAGTGAGAAGCTATGAATATAGAAAATGTTTTCAAGTCAGTAATGATATCCCTCCTATAATTGAGCTCTTGAGCATTATTATGAGACTACTGCCAAATAAAGATGGCAATATAATCTGCCTGACTTGTTTTTCTGAACTTTATCATACTGTCTTGTTGATTCTAGAGTGCCGATATTTAATTCTGCCACTCTTTTTTACAGGCTTAGCTTGTTAATAAATTATCCCCAGAACTTCTTAAAGAGTCGGAGAGATACAGCTATAATGTTAATCTCTATATACCCTGACATCCAGAATAGACAAAGAGAAAATTAGTGGAAGAATAAATTTCCAAGTTCGTCTAGGAGTGAGAAAACATCGAAGGGTACAAGGAAGTAGTTTTGAAGAGAAGCTTTGAAGCTACAATAAGTATAACTTTTTTTAGTTAAGCTGTAAAAGTTGACATGATTACCGCAAAATCATTTTTTGTACTACTGGTTAATTCACGCATCTTCAAACTAGTGAGTTTATACTGTTTCTTTGAATATTCTGACAATATATAAAATGTGATATAATAGTATTGTATACACTACCTTCGCATTTACACTGAGTAGGACATTGATAACTTGGTGGAGATGCGGACCAAGTCTCAGTTTAATATTAGTTATGTAGCTAGCGTGGATCTTTGTGACCGCAAACATAGCAATCTGGTGGGTATTTGAGAGAATAGTGCAGATATCGAAATTTGTATAAATATAGGCATTGGTATGGCGGTTAATTAGCTCACTATTCCGTATTGTTCTTTCTGTTATTTGGTAGGAGTTAGTTTAGCAATTGGTTAATGGGAGAAATATCTCGACAAAGAAGTCTTGATTGGTAAATACATTCCACTTAAACGGTAGACTTCAGGATATCTCATCGAATGATATCTACGTGTCAATTTCAAAATTGTAAGTGTCGATTGTGTGTACCTTAGAAAACGGATCTTATAATAGTCAAAGATTCCCTGGAACTCGCACAGTATATTATAATCGTACCTTGACAGTATACAAGTCAAGTTTTAATAAGAATATAAAATAAATTGAAAGAAATAGACTATTATTAGTCGATACTAAAGATATAACTGAGCAAGATATTCTTACAAAGCCAATTAAAGACCTTAATTAAGTAAAAAACGCTGTGAAATAAATTGATTTGTACTTTTACGTTATTGGTTTTTTTTATGGATAATTAACCCCTCTTCATTTTTTTATGGCTTTAATAGTATAAATATGAGCTCATATATTCGAGAAACAAATGATTGTTGTCAAATATGGAATCACAATCAAATAATATTAAACTTCTTATATGGATTTACGAAATCAAGCTGTATATCTCAAGCACTATATATCCTTATATAATGCTAAAGAAGACAATAGATGTGATAAGTGTAATATAATAGCATATTTACTATGAAAATATATGATGTATTAAAGAATCTATAGCTAACAATTGTGATAAATAAAGATTGCTTTTTAATATAAAATCACTATTCTTTTGGTAATACTCATATAAAAAACGACTATTGTCCAGAAAAAATACAATTACAAAAGGTAGAAAATATATATCGGTGCTTGTAAAGCTTTACATTTGCTATAGAGTTGGTATATATACTTATTAATGAAAGACAGTATGTGAGAAGGGAGAAGAATAGGAATGGTCGTCATGGACCACATCTTTTTTCCCGCAGTTATTAGAATCGATTAATCCATCTACAGCTTTTAATTCCAATATCTTGGATTCACAACATGTGAACTCAAATAGACGTTATTGAAATCAACTCCATAGAACTCAGCCCATTTATTTACCTTTAATTAATTACCAAGAAGAAAATGAAATAAATAGAATGAGATAAGATGATTGAAGTCTCAATAATAATTCATTTTGGAGCTGTTCCAAAAATCTACTTTTAAGAATTCTACGCGTGTAGTATATCACCCAAGACTGCTTGGCGCCTCTCCGCTCGGATTAGTAAAAGTTTTCTTAATAAGAAAACTTTACTGGTCTCCCAGTACATATTTCAGATTAAATAAATAGAAACAATAACAAAAACAATCAGAATGAAAATGCCCCACGCTATTTACCTGCTTAAGACAAGTATTAACCCAAAAACTATGTTAGCTTTTCAAAGTTACAATTAATGAATATACTATGCTTGTTCCATGGTATTTGTACCACTATTATTATCTAAACAAGACATTCATTGTTTAGTCAGACATACCCTACTATTCATTGCTTAATAAAAAGTATCTCGATCGCAGAACCTAATAATTCGTAAGAACCTTGTCTACATACCATACAAACATATGGCCAAATTCACTGAAGACCCGCTCTTGGACCTGGGTAAAAAAATTATGAAATCTGATTTTACTGGGACTTATTGAGTTTCAACACACTGTAAATGTTTAATTTTTTTTTAAAAAAAAAGTATCAATGCATTGTATGTCAAAGCGGTTAAAGAGCGGAATATATTTGATTTCCTCTTGCGTTCTTTGATAATTACTGGTATCATTACGACTATGTCTGAATCTTTGATCGGTCACCAGAACCATCTTGACCTAGAAAGTTACATCGCCACCTACCAAGGTACAACCCTTCATTATTTTCCACCATGAGCTGCGCAAATTGATGATATAATCAACAATGATATTCAAGCCAAGTTTTTTAAAAAAAAAACACAGGTCATACGCGTATTGCTCGAGCTTTGTTTATTGCCGCCAAATGTCCTAGTCTCGAGATTGATGCTTACCGACTCGCATTGTCTGATATCAAGGAGATTACAAATGATACAACCAAATATCTTCATTGCGTCGACGAATTGAACAATGCCTTGAAAAAACAAAACTCTCATCCGATGGAGATTGATACCGAATGGGTGAAATCCACTCAAATTAGCAATAAGAAAACAATGGAACAGCTTCAGTCCGAGCTTAGAACATACAAAGCTGGACTGATTAGCGAGAGCATTCGAGTACGTATAAAGGGGATTAGGCTCAAGAGGTAGCCTTGACTTAAATATATTATCTTTTGTTCTTAGGTTACCCAGACTCGTATGGGCGATTTTTACTATGCATGCGGTGATATCCCAAACGCGTTGAAAAGCTATCATCGAGTACGAGAGCACTGCGCGTCCAATAAGCATGTTATTGAAATGTGCTTTAATGTCATAAAGGTAAGTTAAAATGGCTTACTTATTCTACATATTCTCTAATTCTAATATGCTTTAGGCAAATATAACGGCCAACAACTTTGCTAGTGTCCGCACATACATTGCACGCGCTGAAACAACCCCAGATTTGCCAAATAAGACTATTACACTTGCCAAACTCAAATGTTGTAACGCACTTTTCCTTTTGTCAGCCGAAGAAGACGCCAAATACGGCACAGTCGCCAAGGCTTTGACTGAAATCCCAGCAGAAGCAAATGGGTCATTTAGCGATATTATATCACCCAACGATGTAGCTATATATGGTGGTCTATGCGCTCTTGCATCTTTTGACAGAAGCCAATTGAGATCCCTGATGGTAAACCAGGGATTTAGAAGTTATCTTGAGCTAGAACCTCAGATCCGTGATATTATCGAGGCCTTCCAGGATTCTAAATATTCTGCTTGCTTTGATCTTTTGAGCAGTTACCGGGTAAGAAAGTAACAATGTACATACAAGGAGGAAATTCATCGGTATATTGCGGGCCTGTAGAATGATTTGTTGCTAGATATGTATTTGAATCCGCATGTCGATATACTCTTTGGTCACATAAAAGAAAAGGCCATGGTCCAATACTGTGCACCATATTCGACTGTAGACATGCGTCGGATGGCGAACATATTCAAGATGAGTGTTGACAGTCTTGAAGATGATCTGGTCTCTCTCATTGGGGACAGCGACAGAATATCAGCTCGTATCGACAGTTACGAGAAGGTAAGCATAAAATAGTTCAAATACCCAAACAGAATTAACAACAATATTGGTTTCTAGATCCTTTATACAGTCCGTCCTGAATCTCGTAATCAGGCTTTTAAGCGCTCGCTACGAGCTGGAAAAGAGTATGAAAGGTCAACAAAGGCTCTAATGCTTCATCTGAATCTTGTCAGCAAAGAATTGTGCTCAGGAGGGGCCGAAAGTAGTATTAATTAGTTTATGGATCGAGGTGCTTAAAATTAATAGGAATAAATATGATAGGTTTTATACAAAAAGCATATCATACTATAAAAATGTATACATTGTATACTAGGCTTTTTTTTTTGGTGCATCGCATCGTCCGTCTGCTGGACCATCCAACCAACGCTCGAATACTTTCGTGCAATCAAACGTTTCTTTGCCTAACTTTACATTGACTTCATTGTGGCGCTGACAAAGCCATTCACTTAATTTTTTGCGACTGCCCACCCTAACAGGGGATTCTTTTATGGATCTTTGAAAGTCTTCCTATATTTTAGGCATTACTAGAAGATCTTGGCATGCACGTATTCAACAGATCCCTTACTCTGCAGTGCCAGCATGGATAGTTTTCTGCGAAAGTGTTGATAAATGTGCGCATGGTATCCATTTGAGACGGTGCGGGTCTATCGGGATAATATGCTGCTGTTGTATGAAGTAGTGTCCAGCTTGCCTTTCCAAGTGACTTAACATCAACTGGGCAATTGTGCTCACGCCATTCATCGGTGGCTTTATCAGAAAGATATTGGAGGCATGAATGAAGAGTTGCTAAAAGAATGGCGCGTATTCTTACTGGTATTCGATTTTAAATGGGAAGTCTGATGATCAGAAGAATTTCCCGATTGGGGAACTGTCATGGTAAAGAATGTCAAAGATTAACTGTGGACTGAGATGCAAGAAAATAGCCTGTGCGAATAATGTTTATAGGAAACAAGGGGACTGAGTTTATTTAAAGAAAATGTAAGGTTGAAAGATAATTTGAATTGTATAAAAATAAAAAATTGAAATATGTGTATAGAAAGTACAAACGTTTATATTAATATTGCTATATTTTGATGTACCAATATTTATAAAGATATTTATTTAGTAATTAGTAAATCTTATAATTTTTATCTAGCTATTTATTTATTTTTTACAAAAGGCAAAAGTGCATTATTATAAACTATACATATAACAAAGTTAACACTGAAAACGATGTACATTTATTAATATATTGTGTATTATTTACAACACTCTGTTATATTATTATAATACCAATTTTTTGCTGTTGTTATTACACCAAATACTTGGCTATTAGTATCTGAAATGGATACTTTATTGTTCTTTATTAAATAGAAATAAATAGCTGCTGTTTGATCTTTAAATTATACTTGGTTCCCTAGTTTAAGATACCTGTTAATTAATTTTTGACTATTGCTGAGGTGCTGGAAGGTGTACTAGTGCATGGTGAGTGTTACGTTTCTGAAATATAGCTCTGTCAAATTTATTAGCAGCTGTATGTTCTATTCTGGACTGTAAAGTTTTTATTTGACTCAATTGTGGTGCGTATACCACAAGAATGATTTAATCTCTTTCTTGTACTCTATTGCATTATATCTATCTTTATCACAAATGTTCTCACCTTATCATCATAAAAAGAATAATATTGTCTTAAAGTTTAAAATCTGTCTTTCGAGAAAATAACAACTGCCCTTTGCAAAAACAAAAAACCGCCCTTTGCAGGAGAAAACCGCCCTTTGCAAAAATAAAAGATGTTATTTATGAAAAAAACTCTGCTCAATCATAAATTAAAAATAGAGTATATAAATACTTCCGATAGAAACTTATTAAATAAGTGATAACTATAAAATACTATATTTATGCTGTGGTGGTTGAACGTTTTTTAAGAGGTAGTTGTTTTAAAGAAATAAAGATTTATAAAAACTTGTATAGAATTTATTTATTAAAATAAATTAGTTGTATCAAAATTTGATAAGGCTTTCATATTGAACTACTACTGTTATTTAATTATTTTGGATTAAGAAAGTTATATAACTGTAATTAGATAATTAATCTTATCTAAGCCTTAATCAGAGCTGTAAAGCTTTAAGATAAAAAAATAAGAAATCAGAGGTATATATAAAAATAGTTTGAGATTATATATAAGTTATTCTTTATCTATAAATAAAAAAGTGATTCTTTTTGTAAGAAAATATGATCTGCTCTTATCATTATAGCTTGGTTTCTTAAGATTTTTTTTAGTATATTTGGCTATTAAAGTATATTTATTACTTAATTAGTATTAATGTTATAATTATGATATCAATTTATAAATTGTATTTCTTTAGCTCTTAGTTATTATTTTTCTTTATATTAGAGCTTAAGAACTTTCTATTAAATTTTCTTTATATAATTCTGATATAGTTTATCTAACAGTATTGTTGTAAATGAGTATTGACTGTGGTATACACACCACAATTGAGTGAAATACAAACTCCACAATCCAGAACGGATACTACAATTGCTAATGAACCTGGCAGGATCACATCTCAGGAACGTAACACACACCAGGCACTCATACACTTCACACTGCTTCAGTGATAACCAACCATTAACTAATGGAGATCTTAAATTAGAGAATCAAATGTCTATATAAATAGTTATGATCTTCTTTCTTAAATAAACAACACTCTCACAGTACCTATTGTTCCCTTTCTGAAATTTATTCATATACCTCATTGACTACTGCTGTAATTGAGAATAAGTTTGAAGGAAATAATATAAGGCCTCAGCTATTCCAGTCAAAGGTGTCTACCAATTACTTTATTATTTAACACACAAGTTTAGCATGCATGATAGTGATTATATTTCATATGATGATATCATCATAATATGGGATACATCAGTGAATTATTATAAGTATAATTATAACTCATAAACATATTTACTTTCTATGTTATTACTTCATTGGGACTACATACATTTATATAATTAATTATATATTAATTATCTCAATATCATACTGCTCTGATTAAGATGTGGTGATTCAGATACTTGGATGTTGGGTTTATCACATATAAGAACATATTCATATTGGGATAACTTAGTAGTTATCATCTTGTTAGCATATAAAAAATATATAAATAATTAAGTAATTGGGCCAATAATTATTACAATTAGTTCTGTAGATAATATCTTAAAGATCATTAAGATAATTATATCATACTGTCAGATAAACTGTATTAGAGTGATATGGAGCTAATTTAGTAGGAAGTCCTAAAGCTCTAGTGTAAAAGAGAAAAGAATAGCTAAGAGCTAAAGAAGTATGATTTATAACTTGATGTTTTAATTATAACATCAAAACTAGTTAAGCAGTATGTTATATTTATATGTGAAAAGGTAGAACAATAAGTACTTTAAGACTCTTTTTTATTATGTTTATTAAAAGTTTAAGTCAAATCAAATTGTCTTAATAAAAGTTATTTTATCTATGATATTTATATTTATTGAAATATATCTAGTCACCCTGGATATGAGCTATCATAACAGCTTTATAATAATAGTTTAAGTACTTCTTGAAGATGATTCAATGATGGATCTGACATATTGCTCTTATGTTTCAGATAGAACTGTAGTATTTCAGATACAAAACAATAGAAAATAATAAATTTGATAATAGAGATGTATAGAAATACTTTGAGACTGTATATCAGTTGTCTTTATTCATAAATAAAAAGTGTCCCTTTTTATAAGAAAACACAATCTGCTCTTGTCATTACGTCTTAGTTTCTTAAGGCTTTCTTCCTTTACTATATTTGGTTATTAGAGTATATTTACTGTGGTATTTCAGGTACAAAACAATAGAAAAATAAAATATTTGAGAATAGAGACGTATAGAAATACTTTGAGACTGTATATAAGTTTTTTTTATTCATAAATAAAAAGTGTCCCTTTTTATAAGAAAACACAATCTGCTCTTGTCATTACGTCTTAGTTTCTTAAGGCTTTCTTCCTTTACTATATTTGGTTATTAGAGTGTATTTACTGCTTAACTAGTGTCGGTGTTACAATTATGACATCAAGTCATAAATCGTACTTCTTTAGCTCTTAGCTATTCTTTTCTCTTTTATACTAGAGCTTTAGGACTTCCTACTAAATTAGCTCCATATCGATCTGACACAGTTTACCTGGCAGTATGATATAATTATCTTAACAATCTTTAAGATATTATCTACAGTACTAACTGTAATAATTATTGGGCTGATTACTTAATCGTTTATATATATTTTATACTGACAAGATGATAGCTACTATGCTATCCCAATATGAATATGTTCTTATATGTGATAAATCCAACATCCGAGTGTCTGGATCACCACATTTACTGCTTAACTAGTGTTGGTGTTACAATTATGATATCAAGTCATAAATTGTACTTCTTTAGCTCTTAGCTATTCTTTTCTCTTTTACACTAGAGCTTTAGGACTTCCTATTAAATTAGCTCCATATTGATCTGACACAGTTTACCCAGCAGTATGACATAATTATCTTAATGATCTTTAAGATATTATCTATAGTACTAACTGTAATAATTATTGGCCTTGTTGTGGGGAGAAAATAAAGCAAAATATAATATAGACGAAAGAATTCGTGAGAACTTGTATAGGTTGTTTATTTCAAAAGAAAAGTAAAGAATGATAAAATTCGATTGTCTTTCTACACGGAACTATCTACTGATATTTATATGTTTTTCTAATTTGTAATTCAGTGTGTGCTTAAGTAATCTTTATTACGATGAGTCATCTTCCAGGAGTATTGTTCTTCTGGAAAGATCCGGAAAGACCAATTGATATGATACTTCTCCAGTCAGATCAGTCCAAGAGTTTTGGTAAAGAAGAGCATTTATGCTATTGGTAATATTTTAGTATTCCGACCCAGATACTTGGGTAATGTTTCATAATATTAGATAGTTGTAGTTGTAGTCTCTCAATTAAGTATTTGTATAATAAAAGAAATATGTAGATGAAATATAATGATGCCATATATATAATGTATATGTATTTATATATCCCATATCATGGTGATAATAATAAATAATCAATTATGTGTATGATGATCTGTGTATTAGATAATATCATAAAGGGAGATCCGTTTGACTGGAATAGCTGAGGATATTATTTTATCCTTCAGTCTTACTCTCAGATTCAGCAGTAATCAATACTCATTTACAACAGGCCTGATTACTTAATCGTTTTTATATATTTTATACTGACAAGATGATAGCTACTATGTTATTCCAATATAAATATGTTCTTATATGTGATAAATCTAATATCCAAGTATCTGGATCATCACAGTAATAAAAAGAGCAAATTGTATTTTCTTATAAAAAGAAACATTTTCTATTTATGAATAAAAAACAATTTATATATAGTCTCAAAGTATTTCTATAAGTCTCTATTATCAAATTTATTGTTTTTCTATTGTTTTGTATCTGAAATATCATAATATTCTTTATATTTTTTATTCTTTTATCTTTATTTATAATATCTAGTAAGTTTGGCTAATTTTGACTATTTTATATATTTAAAAAGTAATCTAGATTGAATATAATAGTATAAAAAATTGCCTATAATAAAATCATCTTTTATTCACTATATTGTTTTGCTTGTTTTGATTATACTTCTTTAAATATACTTTTTTAAAATACTTTTTTACTATTAAGTACACTTCTTTGCCTGTTTTTATATTGTTTGGTTATTGGTTTTATATTTATTACAAGCCAATAAAGACATGAAGCGCGGATGGTTAAGTGGTATAATCTTCGCCTGCCACGCGAAGGGCCCGGGTTCGATTCCCGGTCCGCGCAGTAACTTTTTGTTTTTTGTCGTTCCCGATCTGGGTTGGTCTTCCTTTTACTATAACAAAGTCAAAGAGAGAATAAAAGGTACTTTTTATTGATAGAATTGAATTGTCTTATATAGTTATTATACTGCTAAATAAGACGGAAGTTTTATAGTAAGTACAATTGTCGTTCCTGATCTGGGATGGTCTTCCTTTTACTATAGCAAAGTCAAAAGGTCAAACCCACTGGGGATCGGAGAGTATATGTAAAATCGAAGAGAGGATAAAAGGTGCTTTTTATTGATAGGAATTGAATTGTCTTATATAGTTTTCTAAACTAATACTGCGCATTATCCGCAGTAAACTATTATACTATATTTAATTACAAGAGAAGTCCTTTTACTGCGGTTGATGCTCAGAAGATGTTACTGTGGTTAATCTTTACAAGACATTACTGCGGTTCGTTATCTATGAGGTATCTTTGACATACAGAACTGCTGCGGTCAATTATCCCGATTTCTCGGATTCATCAAAATAATGTCCGACACAATAAAGTGGTATATTTGATATGAGAGCATACAATAAATTAAAATGTATTGTAATTTTATGCCAAAATTACATCATGCATTATCCAATATAAATGTATATTTATAAAGGGCAAGGAAGTACATTTATGTATGGATAAATCTGTACATCTACAAGAGAGTAGATATATATTATTTTCCATAGAGGTAAACGGTCAAAAAGTTACCCACGAAATTACACCTTTTCTTATTGCGATAGATCTATTGTCAACCTTGATGCTCTCAATATACAACTTTATCAAAGTGGTAAAGTAAAAAAAAACAATTATGCTTAATACCAAAAAAAAAGTTTGTAAAAATGTATAAAGATTGGTAATAATGTATTGAGAAATATATTAAGGATAAATAAAGAAAATAATATAAATTTTAGTATAAATCTCTTGGATAGATATATATATATAAACATCGCAGACCTTAATGTATTTACATATGAAAAGATTAGAAGTATTATTGCATTACTCCAATTGTAATAATTAACAGTGGAAGTTAATTAGAAACCAGAAATGATGATTTCCTTTTAGACGAAATAATTTTTCTTGTCGATTGGCTCTTTACATATAGCTTGTTGGATACTTTAAAGTATATATATTGCCTATATATAGATAAATAAACACAAATTAAATCTAATGATAATCGCAGATACACAATTCTCTGTAAGCCGGAGCTATACTCTCTATAGGTTATAAAAAGGATTAAATTTAATAATATTACTCACTGAGATCTATAATTCACAATGATATTAACTTCCAATATACCATCATTCCGTTTGAATTAATTATATGAAATATGTCTTAAAAAAGATAATGTAAGTTTAATAGAAAAATAACGGGTAATTCAATTCGAAAAAATAAAAACAATGGTTCACTTCTATTTGGTTTGCTGTATAATTTTATTTTTACAGTTTTATTTTAATATTGTTATAGTGGCTTGATGACAGACCTCTATCAGGAGCAATATGGTGAATATATGCCTGACCTTATTTTGTTGCTTACCGATTTTCCTCAATACATTATAGGTTAAGCATAATAAATATTGCATATATATGGCTAATTTATATAAAATATATGTTAAATATAACTGGGAAATTATTAATATTTAGGCCTGTCATGTAATTATAAATTAGCAATAGAACTTTAAGGTAAGTACCGGGGGCTACATACATATATTACAGACACTATAATATATTAGAGAATTTGTGCTAAGAAGTAACCTGTCAACTTTGCGAAGCTTAATTAACATTGAGTCAATTCACACTGCTCACTTGGATCTATAAAGATTATACCCAGAAATTACAAGAAAAAAAAACAGATTAGAAATTTCAACCGTGTCACAAATAAAAAGTCAACAACTAGGTAGTTTTCACTATTGAGCGGGTCAAAAAGTAAACCTTCTATTGTTCTTTTTTTTTGTAATGTCAACACAAATCCTTTTTGCCTCGCGCATGCTGCGAAGCAAAGCTAAAGGAGCTGCATTCCTTCGACCATACTCGAGTAGCAGTAAGAATATAGAGAAATAGAAGAAGAAAGCTTTATATATACATGAACTAAAAAAATTCCATAGCTTACACAACAGGTGATCGCCTTCATGGCTACACCGTTAAACAGGTAGAGTGTATTATAGATAAATAAATAAAATGATCATATTAAACAGAGATTTGGTCTGACATGTGCAACTATTTTTTCAATAATTCCTTAGGTGAAAAGAGTACCTGAGCTCGAGCTTACTGCGATCACTTTGGAGCATGAGAAAACCGGTGCACGTCATTTACACATTAATCGGGAAGATTCCAATAATGTATTTGCCGTTGGATTCCATACCCCTGTCAGTGACAGTACAGGTGTTCCACATATTTTGGTAATTAAGGAATAGAACTGGCGGGGACGTTAATGTGCGGAATGATTCTAACACATTTTACTACGTAGGAACATACTACATTATGTGGAAGTGATCATTACCCTGTACGCGATCCATTTTTCAAGATGTTAAATCGCAGCTTAGCAACATTTATGAACGCTTTCACAGGTATAATGTGTGAGATTACTATGATTTACTTTGTAAATACTCATTTTTTTGGTACGGTTTGTTTTAGCGAGCGATTATACAATCTATCCATTTGCAACTACAAACCCCGTGGATTATGCCAATCTACGAAATGTTTATATGGATGCCGTATTTCATCCACGTCTCACAAAACTTGACTTTAAACAAGAAGGATGGCGTTTAGAGCACGAAGTTCCTACGGATACAACAACTCCTATTCAATTCAAGGGTGTTGTTTACAATGAAATGAAGGGACAATATGTAAGATCCAGAAAGAAAAGAGTTGGAAATCAACTGATAAGTTTGTGTTAGTCGGACTCGAACTATCTGTACTATTCACGCATGCAACAAGCCATGTTCCCTGGTACAACGTATGAATTCTCCAGTGGTGGTGACCCCTCCGACATTACAAATCTTTCCCATGAAGAGCTACTTAATTTCCATAACCAGCATTATCACCCCAGCAATGCTCGCTTTTATACTTATGGTAAATTTTACAAAACCATCGTTCCAGTTATTAACGATTGATTAGGTAATTTCCCTCTGGAGGATCATTTGGCAGCAGTAGGAGAACAATTGAAGAATTTTGAGAGAATTACCCCACCCACTGTCAACAAAGTCGCTGTTCCATGGACTGCACCAAAGAAGGCGACAAGCACATGTGCACCAGACCCACGTAAGCTTAAGATCTCAAAGTAAAACATCAAGCCTAATACCTGGACCATCTTTTTACAGTGAGCCCTCCTGATAAGCAAAACAAGATTTCACTCTCTTTCCTAGCAAATGACTCCAGTGTAAGTTAGATATTTTTGTACGATGAATCTACGACTAAATAAATAAATTTGAAACGAATAGGACACTTTTGAAACCTTTTCTATGAGACTACTTGGATACCTCCTTTTGGATGGACATGCATCTCCGATGTACAAGGCTCTTATAGATACTAACTTGGGAACAGAGTTCTCTGTTAACACTGGCTATGACAGCTCCACAAGGTAAAGAAAGTCGTTATTTTGCATTTATTACTTTAGTGTAAGGTACTCACAATCAAAATAGATCCACCTGTCTTTCGATTGGCTTACAGGGTGTAAAAGATTCTGATGTTGAGCTGGTAAGTGGCATAATGTGATTTAGAAACCACTGTGTATTAAAAAAACTGCTATAGGTTCAAGGGCGCATTAAAGAAGTATTGGAACAAGTTAAAACCGAAGGCTTTGACCCTATACGTATTGAAGCTGCCATTCACCAGCTCGAGCTCGGCCAGAAGCATGTAAGTACTACTCACTGATTAAAAAGTCTGGTTAAGCAAGTATATAAAAAAAAAACTAATATTATCATAATTTAAATAGAAAACTGCCGACTTTGGCTTAACTATCATGCATGGTATTACTTCTGGCTGGTTTAATGGTGTTGATCCTGTTGATCTTCTGCAGCTTAACAAAGTAATTATTTCGTGTTTGTTTATTTGTTTATTTTACGTATTTAATTTAAATTGGTTGTATAGAATCTCGATGCTCTCAAACAAGGGCTCGACAAAGGAAACTTCTTTGAATCTCGTATCGAAAAATACTTACTTAATAACCCCCACACGCTTGTCTTCACCATGAAACCTGATGCATCATATGCCACCGACCTTGTTGCAGAAGAAAAAGAACGCCTAGCCGTCAAAGTCAATTCTTTGACTGAATCAGATAAGACTGAGATTCTTGAGCAAGGGAAAGCATTGGAATCTGCTCAAGACAAGACCGAGAATCTGTCATGCCTACCCACCCTTACACTCAAGGACATTTCACCAAAGGCTAAGCGCACTGTACTAGACCACAGTGGCATTTGCAATACTCCTGTTCAATGGAGAACCACCGCCACAAATGGCATTACTTACTTTAGAGCTATTAGCACACTACCAGTTTTGTCAGATGAGTTGAAGATGTACCTCCCACTTTTCTGCGATGTAAGTAACTTTAGTGCTTTATATACGCACCATTGACTTAATCGTTACGTAGTCTCTTTTATCACTCGGCACTCGAGAACAAACCATGGCCTCCATTGACGATGAAATCCGTCTTTTTACGGGTGGCTTGAGAGCCTCTACTACAACCTCAACAAGCCATTCGGGTAAGTTCCTAAAAGCTAGTAGTCAAAGTCTAGTATACTAATCTGATCCGCTGACAAATAGATATTGATCTTATGGAAGAGGGTCTCGTGTTGTCTGGCAACTGCTTGGATCGTAATATTGACAAGATGTATACAATTCTGACTAAGCTTGTGCGTGAAACTAACTTTGATAATACTGATAAATTGAAAACCTTGATCATGGGCGTAAGTATCGTCACTCAACTTGGGGAGCAGAGGGGGGTGAATACGTACACGTATAGTCTAATGATATGAAACGTACTAGAATGCAAGCGGACTTGTCAACTCTATTGCTGACTCAGGCCATGTATTTGCACGTGCTTATGCTGGTTCTACACTTACTCCTACAATGCGCAACTCTGAGCTTCTAGGCGGAATGAGCCAGATGAACTTTATGAGCCAGATGGCTGCTAAAGAAGATCTGTCTGATGTGGTGAACAAGCTAAAGACAATTGCTGATGCTGTCTTGAAGCAGTCTTCCCTTCGTGTGGCCATTACCTGTGGTGAAGATGCTGTGTCTAGTAATGAAAAGGCTCTTTCTGGATTTATCTCTAGTCTTCCTATTCAAGGCAAGCCATTGGTCTGTGATCCAGTAAGTTTTCCAAAAAAAAAGAGGGAGTTATTTGGCTGCTCATCATTTTTTCCTCTTATATTTAATTTATGAAATATAGAACACTTTTACCCCAGAGTACAAGAAGACTTTTTTCCCCCTTCCATTTGCTGTCAATTTCTCAGCCAAGGTGATTCGAGGTGTACCTTACACTCATCCAGATGGTGCTAAGCTTCAAGTCTTGTCATCATTGATGACCAACCATTATTTGCACCGTGAGATCCGAGAGAAGAATGGAGCTTATGGTGGAGGCGCGCGTTATGCGGGACTGAACGGTCTGTTCTCCTTTTATTCTTATCGAGATCCCCGCACTTTAGCTACCCTGGATAGCTACCATAACGCGATAGACTGGGTTACCAAGCGCGTCTTTAGTGACCAGGAGATCACAGAGGCGAAATTGTCAATTTTCCAGGGTATTGATTCACCTCAAAGTGTTTCCGAGGAGGGCATGCTTCAGTTTGTGAACGGAATATCGGATGAAATGCGACAATGGTAAGTTTTAACTTTTATATACGTTTGTGAGCTAGTTCATTAAGACAGTGCTTTCTTTTAAAATTCGGTAGGCGACGCGAAGAATTCCTTAAGGTGACTCAGGATGATATTAAGGCAGCTGCTGAGACGTACTTGTTGGGATCAGAAAAAGATGGACATTATTCTGTAGCTGTTTTAGGAGAGGCAACAGATAAAATAGCAGAGGATAATGGCTGGTCTATCAACCAGTGGGGAGAAGCGGTTAAACAATAGAAGTTCATCTTTCATACAGCGGACAAATAAGAAATGTGTGGAGAGGTGCGGAGAGGTCGGGTTCGAGGGCATAATCGGACGAATAGCTAAGAAGGGGTCGCCTGGATTCACGTGGAGAAAAGATGGCTCTGTGGCGGTAATTTAATAAAGATCACATGCATTTGTTTCTTGACACTCCCATATGCCAATAGCAGTGATTTAATACATAGATCCAATGAGGAAGTTAAAAGGGACCAAAAAAGATATAAAAACCCAGGTCATCTTCAGTTAGAGATCTTCATCTTTCTTTCACACATTACCATGTCTTACGATCAAGAAGCTATTGAATTCCAGCAGGAAGTTGAAAAAGTCAAGCAGTGGTGGGCATCCCCACGTTTCAGACTTGTCAAGCGTCCTTACACCGCTGAGGCTATTGTTTCCAAGCGTGGTAACTTCCCTATTGCTTACCGCTCTGATGTTCAGGCCAAGAAGGTCTGGAAGATCCTCCAGGGCCACAAGAAGAACGGCACCACTACCCACACATTTGGTGCTCTTGATCCTGTCCAGGTCACTCAGATGGCCCCTTACCTTGAGACCGTCTATGTCTCTGGATGGCAATGCTCTTCTACTGCCTCCTCAAGCAACGAGCCCGGACCCGATCTGGCCGACTACCCCATGGACACTGTTCCCAACAAGGTTGAGCACCTCTTCTTCGCCCAGCTTTTCCACGACCGCAAGCAGCGTGAGGCCCGTCTCTCCATGTCTGCTGAGGAACGCGCAAAGACCCCCAAGATCGACTACTTGCGCCCCATCATTGCCGATGGTGACACCGGTCATGGTGGTATTACCGCTGTTATGAAGCTTGCTAAAATGTTCGTTGAGCGTGGTGCTGCTGGAATGCATGGTAAGTGTTTCTATATATACATATATATTGATGAGCACGCAATGGTTTATTGATTCGTTGTTTATAGTTGAGGATCAGTCTCCTAGCACTAAGAAGTGCGGACACATGGCTGGTAAGGTTCTTGTACCCATTGGTGAGCACATCAACCGTCTGGTCGCTATCCGTGTCCAGTATGATATTATGGGAGTTGAGAACCTGATTGTTGCCCGTTCTGATGCTGAGGCCGCCACCCTCCTTACCAGCAACATCGACACCCGTGATCACGAGTTCCTTGTCGGTACAACCAACCCTAACCTCCGTGCTTTGGCCACTGTCATGACTGAAGCTGAAGCTGCCGGAAAGCAAGGTGGTGAGCTCCAGGCTGTTGAGGACGACTGGATCGCCAAGGCTGGCCTTAAGCGTTACGGTACCGCTGTTGCCGATGAGCTCAAGAAGGCTGGCAAGGCCAAGCAGGCCGAGGAATTCCTTGAGAAGATTCACTTTAAGTCCAACGCTGAGGCTAGAGCCCTCGCCAAGACCTATGGTGTAGAAATCTTCTGGGACTGGGATCTTCCCCGTGTTCGTGAGGGTCTTTACCGTTACGAGGGTGGAACTGAGGCCGCAACCTCCCGTGCCATCGCCTATGCTCCTTACGCTGATATGTTGTGGATGGAGACCAAGAAGCCCATCCTGTCGCAGGCCGAACAGTTCTCCAAGGGTGTCCTTGCTGTCCATCCCGATACTCTCCTCTGCTACAACCTTTCTCCCTCATTCAACTGGTAAGTTGTTATATTTATTTAAAGACAATATTGGGTATTAAATTATATTTTCATAGGGACGCTGCTGGTTTGAACGATCAGGCCATGGGCACCTTCATCCAGTCTTTGGGCTCTCTTGGCTTTGCCTGGCAGTTCATTACTCTCGGTGGTCTCCACGCCAATGCTTTGGCCACCGCCGTCTTTGCCAAGAGCTTCAAGGAGCGGGGTATGCTCGGTTATGTCACCAACGTCCAGCGCAAAGAACGCGAGAACAATGTTGATGTTCTCCAGCATCAGAAGTGGTCTGGCGCCAACTATGTTGATGAGCTTATCAAGGTCGTCACTGGTGGTGTTGCTGCAACTGCCGCAATGGGCAAGGGCGTTACTGAGGATCAGTTCAAGGCCTAGATTATTACCCTCCCCCTTACTTGAACTTCCTCTCCTGTATAAAAAAATGACTACCATATTCCTTTCTTCCATCTGTCTTTCAATAAACGTCACCCATAAGATCCCCCACATTTTAAAAATATTTATTTTAATTGCCGAAAATTGGCATCTGTAGTATCAGCAAAGTATAAGATCATCCAATCACACGGGCTATTTAGTTTTATCTAGTCTATGTCATTCAGAAAAAGAGGCTGTAACACATCTCCGCTATGGAGTCCTCTTGAACAGATTATGTAGCCCTGGAAAGTATAAAAAAAAATTGAACTGATTAAGAAAGCTGTAGTTAAAAAGAACTATTCAAGTGCCTGAAACCAAAAAAAAAAAAAAGAAAAAAGAAAAAAGAACAGATAGAAGGGTTAGAATGAATTGTAAATTTTTTTGATATACGCTTTATCTATAAGTTTATGTCTTAAGTGGCAATTGAACAAATATTGCTTGCTTGCAGTAAAGCTGGACACATTATATGTAAGTGTGTAGAAGATTGTGTAGAAGACTGTGTGCGAGGTGTCTATGACCTTAAAGTGAAGCCTGCTAGATTCTACTAGCTAATATTACTACCCGAACATGTAATAATGTACGGATCATATTATTGCCGATGTATGATGACTGACCCCTAATACCTATTCATTGAGAAGCCTAATCATCATTCCATTGATAGAGACCTCTGTATTACAATCGGGGTTAAGTTGCACAGATCTAAGCATTGTCGCTGTAGGAAACCCGACCCCACAATGACTAAAGTAAAATGACACGTTTGTATCACTTATCTTGCTTATGCTGTTGGATTTTTCATGGGTAAATGTCAGTTTGTACCACGACAATGACCTATTCACTTTGATAATTTATCCACACTTGCTTTATAATCTGCACGCAGGTACACACAGAATATACAAAGAAATATCCTTCTTTTTCAAAGTAAAGCAAAAAAGGAGAGAAGATAAGCAGGCCTATTTAAATAGGACAAGTGATGGTCATGAACTATTGGTGCAGCCTTGACAAATATGGAAATATAAAAAACCCCCGGATAAGCTTGGTAAGCATAATTTCACAGTTTGTGCGAAGGTTACTGTGGGGGATTTGGTAATACATAGAAATAATTTTATTTCCAAGACCTAAATTGAGTTAAAAAAATGTATATTCAAATATCCATAACAAATTAAAGGCTATTTTCGTATAATTTTTTTTTTTCCTTTTTTTACCAAAATTAAGAACTGTTCTTTAACAGATATTAAAATAATTACTATAATACATCTTTACTAAAGGCCAGCGAACAAGATGGACATGTATCGTAAGTACACCTTTTCTTCAGAAAAACATCGGCGTATGTAGTGCACTTATAGAATCATAAACAGCTAATTGATTCAAAGTCGAGGTTTTCAACCTTGGTTTATTAAAATCAAAGGATAAAAATATAGGCACCCCCCCTGATCCACACCCACATTACCTACGAGATTAACGCCGCTGTAAGACTTTGTTTGACGTAAGGGAATACCTAACAGACATAATGAAGCTTACTATACTAATTACGTTAAAGCTACAAATGACACATCCTCCGCCAAGCCTTCAATGTCGAAAAATAACCGTAGAAAACTAACTGCTAATATAGTTGGTATATATTGCTTACTGACAGCTCTAAAATTTTGCTGGTACACATATAAGTTCAACAAAAAAAACATGCAAGACCTTCAGAGTACTTGACTTTCCAGTAGCCAAGGGGGATGAACTCTGGAAGCTGCTAGAGATATTGATCTCAGAGAGTTGATAAAGCACACACACACAGACAGATACCGAAAGTAGCAGCAAGTAAAGTTTCATAGTTCAACCAACATCTTTGCTGCCCAAAATACTGTCCATGTATTGAATATCATGGGAATTTTGCATAACATCGCGACTTTTTGCAAGTCTTTCAACATAATATAATGACCGTGACCTTGAATAGAGAACCTTTTCCTTTTTCCACAGTTACGACTGACATCACATTATACGCTATAAACTAGGTGGTACACGTATTAGGCTAGAGATCTTTCACATATTCACCACTTTGGACAATATCAATAGTGTAAAGAGTTTGTTATTGTGCCTAGGTTTCCCTATGTGCTTTTATGTCTTCCACTCTAGATCGCATATACTATCAAACTTCTTTCCTATCTCTTTCGATAAAGTCAATAACCATATCATGGTCAATAGAAATATATTAATGAACATTTTTTCCAAGATATCTTCCCCTTTACTCTCTTATTCTAACCTTTGGGATATGTATGTATATCTTCAACCTGCATTACTTTTCCTATAGAGATAAGAAACATTTGATTTATTTCACTTTTTTTGAAAATGATAATACTGAAACACGATCTGTTTCATTGAGTTTTATCTAGTATTTGATTTAAAAACTATAAAATATTAAGTGTACTATATTTTCAAACCTTTCACAAAATATGCTTAAGTAACATATAGCTAATATTTAGAGTGTGTGTGCGTGTGTGCGCGTGTGCGGGGTTACTCTGCAAAGCATATATCAAATAATAATAAGAATACAAGACCCATTTGACAGGATTTTTTTTAAATCCAATGGCTCGAAGAAAAGTCAAACAGCTTTTCATGCTAATACAATGTTTGTAGCAAACGTCTAGAGTGATTGTGTTCCATTCTTGTAAAATCTCCCATAGTCTTTCTGCGGTAATTGGCCTGCCACTTGTAGACATTACACAGCCATAAAGAAAGCTCCAAATGTTCTCAATTAGGCTCAAACTAAAGTTGTTTAATAGCCAGTCGAGAATACCTATCCCGATGTTGTTCTCGCATTTTTATAAAATAGCTGAATTATGCGAGAGAGCGTTATCTTGATATATATACCCACAGTTTGTGCTGACAGGAAGACCATCATAAAGCTCCACAAAATGCTCTTTGAAAGCCTTTGCATATTGAGAGGCATTCATATTACCCTCGAGCAGAACAAGTGGTCCTATACTTCCCATCCAGTTAAACCGCCAAAATATAATAGACCCTCCATTGACTTGTACGTTTTGGGTAATACAGTCCGACCGACACTTTTCCAGAGGCGGACACCAACCATAACTACGTTCATTTTTTTTTAGCATCATAGCATGGATTCATCAGTGCATAAGACAATATTTCACTGTTTATTCCAATTCTTTACTTTTTTATTTTATTTTGTACCATGCATGTCACTTCGCAATATTTTTATCGACTAGTAGTGGCTTTGTGGGGACCACGAAATAGTGCATTTTCATCTCATTCAAAGTATGGCTTATTGTTTTAGTACAAACAAATCTTTCTGTTGCAAATTCAACTTCATGGAAGATCTCTGTCAAAGTCTGATGCCCATCAAGTTTCACATTTAATGAAAATGTCCTTTTTTAAGAGTAAGCTTCCTTGATTTTCTTAGACGTGTCTTGTATTTATAGATAATGCTACCAATTGTGAATCACTGCATTATTTCTTGCTGCAATTTCACAAATCCTAATTCTTCCAATGTGAAGTCCAATAATGATGCCGTTTTGAAAGGCTGATATATTATTCATGGATATAGAGACGTGATCGTTTTGTAGAGTAGACTCGACTTTAAAGATAAAATTAATTCAAAACATTAAGAGAAGCAAAAACATTCAAGTGTAAATAGTGCTAGTCGGACATTTGTGTGCCATTACTTATTTCCAACCTCTGTACATCAATCAATCCCAAGATAATGAACGTTTAACAAGCAATGATAGATATGTGTTTGGTCGACCTTCTATCTTGGTCATGGGAGAATGTTCTACATTCTACGATCAATATCGCGAACCAATCAAAGGTATAGGAATGGGATGCTTACTTCACAAACACGGACTCAATGTTTGTTTAGTTAATGAATTTGGTACTTCCAAACACTGTTCTTAGTGTTCCCAGTCTTTCCCTCAAACCTTCAAGCAAATCGAGAACCCTTGCTCATATCGCTGCACTCAAGCGCCAAATATGATCTTCCATGGTCTTCTAAAGTAAATACTACAACCAGTCCCGGATTATTATTATTATAAATCCTTTTAGATCTACCGATCTAAATTGCTTGGAGGACATTACTTTGTTATAGCTTAAGCATCGTATATGGAATCGAAATATTGCGGCTGTCGTGAATTTTAGATATATACTTAACCAATTGAGGCATGATGATACTATTCCTGACAGTTTTACCCGTGCTATTCAAAATTGAGGTACTATACGACCAGCAGAAGGACTTCCAGAGGATTTTTATGGGAGATAAATATTGAGAAGACAAAGAAGATAAATATTCCGGCCTGATTATGGACAGCAGATCACCACGATACCCTTTTCTTAAGCTGTTATATTCTTCAAGCATTGTTTTCTTTTTTGTTATTATTTTTATTGTACTGCCTGGAAAAGTGGAAAGAAGTACTCTATGCTGATTGCAAAAGTATGGTGAGATAAAAGTGAGATATTTAAAAGGTGCCTTTACTTTTGAGCTACAATAATAGTAAAACAAAAATCAAGAGAGATTTAAGTTGAATGTATATATTGTATATAAAAGAAGGGGAAAAGTAATGCTCAATCAAAATTCAACCTTAAAACAACCCTTAAAACCCGGAAAATCTTGCCAAAAAGTCTCCTACTAAAATCGTCTTTTTTGTTTTTGCTTTTACAACATTGTATCTCTTTAAATGAAATACAGCAAACCTTACTTTTCGACCCCTTCTTTTTTTTTATGAAAAATTAGTTTTGTGTTATACCGTTATCCTACTATGCAACAACTAAACCAGGGCCTATATACGAACAGGTGTTTTATGCGTGTAGAAGAGGTACACTTATATAAATGTAAAGATGTAGGAGCTCAGAAAAGGCGCGCGCCCCCTACGTTAAGATTCAAATGATCCTTGGACTGGCGGAAGATGCGGACAATAGCTGTGAATGACTCACGTTTGAGTGCATCGTGTCTTTTCAGCTTAAAGGCTTGTGTTATTTGTCAGCCAGTTTGATTTTAGACTCCAAATCAGAATACATGTTCCCCTTTTACTGTTAATATAAGGCGCGCATTGATAAGATAGATAAAGATATACCCCAGGAAATATCCTTTGAACTTATATATTTGCAGTAAGTTAAAAATGATTCGTCAGAATTCAAATTGTGGATACCAGAGATTTGTTAAACGGGAAAGAAGAGACGCAGTCCGTGCACAGCCAATGTATGGGGAACCTTATGAAGATGTTAAATAACGTGAGAATTTTCATTTTTATTATCGTATTTCACTTTATTTTTGTCGATTATATAATATCCATTCCATTTTATTTTAGTCTGGTTCACAGACAGAGCTACTCGGCATAACAGTTCAGGGTAGAAAGAGTAGAATCAAAATGCAATCGATCTCAATGATCAGTTCATTTCAAGCCATTTTCCATAGGACTTTAAAATAGACAGTAACGCACGTGAGCTGGGGCAAAATCGAGTCACAGACTCCCCAACATAGTACTTATTTAGCCAGGCGGAGATCAGAGTAGGGCTTCTTTGCTCTCTCTGTTCTGTTCTGCCATGGAGCCACCAAAGCCTCCACACAGAGTTTCTTCATATCAGCGGCTGAAGGTTAAGCTACACAGACCCCCACAAGAAAATCCAGTTCCAAAAGACTGGCACCGACCGAGCAATCTTGAGGAACTGATACATCATGCACTCAAGGGAGGAGCACGTATGTATTTTGGTTAAAGAAGAGGAAGATGGACTAATTTTGCATAAAACGTAACTTCCAGGTGCCTTTTTGTTGGCTTACGGAGTCCGAGCTGGTGTTAATTTCTGCTTGTATTTGTTGCGAGTCATGCGAAAGAAGTAAGCCTTTTTGAATAAATACATTATCCGCGCCAACTTGTAATAAAATATAATAAAAATAATAAAAAAACCTTTGTTTCCAGGGCTCCGATCGCCAATATACTTGCCGCGTCGTTTAAAAACCTTGATGCTTTACGCTTCGGAGCCATGTTTGGATCGTTTGCCTTGCTATGGAAATCAGTCAACAATGGCATGAGACTCTACCGTGGTAAAGAAGATCGTCTCAATGGTTTTGTGGGAGGTGCAGCGGCTGGTCTAGCCATATTATTCGAGAAACCCAATAGACGAGTAGATATTGCTCAGCAATTATTGGTCAGGTCAGTTGCCAGATCGATTTGTAGGAAACATAGTAAAAGAGAAGGAAAAATAATTTGTATGAAACGATAGAGCTGTTCAGGCCATTTACAACGCAGGAAAAGCCAGGGATATCTTTTACTTCAAGAACGGAGACTCTCTCTTGTTTGGTTTGACTTGCGCACAGATTTTGTATGCGTATACAGTAAGTATATAGAGATTAAATTCATAAATGCATTCGTTTATTTATTTACTATTAATATATATTGCTATTGCCAGATGCAACCCCAGACACTCCCGCCAGATTTCTATGTATTTATGGTTAAGGCAGCACGAGTACCTGAGTCTCTGTTACGCCTCAATGCCAAAAATATCCGCAAAATCCCATTTGAGGCTGGTGAGGCGCTCCATGCTATTAAAAGACACAGACCTACTCAGCATGCAATTGACGTTGTAAGCAAACTGTCATCTCTACCAGTAGTAACTCCCTGGTAAGGTTATGTTAAGACAACCACATGACTTGGATATATATTCTGATTTGATTTTAATTATCGACAGTGAGGCAGTTCATCCATGGATGGACAGTTGTAATAGTACAGCAATCGAGAGATTTTCGCTTGTATTCAAGAGTATGATGCCGGTATATGGTACCCTTCACTTTGTACCGTTGCTTCTCCTGAGAACGAAAAGTGTACTCGAATCGTAAGTTGAAGTATACACAAACAAATCTGCAGCTTTTAATTGCTTATTTAATAATAGCCCCGTAAAGATGCTGTCAAGAACTGCTATCAACACAATCAAATCAGGCGCATTTCTGGCGTCTTTTGTGTCCATTTATCAGGCTCAGGTGTGCGTACACCGTAAACTAGTAGATATGGGAATTACGTCGATGAACAGCAAATATTTCCACTTCTGCTATGGTTTTGTATGCGCTTACACATCCATATTTATTGAAGATAAGAAGAGACGCAGTGAGCTAGCTTTGTATGTACTTCCAAAAGCTATCCAGAGTCTCTACTTGATTGCCTACCAGCATCGATTGATCTTCAAGTTGAAGCATTTTGAAGTATTGATGTCCAGTGCTGCCATGGCCGTTATAATGTCGTTTTATCAAGATGAACCAGATGTTCTTTCAAATTTTGTACGCAAGATCATGGTCCAGTTCTTTGGAAAGAATTAAAATCATGTTGAGAATCTTTCTTCACTGTCAATTTCTGCTATACGAGCATTTGTTTCTATCTCTTTCAACTTTCATTATATGTTTCTTGCTTTCATTTACTTATTTCTACCAATATATACATAAATACATGGCCTCAAATACTGAATATAATCTTACAAACACCTGTTTTTGCTATAAAAGGATAGCCATACTTAGCCTGCAGAGTACACGAAAGACATAAATGTTGTCAAATTTAATTAGTTATAAGAAGGATGAATTCTTTACTCACATGTGGTAGATTTTAATGACACCGTCATAGGGGCCGTCGCACGCATGAGGCCCACCCATGTTGATGCCCAGGTGGGAGACTGCCCATGTAGGACAAAAAGTCGGCTGTCACGTATGGACAAATATCATGCTGTCTTGCAGCCCCTTTCTTACCCTTCTCCACCCCTCTCCTTTTTCCTTCCCATCAACATCTACAATGCAGAAACTAAAAAGCACCTTTTTACGCACCAAAGACGTCGAGGAACGACGATCACAGCAATTTGTTAAACGCCATTCGAATCTTACTCAGCCCCCATTAGCAGATGAGGAGCCTTGTGGACCACCATCGATTAATCTCAGTGAATTATCAGAAAGAGAACAGAAAGCGTATAGATCATGGTGGAAAGACTTGGACCCTTTTGGACTCGGTAAACTTGAAAATAAAACTGCACTTGTATTTCTGGGTGACTGCGGCCTACCAGACAAGAAGCTAGAAGAGGTTTGTTAACTCAATGGGACTCCACACAGTCACTTATCCTATTATCTAGATACTTCAATTGTTCCAGGATGCTGTGGGCGGCCTGAGCGAGATCGAGTTCTATGCAATGCTTCGGTTAATTGCCCATGCCCAAAATGGCAGGCAAATCACCCGCGATTTGATCTTTTTGGGAGGTGAGCATGCTTGTAAACTAAAGTCAAGTTGAACGAATTGAATCAATTAAGAACTGATATTATCAACTGCACTTACCTCTCCTTCAGCACCAGTGCCCCGCTTCAATACTAATCCTATTGACGCTTTAATTAAACCGGCTGTTTCTCGGCGCACCACTCCGCCCCCGGAACCCTCGCATAGTCTGAATAGTAACACAGAAAAGCCTTCTTGGGCCACAAGTACAAGAAAATCATGGTGGGGACAGCAATTGTCTGCACCAAATCCTTCGAATGGCGCTTTTCAAACTCAAGAATCTTTTCGTTCTCCTCCAATATGGTCGCCACCAGCGCCAGCATCAGCGCCAGCACCACCACCATTACATGTGATCTATAGTCCACCTCAAGACCCATCGGGCTATTTGGTATGGAAAAACCAGCCACAACAACTGCAGCAACCACAACCACAACCACAGCAATCGCATCAATTGCAGCAACCACAACAACAACCGCAGCAGCCACAGCAACCACATCAGCCACAGCATCATCATCAGCAACAGTCACACCAATCTTACTCAGTAACACAGGTACCAAGCATGAGCAGCCAGCCTGCAAAACCCAATATTGAAAGAACAACCTATACACACTCTCGCTCTCGTTCAGTCCCCTTTTCAGCCCCCTCTCTTGAATTCCCCCCAGAGCTCCCATCAATCAATCCATTAAATGACCCACCAACAGCTAAACCACCTCTATTGACATCTCACTCAGCAATGGATAGTTCTTCATTTGAGCGATTTCATCCTACTGGCATAGATACTGGGCAGTCATTGCTTCTGACTAAGAAATTTGTCTACAAGCCAAAGTCTACCAACCCCTTTGATAATGAATACGATGAACCTAACGCAAAAACAACTCCTCGCAGCCCATTTGATGATAATGGTGCTCTAACCGGAAGTGCTTCCACGAGTAGTTTATCCAGTAACGCTTCTTCTATTACGACTAGACACCTTAATAATCATCCTAATCAGCAAAACATTCCTCCTCCACCTGTTCCTGCACAGACAACCAAGCCTGCTTTCCCTCGGTACGCAAGGAATTCACAACCATCAGCTCTTAAGCGAAGCCAGAGCCACGGGGCAAAAACTGTACCTTCCCAGACTATGTATGATACCATGTCAGTTGGAACTGCTCTTTTCAACGATACAAGGCTTTCTAGGCACAAGTCGATGGGCTCTTATATTACTAACCGGTGATCTTGAATCACCTGATACATTATACATTCGATTATTTGCATATATCTCTATAACTTTTTCTTTTTTTTTATATCATGTATACTAATATACATTATTTTTTCATAAAAAAGTAATCCCCCAATTCCTGAATATTAATATCCCTGCTTCTAAAATATTCCGCAGAGAAAATGTTATTCCTATACGCGCACGTATATATATATATACATATATCAGGAGTATTCTGTTGCTGCCTCTATATTCTAATCTCTCTAAAGTACTGAACAACAATAAGGGAAGGCAAATACTTGGTCCAAGAAAAGATTGACGATAATTATCGAATTTACAACTATGCACAAATAGATAGCAATACATTTCTTAAAAGATCTATAATTAGTCGAGACCACAAAGAAATTGAAAGAGATAAACAGCACTATGATAACTTTAATATAAACACAATGTATATATATGCATATATAAGCATACCCTATAGAGAAAAAAAAAAGGCGATTTTAGTGAATTATAGCAAACTTTCTAGGGCTTAAAGTGTTTTATAGTGGAATTTTAATTAAGCACCAATTTTTCTCTTTTTTATATATATCCCACTTTTTACGCCACCATATTATTGCAGTCAATGCAAAACATCTTCTCAACTTCTTCAACCCAGTACAAGAATTAAAGATAACATAAAATTATTCAAATCTAATAGCTTATCATTCGGTATCTCGGGCGTATCCTAGCGATAAAAAAGCTTAAAATGTTTAAGACGTCTAAAAGAAACGCGCTTAATAGTTTAAACAAGGCTAGTATTGATAAAATATGAGCTAGTGAAGTTGAAAAAAGAAAGTAAATTGAGCAGGGGTGGCAGAGAAATATTTGCATTATGCGCAGCTTAGCTGTCAAGATTACTTGCATGCTCATTAGAGATCTCAATAAATTTAGAGGGTCACAGGGAATCTGTCTTTTGGTTTTTCAAAAGTAGGATTCAGACATAGCATTGCCAACAAAAGACAGGTGTATAATCTTTAATAAAAAGAATCAATTAAGCAATATACATGCCTTCATTAATATCATAGTATTTAGAAAATAGCACATAGTAGTAGATATATATATATCAGATATCAAAGTTATAGCTTAAACTTTTACTAAATATCATATAAATTAGTACTTCTTCTTTACATACTTCTTCTATCAGACGACACGTTATCTAGTGGAAAATTCAATTTTTTATCCATTTTTGCTTTAAACGGTTATTTAATTTCCAATGATTGTTATACGTTTTTCTCGGTTGATGCGATTTAATGGAAAATGTAAGTGGAAAATTAGGAAATTCGTAATTTTCTACTCACATTTTCCATTAAACATTTCCTCAAAATCAAGCTTCTTCTCTCACTCTCAAATTAAGGTATAGGGTAGCCAGGAGTGTCTATTGTATATGTAATTAATTTATTCGATCTTTAAAGGTCGAATTTATTTAAAAAAAAAGATTGAAATTTATGAGGATTTATTTTTCTTATATTTGACACAGTATGATGTTCTCATCAATTGATAGGTTTCCACAACTACTGCCGGAGTGCTTTGTTTTTTACTGCGTTTGTTCAATCTTTGTTTTTTAGCAGCCACACTTTTTCCATTAGATAACGCCTCCTCTATTAATGGACAATAAGAAATTACCATATGCAGCTTCACCAAATTTCATTAATTCAGTGCTCTTTAGATAAAGTAGATTTGATTTTTAGGCACTTTTCGAGAAGAATCTAAACAAGTGCATACTTTTTTTTAGGCAAAATATCTTGTAAATTAAGACAAACAAGATATATTAGAGCCATTTTATGTCTAATTTTAAAAGGAGATGCAGTACACTAACAATAACTGTGTGGAAAATGCTATTTTTTTATAATAGTAGTAAATAAGGTTATTAAGATAATATAACTGTTGAACATAATGAATTCGTGGTACTTGTTCATTTTGACACAATTTTTTAGAGTCAACCAACAGCAACACAAACAATTGCCTTGAAGAATATCTTGTCTGCATAAAAGAAAAGTGTAGACTCCCAAAGATTTTCCTCAAAAAGTGATCAAATATTAAATCTAATTCGCCTAAAAAGAAAATCCAAATTTGTCTCAATCTCAAGTGAAAAACACTGTAAACAGTCCTACATACACTTCGTCCAAACCAGAGCACGTTGGTGAACAACTCCGACACTCTTCTTCATCTTCATCATGGCAAACATTGGAACAGAAGCAGGAAACTTTTTCCAGACTGATCAAGAGATTGCCAAGCAAAAACTTAAGGCCGAAAAATACAATTATACCCTTGGCGATGCTGTCAAACTTTCATCAAAGGGACTTGATCTCATTGTCGTAGATACCAATTACGCTTATGTGGCCGAATCAGGATTTATAGCTAAGCGCATCAATCTCAAGGTAAGGTCCATTATATTGTACCTAGAAAAACCTGTATGTGGCGTACTAATTAAACCCCTTATTTTCCCTAACCTCTTTTGGCAGACCAAAAAAACCAATAAATTGTTTAAAGGACACACAGGTCCCGTCACATCCCTGGCTCTGTCTGATAACGGCAGCGTTCTCTGGACTGGTTCTTGGGACAAAACAATCAAAAAGTGGGATACAAATACGGGTGAATGTCTGTTGACGCTCGGAGGACACACTGATTTTGTAAAGACCATCCTGCTGGTGGGAGATAAACTGTATTCGGGTTCATCCGATAATCATATATTCCAATGGGATATTTCTGTCGAGAAGCCTATTTGTACAAATGTTTTCAAAGGCCATTCACGCCCCGTCGAGAGTCTCACACTATCCTCTGACGGCTGTTTCCTATTCTCTGCCTCAACTGACCTGACTATTAAAAAGTGGGATATTGAGAAGAAGTCTTGTGTCCATACATTTTTAGGGCATGAGACAAGTATTTACTGCGTCAAGGCGGGAGATGACGAGATATGGACAGGTATTGTTTATTTGGTTTCTTATAACTTGAACTAACATTTATTTTAAGCTTCTGCTGACAAGAGTGTAAGACGCTGGAACACTGAGACAGGTGCGGTAGATACAATCCTTACACACCCTGATCGCGTTAAATCACTTGTACTCGCGGGCCCCTACATTATCACTGGTGCAAGTGACGACTTAATTCGTGTCTGGGATGTTGCAGTAAGTTCATCTTAATAAATTAAAATATTACCAAACTAATATGATTCCTGGTAAAATAGTCTGGTAAATTAGAATCCACAATCGATGGCCATTTCGATGAAGTGTCAGCATTGGCTGCTGTTGGATCAACCCTCTACAGTGTATCCCTCGATTGCTCATTACGCCGTTGGTCTATTACAGGTAAGATTCACTATATTTATTTTGTTCTATTATTGATTTAGTAATTAACACCCCTTTATCTAGCTTCTGCACTGAAGGAGTACAATGATCAATTATTGAACAAGGAGAAGAAAAAGAAAGAAGAGAAGAAGGACTCTGGTCTTACAGAAGAAGAAGAGCGGGAGTTGGCAGAACTCATGTCCGATGATGACGAATAGATGAGGCCTATCCATTCGCTTTTCATCCCATCCCATCCCATTCCACTCCATTTGATTTGCTTTTGTTCGTATACATTTTAATAAACAAGAAAGGGTAACAAATTATAAGTCTACTTTTTTCCAAACCCAAGCTTCTTTAATCCATTCGAGAATGAACCGCCCGAGCTTTTGGACATATTCTTGAGGGGATATTTAGGGGCATCACGAGCATCAGCACGATAAGACGAAGCAAGATCGTCAATGTTGTCGTCCCACTCCGCATCCCTCAGGCGGTGACCTAGACTGCGTTCTCTAAGCTTAGTGGCGTACGATCCAACCACAGAGGCAAAATAGAACTGTAGGACAAAAAATGTGGTTAAGCAAATCTACTTATTGACTTGGGAATATTGTCTTACCATGAAGATGGCTCCCAAAAAGAGTAGGATAGCAAGGAGGATCACGCCTGCCTGAACGGCCTGATCACAATTGGCTAGTCCATAAGTATTTCCTGTCTGCATACCAAGGAAAGTAGTGTTATAGCCTGCGAACGAGAAAGAGGTATCTTCTCCAAGTGATGTCTGATTTCCACTGGCAGGCTTAGTGCTATTACTAGAAGGGTTGATTTCATTACATGCAGCCAGAGTTTTTGAGCGGTTAATCAGTGCCAGTACAAAGCTGCCTGTTTGCCAGATGGTGACCAGGATTGTGAGCAGCCAGAAGAGGAATTTATAAAATCTCATCAGGTACAAGTTGCCCTGAACACAAAAATCCAAAAATAAAGAGATCGATAATATCATATAAGCCCTTTCTCTATTTTTTTTTATTTTGTTGACAGTGATAGATCCAAAAAAAAACTTACCAGAGTTGAAGACAAAAGTCCATATAAGCCAACTGCAGCAGATACAGCTGCAACATAAAAGGGGTCAATACTTCATCAGACATATGTATCCCCTGCACGTCATAATATCTTCTTATTTACCGAGAACAATGGTATAAACCCAGGGCAAGACAGTGTGTATACCAGAAAGGTGCATAACCATGGCTATTAATCAATATTAGCCGACCATTTACTTTTTGTCTGTACCATTTAACTTACGATTCTTGTGTGTAAATGTCAATGCTAAGAGTAGACCCGAGACGATCTAAAGACAATGATTAGCAGAGGATCATAAAGACCAAGGTGCCTGTACTTACTGCCACTGCAAGACTAATAAGTACAGTGCCTCCTCTCAGCGGAATGATACAGCAACATCTCTTTGGCATTTTGAAATAAGAGAGAAATGTAAAAATAAAAAACAAAAATAAAAATTAAAGGCCAAGAGAAAGAGCGTGAGGACTAAAAATGGGAAAGGGGTCAAATGTGACGGAGTGGGGCTGAAATCAACTGAACCTAATTGAATTGAACTGGGCTGGATTGGACTGGACTGAATTGGACTGGACCGGATATTCAAAAAAAAAATGAAAAACATCCATCACCAAATACTGGGTTTGTCACTGCCATTTGCCGCGTTCTTTCTCTTTTATATTATCATGGCACGTCCGCGTAGCACTACTCGCCCGTCTTCACCCGCATCGCCATCCCATCGACCTATAATCAGCACGGCACAGCCACAATCTCCACAAGAAGGTCGCAGTCGTGCCACAACCAATGCAGGAACCCCACGACAAAGCGCACTCTTGACTGAGAGACAAGTCAAAAAGGTATACGAGACATACCAGCAATGCTGCAATTGTTGACTCTCCATAGATCAGCAAAGACCTCGCAACTATCAGACACAATTCACTTGCAAGCACAACATCAGGACCAGCTCTCGGAGGAAGATACGGCGATCTCGCAGGAATCAACAATCTCTTGTCAATCTACACCGAACCTTCAAATCCATCAAATTCTAAGCTAAACAGTAATAATAATATATTCATATTTATAAAATTGTAATTAACACTGTATATCTCAAGGTGGTCCTGACCCTGCACCTAATACTTCTGAGTCTAGCCCAAGATCACCTCAAATACCACTGGTAAAGTAATCTCTCCAAAAAAGTATCTTGCCGTGTCTCACATATACTCCGCTTCAAGTCATCTACACAGCATATTGGATCATTTCTCGAACACATTCAGGAATATGCAGCAATAGAAGATTTACTCTTTGTGCTCATGGTAAATAAGCTAATCCAGAATTGTGTATTTTAACAATGGGTACTTATGTAGATATATTTAGGGAATCGATGGTATATTCATCAAGATTGTTTATCCTAAAGCTGTAAACGAAGACGATGATCCAATGGAAGATACTCAGTTTGATACACTACCTTCAAAAAAAGACAATATTTGGGACGAAATTCGATACTCGATCGATCCAACAATGGGTAACATACAGCACACATTTTATTGTTACAAAAAAAAGCCCATCATTCATCCGCATCATAGACCCTAGTGTACGCCATTTGGTTGAAAAAATATTACCCTTAGCAACGTATTATATATCTGTCAATGCATTTGTCGAACAGTATTCTCGATTTGAGTATGGCACCATAAATCATGCCCTTTGTTCAGGAATGCATGTATTTTTAAAGGTATAAAAACACCCACTTTTCAAAAATGAGCTATAATGATTTATATGATTTGATTTAGGAATATTTAACCTTTATTGCCCAACTTGAACACCAATTCCAAACATCGGCTACATTTACACTCCAACGTTTCTGGTTCTATGCCCAAGAAACTCTTCAAGATATGTCTGCTCTCCACAGTCTAACCATGAAAATACGAAATCTATCAAAAGAAGATGATTCTACCGGAATGGAAGAGGATCTTGACGCTGTACTAGAAGAACTTGTCGGCGAGAATAAATCAGACGAAGTTCATATTCCAGAATGGCAAAAAGGAGGTGCAATACTAAATGTTCTTGCTGATCGACTGGTCGGGTTGAGTGGGTAGGCATATAAATTAGAGACACAAACTTCAAACAAATACTCTTACTAAAAAAGGAACAATACAGAAACCCAAAATGCAAGAAAATCTATTCATTTCTGCTTGCATGTGCATCTGCTCCATATTCTCACATACTTAATTTATGGATATATCGGGGAGAAATTAACGATACTTACAATGAATTTATGATTGTCGAGAAGAAAAGCATTAAGAAAGAGACACTCAAAGAAGACTTCAACGACTCATATTGGGAAACACGTTATTCGATACGAGAGGGCCATGTACCAAGATTTCTAGAGCCATTGATGACGCAAATACTTCTTGCTGGAAAATATCTCAATGTTGTGAGAGAGTGTGGTGTCAATATTGCTAAACCAGAAGAAATGGAGGATGCTATCATGGAAAGAGATCTCGAAGACGCACATGATATATCGATGGAAGATGTGCATTCAAACAGAAGCAGTGTATCACATACTAGAGACATGTCCTCTAGAACACATATGGAACAAGCTTATGTCCCAACTAGAAACGATGTCTGGGCTGCGGTAGATGGTGGAAGGTAATATATATTGACAAAAAAAACGAACCACAAAGAAGAGTTTTTCAGAGGTTAATAACATATTTATGTGTGCGTGTATAATTCCTAGATTTGTGAAAAATCTCGATATAGCCTACAGATATGCAAACCATACTTTACTGAACCTGTTGCTAAAAGAACAGCAACTAATTGCTCGTCTTCGGTATGCCATACTTTTGATACAACACGTACTATAGTAATTCTCAACTGTATTTTCTTATAGCTCGTTGAAACATTACTTCTTTCTTGATCAATCAGATTTCTTAACTTCTTTTTTGGATTTGGCCCGTGACGAATTAAAACAACCAGCCAAAGACATATCTCTCACCCGCCTCCAATCTTTGATGGATCTTGTATTACGCAATCCTTCATCAGTCGCTGCCTACGATCCATTCAAAGAGGATGTTAAAATATCTATGAGCTCTCATCGTCTGATCGACCAATTACTGCGTGTTATTAATGTAGCGGGTATGGATAGTCTACCAACAGAGATGTTTCCTGGAACAAAAAACCCTAGATGGACTATAGGAAGTGGTCATATTGATACACCTGCGCACGCAACACATCTGCCTGAGCGTAGTCAAAGCATGGCAGGAAGTGTAATAGGTGGAGCACAAAATGTGTTAACAGGTCAGTACATTAACTCTTTATTACATACATTTACTTTCACATACTGACATTTCCATGCTATATATTTATAAAGGATACGAGGCTTTTACTTTAGACTATACCGTGACTTTTCCATTGTCTCTTGTTATCTCTCGCAAAGCTCTTACAAAGTATCAACTACTTTTCCGTCACTTGCTTTATTTGAAGCACGTCGAGGAGTCGCTGTGTGCAAAATGGATAGATCAAAAACATGCACGCTGGAGACAAACTTCCAGAAATCCTGAAATTGAAGCATGGAAGTACCGAATATATTCTCTACGAACTCGAATGTTGGCTTTTGTTCAACAGTTTGCTTATTATATCGCAAACGAAGTTCTCGAACCAAACTGGGCACGCCTGGAAACCAACCTTACAAAAGTAAGTTTGAAAAAAAAGCAATATAAATTATATATTCTTGTACTAAATAGATCTATATAGGCCTCTACTGTTGATCAAGTTTTACAGTACCACTCAGATTTTCTGGACGAATGCTTGAAAGAGTGCATGCTTACAAATGCCAAGCTGCTAAAGGTAATATCTACATAAACTCCAGAATAATACAATTACTAATATTTAAAATAGATTTACAACAAGCTGACAGGCTATTGCACATACTTTACTAAACTCGCAGAGCAATTCAACGAAATACTTAATCAACTCGAGGAGCAACAGCAAGTAAATGTTCTCGGCGTACCCAGAGGAGGTATTGGGGCCAAGAGCACCTTGGCCGCCAGTCTCGAAAATTCAAATCTTACACTCGCTAAAATCGAGGATGCCTTCCTATTCCACATTGGGCTTTTGATTGAGGCCTTGAATTATTATTCAGCCACCGAGACCGTCCAGTTCCTATCGCTTGTTGTTCGGATCGATTATAATCTGTTTTATAAAGCCAACACTGGGCGTGAACGGCGCTCTGATAGAAATCCTGCCTAAACTGTCCTCACTTCCATTGTCATTGCCATTACCACACAAAATCTCGACTTAGCATTCCATGTTTTTCATCATTTGTTAATACATACTCTCTTTCATTATTCTATGCATAAAAATATGCTTCACTAGATAATATTCAGGTTTACACATGTAATAGCTAAATAATCAGTTTACTATTATAGTGTAGCCAAAAATTAGCTCTTGAGTTGACATAACCAAGCAAATCCATGTAAGATTCTCAATTATTATTTTATATATCTTGTATTCAATAACGTAAATAATAAATCTACCTTGTAGCATAACACATATAATTCAGCACACAAAGAAGCACCATTTTATGAATCTTTTTATTCAAGTGAACAGTGGATAAATAAAAACAAAGATATTTTATTTAGATATCATTCAAATCATTTTCAATAACACGATATAGTAAACTATACAACTCATAAAAAACCAAATCGAATAAGATTAATTCATAGTGTACAATTTGTAACTATATTATATTACATATCTTAACTCCACAACATTTCTAACTATGAATTACAGCAAGAATAAAAAAACTTATACACTTCAGAAATAGTCGGATAATTTTTTAGATACAAGTTTATACCTAGCCTATTTCTATACTAGTTACACCATAAAGGCCATTTGTGTTTTCTGGAGGTTGGTTGGTTCTCCACATTCGAATTGCTCGGAAAACAGGCGTCCATTGGAAGTATTTTATCATGTCCATTGCATCTTTGTTCTCCGTACATGTATCCAGATCAAGTAAGCAGCCACTTGGTTTGCGATCAGGAGAATTCAGGGTAGGGAACACTTCTACAGCTTTGGAAGCCAAACCTTTTAGAATTTCCTTTGCTTGTTCAGCCGTGTGAGCATATAGTGGTCCGATACGAAACGATTCCTCTGAAGGACGTGCACATCCGTAACCCAAAACCTGTCCATCCTTTACTAGGGCAACTCCAAAAAGTCCTTCTTTGGAACCTTCGATATGCGATTTAATCCATTTTTGCATAAAAGTAGGTCGTGGAACGCCATTGTATTTCTCATCCAAAGAAACCAGTTGATCTATTGGTGCTTCACTGATATCCACTACATATGGTTCCAAAGGTGTGGGTACTTGGGAAAACTGCTCCAAAAAGCTTTCCAGAGATCCTGACCGATATCTTTCTATATCCCAACTAGTTATATCAAATCCCGCTGATCGATACTTGTCTGCCATAACGGGCATTGCGTAAAGACCAACGTATTTACAATCTTGCATACTGTTTAAAGCCTTTTTGAACAAAGGATATCCATATCCCTTGCCTCGAAACTCGGGGTCAGTAACGTAATATCCAATAAATCCAGAGGAATTGCTGTGACGGAAACCAGCTATAATAGTTATAACCTTTTCTTGGTCAGTGACTGGGACTGTTCCCACCAAAAAACCTTGAGGGTACATCAGGTAAGAGAGCCTGGTAAGTTCGGCATTATACTTGATTGGATTCCATCCCTCCGAGATGGTCCATTGATGAAAGTATTCCTTGAGTTCTTTTGGAGTACACGGGCGTATTGTAAGCGTGTTTGTCATCAGTAAAATAATACTAGACAAACAAAGTGCTGATGGTTTCACATCATCTTATTTTTCAACTTATCTTCTTCCATTACAGATTTGAGTTATAATGATTCATAGGCACGTGACACCTTTTTGCTGTTATCAGTGGCTACAGAAGCTTGTCCATGTTTTTTTTAAATGCTTCATTTTACGATTAAAACTTATTTGAACACTCATAATAACGAGCTTTTATTTTATTATAATTTGGCATAGATAATCTCTACGGCTCGCATGATTTTTGCTCATAACGTACAAGTGTTTAATCATTAGAAGATTTTTATTACCGGGCTTTCACTTGTGTAAGATTATTTCTATTTTATGATTCTGAAGATTACTAGTAGTGATTAATAGACTGAAAAAAAATATATATCCTTTGAGTATTTTTCTTTTATTGTACGAGGCACAGAAAATTAAGAGCATCTGTAGTAATTAAATATTCATTTATACTAAATTAATTATAATCTTGTATGATAGAGGGTTACTTTTGACTGAAAGAAAATATCATGTAAATACTTCTTTTTCCCTCAAAAAGCTATTCTTGCTTTCACAATCACCAAAGCCTAGTGTCAGAAATTGGCTATATAATACCCAACTTAGGGACTAAAGAAAAAAAAAATATTTTGCACAAATTCTGATATTTTTAAGGGTACGAAAAATAAAAGAATCGAGAGTGTAAGTTGTGTCGTCGATATCTAATTTATTTATGCTTAATACTCAGGATCAAATGTGCATGTAGTTCCATAAGTTTTTCCACGGATAACAGCTACAAAGAAATGTATTATTAAAGCTGTAAATAAATATACAATAACAGCTTGAATACCAAATTAAAATACCTTCTACTCGTAGTTCAACTTCCCCAAAATACATCTTAATCGATAAGCCAACTTGTTCTCCTTCTACTACTCCAGTAAGAGCTGGCATAGGAATATCAAAGTTGGCTACCTTAAATACTCCTGGGCTTGTAGTGTAACGTGGTGCCTCTTCGGCAGCAGTAGCATATAAAGTACATATGGTGTGATGAGGATAGTACGCATAATAATCTTTAGAAACATGATAGTCGGTGTCTTTGATAAAAATAAAATAAAAATATCAGTAATACTTCTCTATTAACTATCGTTTTTTTCTTTTAAAAAAACATAATAATTACAATAATACTTACCTAAAGATTGCCCACGATTAACATAAACAGAAAATCGATTATCACATCTTACACTTCCATCAGACCGAATAAGCTTGTATTCTGGGGGATCAATGGAATCCTCAAATAGAGTTGTAGTGTCGATACCGTACCAGCAACGAGAAACCCGAGAAGCTACAACTGTAGGATTCATACCAAAGTAGACTGCCCCTCTTACTACAGCCAGTTCGCAACGGGGTGGAACTGCAATAAGCGGAACAGCATGTCCAAATTCGTCTTGCATACGTTTGAATAAGTAATTGGAAGATCCAAACCCACCAACTAGGAATATAGCTTTAAGGGATCCAGCCTTTTGGAGTTGGTTCTCCACCAAGGAAAGGATTTCGTCTATAACAGGATTGAATACTTCTTGCTTAAGCTCCGCTGCACTAATGCACAGCATGCCTTCCTCTAACCCGATAGAGCTATTGTTGATTGATCCAATATTGATTGAGGCTGGTAAAGACAAGAATTGCTCCTCGATTCCATCGAACTGGGGTTTGATAAGGTCCACAAAGCTATCCATCATTGTATCAAAGGCCGACGTAGGAATAGTAGCCAAGTTCTCCTTGAACTTCTTTTTTAAAAGTTTGCGCATTCTTCGGTCTAGAAAGACCGATCCACAAGATTGTCCATGTCCTTTAATACATTCCCTTAGTCGTCTCCCACCACGTTCATCAATTTCAAACACAATCAAGTCTACCGTGCCACCCCCAGCATCGCAAATCATGAATCGGTCTTTGTGCTTAAGATTAAATTGTTCACATTTTTTCTCGCAATAAAGTGCAGCTGCTTCGGGCTCACTGATTAACATCAGCCGATCCCGATGATCTGACGGTTGGATTAAACCAGCTTGAATGGCAGCTTCTCGCATCGTTCCTTTGGCCTTGTCAGACCACATTGCAGGGACTGTCAAACACTACCAGTACTCGTAAAACCTTTAATTAGGAGGTTGATAGAATAGAGAATCGGTACCAAAATATTTTGTAGTACTTGAATAAGCTTACATAACGACATTGGCTTTTATCACTGGTGGCAATAGCTTTTTTGAGTTCTGACATGGCATGTTCATGAAATGCGCGGAGGTAATCTGAAATAGCATCAACAATAGACAGACCATTGGGAAGAGGAGGAAGATCTTTAGCTATATTTTCATCCAAATAGAGCTTGTACTGCTTAAGTAAAACAGAGCTACGGGAAGCTGGTCTTTGCATAATTATACGAGCCGCATTCCCCCACTGAGTCATGACACTAGTATTGTTTTGATAAAAATTCAGAGTTGGTGTCTATGAAAGTATTCAGGCGTTTTGAGTTTCTCGACTTTTTTTTATCAGATGACTTCAAGACATAATAATAATACTAATAGTGCAACAAGAACAATAATACTACTGCTACTGAAACGGATAGAAATCTTACTTTGGGGTACACATTATTGTTTTGCTTTGGCCTGTAGTATGTAAAAATGAAAGTTTATTATAAAGAAATAGTATACATTTCACTAATTAACCTTTACCATTTTTGAATGTCAATTACTTCTTCTGAATTAGCAAGTGAATATGCACACCCAGAATATGTTGTTCCTAGATAAATATGTAAATATTAAACCAATGAGACAATAGTGATTAGACATTTACGTTTCCTAGTAACTAACCAAAATCAATTCCAATAACAATTGGGTAGTCTTGAATGTTAAATTGTTCTGCTAGAGTCATGTCGTATATTCAAGCAAACAGAACAAGATTGGTTAAGCAAGTAAAAAAAAATCATTTTAGTTTAACAAAATGATAATCTCGGCTATGTATTCTCGTGACTAATAGAAGTAAACTGGAATGAGGAGAAGAAGGGGTTATGACAGGGGAAGTGTATCAGATTGAGTATAGGTACATGCATATATATATATATATATATATATATTACAATGCAATTGTTTTGCATGAGCCACTTCTTAATGCTTTTATTGTCATTAGTAAATGTTTATTGGCATATAGTGCAGCTCTTGTAACATAATATTTTCTACAAATATATTTGATACAAAAGTATTATTTTATTGTTGTTTTAAGCTGCTATAGTTATTCGTAAAGTAGAAGGTATCTAAAAAAAACTAAAATGATAATTCAGCTGACATTGCAGAACAAAGATGCGTTTCAATGACAACGTCGTGCTACTCAGGGAACTAAAAAAGAAGCATATATCCAGAAATAGGTAACATTCCTATATATCTTTTTTATGTATGTGTTGGATACTACATAGTATGTGATTATTCTGTGAGCATTTTACTGCGTTTTTATAAAAAGGTGTCCGTTTGTCTGATTGAAGAGTCTCATAGGCACGGACGTTTTGCGAGAGGCTAAAAAGGGGTTGGCTATTTTGACCTATTGGTCTCTTCGTTTGAACTATGGGATGTAGTTTGAGAGCAGTTTTTTTGTGGATTTCTACAAGCCAAATAATATGGAGATGAGTATATTTAATGATCAAATAAAATAATATTAAGTGTATTGAACAGTTCTATAAACCCTTACCTTGTTTTTTCTGTATATAATTATTTTTGATCCTTTGATAGGGCAAGCTTCTTTGTTTGCTTATTATAAAGTATTTGAGTTTCCATCGTTTGTTTATTTGTTTATTAATTTAAGCAAAAAGAGACTATTATTGTGGTTTTTAAAGAAATAGAGAACTTCGACTGACCGTTGTCCACCTATCCAATTCATGAAAAGAAAAAACAAAATGATTGGAAGAAAGTATCTCGAAATCAATTCGAGTGTATTTGATTTTATTGGTCTGGACAAATAGTGCCACTGTGCATTTAGCCAAAATGCAATCACTCAGAAATAAAGTAGATATAGGAACATTGACAAGGACTTCTTTTTATGATATTCAAATTTTTTTTTAGAGCGTTGAAAGATGATAAGAAGGCCATTTTGGCAAGATTTTGTACAAATACGATAAACATATCAACACACAAGCCTGCTTTGTCTGAATATACATTTAAAGAATAACAATCCATCTTGGCAGTTGTAGAATGTTTGTGTGAATTGATAGGTAGTGAATAATAAGCATGTAGAGAAGGAGGAGATTTCAGAGTCGGTGAGATAAAAAAATATAGGAAAAAAAGAAGAGTTGTCTTAGTGTACGAAACATACACCTATTCTTTCTCCTCCTTCTTCTTCTTTTTCTTCTTCTTTGTAGTCGGAGCTTCTTCGGGTGTTAGGCTCTCGAAAACAAATCCAGGTATCACGTCGTGGTGGTAGTCGTTGGGTGAAGCTGGCCTTGAGTCTTCTGATTGAGTACTGTCTCCTGAAGAAGAATGAACAGAACCTCTTCGCGAGAGATGACCAACAGGGGTTTCTGTACCATCTGGCTTGATATCTTGGTCAAACCCTAAGCAGTAGGCAACTATGCAAAATATCAAATATATAAATTTTCCAAAGGAGATAATGTGCTCTGAATATTTTAACAACATAATTCTCAACTTACAATCACTACCAAGATCAATTCCACACGACCAGGTTTCGTCATGATCCCCTGCTCCTCCCATTAATGGCAAAGTAGCAGAATAAGGAGAAAAAGGAGCTGATCGGATAGGTGGGCTAGGCCCAATGTGGGGTGGGGGGCGGGGACATGAATCGAGTTTCCAGTTGGCATTGGCTTGTGTTTGAACAAGTGTTTCGGCTCTGACGTACAGAAACGGCATATTAATTTCACATTACAAATTGATTTTTTTTTTACAATTTTAGATCCTACCGAAGAGTCGGTAAAAATTCTTGAAAACGAGGATGAGAAGTGACAATTCTGTGGATAAGAGATGTGTGGTTGACATCGGCCATTAATCGTAGATAGTTAAGTATCAGGAGAATGAACCCTCGATTGTCTAAAATATTTGGAAAGTTAGTCTATTTATCTCATACTTAACACCATATTCACATACATCCTACCCGCACACATGCCCATCTATGTAAATGCACATAGATTTATATTACCTGTGTGGTGATCTTTGTCTGTATAGACGTCAACCAAACGGGTCAACAGTTTCTGCTTGCGTATAATCAAAAGCAATGTAGGCTCATGTCCAATATTAAGTACCAAATAAAATAGACGGAAGAAAAATGTATGGTAGATATTGCTTGAACTGGTTTAAAAGTTTACGGGTTATCAGTATTAATCAGTCACCTTATGCGAATGTCACTTACGACTTTTCAAAAAACGAATTTACTAATATTTTCCAAAAGGCAGGCGTCATGGCCTCCAATAATTGTGTCGTATCTTCAGCATGCATCAATGTCAAGTGAATGACTTGAAGCAATTCAAGATCGGAAGTTGTGAGTGGGTGCCTAGGTATTTTATATATACGATTATTTACCAACCTGTTATATATATATCAATAATAGATATACTTTATCTTACATTTTTGTCGAAAGAGAATTCCTGTCACTAACAACTACAGAGCATAGTTCTGACATGTGCTTAGCTAGTAACTTTTGGGTGTGAGCTGAGATGGCATAAAGGGGACCTTGAACAGGCTGTGATAAGGTTGATGCTCGGGTGGTCAAAGTACCACTTGTTAAATGCGAAATCATTAGTATTATGTCACTGTAAACCACATCAATTTTTCTTACCTCTTTACCAAGAGCTTGAGTACGTTTATGTTCATGCTACGTTCCTTAGATGGTTTCTGGCCCATAATCAACTAAACCAAGATTTAGTCCCCAAAATCATGCTGTGCCTTCAATTTCGACCTTACTTTGACCAGTGTATCAATAATTACAGGACCGCCCTCAGACTGGAGTGATTTTAGTAAAGCACCACCATTATCCACCTGAGATGTTTCTTCAATAACACGTAAAAGTAACTCCTGCGCTGCCTCCGCAAACTGTGGATGATCTGGAGCGATAGTGTCAATATGCTGATTAAATGTGATTTTTTTATATCTTACCTTTGACTTGAATGGCATCCACTAACCACTCCAAAAATCCCATTTCTTGTAATTTCTGATGAGCTTTTCCACGTTTCTTTTCTGTTTCAGAATCGATATCCCGAACAAACAAAAGACTCAATATAGAGTCAACCACTGGGCCTTGGATGATGTATGGCAATAGAAGATCGAAGAATCGGCTGGATTGTTTCTTTATGATTACAAAATCAAGCATGCTACATGGATGACGCCGAACAAAATGCTGGAAGATGTTACCAAAGTGGTTCAAATTTCCATCCGAATTAGACAGAAAGATGTCCAACAAGTTTGATACTACAGATGATTAAAATACGTTTCAAAATCCCTTTATCACCTTGAATTTTGACAAAAAGATAAGAGTAAAAAGATACCTACCAATGACTTGGAAACGGGAGTCTTGTACCCAGAAATGATTAGCAGAGTTTCCACAAAGAAGTTCCATAGCATGATAGGATCTTTTTGTAGCCTTTAAATCCTCGAGATCACGCTCATGAGCAGCCAAGTCCACTTTTTCCAACAGAGTCAAGGATTCAATGTTGATTTTCGGCTTGTCTGGGTTAAGACGCGTGATGTGGGACATGAATAGGTCCATCATACCTGGATCACAAACACAAGGGTCCAGAGTCAGGTCAATGGTAAACCGGAGTTTGCCTTTTCATTACCTTCGAGTTGAAGGACACTGACGATCTTGATGTCAAGACGAGGTGAAGACAGTTGAAGAAGTTTTTTGATGAGTGCTTCTGAGGTTGACTTGAAGTCTGTGTCTGATGGTACTGAGTTAGTCTCGGCATCTTTTTGGAGGGGTGACTTCTTGGTTGGAAGCTCACTAGGCTGTACAAGCTCTATAATGGCTACGGGATCTTCTGGCTCAGTGGCTGATTGCGCAGGTTCATTAGGTCGTGGAATGGATGCCTTTTCATCTTCTTTGTGCTGTGAAAAGAACTCTAATGTTACTGGAGATAAGCTTTGTTCATCCTGTGAAGAGTCCTCGTCCTCATTACTCAACCACTTCATTGTGAAGAAGACAAGCAAAAGAATAAAAATAAATAAAATAAAGTGAAATAAAATAAATATATATAATATTTAAAAAAAATTTAAAGATATTATATATATATTATTTGTATAAAAATTGTTCTTCAATTTTTTTAAAAAAATAATCGTATATTTGTTTGCAGTGTGTAATGTATAGTGTATAATGTATAGTGTATAAGGTGTGCGTGCGTGTGTGGTGCGTGTGTAGTGTGTGTGTGTCTTTTGGTTGGACATTTTCCGAGAAAATGTATCAGTAACACAATACCATATTATTATATTCTTTTTCTAAAAGACGAATAAAAAGCAGTCGCAGTAGTCGTTTTGTTTTTTCCTATCTCTTCTTCAACGCTTCAAGGCGTTTGGCAAGATCATCAAAGCTATCTGCTGCAGGTTTGCTTGCAGGGGAGGTATTAATAGGCTTCTTGAGCGGTAAGTTAGTGGGTATTTCCGGTAAATCAAATGTAGGAGAAGGAGAGCGTGCGATTGGCTGTAAAAGAAAGAAAGTTTTAATTCCTCTCTTACTAGCAATAATGCATTGAAGTTCTTTTTTTTCCCTTACCAGCTGGGTCTGAGTTCTAGGTGTTGCCAAAACAGGTGGTTCTCTTTCAGCTTCTTGGTGAACCTGGTTTTATAATAGAAATTATATAAAGATCAGTAGTACTGTTTGTAGACATCTCACATACCTTTTCAGCAATACCACCACTAGGTGTGTCATCATCATCATTGTCGTCGAAATCACCATCGTTGTATGTTTGTTCCCGAGCAAGAACATCTGAAACCCATCCAACATCGTATGACTTTGCGATTTCTTCCAAGTATCGTTCCACCAAGAAGGCATCGGGTGCGTTGACCTGCATCTTGGATATAACCTAATCAATTGAATTTATAAGATAATGGTAATGATGCTACTAATAATCTCGGGGCACTTTTTTTTCCTTTAAAAATAATAATAGTAATAGTAATAATTTTAATAGTTATATTGTTCTTTATTTACCCTCGGGTTCACTTGATTCTCAGTGTTGTCCAAAGCAGAAAGCACAAATTCCTTTCCAAAACGAAAGGCAAGCTGATCCCTGACCTATAAGTTTAAGGCTCAGTAATTTTACATGCTATCAAGTTTTATCCATTTTTATTCCGCTTTACCACACCAAGCTCTTTGACTTCATCTGCGCGAGGTGTAGCCCAAATAATAGTATGCACTGCCTCCGAGATACCGGGATCGCATACCCTACGTTATCTAGCATCAGCACTGATATTCTTATATAGCCATCATAATTATAATTATGACATAGTATAACATAATAAAGAATGGAAACTAGCTTGCCTGTATTGCTCAATCAGCCCAAATCTAGCCAGCAAAAGATCGCAGTAAAGTTCTAGAATCTCCATGGCCTCCATCAACAGATCCTCTCGAATAATATGCTCTACTCGTATACGCGCACTCTCAACCTTTCCTTTTTCCAAAAGAGTTGCAATCTCTCTTCTCTGGTGCTGATTGAGTGAGTTCTTCTTAGCTTGAAGCATCTTCAGACGGTTTATGGCCAGCTTAAGCTGAACCTTTAGACGTGTAGGAGCGAACATTGAGCAAGTCAGAAAAAGAGAGGTTCAATAAAACGAGACAAGTCCCCTTTGTTCTCTTTCCATTTTTCTTTACAGCACGTGATTTCTGCCTCTAGGCATTGCCCGAATCATAATTACTTCTTTTTTAGCGATGGAAAGTACAGAATCAAGGCATCAAACTGAAAGAGAAAAAACGATTCGTTTGGTGAGATCATCTCCTAGAGACGAATCATTTACATCCTTCCAACAAGGATCAGTACCCCAGAGAGATGACAAGATTCGCTTACTAGATGGCGAGAACAGTCCTCAGAATATTGCCCTTTATGGCTTCTTACTTGGCATGGTCTGTAGTGGAGGTCTGCTCTTAGTGATCTTGGGAAAATTGGAATGGAACATCCAACATCTTGGCATCTACATTGCTGCCCTTGCCCTATTTCATTTCTTGGAATACATCGCCACAGCTCTCTTTAATCCAGACAAACTTAGTCTGGACTGTAAGTTTCTCTTCTTTGAATAGTAAAAAAAAGTAAATAGAGCATTATAAAGTTTAAATATCTGTTTACCTATTTATGCACTTTATAGCTTTCTTGATTGATCACAGTCCTCACTACCACGCTGCTCATGCTGCTTCAATTATTGAATTTATCATCGAGTATCTCTTCTTTCCTTCATATAAACGATTCGGTTTATTGAGCTGGCTAGGTAAACCCAAACCTTAATCGATATACTGGAATATATTCTCAATAACAATTTACCTAGGTCTATTTCTCCTTGTGCTTGGGCAGGGATGCCGCACAGTGGCTATGTTCTCTGCCAGACATAACTTCTCGCATCACATCGTAGATTACAAGTCTCAAGACCACGTCTTGGTTAAACATGGTATTTACAGGTAACTGCTGTTTTTATTAAGACGTTGTTTAATATATATCTTGTAAAAAAACTCATTTTTTGTTTTGTTTTTGTTTCTACCATAGTATTATGCGCCATCCTTCTTACTTTGGATTCTACTGGTGGGCTGTTGGTGCCCAATTTCTCCTGATGAACCCTATTTGTCTTGGCCTGTTTGTATATTGGCTTCACAAATTCTTTTCTGAACGCATCGCCTACGAAGAACACACGTTGAATCGTTTCTTTGGCCCGGAGTGGGTTATTTACAAGACGAAAACACCTACTTGGATGCCGTTAATCCCTTAGACACAGTTATTGCATTTTGAGTACATACTTATACAATATAAAGATTTATAAAAACTTATTTATCTCTTATTCACTCAAACACATATATAATAGCCTTCATTACCTTTATTTTCATTGAACCAGGGATTAAACATGTTTATAAGGCGTGCTTAGACTATGTTGCTCCACAGACTGACAGTAAATATATTATCAATCGAGCCTTATTATATCCTTGAACCCTTTGGCAATTATGCTCTATCTATGTAACCACAGAAAAAGAAAAGGCAGTCCAGGGAATCATTAGGACCATCTATTTTCTTTCCGTGGTGTTAGTGTTACTTTTTTATTTAAATAAAATAATTAAATATTAAGAAAGAAATAAGTAGTATATATTTTAGAGCTGTACAATATGCTTTATATGATTTCCAAGTAGAATATTTTATCGAAAGCTTGTTGTACCTTTTCACTTCGTATTTTGGTGCTACTTCCGTAAACTTTATCAAGTTTACTACTAGTTAGCTACAAAGTCATTAACCTCCAATCTCAAAATATGAAAGCACTATATGATTGATTAGTGTTTAACTAATTTTGCGGAAAATTTGGACACTGTCAAAAACAAACTTTTTTTTTAGATTTCTGAGGGGTGATATGTAATACAAAATAGAGCGACTCGGTTACTCTTTATGGAGCACAAGGTTATACAAACAAAATGAATAAGAAGCCTAAAATTACAATGGAACGTCCATCAGTGTTATGATCCGCTTGGTTAAAATATTAAAGATTTTATTATTCAATTATCAAGAATTTCTCAATATTTCTGTGATTAATCTTAATATATTAGTGCCATTATTTCATACAAGTTTCTAAGAAGAAATTTGGCATTTGTTTTTTGAATTTGAAAGATATTTACCATATTTATTATGAAAAAATATTAGAGAGAGTACTACCTTGTAAAAATTTAAAATATTTATGCAGTAACGTCCTGACAAAGGGTGTATATTTTAGCAGCCTCATATTCTCTATTACTCCTCGTCCTCTTCTAATACTTTGTTCCAAAATAACATAATCCAACTTTTCACAAATCAAACTGCAATCACAGTTGGAATATAAAATGTGTCTTTGAAGATTTGAGTTAAAGTTACATTTTAATAATCATATGTTGGAATATAAACCACTTTAATTTTTTATTTTATACAAAAGGAAATTTAAACAGAGTATTGTTTTTACCATTTTTACTGCCCACATGCATTGTTACAATCATTTTTTTAAAGCAGATACTATAGTGCATATACGTTATGGTTGCTAAGATACTGAGAGAATCTCTACATATGATACATATATTATAAGAACTTTGACCTTTTACTTTATTTGTAATCTTCCTTTTCGATACCACAAAGGAAGTTATTTACAGAACCATATGGATCAAAATAAATTCCAGATGATTCAAACCATATTGAGTGTCTTTATACAGATGTTTTTCAAGTGTTTAAATATCGCTATCTTCATATATTATCATAATAATTATTAAAATTAAGAGTACTTAACTACTGATGATATTTCTGTTGATTCATTTCAATATATTTTATTTTTTACCTTTCAACTTTTCTTGAACTTCTGGGACCTCGGATTTGCCCGAAGTCTTTTCATTCCGCGGCCAGTTGTCTTGATTGATTTCCTTTTCATTACGCTTTGCACCCACCCTCTCGAGAATTTCATAGCTGGAGCAATTGATGGATCTGATTTTACAATCTCAATGGCCAGTCTCTGCAAAGTCGTCTGGTTAACTGGTATACGCGCTTTTTTCAGAGTTTCAGCTTCTACAGCAAGCCTGTCTTCGAGAGCTGGTGCAGCAGAAGGAACAAAATGTTTACAGCCATGCTGATGGGGTGCTGACATCTTGATTTTGGATCGGGATTCTTCAGAAATAATCCGTTTGATAGTGGTATGGGAAAGAGGTTTCCAAACTCCCTCTTTTTGGAATTGCTCAAATGCCCACACTCCAAGATCATGCAAAGTGAGATTACTGCTGTCTTCCTTTTCAATTATAGCTTCTTTCTGCTCGCGAGTAAGTGAAATTCTTTCCTTCTTGTCTGGTTGTGGGCCAGCATTGTTGATGATTGACATTTGAATTTTACAAGTGTAAAAAGTGTTTTACTTCAAGTTGGAAATTATACTAAAATTTGATACACAAACGTTAAACTCCGAAATATTATATACCGGATTTCCACTTCAAAAAAAAAATGAGAAAACCAAAGCTTTTTTTGGGAAGGTCTTTAGTTAAATTTGAAAAGGTCTTTTTTGTCCTTTAAAAATGGGATATTTATTTATTTTTTAAAAAAATTATATATATTTCTTCTTCACCTAGGCATTTACTAAAAAAACTAATGCTGTGATCAACCCAGACTTCACAATTGTCTTTGCAGATTTGTTTACTACAATCGCTAATATGCTTTACAAGCTGATCAACTGAGAGACCAGGTTGTCTTCTAACCAAACCTTTTAACTTTGAAAAACATTCTTCCAAGGGGCTCAACAAGGGACTATATTGCGGAAGAAAATAAACACTGTGCTTCGTATGGCTGTAGAAGTAGTCTTTTACAAGTTTGGCTGTATGTATGTCAGTGCTGTCCATGATGAAGTGGCGGGGAACAGTATTGTCTCTGTCTAAACTTTCTACAATTTGCTTGATAAATTGAAGGAATAGTTGTGCGTTTGTACCACATGCAACCATTTTTGCCGTAACGTTTTCAACACCTTGAAATGATATGGCTGTCATAATTGTGATATTCAATGCTCGTTTGGTTTTCGTCCTGACAACAGCGTTTGACCCCTTTTTGGACCATCCTTTTCCACGAATCAAGTTGGCATTGAATCCTGCTTCATCAACAAAAATGCAATTTTTGTAGGATATGCCAAGTTCCTGGAGCATGCGGACAAATTCAAATCTACTTTTGATCACATTTGGCGTATTTCTCTTCTCTTCAACAGGCTTCGTTCTTTTCAATGTAAATCCAACCTTTGCATATATGTGCTTGTGAATTTGCTGAGGAGATATGCCAGCATCTTGAAGACCAGGGAAATGCTCCAGTAACTTGTCCTTAATAATCCCAACGGATAACTGAAAGTCTTCATCAAGAACGTTTTGGATAAACTTGGTATGTTCTTCTCTGAGCTTTACGTTTTCTTCAACTCGTCCTCCTCTTGGCAAGTTGTCGACTGTTGGTCTTTCAATATAGCGTTCTACAATACTGTTGGTAGTTGACCAGTTCAAATCGAATAGCCTTGCTACCTCAGCTTTAGTCAGATCTTCTTTCAAAACTTTATCGACGATCAATTCTTTCATGTGAGAATTCTAAACTTTATTATTTCTTCTGTTCTTAGCAGAAGATGCATCGTTTGAAGCAATTCCTTTGTTGGAAGTTGTGGCTCTTGTATATGGCATTGTTGTAGATTTGAAAAAGTGGTTATAGAAAATAAAACGGAAGCTATGAAAACCATACCACTTATATAACATTTATTGTAGGTACACTATACCTTTATTTATAGTTGTGCCTGACAAATAAATATCATCATGATTTCGTCGTTTGTGTTTTATATATCCCACTTTTAAAGGACAGACATTCTCGAATTAATACCGAGACTATCCAAATTTTGATGCCAGACAGCGAGTCACAATATGAGTTGCAGTAAAATCAAAACGTCGCCTCACAGCTGAAAACGTCGTCTCCCTAGGATTAGTGTTTATTTAAGGCACATCTCACGTACATGGTTACGAGGAGGAGAAGAATACCATGATAATGGTAGAAAAATGAAAAGCTATTTGTTTCAAAATTTTATAACAGTCTTGATTATTTGACTGTGTCATCAGGTAGTCAAATAAGATAAACTTTACTACACTGTAATATATATATATATATATATATATATATATATATATGCTGATGCTCATAGTCATTTGCTTATTTGCAAATAATAAAGGCCTGGGATTAACGGATATAATATTTAACTAATAGATTTCCCACAACTACCTAAAACCAGATCAAGGCTGTATCCTTAAAGAGGTGTATTAAATTTACTACTTTTTACAAAGCAATAAACCAATCTTCGAAAAAGGTTAAACCAGCTCTAAATTTTATTTCTGTATATCACCACTCTCAGACATCAGTTATAATACACTCTCATATTCTAAGACACTATTACAACCTGGCTTTATTTCTTTGTTTTTCGTTTTTTATAAATTATTGTAGAAGTTCCAATCCAAATTGCTTGAAAGCATTTACTTCGTTACAGTTTGAAAATCATTTATAAAGTAGAAATTCTGATGTTGTCTTGAACTTACTCACCACCTATCCTTCACCAATTGTGATATGCTAGAGAAACCTGGGATAGACTCACCAGTATTATTCAAACTGGAAGTACTCCGAGAGCAAGAGAGAATGTTTCTGAGGATTTCAATGGGAGACAAAGTCTAACAAGTACAAGAATAATATGCACGCTTAGAAGAATATCGCTGATAAGAAAATTAAATTATATATATATATAACATGATTATTTCCAGGTGTTTCCGAGATACCGCTTTGGTAAGCTCTTAAATTCTTTGAAAAAGGCAGTGAATTATTTTATTATCTTTTATTTTGTGTTTAAATGAAGCTCTTTGTGCCGATCGCAAAAAAAAAGAGAAAGAAAACTTATACTTAAGAACTATAACAAAAACGGAGGTCGAACAAGAGTGAGGTATTGCAAAAAATTATTTTCATTTGTGTACTACACTCTCACATATTACGCTTGGTCTTAGCTCTAATCAGACACACTTATATATATAATATATAATAGAATCATATAAAATATTTTGATCTGCTGATATCAAATTTATATTTCATTTTTATATTTCTCCAAGAAAAATGCATGCCCAAAAGGTATTGTGTAGTAAATATACCACACAAATTAGAGTTTTATACCTTGTATAAAAAATGAAAATTGAAGAATTGGGAAAGGTACACACTTTGTCCAAAAACACATCTCGTGTATCAAATAAGTTTGGCTCCTATAGTAACTGGTAACTGAGTTTTTGTTTACTTGCTTGTTTATTATCATAGAAGAATTTAATCAACAATGTATCACATAGTAGAATAAGTTAAGAGTATTTGATAATACGAATAATAATTAATAACTTTACAAAGTTATTTTAAACAGTCTTAGCGGGATATTTGACTGTTCCAGTGCAGGTAGAAGACGCGACAGCCTCGACAGGTACATAGGTGCTTGAGCCTTTGACATTAAAGTAGAGCCAGATCTCGCTCAAAGTACCGCTAGAGCAGGTGATCTTGGGTGTATACCCAGTGCTGCTCTTAATTGCAGCAATAATGGCAGTTGCAGTGTATGAGCCACCGGGAGTAATTCCTGCTTTCGAGAGAATACTGTAAAGGTTGTATGTAGAGCGGAGCTCAAGAACCTTGGAAAAGTAAGTGTACATGTCTTGGTACTGAGTGTAAGAAGAACCAAAGCAGTCAGGGTCCAAAGTTGTAACACAAGTTCCTGTTTTCGAACAAGGTAAATGTTTAGTCAAAGACAGTATATATATATATATATATATACTTGCAAGCTGCAAAGAATGTAAACTTACCATGCTTGTCCCATTCGTGAGTCCAGAAGGTACTGTCGTCGCCAGTGTAAGAAGGCCAGTAGGTGGTCATTTGGGTATAGAGGCTCGAATTACCGCTCTTTACGAGAGGACCAACATTGGAGTAAGCACGAGTGGAATCACAACCACTGCTAGATGTCAAACCACCAGAACAGGTATCAGGCCAAAGGCCATGGAGAGTAAATTCTTTTGTTGGTCCATAACCAGTCAACCACTAAAAAAAACGTTTAATTAATTTCACATTTTGATTGGATCAGTACTAAAGAGTAAACCACACACCTGTTGAACGAGAACAAGAAGACCATAAGTAGGAGAGCAGCAAGAATCACTTGCAGCAGTAGTACTGCAAGACAAAGCAGTGACTATAAAAAGAAAAAGACAAAAGATAATGTCAGTCTTGCGGTATCAATTAAGTACCCGACTATACATACGAGAGCAAGTATCTGCTCTAGCTTTTAGAAGAGGGCTAGCAGACACCAGAGAAGTGAGGGCCAGAATACTTGTAGCGGTAGCGAAGAACTTCATTGTTGAGGATACTTTCTTACAACAATCCAGAAATTAGCAAGCTTTATATATATGAATTTTCGAAATTTTTTGTAAGATACTCTCTATATTAAAAAGGGGAATAATCGATAGGTTTAGCAATTGATAACTTTCTCTGTATCGCTATTAGATGAAAGTGTAATACTTAAATACAAGGTAGTGTATATACAGTTCTCATCCTATCGTTTCCAACATGCATTCAGCTTATAGGATGTATATTTGCATGACAAATGTGTATAATCGAACAATCCTGTGCTTCAAGTGATACCCTTTGGGCCTATCAGATATAATTATAATCCACATGGACATCTTTTTTATGCAACGCAAGCACGATTGGTACTATCTCCAGTCCGCGGAAAAGGTTTTGAGCAATTTAATATATGATTATGGGAACTTTAAGATACGTCAAATCAGATTACTCAAGCCAAGCCTTGAGTAACTAGACATATTCATTAACTATTAGAGTATTATTGTCAAAAAGGAGAAGATAATGTACAAATATGGGTAATTGTAGTTGTGTATCATTTTGTATTGTGCAACCATTTCTGAAAATGCTCATTAATCGCCACAACCTACTCTTTTCAGCCTTCGATATGTAGGTACAACCAGATGCTGTACCACAATAATACTAAGATAATATTTTACCTTCATAGTACTATAGAAAAAGTAAATAAAAGTATATACAAGCTACTAATATACAAGTTAAAAAGTCTATTTTATTGTACCCTCCCCAAAATAAGACAAAAATAAAGAAAAGGATTGGGTGAACTTTTAAAGTCTTAGTAAGCACGCGTGTGATAATTCATCAGTAATATCAATCAATAGTTGGATAGTGCTTTACATAATACATATACAAAAAAATCAAAGAAGTTTATCATAGTAATGTTAATAATAATGTTATATTCCCTTTGTCCATTATGATCTATACCTTGACCAACCGTCACAAAGGATCTCAATTAATGGAATGACGGACTTTTATTTTATTTTGTTCTTCGTCTCTTTTTCTCTGTATACTATTTTACAGTTTTACTTTGCAGAACATGCACGCACTAGATCGAGACACAATTCGTTTGCTTGATGCAGGCCAAATCATTGTAGATTTGGATGCTATTGTTAAAGAGCTCATCGAGTGCGTATATATACATGTATATTTACAAATTTAAGAAAAGCGAATATGCATACAATATACATATAGACATAAAAAATAGTTTTAAGGATCAATAGCATGACTGAAATGCATTAGGAATTCACTCGATGCTCATGCCAAATCTATCGATGTCCAAATGTCCCAAAATGGATTCGAACAAATACAGGCAAAAAATATTGCTATTTAGTTTTATGGGTCAATACCTGACCTTTTATTATTTTGTCAGGTCAAAGACAATGGATCTGGTATCCTCGAAGAGGATCGTTTACATATGACGAAATGTCATTGGACTTCCAAAATTAGTCGCTTTGAAGATATTAATAATGTTTCTACGTTTGGATTTAGAGGCAAGTTTATACAAAGCCCTGTGTATATTAAGAAAGTATACACATACATGCATATGCTGAGACCTATAATTTAAGAAAGAAAGAAGAAAGAAGTTTTGATACAAAGTTCTATGATAGGCGAAGCCTTGCATTCCATATGTGCCATCTCTAATACTGTCTCTATTACCACAAAGACGGATGATGATGATGTAGCAAGATGCTATACATGCAATAGTAATGGTGATATTATAAAGTAATGCTAAAAAACAGATTGCTATCTCTGTCCAGTAAAACAATACTGTTCTTATATATACATTTTCATTCGAACTCGTTTTTCAGAAATACTGCATCTCCTACGATTTCCAGCACTGGAACTATAGTAGCAGTCAATCAGCCATTTTGTAGCATTCCTGTACGAAGACAGGTACAAGAAAAAATATATATCAGATATTACAATATCTCGTTGTTCAGCTTTTCGTCTTTTGTATATATCTATCTATCTACTAGATTGCTCAAAACAATAGCACTGCTATTGTAAAAAAGGTTCTAGACTGGATCATCTTTATGGCTCTTCCTCGTCCAGATGTTCGATTTTCATTTCTTTCTTTCAAAGATTCGAAAATGTCTCGTGAAAAAATTTGGATCAAACCAGTAGCAAAAAATCTTATTGATAATATAACTACGGTATATGGTGTCAGCTTGACTGATATGATTCAGTACTACACGATCAGCAATACAGATACAGCACCATTTACCCTTCAATGCCTTCTTCCTGTACCCAATGCAGGCAAGCTAAATATATGAATGATAAAACAGTACTTTGTAATTAATCTGTTTCTTTATTTTAAAGATCCCAAAGTGATATATAAAGGTGATAGAGTCTTTATTTACTGTAACTCAAGACCTATCCAATATGTAAAATCAGAACTGAGTGATCTAGTAGCGCTGGTCAAAAATAGGTTCAATCAAACAATTCAACATGAACAGAGTTAGTATATAAAATGACTAGCATTAATGAGTGGAACATTAATGTAATCAACTGATTTAAGCAACAACAACAAGAAACCAGAAACCGTTTATGTATATTGATATAAAAATTCAACCAGACCAATATGATGGTGAGATATTCAACAGCATTAAACAAAACGCTAAAAATGTGAATTGACTATGGTTCCCCACCCTCACTTCTTTTTTTTTTTAAAAAAAAAGTCAATATCGAACCTAACAAAACTGCCGTTATATTTCACAATCGACAATCTATTATCAATCTAATGGAAAGTTTACTTAACAAGATATACACTGGACCTGATTTAGACTCATCCGAAAACAGTAGTCTATCAGCGTAAGAAAAGAGATATGAAAGTAAATATATATGTATATATATCTCTAATCATTATTTTTATTGGTTGGGGTAGAACACGTGAGAGAAAATATACTTCGAGAGAGAGATCTATAGGTATGAATGACTGGTATATACATATATAATCCAAAACAATTCTTACCGGTCTATAGATTTATACAGTTCACCATCCCAGGAAGTCAATAGTGACGATTCTGATTCTGATTCTAAAGCCGAAACCGAGGAAAAAACCAACCCATGGGAGTTCACCATGTTTAGCTCTTCAGAGGAGGGAAACGATGTATATGAACTGGAGTCCAGTACAGATTATTCTGAACTAGGATATAAAGTACCGTCATATATGGAGTGGTCTACGACAAACAGCAGCCAAAAAAATTCAGATAAATCCACTCATTCATCTACCGAGCTTCAAGGTTCAGACGTGTGGGACATTGGTATCAGTACTGATAAATCTAATGATCGTGTGAATCGTGGTACAGAAAGTGAGCAAAATATCTCAGCTCTTCCCAGAAGACACAAAAACACTAGGCAACCACAAGTAATTTCTTGGTATGGAGAGTCTTCATCTAATATTCCCTTGAAACGAACTCCAAGTCCCGAAAATATTCAAGATCCAAAGCGACCGGCTATTCCAATAGCTACATCAAGCGGCAGTAAAGAAAGAAGTAGCAAGCATGCTAAAAATGATTATATTATGTGGGGAGTCCCCCGAGAAAGATCCCTGGATATGACCAACACATCTTCCCTGGAAACCCCGGACCGTCTTTCTTCCAAGCCAGTACCACACTCTACCGGTGTACCACGGCATCGCACCATTACGGGTTTTCTATCTGAGAAACCTAAATCAGTAAAGACACACTCTGCCAATACACTTAATAATGAAATGACAGTAAAAGTGGACCACGAAAGGCTCTCAAAGTATCAACGTGGACAATACAGAAGAAACCATTTTCACCGACGATCTATGGAAGATTATTACATGTCCACAGAGCCAAGTGTACAATCTACTATTGCTGTTTTTAACAGTCCACAGCTGGGTCGCCAGTCGCTTTCTGTTTATGTACTTTATGAAATAATTCACTTAGGAAAGTGTATCGAGCAGATAGGAGTGGTTCATACTAAAAGGTACACTAAAAAAAACTTGGACATTAGTAATGAGCTTTGTATAACAGTTAATACGAATTGTATCGACTTTATTATTTTTTATATACAACAGAGCTCAGTCTATTCAGGAGTTTACCAAATTAATGAATACACACAAACTTGGCTGTGATATTGTTCTTGAGACACCTGTAAACATAATACAAAGGTTTGAAATATTTTCAAGAGAAAAGAATGTTTTTAAATATACATTGGTATTAATTATTAATATTATTGTCTTCTTCTAGCTCACACGATATACATTTCCAAACCCTATTGAGTCTTATGGGTTATCAAAAACAGGTTCAAGAAAATGGAATTGCACAATCAGAAAAGACATACACTGTAATAACTGACCCACGTATTGTGAATAATGGCTTTAATGTTCGATGGCATAGAGGTAAATTGACTGTTTTAAGATGTTCTTACTTTTCTTACTTTTATATCTCAATCTTCAAATCGCTGTTTTTCTTTATGCTTTCTATGCTAACATAATTTATCAAATTTAAGACTCTCACAGTGGTGAAGTGAAGGTTCAAATATTGGCAATATGCTCAATACCATACTATGGTCCATCAGACTGGCGAGATTTATTGGAAAATATTCGTCAGAATCCCAACGCACCGTTCGGTCACATTCGACCTAACAAAGCGATCGAATATCTCGCCACTAAGGCTTATTCGACCAGCGATGATACACCCGTTCCTCTTGAGCCACTACTTCGTGGTCTTTCGTGGCAGGATTCTATCGGCAAATATGAAATCACGCCCACTTATTCTCACACCATTGCCTATTCGCTTTCTGGATCTATACATTGCTCGTAGCCCATATTTTATAAATAACCAGGCGTTGTTTAACATATGTCTATTTGCTCTTGATCATATACACATAAAGAAAATTACAGAATAATGGAAATAATATAATTATAATAAAAAAGCAAGATAGTATATAAGATAATAAAGTAAATGTGGAATATACAAGAAAAAAACTTGCACAGGAAATTAAGTAGTGAAGCCAATTATTTCTTTGGTTTGAAAATATTGCTCATACGCTTCAAAAACGCCTTTTGCTTCCGTGGTTTGTCAGTTTCATTCTCGGAAAGCAAAATAGATTGAGCAGGTTGAATTGCAGATTCTGGATCACATTCAAGGGAATGTAACAATGACTGTAGAGTTTCCATTACTGTTTCAAGTCGACCATGTTTGACACTAGAATCTCTGGAATTGATCTGATCTTGCACAAGCTGAATACAATAGTTTAGTTCTTGGCGATCTAAAATACTGCGGAGCATCTGCATTGAAACTGTAGAATGAACGAGCATCATTAGGCAATCAAGTCGACCATATTTTGCCGCTTGCATGACAATTGAGCCTTTGTTAGTCTTTCGAGACTTTGGATCTAAAAAGTCTCCCTTGATGGTTAAGTCAGCCTTGGCTTGGTGAATCATCCAGTCCAATGTCTCGGCGTGATCTCCGTGAGCTAACAAGCCAAAGACAGGTGATTTTTGACTGGCATCAACCGCATTGATGTTTCCGCCTCGTTCAACCAAGGTTTGCAGAATTGGTAAAGATGGATCACAGAACCGGGCGCAGTAGTGCATAGGTGTCCAGCCATCACCGTCTCGCGCGTTGGGGTTTGCCTTGTGCTCTAGCAGAACCGTCAGAGAAGATAAAGGAGAACGGCAGTTGAGTAAGAGCATATGAATAGCCTGTACATTATATACGTTGCGAGCAGAGACATCTGCACCATTGGACAAAAGTAGCCTGAGGGCAGTAAGAGGGTTGCTGACATGAGATACAACAAGATGGAGAAGAGTACAGTCTGTATCAGGGTCTCGCGTATTAAGAAGGGTCGAAGGGTTTGGTGAGGCGTGTTCGATGTAGTAAGCAAGGGCAGCCACGTCGCCTTCTTCAGCAGCTTTAAATATCGAGATGGATGGTTTTGGGGAGAGTTCGGGTGTGGAAATACGTTCTGTGTTTGTTATACACCTGAGTACTAGTGCGTCGTCATCTTCACTATTGCTGTCTTCACTATTGCTATCCTCAAATGCAGCAACCTTTATATCGACTACTGGAAGGATGACATCGTCCACCATTGCGGGCGGTTTGCTCACATTCAGGGCCGCAAAAGTACGTGCAAATACAGAAGGCATTTTGTAGTGAATTATACGGGATGGGAGTAAGGTTATATATGTCAAGTACTAAGCACAGTAAAAGATATAATGAAGTAAGAGAGATGGAGAATAAGAAGGCGAGTATCTTCAAGGGATATCATGGCTTGTTGCTTTTTAAATACTCGAAAGCCAAAAATAAAATAATCAAGCGCTAGAATGTTTTCTCTTTAGTTGAAACAAAAATTTATTTGTTTAATATGCAAATATTCAACATTATTGCCCAATGTTCTTACTATGTTTTTCTCATTTGTTCTATTTCGCCATCATTTTTATGCTGTAATTCACGTTTCTCATGGAAATTATAAAATAAAGCATGGAAGTTATTCTTTACTGACCGAGGGACAACAGTAATTAACATCTTATAGAATATAAGCTTTTGTCTAACCAATTAGTGTATACTGATAAAGAATTCATGATATACAATAAATTCATTAGATTCATTTTATTTCACTTATTAAACAGCAATTATCGAATAGCCAAGTAGAAATAAATTATAACTTTTTTTCTTTTTTTTTTTTTTTTCTTTACAGTTTATATCCTAGGAGAGTATCTTGATAAAGAAGAATAGAAAAATCTGGTGATTATTACAAGCTACACTCCTTCGCATACACACATATATATATATATATATCTAATTGTATTCTTTAATTCTTTGTAAAACAAAATAAAAAGCAAAAGGAATATCAGCAAAGCTTGGACATCAAAAAAACCATGCATTGCGACGCGGATAAAGTGACGTCACGAGCATTGATCGCTCACCCAGAGAGCCAAAGACAGAGAAGAAGAAGAAGTGGAGATTGCTAAACTTTATTCTTCAAATAGTTCATCTTCATTCAAAGATTTATAATGCTCAAAGGCACTAAGAATACACTCCAAAAACTCAAGGATTCTGTAAACAGCGGAAACTATTATGAGTCTCACCAGATGTACCGCACTGTGGCACGCAGGTAAACTATCTTTATATATATATATATATATAAATGTTTTACGTGGCAAGACTTTTGAAGGTCATGTGCTGAACCCTGATAATTGATCAGATATAATAAGCAGCAGAAACATCAACATGCCATTCAACTGCTGCATGATGGAGCTGTGTCATTGATGACACATAAACAGAGTGCATCTGGCTCTGATTTGGCCAATTATATGCTTGAGACCTATAATACTGCAAATATACCTGTGGATGATGTATCACTTGGTAAATAAATGTGATTCACTGGTATACACATGTATATAAATACATGTGTGTGTGGTCGTGTGGGTGTATGGGTGTACTAGGTTGAGATTTTGATGTTGTTTATTATAGATCGCGTGGTAGAAATTTTGGGTCTTTATCCTCCCAATGAACCTGGGCGTAAATCGTTTATCAACAATGCCTTTAGGTAAAGTCAATTTGACAACATAATTATATACATACTGTGTATGTTCTTAAGAAATACAAAACAAGAGATGAAATGCATGTTCTATAGAGGAAGGAAAAAATGGTAACCAAAGTATTATGCCATATTTCTTCTTTTCTTGTACTGCAGCTGGACTCAAAAGCACGGCCAGTACCCAGAAGGAGACCCTGAACTTCATGACTATGTTGGAACTATGTTCTTCAATGGTACAGAACCAGATATTCTAGTGGAAATTTAAACAGCAAAAAGAGTTATGGGACTAATATTATGCTATGATATATAGAGGGTCGTTATGCTCCTGCAGAGGAACATCTTTTGGTGGGCACAGATCACAGTGCTGAGTTGTTGGGTAAATTGGCCTATGACTGGGCAGTAGAGGAAGGTTCACAAAGCCAGGGATTGTATATTGCTCGTGGTGCCTTACAGTAAGTTTTATAGACTCGGGGAAAAAAAAGGCTGGTTAGTTGTCTAAGAATGAAAGTGTGATGTGATGGGTAGGTATCTCGCCATGAAGAATATCCATCATGCTACTCTCGCCCTTCAGAATTTCTTGAAGTGTAGCAACCAGGCACGCACCGGAAATGCAGAAGTTCGTCGTGCACCTGCTGAGGAGCCAACTCCCGTTATTATTTATCAGGACCCTTGGTTAAATTTTTTGCAGTTGATGATCCTTACTGTACAGCGCGATGCTACTGATCTCTTCCAGAGTCTCCGTAGTACATACGCTCAGATGTACCGTGAACACAAAGGTTTCGAAGAGGTAATTATACAAGAATTGGGATATAATTTAAACTATAAAAAAGTTAGAAAGTAGGATTACTAACGTAAAAGGTGTTACACGTATTATTATGACTATGACTTTTAAAACAAAGCTGCTCGATGACATTGGCAATGTTTTCTTTGATATCCCCAAACCACGCAAGCAATCCAACTCTCTCCAGGATATGCTGAGCAGTCTATTTAATGCCCCCTCTGCACCTGCCATTTCTGCAGGTAGCTCATCTGGCATGGAACTTGATTAAAGCCATGTACACAAACACAAACACTTATAAATACATAAAATAAATACAGTTGACAAAAGGCATTTTTTTTGTAAAACATTGCTATAGTTCTGATAATCTTTGTAAAAAGAATACAGAAGAATACCGCTATTTATTTTATTTGTAACAAACCAAGAGAAACAATGTCTTGGGTTTTTGATATTTCATTTCTTTGTATTACTGCTTCCAAATCTTGTGTTCCAAACCCATCTCGTTGTTGGGAGCCAAACCAACACAAGCTCTGAAAATGTTCTCAATAGCAGAGCGCTGTCTGCCAAGGGCATTGACAACGGGAGTACCAGGGGTAACCAAAGGTGCCTTGAGCATATCTAATAAAAATAATAGTCATTAAATTTAAAGTCTTATCGCATCATAATAAGGTTTCTAGAAGATTGGGGTTTTCTACTTACAACTCAAGATAGAGAGAACACTTTGGAAACGGCTATACTTGGTCATATCACCAGTCTTGTATTCAATACGAGTCATCAATTCAGCCATAACAACAAGATCGATGATCAAAGGAGAGGCCAAGAAAGAGTCCTCGCAGATGTTGTAGATGGAAATAGACTGACGACCAGCCATGAAGATATCGCACTCATACTCATCCAGGGCACGCTTGGAATCGCCAACCGAAGGAACGTACTTGATCACGACAGTGTGGTCGGGATGTTCGTCCTTCTTGTAAAGCAAGTGATTGGCAGCAACCATATCATCTACGACAGTAGACTTGGAGATTTCCTTGGAGCGGAATTGCTTGTGCGACGACAAGTTCTTGCCATCGTTGTTACCCAAGTGGTTGTACGAGGTAATTGCGACGGGCTTAATACCAGCATTCACAAGGAAATCCACGATAGCCGACTTGAACTTGGTCTGACCGGACTTGAAATCGTCACCACCGATGAATGCACGTTCACGTTCGGCTAAGGCCAAAAGACCAGGAACAAAGGTGTTCTGAGGAGAACCGTTGATGAAAGGAACACCTTCTTCGATACAAGCCAAAGCAAAGATGGATGAAGGAGCAACCTCGTCGTGGGAGGAAGCCACGGCTGCCAAGAAGTTCTCGGGGGTGTCGTTCACACCAGGGATGAGATCAGCATAACGCTCTGTGTTGGCGGTCCAGACGACGACAACCTTGTCGAGGTTGTTGGCAATCTTAAAGTCACGGATGTCTTTACGGATCTTGTCACAGTGTTGACGCTTGTCGTTACCCGGCAATAAATTGTCAGCGCGATCCGACTGGTTAGCGGCAATGAAATCGGGGTAGTAGATGGAAGGCAAGGGTTTGAGGGTGGCTAATTCGTCGCGGACCTGGCGCTGGAGGTCGTACTCAAGCACCTGGGCACGCTCCATAGCATCACCAATGGAAAGTCCGGAGATATCCCATCCACCAATAACAAGATCAGTGGGGTTAACCATGGGGAGCATCTGGGACAAGGGAACGTAGACATCTTCACCCTCAGCACTAACGCCAAGACGGACAGTAGAGGCTTGAGTAAGAGAGCCAAAGTAGTTGGGGGTCTGGACACCAGACTTGGTGCGCCAGGTAATGTTGCGCTTGTGAGCGAGGATAGAGGCAGTGAGAGTAGTACCGTTGTTACCACCCCAGCCGACCATCATCAAACTTATATGACAAACAAAGTGTGATAAGTAAGAGCAGCCATGAAAGTATTTGGCACTACACTATAGTTGTATCTTACCCAACGCGGGGGACAGTGCGTTCGGTCTTAAACTGGTAAACTTGTTCGACAGGTTCGGCAACAAGGCTACCATCAGCCTTCTTGGAGACGATGGTGTTGGTGTAGGTGTACTTGGATTGGATGTGGGAGTCAGTGTACTCAACGTTAGGAGAGTTTACTTTGAAGAGAGGAGGGGACATGGTGGGAGCAGCAGTAGCAGTAGGAGCAGGGTAGGTATCGTTGTGGGGAGGAGACATCTTTTGGGGTTAGGTCACTTTTTTAGGTCTGTCACTGCAGCGCCGGTGTCCTTTGTATGGGTTGTGGGTGGAGGCTAAGAGATTGGCAAACTACATGGGCCAATACCTGATCAGGAACATGGTACAGTATTTAACAAAAGACATACCGTTTTCTACTTCTTTGTTTGTTGAGGTGTTTCGTATAGGAACACTTCTCAGTAAAATGGCAAGAATGGAAAAAGGTGGGGAGCGCGCAAAAGAATGCAGAAAAATCAAGGCCAGAGTTCGGCTTCAAATAGGCAGTGACGGAGTTTTTATTTGTCCGTAAAGGGCCGGACCCTTTGACAGAAAAGAAGATGTTCTTGACCACCTATCAGATCCTATGAAATGCTCGTTACACCTGTCTTTTATACTTATTTGATGGAATTTGAATGGGTTGGGATTACAGAATGAATTTGAATGATAAACTTCTTTTTTTTTTGGTTTTTTTTTTGGTTTTTTCTCTCTCTTTTTTTTTACGCATGGGAATTTGCCAAGTGAGACGCCAACTGAGGATCAAATGGAAGACTGGGGCGAGGCTGCACAATAGCCGTCGGACTCATTTGGCCTTGTTGGCGTACTCCCTATCACGAAAAAAAAAAGTATGAATGGAGAATTAGTTAACAGAAATAGAAAGAGTCGGAATCGTATTATATGAGAGTATTATATGTGTATAACCTACCAGTGGGTTCTTGCTATAAGAAAGTCGAATGCCTCCTTTGACTGAATTGGAAAGAGTGTTTCCATGAAGAGTTTGGAGTGCATTGGTGGCGTACACAACCTGTTCAAACTCAACAAAACACATTGGCCCTTGTGGTTTGTTACGGAAAGACAGTCTTTTATATCCAGTACAACTGGCAAACATTGCTTTGAGTTCCTCTTCATCAGTATTGGCTGGAAGGTTGCCAACATAAAGTGTATTGCAAGGCGGGTTTTGATCTGCTATGTTACCCAAATTGAATCGGGAAGCTTTGATAGCAAAGCGATTGGGTGTGTCTGGCATCGGAGGACGAAAGGAAGCCCGGTCTGTCTGAAGAGGTGTAGATTTTGAGCCATGTTCTTCCAGAACGTGTCTTGAATAGCGGCGGTTGGGGTATAAGTGGGATGACAGTCGAGCCGATGACGAGGCTGGGATCGGGCCATATAACTCCTCGACAGAATTCTCTATTACTGGTGCCCGCGACGCAAAGCTGTCCGGAAACACAGCCTGGAGGGGACTGGGGGTAAAGAGATCCATATCGTCTGCCCCATTATTAATACCAGTTCCAGTACCAGCACCAGTTCCAGTGCCGGCTCCAGTTCCAGTTCCAGCTCCAACTCCAACTCCAGTGCCAGTTCCAGCGTTAGTACCAGTGTTAATTCCAGCGCCAGTGTCAGTTCCAGAGGCAGCGGCAGAAGCAGCGGCAGAGCCAGAGTTAGAGCCTGTAGTATTAGTAGTAGTAGTAGTAGTGGCAGCAGTACCGGTGGTTGTACCGGTGGCAGGGCCAGTGCTAGCTCCAGAGCCAGTGCTTGTACTTGTACTAGTGCTAGTACCAGCGCCAGCAGGTACACCAGTGCCAGAGCCACCATTAATAGGAACCGAATAAAACGCTTCAAATGCAGTCTGAGACGAAGGAAGGAACCGTTTAGGTGTTAGGGGAACAATGACCTGAAGCTCATTGGATAATCCTCGTTTGGTGTGAAGATTCTTTTTAGCCATTTCAGCCTTAAGAAGGGATCCTTTTTCAGCGTCAACCTTGCGTCCATTCAATACATCGCGCGCCTCAAGTGCTTCCGACCGAGTACGAAACTTGGCAAACCCAATCTAAAGAATGAATGCTCTATCTATAAATCACAATGCACTAAGAAAGTAAAGCTTATTTCCTGTTGTATACCGTCTGTTTCTTGGCCTGATAGTTGACGTCTTCTTCCATATCTTTGGCAGGTACCTTGAGAGTGGCAGCCTCGAAACCAGGTGAGAAAATAAACATATTCTGGAACTCACGTTCCTGCATATCCTCTGGAAACCCCACTATAAACAGCGTTGACACTTCTTCCCCGACAGTGTTTGTTACTAGACTGCTTGACACAGAAGCTGGAAACGGGGCCAATGGACTAGGCGGTGGGATGGCTTGAGTGAATGAGGGAGCCATTGCAGAGGAGGCTGGCAATGCTTCGGGTGTGGTGGTCATGAGATGTGAAAGAATGGGGAATGAAACCAATAGTGAAGGTGTGGAATGGAAGGGAGAGAAAGAAAGAAGCTGTTTTCTTGACTGGGAATGAAACGAATAAAAAAAAGGGAAAAAGAGAACTACTCTTAAAAGAATGCTGGTTTATTCCCAAGACAAAAGATAATCGCACAGAAGACCAACTGTCCTACTTTGGTGACTAACAAATACGGCCCATTAAAAAACCGTCCATTTGGCACAAAATCGAGTCTGTTAAGTTTGGATTAAAGAGAGATAAGCTCTTATTTTAATACCTTTAAGGATAATAATAATTTTCTTTAGATATATTTCCAAGATGTTCAAGCGAACACTAATACCAATGTCATCCTCAGCGTGTTCAAAAGATAGTGAATCAATTGGATTGTGGGATCTTCGAAAAATATAAGTTTACTGCATATTGTTTCTCCTTTGTTATAGAAGCATAGCCCTAAACTAAATGCACAAAAACCAATCTAACGACAGAAAGAAATCAGCTTAATGTCTGTGCCAACACTTCTTTGAGAGGACGCTAGCATATACACACATTGTGTGTCCTATTATTAGTGTACTACCCGCAGACCCATCATCTATAATCAGATCCCTTGCTAATCTCTTAATATCTACGGCTATTTGTGGATACGTGTTTTTGTGTTGCACTAACATACACATCCGCGTCATTCGACAAGTACAGTCATTCCACTCCCAATTTTCAAACTTGAAGTGTAAATCACCAATCCATGCTATAACATTGTTTTTACTTAATATTAAGATAATTTTGGATTTTTTTGTAGACAAATTATATTTAAATTTATAGACACTTTTTTGAGATTAATCTAGACAATATATATATATAAGACAAGATCACTTTGCAAATTGAAATTACCTAGATATCAGACAAAATTTGTACTCTTGAATTTTGGTGTCTTCAATCATAAAGCATGATCATTGACTAATGAATAGACTTGGAAACGTATGTGCGTTCTGATAGAGTGTCCCTATTATGTGGAATAATAATAAAAAAGGATTCTAAAGTCATATGGCTTCCTCATGACTCTCGCCGCACACTTAAACTATTCTTCTTTTTATACCAGAAACTTAAGAATGTTCAGAGCAAAAACTACAAGTAAAAAGGAATAGAGGTAGAACAATGTGAAAGCTATAGATGATGTGTACTTTTAAATATTGATATGAATTTTATGCATTCTATACACTAGCCGAAAGCATGTATAAGGAATACAAGAAGTCTGGACACAACATAAAGAGAAACATACAAAGCCAATATTTTGAATTGACATCGACACATGGTAAATACACACACACATATATATATATATAAGCTTATATATATATATTATATCGTATAACAGCTGGTACAACGTATAGAAAAGTACTGAATATGAAAAGGTGGAGTCAAAAAAAACAGAAAGGTAAATCAAAAGGCCGTAATTATGAGGTTGGTCGAGTAGAATTAAGACCAGTATGCTCTAGATATCATCAAGAGGGCTATGAAATCTGAAAATCAAAAGTCTACAAATTATATACAAAGTAGATAAGAAGAAATGCGGGGGCTATTGGGAGATCATAGTGCCATAACAGAAAAAATACAAGCTGTATCAAATATAAGTTGAAACATTATGATTCGTGCTCAGTTGTATATGAACTACTATGTGATTTCTCATCCTAACCAAACAGTGGACAAGAAAGTTTGTATACAAAACGTTTGGTATTGTGTATCAAAGTTAGTGTTAAGTAAGCCCCTAAGAAATAACAAAGCTATCCCAAACAGTTACTTGACTTTCTGGGACAGTTTCTCTTCAAAACATACAGTGCATTATGAGACGACACCTTTAGAGGGCTATTCATATTGTCTAACACCTGCTTGGGACAAAATGGCTATCGTATACACAAATTCCACTGAGGAGCGCTTTGGATCTAAAGCAAAGTTATCTATAGCCTGTAATATCATGAACTTATTTACAAATATAAATATATACAAATTTATATAATTGTTTCTGAAATAGCTAACACATTTGGCTTTTGGTTGTATCTTATTGCTCTGCAGCTATTCTCTATGTGCAGCCTTTAAATTACCATCAAAGTGAACTTAATTAAATGAAAAAGAAAGTAAAGACCGAGAACAAGGGAAAGAGAAAGAGGATAAGTTAGAGAATAAGAAATATAAGAAGATTGTCTAATACAGGATAGAACAGAGGGGGAAAAGGAGATAAAAGAGAAATGCTTAAGCTAGTGCTAATCTGTGTTTTTCTATCACTGTATGTGCTTTTTGGAACAACACTCCAGGGGGCGAAGACTATTCATCAAAAACAAACTTCCAGTGAGCACATCATATGACCTTGGTAATTGTAACGGAAACTAGAGTATAAATAACCTCATGAGAGGAGGGTTATGAAAAGGTGCCTCATGTAAGGATAAGTCGAATGCTGTCGAGGTTAAGATACGGACAGAAGCAGGAGAGAAAAATATCCCATACATGCCGTTTGATAGGACAGTCAAAGAAGAATTAATATTGATCTTCGGTAGCGTGATAGCAAAATAACCAAAAAAAAAAAAGACTAGAAGGGCTGGTGAGACAAAGAGGTATAAGACGGTTTAGACGCTGCCTTTTTGGTGTTTGGTCCCAGAGAATTACCTGCTGTACTGTTGGACAATGACGATGGATAAGGACGGACTAACGCTTTGTCCTGTATTTACCAAATAGAGCTCTTATGAAAGTGTTTTTCATAATTATTCCTATCAATATGTCTGTGGCAGTACACCAGTCTGTGCCAATGTACTCCTTAAAGTTTATATGACCAAAAATTGTCAGTTGGCGCAATATGCAGTGAACCGGGATTGGTTAACATCCCTAAACCAGTTACTTTGGTAACCCTCTCTGCCTCTCCTGGAGCAGATATATTTATACCGAACCACTCAATACCATAGCTTGAACGTTTTTGTCCAAGTAAACAACAGCAAGATAAAAAATTGTTTACTTTCGTTGTGTCCTGTGCCTTCATTAAAATGGAGGCGTATATCAATGAGTCCAGGCACTCTTTCCGATTTTTTAGTATAATATTGCCCTATACCTACGCTCCCAAGCTTGAATTTTTTTTAAAGGTGCTTGATTTAATTGGATTTAAATTTGATAGGTAGTTATAACTGTATACACCCTTATACTCAATTTAACAAAAATTCGTGTTATAAATAGTATAATAGCTTGCAAGATTTGGAGGGATCAGCAAGAAAGAAGACATTCATTTTTTTAATATAATCAGATTAGATCGCTCTACTGCTTATGTGATGATTTTTAAAAGTATAATACAATATGTTTCTTTAGAAGAAGTCTTGTTGTTTTTTTTGACAGGCTTTAGATTGGGTTGAAACATTTATTGTGGAAGATAGCGTGAGCTGTGCATCTGCAGCCGTTACAATGTCGTATACTATGCATTATACAGTATATGCTGTTGTCAGCTCAAAAACTAGTAAGATATTTTTTCCCAAGCACAACCAAAGTATAATAGTAGTAACAAAATAAAATTAAAGAAGTTTATATACACATGTTCATAAAATGTTTGATTAAAGCAAATGGTTAATGAACATAAAAAAGTAAAATAGAGGATATCCGAATGAAAAAATAAAGTAAAGTAGTAGTAGGTTATGAGGTAGAATAAAAAGAATGAAAAGAATGATATTTTAGATTAGCATTCCTGCTATTGATGCAGATACCCAAGTACTGACAGCACCACAGATCATAGCGGATACGGCCAGACGAGAGATGTCACCGGCTCTCTTGGGTGCTAGTGCACTCAAAACGCCAATCTGGAGACCAACACTACCAAGGTTGGCAAAACCACAAAGAGCATAGGTGGAAATAATATGAGAACGTTCCGACAAGAGGTCTTTGTAGGTTGTCATCAAAATATCGTATGCAACAAACTCATTTGCCCAGATTTTGTTAGCCAATAGTCTACCAACAAGCAATACATCCTTGTTCTCAATCCCCATGAACCATACCACCTATACTCTCATTTAGGTCAGAAAAAAATGAAAACAATTTACAAGATAATATCCTCAACACACACACATCTATACCCATGACCCGCCCAAGTTTTCATTGTAGTGTTTGCATACTACTGTACTTAGGTGTGCGCGAGAGGAGATATATTCTTACTTACCGGCACAAAAATATACCCAGTAATCAGCTGAAGTGTTAATTCATGAATTGTCAAGAAGTTTCCAATCCAGGTAAGAGCGGCATTGACGGCATATAACAAAGCAAGGAGGGAGATCAGGTTGGCGGTCATAAGGAGAGCAATGTTGATACCGATAGCAGCACCTTCACCAGCAGCGTGGAGAATGTTTGCAGGCTTTTCTTGGCTGGGAGGTACAACCACCTTGTCTTTGGTTATAGGCACGCCTGTTTCTGGATAACGTAGCTTCGAGATTGCCAGAGAACAGGGAATCGACATAATACAAGATGTCAGCAATGCCTGACCGGAAACACCCATGGCAATGTAGCCGTACAATACAGAGCCTGAGATTGTAGCAAAGCCAGATGTCATAATTTGATGCATTTCGGCTGGAGTTAACAGGGGCAGGAAAGGTTTGATCAACAAAGCGTTTTCGCCTTGACCCAAGAAAGGCTACCCGATTATAATACACAATGAGGCCAATTCATAAAGTATTATTAAACTAAATGCTTACAGACGCTACTGCTACCACAGCTTCAGCTCCAGAGACGCCTAAGATGGCTCGGAAAACAGAGGCGCATTTCCTGAGAAGCCATTGTAGGGCATTGATGTAATATAGCACCTGTACTGTAGCAGCAAAGAAGATAACAGCGGGGAAGACACTGACGGCAAACAATCCAGAATTTGCGACATTTTCACCGAAAACGAAGCTAGTACCATGCCAAGCTTTGCTAAGATAACCTTGGGCAAAGGTAGATGCCCACTGAAAGATATCGTGACCTGCTTGGGAACGAAAAACGAATAAGGCCAAGAGGAACTGGAGTAGAATACTTGTGGTGATTGTGTTCCATTTGACAGCACGATGGTTCTACAAGAATAATGATACAATTAGTCACTCGTATTAATTTGATCGGTCGAATGAGTCAACCCAAAACTCACGGTTGAGGTGGCAAAGACAAAAAGCAAGAATAAAATCATGCCAGCCAGGGCAATTAAACGTTGTATACGTGTCGATGAATCAGATTCAGGTAACGAAAATACTGTGATTGCAATTACGGCAAACACAAAGATTGCGTAGACTAATGATAATATCCAACTTCTGATATGAGATAGTTGCCTGTTTATGAATGCAAAGGCGATGTTCCAAGGTTTGGTGACATAGTCTGTTGAGACATGAGAGAAGAACATGTAGATACAGAACCAAGCATATATAAGGCCGAGGATTAGGTTCTCTGGATTGTATCCCTTTGGAACCTGGAGTGCATAGGCAGCAGCCAGAAATCCTGTAAACAGAAGCCACATTACAAGACTGTGTATCGAAAATAAAGAGACAAGTTTGAGATCGGGCGATCAATAATGAAGTTTAAAGCTTGGCGATTCATTATTTTTGAGATGAAATTTTTTTCCTTAATAGTTTAAATGGTGGCAGGCCGGAAAGAACTGTTGACTTACTGACACCATAGAAGATATCTATTGTAGAACAAGCTAAATCGACTCGGTTTTTGTTCAACCTCGCTAGGAACTTCTCCCGACTTGACTTCAGGAAGGACATATGTATCAACTCCAATTTCAATGGCAGTATCTGAGGCGTGCTCAAAGATTGGGTGGGATTTTTCATCCGGAAAGCTATCGGTAGTGTCCGATGAGCACATTGGTGGGAGAGCAGAGGAAGAGCCTGATGATATTTCTTTTGTAGTCTCCATAGTTCTAATATTTTAATGTTGTAAAGAGAAAACAAGGAGAATAGGAAGCCAAAACTTCATACATCTATATATATATATATAGATATTTTTACATTCAAGAAATTTTTTGAAGTAACCAAAATATTAACAGCGATTCAAGAATTAAAAATAAAATAAAACCGATTAGAACCTCTCGGATGCTTTGGAAGCCCAACTTAAAAACCTATTTGATTTCTTTCTTTCTTTTTTATAAGGTGAGCCAATGGATACTGTCTACGGTACATATTCTATTGGGCGTGAGATAAAAATCAGATCAAAAAATGAAAGGGCTGTGGTGCATAGGCCTTTCAATAGTACATATGTTAAGACACCGATTTGTTTCTTTCCCAAAGCAAATGAAAATGTGTCTGTAAATAATACTAGAAAAAAAATACAGTGTGCGTGTATGTCTTTTTGACACTCTAGACGAATAGCTTTATAGCTCTCAAATATGGTATTCCTCTATATTAAATCATAAAGCAGGCTCGTAAGGCAGACTTGAGGTTTCCTGTAGGTAAAGTCCCTTAAACGTTACCATAAACCCTTTGATTTATTAAATACAGGGCGGCAAAAACAACACCGCTTGGTTAAGTCGGGAAACTCTAAAGTTTTTTGTTTTGTTATTTTTATGATCTGGAAAATTCGTTAAAATATTCTATACTAATACTGTATTTGCTAGGCTTGCACAATACAGATAGATAATTACGGTAAACATGTAGTGCCATATAGTCTACCCTAACACAATATTCTAATCGAGATTTGATCTTAATACTCTCTTAGAATAATTATGTAGGTGTAATATCTCACATGAAAATTAGGTAACATTCGTTTTTAAAATGAAGTTGAAAACAAAGTGCAGTAACCAATCTTCTTTCTCCTTTGTAAAAATATTAACACTAACTTACTGTAAGTCTCACCAATCAAAACGCGAAAATTTTGTTTAACTGGTTCACAAATATTATTACACCCACAGACGAAACCAGTGCTCTATTATAATAACATGCTCATAATTAAATATATTGTAGATTTTCTAATTAACAAAACATTCTTTGCTATCGATCCTTAGTGGAAGTGGCTTAATCTAAATCTGGAGTCTACAAATACTCATCAAATAATTAATTTTCTGCTACAAGCGTCAGTCAAAATAGAAGAGGATTTATTAACATCAACATTACATTTCAATATTTGAATATTTTAATTACTCAACTACACATATGTCTTCTTTTTTTGTTTTTTCTTTAAAAAAATCTTTTCTCTATATACATGTTTATAAAGCTACTATACTCGTACACTAATTTACATCGTTCGTTGTACGTACAGCCCCATTCATGACTTATTCGCAGGAGAAATAAATGGGACCATTGAATGGAATATGTGCAATGCATCATGAGTCAACTGGCGCCAGGTAATTTGAGTTGCTACTGCTGCACTTGATCCAGTAACAGGATCAAGTATAGGTCCTGGATGTGCCAACCAATCCTCCAGAGCCTCTGCATTCCATAAATTGGCTTTGTAAAACATGTCCAAAAAGCCACCAATGATAGGAATTATGCCGATCATGAAATCTAAGCATAAATTTGGCAAGTAAGTCTCGATATAACTTGGCTAACTTTATGTCAAATCAAATAATTACCAAGAAGCACATTGAGTAGCATACGGAAAAGAAGCCATAGTGGGATACCAAACTGGGTAGACAAATAGACTAGATTTGATTGTATTTAATAAAAGAGTTTAATAAATATTAGTTATCTTACTTTGGTACATTGCAAGTATGGAACCCAAGAAGCCTCCAATAAATGGAATAAAGCTCTGTGATAAATCAAGATTAGTACTTGAAATCCAATTTTTTTTTTGCGATGTCTCATACCAAAAGAGAGTCAATTCCTAGTGGAACAGGTGAGCCTGGAACTGCGTTATCAAGCCAGTTGGCAATCTGCTTGACCTTTGCTAGCTTCTTCTTCTCTTGCTTGTCGTTCAGTGTTTTGTGTGGAGTGGTGTAGTGAAGATATGGGTAGCGTTTCTCAATAGAAGTGACCTTTGCAGATCCTTTAGGACGGTATTGCTCGGCCTTTTCATTAATGCCTAGGCGGTTAAAAAACATACGTTTGAGCATAGTAAATTATTGATTTGCAATTGAAAATTTATAAAAATAATATATTATTTTTGAGCAATGAAAGAAGAAAAGTTTATTACAAGAAATGCTTGCATAGTTTTATACTAGCTAAAAGAAATATGATAGACAACATAAGAGAAAATCCATTTCTGGACAAGTGCATTGGCAAGACGTAATGAGTATATCATTCTTTAATCCATTCCCCGCTTGCATAGGTTTTTCGTTGCAAGGGAGAAGTGTGACGTTCGATGAGGCGTGCACGGCGGCACCAGCGACGACGGCGGGTATATGTGCCCAGACCGGGAGAGGAAGTAAAGAGGTGCCAGGCATTGTTGCCATAGGCCCACCCATTCCGATCAATCTTTCCATCCAACTCTTTGGTCATATCTACCCACCATTCTGAGTCAGCCCAACTCCAGGATTTGCTGGTAATCACACGCATTGTAGGATTAGCCTCGGTTGGCTCTGGAAGGTCAAACTTCTCTTTAGACAAGATAGGCATCAACTGGTTGTCGGTCCTAAGCACAAGATGGATGAGCACACATTTTATTTGGATGCCTCTTTCAATGTTCAAGAGTTGCTGCTCTCATGCTTACCAGGCTGTACGCTCACTAGGCATCATATTCGTAGTCCAACCCATACCAAGCCACCATCTCTATTGTTCCCCAGAATACATATTTTATCAGTTATATTTCGTAAAGCATATAGATGAAAATTAAGATTAAAATTAAAGCTAACAGTAAACCTCTTCATACCTGATTCTCAAAGACCTCAAACTGGAATACCATTTCGCTCTTTGAAGAAGGTTTCTCGACAATTTCAGCATCAACAGGAGCCATCTGACCGAATGCTTTTTGCTTCTCATTATTAGCTCTTCCGATTAACTGCTTGACCCAGTCAGACAGCCGTGCTATGATTCCCTTATTCGGCTTAAAGACAGGTCTTAACAGACGACAAGAAACAACAAGAGCTACTGAATAGGCATACAAAGATACGGCTGCATGGTACAACATTCTGTTATCTTTGAGGCTCTGGATAGCCACTTGAAACATGGGAGAAGGATAGGCGATCAAGAGAGCTCCGACAAATCCAACAAAGACAGATACGCCCAACCACCAAAGAAAGAAAGCCCACACAGGCCAAGCATACAGGAGAACACTCAGCACGGTTACAATACATTCGGACTGGGTACCATCGAGGTAAATCAGAACATTTTTAAGGGAATGTTGGATCTCGACCACCCAGGCCTGGATAGTGATTATATTCTGCAGTGTATCGTCCAGCGATATTTCGTCATCGAGTACCTTCCGCTTCAGGACTTCTTCGTCTTCTTCTTGAGGTTGTTCAGGGGAATCTTCTTCTTCTGAGGACTGAGTTTTCTTAGACTTTACCCTCCTGAGTAATCTGCTCTTCTTTTTTCGGTCAAGGGTTAGACGTCGTGCCTGGCGAGTGCGTATTCTGAACCAATCGCTTGCTAGCTTGACCAGTAATAACACAGGCAGACACTGGAGAACGGTACGTGTCCAGATACAGGTAACAATCCAAGCAAGAATAGCCAATACAGAAAGGGAATGAGATGTCTGCCATGTAATGACCTTTACAAGTGTGGCAGTTATTTGAACAAGTGGACCGAGAGAGACAAGAGCACTAAGGAGAGGTGTGGGTATCTGGTCAATGGTATCAACGCTGTAAGGAGAGGAGAAGTTTGGAATGCCCTCTTCATGAGGGACTTTGTCAGATGTTGGAGACATCAAAAGAGGGGAAGAGAAGCGTCTGTCACATGCTTCTGGGCATGCATAAGACGGCTATTTGACTACCTTTGGTCGTATTCGGAGTCTGTAAACCAAAAGTTCAATTGCTTCAAGCAAAACCCTCGTGCCAAAATGTGGTGTTTATTTGTCTCATGCAAGAGCAAATAAGATATATAAATATATAAATATATAAATATATGGTCAAACAGATAAAGTGTAAATGGAGAGGAATAAATTCTTATTTTCAGGTGCAATATGTGCTGTGAACAAGCACAAGATACCAGGCCCCAATACTCAGCCTATGATTGACCCCTATGTACTGTTAACTCTTTTAAGTAAAATATATTCCGCTTTCAATAAAGTGCTTCATAAACACAGACAGTAGTTTGATATCACGCACTGTTCAAGTGCAAACCAAGACAGAGTACAATATTGCGCTCCTATTTATCTCAAAAAAAATAATAATATTACTAGCAAATTAACCACATACACCTATCGAACGTTCCCCTTGATATCGATCAATTCCAATTAATTTACTTTTAATAAAGAATACCAACAATATTATAAGAAAAGCACGATCTGTTATTAAAAGCATCATTTCAGCAGTAAACGTATTCAATAACCTTTCGCGCATAGAATAGTCTTATCAGGACTTTATGTTTTTTTTTTTAACTTTCTGCCTCTTACTCCTTATTACCCCATCTCTCATTTTATTTTATTTTGTACGTTTACTAAGTTCGTCTGACGTATTTCGCTTACCTTGTGCGACTGCTATTTTATGCTTGTTGAGACATACCAGCTTTTCTTTCCCACCTCTGTCCACGCTGTGTCAAAGCATTCACAATGGATGCCGAGAATGCACGTAAAAATTGGGAATTGGAAAACAACATCCAAACGGTAGATCCTGCCAAAGACCAGATTTACTATTATGATGCACAGCTCGATAAAGATAATGTCGCGCAGCAACCGTGGAAGACAAAGTAAAAGAAAGAAGACATCAAATATCTTGTTTTTTTAGCAACATATCTATATCTATATCTTATTAAAGTATAACCCATATAGCCCAAACCACTACAAATATGTAAAGATATCTGCCATTGCTCTCATCAAAATGGTAAATGATCTTTTATTGAAATTAAAATAATTGAATGCGTGTTAAGATCATTCTACTATTATTTAATTAGGTGATGCATGCGCGTTCCGGAGGCAACATTGAAATTATGGGTTTAATGCAAGGCAAAGTTCAAGGAAACACAATGTACATTATGGATGCATTTGCACTTCCTGTTGAAGGTACAGAAACCAGAGTTAATGCCCAGAGTGAAGCGTATGAGTACATGGTTACATACATGGAGAGAGCCAAAGAAGCCGGCCGGCTAGAGAATGCGATTGGGTGGTATCATTCTCACCCTGGCTATGGGTGTTGGCTATCTGGAATCGATGTAAGCACTCAGATGCTTAATCAACAATACCAAGAGCCCTGGGTCGCAGTTGTGGTAAATAAAATTTCTATATTGTTTGTATGCAATCGGCAATCACTAAAACATATTCTAATAATTACAATAGATTGACCCCAATCGTACCATGTCTGCTGGAAAAGTGGATATTGGTGCTTTTCGAACATACCCAAAGGTAAAAAAATAAATAGAGAAAATACAGAACATCCGTGTATATAAATTATACTTGCATTTTTTTTATCAAGGGCTATAAACCTAAAAATGATGACCCTTCAGAGTACCAGACAATTCCACTGGATAAGATCGAAGACTTTGGTGTCCATGCTAAGTCGTATGTATAATCTAAAGTCTTATTTTTATGATGTATAATGTACTAAGCTATACTTCTATCCTTTATATTTTCTTTTTGGTAAAATATTATAGTTATTATCCTTTGGAGATCACCCATTTCAAATCATCTTTGGATAGTCATTTGCTAGAAGTTCTATGGAACAAATACTGGGTTAATACATTGTCTCAATCCCCTCTTCTGACAGTAAGACTATCCCCTTGTTGTTTATGGATTTTTCTGATATATAACAATAATATTATCTATTTATTTAGAATCGAGAGTATTCTACTAGACAGATGACTGATTTAGCAGAGAAGCTCAAGAAAACTAACAGTAGTATGACTGGGCGTATGGGAGGATATTATGGAGACAGAAAGAAAAATGATGAGAGTCAACTTGGAAAAGTTACCAAGGATAGGTAAGAATAACGATAAAATCAAAGTTAATGTATTTAGACCTCTTAATTAATATTTTATATATATATATATTAGTACAAAGATCTCAGTCGAGGCTGTTCATGGCTTGCTTTCTCAGGTTCTTAAAGATGTGGTGTTTAATCAAACCAGTCAAGCAAGAGCTTGTGGATGTAGACCTAAATAGAATGAAAATAAATACCTTTCCTAAGCTTCACTTGTATTTATCTTTATACGAAAATAATAAAACGCCAATATACAACAACGAGAAATAACTTTTTATTACAAATAAATAAATAAAACTAGCTAATAAAACTGTATATGAGGCGCTTTTTTTTCCCGGTAGAACAAGATCGTCAGGACGCATGTGAAGTTAATTATTAAATGTTATTTCCGAATCAGTATTTTTTTTGATGAAATGAAAAGCACGTTTGTATTCCGATTAATTTATTCTTATTATTTAAATATTTCTATTGAATTAAGAATTTCTTTTAATTGCTAATGTCTGCAGCCTAGGCATTTGTTACTGTGTCATTAACTCAGTAGACAACAATACTACATTACAAAGGTAGCCAAGGTTTCCCGAGCCTACTAGTATATCCCATCAAATTTAATTATTATTATTATTTCAAGGTAAAATCTTGTAGTAATCTGGTATCTCTATGATACTTTATTAGGAAGGACTATAGATCAGATCCAGTGTAGAGTAGGGCAGAGTAAATATATTTACATGCAGTCCCTATGACATTTGTCTCGTACATAGGATATATATAAATGCAATTTTTATCAAATGAGAAATTCAAAAAAAAAATAGAGAGGGTGTCGAGTTATGATAATTTCAAGATGACTAAAAAATAATTATTTGTAAAACCCAATCAAAAATAAGAATAAAGCTCAGACACAGTTATGAATATTATAAGTTGAAAACATTGATACTAAGAAATTTAGAGGAAATAGACCTTAATAAACTTGACTTTCCAAGGCCTATTTTATTAAGTAAGTATGAAGAAGAGGTTACTGGCTATCATACATTTTGTTTTGAAGTGGGAAAAATAAGCCCAATTTTTACTAGAAATTTAGTGAGCATTTGAAGTAAAAAATCAGGGATTACCTAACTTTTGGCTTCAAATGCTCACTAAATGGCCTCCACCATGAAATCTGCAAAACAAGTATTGGAATTTAATTCGCCGCGTAAAATAAAAAATTGCAAACATTTGCAATTCAGGCTCGAAGACACCCTCTCTAATTACCCGTTTATATATATAGAAAAACAGGACTCTATAAAAGGAATTTTTGTGCCTGTTTCAGATTTTAACTGTCAAATATAAATCTTTTATAAATGTCCCATTACTTATGAAAAACAGAGTCAATTACCAACACTATCTATTATAGCTCGAGCGTAGAGACATCTTCCCAGTATAAAGGAAAAAGAAGTGTATCAGTGTATGAATGAAATATTAATTAGTAGAGAGATCGAAGATACATAAATATCATTAAAACCCAAGTATCTGAAATGAGAAAGTAGGTCAAAACATACCCTTCGACAAGCATTATTTCCTGTAGCAATTGTTACATTGTATTGAATTTTTTCTTACATAATTTTAGCTATCGTCTGTCGTCTATAAACCTACGGTTAATTAAACGGATTAATAGGAAGAAAACGAATAAAAATGGTAGAAACAAGCCAAAAACAAAGTTTCAAAGAGTACATACCTGCTAGCAGCCAACTTTATCATAGTAAAGTCCTAGATTTAAGAATATGATAGCCAATTCATACAGGCACTTTCATTTTCTAGCCTAAAAAATAGGAGTACAGAAGTCTCGTAGACCATTTTGACTTTTGATTTAAGCATCACCAGAGTTTTAGTTCTACTGAGCGCCCTGAGGCTTGATCTGTGTATAAGCTATACTAGAATTCAGCAAGATAAAGCAAGTAATATGAATGAGCTTCAAGTATCTATTCATACAATAAGGCTAGATATACCATCTTGGAGCTTAAATATTATTTTTTTGGAAACCAATGTGTCAAATATAGTCCAAAAGATGAGTGTCTAAAAAAAAATTAGCTACACATGTTTAGAATTCGAGTTTATTCTGTATATATGGTATTCTGTAGATCTCTTCAAAGTAAGGCGAGCTTAGTATAAGGCTTTAAAGAAGTTCCTTATGGTTATTTATTGTACACAAGTATACCTATGACAATATTGTCACTACCTTGTGATTGATACTTGAGTTTAAATAAATGTCATTCCTGATGACCTATCCAATTAGAGCCAGAATAACTAGATAATTTATCTGTATTTTGCATGTAAAGGGGACCGTTAGAATAAAACATAATGACCTTTTGACGTTGGAGAAAACCATAAAGCTAATTGATTTAAGGTATGATTGTTGGAATATATATAATAGTTAATCAAAAAATGGCCAATACTATAAAATAAGGCTTATTATGGATAAAAAAATGATTAGACTACAGATAAGACAGCAATATATAAAGACATGCCAAAATAATAATAATAATAATATGCATAAACTTAATAGGTGTCAAAATATGAATATTCTTAGAGCCGAACATCAGAGCTAAAATACGTGTAACATCAATAGAGTATTCTTTATTATTACTTGGGTGGTATTTATATGTATATATAACACATATACAGAATACATGATATATATTTTTGTAGCATAAAAATGATCTGGAATGCACTTTGCTACCATATAAATATAAGTATAAATGATAATAATAAAACATATATAAATATATATAAATATTTGGCGATCTTTAGCAAAGGGTCTCCTTGGATTAATTGGTCTTACCCCCACATAAACTGAGTACTAATACTTTATTCAGCTGTCCCCTATTCGTTTATTTTTTCCTTACACACAAACACGTTAAATTTGTTACCATGGTACTCAGCTGATATTAAATAAGATTTCATTCTTTTTTTTTAAAAAAAAGAGGGACTTCATCTTTGGTCTCTCCTTCTCTATCTTCATCAACCTATATTACTATTAATTGCTCCCCTACTATTGAGGCCAAGACCACGTCATCAAAACCTGAAGATAGTTGTCTTATTGAGTATATTATTTGACCCAATTCATTCATACATAAACCGTTCATTTGACAGACAAGGGCTACACCGAGTCCCCTTTCTTCAAGTCCGTTTTTTCCGATTCTTTTTTTTTCTCAAAAAGAAAAAAAAGAGAGAAAATTCATGTTTTGATACTCACGGCCCTCTTCCTTCATCTAATTCATCTACAATGACGACCGAACCAATCGAACCGATAGAACCGACAGAACTTCAATGCCATTGCTCGAAATGCGGTGTGATTTTTGTTCGACATTCTCAACTCAAAGGACATTCCAAAGAGTACCATTCAGCCAAAGTTACTGTGAATTATCCATACAGCGGTAATAAAGCTATATATCTGTTCTATATATACATGGGTTCTATAACTAACAGCTATTTACACGGTCCTTTTTTTATTACTTTAAATATGTATGGTACTTGCTTTATTTCGATCGACATAAATATATCTTGTATATATATGTATATATATATAAATACCTTGTTGCCCCTGACGAACAGCTGCACCAACAGTTGTCTATCGTAGAGAGGATGGTACATTTCCCTGTATTTGTGGAGGAAGTTATGCAACATCGAGTAGTTTTCGACGACATGTAAAGAAGAACATTTGCCAAGGAGCACAACGGGCAGATTCTTGTAAGCCAAAAATAACGATAATACAAAACCAGAGTATATATCTATGTATCTGTAAATCTATATATCTATATATCCGCTATAAAATATTATTGGAGGAGTTCTGTACATGGATTTGACTTCAGGGCCAAAAAAAAAAGAATCAGAACAAAGCTGACAAACTTATTTATTTCAGCCTCACTTTACTCATCCAATGACGACGAAATTGAAGCGACCGAAGACGAAAATCCAGATGGAGATGATATTGAATCAACACTTGACATGGTGGACGCACGACTACCTCAAACACTTAAATGTCCTGCAGCCAGTACTTTGGAACCACTCGAACAGTCCCACCGAAGCTACGAACATGCCATTCTACATGCCTGCGGTGTAATGCATCTAAGCCAAGACGAAGCAAAAAGACACATCAAATTCATAGATGCACTCGATTTAAAACCAATAGCCTTGATAGACCAGGACGGGAATGAAGAAAATTGTTTAGTCAGCAATGAAGTTATCGAAAGGCTGTCCTCTACTCACTCAAACTTTTCATTTCATGAAGTAAACCCAACCAAGAAGAGAAAGATCAGCAGCACAGACGAACTTGACGCTGATACACCCCAGCAAGGGATACATTTAGACGCTTCTCTGTCGTATGTCATCGACAGCAGTCCTTATGCCCATACACTGCAGTCCGAAACCTACATTGAATTGAATTCAGAGATTTGCGAATTATTAAACACTGACTGGTTAATGGGACCACAATTAAGATATTTTTGTGCACAGGTGTTTGCAGGTGCTATACTTCTTGAAAGCGAGACTGGCCAAGCTATGCTAGTCAATTCAATCGAAGTGTACGGCAGAACAATCTCGCAAGATGTACACCGTGAACGCTACATATTCAAAGACGAAACACTACGCGCTTCGTCCCTGCCCCCAGTTGACTCAATATACCCTAACGTGTGTGTGTCTTACGCAATGTACGCCAAAAATCGCTCGCTCGTGATTGGCACCAAGACATTTGGAGGCTATATTACCTCTGGAGTAATGCTTAATGGCAAGAGCATGCCTGAAATAGGACCTTCATTTTCACAGTTTGTTTTGACAAAGCATTTGGCACGCAATATCAAAATCTATATCAACAAAAAGTCCTTTGAAGATGCCCAAATTATAGCCAACAACCGCGAATCAAAGCAACTTTATGGCTTTGCTATTTTATCTCAACTACGTAACCTCCGATCGCTTTTCCACTGTCCCTCTACCTACATTATGTGTCGAGCAACTTCTAGGTTGATGAACGACCACCCTACCCGCCCATATACGATATTTACTTATGCCGACAGTGACAAGGTCCCCCTGGACTCGGATGCCCGGGTGGCATCCGAACTATTTCAGACAGTGGCATTAGCCGTACTCGATGGAGGCTATCAAGGTACTTTGGAAAAGAATGATGTTCTGAGACTACGAAAACGTTGTGAAGAAGGTGAAATCTACGATTGCCTTCAGAATATTCTTGATCTTTATCTCATGGTGGATGACTGTTCCTCTATCTCTATTCTTGGGAACCGAGCCTTGAACTTACAGCTTACTAACTGCGCAGATTTGTTGTGGCCATCGCTCGCAATAGCTAATGAAGCAGTTGTACAAGCTATTGCAGACACACTTGAAAAAGCATCTGTTTTTGATACTGTATAGTTTTATTATATTTAATTTTACTAATAAAAAAACCTAAATATCCACAATAATAGCGGGTTGAAAAAACAAGAGTTTTATTCGTGCTCATTATTATCAGAGACTATCCATTATTGCTATAAGCTACTTGTTTAAATGAAATTAAATAATGATAATAAACAACAAATAGTAACCACAAATGTAAAATTACGACACGATAAAAAAGAGCAAAGAGAAGGAAGAGAATGAAAGTAAAAGTAAAAGTAATTGTAATTGTAATTGTAAGTGTAAGTGTAATTATTAATCTATTCGCTCTCCTTACATGGGAATTCAAGTTTGAATCATGCTAGGCACAGAATGCAAATATATATATAAATATTTATATATTTTAGAATGTTATATACAAAAGGCAGCATTACGAAGATATAAGAAAGGCCATTAAGTTTCTGTTTTTTTTTGTGATTGTAATTAGTTAAATTAAACTTCGTCTTCAAGGATACAGTTGGGATGCAGCATAATGATAGGGTCATTACTATCTGTTGCCATTTCGTCATCATCTTCCTGGTAACGAGCATTTTGTTGGATCTCGATAAGCATATCGGCCTACAGTACAAAGATTATATAATGAGTAACATGTAATTGTAAGCCTAAAAATGTAAACCTACCGTCTTGACAAGTCTCTTGATAATTTTCTCAACAATGATCTTCTCTGACTCAAATTCTTCTGGAGAATTAAGCTTATCTTCTTGTTGTTCAAGGTACCACATAACCAAGTCATTAAAGCGCAGGCCAGGTTCTATATTATTATTGTTTTGTTTTGTTTTGTTTTATTTGTTTAAAACAAACCAAACAAGACCAGTCAGTATTTTGATTTTATATACTGATTTGTTTATCAAATCATCCTTTTTTCTTTCTCTTACCTTGATCATTCTCAGAGGCTTCCTTTTGTACCAATCGAAGTTTGTGAGCCAAGAGCAATTTGATCTGCTCATATTTCTCGTAATCAATACGGATTCTAGGTTGACTCTGCTGGCTTTCGACCTGCATTGATTCTGAAGGTGCAGAGTCGTTTTCGTCCTGAATGCGAAGACTGCTCATGCCACGCAATGCCTCTGCACTACGCATAATTTCTTCTGGGGTTTCCTCATTGTCAATCTCTACATCATCTTGCTGTACGCGGATAATAGATTTTTGCAACAATCCATAAGCCTCTTCCACAAAGCCAGCCGTGATCTATGCATTAAGTAATATATATTCCAAAATTAATATATAAACACACACACAAAAAAAAACATTCAAGAGATAAAAGCTTATATTCTGCTTTAATGTTTATACTTACAATATCAGTGCAGTATGTACGTGCAATTGCTTCTGAAAGACGGATCATACTTTCCAACTGACGCACTGTAATACGGTAAGAGTTGCGACTGATGCCCTGAGCATCACCTTGGCGAAGATCACGGTAGCAATCGGCTAACTTGCTGGCTGCTTCAGGTGTCATCTTTGAAACAGCAACAACAATAGCAGTAGCAAAAAATCACGTGCAAATTACATTCATGCATTAGTTTTTTCTTTAAAAAAATACTCCTTTGTACATTAACTCTTTCTTTTTTTTTTCTCTTTCTCTAGTTCTCTAATTTTATGATCTGTTTCTTGTTTTATTTTAATATTGTTATTACCTTGGGCTTGAATGTTCTGGCATATCGAATGTAACGTTGTAACTCTTCTGTACCAAATTCAGGGGTAATATAGTCATCCTTAAGGCGATGAACACTGACAATATGACGGGCGATGTTGTAATCGGTAATTTCATTGCATTCATCCAAGACAACAAAGAACAAATCGAAACGAGACATGATAGGAGCTGACATGTTGATGTTTTGCTATAGCATTATTTATGAGTAAAGCCCGTAGACCAAAGAAACCATTGTATTATATGATAAACAAGAATGTATGCGAGCATAAATGTTTACCTTGAGTGTCATCTTCTTATTGTAACGACCGCCAACTGGGTTAGCAGCAGCCAGGATACTAGTTCGGGCATTTAAACTGGCTTGAATACCAGCCTTAGCAATCGAAATAGTTTGCTGTTCCATAGCTTCGTGAATAGCGACCTGATCCTTCAAGTCCATCTTGTCAAACTCATCAATAGCACAAATACCCTAAAAAGCAAAGAGATTTTAATGTTTTGGCTTCCAAATATTACACCTGTGCACAGCGCAGTATCACAAAAACTTACATTATCTGCCAACATCAGAGCACCAGCCTCAATAGAAAATTCACCAGTCTCTTCATCCTTAATGACAGATGCAGTCAAACCAGCAGCACTAGAAGCCTTTCCAGAGGTATAAACTGCGCGGGGCATAAAACCACAAACATACCTAAAATTGAAATTAGGCCATTTTCAGTCCCTAACAACCCAAAAGACTTACTTGAGAAACTGACTCTTGCTGGTACTTGGGTCACCGACAACGCACACGTTGATATCACCACGTAAGTTCATTCCTTCGGGTGTAACTTTATGTACACCACCCATTAACTGGAGCAAAATACCCTTTTTAACAGTATCATGACCTATTTATCCCCCCAAATACACACAAAAAAGGTCAATATCCATTGAACATTACTCGCAAGTACCCGCGTATTACATACCGAATACATTAGGAGCAATGCTGCTAACAAGCTTAGGGTAAATAGCAGATTCCATATCAATCATATTCTTGATCTGGTCAACTTCCTCTGGAGTATAATCTTCAAGGACCTGAAGACCAGTTTCTTCACCTCCATCATCGCCCTGCAAATTAGATGAAGATACCTAAAAAAAGCGCAAACACCAAACATTGAAATTATATTAAGAAAGTTAGGTTTGTTTTTTAAAAAAAAAGAAGTTTTTTTTTTTTTTTTTTTTTTTTACTTTGCTCGTAGTAGCAGGCTGAACCATGCAGGCTAAGAAAGCCATACGATATGTCAAATCGCGTACACCGAGAGCCTTCAGTCCAGTTACACCTTCTTTTGCCAGCCCTTCTTTGGATCGAGTAGTGTTGTCACGCTGTGTTTCAACAGAAGTACCTATAATTTTTCAAAAAGAGAATATAAAAGCAGTTTGTTTTGTGTTTCTGTGCAGGAATGTATCACAAATCGTTGTTAAGGTGCCTTTGTTGTCTTGTATGATACATATTTTCAGGCACCTAAAATCACAACATTTAACCTTACCTGGAGTTCTAAAAGCAGCCACGTCTGGAACAACGATTAGAGTTCCAGTAAAGATACACTTGTCACCAGCCTTGGCGCGTTCAACCATCTCATTACGCACAATAACATCCAAGCTGTAAAAATACACAATATTTTTCTTTAGTAATCCACACATGTAATCTTCTAATAATAAAAGAAAGAAAGGAAAAATGAAAAAAAGGCATACCTTCTGGGCATACTGCCAGTAGGGATCTCATTTGCATTTTCTTGGATACGAATCTTTTGCCAATCAACAAACTTGGACTGTTCAACATTAAGAGTCCAGTGTTGACGATTGAAGCACTGGGATCCTTGACACATAGCAGGCTACATTAAACCCACAAACATATTTAAATAAATCACAGTTTAGTTATATATATATATCAAATTGGATCTTATTTATATATATGTGCATATTACCTCGGTGTATCGGAACTGTTGTTCGACATCATTCATAACCTTGTTGCACTCATTACAAGTGAATGAAGCATAGGTCAATTCGGGACGTACTTCGGTTGTTCGGGTTACAGTACCACTAACACTGATAAGTTGACCAATCTTATCAGTTCTCAATTGTCGGACGCGCGCGAGGTCAGGTACACCATAGAATGCGACTGAGAATTCACGTAGAATAGCACCGGATACTTGATCGCCATAGGTAGTATTGACGTAGGTCTGATCAGGAAAGTGCTTACGGACAACATTTAGGATCGCACGGCGTAAAAAAGGCAAGAATCTGTTGATGGATATAATAAACATCAATTTTTTGGTCAGAAATAGATCTATCTCTATATCTGTGTATTTCTTGCTATTATTTTTGCTTTAATTGTGTTTACCGATAATATTGCTCCTTAAGAGCCAATACCAGCGAAGGTGCTGACTGTTTGATGTGGTTAAAATCCACAAAGATAGTGCTGAGCTGAGTGAGCTTGAGCTGATCGATTTGCATCATATAAGGACGGCCCATCCATTGGGATCCAGAAACAATATAAGATGCATTTGGATCTTTGAATCTATTAATTGTTCGTGAATGAGTTTGCGTATGCCACAAGCACACACACATATACACATATATGTATATATGTATATATTGTTTTTTTTTTCTATAAATTTCAATGAAAAAAATATTTTCGAGGCTCACGTTTCGAGAAAGTCTTCAAAATCGCGCATGGCAAGAACACCTGCTTCGTCGACAACCTTGTCAATGTTTTCCACGTTGAATCCGACTCTACGTGGTGGACGAGGAGGTTCCTGAGTATCGTCAACTTCCATGTGTGCTGGAGTGGAGGTAGGCACTTCGTTGTCGTATGGAAGTGCCTGAGAGTCCATAAAACTGTTGAGGTAGGCGTCGCTGGCAGACATGGTGAGCGATTGGGCCACGTTGGGTTGTGGTATGCAAAGAGTGAAAAGAGCGGAACAAGAAGATGGATTTATTTTTTATTATTTTTATTTTTTTTTAATTTTATTGGTTTGGGTTGGTTTGGGTTGAATGGGTGGCTCAAAGGCGTCACAGCTTTTAAAAAAATATGTATATGTTTCTGATATTGTGGTAGCTTTAGGAATAAGCAATTGACAAAAATAAAGATCATATATAAGCACCATATGTTTAGCTGTTCTACTGGTAATATAGTGCATTGTCAAATAATGGTTGAATACATAATGTCGATTATATATGTATGTATATATATATATATATTACATTTCATTTTCTCTAGGTACAGTTTTTTGATGATGCTATACAAGCCCCGCCTTTCTTATGTGTATCACTCCGATCATCCCAGCCACCCACTTTATTTGTAACTTTAAAGAAGTTCTTTAACCTTCAAACTCATTATTATTATTATTATTATTTTATTTTTGGTAGAAAGAAGAGAATATTTATTTTTAGCACTATGTTTTATAAACTACCTATTTCCTAATCAATCAGTTGGCTGTTTTTGTTCATCGAATAAAGATATATGTAATAATAAATTTATATGCAATGCTACAGGTAAATTGTATTATATTATAGAGCTGTCGAAGTATATAGTTGAGTGAAAATCAAGGGGAAAATGAAGAGAAGAGAAGGCAATGGAAGGGAGAGAAGATAAAGGGGAGTAATATCATTAACAAGATATTTCTATTAATGTATGTATGTGTGTGTGTGTGCTTGCAAGCATATCTAAGCTTAATATTGATGGTATCAAAATCATAATCATAACGTTATATTAGAGAATATATTGTGTGTGTATTCTTTGTACAAAGTAATAATTTTTTTTATATCTATAAGCAGTAAAGTATTAGAATTATTATTAGTATAGTTTGGGTAAGTTTATCATCACTGCAGGTTCTTGACACAAGTATAGATAAATCACAGACTAGTGTTTTTTGTACTACAGCCCGTTATATCCAATTAAATAACCTTATATGCCGTCGGTTAGATTGATATTTCCAAGTCGCAGAGTCATAGGAGTAACTAGGACATGTTCGTTTGCGGTTGGAATATACTTCTTTATTCCGAATTACTCATCTTTTATACATGAGCTTTGATGTTAATAAATCTTAGTGTTGTATTAGCAGTAGTAAGTTTAGAACTTTTTTCAATATTGCATCAACAAACGCAATACTTAGAGCGCCTACTGTAAATGAAAGGATGTCGCAAATAAATGTATAATAAAAGGCGCAAAAAAAGCAAACCTTTGTGCCAATTTGGCGGGTGAAGATCAATGTTGTACTTAAGAGACAAGAAATTTAAACCCAATACCTCGTTGTAGACTTCCCAATATGATTTTGCAGAAGCCAAAAAAAAAAAATTAAAATAAAATAAAATAAAAAAAAAATCCAATCATCATTTGATCGCTTAGTTTGACCTTTGCTTGTCTTGTCTTTGGTTCATTTCTCTCTCTCTCTCTTTCTTTCTTCCTTTTTTTTCTTTCTTTCTTTCTCTATCTCTTCTGTCTTTCTCTCTTCTCTCCTTTAATTTTTTTTTAATTTTTTTTTTACCTTTACATATTTTCCTTTTTTCTTTCTTTCTCTCATTTCTTGTCTCTTATTTATTTTTCTTTACTTTTTACTTCTTCTACTTCTTCTTTGCCTTTCATTTTGTAACGTCTTCTTTTTTGATTCTTTTTTTTAAAAAAAAACTTCCTTGCCGCTCCTTATCTTTTTCTTTTTTTTTAAAAAAAAATTATACAAACCTGATACTTCATTACAATGGACCATCACCTCGAGACACTGGAGCACCAAACAGCCCCGGAGAGTACGCGCGGGCTGTTCGATCCACCTGAGCAAAAGGTAACTAAGCAAAATACGACGCACAACATTCTCCATCAAACAAGAAAAAACAAGATTCTAATTCCAACACATCATTCATTGTTCATTCTCCATAGCCCAGTATGAGAAACTCTACTGCAGACAACCGTCGGTCGTTCCATGTGTTTGGCCCGGGGCTCGAAAGCACTCGCCTCCGCCAAAGCCAACCCCCGGCTACAGGTAACAATGGCCAGGCTCATCGTGGCCACCAGCGTTCGCGGTCTGCTATCACGTCGGACATGCTGTCCAATCATGGTGGTCGTCGGAACTTTGGCCTCCAGACTTTAACAGAAGAGAATCCAGAGAAACAGCAGCAGCGCGAGGGAGCAGGACGCTCGGTCACGATCGACAAACTCCAATCGATGATCAATGTAATGCGCACTATTCCGCCCACAAAGGATGAGCCTGTCCGTCAAGGAGGACACCGCAAGCAGCAGTCCATGTCTGCCCTTTCCTTTGGCCCTACCCCTCCAAAGAGACTCTCTTATGGTGGCGATGCCCAATCCATGCTCCAAAGCACGGTCCAGGAAATGCGCTCTATCGACAAGTCCGACAGAAGACGCAGTATGCGCAACAACAGCATCTCGGAACACAACGACGACGACCCACACATGACCCGTGAAGCTGCCCTCGCTGAGGCAGAAGCAAAGCTTATGGGTACCTTTAAAAGAGATCCTGAGATGCGACGAAACTCTGGAATGCGTTATGGACTTGATGAACAAAGCTCGTCCTCGTCCTCCTCTAGAAACAGCTTCAATGGAAACGGTCGTCGTTTCTCAGAGTCTGGCTCTCTCGACACCCCTCCGATCACAACCAACAAACGCATGTCTCTCCAGCTGCCCACTCTCTCAGAGAACACTGAAGAGGGTGCTAGAAGTGGCCGTCGCATTCAGTTCAACAAACCTCTCAATCTGGTCCCAGAAGACAAAAAGACCCACTCTCGTCGCTCATCCCGCAACTTTGACTACGACTGGCGCTCCTCCACTGCCTCCAGTAACAACAACCCTATCCCTTGCTCCCCCCGTTCCTCTCGCGCTTCGTTCAACCTGCTCGTGCCCTTCACTCCTACCAAAGTCAACTTTGCCCGAGACGACGCAAACCCTCACCAACGTCGACCTTTGTTTATCGCACATCTGCCCTTTTCTGCTCTGACTCCTCTTTTCCGTTCACGTAATTTGGTACGCGGTCTTCTCAGAGTCAACAAGCGTAATCGCAGTGATGCCTACGTAGCCTGCGAAGATCTTGATGCAGATATCTATGTGTGTGGTTCCCGTGATCGTAACCGCGCTCTCGAAGGTGATGTGGTTGCAATCCGTCTGGTCGATGTAGAGAAAATCCTGCGCGAAAAGAGAGAAAAGGAAGAAGCCAAACTGACCCGTAACGGTGGACACATCCGCGTACGTCAGCCCGACGAAGAAGATGAAAACGAAATCATCTTTGGTGGCGATGAAGATGTAGACACCGTGAAACCCAAATACTGTGGTGTAGTGGTAGCTATCCTCGAACGTGCTCAAAACCAAGTCTTCTCGGGTACTTTAACCTTGATGCGCCCCAACAACAAGCGTGCTCAAGAAGAAAAGGCCGCCGAAGAAGCCGGACAGGACACCGGGCGTAGAGAGACTCCACGTATCGTCTGGTTCAAAGCTACCGACAAACGTGTACCTTTGATCGCCATTCCTATCGAACAAGCACCAGTTAACTTTGTCGAAAATAACGAAGCTTATGCTGACCGCCTGTTTGTCGGCTCGATCAAACGTTGGCCTATCACCTCCCTCCATCCTTTCGGTACATTAGAGCGCGAGTTGGGTCACATCACTGATTTGCCTGTCCAGACAATGGCTATCTTGGCTGATAACAATGTCACCGACTTGCCCTTTGCTGAGCAGGTCATGCTTTGCTTACCCCCGATGCCTTATAGCTTCCCTACCGATCTGCCCGACCATCAACGTCGTGATTTGCGCGATACTCGTACCTTTACACTCGATCCCGAAAACTCTCTTGTATTGGATGACGCTTTCTCAATTGAGAAATTAGGGGATGGTCTTTACGAAGTCGGTGTCCACATCAGTGATGTGGCCTACTTCATCAAACCCCATTCTCCCCTCGACAAGGAAGCCCGTGCCAGAGCAGTTCGTGTTGAGCTTATGCACAAAAATGTTCCAATGTTGCCTACAGAACTCACCGAACAAGTCACCAATCTAGTCCCCAATGAGTCTAGATATGCATTCTCTGTCATATGGAAGATAACTTCCCGCGGTGTTATTTGTGATACATGGTTTGGAAAGACTATTGTCAGGTAAAACTCGATTATTATTCAACACAATGGATTTGTGGGTGGTGGACTAGTTTTAAGAGACAGGCATTCTAATACGCGTACATAGATCAAATGCACAGCTTTCTTACAAGCAAGGTCAAGAAGCAATCGAAGGCTTCCCTATCTCTGGATTGGAGGATATCGCAGTTGAGCAGGATATTCGAACTCTCTACGATATTGCCACAAACCTGCGCGAAACTCGATTTTCTGACGGTGCTCTTTCCCAGAAGGCCGATGAGCTCGAATTTGAGATTGGTCCTGACAGTAGTGTCCCTATCTCTATCTCCACCAAATCCGAGTTTCCTGTATCCAGGATCATAAAGGAATTCCATCTGTTGGCCAACTACTACGTTTCCCAACGCATTACAAGCTGTATGCCCGAGCAGGCTCTGTTGCGCCGCCATGCTCCTCCTCTTGATCGCAAGATCCGTGAGCTGCAAGCCTACGCCGAAAGTTTCCTTGGCGTCTCACTCGACATCACCGATGCACACACCATCGAAAATTCGATAGAGTCCATTCAGGATTCAACCCTCCGTAAACTAATGTCTGTCTTGGTTCTTAAAACCCTCAGCCCTCCAAAGTACTTCTGTACTGGTACTCTTGATATCACCAAATTCGCCCACTACGCATCCAACGTTCCTCTCTTCAGTCACTTTACCTCTCCCTCCACCCGCTTTGTTGATATCATTGTTCATCGCCAGCTTGAAGCAGCTCTTACTGATGCTCGTTTCTATCTTGACCGTGACAATGTCCAGAAACTCGCTCAACACTCTAATGTCAAGAGAGAAGCTGCGTTGTATGCTCGTGCCCAGAGCAACTTGCTTTTCCTTGCATTACATCTCAATAGCTTAGCCCAGCAAAACGCAGACCATGTTGTGTATCGCCAAGGTGTTGTTGTGGCTGTATTCGAAAACTCTTTTGATGTAATGGTACCTGAACTTAACATGGAGAAGCGTATCCACATTGTCAGTTTGCCTATGCGCCAACGTCCTGTTTATGATCCCGTAAACCAGAGCTTGACCATGTACTGGAAGAAGGGTGTCGATACTTTTACTGGGGAGCAGCATCAGTGGACTGCTGGAGGCTCTGACGAAGAGTATGATGAGCTTGACGATGAAGCTCTTTTGGCTGAAATGGCCGAGGAAGAAGAGGCTGAGCTTGTTGGAATGCGCACCGAACGTTCTTTCAAGGCTCTTTCGATTCATGACAACGGCTCATTACAATATCGCAACAACATCAGCAGTAGCAGCATCATCAATAACAACAACAACCTTAACAACTCCAACTCGGTTTCTAGTCTTAATACAATCAACTCTACCGGAAATGGTTCAGTCAATAAGCGTATGTCGATTAGTCGGGCTAGAATCTCTGACGGATCCAACTATGGTCCTGACCAGGGTATTCAGACCATCAAGGCTCTTGACAAAATCCATGTTATGCTTACGATTGAGATGGTTCGTACACCCCCTCTGATCCGCATTCTGGCGGCCAATCCTACTCTCCACAAAACAACTTTCCGTTGAAAACCCAAAAAAACAAACAAACCAAAAACCCCCCAAAAAAATTCCTTTTTATATATATATATATCTTATTGAGGTATCATTATTATTATTTCTTTTGTGCATTGTTGCTTTATATACACATATAAAGTACAACTTTTCTTCTCTTATATATCTATCTATCTATCTATCTATCTATTTCTTTGTTTTGTTTATATCCCATTGTATACATTTTATACCTCTTGTTCCTGTATCGTACTTTATGTTTTGTCCTTCTTAATGGAAGGAACAAAAGGTATTAAAGAAGAAAAAAAAACTCAACAAATACATTCCATTAAAATATTGTCTTCTTGGAAATCAAATATATATATAAATAAATATAAGTATATATACATATATCTAAACCGTTATTTTATTATTTTGTAAATTGCAAAGAAAAAGAGGAAGACAGCTAAAGAAAGATAGAAAGAATCAAAGGAAGAATGAAAGGTTATTATTATTATTATTATTGTTACTATTATTTAGAATTTTAGTTGGTCTCATCCTTGATCAACTTGACAATGTTCTCAAATGTATCGCGGATCTGCTCAGTAGAATCACGGTAACGGAGAGTGACAGTGCCATCTTCGACAGTCTGGAAATCAATTGTGACGGCATAAGGAATACCGAGTTCGTCATTGCGAGCGTAACGACGGCCAATGGAAGCCTTGCTGTCATCAGTGCGGGTGGAGATACCGTTCTTACGGAGCTCACGAGAGAACTTGTACACAAAAGGATCAAAGGCAGCGTTACCAGACAAAGGCAACAGGCAGCACTTGAAGGGAGCGACGATAGAGGGGAAGGACAAGACGTTACGAGCCTCATCATCACCACGAACCCACCAGCTGTGCTCCAAAAGAGAGTACAGAATACGACCGATACCGAACGAAGGCTCAATAACATTGGGGGTGTACTCACGGACTAGAGAAGAATGAATAAGTATATTGAATACTTTATACTTTCTTTCTTTTTTCTTTATGAATTTCTTACCATACTCGGTGACGGTACCACGCTTGACAGATACATCATCCTTAGATACCTCGAAAGACTCCTTGCCAATAACAACGGTAGACTTGCCGGTTGTCTCAAAGTCTTTCTGGAGCTTAACGTAGCAAGCATCAGTGTAAGACAATAAAGCCTCCTCAACAGCCTTTGCGCTCTTCTTGTACTTAGGACCAAAGGTCTTCTTGTTGATCTCTACTTGCCACTGCTCAATGACACGGGGTTCGGCAAGCTGTTCACGAACAACAAGCTTCTCCTTGGTGCGGTTGGAGTGTACAGTCAAGTCATAAGCCGAACGATCAGCACAACCAACACACTCAATCCAGCCCTATGAATTGAAGTTTAGTTACTCTGCCAATTTTTTTTTGTGATATAAGGGTTCTTTTAAGAAAATAAATAAATAAACTAGGCCATAATCTAACTTACATAGCTGGTCTGGATCTCAGCATCCCAACAATCGCAAGCATAATGGGCCATCTCGTTATCCATGTGCTGGCGGAATCGGAGGCGTTCATGCTTGATACCAATCTTCATCAAAAACAAGTAGATACGAGCAATGAAGTAACCAAGAGTCTCGTTATCAATGATTTTCTATTGACAATAATAATGAAAAGTTAATACAAGGCATTGCTAGTTTTCTGAAACAAAAAAAAATGATAGCCCACTAATAGAAAAGTTTCTGCCTTTATCTACCTTGGAAACAGCTTCACCAACGGTCATCTCGATGGTGGTGGTCTTACCACTCAGCTGAACATCCTTGGAAAGGATGCTAATCTTGACATCCTTGACATCCTTGAAGTGCTTGTGGCTCTTGTCTTCGGGATCGACATAGTGCTCAATCTCGGCCATGGTAAACTCACTTTTTGTTGTACAAAGTATGAAAAAAATGAATATTCATGGTTTAAAGAATAATATTTTTCTAGTATACTCATTTATATTATCCAACTAATACCATACCGAACACGCAAAAGACCAGAGCGAGGAGAAATTTCGTTACGGAAGGAACGACCAACCTGGGCAGAGGCAAAAGGCATCTTGTCGTTGTTGAACTCCAAAAGCTTCTTGAAGTTGACGAATTGACCTTGGGCAGTCTCGGGACGCAAGAAACTAATAAAACGCACGCACATTCGTGTGAGTTCAACCCATCCAACTCCTTTATGATTCTCTATTGTCTTTTGATTTTTTCTTTTCCTTTGCTCTCTTCAAATAATCTTACCCCTTGAGTTGACCAGTAGGACCAATGTTGCTCTCGAACATAAGGTTGAATTCCTGGGGAGTGGACAGCTCGTTACCACTTTCAGGGGAGCGAATATCCATCTTCTTCATGAGCTCAGCAAGCTGTTCACCGCCATAGTTGTCGATTTGAGCAAGAGTTTCCTGGTAAAGCTTGACAGTTTCGTCAGGGAGCTTGACGGCAACAACAGTGCCCTTCTTCTTCTTCTTCTTGGCGTCCTTGGCTTTGTCAGCTTCAGCATTGGCAGCAGCTTCGGCAGCAACGGCGGCGGCTCCAGCCTCAGCAGCACGGGCTTCGCGATCACCTTGGAGGCGAGCTTCGAGTACAGCCTCAACAACATGGTCAGCTCTGAAGATTTCACCATTCTTAAGGTCTTTGCACATCCAATCAGCGAACTTATCAACATGGCCAGATGTCTTGAGTACATCATAGGTAGTCATGATAGAGGTATCTACTTCAAGCATCTCCTCTTCCAAGACAAAGTGATTGCGCCACACGTTGATGATGTTGTTCATCAATGCACAGCCAGACGGTCCATAATCGTAAAGACCGGCAACACCTATTTTTTTTAAAAAGAAAAGGTTGTACTTAAGTAAAGTTATGCAAACAAATTAAGAAGAGCATATTATTGTTATTTTAAAAAAAACTTACCGCCGTAAATCTGGAATGAGGGGGCGTAAAAGAAACGCTTGGTTACGAGTTGCTATAAAAGCATAATAGGATAAGACAGGTCAGGGCAGGTCAGGGCAGAACAAGACGTGTTATTTCAGAAAAATAAATATAAAACCGCGGTATTTAGTATGGGTGTATGGAAAAACGAGACGATCAAAGGTAATTAATCTTACTTCAAGGGCGCTTCTGTCAAAGGGTTTAGCTTCCATATTGTTTATTACAATAAAGTTATGGGGAGAAGAAGAAGTGTCTTTTGGTTCTTTTATAGCGCGGGACCCATCACTCGGAAAAAGTTCGATCAAAGCCACCAATTGCATTTCAATCATTGTGACTACATCCTTTTGACGCAGTCTTTCTGTAAGAAAAATCGAATCATCGAGAATATACAGCAATTGAAGAACAATGGTATATACATACGTACATATATATATGTGTGTGTATATGTATATATATTATTTTGACAATTTAGCCTTTGTATATTTATCTATTAAAAAGTTGGTTTGCTCAATATTTGCTTTTATCAAACATACAAACTACTTTAAATTATAGTATTCACGTATACATAGAGCTTTTTAAACCTTAGATTCAGACAGGCACAAATATTCTCTTGAAATATTTGAGAAATCTGATACAAATTCTGTCCGCCTTACTGGCGGCAGTGACTACTGCGGCCAGAACGAAAAGGTGTGTGTCATTATGAATGACTGCTACACAAATATTGGGTAATTTGGATACAAGAAAGTATACTGTGAAACTATAATATTTTTTGGATACCGTGTGAATGTTTTTTTAAAAAAAAGAAGAAATGTAATCTGACTCAATTTTCTGTATTAACCTATGCAAATCGTACAAGAACGATTAGATCATTGAAAGAAAAGTGGCAGTATAATTGTATATTTCTTTCTAGCAATATTTTTTACACAAAGTGTAATATGCAAATGGCTATAAACGAAAGTTTTATACAGGATATAGCAAGGAAATATTTACATTAACTTCAGAGTAACTGTGTGCGCATATTAATATTGGCTTAGAAACTGCTAGGCCACATACATTTTATGATTGGATAAATTAAGATACATAGTAATAAAGAAGCCTGCAACCCAAAAATTAATATATGTAAGGTACCAAGTGCATGTAGCATCTAATATATAATGCATCCTCACAAATTTCCTAAAAAAACAAGGAAGCGAGATGTATAATGTGTTATTAACAAAGAGAAATTGACAATAAAACCTATAGCATTATTGAATATCCAAAAGGTAGACAGGAACTAGTGTCTCAATTAAAACTATATATATGTATATACCTATACATTATTTATTCTAATAAAGTCGATTTATCAATGTTTTATAAGTTATTTGAGACTACAAAGATTGGCTTCTATTTCTTTTCTTTTTGTGATAATAGCTACGATTAAATTAACTTTAGATCTTATATCTTCAAGTAGTTTTTTTAAGCATGCTATTTATACTGCCCTTAGAGTAAAGCGCAATGAATTAAAGTCATAAAGATTGATCTGCTATATTTTGATAAATCGCATAGGAGAATGGAGAAAATATTGATTTATTATAAGTATTTATGTGCTCTTAACAGAGAACAGAATATACTCAGATAAGGTTATAGATCTACAATTCAGTTTCCTTTCTCTCTTGTATTGTTCCAACTTTAATATGTATCGTAATTCTTGCAGCGCAGATCTTCAGTGTAAGAATATAATACATAAATAGCTATAAATAAATTCACTCAATAAATAATACAAAATAATCACACTTCTTCAAAGATACAAAAAATAGCCTACATATTTAATAGAAAATAGTATCGATAGTATGAACTATTGTATTAAATAGTGTGCTCTTTAACTTTATTGACCATAGTCTCCATTTTAAAAAATACTGGGACGTATCGTGGGCTTATTTCTCCTTGGCTGTCCGTTATCTTTAGATCCCAGAATCTCAAAATTAACCTCTATTTTCTTATCTTTTCCTCAAATATACAGCTATATATAACAGTCAGTTGGAATCATCTCAACATCCTGTATTGAAAAACATGGATTTGTTCTACAATTCATAACTGGCTTTAGCTAACCTTTCCACTTGCTTTATCTTTCGTTTAAAGTCTGTGTCTAATATTCTATATCATCAATTGCTTTTATTTTAATGCCATAGAAATGCTTTATGCTTTCATATCTCTACCGACTTGGTAATAATTCTAATATCCTCATCTGTAGTATTCTTCCTGACTTCCTTTCTTTATCATACATCATCAAATTTAGAGTATATTTTACACACTTTTTTTTTTGGTTCTTGACTCATATTTCTTTAACGTGTTCTCTATTTTTAGTATTTATATTTTACAATTTACTAGATGGCTGTCGCATTATAAAATACACCTATCTATGATTCTATTTATTAACGTGGCTCTAATAGTTTATCGATAATGACTATTTCTGTACAAGTAAGATGTGATATTCCCGCTTTTTTTTTGCTTTCCGTTACTGTAGAAACCCTACAACTGTATCTATATTTATCTATTAATAAACACCTCAATTAAGATACTATATTAATTCAGGGCTTAGACAGAAGTAGAGATAGCTCTTGCATGTAGCAAGAACAAAAATACGTGTCACAATTTTTACATTTAACAGGGCAATATTCGCTTCCACGAAATTACAAATAATATAATTATGTCCTGGCACACTGTGGAAACGGCTCTAAATTATATCAAAAAAGCACAATAGCATTTTACCTTTTAAGTAGATTAAATTACCAAGAAAACTAGGTGATCGGGTAGAGATTCATATATGAAGGTCAATTTTACTCAAATTTGTGTTGGTTAAAATGAGTATAATGTATACAAAGCATTGTAATTGATTATGTCAAGATATTTAATTCTTTAATTCCTAAAAAAGTCTTAATTAAATGAGAACCACAAGGAAGTAGAGTTTTGGTAGGCCAAGTATGACTGATTGAAATACTACTTGTTTTTTTTTCTATAGCCCTTCTTTTTTGTTTCTGTGTTGTACCTGTGGAGCACAGACCTCATTTTGATCTCCTCTAACTTTTTACGTTATGCCGATTTCTCTTTGCTTGACCAGGATGACAAATTGCCACTCATATCTTTATTTTATGATAATCATTATCGCTATCACCCAAATTACTCCTACAGTATATTTCGAGCACTTGCCCTTGCACTTGAACCTAAGCAAAACAAAACAAAAAACTATATCAATGAATCAACTGTAATAACAGCATGTATCAAAATTGCACTCCGTGTGACTCAATATGACAATGTACCTCTTTATGATATCAATACCTTGCTTACTCAATATACTTTATGCCTGTCAACTTATCTTTAAGAACTGTAATATAAGAGCTATATGTATATCTTTGGCAGACTGTTTTTATACAAGATATTGAAGGATGTATTTTGTAATGTATCAATACCTGTTTGCTCTTCTTATTTGAATTCAAACAATATTTTGTACTGTGAATATAGTTGTATATATGTGTATTCAATAACGAATGTGGGGTACCAAGCATTCACTGATATTCAAAACATAAAAAGGTTTATAGATGATGATGCTTGATTCATAAATATATTCAAATTGATTTTTTTTTGTATACAGTTTGTGTAAACCCAAAGAGGACATTACTTGTGTATTAAATCCACTATGCTTTTTTTTGCCTCTCTTTCAAACACATATTTCTTTTTGCCTTTCACTTTCTGCCTTTTTCTTTTTCTTTCATTTTTTTTCCTCTCATTCCATTGCATCCTTTTTACAATTTCCATCCGGGTTAGCCAAATCTAGCTATACATTTCATGCAATCGGCATTCTCAATAATTTTTCTGAATTATGCTTATAAACAAAAACAGACTACGCAATTGAACGTGGTGATCAACACAACAATAAGAGCATACACATTGCTATATTATATTATATACTTTCATATTTATTTGACTAATTATTTTTTTCTTATAAATGAGCCTTCCTAATTACAACATTGACATCTTCAATCAAGTAAAAAAAAGTTTAAAAGCGTGTTTTTTTATTAGAGACGATACTAGTTAAAAAAGACTTTATTTATTTATTTAAAGATATACGTAAAGAAACTATTCTATTTGATTGAATTTCACTTAATGTTCTTTTACATGAGTAAAAGAATAAAAAGCATGACACCAAGTTCTTTGTCCCCGCATTACGCGGCTCAATCTCCTTCAGGACGTAAACCTGACTTGGTAGCGAAGGAGGTGCTGGAATGGTGGCAAACCAACGGAAAGCACCCGTTCATCCAGCCCCACATCTCGTCACCGAGTAATGTGGGTGCGAACTCGCCAGAGAACTTACCACTAGGTGATAAGGTCCAGCTCATTCGACTACCAGTAGCTTCACCGTCAGCCGTTAAAGAGTTCAGTCAGGTTAGCAGTGAAGAGCCAGCACATCTCACCACAGGTTAGACCTCCCTCCCCCCAGCATCATGATTCCACATTGGCGATGCGATGTACACAGTAGTCCTTCCAAAAATGAAAAGAGACCATGCCCCACGACTTCTCAGAATTAACTGAGCTGGCGAGTAACAACTTTCACTTTCCGATGCTTGTAGCATGGAAGAATCTCCCTGCAACGGTCGCAAGAGACGCCTCACTATGAAACCGGGACTGTTGTTGCTCAAGGAGAAAACAAACGACGCGCGTTGGAGGGGTTCTATTTGTAACAGAAAATTTTTCATCTGCGATTAAAGTTTAGGACTGCGCTTTTTGTCAGTCTTAGATATCCACGTCAGAGCCAACGTGACATAGCTGTATATTATTTTTACTTGCTTTGTGTAACTGTTTTACGGCAAAGGGAACAACGAATAACTTTCAATTAAATTGCTACAGAATACAACCTTTCAAAGTGAAGTAAAGCAAAGCAAAGAAGCAATGAAGTAAAAAGAGTAATGGAGTTTAGTTTTTATCGGTGAACCAATAACTCTAAAGGTGGAGTACAAGTTTCTAAAGGCGAATTGTAGGTTACTCTAAAGTGGTCTGTGCGCTTTTTCCAAGGAAATAGGGAAAGCTATTTTATTTTTATTTTGCTTGTATAAGCAGACACAAAAGGGACCCAGAAGTCACTAGAAAAGGAACCCATATATATATTAGAGCAATGTTAAGCAGTATAGCTATATATATATTACTTATATATCTCTGACTTTCTGTAGAGATTCTGATTTATGTAGCATATATTATATCCTTAGCTACGAAACTGATATTAAATTTACCGCAAGTCTTCAGGATCATAAAATAAATTATATAATAGTTTATTGTTGGTATTGGTTATAGTTATAAGAAAATAATGTGGGCAGTCATATATAGCTACTAGAAGTAGTAAAATATTAAGATTTACAATTATAAAAGGATTAATGGTGCAGTAAAGATGTACAAAATATAAAAGAGAAATTAGGAATATACAGAAAAAAATAATGTGAGACATAAAGATAGTCCTAATGAGTGAGAATAATTTAAGTCTAAGAATCTTTGCTATTTCTTATTTGTGCTTGTATGTTTCCTTTAAAAGGCTATAATAAAGGTTATGGTCGTTACTGCCATTGCAGTCGCGAGAAGTGCACCATTAGTAGGGGTGGGCATGGACGTAGCATCGGAAGAAAAATATTGAACGGTGATTTCAGAAGCCTCGGTAGGTTGAGGAGGGTTGACTAGTTCGATGCTTGCACTAGCAGTATAGTTGCTCATGCTTGGATCAATGCCATTATTGTACATGCCGAGAATTGTGTGGGATACCGGGACTAATGCCTGTAGGGTGTTGTTTGAAGGCTGAGTGCCAGGTAAAGGAGCACTGTTTACAAGAGAGAGACCAAGGAGACCAATGATAGCAATAAAAGTTTTCATGATGTGTATGTATATAAGATATATATATATATAATAAACGGCTGTGCTATGTTGTATTGTGCTGTATTGAATATTTGAATAAAGAAATTAAAGAAACAAACAACACTTGCTTTTATATAATATTGGTTTTTTTAATCTGAATTGAACTATTCCCATCCATGATTTGTGCAGCTGCTGTGTAAGTTACAACAGTACACAAAAAAGGATATAAAAATATTGATGACAATGAATACTTTTTGCTAGACCTGACATTCCACCCTCGTGGGATGTTTTCACATGTATCTAAAGCAGTTGTAGTAGTAGGAGTAGTAGTCGTCATAGAAAAAGAAGAGAAATACTTTATACATATAAAATATATAAACCTCTTGACTATGCTTACAATACTGAAATACAAACTATTCATAAAAATGCACGTCTTTTTTATTTATTTAAGGGTGCTGTTGCCTATTGTTTGATTTTGGGTTTTGTGGAATGATAATGTTTGAAATTAAAAATCACACGATTTTTTGCTCTTAAAAAAAGAATAAAAGTGGCGAGTAAAATGTGTGGTATACACACCACAATTGAGTGAAATACAAACTCCACAATCCAGAACGGATACTACAATTACTAATGAACCTGGCAGGGTCACATCTCAGGAACGCAACACACACCAGGCACTCGTACACTTCACACTGCTTCAGTGATAACCAACCATTAACTAACGGAGATCTTAAATTAGGGAACCAAATGTCTATATAAACAGCTATGATCTTCTTTCTTAAATAAACAACACTCTCACAGTACCTATTGTTCCCTTTCTAAAATTTATTCGTATACCTCAAATTGAAATGTGAAAATAATTGCAAGATCTCAACACCAGAATATACATCAAAGCAACCTTTTTAATCCAAGACATATCACTTGGTAAAATTACTTATCATCTTAATAAAAAATATAAATAATAAAGTATCAATCCTTTTAGCTATGACTCAATTTGTAAAAAAAAAATGAATAGCAAAAAGAGAAGAAAAAAAATATTGGCCAAAAGTGATTCTTAATATTGCAAAAACCTGCCTTTCACAACTTTGTCAGAGTATTGTATCGGAACAGCTAGGTGTATCGGCTTAAGACAGCTTCTTATTTAATGTAGAGTCACTCCTAATGAATAAAAAGGGGAGATTGGTGCATAGAAAGAACTATAACGCTTAATATAGTGACAGCCATATGATTTCGCTTCTTTCGGGCTTATAGCTACACCGAAATTTAACTGTATAGCTATACTCTTCTAGCTCCATTAGAGTAGATAGTTTGGTTTGATCCACTATAATTTTATGGATATTTATATATAGTAATAAAGAATAAAATATTATTTGTCCTCATACCATCTTGATGAAATAAAACAAGAGAAATATGTATCTTAGAATAATAGTACCAATAGTTGCTAATATATATCTTGATAACGTCTTCAACACTTCATTATATAAGTTTGATTCTATGACTAAAAAATAACTTAAAGATCACAAATAACTTTTACTTATTTTCAAGAGTTTAGATTTTGTAGAAAAAAAAAGAAGCACTGGTATACTTTTGGCAAGATATTTGAAACATCAGCACAATCACATCAATATTAATCCCACACATTTTGAGAAAATATAGGTGCTTATATATTGACATTTTTAGTACTTTAGCCAAACGGATCATAATATTGGCAAAAACTTTATTGCATTAAAGCTCTCTCTTCCACTTTGTTCGTGCAACCTTAGCTTTTATAAAAAGCAAACTTGATCACTTTTTTTGTATTACAGATTAATTTCACGATCCGGTATTTAAATATAAGATAAAGAGGTATAACCAGCTCGATGAAAACATTCTGCTTGGAAATCATACAAGTTATATCCTACAGCTTTTAAGATATATACTGATACAAGATTCTGGTAGTTTCTTCTGCTGCTAATTCTGTCGTTGTTTCTGTTACGTAAAATGGGAAGATGGGACTGGCTACACAATAGAAGCACAAGGCCACAGAACTTCTTTTTATATGTTTTAAGCTCGTCTTTAATAGGCCCTTAAACTTGCTGGTACCTGAGTACTACCTTTAAATTTCCCTTTTGGGTTCTTCTTTACTGACAGAAAGCTTCACTACTTTATTGTTCTTCTTCATGCAGAAAGCCTGCTTCTCAAAGGATTGACACATAGAATATCTAAATATAAATAATAAGCCACATAGACATCACATGCAAATATGTGGAATTATTCTATTGGGCGATTAATTTTTACGTCATATCTCGCGTATTCACTCATACGCGTATAGAAAAATGGCTCTTCAGTGCGAGGGAAAGAAAACTCGCCTTTCTCATAAACACAACACAGAGAAATATTCATGTAAGTAACAAAATCATTAAAGAAAGTACATTTCACACATGTCATGCTAATTACGATGAATTTATTAATGTAATTTCTAGTAATGTTACTTTTGACATTTACCTAAATGTATTTTCTCAAGAAGTGAATGTAAGTAATCACAAAATAAAAAATATACCCTTATTTCATTGAAACTCTTACTAACATCGCGCAGTTAATAGTAAAGATAAAGTCTGGCCCGAAAGGGTCAGCCTTGACAGAAGCTTGTCAAGAAAGCCTCTAGTGATGTCGTTGCGGTGAAAACCAAAGCGGCCAACCAAACCACACCCAGTTAATGGCTCTGGGAACGGCTAGCAAGAAACACCGGTTTACTCTGGTCTCCTCTATTCTGACATTTGGTACAACGTGGTCAATCCGTCATAGAGAGGTGTAGCATAGGTGGGAGCCACCGGGCGCCAATGAAATACCACCACTCTCTATGACAAGCCAAACGGACTGAGGGCGAGCCCCCTATACTCTCCTCCCCGTTGATGTCAGATGTTGAGGTTCAAAGACGATCAGATAGACTGGTTTTTTATGGGTTGACAGCCGAACGTTCTAGCGACGCAGTTGACCTATAATAAAACCAACTCAACCCGTGCGATAGGCATCCATGTGTCTGGGGTATGACTGATTTAACAAGTTGGGACGCCTATTTAGCCCAAGTAGAAGAGTCAGTATAGAGTTTGGTCCGACTGTCATGATGTACTGGTCTACTTCTTGCTAGCTGGTAACCGATATTGTAACAGCAAATGGAGTTTTTTTTTCGCAAGATAAATTACTTTATTCAAGCCTCCACTCTCTCGTGATCGGTGTTCTGATCCTGTTTTCGCGAAGATGTGCTTGTTCAATGAGTTTTTGACTGAACGCCTTTAAGTCATCACTCTGTGCTGGAAACAATGTTACTCGTTCTCCGTACAGCTTTGTACTTGACACCATATATTGTTTTTCGCTTATTACTGTCTAGGCAGTCGTAAGCAAAGACACCCTGATAATGCCAATTCTAGAACGGTAAAATCTCGTTCATCCCAAACGAAAAAGGCGGGGTCTCCAAACTTTATACGGTCTTCGTTGCCTAAAAAAGTGAAGTTCGCCCTTGTCTTTCGATTTCTTCCCCCCCGTCTCGGTCTATAGTTAACTTTTTAGTTGGCTTGACAGGTGTTTTTCCGACCTTAGTTGGAAGAGCGTGAGTTCGAATCTCACAGAGACGTATTACTAGCAGCAAGCTAGTTACAATTGTGTATATACATATTATGATAGGAGTCCTCAAAGTAAATAAAAGGCATGAGTTGCTGAAAGATACTTCTAGGACTATTCGATCGGAGGGTCACCTATTCGGTTTGATAATTTTGACCTGACTGATATTAATAACAAAGCCAAGGTACTTGATATTCGTACCACTCTCAAAGAGAAACTGACTTTAACTCATATTGGGGTCGCTATTGATTCTTCTTCTGCCAGTTTTATACCTGCTTTAGATTTTATCCTAACTAATATTGAGGTAATCCACAGTAAATGGAATGCCATCAGCAAGAAAATTCAACATATGCTCGTATTCACTCTATAATATTCCCTGCATTTGTATCATATCACTATTAGTAGAATATATATATAATCATTGACAGAAGTAAAACCTACCAGCAATTATGAAGCAAATGTTAAATAGTTCGGTGCCGTTTTTACTTTTAAAATACCAAGTTTAAACACTGTACTTATATCGTCTCTGTCAATTACAGTACAATTGTGCATCATTCTATATTTTAGTGGGCCCTCTTCTTGGAATTCTGGCGATATAGAAATGTTGATACCATATATTCACCGTCAAAAATCACATGGCAAAGTAATTTAGTAAATGTCCATTATTTCCATCAAATTAAAAAAATTCATTAGTCCGTTGTGTGATACTTTTTTTTTATTAGAGGTGTTATCTAGTGGAAAATTGAATATTTTATCCATTTTCAATTGAAATGGCGATGTAATTTCCAATGATTATTATACGTTTTTCTCGGTTGACGCGATTTAGTGGAAAATGTTTGTGGAAAATTACGAATTTTGTAATTTTCCACATACATTTTCCATTAATTATTTCCTCAAAATCAAGCTTCTTCTCTCACTCTCAAATTAAGGTATAGGGTAGCCAGGAGTGTCTATTGTATATGTAATTAATTTATTCGATCTTTAAAGATCGAATTTATTTAAAAAAAAAGATTGAAATTTATGAGGTTTTATTTTTCTTATATTTGACACGGTATGATGTTCTCATCAATTGATAAGTTTCCACAACTGCTGCCGGAGTGCTTTGTTTTTTACTGGGTTTGTCCAATCTTTATTTTTTTAGCAGCCACACTTTTTCCATTAGATAACACCTCCTCTATTAACTCAAACTTTCAAGCTCTGCAAAGCAAACCGATTTAGTGACGCAATTAGTTACTAATATCAGATTAAATTTAGAGTATCATAATCCTTTACCCTTTATTTTTTTTTATTGAATTTAACAAGCAAATTAAACATGTACAACCCAAGCAAGCGTACTATCAAAAGAAGAAAGAGAACAGCTGTACCTCAGTTCTTACTGGATCACTTTTCTGAAGACGTTCCAATCAGTGGTTTGACTTATATACCCATTGAAAGAACACCTGTTCCTGAGACGGAATTTAACAGTCCACGGATAATCTACATATACCCGCGTAAGAAGCGAGCAAGAACCGCAGTCGCAGCTTCTACATCGAACCATTCTGAGAATGTTACTGCTTCTCCTTGCGATCTGGAGATCGGTTTTGATTCTAGCACATACGAAACCAAATCAACAAAACAATGAGTTGCTTATAACAAGTGGGCAGATAAATTTCCTCAGTTGGCTGATTCTTTTCTGCGTTACATTAGCAGATGCCAAGATGGTTGCCCTGATAAACGAGCCATTAATCCTTTGTCTCCTCTCCTTTGTTCGTGTACAAAGCTTGTCAAAAAAAACGTTTATATGTTTTTTCTGCATTGTAAGCATCTATTATTTACAACATTTAAAGAGCTGCTCCCGGATTCACAGATTAACTTTTTGTATGTGTATGTAGCCTTAAAGTTTTTCGAGGTTGTTTTTTGTGAATGCAAAACCATCCCTGAACAATTGGCTGAAATGGGCATGTTTCCTGGCTCCCTCAAAAACACACAATTCGCTATCCATTTTGGACTGCTTGAATTTATGAGAAATTTGCGAAATGTTCTTGCGACCTCTGACCAAGGTTTGGTTGATTTATACAATAAAGTAAACCCGGCTTCTGAAGTAAGAAAAAAAAATGTCGTGTATCAATATTTGTTACTAATTATTTCTAAATGTTTTTTTTTTAAAAAAAAATAGAAGCAAATGACAAAGACATTTTTCAAAAGTATTTTCCCAGCATACACCAAGCTGATGATGCTTGTTGAAGATCGGGGTAAGAATGTTTCTCCTGCATCTATTGGATCAGAAGGTTTTTCAGCTTGCCCAAATGTGAGTAAATATTGTGACATATGATATTTGTAACAAAGGGTTAAAATTGCCTTTTCTTTGTAGCAATCGGAACAAAGGTCAGTTGTTGAAAAGGATGCCTAATTTCTTATAATATATATGGCAACTTCAGGTTAAAGTATGAGAGGAAAACGAAAGGAGAAAGAAAGACTTTAAAGCATATGTAGAGGTCCGATTAAAAAAATATGGGCTGATGATGATATCGTTAAAGAGTGTCATCAATCCTAAGTGTATGGGAGGGTCTGGCTTATGGTGAATGTTTGGGATGAGTCTGTTCATACCTCTACCCCGTTGTGGTGATGACCAGAAAAATGGAACAATCTATCGGGAAATTAGTCGTGCTCAGAGCCATCAACCTCTGAAATGAGACGAAGAATGTTGAGCTGTGGAAGTGGGCGCTAGATTTAGTATCGTTGACGTGTCTGACGATAAGTTACTAGGATTGATGTTGAAGAGTAAGTATGTCAAAACGAAACATATCATATAAGCTTTTAGAAGTGCTTTGGAGGGATCTAGCTGTGATATTGTTGAGCGAGAATGAGAGTAGAATGTTGGTAAAATTCAGAGAATTGCGTTGACATTACTGCTTTTCTTGAGACTGGTCACAAGGCTCAAGTCAATATTGCTTTGTTCCTTATTAAGTTTACGCTTTTATGTCGGCCGAAAGAGTAAGTGTATTTAAATTTTTTGTTTGATTTTTTCATTATCTAATCAATTTTACCGTAGGCTCACTGGTGCTACCAACAGAAATCATTTACAAAATGAAATCAACAGGCTAAAGCAACAAATGGTGAACTTGAGGCGAAGATTTTGAAGGGGGCCGAGAGCTTTCACGAACCTAACGCCAACAACTTTATCGAATTCATTTAACAACATGTCCAGTTAGGTTACAATGAATACCCAACATACAAAAGTAGGTTTATAAAGATACTATCAAAGCTGATGTTCATCCATATCACAAGACATCGACATTACGCTTAAAATCTGGCCATATCGGTAAAAAAAAAAGGACAGAATGGACGGTTTTTATATAATGACTTCCCTTTTTTTAAAAAATAAAATAAAAATAAAAATTTTCAAAAGTAACAACCTTGCTAAGGTATTCGGGATTGTTTATGGGTTAGTATCTCAATATTGGGAAAATTTGATACTGTGAGAGTGTTATTTATTAAAGAGACAAAATAATATTGTTTATACCTGTTACTATTAAAATCCCTGTAATTCAGATCACTGCTGAAGCTCACAGACCTTTTTTTCTTTTCTTTTATTTTCTTATCGCCATTATCATTTTTAGCTACCAATACTCTAATATATCATATGTTTTATTATTAAACATACTATCTTATTATATTTAATATGTAATTCCCATGTTTTTACGCAGTATGAACCGAACTTGATTTCTCTAGAATTGAGACCTTACTGTTGCCTTGAACTTCCAACATATAATTAACCAATTACGATGTGATTGCACGATTTTTGATATGTTATACCTGCCTTATTTAACAGAAAAGTTTTGTAAGACCCAATAAACGATGTTCCCAAAGGTCGTCATGTAAGAGTAAAACTTCAAAGTTCCATAATAATGACATTAGGAAGAAGGAGAAGAAAGAAGACAAATAATATAAATATTCCGGCCTGGTTATCGACAGAGCTCCTTCAGATACACTCGGTAAGCTATTAAATTCTTTGGATACTTTTTGTTTAGGTGATTCATTATTTTGTTATCATCATTTTTGTACTGCATTGGGGATAGTGGGAAAAGAGGAAAGGTGCTTTGTATTGATCGCAAAAACATGGTGGGAGAAACATGGGATATTTAAAATGTGTCTTTACTTTTGAGCTATAATGATAGCAAAGATATAAAAAAAAATGCGAGAAAAGTTAATTGTTTAATCAGAATTCAACCTTAAAACAACCCTTAAATTCTCCCCTCCAAAAAGGAAAAATAAGAGAAAACTCGAGCCCAGGACTTCAATTTCATTTGACTTCATTTGATGCACCTTGTACAGCTTTAATTTTATATACACGCTTTTCGTTCTTAAAAGTAAAAATAAATGAATGAATAGGCATGTTTGCGTTTGTTTCAAAAATATATAGATTTTCCAGATAAATATTCGTGAGAATATGGTTGAAAAAGTCGCGTATATGTATTTTCGTTTTGTACTGATCTTGCGCTCAGATTGATTATAAAGAGAGGTGGATTGTTGGGTGTGAATAGTGCTCAATATAACATAATAACACACACATATATATATATGATGAAGCTATATATTTGGTACCTTCAGTATCTATAATAGAATCAAATACATGATTCACTTTGATATATTGACCAAGATATATGAGAATATATATAAATGTAGGTTGACTAACCATCAATTGTTGAGACCAAATTTACAACCTGTACATCTCTTTAACAAACGTACCTAGAACATAGTGTATTTTTTTTTTTAAAAAAAAAAAAACAGAAATCCTAAAAAAAAACACTCTTTTACATTCAGCTTTTCCTTATTTATTTATTTATATAATTAATTAATTATTCTTTTCTTCTTCTTTTAAATACAGAGAACGTATCTATATATTGAAGATACGCAATTGTCATGTCAAGTCAAAGAAATACAAAGAGAAAGCCATTAGCTCAACCTCCAGTAGGGGGGCAGAAAACACTCTTCTCATTCTTCTCAAAACCAAACATCTCAAAGAGTCCAGTGGAACCTGTCACTCCGATTGTTTCTAATGACACAAATGACACTCCAATGTTGGAATCGCCTCAAGAAAATCAGAATGTTGTGAGTTTTGATGATCAAATGAGAATCGGCTTGGATTCCTGACGAGATCAAAACCAACAAAACTTATTGTTATTATTTTAGAATATTGGAAAAAAGAGAGAAAAAGAAGAGAGTATGGATGAGGATGACAATGAAGATGTTCCAGCAGTACCAAAACAATGTAAGAAAATAGATAAAATAGATAAAATAATAATAATAATAATAAAAATTTATTAACAAATTTATCAATTATTTTGACATTTCTTGTTCTTTATTGATTATGATTTCAAAACTTGTGTTATTTATGCACACTATAAATTATAATAATAATTCTAAAAACAAATCATGCTTCTTCATATTAATTAATAGCACAAAATAAGCGTACACGCAGAAGTGTGAGAAAAATCATTGAAGAAAGTGAAGACGACAATGATGAGGGCGATGATGAAGAAGATAGATACGTGCCCAGTGACAAAGAAGAGTCCGAGGATGAATATAAAGATGTACCTGGTAAAGAAACAGAAGAAGAAAAAAGAAATAGAAAAAAAACAAGGGAACCAATAATATACATATATATATATAAACAGCCAACCAATTAAAGAAAAATATCTTTATAATGTAATCTTGAAATATTAGAGCTATTCAATGCTATGGAAATCGATGGTGAAGTACCCAAACCAACTTCACGAACTACAAAACCAAAGCAAGCCAAGCTTGATTTACCGAAATCCAAGGGAAAAGAAAGCGGAAAAGTAAATAATTTTCTTACATTATCGATCAAAATATTAGACGCCAAGAACCCTTCTTTTCTTCTTCTTATTCTTATAAGTATTATCATTTATATTTTAGCCAACCGCGTCTATCTTTAATGCAAACTTTATCGACAAAACTGAACAGCGCAAGGTAAGAATTTCATATTATTGATAGATAACCTATATACTGTGTGTGTGTTCGTGTGCTTAAAAGTAACTCAATCTCTAATATCCCTGAAATTCGATTTCAAAGAACCGCAATGATAAGTTCAAAGAGAAAAATGTAGTCAGATACGCATGGCTTCAAAATATTAAAGACGCAAACGGAACACCAAAAGGTAATCTTTTAACTTAAAGGGGAGGTTTTTCATTGCCGCAAGTACGTGTCAATAACACGTTGGATTTGTCCTTGTAGGCTCCCCTGATTATGATCCCAGAACCCTCTATATCCCAACATCTGCTTGGAATGGATTTACTCCATTTGAGAAACAATACTGGGAAATAAAATGCAAGCTATGGGATGCGGTAAGAAGTTCTCCTCTCCTCTCCTCTCCTCTCCCAAAAAATAATGATAATATACTATTAAGAAGTGGAAATGTCAACTATTGTATTCCTAATAGACTGTATTTGATATAGGTTGTGTTCTTCAAAAAGGGAAAGTTTTTTGGTATGTGTTTCTTTAATTGTAAGGTAAAAAAAAGCCGCCTTTTATTGAGACCCTATATGTGTATGTGTGTGTAGAAATCTACGAAGGTGATGCCGATATTGGTCACCAAGAGTTTGGTTTGAAGATGACAGACAGAGTCAATATGAGAATGGCCGGTGTGCCTGAAAGCTCATTTGACAATTGGGCCTCTCAATTTGTTGCAAAAGGGTTAGTCTTGAGTACTTTTTTAAATTACTTTCTTTTTCTTTAAAGAAAATGGCTGTGTTTTATTAACTTATACACAAAATAGATACAAGGTAGCCAAGGTTGAGCAGAAAGAAACTGCGCTTGGAAAGTCCATGAGAGAGCGAGATATCGGAGGCAAGGCAGATCAAGTGGTTAAGCGTGAGCTTTCTTCTATATTGACAGCCGGTACACTTGTGGATCTTGACATGCTCACCAGTCAACTGGGTACTTACTGCATGGCAATCAAAGTAAGTATCCACACATAAATACGCATACACAGCATTAGATAAACAGTTGGATTAATCTATATACATAATAATATTAACAACTAATTAATGGTGTAGGAACAAGCCTATTCAGAGCATGATCCACCCCTGTTTGGTGTCTGCTTTGTTGACACTTCTACCGCAGAAATCAATTTGACGTATTTTGAGGATGATCTTAACCGAACCATGCTGGAGACTTTGTTGGTTCAAATCAGACCAAAGGAACTTGTTGTAGAAAAAGGTCGCTTAAGCTCTGAAACAGAAAAGGTTATCAAAAGAGCACTCCACGAACCCATCTGGAATAGACTGATTCCAGAAGAAGAGTTTTGGGACTCTAGAAGAACTGAAGAAGAAATCAGAACTTCGGGTTATTTTGGACAGGATACAGATATGGACTACCTTGGTAAGACTCTTTTTTTTTCTTTGGCATCTTTATGTGCAAATACAAAAGCTCATATTTGTCTTTAGAATCTTGGCCTACCGACCTTAGAGAAGCTATTAAACATCCGTTGTGCTTGTCTGCATTCGGAGGTTTGCTTTGGTATCTTCGCCTGGTTAGTACAAATATATGAGATCAATTTTCTTTTTGTTTTATTTTCTTTTTACTAATACTGCGCCCACACAAACACACACACACATATATACACCTGATATCTAGTTAAAAATCGACCAACCTCTGGTTTCAGCCAAACACATCCAAAATTACGATCCAGTTCGTAGTGCAACATCCCTTGTTCTTAACGGTCAAACCCTGATCAATTTGGATATTCTCAAAAACATATATGACGGATCAACAGACGGAACATTGCTCAAACTTCTAGATAACACAATAACTCCATTTGGCAAGCGCCTTTTCCAGCAGTGGCTTTGTCATCCCTTATTGAAGAAGGATGCTATCAATGATCGGCTTGATGCGGTGGAGGATTTATTGAGGCTTCACTCTCTTCGAGACAATCTCACCCAAAACCTTAGTAAGCTACCTGATCTTGAGCGCTTGATCTCTAGAATCCATGCAGGCAGTTGCAAAGTCAAGTACTTTCTCTCCACACTTTCCGGCTTTGAAAAAGCAATGGTAAGTAAATAATGGTAGTAGTAGTATATGATCTTGGTTCTTGTACAAAAAGCCAACTAAATATATGTGTTTGTTTGTAAAAAGGATACATTCAGAAATCTAGAAAAGCATTCTAGTGAATTCACATCTACACTTATCAAGAAGATCATCCGTTCTTTCCCCAACTTGGAAGATAAACTCAATTATTTTCGAAACGCATTTGTGATGCAAAACTTAGATATGGACTGTAAGTCGAGACCAACGAAACACTAATTTGAGGGATTCATTTGGTTAACCTTACTACCTTGATAGATCAAAAGATGTATGCAATGGTGCCAATTGACGGTAGTGACGAGAAATGGGATGAGATCCAGCAAAATATCAAGGATATTGAAAATAAGTTTGAGAGACATCTCGCGGAAATCAGTAAAGGGAAAAAGTAAGCAGTTAACGATCTAGTTTGAGTATCTATTCTTATCATTCAATTCTTTTGTAGGCAATCTTTTGTCTATACGCACAGTGGGAAAGATATTTTTCTTATCCAGACTCCCAAGGGTACAAGTGTACCAAGAGAATGGATCGTTGTATCTGATACTGCAGTAAGTATTATAGCGCGGGAAGATTGATTGTACTCTTTTGTTTTTATATTCTTCATTTCACTCACATCTTCACACCCAAAAACAAAAACAAAAACAAAAGAAATTTGTACGATACCGAAATAGTACAACTGTGTCATTAGTAAAGACGTACAAAGAATTGCTCGAAACAAAGAGTAGTTACATAAAGGGCTTTACTAAGAAAGTGTACGCTGTTTTCGATCAAGAATATAAAATGTGGCTTTTGGCAGTACAGTGCTTGGCTGAATTAGATGGCTTGATGAGTCTTTCCAAAGGTTCTTTCAAACTTGGAGGTAATAACTATATAGATACATATAAATACTAACAAGATACTACTAATTATATATGTATATATACTACATAATTCTAGAAAATTAATTTTGCTTTTTGTTTTCTATGTGCCTTTCTTTCTTTCTTTTGTATGATAGCACCTTCTTGTCGCCCTCAGTTTGTTGAGCAAGAAAAGGGTATGATCGAGTTCAAGGATCTTCGTCATCCATGTGTTGTCCCAGGGTAAGTTATAAGAGTCTATTGTAAAATATCCATATATATTATGTAGTTAAAGTCCAAATAAAGAAGACAATAATAATAATAATAATAAAAATAAAAAAGGAAAAGCCGCAGTGTTGTTATACAATCAGTAAAAGAAAGGAAGAAAAAGATATGCTTTTTGTCAAGTATTTACTAATTATTTTGAGCAACATCTACACAGAATGGCATCCGAGTTTGTACCAAACGATGTGTGTCTAGGAGGAGCCAAAGCAAACATGATTATCCTAACAGGTCCAAACATGGGTGGTAAATCAACCTTACTACGACAGGTAAAAATAAATAAATAAAAACATACCCAGACCTACGTATATGTATATAGCTCGAGACCTTAATTAATTGGCTTGGTATCTATATATTCTACGAACGGATTAGACTTGTATAGGAATTATTATGGCTCAGTTGGGTTGTTATGTTCCAGCAGAGTCAGCCAAGCTTACACCATGCGATAAGATCTATACACGCATTGGCGCTAATGATAACATCATGGCGGGACAGTCTACATTCATGGTTGAACTATCGGAAACCTCCCGAATCTTGAAAGAAGCGACTAACAAATCCATGGTTATCTTGGATGAGCTTGGTCGTGGTACCTCAACTCACGATGGTTACGCTATTGCATATGCTGTTCTTTATCGACTGATAACTCACATTGGATGTCTTGGTGTATTTGCTACACATTATCAAGGTCTTTGTCATGAATTCATCGAACGCAAACTTGTGCGAAATATGTATATGTAAGTAATAACCTCTTTGTGTATATATATATGCAATTTTATTATTATATAATAATAAAGATCGATGTGTTAATATATTAATATATTATCGTATTATCGTATAGGAATTATTTTGTGAATACCGATGAAAATGATATAACATTTTTGTACAAGCTCACAGAAGGCATTTGTGAAAAATCGTTTGGTATGAACATTGCCCAAAAAGCCGGAATCCTGCCATCGGTTATCAAAAAGGCAATTCAGGCAAGCAACGATTTCGAAAAATCTAGTCGCATAAAAGATTCAACCTACAGGAAAGACTCTCAAATCAAGGTTCAGAATACCCCTTCCGAAAGAGCAGATATAGCATTTGCACTAAGCTTGGGTACATCTCCTTCCAATGAAAAAAGCAAGGATTTGGTTGAAAAACTTAAACGAATGACATTATAAAAGTCTATCGCTCCCACCTTTTACTCCTATAAATACAATCATATGCACCTCTTTTCTTATTTCATTTTCAAATTTTGCAAATTTTGTTTCAATATTTTTCTCTAAAAAAAAACAATAGTACTCTATTGTAACAATCTATACCGAATTACATCACATACTCCTTTTACACCTATACTTTACACAAAATACTTTATGGAAAAAGAGTGTACGGCTATCCTTCTATGTATTGTATTGCAATTAATGAATTACTATGACAGTTGGATTTGAAGAAAATTATATATGAACACATATCTTTTATTAATAGAATTGTGAGGAGTATTTAAACTAGTTAATTGGTTTCTTGTGACATAAGTTATATTATATGAGCATATTTACACCATCACAAAAAGAAATCACTTTAGATCCTGACTAGATAAAGAAACAATAGCCTTTTTCTTTTGTATTGTTTATTAAGGGTAACAAATACCCAAAAGTGACTCGAGTACAGAGACTACAGACTGCTGGCTCGTGAATCTTCTATTTTAACTCATCTGATTCTCAAGGTGGCAATAGCTGCGACTCGATTGAGGATAGGGACATCATAAGATATATATTCATCGCCCTCAAACTCGCCGCACAGAACACAATTCGGATCCTCTAAATCCTTGATGTTATGATAAAATATACACTGTATGATATTGACCTTGCTCCACATAAGGAGCCACCAGATTGTAAATGCGAACAATGAAAAGGCCAAAAAAAAAGATCTTGTATTATGGTGTACAGTGCTCATTTTTGTTGTTGTAATGTTACGCTAATCCTTTTTTTTTTTAAAAAAAAAAGGATGAGGAGTGGAAATAGAAAACTTGGATGAAATAAGGAAGAGGAGCTATATAACACTAAATTGGGTTATGCCACTCATAAACCCTCCGATTCGAATTTTGCGTGGTATTTTTTGATGATCCACTGAAACAATACTGTGAGGGTGTTTATGACCCATTTCAATACTATTCGTTCGACAAATTTTGTACTTTAACGGCAGAATTCTTTCCCAACTCGCTTCCGATTATTATCCTATCCCCCATCATTGTAGGCTTCTCTAATAAAAGGACACACGATATCTGTCCTACACATTGTGTTATATAGTCAGAACTCAATTTAGGGCCTTGGCGGGTGCTTGAGAAGCCCCTAAGTTGAGTTTTGACTGTATATACCTTATAGCAGAGTGTGTGTATAGATATGCCTGTATATTTGCTAGATATGGTCCTACAAAAAGAAGTGCGATGGTTTGCGGCGCGCTCGCCTGAACTTGATCGTTGGTAGCCCAACCTTTCACACTTTCCTAATTTACTCTGAAATACACACCCTCATTTCTAACTTTTTTTTTTCTGCATTATATTTTAGCATATATATCTACTTTATTCCAATTTCTAATTATCCCAAAGATCTATACACACACACACACACACACAAATATTTCAAAAGAAAAAGTAAATGGTTATTCAAGCCTTTTAGCGTGTAACCTTACAGATTTTATGTTTCGAACATCGACGCTCCATTTTTCTCTTAATTTGAACATAATACTGATAACTATATATATTTAAATAAAAAGTACCACAATTAATTAGTGCCAGAACACCATAAATTGTGCCATTCCCACATTTATAATCTTGAAATTGTAATCGTTGGGTATCTTGATTAGATATATTGATATATGTCTCTAAAATTTTTTTTTAAAAAAAAAAACTTTAAATAAATATAGTAAATGGCTTAATGTTTAATTTATTTGGAATATGATGTATCTATAACAGGGCTTACTGCTTGAAACCAAGTATGACTTGAATAAATATATGCTTGACAGGTTATAAGCTTTATTATTCAATAATACTGACAACGACAATAAAAGAAATGTCGGATATCTAGGGATAAAATATAATTAATTAGTGATTTCAAAGGGAAGCAAGAGTTTTATTATAATCAAAGTGTGAGAGTGATTGAAAGTGCTTTATTGGTATTGGTGTGTGTGTTAGGTCTTAATATCATACCTTTTAGTATGTTTTACTTTACATCATTTCATGACTTTGTTTTCTTCTAAAATTCTTAGATTGATACTAGTAACCTGTTTTCTTTTGTACTTTTTTCCAAGTAACGTTAGCAAGATTAATTGAGAGGTAACTAAATATAAGGCTTGTATTTAATGATGTTGTAAGTATAAGTCTTTGTATATCAACAGCTATACTTTTATTGATCAAACTTGAATATATAAGTCAAAATCATTAGTGGGCTTACAGCAAAAAATAAACTAGAGCTTATATAAAACATGATTACCTTTCCTGATTATATCGATGAGTATGCGAATAATCAATACTGCATGTCGTTTAGCCTTTTTGACGAGTAAATTAAACCCTCTTTTTGTTTTTGTTTGATAATAGCATAACAGATTTCTATGGATAAATCTTAAAAGCAAAGCAAATAACAGAGGGTTTTTTTATAGAAGGAACTGAGAATAATCTTAACAAATACAAAACATATGAATTAATTGGAAGTATTTACAGCCCTTTAGATTTCAGAAACCACAGGGAAGAGAAATGGGGAAAGAAGCTATTATTTAAATACTAGACTAGAAAAAGCTTTATGTTAGTAACATTATTAAATTTAAAGAAATAGAGCGCAGTAGATGAGCAGAAACAGAAAAAATATACATATGTTTGAGGACTATTAGTGTTAACTTTATGCATTAGATTGCATACTTAGACCTTCTGTATATTCTTATGGGCGTCAATTTGAGTCGCAGTTATCTCGGTATAGCTATAAAAGTATAATTAAAGAAATATCATCAAATTTATAGATCCTAAAAAAAAAAGAGCGAAAGAATTGGGGCTGTATGATGAAAGTTACAAGCCTTATTTTACTAAAAGCTAATACAGTTCGTTACGGTTTTTCATTTAAAGTTAAAAGAAAGAAATAAAGCAACACAATAATTACACGTGTTCATTGCCTTATATAAAATATGCTCATCCTTACTATTTGTCTTTACTCTTCCCACTCCTCATCATCTAATTTGTTAATTAAAAAGGGATCTTCATTTCTGTATATATAGAGAAGAAGAAAATTATTTTCCTTTAAACATATCAACTATTCTTCAATACTTTTTCACAATGCTCAGCTACGAAAGACAAAGTACATTCTCTAAAAATTCGTTTAAATTCAGAAACAACAACTTGAAAAAATATTCAAGTAAAGGTGACTTTAATTAGACATTAGGACACTTCTTTATTCATTGATAAAATTTTATTAACAGCCTTTATATTCCATTTTACTGTTGTTTTTGTTGTTTTTTTTTTTTTAAAAAAAAAAAAAGACTCTCGAACCATAAATCATGAGATTGTAGGAATCCCTCCCTCAAGACCAACTCTTCAAAAGAAGTTTATTAAAGGACTAAAATCACCTATGTACCAATGCCTTGACTGTGATTACGTTAGTGATCGAAAGAGTAACCTTTCAAGACACATGGAAAAACACACACAAACTCGAGAACCCCCTCGTTGTGATGTATGTCACAAATCTTATAACTCAAAATTCAACCTTAAACGACACCAAAGATTACATGAATTCTCTCAAAGCAGTAAATAACGGCCAGATTGCCATCTTCCTTCCCTTCCGCATTTGCTCCTCCTTATATAGATATTACTCCAAGCTAATTATATACATATATACATATACACATAGCTTACTCTTATTACTTATTACTATTATATATCCCCAAAAATGCTTTATCTAAAATCTGTAAAATAAATATACACCACAATAACACTGTGTTTATTTCCACTATATCAAAAGAGCCATTAAGATATAAATCTACTCACAAGTCTTCCAATAAACGCCAAAAAAATTTCAAAGCTCAAATTATTTTCTAGCTGATCAGTAAACCCTAAATCAAATAAACAAACAAACAAAAAGAAGAACTTTATACCAAAACAAGATAAATGTAAAAGTATGTAGTACAATTCTGCTAACCTTTTGATGTTGATTAAGATAGAACACTATTGAAAATGACCTGGGTGTGGTAACTATGGCTCATATATATATATCTTCTTCTTTCACAGCAATAATATACTTTAATTGACTGCGCTTGTTTACATTCTGATTTTAAGCATGATGAATTTATGCGGGTACCTCTAATTATAACAATTTATTACCAAGTTGGAAGATTTTAGCAGTATTGTACCTTATATAGCTCCTTTATTTTCCTTTTCCCTTCATTTGTATGAGCCACAATTATCGTCACTGAATATACTAATGAGTACCAATAATAATAACAAGGCTTCATTTTCTAAATATGTATTTTTATTACTACTTTTAATTCAAGAGCTCATATAAATTTAAACTTTTGTCAATATTTTTCTTACAATTAGTCACAAAAAATTAAAGCCAAAGGTAAAAAACAGCTTTAGATTGACCATATAATACCCAGTGTGTGTTAATAAACATCTTTAGTATGTATGTATATAAACTGACAGCTAAGCAATTTGTATCCCATAAATCTATACTTAGCATAAGTTTGTTTGTGTTTTGATGCTCATAAACGGTGCCTATTAGGCGGCAGGGCTTAAGGAAATAAGAGAATATCCGAGAACATAAAATATGTGCTAAAGAGACACGGTAAGCCAAAAATAAACCAAATGGCTAATGGGTTTATTTACGGTAATGATTAAACGATAACCAGTAAAATGAAAAGAATCCTCCAAACACTGTATATATAAATATGGTACAAAAGATTGGAAGACATCAACAAAACATGGATCCCGAAATTTCAACTCAAAAGTTTTCATTCTTGTTTTTTTGATTACATAGTTATCATTTTTTTTTTAAAAAAAAACCATGAAGCCCAAAACTTAAAGAGGAGCATGTTAATTAAAGAAATTATTAACAGGGATATGCATAATGTATGTTTTAATGAGGATTGTATCACAAACCATCTTATTCCACTGTTATTCTTATTACAGAAAACGGGTCAGTATGACATTATACTTTTTCCGGAAATTGGTTTTTATTTTTGCACCAATAATTTCCGGAAAAAATGTATGTCAAAGACAATGTGGAAAAGTAAATATATAGATACTTGGCACAATCCAATAATTCGACTACCTCTTAATAGATACTACCAATATATGTGTGGGTGCAACTGGGTGTATTTAAACGGCTTGACACCTCCTTACTAAGCATAAATATGTCTATAGTCAATCCTTGATTAAATATAGCAAAGTTATAAATGTGTAGCAAACTACATGTGTACCTGCATTTTTTAGTAACTTTAGTGCTAAAGATACAGACTTATCCAACCAAATGGTGCGCGTTTCTTACCAGAAATTTACAACCTTATACATTATTTACTTACACAGCCCATATACTGAATTTAAAGTGTATATGTAGGTTATAAAAGCATGAATTTACTTGTTAATTTAACTAATTAACAAAGCACTCAAAACGATCTATTACTATTTTGTAGTATGGTTTCTACTATTTAACATATCTCTAGCTTTGAGACCATATTTTCTAGGTTAGTTTTAGAAAATATCACAAGAATTTCCCCACAATCAATATCCCACTCCTCCTTCTCTTTATAGTATTTTTCTTATATTTTTTGGGGATCCTTCAGAAATAATATATTTTTAATAATAAAGTTTACTCCTTATTATTATTATTAATATAAGCATTTTCGGTAGTTATCTTTCTATAAAAAAAATAACGTCAGGACTTGGTCAATTTCAGCCCATTCTTGACAGTTCTTCTTTCCTTTAAGTACTATTTAGAGACAATAATAGTAGATGTTACTAATAGTAGTAGTTTTTATAATAACATGATTTTTATAGCACATCTTGATAGTAATTTCTATTATGATAGAATTTGATTGCAATAATTGTGTATGTGTTTTTTGGCGAACTTTAGGCCACTAGTCTCTTTTTCTTCTTCTTTTGACATGATTTTTGTATTTGTTTTCCTACATTAAAAATAAGAGTATATATATATATATTACTCTTTTTGTTTCACTGTTATGAATTGTATCAAAAGTGTAAATATATTTAATGGGGCTTATACGATTTACACTGTAAATATATATGTAAATAGCCGATACAGACGAGGGTATTTTTTGTTCTTATCTTATTTCAAGAAATACATTGACGTTACTCATTAGCTATTTCTGTTGTTTTTGTTGCTGTTATGGGAACTTCAAAGTATTTAAATAGTTCATGCCTGGCCCGGATTCTCTATATTTATTCGGTTTGAATTTTGTGGATATTTATTTAAGGTGTGGGCTGAGCCAAAAATTACTTTAAAGCCTATATCTACTTTTTGCTGTATTTTGGGAGAGATGATATATATATATATATATATATATAGATAGATATATTATGTCAAATTCATAAATACATTTTTATATAGTACAAGCCGTATCTAATTTTATTTTGTTTATTTTATAATTTGATTTTGAAACATACAAGGTTTATTCATTTGACCTAATAAATTTTGGAAGGAATAAAGTATTCACAAGAAAGCTTGGTTTAAGTTTTTCTTTTTATGGAGTGCAAAAAAAAACAACCAAACAAATAAGTAAGTAAGGTTTCCGTCTTTCAAACCCAAGAGATATCTTGACTGATAAAATATAGGTAGTTTCTATACATGTCATTCATTACTTTTTCTTTTTATGTTTCATTTGTTTAAACAACTCCCTGCCAATAACAACAAAATAACTGTTAACACTAATGTATCTTTATACACTTGTGCTTAAATTTCACATTTAATCAAGTAAATTGTTTCAAGAAATATATGTATATAGAATAAATTAATAGATTAATTAATTAATAAATAGAGTGATATTCAAGAACCTTTATACCTATATTTTATATATGTATATCAGTCTTCTTCTTTATACTTGTTTCCGTTAAAAGAAGGCGAGAAAAGAAAGGAAGGGTTGAGTTGAGTTATGAGAGAGAAGGGAGGGGAATAGATAATAACTGATTATTTACAAGATCTTTAACCATCTCCACTCCTTGTTTCGTCCATGGTCACTAAACAGATGTCGTATTAAAAAAAAGTATAAAAGAAAAAAAAAGATATATAGATATATAGTAGTCAGCATAAAATGTGACAAACCAAGAAGCACCAAAAAAACAAATATAATGATATTCAATTTTTTAAAGAAAAAGTAATATACCCTTCGTTATTCACTCGCCCACTGCCAGTTGCCCCATTACTATTGTTATTGTTACTGGTACTGTTACTGTTATTGGTGCTTGGGTTGACTAGAGACACGATCTCTTCAATTCTCTTCTCTTTGTCTTCTTCGGCCGGTTTCTTCTGAGACCAGAAACTAAACCTGACAACAGGAGATTTCTTTGCTGGCAAAGGATCAGGTGTTGCACTGACTGTAGAATGAGAGGTCGCAGTTGTGGCAATAGTTGCATTGTGACGTACTACTATAGGTGAGTGATTGGTGTCATTGAAAGATGTTGTCGTGGTGGTCGTGGCTGGAGGTGGGGGTGGAGAAGGCTTTTGATAAAATTGGCGAAACAAAGCTGTGGTGAAACTGTCGGTTGCCCTGGGTGGTTCTGCCGGTGGAGCGGGAAGAGTGGATGGAGCTGACGGAGATATATTGCTGCTACTACTACTGATGTTATTGTGGTTGTTGTGGCTATGGCTATGGTTATAGCTAGTAATGATGTCTGAATGTAAATTGGTTGTTATCCAAGGAGAGAGAGAGATACTGGCGTAGTGTGGTACAGTGTCAAGTTGGAATACGGGAAGAGGGGCATCGATTGGTTCGAATGCGTGTCTCGTTTGATGAAACCCTATACGTCGATGGGTGTGCCTCTCACTGTCATCCCGATTACCATCATCTCGCCGCTTGGAAGGGGTGGGTGTCCAGATCGGGCTTTCGGGTAATTTGGGATGCCTTGGGCTGTGCGTGGACGCAGTGTCTTCATAAATTTGAGGTGTCGGTACTACCACCAAGTGCTGTGAGGACTGTTTTTGGTTGTCATGTCGACTCAGAGGATAATCATCAAGCGAAGATTGAGATATGGATTTAGGGAGAGTTGCTGCGCTACTGGCAGGGGAAGTTTGGTTTGTTAGTAGACTCATCTGGTCCAAAAGATCGGTTTCATCATCCACAATGGTTGTTTCCGTAGTGGTGGCCGTAGCAGTAGTCAGAGGCGTAGTGGTTCGCCTACTGGTTACCATAGACTCTGAAAGAGGTCTATCTGACATTTGTTGATATTGTGTAAAGGGCCATTTTGAGTATGGCTGAAAGGGAATCATGGCGAGATTGGACATGTCAAACGAAGTACGATGATCTTGGCTGAATGTGTTTCTCATAACATGGTTCCGTGTGGCTACTTCCAAAGCAGTCGGTGGACGGACCTGTCGATGAGATGACGATACTGATTCAATCGTGTGATTGACGATAGTGCTCTCTGGTATTGTTTCTTTTGGCGTTTCATCAGATGATGGCTCTGACTTTTCCCACAGGTTTGGAGGTTGGATGACCACGGCATCTGTGGTAGTAGTGGGGCTGGATGTGATCATTATTATATCGGTTTCCAGCTTAGTGGTTGTGACATTTGGGTCAACGTCGGAAATAAATGGGTGCTTTAGTGCATCCTGTGCAGTTGTACGAAGTTCTGGGGTAAAGATTAGACACTGACGAACCAGGTCGAGTAGTTGTTCAGAGTCGCAAGGGATAACGGTCTCCAGAGGTTTTGGTAACAGCTACAGGCTATTTTATGAGTTAAACAAAATCAAGTAATGAATGATAGTTTGAAAACAAACGGTAGGAGAAAGAGAGAGAGAGACAAATTTGATAGGTAAGCACAATAAGATTATAATAAGGTGTTCGTACCTGGGGAAAATCAAAGCCAATCTTGTGGGCCAGTCTGACACCTTCTTTCCACTCGCCTTTGTCGGCCGGTAGAGTGACAACAGACGGGTCCGGAGGTAATTCGATTACTGAAGGCTTTTTTCTTGCGAATCCAGGACTGACCCGTTTTTCAGGTCTGGCTCTTTTGCGAATAAAGGTTTTTTTTCCAGGACTTCCCATCACTTGACAAATGCGGTATAATTGGTCAATCTCCGATTGGCCAGGGAAAAGCGGCTGTAAAGTGATAAGTTCGGCAATAATGGCACCTACAGCCCAAAGATCCACAGAAGCAGCATAGACTGGTGAGCGTAAGAGTACTTCGGGAGCTCTGTACCTAGTAGTAATAATAATAATACATATGTAAGTGACAAGAAATCAAGATTGATCAAGGACTTTTATTTCTTTCAAAAAAAAGGGCTCTTACCATCTTGTGCTGACATAGTCTGTGTAAGGTGGTTTGCTATTCAATTCTCGCGCTAGACCAAAGTCAGCGAGTTTGATGATGGGACCGGATGTGCTCGATCCAATCAATAGGTTTTCTGGTTTCATGTCTCGATGGAAGATGTTATGTTGGTGGATATGAGCAAGTGCAGATAATACCTGTCGCCTAGAAAATTACAATAATAATAATAATAATGACAGTAGAAAAAAATGAGTCAGTACATAATAGTGACATATACGTGCACACACACACTTTTTTTTTCATAATCGCACATATACTAAAATATCAACCTATTAATCTATTTCCTACACAATATCCTTGATTTCATCGTTGGAAATCGTCGAATCTTGTTCTCGTCGTGTCTTGATCAGTTGATAGAGATTACCCTGATCCATAAACTCCATAACAAAGTAAAGGTCATTGACTGGTGAAAGAAAGCTGTCATAGAGCTGGACAATGTTGGGATGAGCTGGCATTTGGCTGAGGAGCTTGATTTCTCGAAGATCGTTGCATTCGGAGGAATCACTGAATTTTTTCTTCATCACTTTGACTGCAACCTTTTTGTATTTTTGTTTTGTTTTATATATACATTGTGTGTTTGTGTATATATATGTATATATATATTGAATGTTATAGATGATAGTAATTGTTTATATTTTTTTTATATTTTTTTATTGTCGATGCTTACAATGTGTTGAGATTCTTTGTTTTTGGCACGATGAACAGACCCAAAGGATCCGTCGCCAATCTGTCCTAGGAATTCGTATTCGTCGTGAGGATCTGCAGTCTTTGTCATTTTAAAGAGATAAAGGGAAAGAAGAAATAATTAAATAAAAAGAGAGAAAGAAGGAAAGAGAGTATTTGTGAAAAAAAAGAAGTGTCTTTGAAAGGGGGAGTGAAAAGCTGTTAATATAAGAAGAAGAAGAAGAAGAAGGGAAGAAATGGAAAAAGAGGAAATAAGTATCTGAGGTTGGGGAAATTATTACGTTATTTTACAAATATATATATATATATATATAATTATATATATAGGATTATCCTTTTGTGGTCCAAATAACTAGAATTTCTTTAAATACTGGTCTCGAGTACTATTATTGGAAGTAATAAAAGAGTCTTTTTTTTTGGTTTTTGCTTCTTTGCTTAATATCTAATAACCTAGTTAAATGAATTTTGTACCGATGGCTTTCAATGGAATAGAGTCCAGATACTAATTAAAGACTAGAAGAAACAAATATGTATTCTGTCAACTCCCTTAAAAAAAAAGACAAATTATACATAATATACATTATTGTGATGTTTTCTTAATAGCTGTAATGCCATTTGTTGGATAAATGCTATATATCATTAAATCAGCCGTAAAATTAGATTTACTTTTCCCGTTATCTGTGGGGATTTGCTTACAAAACCTTGTTCTTTCTCATTCAATATTAAAAGAGCATGATTTATATTCATTTAAGTTTATTTTGAGGTAGTCAGTCTCGATCTTAAGTTGAAGAAACTATAATATACAATACGATACAATATACAAGGAAATATAATACAATACAATACAATGAAGTATAATATTTGCTATCAATCATTACTAATATATAGTAAGGTATTTAAGAAGAACTCTTGTGGCGGATATCAGGATCTGTCCAGAACTTGCGAACCATACTGCCAATTCCACCTGTGAAATGCAACATAAAAAAAAATAATTAAATATGATTATCAAAATCAGAATTTCCACTAGAAAATTATCATCCCATCTTTTTATTTATTTATTTTAATTGACATTGATCATCAGCTTACCGAGTACACACACAGACACAACTGTAACAAGAGGATAGACCTCGACAGGGACGTGCTTTTTGTTGAGACGGCTAAGGATCATTGTGATTTATTGAAATATATTGAACAAGTAGAATGTGATTTATTTTCTTTTTTGAAAAAAAATTGATATTTGAACAAGACAATAATAATCAACTTGTCTTTTTATAACTAACAGAAAGTAAACCCTCCACTAAGGCATGAATTCATGACATCACCATCGATTGGTTGATCTAAGTATTGAACCTCATCATTAATGCATAGGCCTGAGTCATCTATTAAGAGAGCATTAATGCCAGTTATTTGATTCGCTTTGTTTTTTTCTTGTTTTTTTTTACTTCATCTTTAAGTTTCTCCTTGTTTTTCATATATTTCAACAAGGAAAATGTTAGCTGGCACCATTGGCGTGCTTTATCAGAATCATGAGAGCTACAATTAATATATGAAGAGAAGGAGAAGTGTTTAATCCACATGATTGTATTTGGAGAGTATACACGCACTAGGAAAGGGCGACACCTTCATTCCAGGTAACCACAACGATGTAGTACAGTTCATCTTGGGGGTAAGTCTTTTTTTTTAGGATAAAAATATATATACAATTTTATAATATATTAATAGATGCGCTTACTCTATTATCATTATATTTAAAGATCCGAAAATAAAAGCTTACTTCACAACCCATATACAAGAGTGTCTTTTGAAGAAGTTCTAGGGTCCTTTTCTTGTCATGTTCAATTGAGATTGCTAGGTAAAGTCGAGTCCATTTTGCACACCTATCCACTTCATCAGGTCTTTTGCGTGCATAGAATAAACCGATCAGAGCCTTTGTTTTATTATCATTATTGTTAATAAAGGTCATTGCTTTTTCAACCTCATACCCCCTTTATATATCATTCATTTAATATTAATGAGACCAACCTCTAATACTCTAATCAGAACTTGTAAAAAGGTGTAAGTATTCTTTTTTCCAAGCTCTTAAAGCACGCACAAATACACCCTCACCCATATATATATATATGTGTGTGTACTTACTTTGAATAGGGCATTGGACTTGTAGAAAGGCAGCTATGGTAACATTATTTGCATGCGTGTGTATGATTGTATTAATGTATATAAAAATCATAATCAATCTTCCCCCCTTCTTTTTTTTTTATTGATTTCTTCTTCTTCTTTTTCTTCTTCTTCTTTACCTGTCATTCTTCCACATATTCGTCCTGCAGAAGCATTCTCGGAAGTCTGGGCATATTGCTAGGGAGAAACAATAGTAAACATACAATAGTAATAAGAATAATAATATCAAAAGAAGCAAGACCAAACATATTGCAGCACATAAATCTAAAATAGACAAGCTTGCCTCGACTGCCTTTGCTGCTTCTTCAAAATGACCAAGTTTGACCATAGCTTCTATTTCGAATAACTGCACAATGCTTGTCCATGGATCCTTATTCTTATCGTTATCTACATCCTCATTCGTATTCTTTAATTGGCACAAAATATCCGACAGCTCTTTATACACGTTGTCCTGTTTTTAAAAATATTATTGGTTCCCTTCTTATCCTTCTTCTTCTTGTTGATAGACAAGGGATTAATCTCTGCCACTAGAGTATACCTCTTTGGGAAAGTCCGAAAATACATATGCTGTAGCACACATCAAAGCGCACACCTTTTGCCTATCATTGTAGGTTTGGCTGTCATTACCCTCCAATCTAGTCAGCTATGTAAGAAATATTAGCAAGTAGTGTTCTAAAGAAAAAATAAAGAAAAAGAAAAACTGGTTTCTTTCTGTCTTTCTTGCCTTGTAAGCAATAGAAATAAATATGTGCCCAAAAGAAGGGGTCTCTTTCTCGTAACACTGAAGACCAAAGTTCCATGCTGAATATATCAATACGTACAACCATTTAATATTATACATAAAGAGAAAAATCACCTAATGAGCTTTTATTCTTCTTTCTTTCATTTCTTTTACCTGTACTCAAGAACCACTCCAATATTATTTTTCTTGTTTCAAACAAAGACTCTTGTAGTAACTCTGTATTAGGCAGCACTTCAAGTACTACAGATTGTATACAAAAAAAGTTGTTGAGCTCAATAATGGCAATAATTAATGAATTAATTTATTAGCGAAAATCAAATACCAACTACCTTTATGAAATGTATCGACCAATTCCTCTAATTGCCTTTAAACAATATTAGCAATATTCAATTAAAACAGCCCCAACAATAAAGGAAGACAAAAAAAACGTCAAGAAAGCACAAGAGGTTTAGATGTTAGAATCAACCAATAGAGTTCGTGTGTTAAACTCAACTGTGTGTTTAATGATACATCCTGATTGATACCAAGTTTGACCATCCACCTGTCAAAGAGAACATATTCAATGATGTTGCAACCACATTTTATACTTATATTCTTACCTAGCTAGTGTCAATATGTCAAAGTATGTGGTCGTGTCCGGACCATTCTTTTGATAAAGATTCCAAACATGCGCAAAAACACAATGGAGAATTTTGGGTTGGTTTGCCTAGCGAGATTCCATAGTAATGACAGTATATATATATGTGATAAAATTAATAGTAAATAAAATAAAAGAAAGAGGGATAATTCAATAAGGAGATATGTCTGACTTGCCATGAAAGCTTTCTTTGCGACGGATAACAGCTCGTACATCTCGAGACCTTTTGAAGAAATCAAGTTTTCCAAATACAATAGTGCTAAAGTAATAGTTATAATAGCATCTGCTTTAATTTCTCTGTTTTCTGCTGTTTATATAGATATTTGAAATCTATTAATCAAGTTACCTTTGGACCACATAGATAACTTTATAGAAATGTCAAACAATAAAATATAATCTTCATTAGAGAATGTATCATCTGGAAAGCTCTCTGACAGATAGTGTAAAGCTCTTTCAGGTAAGTCTGCTTCAAGATAGCACACTGCTAATTTTCTAATAATCCAAGAATAAGCATATGTACTTTTTATTTTAAATATTTTAAATATTATATTATAATTTTACCTTGCAAGAACAAGGGTGTTTGGATCTTTAGGAAATGATGCAAGACACAAAGACCATGTATGCTTATACCATACCAACGCATGGCTAAAATCTTGCTTCTAAAATGAAACACACATATATACTGTTTAGTTTCTTTTTTTTTCTTTACAGCCCCACAAGAGTCAAATATATATATATATATAGAGATTTACCTCATAGAAGCAATCGCCTATTCTCCACATAAGCTTTAATGATGTGTGAGTATAATGAAAATAATTAATATTGATTTGTTTGTTTTAGAATCATAACAAAAAACAACAATTTGAAATCATCAACACCAAACCATTTGAAATAATTGCAAATCGACGGTACACATTTCTTCTCGTAAAAGGTACACTCCTTTTTGTTTTGTTTTTGTTCCATTGGCAAGAGTCTCAGTATAGATTATTCTAAGAAAAAGATGTTTGTAACAACTGACCATTCATTGTTGATTCGAGCAATTCTTCAGTCGCTGAAATGTCTTGAGGAGTACATTTTGCAATGAATGAAAGTTTGAAGAGAGTCAGGGTTTGAAAAGTAGCCAGATCATCAGATTTTGGATGATTTGTGTTTAGATTTCTTTGAATGAGTAAATCTAGCCCACTGACAAGAGTATCGGCTCTGTTTTATTTTCCTGTTAATATTTAAAGAAATATAAATCAACTTATATATGCTTACTGGACAATATTCTGGAGATTTCTCAATGTGTTCATTAACCTACATACAGCATTTATGTGAGTATTAAAAATGTAGTGTGTATTTCAACAGAGTATGAAGTATGTAGGAAATCATTACAGATACATGTCTCCTGTTTGAACAGAGCATTTTTCCATGGCCTGAAAGTAAACTAATTAATGTGCTTAAATGAGATAACAATTTCAACCCAATTCGACCTTTTCTTTACTTATTCACCTCTCTCAACAGTAATTTTGACAGGATTATCGACTTTAATCAAGATAAACAATCTTGCCATATAATACACTACATCTTTGTGCATATCCTAAGTAAAATAAAATATCGATTAAAAATTCCATTTTTTTTTAAAAAAAAAGAAAAGATCGTATCTTTCACAGTAAATTTTCTGTACTTACAGAAGAAATTCGCAAGAGCATCTTGGTCAGATTAGATGACAAAGAATCTTCTAATCTATTTGAATACATCTGTAGTAATCTCACTTTTAGAAATTAAAAAGAAAAAGAAGTGAATGCGTAATGGTCAGATATTGTTTTATAAAGGGGATATAGATATCAAATTACTCACTAGTAAGGTCTAGTAAATCTTTCTAGAGGTAAAAAATATCATAAAGAAAAAATTAATTCAAATAAGCATTTATGCATAGAAAGGGTGTACTTGCATGAATACAAGTATTGCATATTGAAAAATCAATCTTTGTATTGGTCCTGGCTAACCAACATAGAGCATCTTTAGCAGAAGTATGAGAGAGTTCGGTTCCAACAATAATGCACAGTCTCAGCATAAATTCTGTCTTGGAATATAAACAAATTAAGTGTGAGGTGAACTGTCAAAAAGATCTCTATTTGTGTAATACAACCTGATATATATATATATATATATATATATATATAAACTAAAGAAATCCCCAATTTGATTAAATTCCTGTATTTTACCTTTTGTGTTTTATTGTTATCATCATATATAGAAATCGAATCTATTAGCAGTAAACACAAACATGTATATCAGTACAGCTGAATGGACATCTGCGCCTCATTATGATCGTGTACCTGAAGCCTTGTCGAACAGCTCCTCAGCATTTCGCCACTCTCCACGTCTAGAAGCCTTGTAAGAGTGTTATTTTGAGGCACCAAACATTAATAGAGCTCAAGTCGTTTTATTATTTCGCTAGGCTATTTATGTATCTATAGATATACTTACAAGCTCTGCCATGAACATGAACAGCTCAGAGGTATCCATATGTTGGTATGACCATGTACGGTCAGGCTTTGAAAGTGAGCTAGTGCTCTCTGCCTTGTGTTTCCACTAAAACAGTAATAAAAGCAAAAAAAGAAAAAAATCAAACAATATTCATGTATATACATATATCAGAAGAAGAAGAAGAAGAAGAAGAAATGAGAGCCTTAGTATTAGATATATACAATAATGATATTCAACTTACTCCAAGAGCTTCTTCAAACGCTTTCTCTGCCCTTTCATAATCTCCACAGTCTAAAGAATTACACACGTTAATTAATTTATTCATTTGTTTTTTTTTGCTGGTGTGTGAATAAAACGAGAATTATTCATGCTGGTTACACTGATACAGACTTATCCAAGCTTTGGCTACTTTTGTAGCCATATTCATGTGTTGAAACAATGATTTTTCTTATAGATATCATAAAGTACATGTTTTTTTTTTGGTTGGTTAATACTTGCAAATTAATAAATACACCCAACCCAAAGAAGAAAAATATCACACACACAGACACACACTTGTTTTATATGATCATCTTACCTGTAGATTTATCTGTAGTTCCTAACTGGATCATATAGTAGCCAACATGTCGCACTAATATATTTTATATATACACACACACATAAACACTTTGTCATTAGACTTGATTGTCCAACGCTTAAAGCTAAAATAATGATATTACGCAGTGCGTGTAAAGTACACCAATCTTTTGCATCTAGTCCATCTTGAGTAAGTAAGGTAGCTGTATTCCAGAGATGAATTCCTGTAAATAATAAGCAAGAAAAGAACAATTATTCTTGATACTTTGATTGTTGTTGGTGTATTAAAAAGGAGAAGGAAATGATATATGTATAAAACTCAATATTAGAGATAGAAAACCTTTTGTCTTGTAAAGTGAATCAAATGATAGGCTACAAATTCTATCTTTCTTGGCAAGTATGTCTATTGTCTTTAGCATTTGACATAGGTGGGGAAGCATATACTCTGGTTCGAGCTGTTTTGTATTTATCACTTGGTTTGCATATTCTAAACCAACCATGCATATATAAGTATATATGTAATCAATCTATTTGACAAGATTGTTGTAATAAATCAAGTACAACAACCTTACCAAGCAAATCAAGCTGCCTGGACTCTGACATTGTTCTTTGTGTTGAATCAGTTGGTTTGAGATAATGGATAACATAATGAAATTACTTTCTTATTATTTAATTAAATGTATATCTCTGCTGACGTGAAGAACAGTCATATTTGGATATGATGATGTGAAAATATTATTGTCTTTACAATAGTTATCAAGGATGCTCACACCTCACATTCTACACATCATACACGCAGTTTACAAGTAAAATTCTTTAAAAGTGTAAAATACAATATATTCTGCAGAGACACATAAAGCACACTATTGCCATTGTCACAAATGGATTACAATTATTTTATTGACCACACTTTAAGAATTACAAGCAAACCTCTGTTCATAATACTGTTATCATTTTTTTTTTTGAAACAATGATATGTGAATTGAAACACTGTGACCATTCTTCTTCTTAATAACCCACCCTTTCATTCCCAAGCCACGTCGCGTGCTCTGACCAGGCCTTCATCACTTTTTATTTTTTACTTATTTTTACGCCCACCCCCACCTTTTTTTTTCCCCTACCCTCACTCCCCATGTCGAAAAAACCTCAAGCAGCCGAGGTTCTCATCCGCCTTCTTGTCAGTGCCGGTAAAGCCTCTCCATCACCACCTGTTGGCCCCGCTCTGGGTGCCCGTGGTGTAAAGTCTATGGATTTTTGCAAGCAGTTCAACGACAAGACCAAGCACATTGTACCCGAGACACCTATGCCCACAGTGATTACAATCAAGCCCGACAGAACATTCACATTTGTCGTAAAGACTCCTCCTACAACATTCCTTCTCAAGCGTGCAGCAGGCATCGCCAAGGGTGCATCCACCCCTGGTACTGAAGTTGTTGGCAGTGTTACTTTGAAACATGTGTATGAAATCGCCAAGTTGAAGCAGCAGGACAACAATTTGAAGCACCTGTCACTCGAGAGCATCTGTGGAAGTATTATTGGTGTCGCAAAGAGTGTCGGAATTGAGGTTGTGCATTAAACAAAAGCAAAAAAAAAAATAAGAAGGAAGGAATGGAATGGAATGGAGAGATACGACTGTTGATATATAGACACAAATACGCAAACACACATACACACATACATACATATATATACACACATACTCACACATACACCCATGTACAATTGAGAGAAAGAAAAGAGAAAGAGAGAAAGAGAGAGAAATGAAAAGCAAAGTTTGACAAATGGGTGGGACAATAAGGTCAATTTGAGATTCCTTATTATGTTCTGTAGACATTACAGCTATAAAAAAAATGTGACATTGGCATAATTAACAATGAAGAGAAAGCAAAGTAAAGCAAAGATGAGTAGAACAAAAAAATATAATTAAATATATATTATAATTCAATGAAGTGTAATTTTTGTTTCTTTTTTTTTAAAAAAAAAAAGGAAAGATAATGGAAATAAAGAAAGTAGAATGTCCCCCATCCCATTACATTACAAGGGACCTTGGCTTCTCTTAAAGAAGACATCTATATCTATATGATATTATTACATGCTTTCCACCTTTTTTTTCTCTCTCTCTCTCTCTAAAAAAATAAGTGACTTTGGATTTGATACGAACTGGGGGTAGAGTGGGTAGAGTGGGTGGGTTGGGTGGGTAGGTGGTTAGAGTGAAGGAATGTCCAAGGGCGGCGGGGTTCCTGTCCCTTTGATTAATTAATTTGATATTCTTGCTTGACTTTAACATCGTGATCGTCATTTGCCATAATCATCGTCGCCATCATCATCATTATGGCTACGAACATGCATCGAACTATTTCGCAAGTCACAAAGCAATCCTTAATACGATCCTTTAATACTACTTCCTCGAGACTATCCCAAAACTATTATCTCGCCAAAGCACACAATAGCAGTAAGGTTCTTACAAAAGGGTGGAATAAATACACACACAAACACACACATATACTTTATAATAATAATAATAATAATAATTACATGTACAAAAAAATGTATATAGACGATCTATTGCGCCTTGGTTTTACAAAATCTAAACAGCTTGTAGGTAAGAATATAGATATAGATATATAAATATGATAGGTTGGTTAATTTGTATATCAAAAATAAACTATAATTTTATACATTATATTGACAGGTGCCTTGAGTTCACGAGGCACAAGAGAAAAGAATGAAGACGAGTGGAGTGCAGTGACACTTGAACTTCCAGCAGGCAAGAATTTGCGTACAATGGACAGAACATCCAATAGAGCTTATTTTGGAATCTTTGATGGGTAAAATATATATCTAAAGAGTATTATGGTTGTTGCTTCTGCTGTTGTTCTTTATTTGTTTGTCTGTTTGCATTTGTATTTGTATTTGTATTTATTTGTTTATTCAACAATCTATATATGTATGTATATGTGTAGGCATGGTGGTCCAGCTGTTTCAGAGTGGTAATACATCTAAAGCTATATATATATATGTGTGTGTGTGTGTGTGTGTATGCATATATTAGAAGCTTAAATACTCAACCCTTTTATATTTATATATATATTCTATTTTAACAACAACAAAAAGGTTAGCAAATTCACTGCATGAACGAATTGAAACGGTTTCGTTGGATGATTTGCCCGAGCTTTTGAAAAGGCTTAGAGCGTTTGGTGGATACTTTAAGCGATTCAAGATTCCGGGCATTTTTAAAAATCTTGTGGATCAAGAAGGCCGCCGGCTTTCCGGAGTGACAGATACTGACATGAGTGTGGAGCAAAGAATTATGCTTGGATTCTTGATGTCTGATGTGTATTGTATTGACAGTCTACTGAAAACTGATGGTAAGCAGCAGGAACACGAGGGATCCACCGGAAGTATAGCCATTGTAGAACCTCATGATGACAGGGCATTTTGGGAAAGCCAACGTTACGATATCATTGTGGGGCATGTGGGTGACACTCGGTGAGATAGTAGGAGTCCAGATAAAACACACACACACACACACACACATATATATATATATATATATTGCTTTGAAACACCCACCTACCCACCTACCCACCCACACTCACTCACTCCTTCATTAACTCACCAATCTTGACATCTCTTTATTATAGTATTTTGGTTTGTGAATCTTGCTCGGGTGAAGCAGTTGCCTTAACTACCGGAGACCACCATCCTGGTAACCCACTTGAACAAGAGCGTCTGAGAAAGTTGGCTGGTTATGTGACTACAGACTCGTGGGGTGATGATCGGATACTTGGATTACTGGCTACCAGTAGAGCGTTTGGAGATTCCAAACTCAAGCGATATGGCGTGTCTTCTGAACCAGACATTGTGCGCCACACAATCGATTCCAAAAATCCGGCTGCATTTATGGTAAAAGAAGATAGTTTTATATTTCAGATCTGTCAGTGTCATTAAAGAAGAAAAAAGAAAAAGAAAATTATCTTATGATTTTTTGTGGTAAAAAAAAGGTATTAGTGACAGACGGAGTGACTTCGGTGATGTCCGACCAAGAAGTTGTTGATATTGTAAGTCTCCTCCCCCTTTTATATTTCTATATCTTTCTTGAACACACACACACACACAAAATGATATTCAATTTTCTGCAAAAAAAAATAAAAACACCAAAAAAAGGTTAAGCAATACAAGGACCCTACTACATCTGCTAAACACATCGTGGACATTTGCGACCAATTCGGAAGCGAAGACAATATCACGGCCGTGGTAAGTTGATTTAGGTTGTACGGGTCCAACTTTAGGGTTCTCGTTCTTTCCACCTATATATATTTTTCTTATTATATTATATAATATTGATATTGATATGTATATATAAATATAAATAAAGGTTGTTCGGTTGAAGGATTGGGGAGCCAGAATGAACGATTTGACTTTGGATTTACGGAAGTATCGCCTTGCAAACTCGCCCATGAGTAGTAGACAATCTTGGTAAACAAAAGAGCACAAAATCAGCCACCAAGACAAGATGATAATAAAATGTTTAAAGAAGTGTGTACCCACACACACCCATATATGTATTTTATTTTTTGGCGTAACATCTCATCCATTCTAACCCCCCCCCCCCCCCCCCCCCCCCTTTATTCTATTTGGTTATCTCAACTACCCAACTTGTTCTATTGTCCAATTGTCTGGCTGTCTGGCTGTGTGTGTGTGTATTTTTTTTTTTTTTTGCTCCTTCTTTTTAATATCGAATATAATATTTCAATGTGAAAACATGAGCTAAATATTATCATTATTATTTTTCTGAATTATTAATAATAATTTTCTTTTAATTCTTTGCTTTTCTTTTTCTCTTTCACTTTTTACATTTTTTTTTTATAAAAAAATATCTTTATATAATCTCTTTATATATACATATTATATAAAAATATCAATCACCGCCTTCAAATATATATATAACATACATTATACATTTTCCACAAACAGGCACTAATACTTCTTCTTCCTTTTCTTCCTTCTTCTTTTGTATCTTCATTACTCTCATACCTCCCCCCCCACCTTCTTTTTTTTTAAAAAAAAATTCGTGGCTCTTATTTCTCTTAACGCGCATATCAACTAAATGTCATCTGAAACCCACTTAGCAGACTCGATGTTTGAAGATGATGCTTTGGCTGCCACTCAGTCATTAGAAGAAGAATTACTTGGTCAAGGCTACCTCATGGAAACACCACTTGGATCATCTCTTGCAGCAGAACTACAATCTGCTACCTCTCCTCTTCTTAATGCTAGCAGACTCACATCTCTTGCCATGGAAAACAGTCTTTCCACACCCCTGCAAGGTTCTTTTGGTAATACTGGTACTGGTACTGGTACTGGTACTGGTACTGTTGGAACATTTAGTACACAAAATTATGATATCCAAAATATCCCCATCACACAGCTTTCCTCTGCAGAACAACAACAGCAACTACTACAACAACAACAACAACTTCACCAACAACAATTCCAACAACAACATCCTGGCCTAAACCTCAAACGAGTCACATCAGGCGAAGACCCTCTCTTATTTGATGTAAACGGAAACAATCCTGGAATTATGTCTCCTCTTCAGTGGAATGGAGTTGGTATTGGTGCCTTTGGAGCCAATTATGGACGTAGCCGAAGAAGCTCCTTTTCTTCCACCTGGTCATCGCTCGACCAAGAAGACTACGATCCATTCGAGGCACTCAAAAAACAGCTGGAGGAACTAAATTCGGCCGTCTGGGAAACAAAGACGCTTCACAAGCGGCTGCTCAACACACTAGTGGCAGACGAAGCTCTGCAAACCAGAAAATCCTATTGCGGAAGTCCGTTGCCTGGACAAAAATCTGAGCCTCTTGAGATCGTGATCAACTCCGTAGCCGAAAAAATCAAGCTGATTGCCATCGACCGTGAGAAGCAAGTGAAGAATCTAGAGGGTATCGATGGAGCGATAAGAAAGGAGATGGCAGGAATGAACCTCGAGACAATCAAAGAACTCGAATCAATGGCTGGCCAAATGAAATTGACCCTCCACGACAAACAGTACTCTTACGAAAACCCTTTGCCAGTGATGCGCAAACTGGATCACGAGACATGTGCTGTGGCAGACACTCTTGAAGAACTCAAGGAACTCATGTACATGAACAAGCATCAGATCCAAGAACTCAACTCGCGGCTTCGGTCAATCGCCAAGACGGTCCATGAAGTACGAAAGGACATCCGACGGATAAACAAGTTCCTAGAAGAAAAGGATAGTGATGAGACAGTTGTCTTGGAGAAGGGTGAAGTACAGACACGTGTAGATGAGATCCTGTGGGGATTGGATGACGTGGATAGAGACAACACAAAAAAACTGAGGCAGATGCAGCTGTTCTGGGAGAGTCAAGAAGTAGTCATTGCAGCCAGTGCTTCTTAAGATATAAAAGAAAAAAAAAAGAAAAAACAAGAAACTAAGGAACCTTTATATTTATCTGATTTTTTTCTTCTTCTTTATATTTTTATACTTCTTCTTCCTTTTACTCCCAACTTCTTCTTCTTCCTTTTTGTCTGTATCTTTCTTCTTACTCCTCTCTCTCTCTCTCTCTTTCTCTCTTTTTCTTCTCTTTATTGTATCTTTTCCTATTTCTTCTTATTCCTCTCTCCAAATCTTTCAATACCAAAGGAGGTGTGTTCCTGAGCATATCACTTCTTTATATATATCGTCTATATATATCTATCTCTATCTCTCTCTCTATCTCTTCCTCTTCCATTACTATTACTATTTTCCTATTTTTTTTTTAGCTGTGTGTATCTTTTCCTCATCTTTCTCTCTCTCTTTATTCTTTATGTTTTGGTCTTGTCCAAAGCTTGAAAGCCTTTAAATTTCTTTTACAATTTCCCTTTCATTTATAACCTCTCTGTTTTTTTTTAAATGTATGATTTTTTTTTATATATTTTATTTCAATATTATTTCTATTAAAAACATATTTTAATAATGTACATTATTTTAGAGTTTGAAACATCCGTACACATATGCATAGAGAAAAAAGGGGTGGAATGAGGATCAACTAAATAACATCCACACTTGAGCTAGGAATACATAAATTAAGATGAAGCTCAAGCCATGTTTTCTTATTCTTTCTATCTTTTAGTCTTTTGTATATAATATATATATATATATTGTATTATAAAACAAACTATTTCTTTGAATTTTATATTTTTTCAAAAATTCAAAAAATTCTTAAAATGCATATAGCTTTCTGGATTTTAAAATTTCATGTTTATGTCGGCACTTTAACATACAACCAATAGTAAACGAATAAAAAGGTTATTTTATAACACGGACCAATAATATTGTTCATACTAGATTTGGGTAATCAATATAAGCCAATAAAATCTTTTTATTTAAAATCCCGGAAATAAATAGAGCTAAGAAAAAAGAAAAAAAAAAAAACCATGAATTATTGAATTCTTGCCCCTTCCTCCTCACTCCCCCCCCCTCTTTTATTATTATGAAAAATAATAAATAAATAAATAAATAAATATATGTAATCCTAAAATCTACCCCTCGTTATTTTGTTACAATGTTTAGTTAGTTAGTTATTTATTTAATATTTGTTTACTGATGATATTGATGCTAATAATGGTTTACATGGATAATTAATGGTAATTGTGTTATAAATTATTATTATTATTATTATTATTATTATTATTATTATTGAAAATTAACTGTAAACATGAATTACATTAGGGGTGTTTACAAAATATAGGAGTAGAGTAATAATAATATATATATATATAAATAGTCGCGTAAATGCAAAATAGGGAAAATAGAAAAAAGGGTAAGAGTGAATAAGTGAGTGATTGAAGAGGAGGAGGAGTGGGGGAATGAATATATAATGATGAATGGAATAATTATTAAGAATAATAAAATAATGCTAAACTCTTTTTTTTGCTGTTTATCTTTCTTCTTTCAGTGTGAATGTGTTGAGGGTGAGGGTAGATTGTTGCTGTTACTGTTGCTGTTGTTCTGGCTTCTTCTTCTTCTTTAAGAAAAGTGCACATAAATATAAATATAAATATAAATAAATAAATAAAAAGGGGAATATATAGAGTATGTTCAAGACAGTTGGTGAGGTGTTGTTTGAATAATGAGGTTAAAGAATGGCCTGTGTGTGTATGGCAGGTTTATGAAATGACCAGTAGATGGCAGGGTAGAGAGAGTGTAGAGTCGTGTCATGGAGGCAGAAACAATGCCCTTGACCTTTGCATAGGTACGAACATGATCTGCTACTTCTGCCCGTCTAGCAACAATGTATTCTGTCACCCAACGATTCAATGGAACTGAAAATCCTAGGTTTTCATGAATAGTCTGTAGTGCCTGACAGATCTGATTTGCATCTGGTCTATTGTCAGGATTAGGCTCAAGACAGGCCGTGTAAAGTTGGGTGTACCATTCCGGCAGTCCAGGAACATGTTCAATACGATAAACATGGTCGTTAGAACCCCCACCGCCTATCATTCTTCCTCCCGCTGCTGTTGATGCTAGTAATGATGATGATATTGATGACGATGATGATATTGATGATATTGATGATGCTCCTCCTCCTCCAATTCCAATTCCAATTCCAATTCCATTTCCTCCTCTTCCATTCGTAACCGTACTCCGATCTCCATCCAGTAAAACATCGGGTGATGGAAATATAACCTTGCTGACCAGTTGCCATATGATTATGCCCAGACTATATATATCAGACTTTTCTGTGTAGATTCCTTGTCGCACCTCTGGGGCCACATAAGGAAGTCGGCCATAGACTGCACGAGTGATGGCTGTAACTGAAGATGATTCATGCGATGGGGTGGCGAATCGATAATCGACAAGGAAATAGTCGCTGTCGGTGCAGATGATGTTTCGAGGATGAATGTTCCTATGGCACATACCAGCTTTGTGCAAATCTGCGAGGTTTGCTGCCAGTCGAAGGATGGTGCCCGTAATTGTCTTTAGATCCAGATCACCTAGAGGTAATTGCTGCATGTGGTCTTCGAGATTCCCGTCGTTGCTGAATTTCATAACCATCATCAGATCTCCTGTACTCTCGCACACAGTTAAACCTTGAAATAAGAGAGGTAAGAATGCTTTTGATTGAACAGATATCTAGAATACAGAATAAATTATTTTAAAGTAAATAAATCAATAAATCAATAAATACGCACGTACACACAAATATTCACACGCACAGGTACACAACGTACAAGCACACAATTAAATGTATATATATATATATATGTCATTCCTTCTCCTTCTCTGTATTTACCTCATTTAGTAGCTTGTCATCTACAATTTTGAGTGCCATCTTGATGGGTTGAGGTTCATAGGGTAGTCTGAGATTGACAGCATAAACGGCAGAGAATCCACCCGCGCCAATAAATTGCATGTTGGAGAACCATGGCCATGGGAACCACTGCATGTATTGATCAAGTCCCGCATGATATATTTGTCCAACCGCCTTTCGTGCGCGTGGGTGTATTGATGCTACAACGCGTTCTCGACCATATGTTTGTGCTAGAGCCTTGAAAGACAACTGTTGTCTCCACAATAATGACCAATGCTGTCAATAGAATACAAAATTTATATAAATATTTTTATATATATACATGTGTGGTAAGTATTCAAATTGTATACAAAATAAAAGTTTTTTTTTCTATTGATTTGGTTTGTTTTCTCGTTTGTTAAATCACAATTGATTTGTCTATTATATATATATATATATATATATAAGAAAAAGAAAATCCTATACATCTTTATAATTGTATATATTTGTGTATATATCTCGATGTGTATATTACCCAGGCATGTTCAAATAAGATAGATGTACCAATGTATGATTCGCATACTTCTTGGTAAAGTTGAGAAAGTTTTTCGGATATCATGAATGGCAGGGCCGGTTTGACAGACACAAGATTTTCGAGTCCAAATTCTTGGGGATATAACTCTAAGAGTTGATTGATAATTTGTCTTGTTTGAAGTACGACATGATCGTTCATTTGTTTACGGTAAAGAGACTCAAGTTCAGTTTCATTCATTATTATTATTATTATTATATTTTTTTTAAAAAAAATGAATATTTTATATATATATATATATATATGTATGTAGTTAAAGAAAAGGAGAGGAAGAAAGGGAGAGAGAAAAGGAGGGAGAAAAAGAATGAGATAATTTTGTGCGTGTGCGTGTGTATGTGTTTTTTTTTGTGTGTTTTTTTTTAATAGAAAGAAGAAGAGAAGAAAGGCTAGTAACTAAGCAACAAACTGTGTTAATAAAAACGTTTTGGACTATTAAAGTCACAGGTCCGACGTCGTAATACGAATCCCATTGATTGGTTCGTTTTTCCTTTTTTTTTCTTATGTGTGTGTGTATATATTTTTTTGGGCTAGAAAGACCATTAGAAAATATATCTGTATATTTATATATATACCCATATACTTATATTGTGCTGACAAGTTTCTCATCAAAGTTGGTCACCAAATACTACGGTGTAACACCTTGATAGCATAATTATTGTGGGAATAAAAGAGTCTCGATTGTACGAGAGTTTATTTTATTATACAGTCAAAAAGATAGAAAAAAAAAAAGATCAAAAGAAAGAGAGATAAGAAGAGGTAAAGAGTTATTTGAAATATGTATAGAAAAATAAAAGAAAGAAAAATGTATACAGGAGGTGGGGCTGCTCAGTACAGAATATGTATATGCGTATAGAAGAATAGGAAAAAGAAAAATGTATAGAAGAAGAGGTGTACACACAAACAGATTGTAAGTGTGTAAAGATACATAATGTACAAAGCCTTTGGAAGATTATTGTTTGGCTAGAGTAGTGAGTCTGGGGAAATATCAAGTAAAAAAAATCACACTAGAGATTCTGCTGTTGTTGGTAAATGGGTGGGTTGTTTATGAGAGAGAAAAATCTGCCCTTCTTCTTTTGACGTAGAAGAAAAAAAAATCAGACTGTACTGAAATCCAACTCCACTTGAAAGTCGCGCTGTTTCAAGTACATGAACATTTTGTGCTGAAGATCAAATAGAGGGGAATTATGCTCGCCAGGCTGTGATTTGGACACTTCTGATAGATAGGACTGTACACCCAAGATAAGGCTAAGAAGGCCGTCTTGTCTCTGATTAAAGTATTCTTCATCCGCGTTCTCTTCTTGTATTCCAGGATAAGCTTTCTGGTCCTGCGCGGCTAGAATGGAAGAAAAGACTTGCTTGGGCTGAGGAGGATAGGCAATTGTGTCGGCTCTCATGATGCAAATTGAGGGTAAGATGTTCTTTCTGGTTTATTGGGAAGAATTTAAAGAGACGATAGAAGAAGAGAAAAATAAAGGTAAGAAAAAAAAACAGAATGAATTGTGGCTGTAGGCAGATTACTTTATATAAGTAAATATTTATATGAAAAAAATAAATAAATAAATTTAAGACCCTGGAATTGTTCCCAATTATGGCTTTGTGTTGTTTTGGATGTATTTGGGAGATGTATATTTTGTTGTTGCTGTTTGTTGTTGTAAAGAAAGATGGAGGGAAAAAAGAATTTGTCACCTGTAGCTATTGTACCTGTTCATGACACACCAATTTTTCTTGTTCATAATTCCGCCAATGACACTTTTCACACACACACACCCATACATAAAGCATAAGAAACTATACATGTCTTAACGCTCACTAAAACATCTTCCACTTCTTGCTCTTGTTCTTCATATTCCTTTCGAGTTTACCGTCACTGTAAGGGTTTAAGTGGATATAAATGGGGTTTGTGATACTATGGTTGCACAGATACAAACGTAATTTGTATGTTGAACAAAACCGAACCGTATCGTACAAATCATCTTGTTTAAAAATTCACCATCCCGTTTATCAATAATTGACAATAAAAAAAAAGAGGAATAAAGTACAGAGAGATAGATGATAGCCAGAGATATACACCAACTCTGTGTTTTTTTTTCACTGATATCGATAGTAGATATCAAAGTAGAATTCCCTCCTATTTCTTCCTTTACTCAATTAATAAAAATATGCTCATATGAATATAAACCTGAATATATGAAACATGAACGTGATGTTTGTAGTCTTCAACCTAAAGATGAATGAGAATAATGAATTGTTGTATTCTGTACACAGACACACGCACAAAGAGAAAGAGAGAGAGAAAAGACTTTTTTATCAATATTATCAAAGAACAATAGGCTCCAATGACAGAGAATTTAAGATTATCTATAACTTTGTATTATCATATCATGTTAAAATGCCAAATCCCCAAGCTTTCATTTATCAATCACATTCCTTTGAGGCAATTGGTGCACAAACAAAGGTAAGTCTGTATGTCTGTGTGCGTGCGTGTAAGCTTGTGTTTTCTATCAACTGGACCCTCTTCCCGTATTTCACTAAGAATTCTATCACATCTCTTATTTTCCAAAGACCCAATCGACCTTACACAATAGAAAACAAAAGGCTCGACTAACTGGATGAACAAGCCATAAAAGAAAAAACAGACAGGGTCATTGATTAGTGACATGTCCCATGATGTCTCCTACACTATCCACGCGACATCTCACAAATACTGTTGTCATAGCAATACTCCTTTTTAAGATTCCAAAATGCTGATGATAATAATAAGATTATAATTACAAAATATTCAATAGCAGGTTGCTAGGATACTTGGTAACTTCAATGTTTTTCTCTCAATTCTTTTTTAATCAGTAATAAAATCTCAGGGAAATATTTGTCTCCATGGATACATTTTATTTTAGTTTTTTCACCAAGGTTACTATTAGTGTGCTCTATTTTCATTCTCTTTTTCATTTAAGTATATATAGATATAGATATACTTTTATAGAATACAGTTCAGCCCTGCATATCTAAAAGAAGAAGAATAAGAAGAAAGGAAAAAGATCAGCCTACAATGTGACCTGTGTAGTTTACGGCCTATCGAACCTTTTCTCTTTGTAAAACAAGATCGAGAATATTAAATTATTCTCAAGATAAAAAAAAGTACACACACAAACACTTATACATGTGGATATGTTTACCTGCTTATAAAACACGGATATCTGTAACAAAATACTCTTTCAACAAAAACAAACAACCAAAAAGAGGATGTTCCTTTCCAGTTACCTTTTGCTATTTTCGAAAGACGGACTTCTTTATAATTCAGAACCCTTGTCTTACAATAGTCATAGCCAACAAGCCAAGATTTTTTCTTCTTCTTTTTTTTTACATGCCACTAAATAAACTGGTGATTGACTTGACACATTTATGACATGAGCCCAAAAGTCATTCATTCATTTCTTAGTTTTTTTTATGAGTTATTTATCTCTCTCTCTCTCTTTATATACGTATATACGAGCTATACAATAAAGCTAGATGTAATCTTGATGTGTTTCATGCTATTGTTTCTATTTAAAAACAAAAAGAAAATCAAGTACAATATGTTTGTAGGCTTAAATGTCAATAAAGAAGAAGATTTGCACAATAAAACAATCAAACAATCAAAAAGAAGTGGATCACATCACATCATCGGGCTACTACTGAATAATGCAGGGGCTGTTCCTTTGGGTGTGTGCCCGTGTGTGACATAATCCTCTTGGTACCCAAACCTTTTTACTATTATTATTATTATTATTATTATAGTCATTAAGCCTGAAGTACTATTTTGTTTTTGGAAAGCAAAAGTAAAAAAAAAAAAAAAAACAACGGCATGTTAACTCGAAGCCCCAAATAATGTTTAAATATATATGCAATTTTTTCTCACACAGGGTAAACACCTTTATTGCTACGTAACAAAGTATCCAAATAAATAATAATGTGTATTAGTTGCTACTGCTAGTGGTTCTCTGGGTATAGAGGTGTTCATTAAAGCCAAGAGTTCAATATAAATAGAATATACACTGTAAAACTTGATGTGTTTTGGTCGTGTATCTAGAATAATAATCTTACTATAGAACAGCAGTGCTTCTTGAGGTACGGTTATAGAATACAGTAAGTATTAGGATCTTTATACTGCCACAATTACCATTTTTAATCTACAAAAGCACATCTTTGAACTGTACACAGACAGACAAGAGTATATATATATATATATATATATTTGTGATAGCTTCTTTGCTTGGCTTTGACCGCTCGGGGCAAAAATACTATTCTGGTCTTGAATCCCAATGTAAGACAGACATCAAGATTAATGGCACAGAATGTGATGAAGCAAATTATTTGATATTTCTACACATACAGCCCACATACGCATATCTTTTTATTTTTGTATATATATATATATGCGTAAGGTAATAATTTTATGTAATTTCTAAATAGCAGAATATTCGATCAAAATAATTATACTTTAATAGAAAAGATATTTTTATATAGAGAGAGAGAATAACCTTATACTTAGAGTATTATAATTTTTTTTTGTTTGAAAATCTACCTCAAATTGGACTGGGATACAAATACGATTTCCACTTAACTTGATGCTATTTTTATCTTTCTTGAATCATTTTTTTTTTAAATACACATATATTTCTTGATTCTCGTCGATCGCACAAAATATCAGGACAGTCACCGAGACTTCCATTTTACCAAAGCATAGTTTTTTATTTTATTTTCTTCTTCTTCTTCTTCTTTTTCTTCACTTATATTTCTAATGCGCTTGTCGAATCGATTTTGGGGACCAAGCCTAACTTTAGTAGCCGGTGTCCTGTCAAATCCCTGGATAATCCGTGCTGCTGCCCAGGGTGTGTATTTATCATGATCATTATCATCATTTGTATTATTTTTATTTTTATTATTAGAAAGCAGTGAATCAAGATACTTCGACTATAAAATAGAGACAGTAATAATGATATGAAGCACAAGAAGGCCTATAAAATGAATTGTACGCATGTATCAATATTACAAAAAAAAATTCAAACAAAAAGAATGTCTACATTTGATGTTTGATTTCCTATATAGGAATATCTTGAGTATCGTACTGGGACCTTTATTTTATTTTGTATTCTATTATATTGATTGCCAATATATTGCTTGGATATTTCAAAAAAAAAATATCGAATTGTTTTACAGTATAAGAATTATAGTTAAAGTAATAATAATAATAATAATAATATTGTTTTGCCCTTGTAGATGATTATTCCGACGATTATTCCGACGATTATAGTAATGGTAGGGATGGTTACCAGCAATCAGCCAACTACGACGACGGTTCTAGCACGACTGGTTACGGTCAAGAAGTAACAGGTACAACAACAAGCAACAGATGCGATACTATAAACAATCTATAGAAAGAAAGAAAAAGAAAAGAGTATTTACAGTTGTTATCGCGCTATAATCCTACGATCAAATATTCTAAATATCGTTCCCATATTTTTTTTTATTTTTTTTTGTGTGCAGAAACTCCAACCGACGACGGCAGTAATGAACAACCAACCGAAACTACATATGATGGAGCCCCAACTCCAACTGATGTTTCTGCTACTACTTCATATGGAGAACAACCAACACAACCAACCTCTACCACAGATGAATACCAACCAACCTCCACAGATACCGAATGGACACCTACCTCAACCACAACTGATGGTTATTATGGTCACCAGCCCACGAGCACTACTTACGAAGAAAGCCCTACCAATAGTGAGACAACCGACGACCCATCCGATATCGCACCTACCGATGATGTTGTACCTACTGATGATGCTGTACCTACTGATGATGTTGAACCCACTTCAGAATATACACCCTTCCCCTCGACCACGTCTGACATCCTCCCCATCGTCCCAGACCCCACCATCACACCCGAACCAACTCTTCCCTTGGAACCCACCAATTCGGTCACTGATCTCCTCAGTGCCACCAGCTCTATATTACCAACCTCCACTCCAGCCCTTAGTACAGGTCCCGACCACAGTCAGCGTAATGCGATTATCGGAGGTGTTGTTGGTGGTGTCGGAGGTGCTCTGATTCTTGGCGCCATAGTGTTCTTTTTAGTTCGCCGAAGAAGGGCTGGAAAAGAATCCAACGATTTGGAAGTCTTCGAACCACAGAACGATGGCTACGGGGAAGATGCCACCACAACCACAAATACAAATTCATGGCCAGCCAATAGATCTAGCATGTCTCAGCCCTTCACCAACCGACCCCCACCACCACCACCCGCCCATGGCTCTGGATACTAAGAGTCCTTTTTATATCTTTCTTACTACTCTTATTAATTATTTATTTATTTATTAAATTAATTTAATTCTATATTAAAATGGTAATAAGTAAGGCTTTCTTCTTCTTTCTTTTCTTATTACCACTATTTCTTATTCTTATTATCACTACTCTTATATTCCGGAACATACAGGTTATTTTCTTTTAATATATATTTACTACACCAACACACTCCCTTTATATTGTTATTCTTTGTTACATTACCACCACTCATTACCATTACAATTACCATTATTATTATTATTACTATAATTATTATTATTATTGCTACTATTATTCTTACTACAAGTATCTTCCTTTCTTTAATTTTGTTGATAATAAACGTGTTCTGATTACTTTTTTTTTTAAAAAAAAACCAACAAGTTGAGTGCTATTTTCAAATTTGGAAACCTTTCACGGTTAAATGAGTATCAAGTAATAAAGAAGTATGCATACAAAGGTGGTTATCTGTTGTTGTTGTTTTCTCTCTCTCTCTGTATCAAGAAAAGAAGAAGACAAAAACACACATCTTTTCTTTTAGAAACTGATGTATATATTCTCTTACAAAAACCAAATTATGTAGGTTTTTTTTTTCTTGTTCTTGTTCTTGTTCTTCTTGTTATGGACTTTTGTCTTTCATTTTCAATTTTTTTGTTGCTGTTGTTGTTGTTGTTGTTTCTGTTGCTGTTGTTGTTCTTGTACTTGTTGTTTGTTTGTTTTTTGGGGGGAATATCAAAATTAAAAATAAAAGATACACCTTCATTTAAAAGGGCAAAAGGTCCTGGTCATCTTCCTCAAAGACATCAATCTGGCCAGATTCATGTGCAGCCTTGAATTCTAAAGCTACAATTACAAAGAAATACAGTTAACATTAATAATTGCATATGCATGTATCCATGTGGTTTCAAAATAATACTAATAATTATAGTTTTTTGCTGGATATTTTACCTTCTTGCTTCTTATCGGCAGCTTCAGCGGCATCAACACCGTTCTGGATTTCCTGAATAGCGGCTCTCTCCTTCTTCTTTCCCTGCACCTTTTTCAATCTATAAATAATAGTAAAATATTATTATTAATATTAATATTAACATTAATATTATCATTATTATGAGAAGAGGGAGAAGTATTTAATAATCTACAGATTACTCCTGTGTCACGTACCTGAAGAACTCTTCTCTGTCCTGTTCGTCCAACTCAGAAATAATGTATTTAATGGTATTCTCGTAACGGGGAATAATGACGTGCTCAATCGCATTCACACGACGGTTGGTGGCCTTGATAACTTCATCAAGGATAACAAAGGCAGTCTAATATATATATATTAGCTCTATGTGTCAATAGTATATATAATCAAAGGAACTTGCCTGCAAGCTTGCAAGCTCAATAAGTGTCTCGACAGCCTTGGCATAGACTTCTTTTGTTCTTTGGATCTGCTGACCACCACGTCCAAGACCAGTGAATTCAAAAACTTTCAGAAAAAAATATATTAAATGGTGTAAGAAACATTCATCGTTTATCTCTTTCTTTTTCCCATAAAAATATATTAGCTAAACTTCTTACTGATCTCTCTTTACCATTTCCGCCTTCAGTATACATCTCAAACACGGGCAACATCACACCAGACACATTCTCTTGCTTTGCACGGACACGCAATTGAGCAGTCTTTGCGGCCTCTTGTACTTGATAGCTTTATATATATATGTACATTAATATATAATAGACAAAAACTCTCCAAATCTTCAAGGTCTCTTTCTCTCTCATTATCTTGTTATTTATTTTATTTTTACCTGATATCACCAGTGATATATTGGACCTCGGCCAAGGAGAAAGAAGCAACTTGCATGACTTGTCCCATCTTGCGCTTGAGCTTTATTTTATACACACAAATACAATCAAAAAAAAGAAAACAGAAAAACGCCAATATCAGACACCACAAAATTAAGTACACACACACACGTATATATATATATATAGGTTTTATGCGTGTATTCAAAATACTAATATTCTCGATTTTATATTTTGTTTTACCTCGTCAATTTTTTGAGTAATGGTTCTAAAACGCTTTGTAAGAGCTTCGGCTTTTCTCTTCAAGAGTGAATGACCCGTTTGAGCACCCTTTAGCTTTGACTTCATGGTAGTGAGAGCCCTAATAAAATAAAATGATATGAAAAGAGGAGTTAGAGAAGTAAATGATTATATTATGTATGTATGTATGTATGCATACATAAATATATTAAATCAAAAATAAAATAAAACAGAAAATCATAAAATGTGTGCGCGTATATAACGTGTATAATCGAATGTAATTGAAAGGAATGTATTGTAATTTGTACATTAGAGCGAGTGTTATAATTGGTTTGGATGAGTATTATCTCTGTTTATATAATGAAGTATTGTTTCGCTAATTAAGCATCATCTCAAAAAAATATATACAAAACGATTCCGGGGATGCTCCGGATTTGAACCATTTTTGTTGTTTTTTGTTTTTTTTTGAACTCTTTTTGAGGGAATGGCATCTTTTTGAACCAAGGAATATAACATAACATAATATAATAAAAATAAAATAAAAAATAAAAAATAAAATAAAATGAAGTACATACATGCGGGTTGGGAAAATGCTGATTTTTTGATTGTTACCCGACATAATATATGTGCTTTTATATATTTATGTCTTTGTTTGTGCTTTTGTGTCTGTAAAGGCCTTTATGTTTTTGTATGTGTTTAATATATGGTAAAGAAGACCTTTATAAATAAAAAAGTAAAGAAAGAAAGAGGGGAAAGGAGAAGAAGGGGTAGTTGAGGTAAGAGACAGAATTGTTTGAAAGACCGCCAGTGAAAAGTAAGAAAAAAAATGGTAAGCGGGGATTGCACTGATGAAGACAGTAGATTGTATATAAATGTGTGTGTGTGCGTGTGTAATTAGTCCGAGATTCTCAAGACGTCACTAGATTGCTAAAGAGCATAAAAAAGAGGATTTCTAAAGCCATATAATACTTGCACCTCAAACTGTAACGATTTATACGCATATATATATATATATATACTTCTTTTGAATAAGCCGTAGATGCCCTTTCTTTTCTGTTATTTAATATAAAGAAGCCTGTGAAACAGAAAACAGGCAAAAACTATTTATTATGCGTATTTGGATTCATTTATATCATGCTACTTGGTATTTTCCTTTTGCTGATATTTTATTTTATATTTCAATAAGCCTCATTACACCAAAAGCACTCTGGTGATAAAAATCTTGACCTTTTATCTTTGGTAATATATAACTGTTGATTAATATTTTAAAGAGTTTAGAGAGAGAGAAAGTTACGTATGTATGCACAATGAGAGATCTTATTTTCAACGTGTATTCAATACTTTAATGCCACGACTATGTATATATATATATATGACATTTAGCCTCCTAAAAATGGGTGCACATCTCTAACTCTTTGCGTGCATGTGTTTATGATATATTATTTACTAGGATATTAGTAGAGACAACACTCGAAGGCATTAAAAGGATTTCTTGACATATCCTCCGTTGCTCTTTTATAATCCAGGGAAGATCTTGCTTGTTTAGATCATCTGTATCTATGTATATGTCTGTTTAACGATTTATACAAGCTTTTGTTCAACTAATTATTTATTATTACCTTGAAGAAAATATTCTCTTATAATATTTCCGGTCAACGATGACTTTAAATAATCTCTAACAAGCCTTGGCTTATTTGATGGAACAGAAATCTGGTCAATTTCACCACTTTCCTTTTGATCAGTGGCCTGTCTAACCGCTAAAGATAGACATTTGATCAATATTTATCTATATTAAGTTGAGATATATGTATACATATATATTCCGCAAAAATAATAATTTACAAACCTGTAAGGATCCATTCAATAAAGGCTTCAAATTGGGACGAAAGTGCGATTACTTTTGGAACAAGTTGGTTCATTCGAGCCGTCAAGTGGCCAGACAACTCAGAGCACGCCTTGATTTTATCTCCATCGAGTAATTTTCCGTTTCCTTCGATTCTACAAAAAAAAAAATACAATTGTTTTGCGCATCTCAATACCCCATCTATAAAAAAAAAAGGGCGAAATCAATAATCTTACCCATATAGATCAGAGAGGCACGCGACAAGATAATCATTTGCAGGCAGTAGATATTCCACCACAATTTGAATCAAAGTTTTGTAGCTATGCGTTAAAGAGGTACTCCAACGCATAACATCCTAGAGAATTTATGAGGTGATCATATTGTAAGCTATGTTGTAAAAACCAGAGTGAAATATACCATTATTATTCTTAGCATTATTTACTTGTTCTGTCAATTCGTCGAAAAAATATCGTTTCAGTTCTGGAGTAGCATAACCAGTGGCCAGCATAGTTTGCATTTCTGCGCTTGGTTGAACGTCTTCCATTCCTATGTGCAATAATGTGAGCAAATTAAGATTCCTAATAAATAAATAAAAAAAAAGGACGCTCCCGTTTACCTTTGCCTTTTATAGAGTCAGTAAGCCGGTCTAAATGTCTTTCGGTTACAGAAGCGTGGGTCTTGTAGTGCTTCTCAAGTTTATCCATTGCAATTTTTATGTACTCGAGTAGATTGTTAACGTGCAAGTGAATATTGGTGATGCTATATAGTTCTGACTTGTTCATATTTAGAGCCACTAGCGATAGAGACAAAGAATGATAGATATCCACTTCATCATCTCCAGGAACTTTTCTCTTGTGCACTTCTTGCTTAGCTCGAACGGTCATAGTACCAACATCAGGTGAAAGTTCAATATTTACAACAGTTACATCCTAAATATATATAAAGATATGAAATTCATCGAACCGTTTTTTTTTCTTTTAAAAAAAAAGAGAGAGAGGGGCTATATATGTATTGGCCATATTTATTACCTTGTCCAAAATCTTTCCAATGTCAATAACACCTGTGTAGAATACACCTCCAAGACTATATAAAGAACTAGGGGATAAGAAACAGTATTGATTCTGGTTTGTCTCTTTTCACCTCAGGTATATTTTTTCATCTCTAGTTCCTATTAAAAGCAGAGACATGTTGCTTTCTACAGTATTTGTAATGTCTGGCATCAATTCAATCTTTTTTCGGGTGGGCATAAGTGTACTTGTATAAAACAGTAGATTTAGTAACTGTGTTTATGCTTATTCAAATGTTCTATTTACATTGGTCCATCCGGAGCTATTTTGTTAAGGGCAGGGAGATGTTTTCTGACTTCGATCGCATTTGGATCAAAGCCATACTAATAAGTTGGTTGCAATGAATGTTATTTATACATACATATATATATGCATACACACACAATGGTATACTTGACTATGTCCTACTTACATTAGATACAAATGGGCTGGATATTTCATACTTTGCCCACGAAATACAAGATATTATTCCATCGCTTATGACCCGCGATTGAGCGTGATCTTTTAAGGAGCTTATCAAAGCTGGAAATGTGCAAGACACCCAAGTTGGGTTTGGAAACGCAATTCCGGTTCTCATAACTTTGCCGCTGTGATATGCTACCACAAGCTCTTGGCCTAATTTTTCATTTGTTTTAAGATATATAATTTCCAGTCAAGAAAAAAAATGTATAGAAATTTAGGATGCTTAATTTGAAATCACTGTCTTTTTTTTGTTGTTTTTACGGATCATACCATCAGGACGCCATGCAATTCCTACAATCCCATCTTTTGAAAATTCTTCAGACCACACAATCTCTCCATTTATGCGGTAGAGTGTCAAACTATTGTCTTTTAGCACTACGGCTGCAAGGTTCATTACAGGGCACTTTTCAATAAACTTTGCTTCCATTTCGAGAAGGACACCATATTCCTTGCAGAAAGATTCACTTTTCATATTTTCATAATCCATATGTTCTAATTTCACTTTGAGTTGATGTTAATCCTGGAGATTGATTTCGATTGAAGAAGAAAGAAAGAAAGAAAAACAAAAATGAATTACATTAGTACTGTTGTTGATAAACAAAGACTTTATATTTCTGTGTCTGTATTTTATTTTATTATATTATATTATTATTGTTTGCATAATCAACCCATATGACGTAGATCCAAGTAGTAATAAACTTTACCGGTTTTCTGGTTCGGAATATGGTACATCAAGGGCAAACAATTGTATAGCTAAATGTGAAAGGGTCCAAGGTATACCCTCTTGATGACTTTTATTTTATAGTGGCTATTTACTTCCCTTATGAGAAATGAGTGGTGATTATAATATTCTTACGATGAGTTACAAGTCGATAGAGTATCATATATCGTGATAAACGCCTTGTTAAGTATAACATTTCTTTTGTTTCGCTGTCTTTTATATATACATATTGATAAGATGTACAGATACAGTAGACTATGTCTTGTATGAAAAGGGTTATTACTAAACGTCCCAATCAAAAAAGTACTTTCCGTACACTACGGACAGTTAAAATGCAGGTACAAAGGTGCCCAGGCAGGGTACCTATTAATACAATCAATATGTATGCTAATTATATACATATCAATAGAGTTTTGATTCAATTTGACTCAAATTGCATAGTTCATTTAACTGTTCTCACGGTAGTATATAATTTACATAGATAAATAGCCTTTGAAGGCATTCCCTTTATTCCTAGAAATATAAGTATAATGTTGGCCAAGTCCTCCCTCCTAAGATTCGCTTTTTTTATATTATCTAATCTATTGGATAAACTATATCTATTTATTTTCCTTTCAATTGTTTGGAATCGTTTCCTTTACTATTACGCATCAATATCTTACCAGTCTCTGTCATATATATATATATATATATATATATACTTGATGAGAATTTGGGTTCTCTAGTGTATATCTTTCATTTATAAAATAAAGCTTGTCTTTGGTCAATTTAATAGGAAATTTGTCTCACAAACAAATGCATAGATATGCATTATACGTTTTTCGTTCTTAACTATCAAAACAACCGCATGTTCGGACTAGGTACCAAATGAAACCTCTTTGGTAAAACAACATTTCACTTTTTGTTTTTATTTTTATTTATTTTTAAAATATATTTCCAAGTAAAGATGCTTCACATTGCATTGTCCCACCTTGTACATATCTTGATCCGTTTCGATTGACCTTTTTTATTTTACTTTGAAGAGTTCTTATTGGAGAATTTTATGCGGGGGAGAACCCTTATTTAGATTGTTTTGACTATGGGTTGGCAGAGATTGGGGCTCACTTTGATTTTATACGAGCTTTTAACCAAGTATCTAGTATAGTCTCAAGATTGAGTAAGTAATTATACCAGTTTTCTATTTTCTTTTTTTTTGGTTATTACTAATTCGTTAATATCATCACTTTTAGTATACAATTCTCAGAATGGACATTGTTATTAGTATAAGGTATCAACAAGTGGTGCTCAAGACTTTGTTTTGTAAATTTGTAAAGGCAAGTCTAAGAAATAAATGAAACAAGTCATGTAGTGTGAACCATGATTTTTCTACCACTAAAATTACAAAAAAAAGGGCAGCTTTGTGTCAGTGTAACTTGCCAATGTGATACTTACACATACACATACGCATATATATATATATTTATATATGTATATGTACATAAATGCCATTTTGATTCTTGACATTATGTAGGTTAAAACTCCATGCATTTATTTCATTCATTCGTGTAAAGGTAAAGGAAGAAAGGGTAGCCATCTGAGACGTTGTTAAACAGCCAGTATGATGATTTATTAAAGTGTTTGACTTGAATAGCGTGATGTGACATGCTTCCCAATTGTTCATTGGTATTTTGATGCTAATATGCATGCACAAGTGGGCTAGACATAAATGTATATTTATATTTACAGCTTATTAAGCAATTACTGCTCATACAAGCCTACTGTTGTAATGCTTATTCTTATTACTAAATCAAATGTTTTAAGCCTATCTTTAATAAACATACTTTATTATTTACATGAAGCAACTACTTTTTTTTTATTTGAAAGAAAATGGACAAATAAGATCTGTTCAAATCTGACGCCCTTTCTTTCTTGCCCCGTGTCAAAATACGCCCTCTATACAAACAAACACACACACACACACACAAAATAACCCTTCTCCTGTGACCCGATCTGTCCCATTTTTTTGGAGTGGGATTCTAAAAGCAATGAGCCTGCATAATTTTTGTCTTTTTATTTATTTTTCTCCTAGGGCGAGCTTGAATCTTTAAATTTTCACAGGAAAAAGTATTGAATGCATACATGGTTAATGTCCCTTCCCCTTACACATATGATCGTTTCTTTTGTATGGAATATTGCTAATGGGTCAACCTTATGGATATACCATATATATATATTGTACAGACGATGATCTGCTTGATTAATACATGAATAATTACAAAAAAATAATAGACGACTTGGTAATCTGTTATTTGAAGGACAATCCTATTGGATCTTTTATTGCCGAAACAGATAAAAAATAATAATACGTGTTAGAGCCCATTCAACCATACGCTATATCCAAAGAATGACGCCGTCCTTAATGAAGTATATCTAAATGAAAATCTATTGAACAACTTATATCGAGAAGAGTAATTTTTTTTACAATGGCGTATTAAACATTGTGTTCAAGTGGATACAAAATTTCCAAAAAAAGTCAAAATCTCTACTGATTTCTCACAATAATGCTCAGATTCAAAGACTGTCAAGCCGTACTTGACTTGAACAAGCTAAGAGAAGATGTAGAAGACAAGTTCCAAAGTAAAGAAAGTTCTTGGTAAAATTGTTTTCGTTAAGAGTTGTATTTGGAGACAATTTAAACAGTGTAATCCACTATTGGATCAGATCAGATCATCTCCAAGAAACTTTTCAAACTAGAGAAAACCCCATTTTTATAGTAGAAATTTAAAGTTTTATTTATTAATACGATTTCAATCGGAATGTAGATTCCATTTTTAAAAGAGATAATGCTTCAGATTGTTGTTTGCTTGATCTCACACTTCTTTACAGATTCAGGGTGAGATTTATTGAATAAAGTGATAGGAATGATCAATTAGAAGAGACACAAAGAAAAGAAATTGGGTGAATAAGGATATCACTATATTTATTTGAGTCACCGTTATATCCTTTCCCTTTTTACCCTCCAGGTCCTTCAAGATCTCCTCTACGTCCCTTTTTATGCCCTTGTGCTCCTTTAACATGGCGCTATTACAGTGTACGACATGGTAGCTAGGCTACAGCGTGTTTTCTCATTAAGGATTCTTGGAGAAAATATTCCATATAGTCTTTCTAATAAACACGAGCTTAAATCAAGTATTTCGCCGAGCCTCTTTTACTCGTAAAAATTACAAAAGCAAATAAATAGAAAACAAGTGTGGTATATTGCTCTGTGACAGTAGAACAGAGTAGTGGCGGAGTTGATATTTTCATTGAGTTTGAAGCATTACAAAAAACAACAGCAACAGGAAAGAAAGTAATTGAAATGAAAGCAAAGGACTTTATGACAATAATAATACTGTAGATTGTAATGAATCAAATTACTGCAAGTCACTTTTGGTTTAAAAGCGCTACATTATATGTTATGTACATCTTACCAAAGCCTTGGTTTGCTATTCTTTTTTTTTTTCTTTTTTTTTTTACATCCCAGTCTGAGGTTTAATTTTCTTAAAAAAAATATATATAGTTCACACTTTACGCCAATAGAATCTTTAGCTAACTTTAAAATTGCCATAAATACGTTGTAAAGCAGTTCATGTGTAAGGTTCGGTTGGCTTTACGCTTTTGGTACCGGTTATTTCGGTTAGGAATGGTTTCTTTAGACTCTCTTGGGACCAAAAACAGAAAGAGAGAAAAAAGAAATTCAGGCTTTTGGGAGCACAAAATGACTCAATACGTCAACTCTGACTACTAAAATAAAAAAGAAATACAAGATGAAGGCACCCTAGGAAAACTTATAAAACACTAATTTATTTATTTATTTATTTATTTATTTAGAAAAAAAAATTGTGGGTATTTCAAGAGACGATTATTAATGATATACATTGGCCTGTTTGTGATTTGATCTGTTACTAAAGTAAATTAAGAAAAATAAAAAACTGAAGCAAAACGAGCTAATGGACAAATGAAAGACGATTTTAGAGAAATATTGATATATAAATCTATATATAACAATAGTAATGACAGAATCGGTGTGTAGTTTCCGCTAAAAAGTAAAATGATACTTGCAACATAAAGCCTACTGTAGTACTTTTTATAAATATAATCATTTACTTTAGAACCTTATTTTCATAGTTAGTGATAGGTAGAGCACAAGATGTTATTATGATACTTTGGACTGGTGTAGAGAACGAGGATTATTGTGGCGTATAAGAAATGGTTTCATTAATAAAATAAAAAGTCTGTGTGTTTTGCAACGTTTGGTTAACAGCGCACAAGACACTGCATCCTTAAATATGCAAAGACCAGAAAAGTAATAAGATGGACTAACGAGTACTTGGTCAATTGGAACGAATTATTTGAGTTTCAAGCCTATTTGAATCACCCGACAAAATGTGATTTTTTTTTGGTTGCAGTTATCACTAGAAAGACAGGGCTAATCAGCCACCAAAAAAGGACATTTTCTCATGACATTTTTCTTTTTGATTATGATTATATGTGAATATGAAAGGGCACGTCCATTATACTCAAAACTTCATGGCTAGCCGGGGGAACTGTACCTGAACATTCTAACTTGTTTTAGAGAACAGAGTACCCTTAATTGGCGCACTTTGGCCCTTATAAATATGAATCGGATAAAACGGACACTAATCTTTTTTTTTTCTCTTCTCTCTTTTCTTTCTTCCTCTAGTATCTTACCCTCGCCCCTTCTCTAAAGGACATTCTCTCTCCTTGAACTACAATGCCTAACAACGCAGGATGGAAACGATCTGATGCCGCGTCTTCACACAACGAAGAATTGGAACCTCTTGTTGCTGTTGAGTACCGTGTACTCTATGATCCAGGCAAGTTTACTTTTCTCTAGTCTGTTTTCAAATACGCTATAGATATTTTCATTATTATGTTTATATAATCCTTTAATACGTCAAAACGCAAACTTTCCTCCCAAAAAAGAACACATACCCCTTCCTCTCCTTTTCTCTTTGTCTCTGTGACATTCATTATTCCCGTCTTTTGTGTACTGCCACCAACTCTTCTAATTCGGTGCTTATCTATTCTGGATGAAGCCGAAGGAGGAGGAGGAACGAGGGGGGGAAGGTGGAGTAGAAAGAAGAAGAAAAAAAGAAATTTAAAGGGAATCTTATTTATGTCATTGATTATGATCGCAATATACTCCACAGCTATTTAAACAAATAAAATAAAGAAAAGAGCCATAAGCACACACGCATATATATATATATATATTTCTTCTTCTTCTTCTTCTTTTACTGGATCCCCCATTCTGTCCTTTCTGTCCTTTCAATATTTTTTTTCTACCTTTTCTTTCTTTCTTTCTATGCCTCCTTCAGTATTAGAATCTTCTCCGCTTCAAACTACTGGTCCCATCAAATTCAATAATGTGAACCATCAAAAGAACAACTCACTAAATCTTCAAGACTTTCCAAATTATTCAGATCTCGAGAATGCCAATGAAGGAGGAAAATACAACAGGTTCTTGCGTACCATAAAGCAGTGGAGATTCCAGGTAAAGCAAAAAATAATAATAATATATATATATTTTAAAAAAAAAAAAAACTTCCGTACTAATATATATTTATCTTTTCGTGCCCTAAAGCATCGGGAATTCCTAGCAGAGTTCATTGGCACATTTATTCTTGTGCTACTGATAGATGGCGTCGCTGCCGAACAGACCCTGTTTGGAACCAAGTCATGGCTCACATCTTCATTTGGCACTGGTAAGTTGTTTTAAAAGGATACAAGAGAGAGAGAGAGAGATGGTTAAAATGAAGATATTTAATGAAACATAAATATATTCTATTATCTAGGCCTTGCAGTGTTGTCTGGAATCTGTTTGTCTGGCCATATTTCTGTAAGTCAATAATATACAATATTTTATCAACAAGAGGTCATAGTGCTAACACTCTCTGTTTTTTCTTTTTATTAAGGGAGGTCACATTAACCCTGCTGTTACTTTGGCTTTCTGGGCATTCAGTGGGTTCCCTACTCGCAAGGTTCCGGTCTACATCACAGCCCAAATTGCCGGTGCATTTACTGCCGCAGCTGTATTGTACTCCGTCATTCTGCCGGCTATCACAGAGTTTGATGGTGGTGTTCGTCAGATCGAGGGCCCCCTGTCAACTGCTGGAATCTTTGCCACATACTCGCCTCTCTATGTTGGCACTGGTGCTGCTGTTGCCTCCGAAGTTGTCGGAACTGCCCTGTTGCTGCTGATCATCATGTCCAGTGGCCACCCTAACAACCTGCCCTTCGTCACTTCCCAAGGGTTTGTAATCGGTATTGGTGTCATAATCATCTGTCTCAGCATCGGATATACCTCTGGATTTTCTCTCAATCCAGCCCGTGATATTGGTCCTCGTCTCTTTACTGCTTTGGCTGGCTGGGGCTTTGATGTCTTTACCGTCCACAACTACTATTCTCTTGTTCCCATCTTTGCTCCTCTTCTTGGAGCCATGATCGGTGCACTCACCTTTGTGATCTTTGTAGATCAATAAGTCTCTAAAGAACCTTTACTATATATCTTTTCTTTTCTTTATTTACCCTTTCCACTTTAACCCTTCATTACTGTCGTACAAAAAAAAGAAGAAGAAGAGTATGTAACATTTTTCCTTCTATTCCTGTGAAAATAATGTAGATAGCACTCGAATAAAATTAAACCAAAAAAATAAAATAATATGAATCGATCAATTCTTTTAAAGATTCTCAAATACAGTTAAATACAATACAATTAAATACAGTTGAATAAAATACATTCTACATGGACTGCTTCTATTTCTTGCTAAACCATCCTCCCCCAGACTTCTTTTCTTCTCCACCCTTCTTGGGGATTTCAAGCTTAACAAATTTGTGAGTGCCATCCTGCGATTTTTCAACCACAAAATGCACTCGTCCACCATCCATGACCTCATCATTCTCATTTGCCTTTGCGATCAAATTAACCACCTTACGCTCTACTTCATACTTGATACTGCGTGCACCATATCGAATGTTGTATCCCTGTGCCAGCACATCCACCACATCATTATCCCAGCTCAATTCAATCCCATGACGCGACTTTGCCTTTTCAGCCCAGCGTCTCAACTCCTTTGCCGTAATCTCTCGGAGCTCATCTTCACTGAACGGCAAAAAGAAGAGGACTTCATTGATGCGACCTAGAAACTCATCTCTTCGGAAGTGATCGTACAGAATTGGATAGATGACTTTTTCGATGAACTGGCGCGACAATGAAATGCTTTCGTCAGTCGTTGCTCCTGTTGCCTTGTTGGTCTCAGTTTTTGCTAAAGACCCTGAAGACTCTGCTGGCGAAATACCGACTCCGGTTGCTGTGGCAGTCCCGGTGGACTGGGCATCGCGAGTAACAGAGGCTTCTAATCGAAGTAGCTCGGCTTCGTCGGCAATTTCATGCTGAGCCAAGTTTGAAGTCATGATAAAGATTGCATCCTTGCACTCTACTGTAGTACCCTTTCCGTCTGTGATACGGCCTTCATCAAATAGTTGCAGCATAACAGTCAGAACATCAGGGTGTGCCTTGAGATTTGTGTACAAAAAAAATGATTATTATTAAATATACATCATTTATTTTTCTTCTTCTTTCAATTCTACTCATAACACTCACCTTTTCTACTTCATCCAATAACACAACAGCATTTGGACCTATTTAATATGAACACATAAAAGTATTAAATAATTGGCTAAAGAATATAGTAATTAGACTTACACTCTTTTAGCTTTTCTGTCAGTTGTCCTCCTTCATCATATCCCTTTATTAAATAAGAAAAAAAATATCGAATGTAAGCAATTATCATTGTCTTGCTTTTCTTTTCTTTTTTTCAGCTAATAATTCAAGATTCATTTACCACATATCCTGGAGGAGAACCAATAAAACGGGATACATCATGCTGGTTAAATAGATAAATGTATATTAGACATATGTGTCATTTTGTCAAAAGCATATTGTCTCTCTCTCTCTCTTTTTTTCCCTTCATTTATTACCTTGTGCTGGAACTCGCTCATATCAATACGAACAAATCCTTTGTCTAGTTGATCACCATGCAAATACTCCACCAAAGCTATAAAACAAAATTCTCTCTTTAATTAGTAAAAGAAAACCACTTTATCAAAAGAATAACAAATAAACACTTTTTTTTTTTTACCTTTGGCCAATTCAGTCTTTCCTACTCCCGACGATCCACAAAACAAGAATACAAGAGGATGCTCTTCATCGTGCCAGCCATTCTGCTTGCGCCGGATAGCACTTGCCAAGGCATGGATTGGACCCAATTGGCCGACGATTCGATTCTTTAATGCTCCTTCCAAAGGATGTTTCTTTCGATACTCCTTTTCTTTTTGCATCCGCTCCTTCTTCTTTTGGTCTTCGTAAGCAGCCTTGTCGACCGAGTAGCTTGCCTCTTTTTCTCGGAGCATGTATTCGATCTCTTCATTGTCTTCGCCAGTGTATCTCTGGACATGGTAAAGATACTCACGTGGAGTAAGCCCACTAGAGTTCGAGATCAAAGGATCCGCGAGATTGGCCAACAGTAGCTGTACCACAGTCGGATTGCCAATAATGACAGCGTAGTGCAGAGCAGTATAATCACGGTAATCACGGAATGGCATCAGTTCGCGCGAGAAGTCGGTCTGACGAAGTGCGGCCTCTTGGTTAGTACGAGGAATATACTGGTCTACCTCATTAGGATCTAAATACATAATACATATATGTAAGTGAATCGGTTTATTGATTGATTGGTTGTAGTTTTCTTTTTTGCTGTGCTTTGTGTGTAAAGAATTCTTATTTTATTTTACCTGCTCCTTTTTCTAACAAAAGTCTAACTGCTGGCTCATTATCTTGAATGACAGCCACTTGCTACAATTTTTATTAGGTTGATACGGTGTATTATGTATAATAGCTACAATGGTTTACCAGAGGTGTCCATCCTCCTTGGTGACGGGCATTAGGATCAAATGTAGGGTCTTTGATAAGCCTAATACAAAAAATACAAAGAAAAAGAAAGAAAGAAAGAATCAATATCTTGATGATTTATATAGAAACACTTGATTTCTTACTTTTGAAGAAGTCCAATATCATTGCGAACAATGGCTTTACAGACTCTATTGCTCAGATCTGTGTAGATATTTTGAAAACGCATATATTTGTATATTTAGATTATTTGAGTTCAACCAACCAATAATAATAATAATCGAGAATTGTATTATAATTCTTTAGACTACGGGTACTTTTTATCTATATATCTTTTGCATAATCTTTGTTAAAAAAAACAAAAACAAAAAGGAATTTTTTTTTTTAGCTGTTACCACTTATTTCAAGTGCATAAACGGTGTTGTGGTTGGCAACAACTGCTCCTACACTAACAGTAGCACCAGCAGCTACTGCAGAAGCCACGGCAATACGACTACTCCAGTGACTATACTGAGATGCAGAAATCTTTTGATGGTGATATCTTGCCACCCTTGTAAAGCGCATTATTTCTGGTTTTGTATTCATGGGTCGACTTAAACCAGTCAAAAGGCGTGGTGTTTCGAGACTTGTCTTTACCAGCCCTGCTACACTTGCCAACAAGGGTTTTGTTTTTGGTAAATGAGTTCTCCACATGTTGTGTCAGCAATGAGAAAAGTATAAAAAAAGAAAAAGGAAACAGAGAGAGAGAGAGAGAGAGAACGAATAATTAAATTTAATAATTGATTAATTGATTAATTAATCTCCATTTCTCTTTTATAGTCCAAATATTACCGGACATTTTTTTTTTTTTTTTTTACTTTCTGTCTGCCTGTCTGTCTGTCTGAAATATCCAAAAGCGGAAATCAAAGTCACGATTGGTTATCGTTTTCAGAAATGGGTAAACACTACCCAGGTTCTTTATAAGTCTTGTCTTGTTTGTTCTTGGCACAACACAAAAAAAAATAATGTCATTCTTGTCACAGTTCACACGATCCGTATTCCAGCAGGCACGACCACAGAACCCCATGATGGTTGCCTTCCAGCACCAGACCATCAATTCTCCCATCCTCAACCTCGTACGTACAATGAAAGTACGATCGTCAGTAAAGAAGATCTGTGACGGGTGCTCGACTGTCAGACGTAGAGGAAAATTGTTTGTAACCTGCAGCAAGAACAAGAAGCACAAGCAGCGTCAGGGATAAAAGAACGAAAGAAAGAAAGACGCACACATACATCAACTAAATAAACAAAGTTTGGCGAAAAAAGGACCTAACCAAACAACCAAACAACTAGACCACCAACCAGCAAATCAACCAAAAAAAAATAAATAAATATGAAATAAATAAAAAAAGAGGGTCCCTGAAACAATGATAGAGAAGAAGAAAGGAATAGATAGATATATATTTTTTGTATATAAAAAAAAACACACGCAGACTTTTGGGTTGAAACATAATTTTTGGATCTAAAGAGTAGTCTTGACACTTTCTAATCCTATGCCGGTCACAGCAATATGGATTTGGCCACTGTAGAAAGTAAAGGAAGAAATTCCAAAAATGAATCAAAATGTGTAAATTGACAAGAAGAAAAGAATATGAAAGAAAATGACTTACTTGTATTGTACCAAATCCATGGCAGAAGGGTCAGGAACATCCACATAAATGGCATCTGCCATATCAAGAGATGCTCCATCCTTGCCATGGTCCGCTATCTCCCATCGATTCAATCTTTGATCAGTAGAAACAGTAAACACCGTCTTTCCAATAATATTTACACCTTTAAATAAATAAATAAATAAATGAATAAATGAATAAATGCTGTACATGTTGTATGCGTGCTTTTCTTTTCTTTTTGGGAATTTTTACCTGTGACAGAAGAAGCATGTCCATTTGGAATAATAAAAGGTTTTCCAACAGCCTCAAATGGACATGTATTTACTACAGCAGCAGCTACAGCATTGTCTTCACCACCAGTAATGAACAACAGATGCTTGGAATCTTTTTTTTTTTTTAAAAAAAAATGGTAATAAGAATACTAAATTAATAATCACACATATACTTTCTAGAAAAATAATTTAAAGCTTACCTTTGTAGGTCGTAACTTGAAGAGCATTCACACCTGACATGTGAGCACTGTAATAAAATACAGGTTCAGTCAATTTGACAGCAGGTTTTGTAGGATCCACTTCCAGATCAACATGATTAAGAGCATCATAAAGAGACTCGCTTATATCCCAACATGCAACTCTACAAAATAAATTAAAAACAATTAAGAAAATGTATATATATATATATATATATATTCATTTATACCTTCCATCTGTTGCAGAAGTAAAGAACAATAGGCGATCACGCCCTTGTTCGTCTAAAGGATAGTTGAATTGAATTGAATTGAATTGAATTGAATTAGTATTAATTCAGAGACCTATACTATGTTAATATTATGCATATTTATTTATTTATTTCTTACCTGGAATAATTATATGTTCAATCTGAAGAATACACTTGGCATGCCAAGTACCATCTACAACAAGTGAGAACTTGCGAGTCGTCTCATTAAATAGCCAGATCTAATTAAAAGATTAATCAGTAAAAAAGTAATTCGAACATGTATATTTATACACGGTTCGCAAAGTTTGGTTGTAACTTACTCTGATCATAGAGTCAGAATAGACAGCACCAACCAAATGAAGTCCGCGTGCGGCATCTACAAGAACAACAGTAATGTCCATAATTCTGGTTTCACTTGTCTCACTAAAGAAATCAAGAATATATTAATATTAATAATGATAATGATAATGATAATGATAATGATAATGATAATATTAACGGCTATGAGTTTTGATAGCTTGATATATGTATATGTATATATATATATATATATATATATATATAGTAGTAGTAGTAATATTTGCCTCACAAAGGGACATGTTGCCCACTCAAGACAATGTACACTCAATGGAATCATACTATTGGGTGGAGTAGCTTGTTTTGCCTCGATCTTCCAGCATCGAAGTTCTTCGTGAGCACCACTGGTGAAAAGAAGTGTGGAAATGCCTACATTAAAATCAAATCAATCTTTTGTTAAATAAAAAGAAAACCTTGATATATATACATATATATGTATGTATCGGTGTGTGCATTTAGCTGCCTGTACCTTTACTCCACTCTATACTCTTGATAGCAGAAGTATGTTTTCGGATGGTAGCAAGTGTAACGAACTTTGAATCGGATGATGGCATATCTATGATTATAATTATTATTGTTTTTGTTGTTGTTAATATTACCAGTAATGAGCACAACCGAAAAAGAATTCCTATATATATATTATATATATATTATATATACTTTTTAAAAAGCTAAATAAACCTTGTAGGGCTTACATTGTTGAAGTCTGAGAATCGTATCTTCACCACCTGTAGCAAACAACAGAGGTTCTGGTGCAGGACTATCGGGAAACAGCTCTAGACCAAGTTGTTGTTATTATTATTTAAGCCGAAATATATATATATATATAGATAGATAGATAGATAGATAGATTGCTGTCCAACTTACTCATGTATCGAATAGCACGCACATCTCTCCCGTGGTAATTGTCCAACAGAATGCTTTCATTAAATCCACCACTAATACTCGATCCGTCTCTAAAGTAAGAATATAGCTATTGTTGAAGCAATAATAACAGTAATAGAATAATAAGCAACTCTTTTCTCTTTATTTTGGTTAAAAGAATTACTTACCACCTCTTTTCGAATAAAAGCAAATGTTGCAGTATTCAACTTTGCGTCGCGTGTAATGAATTGCCATCGACGGTGAGCACCTCCGCAAGCAACAGACATCATCTACACGCGTTTCGATTTATAAGCTTACAGAACCATCTTATCTAATTTTGTATATGTATTACCTCAAAGTTCTTTTGTTCGTTATATACAAAGAATCTCTTGCGATAGAAGCCCAGCAAAAGAAGTTGGCCGTCTACAAAAATGGCACCTTCCAGCCATCCTTTTGTGACTCTGTTACGATAAACCTTTTCAAGTACCAAATCCTTGGTTTCGGTTATAGTGTCGCCTCGACTAGCAATGCCAAGTTGTGTTTCCTCGGTGTTGATGATCGTTTCTTTCTCCAAGAGGTTTCTGAGTCTATATTGGATGTAACCTCCATCTCTTCCTGTTGTCCAGAACAGGATATCTTCAGAACTGTCTGTGAGATCCTTTGGCTTGATCACGACTGAGCTCACACATTGGCGTCCGTGGGTTCTTCTCAGCTGAATCAAGGGTATTACTGGCATGATTTCTTCTTTCGAAGGATTTCCAAGTCCTGGAAGTCTGTAGATGAGAAGAGCAGATTCACGGGATCCACAAATCAACAGGCCTTGTTGCTCGGTTAATGCAGTGCAGACAATAGTCGTACGCTCGATAGGGAGTTCTAGTTGATAAAGAGTCTCAAAGGTAGGCTAATAACAACAGCAACAGGTACACACATGTTAGTATTTGATATAACTATGAGTAATTTAGTAAGCCATAAATACATACCTCGGAAGGAGCCCTGATATTCAATCTGTGCATATAGACCTTTCCGTTGTAAGCATGAGAGATGATGTAGAATACATTTTTGTCTATTGTTATTTGTATTTGATTTTATTTTATTTTTAATAAGACAAATTAGTTATGATAGACTATACGGTATTACTTTAACGTTTATTTAATTTTTGTTAAAAAGACATACCTGTAGAGGCTTCAATAAACATCTCAAAAATCTTTTGCTGGTGGACGGCTACCTTGACAGGCTCAAACGAACGATCGGTGTTAAACATCAACAGATGGCCTCCCATACTGCCTGCTACAACAAGACGTCCACAAGAAGATGCTTGGAGCATAGCATATCCACGATAATCCTGATCACTGTGGACTGATTTCCAAGTACCAGGTTCGGTAGAAGCATCGAATTGGAGGAAATGACTGAAATATGTTTAACAGCTTAGTTTCTTTTAACATATAGGCATAGGTATAATACAAGACGATATAATTTAACGTACCCGTTGTTGGTAGCAACTATTGCTTTTTTGTCACTAGCCAGAACAAAGTTACGAACATAGTCATCTGTGAACTGAGGTGGGAGGGCAAGACAAGCCAAATCATCTTCAGATTCTAGTAAAATTATTAATATTGTTAATATTAATTATTATTATTTCTTTTTCTTTCTTTTTTCTTTTTTTTTTTTGGGGGGGGGGGATGTTATAACAAAATTAAAATAGTTTCTTTTCTTTTTTGCTTTGAGTCCCCCCCCCCCCCCCCCAAAAAAAAAAAAAAAAAAATTCGATATTTACCAATCTTGTTTTTTTTTATTGACACAAGGGACCACAAGCGGATACCAGAATCCTGACCACCTGTAGCAACCATCTTGTGTTCCGGACTAATCGCACAGCTCCACACGTTCTTTCCTACGTGGCCTTCCCAGCAAGCCAGGCAGTCAACATCCGAGGCGTTTTCTTCATCTTTACCGGTCAATAAACCGTTCTTCCACACTCTACATGTCAAATCCTTTTTATGTTTGTGTTTCTTTTATAGTAAGCAAGACAAATCCAGACCATCTATTTTATACATACCTCTGAAATGCTGACAAGATACTCATCCACAAATTGACAATCCCAAACACGAGCTGTGTGTCCAAAGATGATACAAGGATTTGGTATTCTAGAAAAAGAAAAAGAAAAGGTAAAATGATAATATTTTGTACTTTGTGTAATTCTTTATTTCTTACCTTCCTGTAGAATCTTCTTTCAAAGGCCAGACTCGGATTGTTCTGTCGTCTGACACACTTACTAGCATTGAATTGTCTGGACTAAACCGAACCCCAAAAATAACACCTTCATGGCCCACAAGTTTGTGGGACACTCGACCATCTCCTTCCTCGTCTCTTTCGCTAACTTTCCAGATATGTACCTGATTGAATACTGTTCCTGAAGCCAATTGAAGAGACGCGAGTGTGTGGCCAGAAAAGCGTGCAGAGTACAGAATGCATCGAACCTGACATTGGATTTGGTAAATACGCTCCGGAGTACTAGTGCTAATGTTGTAAATCTCGACGTAATTGTGGGCGTATGCAAGTGCAATTTCAAAAGGTACTTGATCCCATTGGTCTTGCTATTTAAATATATATATATTAATATATATATATTTATTTATTTACTGATAAGCACATTAATAATCACTTGCATTTTCTGGCTTTAACCACTGAGCGTCCATAATCCAGTCAGGAAAAGGTCCATATGCTTGAATTACTGAGATACTAAAGCAGAAAAATAGATAAAATTAGGTTACATACATTTATTTCAATTCGCTCACTCATTCATTTATTCAATAATACATATTTGTATCTGCATTGAATTTTAATTACCTGGCCTGGTTTTCAGAGACGTTCAATTGAACTATACTCAAAAATTTCGAGCCATATATAGCTAGTGTTCTTGATTCTGTTGATCCATTGTATACAACCCGAGGAACTTTATATGCATTTTAATATTTTGTATAATGTAAAGAAATATATATATATATATATATATATATATATATAATAAAAACTTGTATACTCATATATTTACCAGGAACAATACGATGGATTCTATTGGCTGGCAATACCTCTTCACAAGCCAAAAGAGATCCCGTCTGGACATTGTATACTTTCAAGAAAGGACCATGTCCTGCTACTAAAATAGACTCGCTGTGGAAAGTCAGGCTGGTTACAATACCAGCAAAAAGATCCTTTTGCATCGGCTTTGAAAAAAGAAAAAGAAAAATTATTTATTTATTTGTTTAATTGTTTAATTGTATATAGGCATTCATTTGCATGGCCTAAATCATAATCCGGGATTCATCATTGAGATTTCTGGATTTTTATTTTATATTTACCTCTTCGTGGACCGGAAATAAGCTCATGGTGAAAGTGTCAATGATCCTTTTTGGCGTCCTTGGTTCCCAAATAAAGACAGAGAATCTTCAAAGGTTCAGTCTCAGACTAGATGCGTATATGATATATCTTATATAATAAAAGACAGGAAAATGCATAGATAATGTATTGTGGTGTGTGTGTGTGTGTGGCTTGTGCGTATTTTATTTTTCTTTAAAATAAATGTACAAAAATCATGCAAGTTAAATGCAATACAAAGTACACCGCAAAGTAGAAATGATTGAGTAAAGAAAATGAAAGATATATGTTGAATATAAATATATATATATATATATTTCCTTTAGTAGAAATTCAATTGAACTTTTATCCAAGTACTTTATACATACTAATCTATTCCATATATTGTCTATTGAGATTACCATAAAATGTGGTAGGGAAAAGGCAGACTTGATTACCAATAAATAACGTATAGATTTGTGTATACTTGGAGGATTGGTTAATTGAAAGATACTTCTTTAACGAACTTTTAAAGAAGTCGACGCCGTGGAATTTATCAATTACTACACAAGTCTTTAGAATCGTACGCCCAAATATGTTTTGTTGAAATTAAACCAATTTATTTTATTTTATTTTATTTTTGAAGAAAAAAAAAAAGAGATATAATTGCTTGATTTCTATGGGCCACCCTGCCCTACACACACAAAAAATTTTCTCCCCCTTATATATATTATGTACAAAATAAGAAGCCTTGTTATAAGTCTTGGCTCAAAGGATAAAAGACTTGATTGTATTTAATTTCATTCTATTCTGTTTAACTTTCTTTTTTTTTTTAAATCTTTTTTTTTTTTTCTTAATTTTTTTTTTATCCTTTTGGTCTTGGAAATTCATGACGCCAGCAAACGTGACTTGCACCAAGGGTAGGAAGTATGTCGCGACAAAACACAAGTGTGTTTTCAACCGTATCCGGTAAATTGCACTATCTTAAACGTTATGGCCCTTCGCACGACGACCACCCGACTCTTGAATGCACGTCTCGCCGCTGCCAGCAGACCCTCTATGCTGGTTGTTCGTGCTCAGTCAACCTTGAACACCGGCAAGGTTGTTGAGGATCCCCAGATTGGCGACTACCCCAACCTTCCTTACAACAGCAGCCAGGCCCGTGGACCTTTTGGCTGGTGGGATCCCCAGGACAAGCGTAACTTTGGCGAGAATGTAAATGAGGATTTTGGATGAATAAGAGACGAGATTATCTTTTTTTATTATTATTATTTTTATTTATTTTAGATTGGGGTTATAAATGATGACTGACATTATATAAATGTGTGTCTATTGTATGTTGGATGGGATGTGTATATGAATAACAGGTTCATGAAGAAGACGAAATTATGGGTGTCTGGGCTCCTGATCTGCATACATACAGCCCTTACAAGGCTCTTGCTCAAATTGGTGTGTTCTTTGCTTCAATGGCTGCTTTTGCTGGTTTCATCTACAAGGTTAACCCCGAGCGTCCTGTGGTGAGTATTATATAAATGTATTTGTGATATAGCTAGGAAGAAAAAGGGATTATAAAATGAAATGAAATGCAATGCAATTTAATTTAATTTAATATAATAAAATTTAATTTAATTTAATTTAATAAAAATAATAATTTGGAATCTAATGTTCAAAATACCACAATAGATCCAGCGTACTTATCCTTTTGGTGGATTGACCGAGGAACTTGGTGCTCGTGAGGCCGATATCCGTCCTCGTGGAGTAAGTTGATGATAATAATGACAGCATTAATAATTGTATTTGATATTAACCTTTTATTTTATTTTATTTTATTTTATTATCAATTTCTGTTAAAAATTATTATTTCAAATAAAAACCTAACAGGCTCGTACTGAGTAATGCTTTTATTATTAGCTTATTTTTTATATATAATTTTTTTTGGTAATAAAAAATAAATAAAAAACTATATATACAAATTACATTTAAACATATTTGTGCGTTTGTGTGTATAAAAATATATATTGTGTGTAAATTGCCGTTTAACCTACTAAAAAAGAAAATCTAGAAAAAATACCGTTAAAAATGTGCGTAGATCTATTAGAGAAAAGGAGAGACTGCGAGATTTGTGTACCCAGAATAGCAGAATACTAGAGAGGTTTGTTAGTTGTCCTCCTCTAAACAGAGAGATTGGGAATGAGATCGGACTTGTGACCACTTAACATTCTACAAGAGAAGGTTCTAAAGAAAAAGACCGATGAGAAGTCTTTATTTTTATACTTACAAAGGTCGGCCAGTTCCGCTAATTTTCCTCTTCTTCCTCCTCCTCCTTCTCCTTGTTTTCTTTGAAAATCATGAAGATAATTCCAATCCAGGCCCTTGAAAACAACTATTCTTATATTCTCATTGATGAAAAGACAAAAGAAGCAGCAGTTATTGATCCTATGGAGCCTATCAAAATTTTGAATGTCATTAGTCAAACCGGTGCAAAATTATCGAGGTTTGTTCCAAAAAACAAAATAATTTGTCTATTTATCTTTGAAGCATCAATACTAATAAAGAGACAAACAAATGTATTATGATACCACAGTGTATTTACTACTCATCATCATTGGGATCATGCAGGTGGAAATATTGAGCTGGTAGGCAAGTATTTTCTGTGTGAAACAGTCGAATGATGTTAATTTATAATGAATTTTATTCAATGTAGCCAAAAAACCCGGGTTAGCGGTTTATGGTGCCGATGCTCGTATTCCGGAGATCAACTATGTTTGCAAAGACCGTGAAGAATTCAAGCTTGGCTCACTGGATATCACACCGCTGCATACTCCTTGTCATACAAAAGGACATGTGTGCTATTATGTGGTCGATCCAGCAACAAATGAAAAGGCCGTATTTACTGGAGAGTAAGCTATCATTACTATCAATATAAATAATAATAATAATAATAGACTGATAAACGACATACACATCTACTAAACCAATCTCTAGCACTCTATTCGTAGCTGGAATTGGCAAATTTTTTGAAGGCGATGCCAGAGACATGTACCGAATTCTGTTTCATGTAATAAACAAGTTACCAGATGATACCTGGATCTATTGTGGACACGAGTACACAAGAGATAATTTAAAGGTAATAAATACACACACATACATACATACATACATACAAAGGGAAAGAATGATTTTGTGCGTATATTATTATTATTATTATTATTATTAACTATTTGTTTTCTATATATTATAAATAATAGTTTGCCTTGACCATTGAGCCACAAAATGAAGCACTTCAGGCAAAGTGGGCTTGGTGTCAAGATAAGCCAATCACGGTACCTTCTACTATTGGACAAGAGAAGATGTATAACCCCTTTCTACGTGTAAATGAACAGTCTCTCCAAATGGTAGTGGGGAAGAGTGATCCAGTCGAGGTGTTGCATTCTCTGCGGGAGATGAAAAATAACTTTCGCCTCATGTGAATTATATACAAGTCCCCCTTCCCCTATTACACACAACCACACAACATTCAGCTCACACGCAAAAAAAACAAGCACAAGCACAAGCACAAGCTCAAGCTCAAGCACAAGCACAAGCACGAGCACAAGCATAAACACAAGCACAAACACAAGGACAAGCACGCATTTATAATACTTCTATAACTTAAACATGGTGTGAGTGTGTAAAGAGAGAGAGAGCGAAATCCATATCATTTACTTTTGTACAGACCAAACTCACAATACAGATTCATTTATACTTTTAATAAGAGCTTATAATTTTTGATACAAATTTATATATATATATAAAAATATACATATAAAAAGTACAATTTATTAATTCGATCAATATACAATTTTTTGTTTTTATTTATATATTTGTTAAGCAAAGAAATATACTTGCGTATTCACATAAAGGGGGGGGGGGGGGTTTAAAAAAAAAAGAAGGAAAAAATTTGATATCCTTAAACATCATCAAGGGCAATACGTCCATCTCTGCGTCTCTTCCACCAGATATACATAAAGTAAATTAGGTATGCAAGAATGGCGGCTCCCATCATGACACCAAGTACGATAAAGATCACACTCCACCAGGAAAGTCCACTGACGGAACTATCATCATAGGGCATCAATAGACGGTCAATCTCGATAACACCGCCACCAGTTGAGGATCTTCCGACATCAGTTACATCGGCACCCTCTTGAAGACTGCCCTTGACACTGACCGAGTATCCCATGGGTGTAGTGCGGATCACAATCTTATCATCATTTGATAGCAAGGTATCAAAATCAACACCCGCCAAGGTAATCTCGCGGTGGATATCATTATCATTGTAGGTGCTACCCATGTCAAACAACGAGTCATCGCGCTTGCCGTTCAGCATATTCACACGTGGGATAAGGGTAGGAAGGATGTGGAGTTTGACAACACGCTTCAACTTCTCATGATCATTAATCAGTTCCTCGAGATCGATCTTGGAGATGGCCTTGTCGGAAGGAGCAAGGATGGTGTAGTGTTCGTTGGGTCCGTCCAGGATTTCCTTGCTGAGATCCACGCGGCGCAGGAGATCCAAGAAGCTGGTGCTGGTCTGGGCAGAAAGAAGGTCTCGGTTGGTCACCTCGAGGGACTTTGGCAGCTCGACACGGTCAATCTTGTGCACAACACCGTTAGAGACCAGGGTATCGTATTCAACAATCTTTGCAATAACCGATCGATCAGACCCATCGGCGGCTCCAGACCCACGCAGATAAATTCCATCTCCTGTTTTGTTCAGGACGAGATCAGAGCCTTGCAGAGTAGTAACCTTGTGCTCGCCCTTCTCGGTCTCGGCACCGTAAAACAGGCGCTTGACAGCATGAAACTTGATGAGTTCCTGCAATTTGTTCTTCGAGTCGGGGTGTAAAAGGTGCTTGTAAAGCAATCCAAGACGTCCAAATGCATCATTTGTAGGTGCAAAAAGAGTGATTCCCTTTGCGTCGGTGATAACGTCCTCGGATGAAGAAGCATAGATTGCAGCCACGAAGGAAGACAGCTCAAGATCGACAGGAAGGCGTCTGAGGGGATCACGAGGGAGGTCAAGGGGACGGTGGATTGGGTACATGATGCTCTCTTTGGAGTTATCTATGATAAATGAACATAAATATATCAATATAAGTTTTGATAAGTTTTGAAAAGTTGACAACTTACATGGTGAACCAGCTGTTCCTGAACGACCAAACTGGATGTTTTGTTTAAGAGCATCGTCTTGATCATTTACATGGACACGGAGACGTTGCTTTGCATCACCAAGCTGGTCGGTAGATTCGGTCTGGAGAAGAGCACCGTTTACGAAATCCTTGGGGTTGTAAACACGGTCAATGATGTGGTACTTTAGCCATGAGACAGTTTCTTTTTTAGAGAGATCGGTGGTCTCCAAAGCCTCATCAGTGGGAACGATGAATGTGTAGCCACGAGTGTCGGCCTCTTTGAGATAGTTACCGAGACCATTATCTTCCAAAAGATTGACAAACTTGGTGGCATTCATGGCAAGCATAGTCTTGCGAGTATCAAAGTCCCAGAACTTCTTTGAGGGAAGAATTGAGCCTTCAAGGTAGTGAATTACACCTAAGAATATTATTTATTTATTTTCATTTGTTTTGTTTTTAGTATATTATTGTTTATTGTCAAAAGTTGGTTATTTGTATAAATCATACATACCATTTGAGACCAAGATATCAGAGCGAATGATACGGACACCGTTGACGGTAATCTTGCCATGCTTAGTTTTAGTGATTTCAAGATCCTCACCCCATGTCTTGAGTTGGCTGGTGCCTTCAGGAATCTCGTGTGTGTAAAGAAGAGAGTTGTGGATCTGATGGCCCAAGAATTTCTTGAGATCGTCTTTAGCAGAGGGGCTGTGAAGGTAAGACTTTTGTTTGTCATCAAGTCCGTCCAGGTTATCTTCGGCAGTAAAGATTGTGTAGCCGTCTGAATCACTTAGTTTGTAGATCAGGTCGGTCTTGGAAGCAAGTTCATTAAAGCTGTGAAGATCTTTATCCTTTTGCAATGCTCGATCTATTAAAGAATAATAATGTTATAAAATATATTAAGACAATATCATGTATTTAATGGTTTAATTATATAGTATAATATCAAAATAAAAATAAAAAGAGCTATAATGTCTTGACCAAGTTTTGTCTTTATGTCTTTATGTATATGTATATATATTACTATTTGTTATTATTAATATTAAGCGAGGAAACTTACCCAAATCCAACGGCGCTGTCAAGAATGTATCAATACTGTGAACGACACCATTGTCAGCCAAAAGATCACGTTCTTTGATTTGTATGTTTCCGACATAGATGCCATTGTCATCTACGTTAACCTTGATCATCTGGGGAATTTCGTTTTTGTAATATAGACTCTTGAGTAGCTGGCCATCGTAGAGGTTTTCGGATTCAACAGCAACAGGCAGAATGTGGTACAGAACATCATTTGTGGTAATCTTGCGAGTTGTCAGAAAGTAAGCACTTTCTTTTTCCTGATACTTCTCAAAGGCTTCGTTGAGAGGTGCAAGTACTGTCACATTATCGCCGGTAAGATCCTTTTTTAAGCCATGTTCGTTTATAAACTTGACAAGAGATGAAAAGTCAGGGTTATTGTTCAATAGATCATAGACAGTCTTTGGTCGCTCTTTTGCAAAGACGCCATGATTGGTGACGCATGCTAGCAATGCTAGTGATAAAAGAAGTATATTTATAAAATTCCTTTTCATTATTTATTTATTTATTTAAAAGAAAAGAATAAGAATTCTAATAAAATGAGCCATCATCTTTATATACTAGTTAGTTGTTGATAAAATTTTATTTCATTCTCATGTTAGACTCTGATGGTATTTGACGTCATTGGTTTCATATAGACTATGCAGACCTTGTTGATACAAACTCAATATTCAAAGATCTATTGTTGTCAGTAAGGGAGAGCTAAACAAATAAAGACTTGCTTTTAACACATATAAATACAATACTAAAATTATGACTTCAGAATGCGCAAATAATCTAAAGGTAATACTTGTTGTAATTAAATGTTCTTATAAAAGAAAAGAAAAAAAGCCGTATTACTATAACAAGAGATACAACTTTAAGCACAATCATGTCTTATATATTTATTTATTTAGGAGGACTTTCTGGCCGTGGAAATTTTGGATTTTATTTATTACAAGTTAAAATTCTGGTAGGAATATGAATGGGTCCTAGGAACATTAATCTGTTTTTTTTTTAAAAAAAATAAATAAATAATTATAATTCTTGTGAATTTACCGTAACTTTAGAGATTTATAGTTTTGACAGTTTCCTATTTCTAAAGTTTCTGTAACTCTTGTGAATTCTAAGAAATTGGTCATGGAAATCTTTTCACTATTGTTATATTATTTTGAAGAAGAAGAAAATGATAGATCGATATTGTACATATATATTCTCCTATTCTTTATATTACACCATTTAATAGTCAAATCTTTGTGTTCAGGGTGAGCAATACTATGTTCCCTTTTTTATTATTATCTTAGATCTTCAAGATAAAATATAATTAATTAAGAACAAAATGAATAATTCATCTTTGTTCGATATAAAGGTTATTTCTATTATACATTTTTTTTTTGCTGTTCCGTCAATCAGATTCAAATTATATATTCTAATTATATAAAATGTGTGTATTAGTTTAGGTCAAAGAAAGAAAAAAAAAGAGACTCTCCCAAGCCAAGTCAAGCCAAAAGGTGAGATTTGATTTGCTGATGTACATACAGAAAAAAAAAGGATGCATTTAGGTTTATATTAAAGATGGCACCAGATCTGACTGTAAATGATCATATCCGACTTATCACTAAAAAAGGGGACAAGACACATTCAGAAAGTTGCGTAATCATATGTGTAAAGGCGCAATTGTGACTTTATAATATTGAATTTTCTTTTCTTCTTTTTTTTTTTTTGGCCCTGAATTTTTTTTTTTTTTTTTAGTTGTTGCTTTACATAAATTTTATGCATTAAACCAAAAACCAAAAACTATTTATCACACTCCCTTTTTCCGTATTTTTCGCTCTTTCTCTCTCTCTTTGTGTTTGGTTCTTCAGAATTTATCACAGTACTTTAGAATGACCAGTGGCTCTTCTATAAAGGAAGGATCTCCTATTATCAAGGATTCTGGCCAGGAAAACAACTATGGTTCTACAAGCGATAATGTATCTACCTCTAGTACTCAAGATGATCAAATCACTATAACTTTGAAGCCAACTTCTGAGGATGACCACCCAGATCTTACAAAGTACATGGGAAAGGCCTCCTTATCAGTCTTGGTTACCTGGTAAAACAAATTAATCTTAGCAACAAATAAAACAGATTAAAATAGTATTATTAATATTAATCTTAGTTTATGCACTGGTTGCTTCTTGTCTGCCATGGACTCTTCAATTGTAACCACAGTCTTCAATGAAATCGGCACAGAGTTTAAAAAGTAAAGTAAAACAAAAAAGAGAATCTTTTCTGTGGTGAGAAATATCCAACAAAATAGTCTAATATTAATCCGTCAATTCATTATCCCTTTATGTATTTAGCTCCAACTTATCTGTCTGGATTATGACATCTTATATGCTCAGTACTTCTGCCGTACAGCCTTTGTGTAAATGATTTATATATATATATATATATATGCAGGGGTTGTATTTCTGATATTATTCTAACATCAAGTTGAATTGAATCAAATCAAATCAAATTGAATTTGTAGATGGAAAGCTGTCGGATATATTTGGTCGTAAAAACACATTGGTCGCAATCCTATTGTTCTTTTTGATTGGATCTTGGTTATGTGGTGCAGCCAGAACTATGTTGGAGCTGTCAATCGCAAGAGCTATTGCAGGTCTTGGCGGTGGTGGGTTGATGACAATGGCCTCGGTTGCAATCCATGACCTTGTACCAATGAGAAGTAGAGGACAATACCAATCATATGTAAACATGGCTCACACCGTAAGTTTTTTTTTTTTTTTTTTTTAAAAAATAATAACAAAAATAATATTGATAATGGTGCAAAATCAATTGATAATTTGCTAATTTATTTATTTTTAAAATTAAATAAATAAATCTATAAGGTTGGTGCTACAGTGGGCGCACCTTTGGGAGGTCTTATCAACGACATGTTTGGATGGCGTTATTGTTTCTACCTAAACTTGCCACCATGTTTAGTGATCCTGTATATCTATGTCTACAGACTAGAGAACTACAACCTTGCGGTCTCAAAGTCAAATGAACCTCTGAGCGAAAAGATGAAGAACGTTGATTTCGTGGGAGCACTTATACTCCTCACAGCCAATGTCACGTTTGCCACGGGTGTTTCATTGGGTGGAAACACACATCTTTGGAGCGATCCTTTTATTGTCGCACTCTTGGTCATTGCCGGAATATCCTTTGTTAGCTTTGGATTTTACGAGTTCTATGTGGCCAAAAAGCCATTGGTTTCTCGTGAATTGATCAGAAACAGTAATCTGGTTTCTGTGGTCCTCAATAACCTTTTCTTGTGTTCGGCTACTATGGGTATCGGTTATTTGGTCCCTCAGTTCTTTATGGTAAGCAAATAAGATTATATTAGATTATATCATATTATATTTATTAAACTTGTGTGTGTTTTTTTTTCTTAGGGTGTATTGGGTTATAATGCTTCTTCAGCTGGTCTGTGGGTACTTCCTAGAACTGCCATGGTAACTATTGGATGTTGGGTTGCTGGTCGTTACTTGGCTGTCACTGGCCGCTACAAAAAATATATTGTGGTCTTTTCGGTCGTAAATGTGGGAGCCACGGTATCCCATTTCCTTTGGACCTCTACTACTCCAATGTGGGTTCAATTTTTAAGCATGAGCGTAGAAGGCTATTGCTTTGGAACACTCTTTGTAGCCACCATGGTAGCTCTTGTAGCAGACATTTCTCGTACAGGTAAAACAAGAGAAAGATCATAGGATTTATTTCCTTCTGTGTGTGTGCGTGTGACACGATATTGACTTGAACAATTGTACATCATTTAAGAAAATGCTTCTGCCACGTCCATGATGTTCTTGTGCCGAAGCACTGGTTGGTTGACCGGAAGTACTGTGACGGCTGCTATTCTTCAAGCCAATCTCAAGAAGAATTTGACTGCTTCTATCAAAGGTCCTGATGCACCAAAGGTATATTGAAAATAATAATAATTTTTTTTTTTTGGAAGATAGAATATATGAATTTAACTATTTTTATATATAAAAATAGATTATCGAGTTTGTACGCACTTCGATTACAAAGATCCGCACTTTGCCTCCAGATATCCAGATTGTTGTTCTTGCTGCCCTTGAAAAATCTATCCATGTTACCTTTTGGTATGCTATTGTCTGTTCGTCTCTGTGCTTCTTGGTGACATCTTTGTTTATGAAAGATTGTCACTTGAGCTCAGGAAAGAGCAAATAATACTTATATACATATAGAAAACAAAAAAAAGCATCAAGTATATACACATATACTCATATATACATATATACATATCCAATTCAAATTCAAATTCCAATACTACTACCCCCACACCCACATATTTATTTATTTTATATATATCCTCATTGTCTAAAAACCAAAAGTTTGATTCGAGAGACTATTAAGTTATAGATTCACAAAAGGAAGATGATTTATATACAAGTGTTATTGAATTGGTTATTTGTGACAATATATAGGTTAAGAGAAGAAGTGAAAAACAATGTATGACTAGCAATATAGACGCTTTCAACATTTTACTGTCCTGTCACTTATTCGCTATGAGTAAAAGGGTGTTGGAAGTTTTATTTAGAAAAAAAAACCATTAAAGGGGTACTCAGTTGTGATAAAGGAATATATAAATGTAAACCATTCTTTATTCTTTTTGCATTCTAGAGTGGTCGGTCACAAAGTATATTATTGGCCAAACCTAAAGCTTTGTACGTTTTTTCTTTCTTTAACAATATATATATATACAGACTCATTGTTATTATTTTTATTTTTTTTGCGATAAATGAAAAATGAATTCATCACAAAAAAATACGTACTTCTTTATTTCTTGGGAGAGCAGATATCTTAATATGGCAAGGCAAAAAAAAGAAACGTCTGGGATTTAAATTTTATCATATTACTATCATTTTCTAAGAAAACGAAATTGGGCTCTGGAAACACTGAGCAAAAAAAAAAAATAAAAAAAAAAAGAGAGAAAAAGTTTCGCTTGGCCTATCGGAGCATCTGATGACATCTCGAAACGATGAAGCTTCTCCGTATCCCAAAAACCCCGCGCGCGTCTGGAAAAAAAAAATAGCGAAATAGCTTGAAACACACTTCTTGTTCTTTAGTTAGAACTCCTTTTTCCTTATTCTCTTTTTTTTTTGTTTTAAATTATCAAGTAGTCCAAGATGGTCAACCCTATCAATGCTCGCGAGGCTTTTGAGCTCCACAAAACTGCTGTTACCCGAGACTTTATCGCAAAACCACGATTGGGTAAAGAATAAGACAGAGATGTGTTGCATACACATAATTCAGAAACAAGAAACAAGAAACAAGAAAGAAAGAAAAAAGCGTGGGCATCTTATTTGTCATAAAAATAAATAAATAAATGAATAAATAAATAGATTACCGTACCGTTACTGGTGTCAATGGTCCTCTTGTTATTCTCGACAATGTCAAGGTGAGCTCATCTCAGTCGAAACACTTTACAATAAAGCAAGCGCACAAGCCAAACACTCTTTTCCCCTTTCTACAAACACACACACACACATATATATATACAAGCTTGGAATATCAAACAATATAAATACATTATAAAATAAAGGGAGGAAAAGAAAGAAAAAGAGGCAGAAAGATGTGCTTGACAGTTTCTATTGTCGCCTTGCCAAGAAGGAAATCAAGAGATGATCAAGGTTATCGATTTCTTGTTGTTTATCAAGCTTTGTTTCTTTGGCTGTTGTTAGTTCCCCAAGTTCTCTGAAATTGTCAACTTGACTCTTCCCGATGGTTCCGTCCGTGCTGGTCAGGTTCTTGAAGTCCAGGGAAAGAAGGCCGTTGTTCAGGTAACGCAACGCGACAAGATTTCGGGATTTTGTCTCTGTATTTTATATTCAAACAAAAAGGGGGGAAGGAGGGAAAAATTCTCGAGATTAATCAAAAAGCCAAAAATTATAAATGTATACAAAACTGTTTAGGTCTTTGAGGGCACTTCAGGTATCGATGCCAAGCAGACACACGTTACCTTTACTGGTAACACCCTCAAGGTCCCTGTTTCTGAGGACATGCTGGGTCGCGTTTTCAACGGTTCCGGAAAGCCTATTGATAAGGGTCCCAAGGTGTTTGCAGACGATTATCTGGATGTAGATGGTAACTAAAACGATACCTTGTCTGGGCACCTGTTATGCCCATTCCACCCATCAACAACAACAAAATATGGTATTCTTTTGTTTTTGAAGATCTGATCTCATCTTTATATAACCATAGGTTCACCCATCAATCCCTCCTCCCGTATCTACCCCGAGGAGATGGTCCAGACCGGTATCTCTGCCATTGATACCATGAACTCCATTGCCCGTGGTCAGAAGATCCCTATTTTCTCTGCTGCTGGTCTTCCTCACAACGAAGTAAGTTCAATAAATAAATAAATAAATAAATAATATAGAAAAACATTTTCTAATTTTATAAAAACAAATATATGTATAGATTGCTGCCCAGATCTGTCGTCAGGCTGGTCTTGTCAAGAAGTTGATGCCTACCAAGGATGTCCACGATGGCCACGAAGATAACTTCTCTATCGTTTTCGGTGCTATGGGTGTCAACATGGAGACTGCTCGTTTCTTCAAGCAAGATTTCGAGGAGAACGGTTCCATGGAGCGTGTCACTCTCTTCTTGAACTTGGCCAACGATCCTACGTAAGCAAAAGAAGTGAAATAGACATGAATTTGTAGAGAATAAGGAGGAAGAGAAAAAAGAATTTCCAGACTCTTGAAATTTGTACTTGGATTTATATTTATAGTTATATTTTGTCTTTGGCATCATAGTATCGAACGTATTATTACTCCTCGTCTGGCTTTGACTACAGCAGAGTACTATGCATACCAGCTTGAGAAGCATGTGTTGGTTATCTTGACAGACATGAGTTCTTATGCAGATGCCCTTCGTGAAGTTTCTGCTGCCCGTGAAGAAGTTCCCGGTCGTCGCGGTTATCCAGGTTACATGTACACCGATTTGTCCACCATCTACGAGCGTGCTGGTCGTGTTGATGGCCGTAACGGTTCTATCACTCAGATCCCTATTCTGACCATGCCTAACGATGGTAAATATAAAAACGTTAAAAAGATATAGAACACAAAAAAAACCCCAAAAACACCAACAATACATACTCCTGAATTTAATATATGGATCCCCCCCTCTCCTCCCCCAAAAAAAACCTTACACCCTTTGGAAGTGCATTGTGTGTGTGTGTTTTTATTAATCAATCTTTTATTCTTCTTCTTCTTCTTCTTCTTTTCGTTCAGATATCACCCATCCTATTCCCGATTTGACAGGTTACATTACTGAAGGTCAGATCTATATTGATCGTCAACTCTACAACCGTCAGGTCTACCCCCCTATCAACGTCTTGCCTTCCTTGTCTCGTCTCATGAAGTCTGCTATTGGCGAAGGCATGACAAGAAAGGATCACGGTGATGTTTCTAACCAGCTGGTAAAGTATCTTTTTTATTTTTATTTCTTTCTTTCTTATTATTATTAACTCCTTTGATTTCTATTGCTTTCTTTTAGTACGCCAAATATGCTATTGGTCGTGACGCTGCTGCCATGAAAGCCGTTGTTGGTGAGGAAGCATTGAACCAGGAAGATAAGCTTTCACTTGAGTTCTTGGAGAAGTTTGAAAAGACTTTCATTTCCCAAGGTATGTTATGAAACAGTACATTTTTTTTTGGTTTGGTTTGGTTTGTTTGACTTGTTCTAATAATAATAACTCTCTTTTTTTAAAAAAAAAAATCAAATTAGGTGCATATGAGTCAAGAACTATCTATGATTCTCTTGATCTCGCATGGTCTCTTCTCCGTATCTTCCCCAAGGAGCTCTTGAACCGTATTCCTCAGAACATCTTGGCTGAATACTATCCCCGTGACCGCAAGACCAAGCGATCCAAGGGTGTCTTTGATACCACCGAGGAAGCAGAGTAAAAGAAAGAAATGAAATGAAATGAAATGAAAAGAAAAGAAAAAGGATATATATATATATATTTTTACCATCAATACCACTTTCTTTATATATATATATATATATATATATATATAACATATAACATATATAAAAAAGGAGAAAAAAATAACCAGGACACACATAATATATACGAAAAGGATATATGAAGAAATCTGCTTTTCCAAATTTATTATGATTTGTTGTTATGCTTTTTATGGGTTTTCTTGTTTTCTTTCTTTCTTTCTTTCTTTCTTTTATTATTATTAAATATATTATATATTATGTATATAAAGAGGATCAAGCAAGGAGGAATTCCATATATATAAATATGTACAAAAAAATAATATGATATGGGACTTGTAATATAAATATAAATATAAATATAAATATGTGGGAGAACATAATAGCTATATTTTTATCTCCCATGCAAAAGGCCAAACTTGGATTAAAAGAAAAGTGACACGGTTGGCTATACAACGATACGATACCAACCAAAAAGCCACCTTCTTCTTTACTGGCAAAACTTGTCTTTTTTTTTTTTTTAAAAAAAATAATAATAATTATTTATTTATATTAATGCAGAACAATGCATTTTACGTATTTCTTATTTCATATATAATTATCTTTTCTCTTCTTCCTATTCCTCTTTCACTTTCACTTTCTTTCTCTCTTTATTTACAATGAGTACTATATCATTACAAACCCACACAACCAGTAATAAAACACCAACAGTTGTTTCTTCTTCAAGAGAAACTTCTACACCTACACCTCTTCCAAGACAGAGAAAGGTCTTGTTCGAGGCAGAACCAAGAGCAGTCATTATGCCTGCAAAATCTCTATCTCCAGTTGTTCCAAGATCCCGTGCAAGACTCAATAGTACTGGCAGTGCCAATAGCCAAACGAACCCAAAGATTCCGAGTTACCCACTTCCTACATTTTCTCATGTCAAGAGCAAGATCGGTAGCAAGGAAAATAAAAAGAAACCACAAAAACGTAAATATTATCTATGCGCATACAATTAAATAAACAAATACATTTTATGTGTGGATCAAGAATATTAATTTTTGTGCATTAGTTGCGCCAAAGGAAGAAGTCCTTGAAAAGAAAGGACTGCGTGTTTTACAGGGTCCACCAAAACGAAAACGATCCAAAATACCTTTACGCAAGAAACATTCGGCTGGAACTCAACCAGCCAACACAGCTCTTCGACATCCTTCCTCTTCTTCTTCCTCTTCTTCTTCTTCAACATCATCATCCTTATCTGTTTCTCATCCTTCTCCTCCTCCTCCTCCTACTCATCCTCCTATTTTAGCTGCTTCATCTACTGGTTCTTCTGTTTGTGCGGTTTCTGCAAGGTAAAACAGCCTACAGTAATTAAAGACGACTAATTTCAAATACATACATACACACAAACGCAAACCTTTTTTTTTTTTTTGGTTTTTGTTTATTAAAAATATATATATATATAATTTATTTTGATTCCACTGCTAATACATACATCTCTTTATTAGACCTAGAGTAATATCTTTCAATATTCACCAAAACACAAGTGGTATTGTCAGATTAACAGCCGAATTGTGTGATCTTAATATCGATATCAAGGAACATTCAAGCTCTCGATGAATACAATCAAGCAATAAGGAGAAGGAAGAGTTAAAAGAAAAAAAAAAGTACCTAAAAAAGAGACAGGCTACTCCTTTCCTTTGAATGATCAACCAATGTGATGGCCAAACTTAAAATCAACAATATATTATCTATCTATCTATCTATTTTTTTTTTTAAAAAAAAAGAAAATTGTAACCTCCTTCTTGCTAGTTCTAGAGTAAGGAAAGCAAAGCAAAGCAAAGCAAAGGAAGAAGCACAACAAACAACAAGCTTTTATTGTTATCTATTTATTTAAAAATATATATATATATATGTGCTCATCAAGGCTTTTGCACTAATGGCTTCATGTAGAGTGTGGGTGTGCATGACATGATACTAAAAGAAAAAAAAAAACTAGGTCGGATGGCGCAATAGATATATTATGTTTTTGTATGTATGCACTGATCGATACTGCAGTAATCGAGTCTAGAAATTAAAGATATTGGCAATTTACCTATTGTGATTTTATGATCAATTGATTACTTATAAATCTTTTTTTTTTGCTGCTTATCGGGGAACATGCCAAGATGGAAATTCAAACATGTTACACGATTCTTTATGTATTACACGGTCCGGTCAAAGTCAAAGTCAAGGTCGCTGTAAATTTTAAACCTTTTTATTTCTATATATATAAAGATAGCGTGGAGAGTATTGCATAGCCTTTAGAGTCCACAGTAGAGAAAATATACACAAGTGTAGTACAATTATAATAGGCCTAGATACATACGCATACATCTTGTACAGGCTTACAGAAAAACCAGTAACTAAATCACATCCATAAGGATAAAATTATAGACACAATATTTAGTTTTGACAAGGAGATTCATCCTTATATGGTATATTCTTGAGTATGGCTAAATTGATTTAGCATATCTAGTATTCTTTTGCTCAAATAAATAAATAAATAATATCTACACTTGTAACCAGCTATTCTTTCAAGTCAATTATTAATTTTAGTTATCAAAGAACAATAGCCTGATCGAGGACATCAGTCTAGTTCCACACTGGTTATCAAGAGGATTATAAATTGTTTCGGTCAAGCTCAGATCAGGGAGGTAAGTTAATATCTTCAAAGGAGAGAATATACATTTGCATATATTATGAAGGAGATGTTAGTTATTAACTATTAATTATAATTAATATTAATATTTGAATGCCAAAAGCAAAAACAGCAAAAACAGCAACAACAAAAAAAAAGTCAGTGCTGGTTAATATACAATTATTATTTTTGAGAAAAAGCCTTATTCATAAGCCAAGTATCATTTAGGAATCACATAAAATTTCTTTTTGCAGCAAGGCTTTAAAGAGAACATAATAAAATCTTACAGAACTTTTATATTCAATCACACAAAACCATGTATATTTACTGTATTTTGAGTCATTAATGACCATACATATCAAACAATCAAACGTCGTACTCTAAGCTTTGTTGACTCGCAGTAAAATCTTCAATCATATAAGTATATATAGACAGGCTTTCTTTTAAAGAATCACAAGGTGAATAAATACAGCATCTTCAAATATTACCATATCTTTTATTCTCTTTTTATACTGCCCTTGTAATTTTTGTTTTATGAAAGGATCAGTTCATCTTTATACAATTCTTTTAAAAAAAATAAGCTATTGAGAACACAAGTACTACTGATTAGATATAAAATTTCAAAGCCTTTCAAGGAGTTATAGGCTGTACAATCCTTTACTGCGGCTCTAATTAATTGTTTTTACCTATTATATTTACAGAAACATGATGTTTAGAAATAATACTAAAATTCTATATAGTAATAGACATAATAAACACTATTTAGGATGTCTTATTTCACTTGAAAGTGCTTATAAAAGAAATAAGTCCTCAAGATCAAGGATCTAGTTTTTACAAATAACAAACAAGATATTACAGCAAGTAAAATTTCAAAGGTTGAATCGACTTTATTATTCTTATTGTAGACATGTTTCGCTTAATAAAAAGCATACAGATTTTTTATAGTCTTATGGAGTTGGAAGTAGTAGAGTGCAAGCACATGCTGATGAACATGCCCCAAACATAGCATTGCATCCTAGAATCGCAGGAGACGCAACTGCAGCGGCAATTGTACCAAAGACTGCACCGGCACATCCGTAACAAGTCATAACACCAGCAGCACAAGCCGATTGACAGAGACCATAGACACAAGGACCTGCATAAGTAGCAGATACGAGGAATGAAATAATAAACGCAACAAAGAGGGCAGAACGCATGATTATTAAAGCTTGTAATAGATGTGAAAAAGAAGATTCATATAAGTATAGAGTTGTCTTATTTTATACTTTAAAGAAATGTTGTCTATCAAGTATATTGATATATTTTTAACAGAAAAAAAAACAAGTCAAAGAGTTGATTTATTGTACTAGAACAAAGGCTTTTATGAAATGTATCAGATCGTCCTTATTTAAAAGACGAATAAATCCAAAACATCTTGATCAAATCGATCCTAATTGATGCAATATACTGATTCTGTGGATCTATTTTCTAATAGTGCATTGTTCTTTCTTTCTTTAAAAAAAAGAATAAAACTAAAATTCTTTACCAGAAGGTGGTTATAATACTAATATCCCAGGTTTTTTTTTCTTAATGAATAATATATGCACTATAAGCATAATTGGCTTGGTGAAATTAAATCTGATCAAACCACTATTAGAGCATCTCAAACAGTTTGCTAAATTTTATCTTTCGTAAAACCAAAAAACCGCCAAATCAGCTAGGAAAAAAGCTACTTGACTTAACAGTTCAAATTATCCTTTTTTTTTTTTGAAATAAATTTTGAGAGCCTTTTCAGTTAAAACTTTTAAATCCCTGTCAAATTTAGCATAAATATAAAATTCAGGACAATAAATTGTTCGTAAAGTAAAATAAATTGAGCTGTTGGGGGGTACCACTTGTAACTAACAGTTTAGATTTGACATAAAAAATTGAGATAAAAGTGGCTGTTGGAGATGCCCTTAAATTTTAATTTACATAACCGTGTAAAACTCTCATAATTTTACTCCAAACACACACACAGCCAAAACTATTCAACATACCTACTACCAACAGCACAACAGCTTGTTCTTTTAATTAACTTACTAATATATAGTTTTTTGTAAGCTACCAGTTAAAGCTTATTGATTATATATCTATAAAGCTCTTTGGATTAGAAATCCAACATCTTATTAGGTAATGCTATAATAGTACATGTATAATGAGAAAAGCATGGCTTTAAAACCTTGACATATTTTACATAAGTTCTGTATAATTATTGTTTACACTCCAAAAGGTGATATAGGCAGTGTTGGTTTATATGATGAAGTGGCCCAAAAGCTTAAAGAAAAGATAAGAATAGGTATTGCTCTTCTCTAACAAATCCTTAGCCCGCATATTGGTATTTCGCAGCTTGTTTTTTTAAAGAAAAATAAAATAAAAACAAAAGTGGTGTGTAAGGAGAACTTAAATTACTTTTATCTTTTGATGTTTATATGGTTATTTCGATAATTAGTAAGATGTTGCTAAGCTATTACTAAAGGATTGGTGGTAAACTACGCTTATTTGAATAATTAATACTAAATAAGAAAGAGAGAGAAATTTAAATAGATAAATACAGTTGGGATTGATTATTACAATTCTTGTGCTTTTCAAGTAATTTCTTCGCCAGCTATAAAAATTATATTCTTCTTGCGGCCACGACTTGAGCAATTCGTTTACATAATTGATACAGAAAAATATTTAGAAAGATACAATATGTTTGGGTCAGCCGAAAGTTCAAAGACACACGCAATGAGCTAATGAAAATTAATATTCTCCTATCTATGTAAGCTCTTAATGAAGGTAACAATAGCGAGTCTATCTACTAAGAAGATAATGCTCCCTGCCACAAGATTAATACTGCAGAAGAGTGGAAGTAATGTTATAATTTTATAGTAATAGTAAGGCTGCCAATTAGCCCAGATTTTAGCTCTATAGAGATCTCATAAGAATATTCCACCAGAAGAGTGAAAAAGAAAAAGAGGTTAATCATCAAAAGCTTTTAAGTATGTGGCGGTAAATACCTATATGGAATAAAATATTACTCGGATTGGTGTTTGTAATATCAAGTGTATGCCAATGCCTGATTGCATGCCAATGCCTAATTGCGTGCCAATGCCTAATTGAATTTCAATGGTTAATGACATACATGAGATGAAGAGGGTTGATGAAGATTAATCTAACTATTAAATATTCTAAAAAAAAAAAAACTATATCTTCATATTTATATGTTCTCAGGCATGGGTTGTTAAGTGAAAGGAGATCAAGTAAACTAAGAAGGTTATAGTGGTCCCTCGATAACTTCAAGGCCAACGCGAGGACTA